ATTCTCAGTGTCATCCACACTGTCCATTGCCTTATTATATAGAAGATGCTCAAACTTAGTGTTTTTCTCTAGTTATTGGGCTATGGAAAAGACAGTCATGTTAGTATGTAGTGCCAGAATAATATATTTGCCTGCTATGTAGGAAATATGTGCACTAAGCATATCAAGATCATCTCTAACAATCTTGTGCTTATTTATACATAGGCATGCCATATATATACCCTTGTCCCCACCCTCCACCTCACTAGTGGCTATTTGGAAAACCCCTCTCTCTTATTAGATCTTAATTATTGATAATCATTAATGATACTAATTTGAGCTAATTATGGCTAATTATTCATAATCATGTTTTTGATCAAATTTGCAAATTAAAGTAGCATTGTCTATACTAGTAGAGTCCCATTGAATATTATACTCAATCATAGTTTTACACATTCTAAATCCAAATTGTGTAAGTGCCACAATTTGTTTTTACCCTATATAAAGTGTATTATTTATTTTCCATTGGTTTATTGACTTCTTAGCTGGTGTTTAAACTAAATCCTGAAAGCTCTGGCTTTTTGGGTATTTATTGACCTTTTTATTTATTAGATAGAGAAAAGATAAATATTGAATAAAATCAGAGATGTTGAGGTTGTCTATATTATGTCTACTTATTTAGATTACCAAGTTCATATATAAGACCTTGTAGCTTAGTGGCTTAGAGCATCTATTCCGGGTGCTTGTATATATGAGGTTGTTGGTTCAACTCTGGCAAAAGGCAAGTTTGTTATAAGGTATATTCTGTGTTTAGGTTATTTGACTAGTGCTTTAATATACATGACTCTATAAAAAGCTATGAGAACTGTGATGCTTAATTTATTATTATTATTCCGAAATTTCAAGTTATAATCAATCCTAATAATTCTTAACTTAGGAAAATTATGTCTAATTAGAACAGATTTAGATGGGTAAGCTAAAAATGTCTAATCCTAATCTTTTATAATTTAGTATAGTAGGGCATCCATTATAGCTAATTAGAGCTTAATACAAGGGGGTGGTTTTCCAGATACAAGATCACTTACCTTTATGTAGTAAAGAGTCTTGTATTAAAGTAGTAATTATCAAGGGGGTCTATATAGTGGCATATTATCTTGTATGCTAGCTACAAATTATTTCAAACCCCAAAAGGATTATCACTGATTATCTAATATCTCAGATCTATTAACAAAGATTAGATTGTATGCATGCTACCACCTTGTCAAAAAACATAAAATGCTATAATTCTAGCTTAAATAATAGATCCTAATCTAAGAACACTCTCTAAAACACCTACTAGAAATAAAAACTCCAAATCCTTACTCTCAAGTACTTAATCTAGGTCCCTCTATTCTAAGAACTTAATCCCTAACATAATATAACTATTTACTGGGAAAAATGGCCTTAGCTTCCAAAAACACTAACAAGATTGGAATCAGTCAATGCAACTAAGAAGATATTTGGCTACAGACCTCAGTAGTGGCAAATTGAAGCTATAATCAAGATATTGGAGGGGCACAATACTTTTATTCTCTTACCAACCAATGTAGGCAAGTCACTTGTCTTCACAATGCTTACAGTTATAGCAGAGTTAACACAGAGTCAAGGACTTATTAAAGTGATCAATCCCTTGAAAGAATTGTAGTTAGATCAGGTTAGTGCTTTGTTTTCTCAGAGAATACTACTTACCATGCCTTACATTAGAGATAGGTCAACTGACTAAACTCTATGCCCCATAGGCTTGTGTCTGAGATACATAATAGAGAGGCCCCACTCAAGATTTGGGCCCTAGCAATCAATAAGAATAATAACAAGGATCAAGTCTTCAAATTGCTAGAAACAGGAAAAATACATATTTGCTATTCATTACCCAAATGTTACCTCTAAAATAGCTGATTTAACCAGCTATTTCAATCTTATATCTTTTGAAGCTGTTAGATTATAACAGCTATTGATGAGGCACACACTATAGCTCATAGTTGTTCTCTGCCATTATGAGATCTATTAGTATGGCCCAAAGACAAGGCATGATTGATTAATATATTGCTACCATCAATACAAGCACAAAATCCAAGCAAAAATCATCTGTTTTGGCCTGGGTTGAAAGTCAATAGAGGTCTATATGACCATAGGCCTTTATAAACTCCTCCACAACAATCCCAGCCACTTTCTGTTTCAAAGCTATCTCTATCTAAGCATAAGAGTCTTTTGGTATATTAGCCAGCCAGGCATCTAGTATTAATTTGGGCCCATACTGTATCCTATTCTTCAAAGTAAGGTTGTGGCACACTTAAGCTTGGATTCTGTTATTCTTGGAAGTATAGAATATAATAAGGAACTTATTAACTGACTAGTTTTATACTTTGATGGCTGAGAGAATATAGTTTGTCTTGTCAAGATACCACTATTAAGAGCTTATAAGAAATGATGAGAGAGTCAAGACAAGAGAGTCTGATAGCACTATGGTTTATGGTAGATGTGACACTACATCTAATCCACACTGATATCAGCAAAATCTAATCTGATTATTATTAATTTATGCAAATTAGTGTCTTATCATCTTCAATAACAGTCTGATAATGCCACCTACATGACTCCCTAACTGATAACTACTTTAATCTGAGCCCCTTATATATTTGGTGTCTAGGAGGGGGTAAGTCAAGCCTAAACTTTGATATAGACTAGCCTTCCACTACCTTCTGCCAGGACCCCCAAAAATAGGTTGGAAGGCCAGATGGCCAATCTGGAAAAAAAATAAGGCTTTTTAACCCCTAGGCCTAAAATAATCCAAACAAAGAAGGCTCTTTACAGGGTCAAGGCCACATATTATTGTTCTATAGAATCTGGTCTCTCCTATCATATGCCTAATCATATTTGTGACTTTTGATGAAGGTAGTAGTATAGTAGTCAATAAGTCATCTAGTATGAGAGCTCAAGTTTGCAGAGTCAGTGTTAGGGCTGCATCCTAACACATGCTTTATATGTAGACTAGAAAAAAAGTCAGGCAATACACACCAAACTCAAATATTGATGACTAGGACTATAACTTGACATGCATCTTAGAATATAACTTAAGGCTTGATTATAAGCTATGCATATAACTCAAACTTAGACTATGGATTTGGATTGATTATCGTTTACATGCTAACACATGAATGCTTATGACACTATGACTCATCTTTCTCTCTTTACCTATGTGGCTTACCAATGTTGATCATGATTAGTGCCTAATGCTTATTGATGCAGACAGACATTTGATATAGTCACTATACTTAGTTACATCAAGGACTACAGAGTTCCAATCATGATCAAGACTTCCAGAATTCTCAACTACAGATTACACATCTTAATTATTTACTATACTTATAGTTTAGAAGCATGGAACAGATCTGGATCCAGCCCTAAATAGCTTTTACTATAAATAGTCAAGATGAGCTTTTAAAAAGCTCAGCTTGTTCACTTTATATATAACTTGATCTCTATACTATGCCTAGTGTCTAGCTACCTTCCTAGCTCATGCATCATGAACTCTGCCAGATCCAAAGTATCATACTTAGTCTGACAAAGCCTAGATTTATCTCAAAGCCTCACTCACTTTTACATCACTACTATGTATCAAGGACTCACCACATTCAGAGTCCTTTCTTAGAATCCATAAGAAGTCATCTGTTAGGTTGAAGAAGATGGTCCTATCATAAACAGTCATTGATCTATGAAGGACCACCTTCTCCATCTCTTTGAAGACAAAGTTAACAATAATGACTACTTCCTTGCACAAGCACAACAAAGAGCAGTAGTCTTCATCTGTTGGATGGTTACTATTTAGATAGCCTAGGGACCCCTCTACATGCATGCAATCATATGATGAACCTAGCAGTTTAACAGTTGGCTAGTTTGAAGCCTGTAGACTACTTTTTTTTTGCTTTAAATTTATGTTTCAAGTTTCATAAGTTGCCAGCTCAAGCCTCAAACCAACAGTTTTCAACTTGCACTCAATACAGCTCACAATGTTAGACAGCAAGGTCATTAACCTTACCCATACTCAATTAGAAGCCCCTGCCAATCTTCACATTCTTGTTCCCTTGGAATTTCTTAGTGTTCTGCCAGACCACCACCTCTCAATTGCTAATTTTCTCAATGTAAAACTTCCCTTGTAGTCCTCAGCCCTTGTCCTCAAATAAACAATCCCTTCAACTCTACCCCCAGTTATCAAAACATACCATAGCCATTGTAGCTGCAGTGAATCAACTTCAGGCACTGCATCAGTACAGCACAGGAGGCAAGAAGAATGGCAGTATTGGCAATGGTGGTGATGGCACTGTGAACAAGTTGTGATTGTTTGGAGCAGATTTCTTTTGTCTGTCATGTTCTGTGTGCTTTGTGCCACTGTAGTGTACTCATTCTGACATTTGTGAGCCTTAAAAAGGCTTGAACTACATAATCTAAGAAATTTCGAGCATGTTAAAGGCCTGAACTGGCCTGTCCGGCAAAATTTTGGGACTTTGGGGGCTTGAACGGGTCAAATGGCTCAACCCGAGAATTTTGCGGCAAATCTTACACAGGCCTGAATTTTTCCGGCAAAAAAGGGCCGATTTTTTTATTTTTGTTGTCCGCACATTTTTGCCGGCTTTTGGCAAATATTCACCCGGCCTCCCCGCCTATTTTCGGGGGTCCTCTTCTGCCGCATAAATCTCCATGAAATTCGTTTCCGACATCAAGGAACGACGTTGACTCCCATCAAAACGATCTGTTGGCATCATCGCCTCCAAATGGTAATATGCCGGATCGTATATAAGACAACTTGCCCGTAGATGGATCCCTCAGGCTGCGCCTCCTTCGATTCAACGCCCAACTTTTTTTTCTGTTTCGCTGTACCCTACCCTAAGCGCGCATTTCTTCTCAGTTCCTTTGGTCCTTTATTACGCTCGTTCCATCATCCACACACGCCGAAACCCTTAATCGACTTGTCATCAGCCATGGGTTATGTTCGATCCCGCAAATTTTGCTGCTGTCTGCCGGTCAGATTTGGCGTTTTTGTGATGACCATCCTTGGAATCATCGCAGGTGGTGTAATTGGTACAATTGGCTGGTATCAGACTGGACATATCAGTGCGTCTCTAAGTTCTGCCATGCCTTACTTACTGACATTCTTGGAGAGGACTTACATTTGACGAAAAATAATGAGAGATCGCTTTACGTTGCATCTATCGTCTACACCCTCCTCGCAATTATATCTCTTTTCGGGTATGTGCATCATTTTATCGTTATGATATCTACGCCTATACGTGCTTGCTTTTCATAGTTTGATCGGCGTTATCATCAAGAAGAAGGGCTTTGTGTCCGCATACTCATCGATGGTTTGGATCCATCTCGGATTCAATGTCGGCACTGGCGCCTATTTCCTATATACGCTCTTTCACAAGATCGGACAGCAGGATCTCAATGACTGCCAAAGCACCAATGACACCGACTTAAATCGGGCAGCCTGCAGGAAGGGTTTCGAGATCGCGCGCGGAATATTGGTTGGGATCTACGTCGTTGTTTGGCTTGTCGAACTTTGTGCATCATCTCATTGCTCCACTAGTCTATCTTTCTCATATTCTTTTCGCAGGGGGTTGTCTGATCGTGTCCGACTATGTTAGTCAACTCGAAGAGGAAGAGGCTCTCGAGTGGCCTCAAGCAGGGACCACCGCCCCACCGGATACTGCTGCTCCTGCCATGGCCACTACCTACAACTATGGCGCACAGTATGCATTCGCCGCAAACGACAACTCTTACGGCAGACAAGGAGCCCCCAATAACGTTTGATCAAGCCCGGAGGGTGATTGTGGTGTATCTTATTCGAAGAACTCGCAGAGTGAAGTGCGCGCTAATTGACATTCCTTATGAGTATAGTAGAGTCTCAGAATTTAAATCTGAACCGGACATTCGTCGTGTACCTAGTCTGCGCAAGACCTAGAATCTGGCAATCTTTGCAAGGTGTCTGCTCTTGTGTGTAAGTCCCACCATCTCTTGTCTCTACTGGCGCTCCATGAAAACGGTGGACCCTAGCGTGAGGACAAAAAAGAAAGATAAAACCATGTAGAATGAAGAAACTACGACGAGAAAGAAATTAGTCAGTATAGTTTTCCGCGTCTGTAAGAGAACCCAGCAAAAAGAACGAAGATACTGAATGGGGTATATGTAAGTATATATGTAGGTTATGCGTTCAGTATAATTGGAGAAATATGACAGTTATCCTTTTAGGAGCTGTGGTTTTTGATAAAAGACGGGGCCAGCCCCACCATGCGGCCAGTTAAACGCATTCAACGTACCCCTAGTCATCCAGACCCAGCTATAGCGGCGCGCTCAAATATTCTCCCTCGAATGTGAAGACTATACTCCTGTGGCTTGAACGGCGTGACTGGTGATCGACCCACATGGCAGGATCGTAGGAGGGGCTCGGAAGAGTCAGAGCGATGACCGGAATATTAGTTGGGATCATCTCCTTGGACATCACCGATGTGATCCGCTCTTGGATGCTGTTTGGTCTCCCAACGATCAAAGGAGCGGGTTTCCCGAACCGAACCTTCGGATTGCGACGATCGGCGAAAAGAGGCTTAGTAGAATTAGTGTGATCGAAAGATGTGTGGGGACTCGAAGAGCCTTTGATATCAGACTTGCTGTAGTTCTGCTTCTCACCGGGAGACGCAAGGAGAAGTCGACGTGGAGATGTGAGGGACGACGATTTCCAGTCTCGTGACAACACTGGTGATATGATGGCTTGTCTGCGTCGTCTGTCCCATTTTTCGGCTTGTTGGCGACGGTAGAGAGCGACACTGATGCAAAGAACGCTGGAGGTGAATACGAATATGGTGACGGCAAGACCAACGTAGGAAAATAGTGAGGATGGGTTTGAAGAAGAAAGTACAGCCATCGTGGAAGGCGCCATGGCAATGCTGCGGGAAACGGGGGACTCTGTGGTGGCATAGCAGCACCAGAGGGATTCTATACTGTCACCTTGGCTGGTCCGAGCATATCGTGATTCACAAGCATGTATGTCTACAATCCCACAAGTCATCATCGAAGGTCAGTTAACACTAATGGAAGGACACGACTACAGGGTTTCCCATTCGAACTTACAAGGAATATGAGGTCGTTATTCTGAAAGATTGGCCGAGATTATCCAGGGTATAGCCAGAACATGGGGTTGACATCCTGTACATTGCAACGGAGTTCTCGACTGGTGATCGTAGAGTGAAGTCGATCCATGTGTTTACTGATAAAACCACGGAAATCAGTAAGCTCGGTCGACGGTATGGAAACAGGCTGAAATAGCGTCTTCCGCTAGGGAATGCGAGAGCAGCGGAACGCTGAAAGGGAATCGTGCGAGTCAATATGCTGCGAGTCAGTGAATGAGTTACTCCAACACATACAAGAAACTGTGCGTACGTCGATCCATGAATGTGTGCGTACTGATGATGGTGATGATCATAAGACATTACCTCACAGCTAGATATAACGTTAATGTATAGTGTTAAGCAGACCCACAGGCTTTGGGCTCGCCCAACGATGTACCCCAACAATCACTGCATTCAAAGGAATCTGGAGGAAATATATCAATTATAAATGATCGACATGCCTTGATGCATACCTGAGTGACGTGGTACTTAACCCCGCCTGGAGCTTTGTTATGATTGGAAGATTTGCGGGTCATTTCTGGATGTGTGGTTGTCTACCATTCGAGCTAAGCATGTACTCAAACCTTGGTCCGAATCGCAAGGAAGACTGTTCGACAACCTGCGAGGCCATGACTGCATCCACTGGACTCCAGATGCAGATTTCTTCAATATGTCTTATGAATGGCGTTAGATTTTTAGATGAAAGGCAGACGTTGTAATAATGATAGATGACAATTCATAAGTCTGGGGTCGAAATATGATGAGGTCAGCCTATAAGGAAATTGGTGATAGCATCTTAACTGGGGAAGCGCCAGATGTGTTGGGCAGCAAGCACATTGTGGGATTTTTCATTGTATCAATGGAACTAGGTCAACCTTGCAGATCTGGAAGAATGTCAAGGTTCACGAATATCAACATAAGACCAGTTATGGCACTCATGATAAGGGCAGTCTCTAAATAGATGCAATGTATGAGGATCCAGTGCAGAGCAAATCGCCTTTTCTAAGTTATGATCTGTCCAAGTCTTTCATTCTATAGAAACACATTAAAGGATGCGAGCCACAGCAAGGATCTTAATGTTGTTCACATACTTCGCGCTACCTATGCGATATCTTAGTGGTTGAAAATACAACGTGCTCATAATCACAATATGAATGAGATACATAGAGCTGTCGGCACCCAGTTCGTTTCGTATTGAATGTGTCCGGACCAAGGATTTGAAGTAGGAAGGGCACAATATTCGATCCATGAGATGAGAGGAAATTCAGCAGGAGATGTGTGACAACGACCATCCATGGCCAAGCAAACCGAGACCACGACCCGAAAGAGCCTCTGGGCTACACGGCAGCGCTATGAAACTGTGCACAGCGCTCGACTCGATACTCCAGTGATTCTGCTTCAAAGATTGCAGTCTTCCATATTCTATCACTGTCAGGCGACAGGTGGTTCTAAAAAAAGTCATGACAACCGTCTCCAGTAACCCAGCGGTCGGCAGCGTCATAGCTCGAGTATAACAAGCAACCATCGATACAGCTTACACGAAGGTGATTCAGGAAAGAAATTAATCGCGCTGAGACGAACGGCAAAGGACTCACCAACCAGTGTAAACGTAAAGGGTCGTCGAATTCGCGTCGAGCGTAAACATACGCGAGGCAATTAACACCGCGAAAAGTAGAAATGACAACGGAGCCTACTTCCAGTTACAGACACGTTGGGAGGCATCACGGATGTCGCCCAAAGTATGTTGATACGGACCGGTAGGGTATAGGTAATCCTTCCAGAACTCTCCAGTTTGTGACAGTTCATGCCACCGTAGAGAGGCAAGTATGGATCATATCTATCTGTCAGACAGGATCATTTTCGCTTCCTTGATTTCCGACATCCCGCTCTGTCAACATCCGCTTCTGGTCGCAGCCCACCCAACGATCGTCATTGTGAAATCATGATTGGACCTCGCGTTCATCAGAGCTCGGTAACGCCTCTCCCGACGAAACGAAGGCTCGGACGAGAAATGCGTATAGTTATTGTCAGCACTGTGAAGAATTTGCTTGCCGTAGTGCGAAGGAGTTGCTGAGACCATGTGTTACTGAGAAACGTAGACTCGGACTCAATGAAGCTATGCTGCGACCATGCCTGCGCGCCGCGCGGTGCATACCAGTGACGGCAAAGCAGCAAAAAAAAGAAGTCCATGGGTATGAAGATTAGTGTACACCGGAATGACAGATAGTGTATGGATGCGGAAGACGAAGCAGAGAGGTAATATTGAGTAGTGTGTTTCACATAACGGAGCAGCAACTGTTTTGCTAATGATGGTATTAATTTTGAGAAAAAACGCAAGATATTGTAGAAGACGACAAACCTTTTTCGCCGTCTTGTAAAACATCTTGCTCTGAGCCGACAGCGCTGTCGAGCGCTCGACCAGGTTATCCAACTTCTCTCCCCTCTCCAGCACAGACTCGATTGTCTTATGCTGAATGCAAAAGTGATTCAAATCCGACAATGCAGGACCCATGATCTTAAAACAATCTCTCAGAGATGTAGGGATCGGATGCTTACCAGAATGATCTTGGTCTCATCTAATTCCTGCTGTACTCTCATAATATTATCTGCCTGCCGAGGGTCCTGGTATTTCTGGATGTACGTGTTGATGTCGGGGAACGAGATAGCGGAGGGGTTCGAGAAGGAGGACTGGGGGACTTTGGCAGTGAATTCGTCAAGGATCTTCGTGAGCAAGGAGAATGCAGGTCGGGCAGGGTACTCCATATCAGTAACAATGACGGCTGAAGCATGCACAGATGCGATCCGCGATACAAGAATGTGAGCTGATCAAACGGCTACAACATCACGATGTACGCACCAGACAGCTGTTCGGCACCACCACGGTTGTACACATGGGCGGTGTAGTTGTTCTCTTGAACGGTCTGCCGCTGGCCTTGAGAAGTCCTCTCTGCGACGGTCTTTGTGAAGAACGTCATGAACTCGCCAACAGAGCCTTTCTGGTAGAACGAGAACGAAGATAAGTCGGATGCTTGGCTAAGGATGGCACTTGGACCAGATGGAGGGGAAAGGACGACAGCGAGAGAGTATATCTTCATAATTACAGTGGGGTTTGCAGATAGGCACAATGCAGATGTTGCTCAGTGCTGTACGTGCCAACATTGGGCGACCGTCGACAGTGGTTTGAACGCCCATTTATTACGTAATCAAATGGGGCTCAGCGGCCTCAGTCGGTCCTCGAAGTTCTTTCCGCAATCAACCGTCACGAAAACAAGTCGGGGTCTGGAAGAAAAATATTGCGGTAAGCCAGTGGTAAGCCAAAACTCTATGGGCATGTCTGGATGGTGTTCATAACTGACACTCAAGCAGGGATCATCTAGTCTACCTAGATCAAAAAGATCGAACCTCAAATTATTGGCAAACGTCGAACAACGACCATCATATGCGCCGCCCTAGGCGAATCTCTCTGAAATCTCTACTATAGACAGTGAGGCATGTCAAAGTGAATGTTATTTTAAAATGTCTTCTGCTTTGTTCCATATATGATACTGCCAGATTAGTGTTCTTACCACCGTGGGTGCAATGTCGATATCAGGTGACGAGAGGCATTGCTCTTCCAACTATGTTTTTAGCGATGGACCATCGGACCATCGAGTGCTAATCATGGAGCATACCATGCCCCTCAAGACTCAGAATTTTTGCATTTCTCCAGACATGCACAATGATCATACAGATGCGCAACTTAACAAACTTGGAGGTTGCCATATTACATATGGTTGCTTGATATGCAGGGGAGGGCCAACAAACAAGCAAATAGAAGGTGATCAGTGTATTATTGGGTGAGATATTAGAACGATAGGAATGGACCGCTCTACCAAGCAGCTCCAAGGATCGTTCCACATGCTCACCTTCGGCATGGAATTCTCAATAGTTCTGCAGATTGATAGAAGTCAACAGAGGATTGACAAGCGATCCTTATCTTTGTATTCTCGGATCATGGATCATTTGGCATGCGGGATGAAAGCATGCAAAGATCCAGGTCACTATGTGGACGGATGAGGTGAGATTGCGGATTGTCGGTTCTAGATTACGAATTTTTATTGAGCGCAATGCAATACGCCAGAATACGCTGGCCTCAATCGCACGGCGGATGTTACTCGCATAGAAGTGGAGGACATCGAGGATCGGACACCTGTGCGTTCTCAAATCGAATATGAGCACGTTAGACAGCTCACCTTGAATGCTGATTCGGCTACTAAGCGGGAATGCTTTCTCAACGTTCTCGCTTGTTATCGCTGAGTACTTGTCACACAGTCGTAGGCTACGTGGGTTTGGTCAGACAGCTTGCTAATCTCGGTGGATAGTTTCGAAAATGATACTGACTCTCACGACATCCATTGTAAATTTGTCATGGCCCACCCAAGATAGACTATGTTTCTTATGGTCTTATGGGCGACTCCATCGACTCCCAAAGTCACATGTACATCGTAGAGAAGCAAGAAGAATACAGGCGCACGGCTGCTCACGGCATCGCAAGGCCGAGAGGAAAGGTCGAGGGATCAAAATGACCTGTTAAGGAAGGGATGTGTAGCGAGACGGAAGGAGCCGATGGCCTCGCCTATCTTCGAGTGTACTTGATGCGGGCGCCGTCGTTTGTTGGCTGGTCAAAATAAGGCGAACCACAGCAGGGGATCTCGGCGCTTCCATGAAAGAACACCTAAAAGAGATTCGAGGGCAAGGATAGGAAGGCCACAATTAGATTCCTAATCTCGAAAGACAAAGGAGCCTGAAATATCGTTCGAACACAGATGCAAAAAGCAGTTCCCGAGGGAGATAAGCAGGCATCGGCGTCGCACGAACATCGGTGAGGGTGCTTGCTGAAGCCAAAAAGGTCGCTTTATGAGAGGCTCAAAGTACGAGATAGAAGCAAAGACTAAGCAATCAGAAGCCTTTGGTGTCAAGGATTCAAAGAGTAGATGGCGGGTACAAGTCGCGGTGTTCGCACGAGCATGAATGATCGCTGCCGAGTATAGTGTGACATGGGTGTACCCGCAACATGTGTTGATGTAGAAGGCTTCCGAATCAGACGAACCAAAAGGCGAGAGCATTTGCGGACCTTTCAAGATTGCAGCCTTAGTAGGTTGCAGTGTCAGAGTGCAGTTTCTATGGCTGACACAAAAGACAGGTCAAGACTTTCCAGGTTAAACGATAAAAATAGAGGGCACACCGGGGTATATTGTGAGCGGTGCTTATAAGTAGATCAGGAGACGGGATGGGAGAAGACGGCTCGAAGAAGGAAACAAGAACCAAGGCACGCCAATTTCGCCGATTGCGACTCCACGTGGCGATTTCACGTGATCACGAAGTCGAGTGCTGCAACGCAACCGGCGGGGGCAAACACTGGCTCGAAGGTACACTAACAGCTCACTTCCTGGTTTCCTTCTTACCATCTCCATCTCATTAGCTACGACATCCACGACATTCTTGACGCACATCTCTATATTCCACGGCGCATCCACGCATACCCCATAACATCAGACTTGCGCTCGCAACAGCCTCATCTCGGACTTATTCATCTCGGGAGACCTTATCTCTCAGTGAAGGAACCGTGAAAATTTGCCCCTCTTGCGTGCAATACTCTCTCTTGTTGCTAAGGGCCGATCATCACATTTCCCTGTGGTTCGAACATACCTTTGACGACTCCCGGCGACTTCCCCTTCCCCCCTTCGGATACCTGCCGATTTCTTCTTCAGCAGACGGAGTGCTCAAATTTGTAGAAGGAATGAAATGTCCTCATCTGTCGCAGAATCACAGCGCCAGAGCGGGTCCTATGAATACAGCTTGCGTGACGAGGAGAAGTCGACCGGTAATGTTTGTGCCTCCTCATATTCTTCTTTGTTGACTCCTTGTCTAGACGATCACGCCAGTGCAGCACGTGCCACGGAATCTTTCGTGCAAAATATTAGCAGCTATGGACGCCCCTCCCCTGAATTCTTCGACCCAAACTACGATTCCGACGATACTGGTTTTGGTGAGTCGATCGAATAACCCTATGCACCCGCAGGACAATACCATAGCTCACACTCTCTTCCCCACGGGGCCTTTAGAGGATGATTCGCCCTATCCCGAGGTCCGTGCGGCCGTTGCAAATTTCGATGACCCGGATATGCCTGTGTCCACACTTCGGGCATGGACGCTCGGCATCTTCTGGGCTATCGTACTCCCCGGAATTAATCAGTTCTTCTACTTCCGCTACCCCTCTATCATGGTTACTGGAGTAAGTGGACTCGTGCTAATAACCGCTTTCTTCGATGTGCACATACTAATCAAACACTCTGCATTGTAGCTGGTCGTGCAGCTCTTAGCATTTCCCATGGGCCGATTATGGGCATATTCGCTACCCGCTGTACGAATGTTTGGCATCTCATTGAACCCCGGTCCGTTCACTATCAAAGAACATGTGAAATGTATTCCAGTATCTGCCTTGATACGCTGCTGATTCTTGTTCTAGGTATTGATTACCATAATGGCTGGTGTGGGTGCACAGACTGCCTATGCCGTGCGCATTCAGTTCTCCCTCTCTTTTGCTGCGTTTGACGTGCCTTGCAGACGGATATCATCGCAGTTCAGAAGGTCTATTATAATCAATCATTTAATTTTATATGTGAGTGCACATCTCCTATGAATCTGTGCAACCTGACCGCTGTATTGCAGACCAATGGATGCTTGTCATGTCAACCCAACTTATTGGATTTTCGATCGGAGGCGTCGCGCGGCGTTTCCTTGTCGCACCGCCATCGATGAGTACGCACTTTGTTGGGTCTTTTCCACGCTATTCCTTCACAATGTCATTTTACAGTCTGGCCAAATACTCTGGTCATGTGTGCCCTATTCAACACTCTGCACTCTCAGACCTATGCAGGGCCTGGAGCGCTAACCGGCATGACGAGAGAGCGATTTTTTACATACGCCTTCCTTTGCTCAATGGTGTGGTGTAAGCAGGCATGTCCTCGCAGGTTAACTACATGTACTGATCTCATAATGGTACAGATCTTCTCCCTGGATACCTGTTCCAGGCGTTAAGGTGCGCACGCATAATTCCGCATACTATAGCTCACCCTGATCTTTCCCCCCTCCACTTAGCATGTTCAGCTGGGTCTGTTGGATAGTCCCTAACAACGTCGTGAGTCATGGCCTTTGTGATGTCTCAAAAACGCACCGTAACTATTGGAGCAGGTTGTAAATCAGCTATTTGGGTACGTCGCTGTACAAGTCAATGGTGCCTATTTGAATTCAATCAGGCTTTAGTTATAGGAGTGGACTGGGACTATCCATGCTGTCATTTGATTGGAACCAAATTGCATTTACCGGAAGCCCGTGAGTAGTCGAGCTCATCATGCCATCACTCACCGGCTAACTCATGCCTTTAGGCTTGCGACACCATGTACATCTTGTCTAACCTGAATATCGGAAGGCTCAATTACTGATGCATTATTGCTCATTCAGGGTGGGCGGAAGCAAATATTCTCGCTAGTTTTATTTTCTTCTATTGTACGTAGTGACTTCCCAATTTCCCACAAATGATATGATGCTAAATTTCGACGTAGGGATTTTGACACCTGTGCTATATGTGAGTATTTATCATAGCCTTGGAAGCACGCTCATAGGATATGCCAGTACACAAATGTGTGGCACAGTCAATATTTGCCGTAAGTCATATTGCTATCCAGAAGCAAGACTTTCGACTAAATCGTCTGTAGAATATCCTCTCGCTTCGCATACGACAACACTGGCCAAGAATATAATGTCAGCAGGATCATAAATACCGATGCGAGTCTCAATGTCGACGCGTATAAGGAGTATAGTCCTCTTTTCTTATCGTACGCTCTCTGACGTTAAGAAGAAAAGTGCCAGCTCATCTTACTGTCTTCATACAGAATGACATTTGCAATATCCTACGGCCTCTCGTTCGCTTCGATCACAGCGACGATCACACATTCCCTCATCCATTTCTGGAAGCCAATCAAAATATATTTTGGCCGCTCATTACGAGAGCAGCCTGATATTCACGCTCAATTGATGTCTAGATATGCCCAAGGTATTGCGCAATCCTGCCCTAACAACAACAACTAATTCCAAAGGGGATATTTTCAGTTCCTGAGTGGTGGTATGCTTGTATATTCGGTGACGCTTTTTCCTGGCATGATAGTCAAATTTCTGCTCATCGACATGGACAATTTAGTTGTGACGTTCACCTTTGCATGCTTGTGCATCGAATTGTGGTCGACTGGGATGGAGATCTGGGCTCTTTGCATTGCTCTACTCATTGGTAAATACCTGCGCCTCATGTCGAAACTCGCCGATTGCTAAGAGTACCAACAGCTCTTGTGTATCTGATACCCGTAGGTATGCAGGACCGAAGTTTACTCTACAAGCGGCCTTTCCTAAGTGGCCCTACTTCCCCCAGGAATGATCCAAGCCATCACAAATCGCCAGGTTGGATTAAAGTGAGTATCTTACATGGAGCTCCGACCTTGCACCGATTTTCTAAATTTGATCTTAGTGTACTGAGCGAACTTATCGTCGGATTCATGTTACCGGGCAAACCTGTCGCCATGATGATGTAAGTCTCAACCTGGGAGTCTTGCCTGAAAGCAATTTTGAACTACCTTGACAGGTTCAAGGTGTGTTTGCTTTGTGACTGTGACTACATATATTGACCTACGGATCAGACTTGGGCATATATCACCATGTCACAAGGTATGATCTCTGAAAGCTGTCGAATTGACTCAGATTCACTCCCCTTATGTTGATTCCCTCAGCAATGGTATTCACAGCAGATTTCAAGCTTGGTCATTATATGAAAGTTCCCCCACGGCCGATGTTCTGGGCTCAAGTTCGTCAAACCAGAATCACATCTTCGAACATATCTTACCTTTGTATCAATGTAGATCATCGCCACCATCATCGCTGGTACCACACAGTTGGGCGTTCAAACCTGGTAGGTCGTATGTTAGCAGCACATGCACTTTCTAATATGTTTTTATATCACAGGATGTTTACCCACATACCGTGAGTTTCGTTGGCTAGCTTCGTGTGTGCTCAAGCTGAGTCCGATTTCAGCGGCCTCTGTAATCCGAATCAAAAGGACCAGTGAGTGACATTGTACGTGCACCCCAACCTGCAGCTGACAGTCCGCTAGTTTTGTTTGCGCTAATACTCAGGTTTTTGGTACTGCTTCGATTGTAGTAAGTGTGTTTGCTGGGTGTGTTACATTTCCAGTGCCTCATAACTTTCTTAGTGGGGTGTTGTTGGTCCCAGTTTGCAGTTTGCCAAGGGACAGTTATACTAGTGAGGCACCTTATCGGATCACAACGATGTCTTTTCTCATCTATTTTCCAGTGGTTCGTTTCGAAAGACTACAAGAAACGCAAGTGCTGACCCCGTCTCCCAGCTTTGACATTTTTCTTCTTGATTGGCGCTGTATTGCCCATCATACTCTGGTGGCTTACACGCAGATACCCTCACAGTTGGCTAAATTATATCAAGTGCGTAACGCATACGCTATTCAATGTCTGATTGTTCATTTTCTATCCCGCGTAGTTTTCCGTAAGTATATCAACACCAATGACCAAGATCGCCGCTTATTCTATAGCCAGTCTTATGTTTGCAGGGTTGGGTACCCTTCCGCCTGCAAATGCTTCCAATTTTGTTCCTTGGGCTATCTTGGGATTCATTTTCCAATATGTCATCCGACGACGACACTTCCCTTTCTGGGCAAAATACAACTGTAAGTGTCCGGTAGATTCTATTTCAAACCTCACACCATCGCCCGGCAGATGTTCTCTCTGCAGCCTTGGATGCTGGCACAACTGTTGGCGTGTTATTGGTATATTTCTGGTACGTGGTCCATCTCTCAAGTATTCCTTGTTGCCTGTTGACGATACGACAGCTTGCAATACCCACTGCAAGGAGGAATCGGTCGAGATAATGTTCAAAAGTGGTGGGGCAACAGCGTATTCATGCGCACTGCAGACTGGAATAGTCCTGCATTGAAAGTCAGCGAAGGTCCTACCTTTGGGTGCGTAAACCAACTCATTGGCTCTCATTCAATTATTCCTCACATGATCCCCCAGGCCAACATCATGGTAGTAGACAATGGACTACTTGTACTATATCCTAGACGTGTTGTACTATCACAGGGTTTTCACTGTTTTGCTCGTGTTGTTGTGGATGGATGTAGCGCTCAGAAGTGAACTAATCTATATATTTATCCTGGTCCATGCAAGTAATGTATGCACAATATTCAATCGGTAAGTGACATCCAAATGACATCTACTGAGTCTTTCGATCCACAGCCTGCACGGATGCAGTCTCTGTAGCAGCCTGTTTGGTCTTCTCTTCCTCCAGTCGCCGTTTCTCTCTCCGTTCGCGTCCCCGTGTTATCATTCCTTTAGGTTCGAGCTCGGCAAAGAAATACTTGCAAACCTTCTCAATGACCCAGCATCCAGCGAAGTCGAGGATCATCATGCCCGTCAATTGGACTTTAAACTTTAAGATGGATATCTCAGTATCAGACCTCTATACTGTACGACTGTGACTTACCGAGTTTGCCATCTCGACAATTTGGAGCCAGCGATTGATCTCAGGCATGAAGTCCGTCGCGCCCGAAAATGCAACGGCGCTGGCACCAACAAGGCCCCAGTAGAGTGCCGGGTTCTCTCTGATGCCTTCTCGGAAGGGGCGTCCCTATATGATACAATGAGCTCTCTGTACCAGGGAAATCTTGCGGACCAGAACTGACCTGGTAATTGATGGCAAAAGTAGAGACCTGCTGAGAAAGACCCAACAGGAAAACAGCGGTGTTCAGCAAGTTAGCTTCGAACTTGGCTTCTAGATCAATGGGACCCCGTCTGAAAACGAACGCGTGAGCCAATGCGTGAACCTATGTCGCACAATGCGACCTACTCTTCCAAAGCATGTGCTAAATCCGTGATGTATACCATCGTTCCGATATGGAGCGCAAATTGGAGCAACACAGACAACAGAACGTAAAAGTTGAAGATGTTGCTCAAAGGTCTTTCCCTGGAGAGTTTCTCCACCGGCTGGTACGAACAGGCTGTCATGGACTTGTAGATCGTACAGCGATGTCTGACGACGTACCTTGGCCCGTGAGATGCACAAGAAACACACAGACATCATCATGCCGGTGATCGTCACCTGGTAATCGCCAAATTTGATACCATCAAGATATTGGACGCTGAGGCTGTAGGCCGTGATGAGGCAATTGAGTGCAAGAATTTTGTACATTTGGATGGTGGCGACGAGCGTGCAGCGACCCTGCCGAATGATATGCGTGACTGAAAAATACTCATTTAGACTAATGCATTTCGAGTAAACCTCTAAGCAACGCACTTGCAGACACGTTAGATAACTTTGAGGTGAACGGCGCGGCGCAAGAGGCATCTCCAAGCTTGATCTTGGGCACCTCATCTTCTCCCTCTAAATCAGCCATTTTATCGGTGATTGCGGCCATATTGAACTGGATGGTCCATAAAATCAGCTGACATCTGACAAGTTGTGACACGCCAGTCACTAACCTTCTCCATGGGGTTTTTCTTCCTCGCATCTGCCTGTTCCGCTGCAGCTTTCTTTTGAGCCTCAACGACTTCGGGGTACATATGAGCGATGACGGGGGGGACGGGAGGAGGCGGTTGGTTAAACCTCGCCGAGATCTTGAGTTGACTTTCGTAAACCTTTTTGACCCGCTCCAACCGCTCCCGTTCTGCAATCTTCATCAAATCCTCAGGCGTGCCATCGAGCAAAGCAACGCCAACATGGGCCTGCTTCAGAGCGCCAACGTCATTGGTTCCATCGCCAGCCATAAGCGTCGTGTAGCCCAGACCACGAAGGGATGTGAGAATAAATTCTTTTTGCGACGGAGAGACACGGGCGTAAACCCAAGTATGTTGAACCAAAGTCAGCCAGCTCGGGCGAGACTCATACTGCTTCAGGGCAGCGCCGGTGATGCAGATGTCGTAGTTGTCGAGAAGATCTTGATCAAGGGGCTCTGACGGGTCGACTGGAATTATTTTGGTCTCGTCCACGTTACGCCATGTCAAATCTACGATCGATAGCGAACATCAAGAAACGCATCTTTCTGAATAATATGACTAGGCGTACCAGCTTCGTGTGCCGGATTCTCCTTCAGGTCCAAAATGAGGGCTTCTCTATCGACGATTTCGACATCACGAGCGACATGGACAGCCGTCAGGGGATTGTCGCCAGTGATCATGATACACTGCGTGGTACATCAAGAAGCGTATATAAAATAGAAGTTAAAGAGACATACACGGTGGGAAGAGTCTGCGAGCATCTTGAGTGCCTCCACAGCATCCGGCTTCAGAGGGCAGTGGAATACAAGGAACCCAGCAAACACCAATCGGCTCTCAACTTCATCACGAGTCAACTTGTTGATCTACCACATCGAAAGTAAGGTAAACTAGGTGTGATAAATACACCGCACAGTGCCGAACACCCACCTTGTCATTCGAGATAGAGTCGATTTCCTTCATGCCAAGCGCGAGGACGCGGCTGCCCCGTCGAGTAAACCATTTATATGTCTCGTCATATTTCTCTGGAACCGTCGCCAACATGGTTCTAATGGTTTCAGGAGCGCCTTTGACCGCGACCAAGCCACGGCCGCCAGAGAGCGTAGACACCGTCGACATGCGTTTCAAGGCAGAAGAGAACTGGAACCTTCGGCGAATATTGAGCGACGTGCGGTGCGGCGCAGCTGCCGAAGACGGAGTCACGGTATCGCCCCTAGAGATTTGCCATTCAAGAGCCTCCAGGGTCGTTTTTTCCATAGGGTCGCCGACGATTGTCCCGTCGTCCAGACGGACTAGCGCATGTGCACCGGCAAGACAAAGCGTCGTCGTGCGGCTGCTTTCTTTGACATTGACGAGCTTCAAGCCATCAGTCTGGCTGGATAAAAGTATTCAGCAGAGACCAGGACATCGATCTGGGTCAGACTCACTCAACACCGGCAATACCCTCCAACACCAAGTTTTCAGCAGTGATAGTCCCCGTTTTGTCAAAGCAGCATACGTCCACGCGACCCGCATAAGGAATACGGAATGGCTCGGTACAGAATATCGCTAATCTCATATGTTAAGATTTGACCACTGCGAATGGCGTTTCACACTCACCATACTTCGACAGCGCGACGAGTGAGGCGTTGACGGCGAGAGACAACTCCATTGGCAACTCGGGAGGCACCACGCTCGTTACGATCAGTACACAATCGAGTAGAAGTTTCGACTTTTTCAAGTCCCTCTCGATACCTGGAGGGACATGGTCAGATACAAAGATGTGTTGCAAGGAAAACAAAACGGCACACCTTTGACCCAGACATACCAACTAGCAGCAATGGCGAAGATGAGAAGGAAGCCGATGAAGAGGAAAGACTCCATGTTGTTCGCAGATACTCGTTCTGTCGAGAACACCATCGTCCTAACCAATTGCCCCTGCGCCGTACCGAACCCAGTGCGCAGAACAATTCCAAGACAACCGCCATCGGGAGTGGTTCCTGGAATTATCTCAGACCATCGTGAGCTAGTGCAAGAACTGGAAAACCTACCAGCGTCCGTGGCCTGCAGAAGCTTCGTGCCGCTGAACAAAACTTCATTCTTGTGTTGACCATCAGCGTCCAGCTTCTCTGCACCCTCAAGCAACTCAATCGACTCTTTCAACAAAGGCGTCGATTCTCCAGACAGCATCGCTTCGTTGACGATGCAACTACCGTGTACGAGAAGTATATCCGCCGGGATGTTCGTCTCTGCCTGATGTGCCCGTGCTATTGCCGCAGGTTAAGAAAATTCCTATGCACGACCATAAAGATCTGCTTACCGACCGACACCACATCTCCGGGAAGAAGTTCGTCTGATTGAAGTATCGACCACTTGGAGTTACGCCGTACATTGATTGGGAATGGTTGTACCGACATGGTCCTAAACTCCGTCAACGTTTTCACTCGCTATGTATGCGATACATCAACACAACGAAGATGGAATCAAAGAACAGGAGTGCGCACCTGCCACACGACCGTGCATTCAAACACAACAAGCATGAACAGCGTGAACAAGCTGTAGTACCAGTACTCGTCCAGACACCACAGGGCTACGCAGAACACCTGGAACACGAAGAACGGGGCAGTCGCGTGCTCGGTGAACAAGGCCGAAAAGGACGGGATGGGGATGTTGAACTCGTTCTTGCCGTACATCGACAGAAGCGCCGGTATCTCGGAAGATTTGAGGCCCTTGGGATTGCGGAAGGTGGACAGTTGTGGACGCGTGGACGTCAAGTACGGGAGGAGGCCAAACGTGATAGGGTCGGTCTGATGCACGGAGTACGTATCTTGCTGGTAGCTGAACGTGTAGGTGGACGGATCTGATGGGTCGACTTTATCGATGGGGACAATCTCACCCTGGCCGCGGTTGGCCACGGGCACTATACGGATACAATTCGCGTCTTGTAATGAGCGCGCCTGTACCAGTGATTTTTGAGTATCGAAATGAACGGAAGGCATTGCTGACGGACCTTGCGCGTTGTCACCCATGCTTTAGCTCCCGCATTCCACCGTGTCACCAAAAAGCTCAGAGCGTGTCCTGCGCCGAGCAGTACGCACCCTAAGAATGTCCACTCCTCGCTCATAATCCATTCATCGTATTTAACATAGTACGCATATGCGAACAGGGGGTAGAGAGAGAGGAACGGGGCAGCGTAGAGGTGTGTCCAGCGCGGAACGGTAACACGTAGCTCGGTGCGCGCAATCTCGGAGGAGATGATGTTGACAGAAGTCCTATCGGATATGTCAGCTCGCAAACGAGAGGAAGCGCTCGCATCACAGTATGCAAAAAAAAGATTCCTGAATCTGACGCCTGTAGAGCCAACCAACGGACCCAGACGCCTGGAAAGACACTTGGGACCAGCAAAATTGTCTCAGCGTAGAGCTCGCCGGCCCACCAATACCCTCGGCAGAACGTAATGCCCATCACCTCGCCCAAATAATAATCACCCAGCGCTCTACGGTGCACAGTGTTCCTTTTGCATCCTCTTTGTCCAGCCAACGTTCCCGCAAATGCATGCCCGCATGATGACCGGAACACTACGAAGAGTAGAAATCCTCACATGTTATGTCAGAACCGCCTGAGCGGTGGTCTTCTGAAGAGACCTAGAATACAAAGCCTATCTCGTCACTGCAGCACGCAGTCGTCAATGTCCTGAAGACACAGTCGCCAAAAAAGAGCGTACGCTGAGACAAAGAAGGGGTTTATGAGCAAGGTGCACACGTAGCCGTCACTCCGAGTTGGCGTCAGCCCGGCAGCTGTGAGTTATGTAATCGCACATATGTTTTCGCTTCTCACAAAGTCACGGTCTTCACATCATATTCATGGCTCAAAACGACAATCGTAGGCTTGACGTGGGACTCTGCAGGAATGACAAGTCCTACCTTGAAAGCGACGCCGACTATCCTGGAACTTCGAGAAAGAAAGCGCTGCACAACGGAACGTTGCAATTGTCCACAACGAGGTCACATTCGGAGTACATATATAATGATAAGTGACAAGCACCACTAGCTGAGCGCTGAGCGTCCATTCGTGTAAACGCGCCAGCAAGAGGAGCCGATATGTGACAAAGAGATAAACGTACCACAGAACTGTTTATAAATCACTTACGCTGCGACTTATGACCCCTCAGACTCTCGTAAAGTCTAGAAATGCCTCCTCGAGATCCAGTTGTCGCACCACCATCGCCTCGACAATGATCCTCCGGATGTGCACGGGTTCATCAGCATTATCCGACATCTGCAGTGCGCTCAACGCCTGAGCAAGTTCCTCACTGCCGTCTATGACAGTGGCGTCCGTCGCATTCGTGGGAGAAGGCGTGACTGACGGCTCGATGCAGGCATGCACAACGTCCAGTGAAGGATCCTCGAGGGCTTTCTTTCGCTGTGCCCGTCTAAGATCTCGCGCGACACGGCGCTTCTCCGACTTCGAGTTAGGCTTGTATGGTTCAGCACCATGGGAGATGCCAAGAGGCGAGCCGACAGGCAAGGACCAGGAAACGCCAGGCTTTACGTTGACAGGTGCAGGAGCAGAGATGGCAGCGTTCGTATAATATTCGAAAGTGGTGAACGGTCTGGTGTCAACTAGAAAATCGCGGGGTTTGTCTGTGGGTCTCGGATCGTATAGCTGGTGGTCCACAAAAGCTGATATATCTGTCTCATCGAATTCGGGCTCTGGATCCATGGAGAATAGTGCGAGAGACTCGTCGATGTCAACTTTGATAGACGGTACAGGATCGTGATCGGCTGGCGTAGAGATAGGAACTGTGGGAGGGGATGGGGAAGCAGAGAAGTCCGAGCCGAACGCTGGAACATCGTAGTACAAGTCGGGCGTGAGCGACACGGTCGAGTTGAGCGAAGAAGACACAGCAGAAGAGGCGGATGTGAAAGACGCAGGCGAGGCCTTCGGAAACACATTCCTAGTCTTGACCTTGGCAGAAGTCCCCTTGTCTCTTCCCTTCTTGGCGAACTCTCTCGCATCCTCCTCCCGGACCGTCGCACCCAAGACCTCGATCTCTTTCATCACGACGACCTCGGCGTTGATCTCGGCTGCCATAGCTCTAAGAGTGTCAAGCGTAGCGGCAAGGTGCAGAGGAGTGAGCCCGACGAGCGCACCCTCGTCTGCGACGCCCAGCTCGTAAAAGGCTTGCCCGCCGCCCTCGAGCAATCGCCACTTTAGTTGGGTGACTAGTCGCGCGAAGCGTGCGGGAGAAGGGTGCATGAGGTGAAGCTTATACTCAATGTTACCCTGCCTGCAGGTGAGCCGTGGTACGGAAACAATACTAGGTAGAATGCGTACTTCTTCAAGCTCAGGGACAAGCTTTGCCCTACTGTTCGTATCAAGAGAGTAAGACGATTTCCCTTTGGCGGCGGGAATAGGGGAAGTGGAGGACAGAAACGGATCCCATGGTGAAGGCACTCGGGGCGATTCAGACTCGGACTCCCCAAACATGGCGACAGTTGCGGGAGTTATAGATGAAATTTCTGGTGGATATTGAGGTGTGTGTAGTTAATTTAGACCGATATTCGAGGTATCATTGTGTGTTCTTAGAAGCTTTAGCGTGTAGTGCGGGTGGTGAAGAGGATGGCTCCTTTGCGACTTGCCATGACTCATCGCGCAGGCGTGGGGAGAAGGTCTCACGGTCACATGAAGCTTCCTCTCTCGTAATAGTCCTCTTTCTCCTTGAGCAGTCTTGAGACCCTTGAGCCTCTCGACTTCCTCCATTCGTCCTTCTCAAACGGCCGTCGCAATCAGCATTGGAATAATCAATAAGAAACTCGACCATTACTATGCCTCCCCCAATTTCCTCTGGTGTGAGTCTGTCCACGATTTTCGGCGACGCCTATACCAATTCTTACCACCATGCATTAGATGACCTTGAAGCGCATACACCGCGAAATATTGGATCTCAAGAAGGAAGACATGGGAAACATCAAACTCGGGCCATTGGCAGACGACAACCCATTTCTTTGGAAGGCGCGCATTCCAGGCCCCGAGGGCAGCGTGTACGAAGGTGGCGTGTTCGAGGTAGATGTGCAGCTCGCCCATGACTATCCGTGAGCCATCTGTATTCCCTGCGTGTTTTACGCCATTGTGAAATGCTGGCCTAGATTCTCGGCGCCCAAGATCGTGTTCCAGACAAGGTAAGCTCCGGGGTCTCCTGCGCTTCTAGGACTCATGAGTGTCGGTGATTAGGATATACCACATGAACATATCAGATCGCGGAAATGTCTGTATCGATATTCTCAAACACAATTGGTCCCCGGCACTCTCTGTTTTCAAGGTTATCCTCTCCCTTTCCTCCTTACTTACGGACCCTAACCCGAGTAAGTACCACGCCTTGACGATATTCCTCGACCTCGCTAATCCCTCCAATGTTCAGGTGATCCACTAGGTATGACCACACCGCGATTTTGTGGCCTATTGACCCATGCTGACTTGAGAATGCTCAGTGCCATCTATTGCATCCGAATACCTGCGGCGTCGTACAACGCATGATCAGACTGCTCGACAATGGACAGAGCTCTACGCAAAGCCCGCACCGCCACCGCCACCCCCTGCACCTGTAGTGAAACCTACTGCCTCGCCACCGCGACCGGTCTCCACCACCAGCACCGTCCGATCAAGTGGCTCCTCTTCAAGTGTGCCAGTCAGAGCCGGTGTCAAAGGCAAAGCCCGTGCCGCCGATTCCACGAACGCATCATTCCCGACTGGCACAATAGAAATAGATGACTCGGATGACGAGGTGGAGGAAGTCGAGCAGGCGACCCTTCCTGGACGAGGGACGAAGCGACGGAGATCGACGAGGGCCCGAGGCAGCACTATTGATCTGTCTGAGGATGGCGATGCTGTGAGGAGAAAGGGAAAGAGACGAGCGGTTGAGAGGCCTGCTGGTGAAGGCGCGACGGGTGATGTGATCGTCATAGAGGACTGACGTCGTCTCTTGCTTCTTAGTCGGTAATCATCATCGATCGACGCCTCGTTTTCACAGTTTCGCTGACGGCCATGGCGTTTTTTCCCAACAGACGAACTGATTCTCACTTTCGTCATCCGTTTGCACCTTCTCTTCGCTTGCTGTTCTGCATTCTGTACGATTCTACTAGCCTCTTCTGTTTATTCACAACTTCTGCATGCTACTTGCTCATGGACTTCACGTCTTTTGTACCCTGCACTTGTATGCTCATAACCAAGAAGTGGATTTCGTAACTTATATTGTTCGCCCCAGCTGTTAAGACCTTTTGCTTCAAATTTGGTGTCAAGATAACCGTCAGGGGAATATTAGTGCGATGCGGCATGACTTCGGCGTCTTGCGTTCGGATCGAAACCGCGTAAATAAAGCACAAATAAGTAGGGCTTGACGCGTCACCGTCATGTGACCATCGCAGTGTATTCCCTCTCAGTCTGCAGCGCGTATCCACATCATGATGCATACAGACATGAACCCAGGAAGGTCGTACATGTATATACTCGAATATTAGACCTGCTGTCTTGAGCTGTTCTGCGCATCGCGAGCGGATAAGAGGCTTCGCATAATCTGTGACAGAACGATGACAGGCATGTCATTTATTGTGACATCTTGGTCCAACCAGGTGCGAACGCGCGACCCGCCATTTCAGGCTAAGTGGAACACTCGGTTCCTCCACCCCTTCCCCCGATTTCATCCAGGATATCCTTCTTGTATCTGTCTTGCTAACTTCACGAACGTCCGCACACTGTGCTACGAACATACCCTCCCGAACCGCGCCTGATTATCCCCAAGATCACCCTTTTATCGCATCTGCAGCATGTCTGTGTCTGCGCCGCGTTTATCTCAGAATGCGGAGGCGGCGCGCGCTGCTGCTGCACAGGCAGAATTTAACGAGAAGAAATGGGTGTGGGTTCCTGACGAGAAGGACGGCTATCTCGCGGGTTGGGTGGTGAGCGAGGAAGATGAAGTGGGGGAGGTCATGATGCATTCTGGTGATGTGCGCGCGCCCATACCATTCGTCAAGCTTTTCGCGATACTGAACTTTCGCAAACACTTCAGGTCCGAAGGCTACCGTTATACGCCCTATCAAAGATGAATCCCCCCAAGTTCGACCGCGTCGATGATATTGCGGATCTTACGTTCTTGAACGAAGCCAGTGTTGTGCATAATCTCAGATTAAGGTACGGCTCGGGAGCCATTTATGTAGGTCTCGTCTTGCTTTACGAGTACGAAAATCCACTTACGTTCCTCACAGACATATTCCGGTCTATTCTTAGTGGCCATCAATCCTTACCAGTCCCTCCCCCTCTATTCAGATTCTATCATACAACAATACCGGTCCAAACGACGCGACGAGAACCCTCCACATATCTTCGCCATCGCCGAGCGTGCATGGGTCAACATGGGGGATGAACGGGAGAATCAGAGTATCCTCATTACTGGAGAATCTGGTGCAGGTAAGACAGAAAGCACGAAGAAAGTGATCCAATATCTTGCAGCTATAGCTACCGATACCCATCATCCACCGTCATCTCATGCACATACCCAATCCTTGTCCTCATCCTCGTCATTTGGAGCCGTCATGCCGGCAGCCGGTCTCCCTCGTAAACAATCCGCCCGTCACAAGCCGCATCAATCGATGTCCATTTCGAGTCCGGGCTCTCATCTCACATCGAAGGGCCGACTTGGCCTCCTTGAGCGTCAAATCCTTCAAGCCAATCCTATTCTGGAAGCTTTTGGTAACGCGCAGACGCAGCGAAACAACAATTCGAGTCGGTTTGGAAAATTCGTCAGGATCAGCTTCTCGCCGGATGGTAGCATCGCAGGCGCCAATATTGACTGGTATCTTCTGGAGAAGAGCAGAGTTGTCTTCAGGAGCGAGGCTGAGAGGAGTTTTCATGTTTTTTATCAGCTATTGGAAGGAGGGGGCGCGCTCAAAGGTATGGCAAAACAGTATTCCGTCGACTGTTTGATTTGACTTGTTTCAAAAGAGTCTCTTCTACTTGACGGTGGAGTAGAGGACTACGAATACCTGAACAAGAGCAGGAGGGAGGTCGACGGTATCGACGACCATGAGGAATGGCATGTATTGAAGGTAGGCGTCTTTCATAAAATTAAAACAAAATTGGTTCGACCTATATGTAGAATGCTTTTGAAGTCATGGGATTCTCCTCTGCCGAACAATCCGACCTTTTCCGCATCGTTGCCGCCATTCTGCACCTCGGCAACATCACCATCACGTCCACCCGCGCAGATGATGCCCTTATGCCTGATCCCTCACAAGCCGAACGCGTCTGTCACCTTCTTGGCATACCTATCGCTGAGTTCACTCGAGCTGTCCTACGGCCCCGAGTTCTCGCCGGGCGAGAGTGGGTGACCCAGGCAAGAACCCGTCAACAGGCCATTGAGGAGATAGCATCATTGTCGAAGACGCTCTACGAGAAGTCTTTCGGCTCGTTGGTCGATCGGATCAATCGTGCCCTCGACAGGCCATCCTCCAAGTCCAATTTCATTGGTGTCCTGGATATTGCTGGCTTCGAAATCTTCGAGGTCAACGCGTATGAGCAGCTTCTCATCAACTACACCAATGAGAAGCTGCAACAATTCTTCAACCACCACATGTTCGTTCTCGAGCAGGAAGAGTACACGAGGGAAGGCATTGAGTGGGATTATGTCAACTTTGGGCTGGATCTGCAGCCTACTATCGAGCTCATCGAAGGAAGCGGAGGTGCCATTGGGGTGCTCAGTCTCCTCGACGAAGAGTGCATCATGCCTCGAGCGACAGACCTGACTTTCACAAATAAGCTGCATAACCTATGGAGTGGCGAGCCGCCAGCTGGCGAGGAGCCTCACCCAGGGCGGGAGAAATACGAGCCCTCGCGGTTCGACCAAGGGTTCATCGTTCATCATTATGCGGGCAAGGTCGAGTACAGGACCGATAGCTGGCTGGACAAGAACAAAGATCCGTTGAACGACAACTTAACTCGGGTTTTGGCCTCGTCGTCGGAGCGATATGTTGCCTCCCTGTTCGCTGAATTCGCCGACGTCCCAGCGTTTCCCCCCATTGGAAGCGTGACGGCCACAATGGGCAAAAAGCGAACAATGAAGAAGGGTGCCTTCCGTACCGTCGGCCAGCGACACAAGGAACAGCTCTCCAGCTTGATGGCTCAGCTCTATGCGACTCAGCCTCACTTCATACGTTGTATTGTCCCAAATGCCAACAAGAAACCCGGACGCTTTGATGTCCCCATCGTGCTCGATCAACTGCGGTGTAACGGTGTCCTCGAAGGTATCCGTATCGCTCGTCGCGGTTATCCAAACCGATTGCCATTCGTCGAATTCCGACAACGCTATGAAGTCCTGACACCTGGCATAATACCCCGTGGCTATATGGACGGAAGGAAGGCCTGCTCACGCATGGTCGCCGCCTTAGAACTCGACGAGTCGATTTTCAAGATTGGCACGTCCAAGGTCTTTTTCAGAGCCGGTGTCCTCGCCGAACTCGAAGAGCGTCGTGACGCGCTGTTATTTGACATTTTCTCTAGGCTGCAGGCCGTAGCGCGTATGTATACAGCCCGCAGGCAGATGAAGAAGATATTCAATCGCGCCGTTGCAATTCGTACTATCCAGCGTAATGCCCGGATTTATACGGAACTGCGGGAGTGGCCCTGGTGGCAGCTGTATACCAAGGTTCGGTCTTTACAAATCACAATGTGTGGCCATGCTTATGATGTCTTAGATCCGTCCTCTTCTTGCCGCTACTCGCAATGACGATGAGCTTCGGAAAAAGGAAACCGAGCTAGCTCTGGCTAAAGAGCGCGCAGAGCGTGATGCGAAAGAGAAGGAGGCCTTGGAAAGTCTTAAGATGCGTCTTGAGGCTGACAAACGCAAAGTGGAAGACGCTTTAGAAGCTGAGAGGAACCTCGCTGTCGACAAGGATGCCTTGCTAGAACGAAGCAAGAAGCGAGAGTTGGAACTAGAGGAGGAGGTTGTAGCCCTCCAGTCGGACCTTGATACCCTTGATTCGCAACTTGATCGTGCGCTCAAGATTCAGAAGGAGAGCGAGGAGAAACACGAGACACTGCGCGTGGCCTTCGATCAGGCTGCCGAGCATTTAGTGCGCCTTGAGCACGAGCAGCAGGAGTGGGAAGCTCGGGAGGCGGAGCTTACGGAGCAGCTTGGCGATTTCGATGTTGAGCTCGAGGCGCTGAGAGGCGAGAAAGAGGGGCTTCAGAAGGAAAGCGAGGAGCTGAAACAACTTGTAGCTGAGCGCGAGGAGGACCTTGACCGCGTCAAAGAGCGTATGGAAACCACCATAACCGATCTCGAAGGAAAGTTGACTGTTGAAATGAGAAATCGGTACGATTTCCTTTCCTCGATTGATGCTGGGTGCTGATAGTCTATGCTTAGGGATTCCTTGAGGAGTCGAGTAGATACTCTGGAACAAGAAGCTAGACAGTCGAAGGAACAGCTCGTAGAGATGGCACGTACCGCTACCGATTATTCCACCATCATCCAACGCAAGGAAGAGGACATCGCCCGTCATACCATTGAACTCGAGTCTATCAGGACTGACCGCGACCGCATTTCCAAGGAGATCATCTCTCTCCAGGTTCAGATCGAGACGCAAACTGCGGAGTTACAGGCCCAGAAGGATGAGAAAGACAGGGACTCAGCCGCTCAGACTAAACTTCAGGAAGAGTTGGATGAACTGCGCACCCTCATGGAGGCTAAGACGAGTGAAGAGACCCGCCGTAGCGAGGTCGAGAAGCGGAAGGAAGAAGAACTGGTTGATCTGCGCGGACAAGTGGCAACTTTGCAGCAGGAACTCAGCGAGGCTCGACGAGTGGCCCTGGACATCCAAAACAGGATGAAGGTGGACCTCGAAACGTCCACACGCGAACACAATTCTCTATTGCAAAGCCATCGCTCTCTTTCGGACCGGATGCAGGCTACTGATTCCAAGTTTAAGAAAGCGGAAGCTGCTCTGTCTGAAGCAGAGAAAGCGAAGCGATCTGCAGAGTCTGAACTCCAGTCACTCAGATCTCGACAGATTGATGCTGATGGAACTTTGGCAGAGGCTGAGAAGGAAAAGGAGGTAAGCACATCTCTTGCGTTTAACCAGACCAATTTTATTCACACGCTTTGACAGAACTTGAAGCGCCAGTTGACCGCGGCTCAGGCCAAGTATCGGGACTTTGAAGACACTACACTTGAGTTGGAGCGGGAGAAAAACGCCCAGGATCGTCAACTGGAAACTCTCAAAAAACAACTCGAAGCCGAGACAACCAAGCGTTCTCAGCTCGAGAAGCTTGCTTCTGGTCAGAAAGCAGAAATCATTCAGCTCAAGGACCGCAATGTCAAGTTCGACCGCGAACTCAACAAGGTTTTAACGGACTTGAAAAACCGCGAGTGGGAAGTCAAGCAGCTGGAATCTAAGCAGGATAAGACCATCGTGGAGCACGTTCACGTACTCGAAGAGGCCAAGCGGGTCACAGATCGTCAACTCCAGGATGCTCAGAAGGAGCTGCAGAAAAATGCGGTCTACATTCGCTCACTCGAAAAGGTTAAGGCCAGGCTTACAGGCGAGGCCGAGGATTTCATCCGCGAAACGGAGCGTGAGCACGTCGAGCTTCGTGCGAAGGAAAAAATTGCTCGAACTGCAGAAGAAAAAGCCAACCGAGCTTTGATGGAGGCTGAGAACGAACGGAAAGGCAGGGAGGCTGCCGAGACGCACATTCGGAAATTGCAGTCCGAGGTTCAAAACGCCCACGACCAGATTGCCGATGTCACCCAGCAATTCATGTCCATACAGCGGTCCAAGGACAACCTCGAGACGGAGCTCGCGCGACTCGCAGACGAAACAGAAGCTCCTAACTCGATGGCAAAGATGCAACGCCAGTATGAGTCCCGCATTTCCCAACTGCAAAACCAGCTGGAAGAAGCTGAGACGACAAGAGTAACTGCAACTAAGATCCGAGAGCAGGTCGAGCGTCAGCATGCAGAGATCCGCCGATTGATCATGAGCAATGGATCCGACCATGAGCCGTTCCGTGCACGGCTCCTCCAGGAGCTCCAGCTGGCTGAGAACGCGATGGAAAAGGAATTATCCTCTCGTTCTCAGCGGCACTCCAACAACAACTCCGATATTCAGACCTTGGCTGACAGTCCACAGCGCAAACGCATTCCATCGGGTTCGAATGGCATCATGAGGACCCGCAAGGATTCTTCTCACTCAGAGTCCCCTAGGAAAAATGATGGGCAGGTCAACGCTCTGAAGCAGCAGGTACAGGTTCTCGAGCTCAAGATGGCTGCTTCAGATCGCGTCCGTCAACATCTGGAGGTGTCCTTGAGGGAACTTACCGCCGAGCTGGATAGTAGTGATGGGTCCGTACAATCTTTGCAACAATATCGAGGTCGGCTCGCGAAAGAAAATGGACGCCTAGCTGAACTACTCGAAGACGAGGCGGAGGCACGTCGACATGCAGAAGCTGCGCAGCTAACAGGTATTCAGGAAGTATGGAATAAGTTCCAGAACACCATTGCAGCCGAACGCGAGAGCTATGCGCGGCTAGAGGAGTCGCGCAAAGCACTGGTACGTGCTGTAGCAGCTTCAAGCGCCAAAATACCTTAAAACTTCGACGTAGGTTATTCAACAACGCGGTGCCCAGGTTGAGCTCGAAGACCACCGTCACCAAGTCCAAGAGCTTTCTCAGGCAAAGAAACAACTGCAAGCTGATCTTGCGGACATCAAAGACCGATTGGAAGGCGAACTCGTGGCAAAGAATGAGGAGATTAGTGCGTAACTTCCGTGCGTTTCAAGATAGACTCAAACGCCCTTTGCAGATTCCAAGCGTCAGTTGCAAGCACGTTTGCAGGAACTCGAGATCACTTCAGCAGGCTCTTCGACGGCGCAGTCGGGTAAATCCAATCTAACAATCTAACTTATACTTGATGATGATTGTTCATTGAAATCGGTAGAACTTCGCGAGGCCGTCGAAGCGTACAAGTCTAAATCAGAATCATATCGCAGTCGACTCGAAGTAGCTGAGATCGAGAGAGTCAAAGTTGCCCGTGCCGAGGCCCTATGTTGGTCGTCTCATTGCTTCTATTACTCCCTATCATAACAGGCTTTTCTCAGCACGACGGTCTCTAGCTGATGTTGAAAAGGCTCACGCCCAATTGACTGCTGAACGGAACACCATTGAGCAAGCTCTATCTCAAGCACAGGAAAAGATCCACGAACTCGAGACCAGAATTGAAGAGGAGTCCCGTGACTCGTCCGATGGGCAGCTTCTTCGTCAACGGCTCAACGAGGAAATGGACGACGAGCGCAAGCAACACCAGAAAGATCTAGCCGAGCGAGACTTCACTGCTGACCAAACCCGGAAGAAGTACCAAGGTGGGTCTGCGATGCGTACCATTTGACCAATCTGATTATGTTCCTTGTCATGTAGCGGAACTTGCACAACTTAGCGAAGGTAGGCAACAATATTTTGCGATAAAGAATGATGATAATGGTTTTGATATCCATCAGAACTTCAAAGTCAACGCGACAGCATGAGCAAGCTTCGCGAAGAAGTCAGAAAGGCGCGATCTGACTACGATGAACTTCAATTACGCTATGACGACGAGGTCTACAGTGGTGGAGCCTGGAAGAAGGAACGCGAGCGTCTAGAGACCAAGATCAACGACATCAGCAAGGCCTATGAATCTTCCGCAGCAGCCCAAAGCGAGCAGCAGTCCCAGATCGTTGCGCTTCACTCACAAGTTCGCGAATTGCGAAGTGTATTGAACGACGCGGAAGCGGATCGCGCTTTGCTACAGAAGGCACGCAGGTCTCTGCAGGCCGAGCTCGAAACCATCAAGTTGGACACTGTCGATACCAACAGAATGACGTCCGATCGGGAGTTACAGGCACTGCAGCTCAAGAAGCAGGACCTAGAACGTTCACTCGAGGAGCAGGCTGATAGGGTGGAGATGGCATATGACAGAATGAAGAAAGCTGAGGGTCATGCTCAAGAATGTCAGGTAGAGTTAGGTAAGGTGCGTGTTGAGAACTCGGAATTGGATCGGCTCAACGTCAGTGTCATCGCTCTCTCGAATGATTCACAAAATTGAAAAGAAAACAGGCTACGCTCGAGAAGCAGATCAAAGAGCTCAACGTCCGGATCGTGGACTTAGAGACCAAGTCGTATTCAAGAACGCCACAGTCAAACACCCCGTCATCAAATGCTGTTATTCGTCGGCTCGAAAGTCGAGTCGAAGAGTTGACCACTCAACTCACTCAAGTTTCGAAAGACAAAAGTCGGGCATCGCTATCAAGAGATCGGGACGCTATATTCAAATTGGCTGAGAGCGATCGATTGAAGTCACGTTTAGAGGAAGAGATCAAGTCTTACGAGGAGAAAGTGACGACTATGCGAAAGGCTATGGACGAGATGGTGAGCCATCAATGGACTCCGTCGCGATAACTCATATTCATATGTTATCTTCAGCAAACGACTGAAGGGGAGCTTCAACTTGCCAAACGACGCGCTGAGCGCGAAGCTGCAGATCTCAAGCAGAAGTCTCTAACGTATGCTCTCTATTGTTAAGCACCGATTAGATCCTAATGTTATGTCAATAAACAGCTTGGAGCGTCAAGTGGAGAGACTACGTGCAAGACTCGATCGGCCCTCTTCATCCATGCGCGGCTCGCCCGTCGGTTCTCCAAGAAAGTTCGAATCATAGCCAAATTCCAACGGACAGACCATGACCATTATTATGATACTATGATCTCATGAATCATCTGGCTATATGTGCTACTAGTTTGCGTTGTCTCTGCTCTCTGTATCATACAAATACCCTAACGTGCATGTATAGGCCATTGTTATAGTTTTATTTTTCTTATTTTTGACAGATACTATTTTGTGCGAGCTGATTTTCCGCTGTGGTCGTCATGATGAGCCTGGGACTTCTTACTCAATCAGTCAGTCGATGCCTCTCTGCAGAGCGAACTCTCAATCCCACGTCTATCACCATGAAGAATTCAAGCCAAGTCCGAGCTTTTGGCGTTTACGGAACATTGTCGGACACAAGCGACATTTCAACGACGCTGTGCCGAGAGCTACAGGTATCCTCTCTGCAAGCAGACCAGATCGGTGCTTTATGGAGGACGTACCAGCTTCAGTGGGTCCTTTTCAAGTCACCAAGTAGTACAAGCATCCGAACCACGACTGAAAGATACACTTGGCGTCTCAATTCCATGGGTAAGTCATACTGAGTGCATATATGGATACATTCCGCTGGTTTCCGACAGCGTACTCACTTGGTCCAGGCTTATACGGGCCTTTCAATGAAGTCACACGGAAGAGCCTCCTTGCACGCAGCGTTGGATCACAAGATAAACCTCTCTGATGCACTGATCACTTCCATCTGTGATGCGTACAACACACTCCCCGTGTAAGTTCCTCGTGTATAAACTACTCCTTGATATAACGTCAATGACCGGTGAAGGTTTTTCGATGTGTATAATACATTGCAAAAGCTTGACAAGCAGCCTGGTGTCAAGATAGTCATATTTAGTAACAGTGCTTCCTTTATTTGGTTAATTATAGCCCATTCGCTAATTTTGTGGGATGTAGGGACGAGGCAGGCATGCACCTTTCAATGTGTCGTTGAATTGGACGACTGAGACGTCCTCCTCCTCAGGCGATCTCTACATCCCTCGATATGGCGTTCCTGACTCCCTACACCAACACTTACTTTCGCACTGATAGCGTGAGGAAATACAAGCCCAGTCCGGAGGTCTATTCTAGCCTCTTCCAATCGTGCGTAGAATATGTCGAGGATCCGACAGATATATGGCTCGCGAGCGGGTACAAACTGATCTCGTTGAAGTGTGGACTTGTTCACTAACCAGTTATCTCTCGTGTTGGCTGCTACTGTCGTGCCACCAGGAACCCCTTTGATGTCACTGGCGCGCACAACGCCGGTCTCAATGCGATTTGGGTGGATCGTGTGGGTAAAGGCTGGACCGACAGGCTCTTCAACGAGACCACCCTGGGGCCGACTAATATAGCGAAGAGTCTCGAGGATATCCCAGGATATTTCTGACAGCATATGAAACCTGTGAAAATTTTCATGACAGAGCAAGAGATGATAGGAAGAAAATAAACGTGCCCAATCTCGTTTGGGGCACAGAATTTCACAAACCACTGAATACTGTTCCAATATTTTGAAAAAGAAGTAGCAGCACCTCGTTTCGATCGAGGGACCTCAGGGTGGCCAAATTATGGGCCCTGCGCGCTATACCAGCTGCGCCATGCTGCTTATTTCTGAGTCCAGATTAGTATATTATCAACATATGCGTCGCTCCGCTGATGATGTTGAGGTAACTAGGCATTTTCAAAGGTACAAAGAAGTTAATAAATTAATTCCCGAACATCGCAAAAGAACAAGCAGCACCTCGCTTTGACCGAGGGACCTCAGGGGTTATCAGATCATGAGCCCTGCGTGCTTCCAACTGCGCCATACTGCTTAGATCAACGAATCTATCCCAAATCAAGTCCAGACGTTGATTATACCGCGACATCCATAATCTTATAACAATCAGTTTGATTCAACAATCGAAGATCAATCACTAAAACTACAAAAGTCCGAAGTAGTACACTTCGTAAGGATACAGACATATTCACTCATCCGCTACGAGTATGACCTTCTTTCCCTTGTTTGTTCCCTGCTGCACGTCCAATATACCCTGCCCTGCGTGCTCCAAACCACGGGTGATGTCTTCCTGATACTGTATTTTACCCTCCTTCACCAACTTAGGGACTTCTTGGTAGAACTGCTCGCGGTATTTCCCGAACCAGTTCCCGTTGATGAAGCCGTGCATGGACATGTCCTTCTTGAATATCTCCGCTAGGTTCTGTGTGGTGCGAGATCAGTATCGGCCGCCAATGATGAAAGGGCAGCGAAGATTACGAGCCTTGACACCGTAACCGTCCGGGTTGTTGTATGTGGTGATCATGCCGCATTCCTAAGTAGACGAGGTAAGGGCAAGCATAGAAAGAGCACTGTTGCCTTGCTCACGATGAAACGAGCTCGCTTGTTGGCGTATTTCAGGGCCAGATCCAGCGTCTCTCCGCCTACGTTATCCCAATAACTGACAAAGCAGAAAAGTCAGCTAGCGAAAACAACGACGCGTTCAAGTAGACACGAACATATCGAGACCACCCTCGCGTTGAAGCACTTCTTCAGTACTTTCCTTCTTATAATTGAACACCACGTCGGCCCCGAGCGAGCGCACAAACTCGACTTTCTCGTCAGATCCAGCAGACGCAATCACCTTGAGCCCGTCAAGTTTCGCCAGTTGGACGACAAAACTGCCAACTGGGCCAGCAGCAGTTGTGATGAACGCTGTCTCACCCTGCTTCGAGTATAAGCAGGGAGTGGGTGTCACAATGCCGTGTGTGTGAATTGACCTTTTTGGCTTTGGAGAACTCATTCCACCCCACATATGCTGTCTGACCGGGCATTCCTGCCATGCCGATGTACACAGACCACGGCAAACCCTCTTCGTTGGCGATCACGGCGAAGGACGAGGCGTCGCTACGCACAAAATACTCCTGGAAAGCTTTCAGTAGGATATGTCAGTATACGATAAACCAGCTCATTGGTAGCTGCAGATGTAACTGACGCAAGACGCCATAGATATGATCCCCGACTTTTATTCCAGAGTGTTCTGAACGTAAAACGACACCAATTCCGAAATTGGTAATACTGGAATTATCTCGTTCAATTGAAGGACACGACAACAAAAAAACAAAAGAGCTTACGGTTCGCCTTTGGCAAAGGGAGCCTGTTTACAAAAGAGGCTGCCGTTACGACGAATGGCCCCCAACGGGTTGGCGTAGAGTACGCACCGAGTAGCTGGCCTTGGTCGCCTCTCGCATTTTCCCCCTCAGGTAAGGATCGATTGACAGAACAAGTGTCTTGACGAGGAAACCCCCTTTCAGGGGTTCTGTCTCGAGATCTATACTCATAGAGGTGTCGTGGATAGTGGTTCTTCCTGGCTCAGGATAGCCTATCAAGTACAGGGTCGCGGCAGGATATGACCTTCAGACACTGCGAATAATGGAGCAACAGTCGAGCTTGAACTCACCAATCGGAACCTCATTGAAAAGCGTTCGACTGTTTGTAATCGGAGACATGGCTGCGATTCGAAGGCTTGGAAGGATACCCGAATTCAGGACGACCGTTTGGTCCTTTTGAAGGGCATGGATCAACGTGAATCATGCTCTGTAATCCCTCGGCCAACGTGACCAAGCGCGACGAGCCGTTCGAATCAGCGGCGCGGGGCAGCGAGAGATCAAGTGTACATTTCAGGTGGTTATTCGCGGGTTGCGAGTGACCTGCCCGTCGATGACGTGCTTGAGATCGACTGCAACATATTGCTACTCCTGAGTCATGATCAGGAGATCCTATAAGCTGGGTTCTCTATTGCGACCATCGTCGTATCGAAAAGGTGTCTGTATCCTGCACTGGCCTTTGTGTTTTGTTTGAAAAGTGGGGTAGAGTCGACGCAGGTCACTTGACGCGGAGTCAGCACCATATCGTCAACATCAGCCAATTCCGGCCAGGTCCAATAGCCGAGTCCGTCTCTGGTTTGAGACTGTGCCACGTACCATCGTCAATCACTATCTCGCAAAGGTCAACTATCCATGCTACTGATATTCGCGCAGTAATACAGGTCTACCTTGCGCTCATGTTGGCTGGGATTAATCCTGTTGATCACCTCAAACACTGTAATAACCCAGGGTATATCTGCGGTAGAGTGCACACATTTAGGAGAGAGCTTGATTGAACAAAATGATCGCATCGAAACAACGACTTCAATTCGATGCTGCCCGAAAGAGAATACCACTGAAAAATACATAAGTCGCTGACTTGAATAATTGTTTTACATGTATGCATTGCGTCTTCTGAATATCCTTGGTCCTGGCTCACTCACTCGCCACAAGGATGACTGTTTTTCCAAAGTTTTTCCCTTGTTGTTGATCAAGCAGTGCTTGACCTGCATTCTCTAGACCGCGCGTTATATCTTCCTTGTACTTGATCTTGCCCTCCTGGATGAGCTTCGGCACCTCTTTATAGAATTGATCCCGATACGTTGCGCCTCGGTGTGTTATGAGGAACCCGTTGATGCTGATCTCTTTGGTCACGATTGCGCCGAGGTTCTGCTCGGATTGTGACTTAGTAAGGGTAATATATGAGCTATGCCTTGAAACACTCACTCGAGCATTGTAAGCGTTGGGCCCATTGTATTCTGTGATCATGCCGCATTCCTGGATGCCAGGATAAGTAGGATTTGAGCGTCCGCGCAAGTGCTGAATATTAGGATGCCTTACGATGAAGCGAGCGCGCCTGTTCGCATACGCCAGAGCAAGATCGAGCGTCTCTCCACCAACATGATCCCAATAGCTAACGGCGAATAAATTTCAGCGCTTTCAATAGTTCAGCAGACACAGATTCATACATGTCGATTCCGCCCTCACGCTTGAGAACCTCTTCTGTACTCTCTGTCTTGTAGTTGAAGGCAACATCCGCGCCAAGCGAACGTGCAAACTCAACCTTCTCATCGGAGCCAGCTGAAGCGATCACTTTGAGACCTTCTAATTTGGCGAGCTGGATCACGAAGCTCCCGACAGGACCTGCAGCAGTAGAGATGAATATCGTTTCACCCTGAGGAGAATTGTTACATCGTATGAAAACCCATGTAGAAAAGTAACCAGAACACACCTGTTTGGCGTGCGAAAATTCCTTCCATCCGGTGTAAGCAGTGAGTCCTACGAAAGAGAGTTAGGGATTACAGTCAATCCGCACAACCACTATAACTTACCTGGCATCCCAGCAGCGCCGAGGTAAACCGACCATGGCACACCATCGTCCTTCAAAACTTTGTACGTTGAAGGATCGCTTCTTACGAAATACTCCTGGAATGCTTCAGGACAGGTGAATCAGGACCGTTTTCTTTGTGAACCTCGTAGAGACGTACGAAACAGGCCATAGATGTGATCGCCCGCTTTCAACGCAGCGTTCTCGGACCGAACGATGACGCCAATTCCGTAGTTGGCGATTCTAAAGCGACGAGTTCAGTATGGGACAGGATCTCATCGCAGTAACGAGCTCACGGTTGGCCTAGAGGAAAGGCAGGCTAGCAGAGTACGGTCAATGATACTGGCGCAGAGTGATCTACGTGAATACACACCAAGTAACTCGGAACATCCGCAGGCCTCATTCTACCCCTCAAATAAGGATCGACAGAGATAAACAGCGTCTTGACAATGAATCCTCCATTGAGTTGCTCATTTTGGAGGTCGATCGTTTGCGATACATCGTGCACAGTTGTCTTCCCTGGCTCCGGGTAGCCTGCAACAAATCACTCAATCAATGATCAACGTGAATATAGGGAGTAGCGCACCAGTTGGGATTTCGTTGAAGAGGGTTCGTCCGTTTGTGATAGGGGCCATAGTGAGTGGGGCGTGGAATGGGGGCCACCAAGATCGCCATGACGCGATTATAAGCGATTCCGGCCTTCCCTACTGATATGACCGAACATGGCGGAATGTTCATGTGCAATTGAGCATGGAATCAGTCGCCGGTCACGGGTGAGACAGGGAACTGACAGGGCCCGCGCAAACGCTGCTGGGAGAGTTAAGAAACGTCACAAGTTCTTCTGGGCCAAACTTTGATACATCAGCAAAACCCAGCAGTAGCCCAGCGTGGCTGAGTAGTATTAGCACCTATTAGTACTCACGAGCAGTGGACGGAGATATCAGTGGAGTACTTTGGATTTGAAATCATAGCTTCCAAGAACCGTGAACAAGCTCCCTATTCTGATACACAGAAATCAATTGTTGTTGGCATCAGTAACGATCTGAGCACAATCGGCTTAAGAAACTTGCCTGCAAATTTGCAGATGGAGACCAGTGAAGCTCTTGAGTCATGCCAAACGAAAAATTGCATTGCACATTGTCAAAAGATAACGGGAAATAGACTGAAACAGACAGATGATCCTAGATGATCTCGACTCGCTTGATCGGATTGGGTCCGGAAATTGGACGCATTACTACGCATCATGACCGCCATCTGCACATGTTTTACGAGGATCCTGGGTAAGTATGCTATATAATGGACGATCTGCAGAAATCTACATCACATACCAGTACAGATAACAGATGAGCTGATTGGTTTATGCTGTGACTACGTCGCGCACACCTTGTCCTGCCGTCTCCGAGATAAGACGGACAAAGAAAGGGTTTTCTCCCGATGAGAGAACGCACTCGGGCCTTCAATGAGCCATTCGCAGTCACGTTGTATAGCGTACTTGTACACCCGTTACGTTCCGACCGCCCCTGGCTAGCGCTGCGTGGTATACAAATGTTTGTTCCAAAAACAAAAAAAGAACTGATTGGTTGGCCGATACGCAGTGCGACAGTAGCTGACGTTGACAGCTTACCAACGACGTGTAAACCCTGTTCATGTCTTAACACAGAACGACTGTCTTTTGTGTTGGTCAGCAACGGAGACTAGTTCATGCTTGTTCATGCCTGAGAGTGTCATCTCGGGGAGGGGGAGATGTCCGTAGTGCTTGGCATTCGCAGGAAAAGCTAAGAATACTTGGAGCACTGATTGCTATGAGAGGATATCACGCCACGAAGAAGTCCGAGCCTGTCCCACTCGGCATATTGGAAGCCACAAAGTTTTTGTCAGTAACCCCGGTAAGTATGGATGCTTAGATGCCGATACATGCAATTCCACCGATCAGAACGTTCGGAGCTAGTTCTTCAAATAGACAAAACTTGCAAAGGGGGGGCCGGGAAAAAGGGAAACATGTCTTGATGATCGAACTCGAACTCGGCCGTTAGCTTGTTACATCTTGTTAATTAGAATAGGGAGCATTTTGTGGTATTTCGCTTGCACCTCATCACCGGATTGCAGACATGCTCTGGGCTGTTGTATGATCTGGGCTGCTCTGATACAACAGATCAGTTGACTTGGAAAAAAATGCATGCATCGCACAAAACCGCATAATGCGATACTAAGTCGTGAATTTACCAACTCTCCGAAGATCGTCGCATAAATTAGTTCAATGACTTATACCATCTACAAGAGACCCGCCTGACTTGACAAGCTCAACCACTCTCTAGTTTCTTGGCATGATACTCAAGTCGATGCAGCCGACATGCATCTTCACAATATCAGGTTCTATCTCCACGTCAGCTTTCAACGTGGATGTACAATGTCAATTGGAGCACGCACCGTCAGCACGTGCCGCAACATCTGGGTCATCTGTGTCCATATCTGACTCTAGCAGGTCACCATTGAATACATTACCTGTAGCTAAGCTGGGAGGGAGCGTGCAGCCATGCCAGGTAAAAAATACGCGACGGTCCGTCAGCTGAAGGCAGCTCAGGTAGCCGTCGTATCCAGGCTGCTCAAGCTTCGTGACGTAGGAAGCACACAGGCCCGGAAACGGTGAAGCGACCATGGCGGGCCCATCGTGAACAGCGTGATACAAGCCATCGAGGGTGAATAGATACATCCCGTCCGTCTGGCGTGACATGACATTAAGGTTCTGAACGCAATGAAGAAATGAGGACGCGAGGACATACGGTTGCAACAGCTACTCTTCCATGTTCGAAGGCATGGTACAGAGCATCGCCCTTTGGAAACGTCACAACAGCCGTAGCTTCTTCTGAAGAGGTCTCGCCTTTGATGACGCGCTCAAAGCCCTGAATGAGCATGAGGTGGGTTGCGCACAACACAGCGAGATCCCTCCCATCGGCTGACACGTGCACTACGATTATTCGCAGAATCGGTATTAGTAGAATGTATGATCAGTTATAAGGAAAGGATCGACCTGCAACAAAATCTGTGACAAAACGGTGTGGAACCTCGAATTGAGCTGAAGCAATGACAACAGGCGACACGAGCTTAGACGGAGTCAACTCTGAGAAGTGGAGGGCAACCTGGGTGTAGCGTGTTCCGTGTACGTATTGAATTTCCATGACCAACAACCCACTCTCTCGCGAGAATATGCGGACTCCGTCTTGATGGCAGATGAAGACGTGTCGTGAGCTCAGATCGACATAGTGAATCGTCATATCTTGCTCCGTAATTCCGTCGATGACCTGGACCAGTTCTCTTGTACACACGTTGTACAGGTACGCATGACGAAGGCCCGCGGTGATCAGCGTGGGATAGACAAAGCGGAACGCCCAAGTGGGCTCTGGGAGAGCGATGAGCGACCACGGACGGAAGTGTCCGCGCTCGTTGTGCTCCTGGTGTCGCCCTCTTGCATAGTCGGACGCCCGAAGCTGCATGTGATCTGGCGCAGCGGAGGTCACATCTTCTGGACTGAAATCCTTGGCAAGGCGCCATACTTCTTTGGCTTGCCATGGACGATCGAAGATCAGAAAGCCGTTATCGTATTCGCAATGTGCGCATCGGCGGACGTAGAACTGATGGGTCCAATGAGATCTGCAGCTCGAGAAAGACGGAGCGATCAACATACTGTCGGTAGACTCCAGAGAACTTCATCGGGGAAGAGATTGGTCACAGTGATCCCGCCGCGCCGGTGTGAGGTGATGCAGATACGCTCTTTCTCGTCGATTTTGATACGGTAGATATCGTTCCCAGCTCCGGACAACACCCTAGCAGCAGAAACACCCTTTCCTATCCAGTTCCTTTCAAGTTGGAAGCTTCGTCTACCTAGATGCGCGAGACAGTTGTCAGACCCCTGAAGCATGAAGATCACTTGCGAAATCCGGATGACAGATGGCACCCACAGAAATCTGACCACTCGTCGACGCCACTCCACAGTGTCCCATAGCGATTCTCAATTATATGATGCAGGGAAGGATTGGAAGATGATACAAATTTGTGATACAAGGCGGCATCATGATAAACCGATATTTTGTTGGCTTCGACCAAATCGTTCAAATACCGTGAGGTCAAACGAAGAGACTGAATTGACTGCAACGGTAGATACCAAAGAACAGAAAGCACCAGTTCTGGAGGAAGATCATGCAACATGGTAGGCGACGTCGAACGCGCAGGTCGAGAGACTGGCGAGTACTTCCTTAGGGCTCACCGCACATCGTCCCTAATAATCCTCAGGGGATATCTGTGGTATATTAGCAATATACCCGGAATCAACCGCGAATATACCCACCTCCCCTCCGGGGATATTCACGGTCGATTCAAGGTAATGTCTTGAATATACCGTGAATATACCTGGGTACTGAGTATATTCACAGTATATTGTGGGTTTATTCGAGCTCGATATCATTCCAATCACTTTATATGCGCTCCATAGATAGAGAAATAAATATATTAACAAATCATAAAACTAATACATGCTATTGAAGGCTACACGACAATTCTAAGGCTTGAAAGATCTACAAAATATACTTGAAGAGGCGAGAGGTGTGAATCCCGGCTAGATGTTCCCCCGCATACGCAAGCAGCCACGGCGCGCATCAGGGATGGGACGACCAGCACCTTGACGCAAGAATCTATTGCGGTGGCGGGAGCGGTGCGTCCGCGCGTGGCCTCGAATTCGAGGAGTACATTTTGAGGGGTGCGTCGGGCTGCGGCACCGCACTGTCGAACACGAGCACATCTGGTAGCACGCCACGCGCACAAACGCAGCCGCTGGCGAGTGCATCGGTGCCGGCAACGTAGAGGCGCATCCTGCGGAGAAGCGGGGTGAGCATGCGTGTCAAGGCTGAGAAGATCAGTGCGGGAAGAGACAAGGTCACCAGGAAGGGTTGCAGCTTGATAAGGTTGGCGAGTGCAGGGAGCGAGGGGAATGGAAAGAATGCGGTGTAGTGCTGGGGTCAGTACTGCCGTGCGGGGGGTTAGCACTGTGACACGGAGAGCCCAGATGAACACTGGCCTCACTGATGTTGCTGCTGCTGCTGCTGCCCCGACGACATTGGCACTTGCGCGCGCACCGCAGACTCTGAGGCTAATCCGAGCCACCATGCGCATGAGAAACACAGATGCTAGCACCCACGCCAACACCACCAAGCTCAGCCTGTGCTTACCCTTGATCTCATCCATCCAACGTTCACGCTCACACCCGCAATACCCACCGTTCTGACAATTCTTGCCGCACACACGTCGTAGGCTGTGCTTGCAATCTCCTTCAGTCCCACCCCGGCCCGCCCTAAATGGACGCATATATGCACTCTGATCCCGCATTTTCAGGCATTAGATCTGATTATATGAGAAAACCGGAACTATAGAGCATATGGAAACATGTTTCAGTGGGAGAAAGACTCACCAAAATATGTGCACACTGGAGGCTCCTAGAGAGTAAGACGAAGGGAGCACTTAAGAGAAATCTCGACGCTGTCCGACGACGCGCACTCATCAGGTGACCGTCGAAATGGATGAGTCATCTCCCAGTTGGGATTGACTGGGGGATATTTGAGGGATATTCCCTGACGAGTATATTCCAGGTATATTCCAGGTATATTGCCAATATACCCCGAATATCCCCTGGGGATATTTGGGGGCAATGTGCGGTGGCTGGTCCCGGCCCGAAGATCCCGGCAATTGTACTTGTACAACGCTCAAGCTCAAGAGCCGCTGAATGCAATTATCAAGTTCAGACCTCTTGCTCGTATGTATCTTCCCATCCGTAGTCATCACCCTTCTGGCTTCCCACATCCTCTTCACCCTCTGCATCGTCATCACCCCCAAGATGGCCAGCGAGACCCTTCCCTATATCGCCGCCGCCTTCCTCTTCGATGACTATTCCCTCCTTGTAGTCATCGATAGTGTACAGCCCATGCCCTTCGATCTTCTCGTCCCCGTCGAAGAGATCTTTGAGGGCATTATAGTTGATCCGCTTGCTATACTTGGCATTCTTCTTCAACAAACTTTGTACTGATTCCGCTGCTGTGCTACCCTGCGGCGTAGACGCATCGCGGGGCTTGGTATTGGTTTTCCGACGCTGCGCACGTACGAATGAGTCGGGACCTGCCTAACAAAAAGAGAATAACAAAAGTTTACCTTTCTGCTCTTTGCCGACACCCCAGTCTCCCGCTGCTCGCCTCGCACTATAGCATCGCAACAAATGAGCTGCAATCACCGCGAGATGATAAGATGGCAAGATGAAAGATACGCACACGCGATAGCTTCCAAGTACTCCTTGTTCATCTCGACCCAGACTCTCTCCTTGATCCGCACTTCCTCTTCGCTCAGCAGAAAGGCGTCGAGCTCCTCCTCGTTCAATCCTAGGAGCTCGTCCACGACGCTGAACTGCGCGTGCCGTCGTTCGGCCGCCGCCTCCAGAGCCTCATTGAGTAATGTGCCCTGTTCATTGCGCAAGAACGTTGACACTTCATCCGTAAGTCCCTCATTGACCGTCGCCTCAATTGGCGATGTTTCCGCGTCAATCAAGGGGATATGAGCATCATCGCAGGGAACGCCTCCAACGAGAGTGGGAGAAGGGCCTTGGCTATTTGTCGAAGAATATGAGGGCATAGGTAGGGGGGGTGGCGAGGGCGAAATATGTTCTAGAAGAGCGGGGTCAATATTGGGGTTGTGAGATACAAGCGTTGGTTCCTCTGTCGGGTCGGGCAGGAAAAGAGGGTCATGTTCTGTAATTGTACCGGCAAGAATCCCCGAGTTCAGCAACGAAGGGTCGATACTTGGTCGTTGAGCGTACGAGGAGCCGGCAACTGGCAGATGGGCACCCATCCCCAGTCGGTCTAGAGCCAAATTCCCTTCCACATCCTTACCCTCGCTCACTCTCTTCCTCTTCTGCCCCTTCTTCTTGCTTTTCCTCTTATTGCCTTCCTCTTCCTCCTTCTGCTCTTCCTCCTCCTTTCCTTTCAGAAATGCTGGAGGATCCATCTCCTCCTCCAACCAAACCGTCCGGAAATCTGTCAGCGTCAGTAATCCACTCGGCGTTTTCTTGAATTCGTCCAAGCGCTTCTTCAATGTTGTGTCGGCAATCTTGACCACCTGAACAATTTCCTCTATGGAGCGACGGAAATTATTCATTCGCGCGGCCAAGAACAGTGCGGCACCGCAGATTCCAGCAGGCCTCCGGCCTTTGGTCATCCAATCGCGGTCGAAGCGTTGGACGAGTCTCACGGCATCGGTCGCGACTTTGTGCGTCTCGTCGCCAAACTCCAGGAGCGCCGCGAAGCGCGAGATATAGTGCGATGGGTCCACCAGGGGGATGCGCAGTTCGAGCGCCTGGACAAACTGGAGGTAGGTATGCCCGAGCTCGAAGACGTTGACCTGCAAATGTCAGCATATATCTCATTTGATAGTGTACATGGGAATTGAGCATACCTGGAGGAGGTCAGAAAAGTCAATGAGCATATACTTACGCGTCTCTTGCTTTCGACAGGCGACGTACAAGCACACAGCTACGACATTCAGGCTCTTGCGGCCCTTGGTAAATTTATGCTCTACAGCGAGGGTATAATAGCGCCTTGCGGCCGTAGATACTGACTCCGATAGACGCAGTACAGAAGCGATACTCAATATCTTGCGGTTCGCTGCCCAGTACGCATTCATATTAGCGCGGCTCGCATACTGAGCTAAGATCCAACGCACCGTTCTCGATCGTCTGCTCCCTCGACTCACTGTTCCCTCTGTTCCCAAACGGTCCTCCGATCCTGGCATGTGCTGAGACAGCCATGAGACTTTGAACGTAGAAACCGATACATCACTCACTTGCGCCGTGGCCGACATATGAACCCTGCACCATGGCAGCACCAGTCGACGTCTCTCCGAACGTGACTTCGTTCACAATTGTATTCTCCTCCACGACCGTCCCGCACGCTACACAGAAGCCGTTGCCTGCGGCGGCATCATATTCGATCACTGTCCCACCACAATCGGTGCAAACGGGCTGAACGAAAGTTGTTTATATCTAAGAGTTGCTGATATTAGGCAAGACTCACCATAGCTGGTACAGGGTCAGATTTGATACAGAGAATATAAACCGATAAGTTAAGTCGAGACGCGAGTTAGAGGGAGATGTAATGCAGGAAGTGACTAGTGACTTAAGCTAAGAAGTCAGAAAGGAGAGCAAGTCTTCGGCAGATGCGGCAACGGCCGAGGCATCCGGCTTACCGGCCTGCCAACGAGGTGCAAAGACGCATCCAAAAATTTAGAGATACACTAGTTTTTGTCTTATTCTCTAGATGATACATGTCTCTAGTTTCTCCACAAAACGCAGCCCTCGGAGTTCAATCTTCCGCACCAAGCGTGACGACCAAGTGCTTCCTTGCGACGACCACCTTCGCCCCCGGAACGACGACTATCGTCTGCGTATCGTCAATAATCATCGCCGGCCCCTCCACTCGATCCCCCACCTCCAGCCTCGGCAGCTCAAACACGGGCGTGTCCTGAACCCGGCCGACCTTATCAAAATACGTCGAGCACACCGAAGACGCGCGCGCGCGGTCCACCGCCTGCGTCCGCAGCTCCTTCATCTCCTCGAACACCGACGGGCCGAGAGAGTCGAACGTCTTCCCGATCCCGCGCACCTTCACGTCGTCCACGACGACGCTCTTCGTTTCGAGGAGGAACCCGAACTCGCTCTTGTACACCCGCTTGAACGCGGCCTCGAAGTCCTCCGCCACGCCCTCTCCGCCGGCCTCGCCGAGGCTCGCGTCGGGGAGGACCATGAGGGCCGTGTCGGTGCCGTCAAACCGCATGTTGAGCATACGCTCGATTTTGATGCGGTCCGGTTCAAAGCCTTGTTTGGACAGCTCGGCGCGGACGGAGGACGTCAGGGAGTCGAGGCGGGAGATGAGGGTCGGCACGTTGTTGGGGGTATAAAATGTCGAAGACGGCTCTTGCAGTTCGTACGCGCTAGGGGGCAAATCTGATTTAACACAGACGGATTTGGTTCCACATCATGAGTGTCACGCACCGGTCCGCGAGCGCCAGTCCGTAGGCTGAAAGAATAGAACTATACCGGTGGATGAGGATCGTCTTGATACCCAACAGCTGTGCAATCTCGCACGCGTGCTGACCTCCAGCACCACCAAAGCTCGCCAATCTAAGGACGGAAAGGGTCAGGAGTAAACCCTTAGGGGAGATCTGTGGAATAGGCACATGTGCCTGGAGGTTGCGTATCCTCTGGCCTCCGTGAGCGCGCGAATAGGTCGGGCCATAGTCTCGTTCGCGACCTTGATAAATCTGTGCGGATCAGACTCAGCGAGATGAGTGCAAACGGACGCAAGAATCGTGCATACCCGTATACGATTTCGTCCAGGTCTAATTGTCTCTCGCTTCCCAGCCCCTTGTTGATCTCGCCCGCGATCTCCTCGAACGCGACGCGGGACGCTTCGACGTCCAATGGCTCCCTCTCCAACTTCCCGAATATCTTCGGGAAGTAGTCCGGCAGCAGCCTCCCAAGCATCAAGTTCGCGTCCGTCACAGCGAGCGGGCCGCCCTTCCTGCAAGCGCACATTTCAGCTTTCCGATATCGTTCCTACAGAGATGCTTTACACTCACCGGTAGCACGCTGGGCCTGGCTCAGCGCCTGCACTCTCTGGTCCTGCCACGAATAGACCATTGCGGAAGAAGAGACGGGATCCGCCACCTGCAGCGACGGTATTGATATCAAGCTGAGGAGACTGGATCGTCACACCGGCTGTCGTGGTCTCGTACACCACCTCGTAACGGCCATCGAATCGCGACACATCCGTGGATGTCCCACCGACATCGAGTCTACCAGAGAGTTGAATAAGATTTTGATAATACAAAAGAAGGTCAAGGTGACCCACCCGATCACAGGCGTCTTGACCTTCTCGTCCCAGCTGGTCAACGCATATCCAACGACGCCTCCCGCAGGCCCGCTCAGGATGCTCTTCAACCCTGAGAACCTATCTGCATCCACCAGTCCACCATCACTTCCCATAAACTCCACTCTCGGGCTCCGCAACCTGCCGTCCCTCAGCTTCTCGTCAAAGCCCTTGAAGAATCCGTCCAAGTACGCGCACAAGATGGGGGTGAGATACGCATCGGCCGTGGATGATACGCCGCGCGGCACCATCTTGATCATGGGGAGTAGTTGTGACGACAGCGATACCTGCGTGAAGCCGATGTCCGATGCGATCTTCCCGAGAAGGATTTCATGATCGGGGAATGTGTAGGAGTGTGCGAGGACGACTGCGAGCGAGCGGTAGCCAGAGTCATACAGCTTCTTGAGATCTTCTCGTACCGAAGACTCCACTTAAGAATACTTGTCGTGAGCTTCGCATAGAATATGATAAGAGTGAGTTAAAGACGTACCAGGTTTCTGCAAGATACGAACAGCCTCCCCTGAGATGCCCTGTACGACCTCGCCCGGGCCCTCTGCCTCCCCCTCTCCATCCCAGCCTTTCCCTCTATATCCCCTAGCAACCTTTCCGCCGCTATCGAAGAGTACTTTGTGCTCTTCTGACTTTGGATCGCTTGTATACCCCACGAGCGTGACGCGCTCATCGACCTCGACCACAGTCGAGTACAGAGGCGGAGGGCGGCGAATGTTAAGGTCGAAGATCTTGGGACGAGACTGGTTGCCGATCAAGAGGAGATCTTTGAAGCCCTTCGTGATGAGCAAGGCGTGCTTCTCGCCTTTGCGCTCGAGGAGGGCATTGGTAGCAACGGTGGTGGAAAGACGGATATAATCTTGAGCGAATCGGTCAGTACGCGAGGACAGGTGAAATGACCATTCAATGGACGTGCCTATCTTCGAAGTGTCGAGTTTGGTGCCTCGCGGGATCTTTTCGCCAGTGACGATCTCGAGAACACGGCGGATGCCTTCGGTGGGGGCATCAGCGTAATTCGCAGGATCCTGTGAGACTGATCAAGGGTAAACGATCGATGCGTACAACGCGCGAAGAGATCACCCACGTAGTTTGACCACGAGCTCCTTGCGCTCCTTTGGATTTTCAGGATCAGGGTATGAGGCATGCACATCGCAGAAGGTACCCCCACGATCTGCGCAAATACGGATGGAACGGTCGGGGACGGCGAGAGGGGACATGGCTACGAGTTCGAAGATGTGGGGGTCCCCGTTGCACAAAAGTCGGTATTTATGAACGCAGCGCTTGAAACGACGTCCGCCGCGGGGACTGTGCGCCCTGAGCTGACTCGAGCACCGTGGAGGCAGAATGGTTTTCGAGATAAGATAAGATCACTGCAACCGGCGGCTCGCCGAGGCTTGCCGCCGGCACAGGCTACACTAGGCTACACCGACCAATCTCGAATTTCTCGTCAAACGAGAACATTGGAAGACGCTTGCTCGCACTGGAACAATTCCAGCACACAGTGGAAAGACAAAAATTTGAGCCTTCGACGCAAGGAAGGGATAGAAATGGCCCAACGTTTAAATTGCCAGCGGGTCCGTGTTTACGTCTGTTTGTCGAGCATACCTTGTCTCACCGTCGCCCAGACAGCCCTGAAATCTGCCCCCACAATGTCGCCATCGTCTACGCCCACAATCGCTCATGACGCCCAATCGTCCAGCCATTTGTCTTATCCAACATACGTCCTCGAAGCATTGACTTCTGCCTCGACATCAACCATCTCCCAGCCCCAGTCGCGAGAAATCCTCAAAAACAGGCTCTACGTCGGCAACCTGCATCACACGGTCGACGAGTAAGCACCGAATGTCGCTCTCAACAGCTGAAAAACCATCTCAACATGAATCCCCGCTGCAAGGCATGCGCTGATCCAGATCTTCTCGAAATACGGCAAGCTCTCCAACCTCGACTACCTCTTCCACAAGAGCGGCCCGCTCAAGGGCAAACCCCGCGGCTACGCCTTCGTAGAATACGCTGAACCACTCGTGAGTCTCGTCTCGCAAACCCTCGCTAGTCCTGCCCGTGCTCACCCCGGGTTTTCTATGTCATACGTAACACGTCCAAACGACCACACCCCTTCCCCAACCATACCTTCCTGCTATCCGGAAGGTTCGGGGGCGAGCATGACTGCGGGTTGACTGCACGCGGTGATGCCCATGCGCTGACATGTTTGACTTATCCTGCAGGATGCAGACAAGGCCCTCGCCTCGGCGCATAACAAGCTCCTCCGCGGACGCAAGCTTGTCGTGACGTACGCCAACCAAGCACCAGTATACCCGTCCGGGCCATCCTCTGCCTCGGGCTACAGACGAAATTTGAACGAGGCTGGACGACCGACGGCGCTCAGTCTCTTGAAGAGCGCAGGTGGGCGAGAAGGGTACGTCCCGACAGTCACCTTATTTCAGTGCTGGATCTTCAACACTGATTCTTTCAGCGGTGCAACGAGAACCAAGGATAAAATCGCTATTATGGAAGCCAAGCTCCGCCAGCTCGAACAGCCCACACGCCCTCCTCCCCCTCCACGCTCGCACGCTCTCCCGCCTAGACCTCCTGCGCACCAGCCTCACACAAATTCGCATCCGTCTTCGACCGGGCGCAATCGACCTTCGTCTTCGTCTACACCTTTGTCCAGATCCATCCCTCCGCGCCCGTCGTCTTCAGCCCTTAAGCCCCCCGTCTCGACCAATCCTTCGCCAATTCAAACGGGCGATCTCGACCTGGCGTTTGGGCGGAGCGCTGTAAAGGCAACAGGTACAGCTTTGAAGGGCGTGAAGATTGTGCGAAAGAAGCTAAAGGACAAGGAGGCGGGAGACGCGGCTGATGCTCACGCTGATGAACATGCAGTACAAACAGAGAAGGGAACAAGAAGATCAGAGAGTAGCTTTCATTGATAATGGGATGGTGGCATATTACCAAACTCTGAGTGCATGTTGCGATCAATGTGTCTTTCCCTATCTATATATCTAGGTCGTATGTGCCATGACATTGGATTCTGCATGGAAAAAAAATACTCCCTGGCGGGGAGTCGAACCCCGCTCTCGCGCGTGACAGGCGCGTGTACTAATCCGATATACTACCAGGGACATGATCAATATTCAATTTGTGGTATACATAGATAGATATACATATTGAGTGACGGCGTGCAGGAACTGAGAATGGGTTTAGTGCTTGCGAGATAGGTCAACGCATCATGACGTATGATGGTCAGTGTAGACCCCATGCGGATTTGATGAGGTCCGCTCCTCGTTCCGCAAAAGCATATACAGCCGCCTGGCAAATCAGAGGAGTGAGTTTGGAAGTTTAGTCGATGACAGGACACTGCTTGCCTGAGTATTGGCCGCGGGGATGTACGGCTAGAGAGGTTGACGGATGAAGAGTGAGACTCATCGAACAGACGACACATTCCAGCGAAAAAACTCACGATCACGGACGCGTCGATGACACGTAGACCTTTGACATTCTTGACCCTCAAATCGGGGTTCACGACTGCACGACGCAAGCCAATGAGTATGGGAAGAACCATCAACGCTGCTAGCTACGCACCTCCTGATTTTGCACCTACAGCGGACATGCTAGCGGTCCCGACAGGGTGGTAGATGGTGGCCGTCTGATTCCGCACGTAGTGCTCAATCTCCTCGTCCGTATGCGCCAGTCCGCCGGGGCCAAACTGTGAGAGAACGTAGTCGTCCCAGACTAAAGCGTTCAGGAGCCGTCTCACGGCCTTGACAGCATTCACAGAGATGAGCGCATCAAGAGGTTGTGTCAGGAAGGCCGGGTCGATGAGTGGAAAGTCAAAAGGATCGCTTGAATTGAGGCTGATACTCCCTCCTATGAAACAATATCAATACATCGTCATGGAGTGCAATCAAGTGTTAGACGCACGAGACACCGGGCTTGTGACGATGGTCAACAATGTCATGTAATTTCCCGTTGTAGGAATTGGTTCTACCGATGAAGCAAACCCGTTCTATATGCGTCGTCTTCATGAGCTGCACGATATTTATGAGCGAATCTGCTGTGCTCACCGTGAAAAGGATCTGATAGTGTGCCGAGTTCGGACCAGAAGAAGGATCAGGATACTCCTTGAATATTGATGAATTGTCTGGAAACCGAAGCCAGCCGATCATATTGCCAGCCGGCGTGTCAACAAAAGGTCCAGTTCCAGAAGAATTGTATTCTGCAAAAATGTCCGCAAAGAGCGTCGCATTGCGCTCGAAGGTCTCCCATGTCGCCGTCGAATTGACGAGGAATTCGTTGGAGAGTAGCGCGTGGTCGTGCAGGTTCTGACCGACGTCGGGCAAGTCAACGAGCGCCTCTATACCAAATTTGTCCAACACCGCAGGATCGCCCACGCCAGAGAGCATCAGCAGCTGCGGGGTATTGATTGCGCCTGCAGACAGGATGATTTCCTTTTTAGCAGAGACGCGGTACCGCTCACCTGCGGTACAATACTTTCACATCAGCATCCTCTGGCAACTTTGTTCCCTGAAGCAAATATCTCACCAGCGCTGCTCTGTGCGAACTCCACGGATGTGAATGAGACAGGTCCATCAGCGTCTGCAGCGACTATCTTAGTTACTTGTGTCTCGATTAGCACGTCCAGGTTCGGGCGGTTCACATAGCGCGGTGCGAGGTACGCAGTGGCCGAGCTGACCCGTTTACCCCCAGATATAGTGGCCTGCGTCCAACCTATTCAATACGTTGTAGTCTGAGTTGAGGGTATTGACGTTATTGGAGGCACTGCGTACCGATACCGATCATGGCCCCGGAGTTCATCTCTTCATTAAATGGAAACTCAGTCAGCTCTTGCGTAGTTTGCACGATTCTGTCATCTATCGTTTGAGGAAACCCGGGAAGGCTGACATTCAGAAGTCCCGAAAAGCCATGAAACGCAGGATCGAATTGTCCGGTTATGTTGTGGTGATCCGCTGGGGCTACGAAGTGCTCGCTCTGAATTGAACCAAAGTCAGTCGGAATTCCGTAAAGATGACCCGAACCACACCTTTTTGAAGTATTTCAGAAGTGCGTCCCATGACCAGCCTTGATCGCCTGTGATCTCGGCGTAGCGATCCCAGTCATTGTCGGATCCACGAATATATACCATATAATCTAGGCAGAGAAGTTCAGATAGAGCGGTAAACGCAGGATGGCCAGCGACGACAACCATAATTACTTACTGATAGAGCTACTTCCGCCCAAAAGCCGCCCCCTAGGATAAGGCACAGTACGTCCGTATAACCCGGCTTGCGGAACTGTCGTGTAATTCCAGGTCCACGGGGTGGCAGGAACCAGCTCTGTGCAGAAGAATGGCACGATCGAAAGTTCGACGCCTTCGTTCCTGCACGCCGATATCCCGCATCAGGGCATCCCGGCAAAGTCAGGGTATTCGAATGAATACAAAACCGATGTCCAGGATGACGATAACTTACGATGGACCAGCTTCAATGACGAGCACACGAACTGATGCATCCTCTGTCAACCTGTTCGCGACTACATTTCCTGCGGTACCGCCTGATATAGCATGATTGTTCGAACCATAGTAAATAATCAGCGTTACGTTGACACGCAGGCTTGCGTGTGTAGGATACGCACCTCCGATGACGACGAAGTCGTACTTGCGGCTCAGAACGTGTGCAGGGTCGTTGTATATCTCCCCATAAACGACATTTACTGCGAGGAGGATATGAAAAGCATTTGAGAGCCAAGATAGTGACATGTTCGAAGAACAGAGGGGTGAAGTGGTCAAGGAGAATAGTGTAGAGCGCGTTTGCCTGGATGCTATTTATAAGGTCTTGTGAGCAAGACAACACAGCACACATATCCATTCGGACCGAGGCGTGAAACAACACCACAGAAATGGAGGGCGGGTGCACCAACCGGAGCGAAAGCCAAAATGACTAGAAACGTGACCGAGATTTTGACGCATTAGAGCTACCACTCAGATTGTAAAAGGTAGAGATCTGGAATGGGGTATTGAGAGGTCCGAGAGGTTCAGCAGTCCCCAAGTCCTAAACAGGACTTCTTGGTGCGTGATGTTAGACTGACGCATTCATCACTGCTGTTCCTGATCTAGTAGAGCAGTGACTCGAAGATACATTGAACCTGTCTGTGGATAGTCCTCAGTCCTAATCTAGCGAGGGTGCCTGTCAGTGTCTGTCGCCTGTGACACAAGGAGAACAGCAAGCACATGCAGAGCAGCCCTGAATTATCAGGGATAGTTTCGCGAAAATGACATATGGACTCACCTTTACCCATGGCTCCACATTCCCTTGACATTATCAGGGAGGTATAGTACACAACATTGACGACCGACGAGGTTGTGTTTGCTACTTGTATTGTCCGTCAGATCATCGAATACTTTGCCGTATGTCATGGCAACATTCAAGGTAATTCCGGCCCTCGATAAAGACATTTTCGAAGAACAGAAGAGGAGCTCAAGGCGAGGTGCGTACATTGAAAAGCTTCATGTGCGCTGTTGCGGGTGCAGAAGACTGCGGAGTGAGATAAGGTGGTTGACAACCCATTGGGAGGACAGTGTTGAGCTAAGGCGACTGCATGGAAAGGGATGGAGTGAGCGCGCCTGGGTGACCGGCAGGCCGAATGATTGCCGCGAATGCAGTTCCATTGATGCACCGGTGAAAACGTCACCTAGATAAGTACACTTGCACACTTGAGTACCATGCTGATGCGCTGTTGGACACAAACCTCCTCAGTCAACTCAATGGTAGCAGCTCGAAGACGTCATCGAGCAGTGGTCATATCCTTACCAACTGTCACTGCATTGACACCGTGGTTCCTAATCTAACGCAAGAACAGAACCAGTGGCTGAGCGTGTGGAGGTGGTCCGGACACCCGCGAAGGAGAAGCAGTAACACCGATGAGGAACGAGCGCGCGTAAGTGGTACCGTGCAAGTCCATGCGCTGCCCCAAGACAGACGCCACCTTTCCGCTTCCCGGATCATCGATCATCCTTCGCATTGATTATCCCTTGGACACGGAATCGGAAACACGTAGAGAGGTATGGAGCCTTATATCTGCAGCTGGCAAAATGCTCGTTCGACGTTTTCAAAGGTCCGAGCCGAGTTGTTCCTGTGATGCCGTCCGTAAGGTTCAAGTCTTGCTGTCGATCCCAATCAGATCATGTGTGTGAGTGTGAGGAGGCAGTGGTATGCATTGCGGAACAACTGAACGCTGTTGGGTGAGTTGAGAAGAAAAATGGGAGGTTATGAAGTGAGCCGGCGGCTGAGCGCTGAGCGCTGAGCAAACGGAATGCGTCCGATGCGTCGGAGGCGAATCTCGATCTGGAAATCCATGCGACTTCAAGACGGAAATCAAATTTGTAAACGTGACCTTGATATCCTGCTCCATTGTTTCCTCGACTGACACAGACTTGAAATGCGATGCCACCTACGACTATGCATTTTTCTCTGACAGTGCAACAGTGCCGGCCCATCAACCCGTTGTCATCTCCAGAGCGCTGTCTAGACTCTACAACGATCAGCACAGGTCGGGCGCTCTCATCGTTCCGTACGTCTCTTAGTGCCTTTACATCTGGTTCTTACAAAAGGTCTGCATCATGCTCCAAACCATGGCGATGAGATGATCTGTTAAAAAAGACGCGTCTTCGAAGCATGTGATTAGTGTATTATGAAGATGGAATGCATCTCCAGTGCGTCACGTCGTATGATACCCGGAACAATGAGAGACAGAGAGAGAAAAGCACGAATAACAGGCAAAACCGGTTCAGTGCAGACCCCATGCGGCTTTGATGAGGTCTGCCCCTCGTTCCGCGAAAGCATACACAGCCGCCTATCAATTCAAAATAGGAGTCAGCTCGTCGAAGGCGTCGTCGCCGGGCGACTGCCACGTACCTGAGTATGAGCCGCAGGAATGTACGGCTAGAGAAATTGAATGGAAAGTGAGCCCTCGACTAACAAACAACATGCGTTGAAAGAAAAGGACACTCACGATCACGGACGCGTCGATGATACGTAGACCTTTCGTGTTCTTCACCCTCAAATCAGGGTTCACCACTGTAGATAGATCAACAGTCCTGTTCAGCGCACCGCTAAGAATAAAATCGAGAAATCGAGGCACGCACCTCCAGATTTCGAGTCCACGGCCGACATGCTCGCCGTCCCGACGGGATGAAACACGGTCGACGTCTGGTTCCGCGCGAACTCCTCGATCTCCGCGTCAGTCTTCGCCAGCCCGCCCACGCCGAACTGCCCGATCACGTAGTCCTTCCACGCCGGCGCTGCCAGGAACCGCCGCGCGGACTTGATCGCCTCCACCGCGACGAAGGCGTCGACCGGGTGCTTCAGGAAGGCGGGGTCGATGAGCGGGAAGTCGAACGGGTCGCTCGAGTTTAGGGAGACGCTTCCGCCTGTGGGTCGCCGCGGTTCGGCATCGTTCAGCACATCAAGGCGGATCAGGAAGTGTCGCAAGCTGCGGACACTCACGAGACGCCGGCGTTGCCAAGTTCGTCAATATGCTCATGTAGTTCCCCGTGGCCGGGATGGGCACCGTGAATCCCGCAAATCCGTTCTTACACGCCCCGTGAGCCCGAGCGGGTCTTCGCGCGTCTCCAATCCCACACTCACCGAAAAAATGACCTCATAGTGCGCCGAGTTCGGCCCCGCGGTGGGGTCCGAGTAATTCTGGAATATCGAAGAGTTGTCCGGGATGCGAAGCCAGCCGATCAAATTGGCCAGTCCGTCGACGAAGGGCCCGGTCCCAGTAGTATTGTACTGCGACATGATGTCCCCGAACAATGTCGTGTTTCGCTCGAAGGTCTCGAAGGTCCTCGTCGAGTTGACCTCAAACTGGTTCGGGAGCAGCGTGTGGTCCTGCAAGTTCTGCCCAACGTCGGGAAGATCTACGAGCGCCTTGATCCCGAATTTCTTCAGCGTCGCGGGGTCGCCCAAGCCAGAGAGCATCAGAAGCTGCGGCGTGTTGATGGCGCCCGCAGACATGATGACTTCTTTCTTGGCCGAGACGCGGTACCGCTTCCCTATCGATAGCAACGAAAAATCATCGAACGGTTCAGCGCTCTCGGGGAACACCAGCACCACGAAGCCGGCATCCTCACCTGTGCTGCTCTTTGCGAATTCTACAGTCTCGAAGGACACAGAGCCGTGGCTTGTTTTGTCCGCCGCGATGATCCTTGTGACGTGTGACTCGATCAAGACATCGAGATTGTGGCGGCTCACGTAGCGCGGTGCGAGGTACGCGGTGGCCGAGCTACTCCGCTTGTTCCCTGAAATAGTCGTCTGCGTCCAGCCTGCGCGAGAAAAAATCAACTCCAATGAGCACCCAACACATCCGCGGAAGAAAAAAAGAAACACGCGTCGTACCAACTCCAAGCGTCTCCCCAGAGTTGACGTCCTCCCTGAACGGATACTCCGAGGCTAGCTCTTTCGTGGTCTGTACGACCCTATCGTCGATCGTCTGCGGGAACCCAGGCAAACTGACCTTCAAAGGCCCAGAAAAGCCGTGGAACGCAGGGTCGAACTGCCCGGTGATATTGTGATGGTCCGCCGGCTCGACGAAGTGCTCACTCTAGCAGGAGGGTCAGCGCAAGGCCCAGATCAAGACCCGGTCTGTCTGAGAGAGCAAGTCTGAGCGACGCGCGCGCACCTTTTTAAAGTACTTCTGGAGCGCGTTCCACGACCAGCCGTGATCGCCTGTGACATTAGCATACCGATTCCAGTCGTCGTCCGACCCGCGGGTATACACCATGAAATCTGAAACCCGCAAAATTCAGCCGGGATGCCGTAGAGCGCCGAACGTCGACGGCCGCGCGGCAAAGGCACTCACTGACGGAGCTGCTGCCGCCGAGCAAGCGTCCTCTCGGATACGGCACGGTGCGGTTGTTCAGCCCGACCTGCGGCACGGTGGTGTAGTTCCACGTCCACTGACTCGCGGGGTAGAACTGCGTGCAGAAGAACGGGACGATCGAGTCCTCGACACCTTCATTCCTGCAATAAAATAAAATAAAATTGGAGCGCCGATCGCGCGCCACATCAATCGGAGCGTCAGCGTCGTTGTCTGCACTAGGCGCACACGAACAGCCACCGCCAAAAAGAGCGCAGCTCGGTCCGGGATAAGGTGAGGACTTACGACGGCCCGGCTTCGATGACGAGGACGCGGACGGATTTGTCCTCGGTCAGTCGGTTGGCGACTACGTTTCCTGCGGTGCCACCTACAGTAGCACGAGGATCAGACGAAGAAGTCTCAGTACTCGGATTGGAAGAACAAAGGGCAGGCGTAAGCGCGGCGATAGAGGACGCGTACCCCCGATGACGACAAAGTCGTACTCGTTCCGAAGCACGTGCGTGGGGTCATCGAACACCTTGCCCGACGCCCCAGTCGCCGCGAGGAGAACGAGAGCCAGGGTCGCGAGCCGCGCGGGTAGGAGAGACATCTTCGAAGACGCGAACAGTCGGTCGGTCGGTCGGTCGAAGAAGAGGGGACGTGGTCGTGTGCGGTATGTTATGGACCTGCGCCGTGCGCGAAGCTAAATATGGGCCCTCGGGACGCGGCCATCACGGAGAAGCAGGCTCGGGCGTGGGTGGTGACAGAGAGTCAGCGTACAAAGATGACCCCTCCATAAGCCCATTCTGAGCGCAGGGTGTTACAAGGAGGCGACAGCAGGTACACCCACCTAGCGACGGACGTGAGAGCAGGTGCGAGTGGGTCGAGGGCTTCACAGGTGCCTCGCAGGGCTATCGTCGGCCATAGAGCTGCTCAGCGGTGGCAATGCACCCTGCTGACTGCTGACAGAGTCGCGGCACTGATGTGTGTCTCGATTGATTCCAGGGGTGGAAAATTTACCTGCGGCATGACATACAACCATGCACAGCCCCTCTATTTTTTGGTCCCGGCCTCAAACCATGTGAGATTGTACAAGGAGAGCATACACGACAAGAGCAAGCGCAATAAATAGCCTGACTCGCGTCAGCAAAACATAGATACCAAAAATAGACCGATCCACATGCCGAACATACACCGTTCCACCGTCCGCGTCCACCGTCCAACATTAATCGACACTGTCAACCTGCTTCTTCGAGTCGCGTATCGTCTCGTCATCAATCTGCGACGTCTCCTGTTGAAGTCAATTTTTTAGCAACAGCACGGGCCACCAAAGGATCTCCGGAACAGACAGGCGCAACACTCACAGACTGCGGCAGCACGACCATCTGCATGTCGTTCCCATTCTCGTCCGTCATCCGGCGCGTCGTCATGACCTTCACGCTCGGCGCCGTGGCCGTGCCGGACCTGCCCGTCGTGAAGTTAAACGACGTGCCCGAGTCCTCCCACAGCGCGACGCTCCGCCCTTGCGCCGAGCCGCTCGAGACCGACGAGCCGCTCTTGAACACCGCGCGCGCGTTCAGCGTGGCCAGAATCGTGTTCGAGTACCTGTGTGTGAACGCGCGTGTATGCGTGCGCGGTTTTTTTATCGGCGGGAGCAAAACAGGTCGGTCAGAGAGGCACACAGGGCAGGCACATAACGCTATCGCATGATGCCATCAAGCGTGTGTGTACTCACAGTTTCGCGAGCATCAAGAAGCTATCAGTCCAGACCGAAGACGCAAGAGCGCACGAATGTGGGAGCGATCAGCGATCCGGCCGATTTGGGCGAGCGGACGTGCGCACTCACAGGATGAAGTGGATGTTATTGTGATGGAAGACCCAGAAGAAGATCAGCTCGATAGTCGCCCCGAACGCCGTGATCATGCCCGTCTCGACCGTGAGCTTGATCAGCTTGTTAAGCATGTCCTTCGTCTCCATCCAGTGCGAGGATGAGCTGGCGCGAATGAGCTGGCGTAGTTTACAAAAAACGTGAGTTGGGATCACGCGCGTGCAGACATCAGAAGTACTCACGAATCGGACCATGACGACGGCAATCATCACGTCGCAGACGGCGCTGCCAGTAAGCCACACCTAAACGACAATGAGCGATGGTGCAGATAAATCACTCGAAGAACTTGCCGTGACTTCGGGATCGAGCTCGTTGATTTTGCTGAAGTTACCGATCAAGGAGAACTGGAACGATCAGAGGGATTGGCAATCAATCAAAGACACAGAACTGGCGTTCTTGCCTTGATGCCGCAATAGAACGCCATCGCCCATGAGAGGATGGAGATCTGGGAGGAACGTCAGGATACGCGCGAACTCTAGCAAGTGCTACTGGACAAGGTTCACTCACGACGGCGATGAATAAGGGCAGGATACGACTCTTTCCCAGAACAGATATCCTCCAGCAGAAGAAAATCTGGACACACGACGAGACTGCGTTTCGTTGATCATTGAGAATCGGACACAGGTGGAATAGAGATGGGACGCACTGAATCCACAGATCGGAGGAAGCGTCGTGAACGACCAAGTCGGTGCGGCCAAGGAGTCGAGGTCGCCCCATCCCGCAGCGAGGCCTTGCCATGCTGCGATAGTGCTGAACACGGACGACAAGATCTCGGCCGAGAACACGATCCACACTGAGCGAACAGCGATGTCAATGGCGGGGCACTGCACATCAGTCCAGGAGCATACCGAAGATCTTTATCCACCGATCGTCCTTGGGGAAGTTCAGATGATAGAAATCTAAGCGATGCGTGACGAAAATACCATCAACGACGTGTCAGAAAAAAAAGCGCGACAGGCGGCATACACATCTGCACTACCAAGACCCCAAATAGACCATATCCGAACAGATATCCCAGAAGCTGTAAGTCAGACAAGACAAGATTGCCCGCAGTCAGTGTCAACGAAGCTCGAGACGGTGTCTGCGACGGACCAAAGGGCCTTGTCTATTGCCAATGCGCAACGTGGTCAGCAACGCAGACGCAGACGCTCAAACAAAAGGAGCAAACACGTACACGAGGGCGATATCGGCGGGCACACCAGGCAAAGGCGCCATGATCGTTTTCTCTTCACAGTCGTGGCCTGGACACAAGTCGCGGTGAAACGCAAAGAGGGAAAGCGCAGAGACGGCTATATAGTTTGGAGCTGTTCACGCACATCATTTGTGATGCAGACGCGTTCTGCGTGCGGTGGCGACGGGGCATGTCAATGAAGCTTAGCACATGATGCATGATCAGTCGTAATCGCCACTGCAACTGCGCCAGGGACAAGCGCCCACCGGATCTGCAGAGCAGGTGAGCAAGACTTCTTCTCAACTGAGATAAACTGATATAGATCCAATGCTTCGAACTCTATAAACTAGTGTTTGAAGTAGTGATTGCGCGATGGGGATGGTGATAGGATCAGAACCTCCTCTTTCAATGCATAGACGGAAGCAGAAGAGACGAAACGCAACCCTGCTCAGGCCCAGGAAGGCCGGGGCCTGTGAGAGAGATGGAGAAGGACGCGATCCGTTTCCTTCCTGAGGATCGTATTCACCCGGTGCGACATGCGTGTGCACGGTCCCTCAGTTTTGACAGCGAGGATTTTGAACTGAGACTACCTTCGGGACGCAAATAGAGACGTGCTCACCGAACGATGTGAACACGCGCCCATATCAGGTGGAGAAGACGAAGAGAATCCCAACGGAGGACCCCCGCCACCGCTGGCGCAGCGGAACTATGAACGCTGCTTAGTCACCAGCTCGCCAAGTCCTCGGGAGTGTATCTCGACGCCGCAAACGGCCGCGGCAGCTCCCACCGGCGACTTGTCTGAATCCAGTGATGATCGTATGATCGTGCGGAACGCCTGCAACGTTCTGGTGGAAGACGGTGCGCGTTGGAAGCTGGCGAGCGGCCATCACATGGAAGCCCAGGAATGGAACGCGGCAGCGTCCACCTCGATGCCGCGTGCGCCGTGGGCTCTCGTCGCCCGTTGTGGAACTCGGGTCCCCCGTCGAGCTCGCTGTTTAGCTCGCACTGCATACCGCTCTCTCGATCCACTGCGCTGAACTCTTTCCACCTACTTTGCCCCGTTCCTTCGCCTCTCCCACACTACACTATCAGTAGCCTCCAGCTGGTCAGACTTGCAGCCAGCTTTACTCAGCAATGTCTCAGACAGTCGACGAGGTGAGACACGACCGTGCTGCGCATCTCCCTTGCTGTGCCGACCTGCCTGTACAGAACGCAGCCATTCCTGAGCGTGAAAAGAAGTCCGAGGACGTCGACACCAACCCCACAGGTGTCTCTACTACGCCCGTACCGAAAGAGCAGCCTATACCAGCGCCGTCGCAGTCGGCCCCTCCGGAGGGCGGCACACAAGCGTGGTTGACGGTCGCCGGCGCGTGCGTGCTTATTTTATTTCTTTCGAATGCATGACGGTGCTCACGATACTCGTCGCACAGTTGGTTGGTGCAGTTTTGCACGTTTGGGTGCGTTGTGCGAATGGGACCTGTCGTCTCGCGCCGGCTCTGCTCATACGCTCTCAATTTTGATAGGTACTCGAATGCATTCGGAGTGTATCAAGGCATGGTTCACAAATGACATCATACACTTATGAATCTTCCTCTGAGACTTGGGCTTCTGCGCTCAGATTTCTACGTTCGCGAGTACTTGACAAACCACACATCGTCAGAAATCAGGTTCGTCTCGCGTCATTTATCTTAGTGAACCGCAATACCGACGTCGGTTTGCGCAGCTGGATCGGTAGCATGCAAGTCATGCTTGTCCTCTCTCTCGGGCTGTTCACAGGCCAGCTGTACGACAGAGGATACTTGTACGCGTCTATCTCCCCTGTTTTGTTTTCTAGAGCCACGTCTGAGCGGCTCCACGAATCCCCAGCCACCACCTCATGATCGGGGGCTCGGTCCTATTCGCGTTCTGCCTCTTCATGCTCTCGCTGTCCCACCCAAACCAGTACTACCAGGTAATTTCCGGTGCTGACATCCACGCGTGACATATACTGACCAACATTCATGGGCGCGCGATGCCCATAAACGCAGGTGTTCCTCAGTCAAGGCCTCGGCGTCGGCCTCGCGATCGGCATGACCTACATTCCCAGCCTCGGCGTCATATCGCACTATTTCCAACGCCGGCGCGCGCTCGTGATGGGGATCGCCGCCTCGGGGTCCTCACTCGGCGGTGTCATCCACCCGATCATGCTCAACAAGCTCTTCCACGGGCCGAGCGGCTTCCAGAAGGGCGTGCGCTATAGCGCCGCGATGAACCTCATTCTCCTGTTCATCGCGAATTGCCTCATGCGCACGAGGCTCCCCCCGAGGAAGGGTGGGAACATGTTCGCTGGGACAAGCGCGTTCGCGAGAGACCCGCCGTATGTCCTGGCAGTGATGGGGTAAGTTTATTTTCGGAGGGGGATGGCAGGGCAAATCAGCGTGCTCACTCCGCTCTCGGCATGAAATTTTTCTGCTAGGGCGTTCCTAGTGATCCTAGGCCTGTTCTTTCCCATCTTTTTCCTGCAGCTGGATGCCATCACGCACAACCTCGATCCCAACTTCGCCTTCTACTCGGTGCGTGCGCCCCCCCTCACACTCTACCCCTGGATCTGCATAGACTGACACTGCTGTACGCGTGCTGGCTCTCGAAACTTTCTTTCAGCTCGCGATCCTCAACGCGGCGAGCGTCTTCGGGCGGGTGATCCCGAGCCTGATCGCGCAGACGACAGGCGTGTTCAACACGATCGTCGTCTGCACCGCCATCTGCGGCATCCTCGTGTTCAGCATGTTCGGCGTCACGACCGTCGGCGCCGTCATCGTGTTCGCCATCCTGTTCGGCTTCTTCTCCGGCGCGTGTACGTCCTCCGCTTCTTCCCCTCGCAGACTCTCGTTTGGACCGCGATGCCAGTGAATGCCGCCGGGCGGTTGCGGTCGACGTCCGGCGGTGTCAGCTGTGGCATTAATGCGGTGCTTGGCGTGCTGTCGTGCTGACTACTCGACCATCTCACAGACGTGTCGCTGCTCGCGCCGATGTTGACGTCCCTCGCGCGAGACGTCACTGAAATCGGGTGAGTGCATGCCCCCTCCTGGCGTCCTCTCCTCTCTGTCATTACGTGCACCGCCCCCTATGTTTACGCGCACCGCATCGGCTCTTGACTCACGAGGACCCCGCGCGCACAGGTCCCGGATGGGCATCTGCTATACGTTCACCGGTGCGCCCCCCGCCCCCCGATTACCTCCCAGCTTTGGGTGCTTACTGTCCGAAATGGGTCGCGCGCATATATCCAGGCATCGGGAGCCTAGTCGGTTCGTCTCCACTCTACACTCCCTCGCGACTCGCGCAGACACAGCGGGACGCGCTCCTTTCTTGATTCGCGTTTGTGACTGCGTCTCTCCCTCTCCCTCTCCCCACCGCAGGCACTCCGATCGCAGGCGCATTGCTCACGCCCACGAACATGTGGTGGCGTCCAATCATATTCAGCGGTGTAAGCCATTCTTCCTTCCTTGCCTTCCTGTTTCTCACTTGCGCGATGCAACGGCCTTGCCGCGCGTAGACGACGATGACGGTCGGCGCGGGCTTCCTGCTCGCTGCGCGGATGCTGGTGGCCGCGAGGAAGGGCAAGAGGGCGGTGTAGTGCCGGAGCTCGCGCTTAGATATGATATCCGCTCTTTTTATTTTGTCTTTTCTGTCGGGATCGACGTGGCGTGGCATCCTAGTACCAGTGTCGACATGTGCATGGCTGCCTTTCTTTTTCATTTGAAGCTATACATACGCATCCCTTTGGACGGTTGGACGCTCGAGGACCGTGTGGCTGGCTTTCACGATCAACTTCCGTACGAGCGTGCTGAAGCCGCCTACCCGCCTCTCGAGGTACCGTCGCTGCTGCCATCTTGACGTATTCTCTATAAATTCGCCGCCGTGGACAATAACCCCGCGACAAATCTGCACGATGCCTCCCCGACGACGCGCTCGCTCGCCTCCTCAGGCAATCAGCCGAGTGCTCCCAAGCTGCGGCTGCAAGGCCGTCGGCCGCGCGTGCAGCATCGTCTCTCGGACCTTGGCCCTTGCCGCCCCGACGCCTTCTCCCTCAGCCCTCCTCAATCCCTCGCTGTGGCCAGACGTCGCTGTGTCCCCAGGACAGGACAGCCTGAAACCGCGCGCGCCGGGGATCTGCCTCCAGTGCCATCAGGGCGCCGCCGCCGAGCTTCTGGGCCGAACAACGTGCAACGTGCCACGGACGACGCACACTCTCATGGCCCGCGCGCAGATCTCAGGAGCGGGATGCACGGTGCGCGGCGCACCCGAGCAGAGCAGCGTCTGCGGTCCACCGCTACGAAAAAAAAATGCTTTCCGCGGAGGCTTCGAACGGATTAACTGGGGGGCGGGCGCTGAGGACGAGTTTCAGAGTCCAGACTCGAGATGCCCCCGAGGGCCTGTGCGGCCGGCGGCCATCGTGCCGTCGTTTCGGGCCCTGCGACTGCCCTGCGGCGCAATAAGCTTGTGCGAGGCTCCGCCCCGATGCCGGCTGCGCGGACGCAGCAAAGGCAAAGGTGCGTGATCCGCTCGAGCTCCGCTCACGTGTGCTCAGTCGCACGATTCGAAATTCGTCGGTTGCTTTCTACCATCAAATCACACCCAGTGACCCGAATCACTGCGGCGTCACGAGTCGCCAGAACGCAGACCTTTTCTGAAAATAAAAAAATATAAAAAATAAAAAAAATAAATCCCGTTTATTGTCCGATCAGGGGTAGGAGAACGCAGGGTTTTATTCTGCACTCACACCCGTTCTGCCACGCGCGTGTAAGCGCTAGATGGATAGTGCAGAATCGTGGTGATGGGGGAGAGCTGGCGTGGGCAGGCGCCGCGCCCGAAGCTTCACGAATCACGGCGCGCGAGACGGCGCGCAAATTCGTCTGGCGGGCACACGGACCGGACCGTCATAGATGCATGGTGCCTGATGGCCGATTTTACTGGAGGAACGGCGGCCGACGGACGACGGAGCGACCGTCCCCTTTGAAAGACAGAACACTCGGCGGACTCCCGTCGTGATGCGTGCCCAGTGCCGAATCGAAAAATTCCTCTGAATGATGTAGTTACGGGGACGATATCATCAAACGTGTGTGGGGCCGTGAGGCCACTGCTGAATACAATAGGCCTTGCAGCGGTCCATCACGGAGCAAAGCGCATCGATACTATACACTCGAAGAAGGAACACCCTGTCTACTACATACACCGCCGACTCTGACTCTGATTCTGATGCTGATGCCGACCACACGGAAGCCCCACCTCTTATCGTACACCGCATCATCTTCTGGGACACACTATTCACATACCAAGCTCCACCGTGCGATGATTCGCGCGGGTGCATCAGACGCCCTTGATGAGATCCGCGGCCTGTGGAGCGTGGAGTGCAGTGCGGTCAGATGGACACTACGTATGGAGGCGGGCAGGACGCGGGACTTGCCTTTTCGGCGAGCGCGTACACGGTCGTCTGGATGTGGCACGACAGCTCCTGTGAGCCCGCGCACGCAGGAAGAACGTCAGACGTCAGGCGTGGGAGCGACCATCAGGCGGACGAGGAGCCATACGCACAAAGGGGAGTATCGACGCGTCCACCTGCCCAGCCGAGCGGTAATAACCAATCGACCAGTCAGCCAACCCGTTCGTCTGCCTGATCACATCACGGGGGATCGAAACGGCTCACGATGCGGAGGTTGCGCGTGCCGTACACGACGAGCCGCGGGTCCACCACCCCGCCGTCCTCCCGCGGGAGCATCGCCGCCGTCCCGACGGGGTGCCACACGGGCGACAGCTTCCGGCGGACGTACGCCTCCCACTCCGCGTCGCTCTGCACCTCGGGGCCCGGCTCGACCATCCGCACGACCGTGTCCGCGAGCGGCGCCGTGCGCGCGGCCGTGCGCGCGAACTGCGCGGCGCGCACGAGCACGCGCAGGTCGATCGGGTGCGCGAGGTACGCGGGGTCGATGGCCGGCGCGGCGAGCGGGTCCGGGGACTGCAGGTGCACGCGCCCGCGCGAGAGGGGGTGCATGCTGCACGAGACGAGCGTTTGGTATTTCTTCCCGGGCTCGGTCGCGCCCGCGCCGGGGAACATCGCCGGGCTCTGGATCATCCTGCGGCGGCGATGGCGCGTGCGGGTCAGCTGTGGGTATCGCTGCGGAGGGGGGAGGGTGGGTGGGCACGCACTCGATCTGGGCGCATTCGGGGTCGTCGAACCACGCGTCGAGGAGGGCCCCCTGCTTGCGGAGCGCGGCGGTGCTCGCGTACAGCGGGTCGTCCACCAGCGCGCTCTTCATCGTCGCGATCTCCTCGGGCGCGCAGAATGTGCGCAGCGGGATGAACGCGTACGGCGAGTGCGCGGACGAGAACTGGCCTTCTTTCTTCTTCAGGCTGCGGCGTGGCGTGGCGTGGCGCGGCGAGGCGTGCAGGAGGGGTTGTGAGTGCGTGCGTGCAGCAGACGGGAGGGAGGGCGGGAGGGGGGGCTGCTTACTACAGGTCCATCTCGGCGGCGCGCGACTCTGGGACGCGGAGCATGTCCGACGTGACCCACTCGGGCGCGGTCTCGAAGCTACTAGTCACGAACGCGTGGTCCTGTGCACGCAATCAGCGCCGCCCCATCCATACAAAACTAACCGGCGAAGAAAAAAAAACCCCCGCGAATCAGAACAGCGGTAGGACGGTCAGGACGTACCTCTGTGGTCGCAGGAGCGGAAACGAGGACGAGGACGAGGACGAGGATGAGGATGAGGATGAGGGTGAGGACGGGGGTGAGTGCGCGCGAGGAGGGGGCGGGGAAAGGCCGGGGCCTGCTTACGGAGGTTCTCGCCCACGGACGGGACGTCGAGCAGCGCCTCGATGCCGAACTTGGCGAGCAGCGCCTTGTCCCCGATGCCTGTCCCGCACACAGGCACAAAAACACCGCGTCAGCCGTCGCGGCGCTGCACCCCGCGTCCCGCCCCGGACTCACCGGATAGCTCGAGCAGCTGCGGCGTCTGCAGCGTCCCTGTCCCAGCCCAGCCGACCCCATCACGCCGCGTGAGCACAAATAAAATAGAATAAAATAAAATAAATAAACAGCGAGCCACCGGGGCCACGCACCGGCAGAAAGCACGACCTCCCTCTCCACATGAACCACGTGCTTCACGCCCGCCACCACGAACTCGACGCCGCGCGCGACGAGGTCCGCGTCCGCGCTGCGCGGGTCGAAGAGCACGCGGGTGGCCTGTGCGCCGGTGAGGACGACGAGGTTGGGGCGGTGCGCGTTGGGCTCGTAGTATGCCTGCGGTGAGGCGCGTGGGGCGTGAGCGCTGTTTTGTGTAAATGGGTGGAGAGAGAGAGGGAGGACTCACCGTCGCGGCGTAGCTGCGCGTGGCGGACACGGGGTCCACGCAGCCCGTGATGAACGTCGAGCCCACGTTCTTCCCGCTCGCCTACAACCAACCAACCAAAAAAAAAAACCCCACGCCCCACACCAGTCAGCGCCCGTCCCTCTCTCTCCTCCCCCCAAAAATCAGGGGAGGGCGAGACACGCGTGCACGCACCGGCTCGGGGTTATTGGCGACGCCGAGGCGCGCGAGCGTCTCCACGTACGGGTCGTGCAGGCCCCAGACGAAGCGCGGGTAGGTGACCTGCAGCGGGCCGTGCGCGCCGTGGTATTTCGGGTCCCACCCGATCTGGTAGCGCGCGGCGAACTCGGGCGGGGGGTAGGTGATGGTTTCGGACTGCGCGCACGCGGCGGTCGGTCATCCGTTAGACGGAGGGAGAGAGCGGGTGTGGGAGGGGGGCGCACCTTCTTGAAGTACTTGAGGAACTCGGGCCAGTTCCAGCCGGGGTTCCCGAGCGCGCCGATCGCTGCACATAAAGAAGTAGAAAGGTGATTTTGTTATATGTGAGTTTGAGTTCGAGTCCGCGCGTCAGAGATCGGGGCGGGGGAGGCACGTACCGTCGTACTCGGCGGCTGTGGCCCTGGTGGGCGGGGGCGGGGGCGACGAGGCGTAGGTCAGCGCGAGGATGGATGGAGGGTGGGTGGGCAGGTAGGTGGAGGGAAGCGGGAAGCGGACGTACCTCCCTGCGACGAGGATGTTGATCGCGGAGGACCCGCCGAGGACTTTCCCTCTAGAGCGAAACCGTCAGCGCGATGCACGATGCACGGTGCGCGGTGCTGGATGCAGACTCCCCGCGCGATGCGAGAGGGCGGAGAGAGGGCGAAAGGGAGAGAAGAGGAAGGAGAGCGAGGAGAGCGAAGGGAGGAGAGAGAGGGCGCACCTGGGCTGCGGAATGACGCGGCCGTCGACGGCGGGCTGCGGGACGGACATGAAGCGCCAGTCGATGCGCTCGTTCATGATGCCGCTGCCAGCCATGCCTGCGTAATCGGGCGCACGAGTGAGCGAGCCGGGGCGCGAGGCGACGCGAGGACGTACCGGGGATATTGATCTGCGGCATGTCCGGGACGTACTGGCCCGCCTCGATAACGCCGACCGTGACGTTCGGGTCCTCCGTGAGCCTGGACACGCCGCGACACGACACGGTCTCAGTTCAAGTCGCGGTCGCAGTGCGAGCGGGGAGGGGCTGCGCCTGGGCAGGACACGTACCGCGCGGCGACGACGAGGCCGGCGGTGCCGCCGCCTACGACGACGTAGTCGTATTTGCGTGCCACGAACTGTTCGGGGGTGGCGAGCATGGTGGGTGCGAGAATCTGCGGTTGGGTGAGGATGTGTGGGTGTGGGTGTGGGTGTGGGTGTGGGCAGGCGACTGGGGCGCTGGGTTGGGACGGGATGGGGAGCAGGGCGCGGGGTTATGTAGGAGTGGCGAGGTATCGGCGGGCAGGCGGGAGCGGAGGAATGGAATCGAGGCCCGCTTGCCCGATGTGGATGTGGACATGGACGTGGACGTGGATGTGGGTGGATCGCGCACCAGGACCTGCGGGGTATCTTTAGAACAGATAGCTGCTAGGACAGTATGGCGACATTAGCGCGCGGGACTGGACGCGCCCATGACGCAGGGAAGTCCTCCATCCCAATGCGATGCCGGGCTGCGTGGGTCGGTCCTCGGCGGCGCAGCACTCGGGAACAAGACAAGAACAAGGGCAGGAACTGGAACAACCAGCAGAACTGGAAGCGCACGGTGTCCCGGGTCCGCCGTCGACCGCCCATTCGTAATTGGGGTGCGAGTGTCAACTCCGCGAGCTTGAGCGGCGACTCGACAAGTGAGCGGCCTCGCGCGCCCTGGGACTGCCCTGGGATGATCGTGATCGCTTCCAAGCAGCAGCTCGCAGCCTCCATGAGAGTCGGAGCCCCTCGCGCGTCCTCATGCATCGCTCCACTTCGGTTCGTCCGTCGCTCGTCGTGGCTCCCAGCTGGGTAGACGGACGCGGATGGACGCATCGTGCGCAGCTGCGCGTACGTCGCATCGCCAGCCGCGCCCGGCCCTGGACGAGCCCAAGCTGCAGACCCTCAGGCCTCATCCAGCACCAGCAGTCTTCCAGCTGGGACAACGCGGGACCAGCCCGTCAAGGACCGCAAGGACGCGCGTCCGCAAGCAAAGCAGACCGTGCGCACGCAGGGGGGCGTCCTCAGGCGTTCTCCCGCGATTCTCCCGCGCGCGCGGCGTCTAGAAAAGTCGGCGGGCCTCGTGCCCCGCGCAGCCTCCATGAGAGTCGGACTCCCCGTCCCATCCCCTCAATCGACCGGCCGGCAGGCCACTCAATCGCATCGCATCGCATCGCATCGCATCGCGGCGCGGCGCCAGAGGGCCGCTACTTATCGCATCCTACCGTATTCTATTCTATATATCAGCACCGTCGAATGGACCCTCGAACGAAGCGTCGACCGGAGCTCTCGGCGCGTGCGGTCTCGGTCTCAGTCTCAGGCTCTCCCTCCCTCCCTCCTTCCCCCCGCGTCGGTCGGAGAAATGTTGCATCGCGCGCACGTGCACGCGCTCCGTGCCAGGCAGGCAGAGGCAGGCAGAAGCAGGCGTGCGCGCGTGCGTGCGTGCGCGTCTCTCGATCCGGCAGAGAAGTCGCAGGAGGTCGCAGGATGCACGCCTTTGGCCCGCGGCGGAGCCACACCAGGCGCACAAGCCTCCCGCGAGGCGCCGGCGGCGCGGATCCTGCGCGCGCTCTCTTCTCTCCACACCGGCGCCTCGTCGAGCGGCGTCCTCCGAAAGGCGCCCTCTGGAGCGAGAGCTCCTCCGGGGACACACGCGCGCGCACGCACACGCACGCACGCACGCACGCACGCACGCGAGCACGAGGAACCACCGGTGCGCCAGTGGGCGCGGGGGAGACCCGGGAGGGAATGCAGATTTCCGTTCCGGAGCGCGCGCGGGCGAGGCGTATTGCAGTACTAGTGCTTTGGGCGTGCGCCCGAGTGAGCGGCGGGGACTCGGGGCTCGGGGCTCGGGGCTCGGGGCGCGGGGCTCGGGGCGCAGGGCTTAGCGGCGCGCGCCATCGTGCAACGCGTCGCCCAACACGGGCGCAGAGGGCTGATGAGTTGGAGGCTGGCAGTTGGCAGCGCGAGGTCGGGGTTCCGGTGTGCACGCACGCACGCACGCTGATGGGATGCTGGGATGATGGGATGATGGGATCACTGGGGCGGGTCCCGCGACCGGCCGGCTAGCTACTAAAAGGCAAACGCGCTGCGGCTCGTACAATGCACGCACGCACGCACGCACGCACGCCAGACGATGACATGGCGCCATCGCCCGCGCCCGTCGCCGCGATGCCCGCGATGCCCGACCCGTCCTTATGCTGTCCCGCCGTTCCCAGCCCCACGTGCACCCCGCCCCCGATTGACGGAACGCTCTCCCCCCGCAGCTCCCCCCCCCCCCCACCGCAGCTCGCCCGCCATCTCCGCCCCGCCCCGCCCCGCCCCCTCCTACCCCGCCTCCGCCTCTGCCGCCGCCGAAAAATACGGCGCACGCGGCGCGCGCGGCGGCGAGGCGAACGCTGTCGCGTCCCGTGCAATTTCATCGAGCTTCCACGTGATGGCCGCTGGCCAGCTGCCGACGCGCTGCGCCCCACGTATGCTTGCTAGGACGGTGCAGGCGTTCCGCGCGATGATACGATCGTCGCTGGATTCAGACTACATACGTGCTATGCAGCGTTCGTGCGCCGTCTGCGCCGCGGTCCTCCGCTGGGCTCCGTGCATTGGCGCATGTTCCCGCCGCTCATGGCCAATGATCATACAGTGGAGCGTTCCGCTTACCCGCCCCAACAGATCCGGCGGGCGCTGGTCCATGGCGCAGTTGCGGTGCTGCCGATTGCGACAGATCATGATGCATCGTGCGCTAAGCTTCGTTGACGTGCCCCATATATAGCCGTCGCTGCGCTTTTCCTCTGTGCGTTTCCATCATCACCGCGACTTGTGTGTCCAGGCCACGACTGTGAAGAGAAGACGAATATGGCGCCTTTGCCTGGTGTGCCCCCCGATATCGCCCTCATGTGAGTTTGCTCCGTTCGTGCGAGCGTTTGAGCGTCTGCGTCGCTACTGACCGCGTTCCGCTTTGGCAACAGACAAGGCCCTCTGGTTCGTCGCAGCTGCCGTCTCGAGATTCCGTTGACGCCGACTGCGGGCCATCCCATCCTGTCTGGCATTCAGCTTTTGGGGTATCTGTTCGGATATGGCCTGTTTGGGGTCTTGGTCGTGCAGATGTGTATGCCGCCTGTCGCGCTTTTTTTCTGGCACGTAGCTCATGGTTATCGTCACGCGTCGCTTAGATTTCTATCATCTGAACTTCCCCAAGGACGACCGGTGGATAAAGATCTTCGGTATGTCCTTGGGCTGATGTGCGGTGCACCGCCATTGACATCGCCGTTGGCCCAGTGTGGGTCGTGTTTTCGGCCGAGATCCTGTCGTCTGTGTTCAGCACTATCGCGGCATGGCAAGGCCTCGCTGCGGGATGGGGCGACCTCGACTCCCTTGCCGCACCGACCTGGTCGTTCACGGCACTTCCTCCGATCTGCGGGTTCAGTGCGTTCCAGCCGCCTTCTTTCTGCGTCTAATTTTGAGCGATCAGCGACGTGCAGTATCGTCGTGCGTCCAGCTTTTCTTCTGCTGGAGGATATCGGTATTGGGAAACGGTCGGGTCCTGCCCGTGTTCATCGCCGTCGTGAGTAGTAGTATGCATCGTTTACGGGGATTCTCGCGTGTCCTGACGTCCCCCTCAGATATCCATCCTCTCGTGGGCGATGGCGTTCTATTGCGGCATCAAGGCAAGCTCGCCAGTTGCGTTTCCTTGCTCGATTGCCAATCTCGTATCTACTCGCTCCAGTTCGCCTTGATCGGTGATTTCAGCAAAATCAACGAGTTCGATCCCGAGGTCACGGCAAGTTGTAGGAGCGATTTATCGGTACCGTCGCTCATTGGCGTGCAGGTGGGGCTTACCGGCAGCGCCGTCTGCGACGTGATGATCGCCGTCGTCATGGTCCGATTCGTGGGTGCTTCTGATGTCTGCACGCGCGTGATCCCAACTGACGTTTTTTGTAAACTACGCCAGCTCATTCGCGCGAGCTCCTCGGCGCACTGGACGGAGACGAAGGACATGCTCCACAAGATGACCAAGCTCACGGTCCAGACGGGCACGGCCACCGCGCTCGGGGCGACCGTCGAGCTCGTCTTCTTCTGGGCCTTCCACCACAACAACGTCCACTTTGTCCTGTGAGTGCGCGCGTCCGGGTTCGCCCCCGAGTCCTCCGTCCGGCCGAATCGCTGATCGCGCGCGCGTCCGCGTCCGCGCGGCGTTGGGTCCTCGGCGCGCCGTGTTTGATAGATTCTTGGTGCTCGCGAAGCTGTGAGTGCGGCGCGCTGGGTGCCGTCGTGCGATGGCGCCGTGTGCACCTCCGACTGACCAGTTTCGCTTCTGCTAAAAACCTTGCGCATGCACGCACGCACGCACGCACGCACGCACGCACGCAGGTACTCGAACACGATCCTGGCCACGCTCAACGCGCGCGCGGCGTTCAAGAGCGACTCGTGGGTCTCGAGCAGCTCCGCTTCAGCGCCGAGCGACGCGCTATGGGCAGACTCGCGCGCGTCGCTCGCCTTCGCTCCGGGCTGGTCCGCCACCGCCACCGCCACCGCCACCGCCACGACGACGACGCCGACGCACGGTACGACGCACGAAAGCGGGTCCGCCATGCAAATGGTCGCGCTACCGCGGCCAGTCCGTGAGTGCCCCACCAGCTCCCGCGACGGTCCCGCGCGCTGACACGCGCTGTTTCTCGGCCAGCTGGAGACGGCGCCGATCGAGGGCGGGGAGATTCGCGGCTCGCGGGAGCGGGAGCGGGGTGACGGTGTCGAGTGATTTTTATGAGCTGGCGGACGGCGGACGGCGGGATGCGGGATGCGGGATGCGGGATGCGGGATGCGGGATGCGGGATGTCTGGCGGCGGCGGTGCCCCCCCTCCTCCGAGCGATGCACGCTCTTTTTTTTGGCTGGTTTGGTTTTAGTTTACAGATGGTGTGGTGGGTGTGCTACGTCCCGGTAGCAGCCGCCGTCCGGCACGTTTGGGCGGACGACGACGACGACGACGACGACGAAGCTCTAGGCGGTGCCCGTGCAGAAGGGCATCGCGACGACGAGCGGCGGGCGCGTTGGGCGGGCCTGTCGCACGGACGCTCCGACGTTGGTCGGGTTCGCGCCGAAGGACGTGAGTCGTGACTTGTTGGAGGGCCCGCGCGGCGCGGGGGGGTCAGGAGCGTGGTGTCCCAGGCGAGGAGGATTTTGCAGCGGATGTTACGAGGGCATGATCGTCTCATAAGGGCTCTCCTGCGGCGAGCGTCGATATTTAGAGGCATGCGTAACGGCGGAGAGAGCGTCTCGTGGGTGCGGGTCTCCCGAGAGGAGATCTAGAAGTGCGTTCGCAGCATCTGCGGCCCATCGTGAGGGCAAACTGTCGATCGCGGGCTGTGTTCGAGGACTCTCGAGTAGGCGCTAGGCATCCTAGAATTTGCGAACGTTTCCTTGCGTCTGCGGGTACCTGTACTGGAAGTCTGTGACTGTAGGATGGTGTAGATAGCGCTCGGCTCTGGACGAGCCTGCAAAGCGATGCCGAGGGCGGTCCTCGATCCCGATACGGTACATGCAGCTCCAGGACTGCGTGGGTCTGTCTTCGGCGGCGCAGCACGGGAGGAACAAGGCCAGGACAGGGAGGACTGGAAGGGCGCGGTGGCCCGGGTCCGCCGTCGACTGCCCATTTGGAAATGGGGTGTCGTTCCATCGTCACTCCGCAGCACTCCGCGCGCCCGCCGAGCGGCGACTTGACAAGTAAGCGGCCCCGCGGCCTGGGACGGTCGATGATCTCGCATCCCCGATCGCTCCCCTCCACACTCTCTCCATCGCAGCCTCCATGGGAGTCGGAGTCCCCTGCGCGCCCCTCGTGCGTCCCCGTTCCATTGCCTCGCTTCGATTGGTGGTGCAAGGACGAGGACCGCGAGGGGGCGTTCTCTCAGCTCAGTGTTCGTTCGCGATCGTCGCGCGCGACGCGCTCGCGGCGTCTTGACAAGTCGGCGGGCCTCGCTCCCCGCGCAGCCTCCAAGAGCCTCCATGAGAGTCGGACTCGCCGTCCCATCCCATCCCCTCGCGGCCCCAGAGGGGCCGGGCCGCTATCGCATTCTATCAGCGGCGTCGAATGGAACCTCGATCGAAGGAAGCTCTGGGAGCGTGCAGGCTCCCTCCCCCCGCGTCAGTCGGAGGATTGTGCATCACGCCCCCGTACGCCGTGCGCCGTGCGCCGTGCGCGGCAGACGGCGCAGCGTCGCTCGATCCAGCAGGACGGGAAGGACGGGACGGACGGGAAGTGGATGGAATGGGACCGGACGCGCGAGGGATGCACGGGGTCCCTCCCGCTGGACTCTGCCGCCGGGCTGCTGGCGCACCGGCGGCTCTGGTTGGCTCTGGTTGATCGCACAGGAGGCCGCCGGGCGGCTGGCTGCGGCGGTGGCGGCTGGGCGCGGGGTGTCGCGGGGCCCTCGGCGAAATCGCGGGCGAAGGCAGTGCATGCTGCTCGGTACCCAGTACTCAGCGGCGCGCGCCACCGTGTGCCACATCGCCCAAGGCGGGCGAGTGTGTGCGTGTGTGGCTGGGGGAGGGAGGGAGGCTCCGTTGTGGGCGGGGGACGCACGCTGGTGGAGAGGGGATGATGGGATCACCGGGACTGGTCCTGCGCGCACTCGTTCTTCCACACTGTACTTCTTCCATCCGGCCCTGTTGCGAGCCCGCGTCTGATGATCGCATTGCACGCGGGCGCGGTGGGACAGGGCCCTCGGGCTGCCGCGTGTGTGTGCGTGTATGACTGGGCGTGTCTGCGGCCAGCTACTAAAAGCTTCTAACCGGCCTCTTGCGCTGAGCTGACACTGCGCGCACGCACGCACGCACGCACGCACGCTCGCTCGCTCGACGACACGATGCCCGCGATGCCCGACCCGCCGTACCGCCGCCCCGCCGTGCCCAGCCCCACGTTCGTCCCGCCCCCCGTCGACGGCAGCCTCTCCATCCCCCAGCTCTTCGACTTCCACGCCGCACACTCGCCGCACCACCCGCTCTTCGTCTACACCCCGTCTCCCTCTGCACACTCCACCACCACCGCCACAGACTGCCCGGAGAGCGCACGCGTCGTGCTGTCATGGGCGCGCGTCGCGCGCGCGGTGCGTCGCCACGCGGTTCAGGTCCTGCGCGATACAGGACACGAGCACACGCGCCCCGTAGACCCAGAGCACGCGCACACCGTCGCCATCCTCGCCCACGCAGGTCCGTCCGCCTCTCTCCCCCCGCTCTCCCCGCCCTCCCCGCCGCTCACCGTACCCTTGCCCTCTCCCGCGGCACACGCGCCCGCCCGCAGACTCGATCGCGTTCACCGTGCTCCTGATCGGCATCATGCGCGCCGGCCTCCGCCCCTTCCCCATCTCCCCGCGCAACTCCCCCGCCGCCGTGCGCCACCTCCTCGCCGTCTCGCGCGCCTCGCACCTCTATGCGTCCTTCCGCCCCGACGGCGGCGACGGCGGCCACAACGGTGACCATGATGGGGAGGACGACGACGACGCGATCCACGCGCTCGTCCGCGCAGCTCTCGAGCCGCACCCCGACCACGCGGACGCAGATGTGCACGAGGCCGTCGTCGTTCTGCGCGTGCCGACCTTCGACGAGCTTTTCGACGGCGCAGGCCACGATGCTGACGCCGACGCCGACGCGCTCGCGCCACTCCCGCCGCAGGATATGACAGCCCCCGCCGTCCTGCTTCACTCTTCCGGTGCGCGCTTTCCCTATGTACCCTCTTCCCCTCTTTCCTCTTCCCCACTTCCCACTTCCCGTCCCTTCCCCTTCCCTCCGTTCCTCCGTTCCTCCCGGCGCGCCTCTGTCTCTGTCTCCTCGAGCACAGCGAACTGACACTGAGCCCGCTCCCCGCGCGCCCGCGCGCACGCGACACACGCAGGCACCACCGCGTTCCCGAAGCCCATCGCGCTCACGCACGCCATGATGCTCCAATGGGGCCGCATCGCGCGTACGTCCCCTCCCTACCCCTCCCTTCCCTTCGTCCCCCTCATCTCCCTCCCGCTCGAGTCCCCGCGCTCACTCTCCCTCTGCCGCCCCGACCGATGTGCGCACGCCGCCCGTCGTCGATCGCCGCGCAGTGTACAGCAAGACGAACGTCTGCGGCCATGTCATCGGCGTGCACTCCGTACCCATGTTCCGTGCGTTCTCACCCCACGCGCGCCCCTTCCCTTCCCGTCACAGCCCGAGCCGATCCGAACTGACGCGACGCGACGCGCCCGCCGCCCAGACGCGATGGGCGTCGCCTGCATCTCCCGCGCCGTACGCACCCTCCCGTCCCCCCCCCTCCCTCCCTCCTCTTATCACACCTTCTAACCACACCCTGACCACACAACGCCACCCCCAACCCCCAACCTACTTCCCCGCCCGCCGCGCGCGCCCCCCAGCCCATCACCGGCCTCATCCTCGCCGTCCTCCCCCCCCACACCCCGCCCCTCGCGCCGACCCCCGCCCGCGTCCTGTCCGCCCTCGAGGCCGACGCGTGCACGCTCATGACCTGCGTCCCCAGCTTCCTCGAGGTGCGCCCTCTCCCCTCCCCACCTCCCCGCTCTCCCGCCCGCCGCGCACACGCACGCACTCACTTGGCCGTGGCTGTTATTCATTTTCGGCATCGCGTCGGGCCTCGCACGCCGCGCAGAGCTGGTCCACAGACCCGCACGCGATGCCCGCGCTCTCCGCGCTCCGCGCCCTCGTGCGTTTCCATCCCTCCCTTCATCCCCTCGCCCCCTCCAGCCTCGTGTCCGCGCGCTCACGCACCCCTCCCCGCCCCGCCCCGCCCCGCCCCTCCAGTTCGTCACGGGCGGGCCCCTCAGCCAGGACGCAGGCGACCGCCTCGCGGCCGCCGGCGTCCCGCTGTTCTCGTACTACGCCGGGTGCGTGCGCTCGCTCGCCCTTGTGCGCTTGGATCCGGGCGCTTGGATCTGATGCTGACCTTTGCGTTTTTGTTTCTGCGGTTTGGTGTTTTGGGTGTGTATGCGTGCCCTGCCCTGCGCGCGGCCGACGATAGCACCGAGGTTGGCCCCGTCACCGTCTTCCTCCCAGGTACGCACGCGCCTCCCCTTTCCCCTTCCTCCTCCTCCTCCTCTATCTTCCCTCTCTCTCCTTTTGCACGCGCGGACGCACTGACCTCGGCCATAGACAAGCGCGGGCCGAGCGCGGACTGGCAGTATTTCGCCTTCTCGCCGCACTTCGAGGCGCACTTTGTTTCGCAGGAGGACGACCCGGGCGTCGTCGAGCTCGTCACCGTCGTAAGCGCCCGCTTCTCTTCCCTCCCTGCGTATATAAACCTCCGCATATATAAACCTCCCTCCCCGCATACATAAACCTCCCTCCTCGCATACATAAACCCTCCCCCCTCTCTTATGCATCTACCCGCCCGCTCTCCTCGTGCGATCGCTGACTCCTGCCCCACGCATGTGCCCACAGGCAGGCCCGAGCTACACCCCAGCCGTCACGAACACGACCGTCGCCGGCCGCCCCGCCTTCGCGACGCAGGACCTGTTCGTGCGCCACCCGACGGACCCAGGCCGCTGGCGGGTCCTCGGGCGCGCCGACGAGCAGATCATGCTCTCCAGCGGTGAAAAGGTGGGCCCTCCAAGTCGTCCCCTCCATGCCCGCGTCCGCGTGATTGACCGACCCGTGCGGGTGATTCGCGCTGGCTTTGCTTTCGTGAGACGAACCCGGGCCCTATCGGTGCGCACGCCAGCTCTCCGCTCCGTGCCTGCGCGCGCCGACGCTGACGCTCTCTTTATATTTTTATCTTTGTTTTTGGCGGTCGCTGCGCCCTGCAGAGGACGTATTCTGCCGCGACCCGCGCGTCGAGCGCGCGCTCATGTTCGGGCGCGGGCGGTTCCACAACGGGATCCTGCTGCAGCTTCGCGCCGGTGCTGATGCGGGCGTGCACCCGGGCACGCAAGCGGACGCGCTGCGCACGTTCTGCGCGTCCATACAGTAAGCACCCGCGCCCCCTTGCCTCCCCGTCCGCCGCCGACCCGCCCGCAGACCGCTCCTGGACCAGGCCAACGCCGCCGCGCCGTCCCACTCGCGGCTCTTCCCGGAGGTGCGCCGCGCATTCCGTCCTCCCCCTCGCGCCTGTGCGTCGCCCTGACGCGCTTCCCCGACGCAGATGGTTCTCGTCGCGCACCCCGACCGCCCGCTCAGCGTCACCGCGAAGGGCACCGTCCGCCGGCGCGCGTCCCTCGCCATGTACGCCGACGCGATCGACGCCGCGTACGAGGCGTTCGCGCGCGCCCCGCCGAGTAGCGCGGCACTGCAGGCGCTCGCCGAGCGCGGCGCGCCGGTGGACGCGGCCGCGGTCGCCGCGGTCGTGCGAGAGGTGATCGGGCGCGCGCCCGACCGCGACAAGGACCTCTTCCAGCAAGGCTGCGACAGGTGACGCTCTCACTCCCTCTATGTGCGGGCCGGAGCGCCGCTGACGCTCGTGCGCCAGCCTGCAAGCGACGCGCATCCGGAGCGTGCTGGTGTCCCTCGCCAGGGCGTCCGACGCCGGCTTGGACGCGGCGCGCGTCCCCGACGACGTCGTGTATCGCTGCCCGACGGTCGCGCAGCTCGCCGCTTTCTTCGCGGGGCTCCGGGACGCGGGGGAGGACGCGGACGCGGACTCGAGTGCGGACGTCAGTGCGGGCGGGAGCGTGCGCGAGATGGAGGACCTGGTGGCGAGGTTCGCGCCCGTACCCAAGTCCTCGGCGGTGGAGGGCGCGGCCATGACAGTGCCTGTGTCCGTAAACGGCACGGCGGGCGACGTCGTGCTCGTGACGGGCACGACGGGGTCGCTGGGATCTCATCTGCTGCACGCCCTCGCCGGGCTTCCTACCGTGTCTAGAATATACGCGTTCAATCGCGCCCATCGCCACCATCGCCACCACCGCCACCACCATCACCACCATCACCAGCCTGGAGCGCCCCAGTCTCTTCTGCACCGGCAGGAGGCCGCAATGGCGGCGCACGGGTTGGACGCGTCTGTTCTTGCGGGACCGAAGATTGTCCTGCTCGAAGGTGACCTCTCCGTAGATGGGTGGGGTCTCGACAAGGAGCTCATGGACGAGGTACGAGCCCTCTTCGCGCGCTCGCTGCCGGCTTTGTTGTATGCTCACAGCGGATCGCGCGCGCAGATGCGCGAGAGCGTGTCGGTCGTCATCCACACGGGTGAGTAGCGCTCGCGCTCCGGCGATGGCCGTGCTCGACTGAACGTTTCGTTCGGCGCCGCAGCGTGGACGGTCGACTTCAAGTGCCGGCTGGCGTCATTCACGGACTGCCTCGCCGGCCTCCGCCGGCTCGTCGAGTTCTGCCTCCCCGCCGGACCCGGCAACGCCGCGCGCCCGCGCAAACTGATCTTCACGAGCACGCTGAGCGTGTTTTACAGTACGTCCCCCTCCCGCGAGTCTCCCGTCTCTCATGCTCGCGGCCGACACAAGCCGCTGCAGACCAGCGATCTAGCGAGGCTCCGACCATCGTGGCAGAAGCGCCCCTGCCTGACCCCGCGAGCGCGCTCGGGACCGGGTACGCCGAGTCCAAGTGGGTCGCCGAGCGCGTCCTGCACGGCGCGGCGGAGGCGCATGGCCTCGACGCGACCGTCGTGCGCGTCGGCCAGCTCTCTGGCGCGGACAACGGATGCTGGAAGGTCGCAGAGTGGTTCCCGACGCTCGTCAAGGCGTCGCAGATGATCCGATGCTTCCCAGAGATCGACCGCGTGCGTGACTCCCCTCCGCCCCTCCCGCGCGAAAGTGGATGCTGATGCGGATGCTGATGCGGATGCTGTCGCGGGTCGGACTTCTTTTTCTTTGTTGTAGGCGGTGTCGTGGTTGCCCGTGAGTGTTGCAGCGGCGGCGATGTGCGACGTGCTGCACTGCCGCGCGCAGTACCTCCACCTCTGCCATCCGCGCGCAACCCCCTTCTCGGCCCTCGCGGTGCCGCTCGCCGCATCGCTCGACGTCCCGCTCGTGCCTTTCGGCACATGGGCGCAGCGTTTACACGCCTTCCGGGCCGCGCAGGTGCAATCGGAGTCCGCGGCGGCGGGGGCGGGTCTGGCGGGGGGCGAGGTGCGCGCGCTCGCGCTCGTTGACTTTCTCGCGCGGACGGACGCGGAGAGCGGGGAGCACGCGCTGATGAGGGAGACCGGGGACGTGGCGCTGGAGGCGATGCGCGCGTGCTCGGCGACGCTGGCGGCGCCCGGTCTGCGGCGTCTCGGGGAGGCGGACGCGCTGGGCTGGCTTGCGTATTGGAGGGGGGTGGGGTGGGTGTGAGGTGCGTTGACAGGGGACGGTGTGATGATAAAAGGTATGGTTTCCTGGTAGAGAACATGGTTTCAACCGCTCGGGACGTCGGCTTTTTGAATCTCTTGGATGTCGATACGAGGAGGGAAGCTATCGTGGATTATATCGGTGTTCACAAAGGTGCCTATGAGTGTGCTTGAGGACTGCCAAATTGTGCTAGTAGGTCACTCTACAGGCTGTTGACATTCAAGTTTGCGACAGACAGTGGCACATGGCTGGCCCTTTTCTGCCCCCCTATTATATACGGAACTCGCCAGCAACCACGAGAGCAATAGAAAAAGAAAAGAAAAGACGTGCACGGCGGATCCTGTTGAGCGCGTTGGCTTGTTGGGTTTGGACTCGACTCTCCAATCAACACGGTCATTTAGATAGATTTTCGACCTCATGATCTTCGTCACGGCCATATGGCAGCTCATCGTGTCGGTTCCCAGCGGTACCTTTATGAACAGTTCAAAGAATCGATATCATCTGTTTATCGCCGCCGCGTCAACAGCGTCACGAATGACAGTTTGCCCCCTCGATGGGCTGCAAAGGGCTTTTCCTCTTGAAAGAATCGCAGGCTGGTCCCGGGAATATGCCGAGGTTGCACCACGAGGCGCTCTCTCAGTCATGTCATACAGCCTCCCCTCCATCGAAATATTTACAAGATGATGATGACTTCGTAAAATCTAGAGCACCGTGCTCCTGGCCTCCACCAGCCTCGTCGCGGGCGCTGCGCACGGCCTCCAACAAGTCGCGTCCTTCGGCGCGAACCTGACCCACGCCGGGATGTTCGTGTACAAGCCCGCCCAACTCGCCGCGCCCACGCCGCTCATCGTCGCGATGCACTTCTGCACGGGCACCGTCCAGATCTTCTTCTCCGGCACGCAGTTCGCCAACCTCGCGGACGCGCATGGCTTCCTCGTCGTCTACCCAAATGTGCCAGACAGTGGCTGCTACTGCGACGCGCACACCCACCATCAGTAAACGAGCAAAAAAGCGTGCTTCGCTTGGAGGGCGCCGCCAGACATACAGCATTCCACCGTCCACTGTCTATCATTAATCGACACTGTCAACCTGCTTCTTCGAGTCGTGTATCGACGCGTCGTCGATCTGCGATGCCTCCTGCGAAGTCAATCCGTTCAGCACCAGGAGCCGCTGTGTGGTTCCGGAACGCACACGCGCGACACTCACAGACTGCGGCAGCACGACCATCTGCATCTCGTTCCCGTTCTCGTCCGTCGTCCTGCGCGTCGTCGTGACCATCACGCTCATCGTCGTAGTCGTGCCGGACCTCTCCGTCGAGAAGTCGAGCGCCGTGTCCGAGTCCTCCCACAGCGCGACGCTCCGTCCTTGCGCCGAGCTGCTCCAGACCGACGAGCCGCCCCTGAACCCCGCGCGCGCGTTCAGCGTGGCTAGAATCGTGTTCGAGTACCTGTGTGCGTTTGTATGCGCGCGTGGGTGTTTTGGTACAGGCGAAACTGGTCAGCCAGAGAGGCACATAACGGTATCACATAACGGGATCGAGCGTGCGCACTCACAGTTTCGCAAGTATCAAGAAGCTGTTGGACCAGAACGAGAGCCACAAGAACGCGCAAATGTGGGAGCGATCAGGAATTCGGCCGAGCTGGGCAGGCGGACCGGACGTGCGCACTCACAGGATGAAGTGGACGTTGTTCTGGTGGAAGGCCCAGAACAATATTAGCTCGATGGTCGCCCCGAACGCGGTGATCATCCCCGTCTCGACCGTGAGCTTGATCAGCTTGTTGAGCGTGTCCTTCGTGTCCATCCAATGCGAGGAAGAGCTGGCGCGAATGAGCTGGCGCAGTTCACAGGGGATATGAGTTGGGTGCATCACTCGCAGACGGAGACCAGAAGCACTCACGAATCGGACCATGACCGCGGTGATCATCACGTCGCAGGCGGCGCCGCTAGCAAGCCACACCTAAATGTCGATTAGCATGGGTACTGATGGATGAGTTGAAGAACTTGCCGTGACTTCGGCGTCGATCTCTTCGATTCTGCCAAAATCACCGATCAAAGCGAACTGGAACGATCAGAGAAATTGGCAATCAAGCAAAGAAATTGAACTGGAGAGCTTGCCTTGATGCCGCAATAGAACGCCATCGCCCATGAGAGGATAGAGATCTGGGAGGAGCGTTAGGACATACAAGAATTCCACCAGATGTTACCCACTCACGACGGCAATGAAGAAGGGAAGGATCCAACTTTTTCTCAAGACATATATCCTCCTGCAGAAGAAAATCTGAACACACGATGATACTGCACGTCGCTGACTGCTCAAAATCAGCCGCAGAAAGAAGGGGGCTGGAACGCACTGAACCCGCAGATCGAAGGAAGCGCCGTGAACGACCAGGTCGGTGCGACTAGGGAGTCGAGGTCGCCCCATCCCTCAGCAAAGAGTTGCCATGCTGCGATGGTACTGAACACAGACAACAAAATCTCGGCCGAAAACACGATCCACACTAAACATACAACGATGTCACTGGCGGTGCACTACATGTCAGGCCGACGGCATACCGAAGGTCTTCATCCACCGATGGTCCTTGGGGAAGTTTAGATGATAGAAATCTAAGAGATGCGTGACAAATATCATCAACTACGTGCCAGGAAAAAAAAGCGCGACAGGTGGCATACACATCTGCACGACCAAGACCCCGAATAGACCATATCCGAACAGATATCCAAGAAGCTGTACACCAGATAGGACGAGATGGCCCGCAGTCAGTGTCAACAAAGCTCGAGGCGGCGTCTGCGACGAACCAGAGGACCTTGTCTGTTGCCAAAGCGCAACGTGGTTAGCGACGCAGACGCAGACGCAGACGCTCAAACAAAAGGAGCAAACGCACATGAGGGCGATATCGGGGGGCACACTAGACAAAGGCGCCATGATAGTTTTCTCTTCACAGTCGTGGCCTGGACACAAGTCGCGGTGAAACGCAAAGAGGGAAAGCGCAGAGACGGCTATATATTTTGGTGCTGTTCACGCTCATCATTCGTGATTCGAACTTATTTCGCGCGCAGCGGCGACGGGGCACGTCATTGAAGTTCGGCACATAGATAGATCTGTCGCAATTGGCACTGCAGCTGCGCCAAGGTTCAGCGCCTACCGGATCTGGAGAGCAGGTGGGCAAAATGCGACATGGTCCGCCCTTCACTCTAACAGCGAGGATTTTGATCTGGAGGCGCAAAAAGAGATAGGCTCACCAAACGGTGTGAACAGGCGCCCATACTAGCCCATAACGAGCTCAGTACATGATAGAACTGTCGCAACTGACACTGCAACTGCAACAGGCATCGACACCAACCGAACCGGCAGAGCAGGCGAACAAAAAGCTCCATGATCCATCCTTCGCTCTGACAGCAAGGATTTCATCTGGAAACGGCGTGAACGCGTGCCCATCCCTTCCCACAGAGAGCGGAGACGACGACGACAGACTCAGCAGAGGACCCCCGTCATCACCGGCGCAGCGGACGCATGAACGCCGCTTAGTCTGAATCGAGTAATGATCGCATGAAACGCAGAGGGAAGGCGCAGAGTTGGCTATATAGTTTGGAGCTGTTCACGCTCATCATTCGTAATGTGGACTCGATTTGCGCGCGGTGGCGACGGGGCTTGCCAATGAAGCTCAGCGCATGATAGATCCGTCGCAATCGACACTGCAACTGCGCCAGGGTTCAGCGCCCACCGAACCTGCAGAGCAGGTCAGAAAAACGCTCCATGATCCATCCTTGACTTTAACAGCGAGGAGGCGCAAAAAGAGACGTGCTCACTAAACGGCATGAACACGCGCTTGTACATACCCCGCCCATACCGATCGGAGAAGACGAGGAGGGACTCGACGGAGGACCCCCGTCAGCACCGGCGCAGCGGAAGTACGAACGCTGCTTAGTCCGAATCCAGTGATGATCCTATGAAACGCGTAGAGGGAAAGCACAGAGACGACGCTGTTCACGCTCATCATTTGCGATGCGGACTTGTTTTGCGCGCGGTGGCGACGGGCATGTCAATGAAGCCTAGCACATGATAGATCTGTTGCAACCGACACCGCACACGCGCCCATCCCTGCCCATAGCGAGTGGAGGACACGAGGAGAGACTCAGCGGAGGACCCCGGCGCGGCGCAGCACGACCGCTGCCTCGCCCGAATCCCACGATCCTGCGGAATGCCTGCACCGGCCGCATTCTGGAAAAATACACGACGCATTGGGAGCTGGTCAGCGGCCATCACACGGAAGCACAGGAAAGAGAGGGGAGCGCGGCAACGTCCACCTCGATGCCGCGTGCGCCGTGGGCTCTCGTCGCCCATTGTGGATACCGAGTCCCCTGTCGAGCATGCTGTTTGGCTCGCGGCTCGCACTGCACCACGTTTTCTTGCCCAGCGGAGGACGACGTGCCCGCCGTCTGCGCCATCTTGATTGGCGGCGGTGACGGCGGGGGAGGGGGGAGGGGGAGCAGGCGAAGAGCGAATGGCGCGGCGAGTGGGTCGCATAGAAGTCGAAGAGCTGGGAAAGGAAGAGGGAGCCGTTGATGGGAGGCGGGATGAACTTGGCGCTGGGGCGGGTCGGGCAAAACGCACACCGCGCAACGCTTTCCTGGCATGGTGCGATGCACAATCCTCTGAGTCCCTGACCGACACGGGGCAGAGCGGTGAGCGCAGGAGGCTTCGTTCGACGCTGCCGATAGATGGCGACCGTCTGGAGTCACGACGAGTGACCGGTCGAGGGGATGAGGACGCGCGAGGGGCCACTTACAGCAAGAGGGACTCTGATCATCGGAGGCTGGACGCAGCGAGCGGGGAGTACGCGCTGATGAGGGAGACCCGGGGACGTGGCGTTCGATGCAATGCACGGGTGCTCGGCGACATCTCGGGGAGGCGAACGCGCTGGGGTGGCTTGCATATTGGAGGGGGGTGGGGTGGGTATGAAGTGCGAGGTGCATTGGCAAGAGACGCGAGGGGGAGGGTAGAGGGTAGAGGGTAGGGTGTTTTTGCAGAGAACATGGTTTCAACCACTTGGGACGGCAACCTTTTTTTGTGGATGAGCGATAATGATCAGAGGGGACGTCGACTTCTTGAATCTGTTGGATATTGCTATGAAAAACAAAGCCTTTGTAGATTATACTGGTGTTCACCAAGGCGCCTAGGGCGTTCAAGGACTGCTGAATTGAGCTGGTGGAACACTCTACAAGCTGCTGACACTTCAGTTTGCAGCAGACAGTGGCACATGGTTGCCCAAGCAGTCCTCTTCTTCCCACCCAATATATATGAAAATTGCCAGCAATCACGAGAGCAATGGAAGAAAACGGAGGCGTGCACGGCGGATCCTGTTGAACTCGTTGGTTCGTTGAGTTTGGACTCGACTGCCCAATGAGCACGGTCATTTAGATAGATCTTCGATCTCATGATCTTCGTCACGGTCATATGGCAGCTCACCGTGTCGGTTCCCAGCGGTGCCTTTATGAACAGTTCAAAGAATCGAGATCATCCGTCCATCCCCGCCGCGCTAACAGCGTCATGATCGACAGTTTACCCTCTCGATGGGCTGCAAAGGGCTTCTCCTCTCGGGAGAATCGCAGGCTCGTCCCGGGAATCCGCCGGGAGTACACCACGAGACGCCCTCTCAGTCTCCCATGTCTTGCCGCCTCCGCTCCGTCTAAATATTTAAGCTTGCAGGCGAGCTCTTACGAGATGACGACCTCGTAACATCTGCAGCGAAATGCTCCTCACCGCGCTTCTCACCCTCGGCACCACGCACCTGTCCTCCACTGGCCTCGTCGCGGGCGCTGCGGGCGCCCTCCAACAGGTCATGTCCTTCGGGGCGAACCCGACCAACGTCGGGATGTTCGTGTACAAGCCCGCCCAACTTGCCTCGCCCACACCGCTCATCGTCGCGATGCACTTCTGCACGGGCACCGCCCAGATCTTCTTCTCCGGCACGCAGTTCGCCAACCTCGCGGATACGCACGGCTTCATCGTCGTCTACCCGAACGCGCCAGACAGCGGCGGCTGCTGGGACGTGCACACCAACGCGACGCTGACGCACGACGCGGGCGGCGACTCGCTCGGGATTGCGTCGATGGTGCGCTACGCGATCGCGAGCTACGGCGTCGATCCGCAGTTGGTGTTCATGACGGGCAGCTCGTCGGGCGCGATGATGACGAACGTGCTGGCGGGCGCATACCCCGACCTGTTCCAGGCGGGCGTCGCGTTCTCGGGCGTGCCATACTCGTGCTTCTCTGGACCGACCTTGTGGAACTCGGCGTGCGCGGACGGGGACATTATCATGACGCCGCAGCAGTGGGTGAGCGTTCCAACACGACTGCGGTTGCCGGGACTGTCAGTTTTCGGGCTGTCTGTTGATGGGGACTTGGTTTACTTACCTTCTAGGGCACCCTCGCACTCTCGGGCTACCCAGGCTATACCGGCGCTCGTCCCAGAATGCAGCTATGGCACGGCACCGCGTAAGCACCTGTCGAAACATACCTTTCTCCGAGGCTCGCGCCGACCGCCCCATGACCCGACCAGCGACACGACGCTTTTCTACCCGAACTTTGGCGAAGAAATCAAGCAATGGACGGACATCTTCGGCGTCTCCCAGACGCCTACGTCCATGCTGAACAACTCTCCCGCCGCTCCCTGGACTCGGACGAGCTACGGCGCCAATGTGATGGGCCTCTCCGGCGCAGGCGTCGGCCACCCGGCACCCGTGAATGAGGCCGAAACGCTCGCATGGTTCGGCATTGCGGCTATCACGCCAGGCTCGGGCGGCGGAGGGTCTGGCTCAACGACGTCGGCACCTACCGCGACCACGACGGCTGCAGGTGCAACGCAGACACACTACGGACAATGTGGGGGGTGAGTGGTTTCTTGCCTGATGAGAGGTATCAATTCTTGCTCATTTCTCGTCTCTGTATCAAGGGTCGGATGGAGTGGCCCTACCGCTTGTGCCTCCGGCTTCACATGCAAAGCTGCAAATGATTATTATTCCCAGGTCAGTACCGCCCTCAAAAACTTCAAAAATCCCAAACTGACAAAGGCATACACCCTCGTCCAGTGCTTGTGAAGGAGCCCATCTTATGATGTGCTGAAGAATCAAGTCGTTTCCAACCAGATCTGCGAATGTCATGAAGAGAGCGAGGCAGTCCTGCGTGGCTAGGCCATAATTGCGAAGGAATGAAGATGATATTCAAGAGAGCAAACCGTAGTAGCACAAGCATCGTGTCATCATACTGAAATGCCCATACTTCCCGCGTCGAAAACTGGCCTGTCCTCGTCTGCCAAAATCCTACTTTGATTCGGGGTCGTCCGGGTATAGCTAAATCCCGACAAATCAGCGATATTTGGGGGGCACAGACGATAGCTCCCGACCTTTCCCGGATTCATTATGTTCAGCGGATCTACAGCGTGCTTGACGACTTTCATCAGCTGCACAGTGCCCTCGCCCAGCTCCTCTACAAGATACTCCTTCTTCCCGATTCCGACCCCATGTTCTCCGGTACCTGGTCCCTGTTAACTTCGATCTCCATGCGTTCATGAAGAAGGGACCTACAAGTTCCGTCGAGAGAGAGCGCTCGATGGACCAGACGGTGAACGGCGGCGCTGACGGTCTGGAGCTCCTCGTCGTTTTTGAACAGCATCAGTGCATGAAAGTTCCCTGTTTACGAAGGCAGCAGAACTCAGTCTATCTGGGGTAAGATACAGTGCTGGTTTTTCTTCACCATCGCCGACGTGGCCGACGATTGTATACTTGATGCCCGACCCGTCCATATCCTTCTTCGTCTCATGTACAAGCTCCGGGAGGTTCGATACCGGCACACTATCCAATACACCATCCGCGTCAGCTACACCCCTAGCACAAACGTGATATAAATCTTACCATACGTCGGTAGTCCAACACCTCGACCCCGGGTGTGCCGCCAACGTCGACGTCAGCGCGTACTTGCGGTTCTGCCAGAGGTCAGTCGCCTCCTGGTCCGTCGCCGCGAACGCGAACTGGCTGCTCCCGTGCTTGCGCACGATCTTCTTGACGGTGTCTGCGGCGCGCTGGATTGCCTCTGGCGCGCCTTGGATCTTGAAGAACAGACTGTCCTTGACGGGGAGCGGGCGGTCGATCAGGCCGGCTGCGTTGATGGCACTCATGACTTGTCGTTGCGAGACTTTTTTATCAAAAAAATAGTAGAGACAGCGTAAAGGAAGAGAACGTACGATTGTCGTCGAGAAGTTCGACGCATTCTGTATAGTGATGAAACGAGGTGAGATGGTGCTAGCCTTCGAGGTGTGGAGTTGAAGACTTGCGGATGTTGCTTCCGTAGGGTGAAAGCAGGATTTCCTGCACAGCGTTGACGGCTTGTCCCACGTTCGCAAACTGGGCCATCGCAACTTTCGTCGGGACAACCGGCGCCAGGCGAAGCGTTGCTATGCCCGTAGCCGGTCAGTAGATGTCGATGTTCGACGTCGACGTCGATAGTCACCTACCTTCTGTGACGATCCCTGTGCAGAAAATCTTAGAAACAGTCACACGGTCTACGGAAATTCCAGAGGCTCACCTAATGTTCCCTCTGCGCCGATGAACAGCTTAGTAGTATCAAAGCCTGCAGCCGATTTCCGTGCGCGCCGTCTCGTTTTGATAACCTTTCCATTGGGAAGCACCACCGTCTTGATCGACGAAGCCAAGTCAGCGTGCATATATTCACGCGAAAATACATAATGCGGCGTACTCACAAGATTCAGAAACCACTCGCTGCGCGCAGTACCATAGCGCACAGCATTCGCTAAATAACGGAGCCTTCGTTAATCGGCTCGCACACCCGCAATCAGACATGTTATATTCACTTCCCGAGCAGCCTGTACCGACCATTCCGCCGATGGTCTAGTCGTGGGGTTGGTATGGGCGTCAGGCTCGGAGTCGAAGGGTGAGAGAGCAACTCACAGCACCTGGCCCTGGATCAAGCTCAATTACACGGTCATTCCTTTTGCCAGAGGGTTGAACAACATGTGTAGGGGGCTCACCGGAAAGAAGAGAGGGATGTTCTTGTCCTTCAAAGTCTGGTTGATGTCCTCCCAGCGTGCACCAGATTGACACGTCAAGTCACCATCGCCGACTGATGGGCCCTCGCTCCCTCAGCCATTCACATAACTCTACAAAAGATCCGCGCACCGTTGATATTCAAAATCTGGTCCATGCCCGACATATCCAGACAAATACTCCGTGATTCAAACTGAACCCCGAATCCCACACGCAGTCAGCATCCGGAAGCAATAACGACAAGCATTCAACCCCGACTGAACAACACACGCACCCCAGCAAAGTGGCCCTCCAGACTCGTCGCCCCGCTGTACGCTGTGATCGGCACCCTATACCCCCGCGCAATGTCTACAACGCGCACGACATCCTCCGTGCTCATAGGGCGCACCACGACCGCGTGCGGCGCGCTCGGGTGGTACGAGTTCTCGGAGAAGCCATACGTGCGTAGGGCGTCCGCGTCTGTCACGACGCGGTTCTTCCCCGGCAGTGCCCTGCGTAGCTCGTCGATGGCGCGCTGCACCTCGTCGGTCGACGCGTACGCGCGCGCAACAGGCTCGGCCGCGGCGTAGCTCTGATAAGCAAAGAGGAGGCCTGCGCCGAGGGCCGTCGATCCCAGGAGAGCCACGGCTTTCGAGATGGCGGTGGGCTTGTTATGGGGAGCATGTGTGGTCAGGCACCGCATGCTAAATGTGGGAGGCCGTGACCTGCTAGAGGCGGCGACGGCGAGCCTGAAGGCAAAGCGTGCTGGCCGCTGGCGACATAGGCCTTGGAACGTCCTCTGAGAGAGGCAGAGCATGTCAACGTTACTACCTCAACGTCGAGGACAACGAGAAGGCGCGGCTGGGCGACCGGGGAGACTTGAGCTAGCGCATGGGACAAGAAATATAAAAGCAGTGGTCCACTGCTCAGATGACACAATCCACGGTCAAATGACGAGCGCCAAACGATAACCACGCCTCGAGCCTCGTGTCGGTTAGAACAATCTCTACTTTTTACCATATCATAGTATTAGGACGAAAACAGTCCGAGATCAGAAAATAGGGCGGGCATGCGGGACAAAGCAAGCGAAGGGAGGAGCTCGGAGGGGATGAAGTATAACATATACAAGATGGTTCAAAACGTCGACGTACACGATTTCCCTACAGGAAGCGCGTGGGGACAGGTCGAAAAAACGACGTATGGGGTTTGCTAAGAAAGAGGAATTAACGAGCGTGGGGATCGGATGGGCTGTGACGTTGTGTTGTTTTGAGATCGGCGTGGGTGTAGGGGGTAAATGGAACTAAGATATCGATAGAGAGATTCGAATCAGACGAAACGAGGTGAGGAAAGAACATAGGATACTAATGGTGCAGGCAGGCGGGACGAGATAGGTACGAAGAGCATGAGACAGTCGACAATGATATGCAGCAAAAGCGAAATATGAGGGTAAAGAAACGACAACAGACAGGAGAAGCGGAGCCGCGGCAGTAGAAGGGAATAATTAGTAGAGATATGTATGTGTGGTCAATGGGCGTGGTGAGAGCGAGGGAAAGGGTGACAGAAGGTGCGACGACAGGGTGAAGTGGAAAATTATGGGATGGACGGATCGACCGAAACAGAAGACTGGGGAATCAGATAGAGTGGGAAAGACGCGAAACAGAATGGCTTGGGAAGCAAGGGGTGTAGAAGCAGGAAGGGCACGTTTGCGTCGCTCTAAAAATCGATTCAGAGGTTGAGGTCAGAGAGAGTCTATTGTATTCCACAAAGAAAGGATAGGATATATCACAGAAGGCGGCGTCAATACCGGGCGAGCGGCGGACGAAACTAGACAAGACAGACCGGGTTGGACTAGGGGAGGGGGGGCACGATAGACGCTCGGTAAACAGCCATCTCGAAGACGGGTTCAAACGCTGTGGTGGAGATGGTGGAGGAGAGGGAAGGAGGTACGGGGTGGGGAAGATTGTCCAGATCAATCCATTCGCAATTCCAATCTTGACTCTAGCAATCCGTTTGAAGTCTCGCCAGTGATCGCCGGTCGGTGTTTCAACACACTTCGCAAAAATTCGAAATGTGCCCTTCCACGGGCATGACGGTCTACGGCCTATAAGCACAACGTACAGATACATAAGGGAGAAGTATGCACAACAACACACCTATATTAAGCCTGCTCTCTGACCTGCGCATTCCAAATCGAGCCCTTCCCGCCTTTCCCTCACCCCGCAGCCGGCAACCAATGATTCCATCCCAAACCCTGCCATCTCACTCTCCACCCGCCCAAAGCTCCCACCTCGCTCCAAAAAGACGGTCATCAGACGTCCACGTAAATCAACACCGGCTCGCCCACGCCCTCGATCTCTGGGATGACGCATTTAAGATCGAAAGCCTTTGCGAGAACAATTTTGAAGATCTTCTGCACGTTGATGGACGCGGATGTGGAACAAAAGATGAGTGATGCGTGCATTGCTTTGGCGAAGCGCTTCGCCTGGCTCGTCGAACACATTTATCATTCGATCAGTGTGAGTGGACAGCAAGATCGCGGGAGGGCCACGCACCTGCTTTGTGATCTCTTCTTGCTCGTCTCGTGGAAAGGTCGCGAATGTGTCGAATTTCGTGCCAATGAGGAATGGAATTGCTGTCTGAACAGTGAAACTCGATCAATACCCAATACACTCTCAGACCAACGCCCGATCCCAATCATCGCATTACGTCCGTTGCCGCCAACACATGCCATCGCGAAGGGAGAACATTTCAAAGCGCCCCACTTGACGCCGAGAACGACAGTGAAATCGGCACTCACCTTGTTGAACCCTCGCGCCTGTCGATACCACTCCTTGACCGAATTGAGTGTCGATTTTCGTGACAAGTCAAACATGAACAGGATAGCGACGGCGTCGTTGCACACGAGGGGCAGCATGTTGACGAACTCCCGCTGTCCTCCCAGATCCCATATTGAGAACGTGATCGTCGTTCGCCGCACCGAGATCGTCTTCTCCATGAAATTGACGCCTGCGGCGGCCCACGTAGGAATCGCATCGGTCGCCGCAGCGGATCAGGATTCAAGCCAAGCCAATTCAACGAGAATGAGGACGACTGTGGACGGGATGAGGGTGAAGCGAGCGCGACACGCACCCAGCGTCTGGATATAATCCTCGTCAAAGCTGCCCTCGACGTACTTGACCATTAAGCTCGTCTTGCCGATCTGCGAGTCCCCGACCATGCCAACCTTGATCACGACGCTGTAAACGCCGCAGTATCAGCGCACGATGATCGCCACGCCAGGAGGGTTGAAGGGAGACGGCGAGAGCGCGCACCTGTTCTTCTCATCGTTGTTGCTCAAGAGTGGGTGTGCGTTCTGCCCTGTGCCCGATGACGATGCGGCTTGTGCTGATGATGAAGATGAAGCGACGTTCGACATTTGTGCTCCTTGGGGGTGGTGTTTGTTGCGACGCTGAGGGGATCACGGTTAGAGGATTAAGACCAGAAAAGCGACGTCTGTGTTGCACGTCTGCTTTGCGAGGGGGAAGAGATGAAAGTGAATGTGGCGGGGAGGATGCCTGGGGGATAGAAAGAAAAGCGAAAGGAAGAGAAATGTTAAAGAAAGAACGCGTTCTGATGTAACTGTTTGAGCTTGGAACCTACCGAACACAGCTGAGCAGAAACAGCGAGGCAACCAACCGCCAATCCCCAGCGGTGGCGCCGCATTCCCTCGGTAAACAATGGACACTCTCTCCGAATCTCCTCTCTTTGCTTGCGTAAATAAATGCATCTACAACCACCCCCAATCTTCCGTGTCTGCACACGATAGAACCCGCTAATGTTCTCGGTGTGATACATGTTCATGAGGGCATCGCCCACGGTCTATCACCGCTCACTTCTTCCTTCAAAACGACAATACTTGTAAAACACCGTCCCCTTCTCGACAGTCTCCGGCGGACAGGACGTGTAAATATAATAGGATACGGCCGAAACGACGATGTGATTGCAAGGTAGAACTGCAAAGTATGGAATGAATGTAAAGCAAGCTCCACTTGCCTCCAACGCCCATCGCCGTCAGTCCACCAATCATCAGACAGCGTTCACCGGAAGACACGGCGCGATTCCAGCCTTGCGCATTGTGCCCATATGAGCAAAGCCGAGGCAAGGACGTAGCAAGGAGGAAACTCGTATGAGCAGAAGTTGATCTGGTCTAGACCTTGATGGATTCATAGAGAACCCCTGGGGCGTCTCGAAGAGAGCCAAGCATTGTGGAGAGGCAGAGAACCAAGCGAGCGTCATTGGCCTGATCAGGATGACCACTGCCGAGGACAACTCGAGAATGGGCAGCAGCCAGGACGATGGCCCCTTGAGGTAGGCAGTTTCGCCAAGAAGCAAGAAACGGGCAAAGAGACCGAGTGTGCCGTCAGGAAGATGGCGTGCTGCCCGAGCTGAAAATATCGAGACTGAGAAAGAGAAGTGATAATAGGGCGAAGCGCGTTCCAGTAGCTAGTTGTGGAGAGACGTTGTTTGTGCACTCCGCGGTAAGGGCATCGGCACACGGCGAAAGGCCTGGAAATCATCATTGAGATCCGTCGACGGTGAGATGAAAAAACAGTACAGAGGCTTTGAGATACCAAAACGCAAACCAGGATCTGTGAACATCAGTATAGGTTATAGACTCAAGAATGTTGCCAGGATACAAGTTCAAGGGCTATCCTTGAGGCCTTGAGGATACGTCGAGATTCTGATGGGCAGTGACCGAGTCTATGTGGAGAAGGTGGAATATACGGGTGATGATGTCGGAAAGATGCAGGCGGTTTGTTGACATTGATGAGCATCGACGAAGCCTGTTGATCATCGAAGACCTAGAGAATCGTGAAGTCGTGAAGTCGCCAATGTGGGATGGTGCCGCCTCGGCAAGTCCCGTAAGAACTGTATAGTTTCTCACGCTTGCCACGTGGCTGAAACCCTGTCCCCAATCTCGTCAACTTCGCCCAGCCATCCTCAAGACCACACACCAAAATGTCGAAGCGCGGTATGTCCTCCGTATATCATTCATCTCCATTGTTTCGCTCATGAATTCTTTCAATCGATTTGTCGAATCTCTGTCCAACCAACGCTCTCCGGTTGCTCGTCTTGCGATGCGCTTCGCTGCTTATTTGCTGGGTCGTAATGTTCAGGCTCTGGAGCCTCCGGCAACAAGTTCCGCCTTACACTCGGTCTGCCTACGGGCGCCGTGATGAATTGCGCAGACAACAGCGGCGCCAAGTCGCTCTTCGTTATCGAGCCGTACGGTTTCGGCTCGCATCTTAACAGACTTCCCGATGCCGGTGTTGGCGACATGTTCGTCGCATCCGTGAAGAAGGGAAAGCCCGAGCTGAGGAAGAAGAGTGAGTTTGTTTTCCTGTTCTGACGATTGGCAACGGCTTCAGGGAAGGGAAAGCCTAGTTTCATTTTTTTTGGAAGCGACGCTGTGTATAACTGAGTTAAAGTACACAGTAGCCTGGCTGGGGCGGCAGGTTTAACACACAGAGGCGTGCGCGGTTGCGAATCTGGTTGCTGACCGCTTGGATTCTTTTAGCCATGCCTGCCGTTGTCATCCGTCAACGCAAATCCTGGCGCCGGAGAGATGGTCTCTTCCTATACTTCGAGGTGCGTTTCTCTCCTTTGCATGCTTTCCTACGTCTTCTCACTCGACATCGGTCTGCACAAAGGACAACGCCGGTGTCATTGTAAACAACAAGGGTGAGATGAAGGGTTCGGCGATCACAGGCCCAGTAGCAAAAGAATGCGTACGTCTTTCCCTGATCGTTCGCTCATTATCTTGGTTAACATCAATGTTGTCAGGCTGATCTCTGGCCTCGTATCGCCTCCAACGCCGGTACTGTGGTATAAACCTCATCATAGTTCCGTTTCTGTTTCCATTCTTTTTCTCGACTTGCCTCCATCGTCTGATTGTGATGTTGTGTATCTTTGCTACCACCGCATGCTGCATGCCCATGTCCCGACAAGTATGATCATGATCATATCATAATTCATCGCATCGTGTGCTAGTGAGAAGACCATGTTTTGTCTGCGCCAGGTCTTCTCTGAGTCTCCAGGTGTTCCTTCACAAGTCCTTCGGCTCCCTTTTCTTGAAGGATGCCATGATGCAGACGTTGAACGTTATTCTCGACAATACCATCTATATCTCAACCTACTAAGCACGCGTGGGAATCCTGTATGACCACGCTCGCTGCTGGTCGCGACCTCAACATCACCAGCTCGCAATGCTATCATGACCTCTACATCTCGGAGTGTCCCGTTCTCTAGGAAAATGCATTGAGACGCTTCGCAATGCTCTTCCTCGTTGAACATTGACATGACGCCGGAAAGCCATCTTGACATCAGACGATGTGATACACGACGGGCTTCATTCCCTTTTATCGAATTTTCGTCAATTTGAGTGCGGAGGATATTTCTGATGATGTTATGTTGCAGTTGTGTGTAGGCAGATTAGGTATGCGCCCATCGTTGATTGCACTATTGCGTGGTATTGATAATTCACGTTTGTCAACCCTCAGGCCTCATTATTCAGGCTATTCGAGCTTGCCAACGAGGCGATTGGATGCTCAGCAATCTCAGTCACCACGACTTTGAGAATCCATCGAGATAGGTGCACTCGTGGCTTATGGGTTTATACGCATTCTCTTAGTGTTTTGTCGAATTCGACTGGGGGAGCTTAAGTTTCGACTACGCGGGTCGAGAAGGACAATCAGTTCGACAAAGCGCAAGTGTGGGTTTTGTCGCTCGTGGCTTCTCTAGCTGACTTTCTTCCTTGATGATTTACTGAGATAGCGTAGGCAGAGAGGCACTTGATCTTACTCTGAAATACGCTACTAAGAGGGCTCGTTTTATTGTGAGCTGGACGACGGCATCCGTTTCTTCTTGCAACTCACCTTGTCTACGAAGATATGCAGTATGATAACCATGTACAAGGACCCGGATGGGTACAGTGTCAAGGCTCGTGATCTCTACTGTCCTCTCATTATTGGCAGCAGATATTGACCTCGCAATACACATAACCTGGCGGAAATATTCAAGAAAGACACGTCCATGCATGGCTTCATCAATATTACTTGGACTGGTGAAACGCGACGAACAGTTCTATAAAGAAGTTCCTAAGCCGGTGAAGGAGGGTAAGATGAAGTATCAGGAGGACATCACCTGTGGTGTGGAGCATGCTTGTCAGGGAATATTGGACGTGCAGCGGGGAGCAAACAAGAGAAAGAAGGTCATACTCTTAGCGGATGAGTGACTGGCTGTCTGCGCGACTATTTCTGACGTTGTGACCTTAGTGATACTTGAAGATGCATTTGTTTTGATTGTTGAAGCTAACTGAGTATCATGAGGTTATGGGTGTCACAGTATATCTAAGTACGTCTTAGACCGGCGACTTGACACTGATCACAAGCAGCATGGGGCAGTTGGAAGCGCGCAGGGCTCATAACTTGATTACCCTGAGGTCCCTCGGTCGAAGCGAGGTGCTGATACTTCTTTTATGATGTTGGGCCAACAACTGACCTACTCTCCAGTTCAATCTAATCTACTCCAAATGCACTCGTGGGCTGCCCCATTGTGCATCGAGTAAGATATGTAGTGATGGGCTAACATGCTCAATTTGATAACAAGCAGCATGGCGCAGCTGGTATAGCGCGCAGGGCCCATAATTTGGTCACCCTGAGGTCCCTCGATCGAAACGAGGTGCTGCTATCACCTTTGCAATTTTTTTGAGAGTGGTTTGTGTATTTTGATTGCTCTAATTATCAGGGATACCCTGGCCTCGAATTGCACTGCAAGACCGCTAAATGTCAAACATTGTATATGAGCTAGAGACAAAGCACTGTTCATGGTGCCTTATAGATGCCTTAGGATTAGCACTTAGTGCTCAGCCATGACTTAGTCATCAAGAGAGATAGCCATGGCCTAATGCAATTGCAGATCCAGGTATGAAGGACTGGGCACATCCAAAGTCATAGAGGAACATGCAAGGCATGTGTCTTTTGATGGATGAGTCAGTGTTAGGAACTAGTAGGTCCAGCTTAGTATAATTGGCCAAGTAAGGATCTGTGGTGTATTTAGTCCATGGATCATAGTAGCTTTGGCAAAGTTTCAGCTTAGTGAAGCTAGAAAATGTCCAAGATATAATCTATCTGATCTAATAGCTGTTAACAGTGCTTTCTCAGCAGATCTTTGCCATCAGTTTATTGTAGCATGCATTTATGCTCTGATTAGAGCTCAGTGATCCTTACTCAAACAGGGCAATGCAGAGACTATAATTTGCTTATAAAGGAGGATGTCCTGTCATGTCTGCCAAGAGATTATGCTGCATTTGGTGAAGACTCTATTGAATGGTATAGAGGGCTTCTAGTCATGATTCAAATTCTCTATTCCAGAACTATGCCATCTTCAACCTTGAAGCTTTTGCAGCCCATAAAAGTCAGCAATATGATACTACAGCACCACATTGTTATGGCTCCTCTCACTTGGCTGAGAGCAAATGGGCATCATGAGCTTGGGGGTCTATCTATGAAATACTATACCTAGCATGCCTCTATTCCGGGAAGCCTTATTATAACAGAGGCAATGATTGTTACTGCTAGGGCAGGTAGATTTCTAGATAGTCCCAACATCCTAGGTATATGGATCAATGGGTCAATTGCTGGTTAGAAAAAGGTCAGTTGACAAAGCCTGCTAGTAGTAGTGAATTTGCTACTCATGATTAGTGAGCTAGATTGTGGATGCCATCCATGCTAAGGGCTCTTTTGTCTACCTTCAGCTCTTCGCCATGGGTTGTGCAGCATGTCTCATAGTGCTTGCTCATGATGACCTAACCTTACCCTATGTCAGCATAGGCAACATACCCCTTACTGGCTGCAAAGACTGCACCATGATACTGCACCCATTAACAATTGCCAAAATCAAGGAATAAATTGAGCTCTATGCCATCACTGCTACTGATACTGTGAGAAAGGCTAGCTTTGATAGGGTCAAGCTCTATGCTGTAAGTAGATACTTCTTGAATCAGTTTATTCAGCCTAGCGCTAACAACTGCATAGATGGATATAATAGCTCTATTAAAAATCATATTCAGCTACTGCTCAAGGCTCTTAATGCCATCATTAAGGCTGCTCATAGTACATGGAAAGTAGGTTTCTATACTAGCCCCCAGGGATAGTATCAAGGTTAGTGTCTTTGCTTTCAGGTTTTATGATATTTAATATATAGCAATTTATCTATAGAAATAAGAATGGAAGATCCAGTGCCTACATTTACTGAGCTGATGATATGCATTCATGATGCTTACCCTAACATTGCCTACCTTCATGTCTTAGAGATGCATATCAATAGCATGTATAACAGAGATTTTGTCCCAGCACACAAAAATAATGACTTATTGTATGAGATCTAGGCACCTAGGCCTTATATTGCTGTTAGAGGCTTTAATAGAGACATAGCTATTGAATCAGCAGAGATAAAAGGTGATCTCATTGCATCTGGGTGACAGTTTATTTCCAATGTAAGTCCCATCATTTGTAACATGAGTATTTCCAACTGACCAGCTTTTAGCCAGATCTTCCTATGTGCACATAGAAGGGCCTACTCTTAATGCCCTATAATTGGAGCATATTCTATATGGTGGAGAGCTTGAAGGGGTATACCAACTATTTCTTTGCCAAGGAGACTCCCCAAAGAGTGGCTTTTGAGGCTTAAGTTTATAGATGGTAATGTATAAACATAAAACAGAGGTGATATACATCTAGTTTGGATCTAATTGTTTTGAGAAAGCAAAAAGTGAGCAGTTGATGTAATACTTACTATCATTGATTCAGTGCTATAACTAGTGTCCCAAAATCCTGTCTGTAGTACAGGTTTATTCTATATCTCCAGCAGCATATGACATGAGAGCAAGTTATTTACTATAGCTGTGGGCTAATGCTCTCAAAATTGGCCAGGCTAGTATTCAGTTAACTAATAAAAGATTATCAAGGCCACTGCAAAGCACAGTTCAAGCAGGTTACTTATTCCTCACAAAAGTAGATATCCCATACATACATAGTCTAGACATGTGCTATGCTATTAGACTATAATACAAACTATAAATAAATAAAAAGATTATTGAACACTGTTTTAAAAAGGGAGGGGGCTATTTGTTAGCTTGGATTGAACATCTATTGAGGGTTAAAGGTGGGTTTTACAGGAAAATAGTCATTTATTATATAATACAAGACCTTGATAGAAAAACATGCTTAGTGTAAATGATTGTCTAATACCATGAATGCAATATGAGGATATTGAGGGCCTTCCAGATGTTATTACAGCAACTTACTAGCTAAGACTAGATAGGCAATATTGGGAAGAAGAGCTGGTAGGAAACAAAATCTTAAACATATGGTAAACATGGAAATATTGTCTTTTGGAGTCTCATGTAGTGTGAGTGAGTAGGAGAGATAGATTCTATAGCACTCAAGGTGTCCAAAATGCAATTGGACTCATAAGACCATGAGATGATAGCCATTTACCTCAGATATCTCCATCATTACTAATGATGCTACATTGTGCATGACATTTGCCTCCTCACTATATTATTGGTGTTGAAGAACTTGACAAGGTCTGGAAAGTGACTCTTGGATAGGAGAAGATTGAAGAGGCAGGATTTTGTTGATTTGACTGGAAAGTCAAGAAGAGAGTGCCAAAAAGAGACATCAAGTTTGATGAACAAAGCGACAGAAGAATGCGCAGGGGATCTTGTAGAGGCTGGGACTGGGGTAGAGGCGATTGAGCTATTGTGAACGAGCAAAACTACTCCCTGGCGGGGAGTCGAACCCCGCTCTCGCGCGTGACAGGCGCGTGTACTAATCCGATATACTACCAGGGATATGGTGAAGACTCAAATTGATGATCTATGACTGCGTAGACTGTTCCGATAGGTGCAGAGCGGTTTCTCACTTCAGTCCTTCTCTATCCCCAGCCGACTCGTACTTTTGACAAAATCTGTAGGACATGGCTGTCAACGATCTCTTTTCTTTCCTTGAAGAGGACCCTACACACGAGCAAGATGACGATGATGTCCCAGAGGTCATGGACGTTGATGCACCTGCATCACCAAACCGTGCTGCTACACCCGAGACGAAGAAACGCAAAGCAGAACGCTCGAATGGCCATGCACCGTCATCAATAGAGAATGAAGGGGTGGAAGGGTCGGCAACGAAAAAGCGACGTGTGGAGCCATCATACCAGCCAGTCGTAGTGGATGAGTTCGAGACGGAGGCGAAGAGAGAGGTCATAGCGAGTGCTGGACTAACAGAGTCGGCAGATGCTGTGGGCTCAAGGCTGGAGTTGAAACATCAGGTGCGCAGCGTGCTGCTTGTATTTTTTTTTTGCATTGGAGACGCGTCTTCGGACAGTCCATCTCGTGCCAATGCATTCACCATCAAGCAACGAATTCATGATGCTCCGGGCTTCCTTTTTGTCACCCATAGGTCCGACATCAGGTCGCTGTCCCTCCAGGATATGACTACATCCCAATATCGAAACATGTGCCACCCGCGAAGCCCGCGCGTGAATACAAGTTCACGTTGGATCCTTTCCAACAAGTTTCGATTTATGCGATTCAGCGGAATGAGAGCGTACTCGTCTCGGCGCATACCAGTGCGGGAAAGACCGTGGTGGCTGAGTATGCTATCGCCCAAGCATTGCAGAATAAGCAAAGGGTTATCTATACGAGTCCTATAAAGGTGCGTTCTACAGCTATTTTCGTCGTCGCATAACCGGTTCGACTATATGTGGTTTCTTTTCGTTTACAGGCACTCAGTAATCAAAAGTATCGAGAGATGGAGGCTGAGTTTGGTGATGTCGGGCTGATGACTGGAGATGTGACCCGAAATCCTACAGCATCATGCCTAGTAATGACGACGGAGGTGCGACTCAATCACATACCGTCACGGACAATGCTTCACTCTGCTTTTGAACACAGATTTTACGTTCCATGCTCTATCGTGGCTCCGAGATCATGCGAGAGGTCGCATGGGTCATCTTCGACGAGATCCACTACATGCGCGATAAGGAGCGTGGCGTCGTTTGGGAAGAGACTATCATCCTCCTCCCACACTCTGTGCGCTACGTTTTCCTTTCCGCGACCATTCCGAACGCGATGCAGTTCTGCGAGTGGATTGTCAAATCTCACGAGCAGCCATGTCACGTCGTCTACACTGATTTCCGCCCAACACCGCTGCAACATTATCTCTTTCCTGCCGGGGGACAAGGGATCTACCTCGTGGTGAACGAGAAGGGTGAATTCAGGGAGGACAACTTCTCCAAGGCTATGGGTATGCTACAGGAGAAGATGGGCGAGGATCCTGCGGATTCGAAGAGCGGTGCGGGGAGGAAGGGTAAGTCAAAGAAGGGGGGCGAAAAGAAAGGTGAGTATGGTGGAGGGTAGACTTACAGCAGCATCGAGCTGACGTTTCCCACTCAGGTCCGTCGGACATTTCGAAGATCATCAACATGATCATGAAAAAGAACTTCAACCCGGTTATTGTGTTCGCGTTCAGCAAACGTGAATGCGAATCCCTCGCGCTCCAGGTAGCAAAAACAGAGCATAACACGGCCGAAGAGCAAGACTCAGTCGAGAAAATCTTCACTAATGCCATCGCCGGTCTTTCTCCAGACGACCGCGGGCTGCCACAGATAGCGAACATACTTCCTCTGCTAAAACGCGGCATAGGCATTCATCATGGCGGTCTTCTCCCTATTCTCAAAGAAGTCATTGAGATTCTCTTTCAGGAGGGCCTCATCAAGGTGCTCTTCGCCACGGAGACATTCTCCATCGGTTTGAACATGCCTGCGAAAACCGTCGTCTTCACCGCCGCGCGGAAATTCGACGGGCACGAATTCCGTGACCTATCCTCTGGCGAGTACATTCAGATGTCAGGGCGTGCTGGGCGGAGAGGCTTGGACGACAGGGGAGTGGTTATCATGATGTGCGACGAAAGGTTGGAGCCTACAGCTGCCAAGAACATGGTCAAGGGCGAAGCGGATCGCTTGGATTCAGCGTTCCATCTAGGGTATAACATGGTGCTGAACTTGATGAAAATTGAGGTGATCAGCCCGGAGTACATGCTCGAGAGGTGTTTCTTCCAATTTCAGAGCAGTGCCGGCGTGCCGATCCTCGAAGACCGTGAGTACCGTCTTTTGCGAACCTCTCGGCTTGCCTCTGAATTCATTTCATCTTTGGACCAGAGTTGAAAAAGGCTGAGGACGAGAAGTCGACGATGATCATTCCCGACGAGGAGCTTGTAGAGGAATACTACGAGTACCGGCAACAATTGGACCAGATGTCGGCTGATTTCCGAGATGTCATCACACATCCGAACTACAGCCTTCCCCATCTTAAGCCTGGTCGTCTCGTCAAAATCAAGTACCAAGATATGGATTTCGGCTGGGGCGTGGTCATCAACTACCAGAAACGCCTGCCGCCAAAAGTGAGTAGTTGTTGTGAGTCTTGCACACGAGCATCAGAGCTGAGCTTATATACAGAACCGACCTACACCCAAAGCCGAGGAATTGCCTCCACACGAGCAATATATTATCGATGTCTTACTCAATTGCGCTTCAGGGTCGACGGCTCCCACACAGAAAGACCGTCAGAACATGCTTGCAACGCCAGGAGGTGTACAACCCTGTCTCCCGGGGCAGAAGGGGGATCCACTTGTCGTGCCCGTGCTGCTATCTACGTTCAATGCTATCAGTCATCTAAGAATATACCTGCCGAAGGATCTACGACCACTGTCCGCACGAGAGACTGTGTGGAAAAGCGTATTGGAAGTTCAACGACGGTGTCCGGACGGAATTATGCTATTGGACCCAATTGAGGACATGGAAATCAAGGACGAGAAATTCAAAGCACTCGTCAAGGTACGTCACCTGTTGGCTGCTATAGATCGATGCTGATGCTGTTTCCGGACGATTACAGAAGATCCAAACTATGGAGCAAAAGATGTACGCAAGCCCACTACACAAAGATCCTCGTCTCCCCGAGCTTTACTCGCAATACTCGCAGAAACGAGAAGCGCAGGAGCGCATCCGCGCGCTCAAGAAACGGATCAACGCGACCAACGATGTTTTGCAGCTGGAAGAGCTCAAGTCACGGAAGCGCGTGCTCCGGCGGTTAGGATTTACAAATGCGGACGACATCGTCGACATAAAGGGCCGCGTAGCGTGCGAAATCAGCACGGGCGACGAGTTGTTACTCACGGAGCTGATATTCAATGGCGTCTTCAACACACTGTCGCCCGAGCACAGTGCGGGGCTACTTAGCTGCTTCGTATTTGCGGAGAAGGTGCGTGTGCTTGTTTCGAGTCTTGCATCTATATAAGCGCGATGTTGACGATACCTGGGCGCACAGAGTACACAGCCAACCAAACTCAAGGAAGAGCTGGCTGCACCCTTGCGTGTAATGCAAGAAATTGCGCGACGGATAGCCAAGGTGTCGAAAGAATCCAAGCTGCCCGTTGTCGAAGAAGAGTATGTCTCCTCCTTCAAAGTCGAGCTCATGGACGCTGTCGTGCAATGGTGTCGCGGCGCTTCGTTCGCCGACATATGCAAGGTGAGCACACTGCCTCGTTCTCATTGCTGACCCAATTATTTACCTTCAATCTGGATTAGATGACGGATCAGTTTGAGGGCAGTCTAATCCGCGTGTTCCGGCGACTGCAGGAGCTCATCCGCCAGATGACTCAGGCAGCCAAAGTCATCGGAAATAGTGAGCTGCAGCAGAAGTTTGAAAAGGCATCGGAGATGCTCGAACGCCCGAACTCGGTCATCTTCTGTTCATCATTATATCTGTAAACTTTTCCGTCACTGTATCGTTACCTGCTTCTTCTCATACAACCCTCCGGGCCCAATCTATTCCTATTCACACCACAATGCTCACCGATTATGCTTGAGCGATGGAAGACCTTAATTCATGGTTTTGTACAATCCAATCGATGAAAAGTGATGTGGGTATGACACTTATGTACATGATTCGTCGTTAGGTTGAAGGAAAGACTACTTTCAAAGAAAGTGACCTGATATACAAGACGCTCTTTCCTTGATATATATGTCTTCGGCACTCACTCAGCAAGCGCCGCTGTCGGTCCAGACGTCAGCTGTTTCCAGACATTCGATGGCATCAGTCCAAATCTGCAATCAGTAACTTGACGCAAGCCACGCACCTGACCCTCCAGGGGTATCCGCCTCAGTCCACCATTTAGCTGTCCACAGGTGTCCTTCTGTAGACGCGATCGTTTATCAGTTCGCAGTGCTGATGGGGAACAAGCAAGACAAAACTCACTGTAAGTCACCTTCAGTCCTCCCGTGTATGCGACCTGTGAGTCCCGCACGAGATTAGACGCTCCATCCTTCTACGCGAGTGAGCACGATCGGCGAAAGACTTACTGTGGAATCCCATGCCGCGACCCCCGCACACGCGCCTGAGCTGGGCGCGGTTGTCGTGGCGGGCTTAGACGTCGTGGCTGGAGCAGACGTAGTTGGCGGAGTAGTAGTCGTAGCTGGCGAAGTGGTGCTCGTGCTAGTCGACTTGGAAGTGGTGCTCGTGGCCGTCGTGCTACCAGCTGAAGTAGTCGTGCCAGGCGAGGAAGGCGACTGGCCCATGTTGCTCCGGATATTGTCCCACTTGCTGTTCGGGTAATTGATGTGGTTCTATGTGTCCGTGCACGCAACCTTGAGTTATCGAGATCGCCTGAAAAAATGAGGGAAGGTGCGTACCGCTGTTTGGTCGAGGTTGCCTGGGCCGTACACACCCGAGCTGGTGCCCACGAGCGAGTCAGTGCCGACCTTATCCGTGGACAGCTAGCAACCAACCGAGCCGATCAGTACAAAGCTTCATCAAATGATGGCGAAAAACAGCACATACATCCCAGAACATAGATCCTGCAAGGCCCTTGTTCATCACGTACTGCGCCTTGAGCTGGACAATGTGCGGCGTGTCGTATGAGATGAGCTCTTGCTTAGCCGAGTCGTATGAGTAGCTTGACACGTCCGTCGTGTTCTCAATGACCTGCGCGCCCGCTAACGGGAGGTCCTTGTACGACCAGATTCCTGACTCCGTCGTTCCAGAGCCGACCTACATGTACCAACGTATGGGATGAGAGTTTGATGAGATGGTGTGAGCATAAATTTTGCACTTCGAGAGGAGATTCAATCGACCACTTACACCATTGTACGGCTGCCCAAGCCCGGCTGTCTGTTCAAATCCACGCCCGTACAATGGTATACCTGAAATTCATTAACTCAACGTTCAACGAAGGAGATGCATCAAGATTCAGGGACAGCCGCACGCACCCATGTTGATTTTTCCAGCCGTCGCGCCCTGCGAAGTGAACCATTTGACAGCCGAGTCGGTGTTGACGCCTGTGCGCGCACCGCCGTACAGGTTCGCCTGGTTATCACTCTGCGCATACAAACGTCAGCTCTCGCCCCAACATCAAAACGTGTACACGCGTGCACTTACCCAGCTCAACCACGATCCGGCATAGTCGTATGCCTATGGTGAGTGCGTCAACGTCGATGGCACCAAAATAAAGGGCAAAGGAATGCAACACACCATCAAATTCCAGTACGACAGCGCCTTGTCCATTTGGCCAACCACAAGGTTCGCATAGTTATCCGCGCCGGCCGACACAGCAGACTATGCATGCGACATCGTTACAGGGAATGCAGGCCCACGATGGAAGTACATATATATCACAGAACCCAAAATCAGAACCGAATGTTTCAGAGAGAGAAAGAAAAAGCTCACCGTGAGCTGGTAGGTCGTCGCGTCGCCCTTCTTCGCTGCGAGGGCGTCGAGTGCTGTGCGCAGCGAGGTATACAGATTCGCGAAGCCCTGGCCCTGTGCCGCATTGGCAGGGTACTCAAAGTCTAGATCACTGTCATCACGACGTGCACGCATGGAGCATCAGCAATCATCATCGCGGCCCGCTTGAAACAGGTCAAGGCCAAGGGGGAGACGCACATCCCGTCAAATCCATAGTCTTCGATGAGCTGCACAGCACTGCTGACGAAGGTCTGGCGCAGACCCGCGTCGGTAACGAAGGAGAAGTGGCCCGCCTGGGAGTAGGTCCAGCCACCGACGGACAGGAGTACTTTTAGGTTCCTGCAGATCGGTACTAGCGGTCAGCATCGGGCTGTGCCTAACTTGGACATGTACGTGGAGTGACTCGCCTGTTAGCCAGTTTCAGGAGGTACAACTATCAAGGCCGTCGTTGCAAATTAGGAGCACAGGAGCAGAAGCGGAGAGGCGAAGACAGCGAAGACGAAGACGAAGACGAAAACGAAGCAGGGGCACAAACAGAATTGGAAGGTCAGCCATCGATGTCGCGAAGGAAGTAGCAGCACTTTATCCCTGACTAGGCACGCTGGCAGAAGGGACGACATACCTGCTTCAGGCACCCATAGAGGTTGTTGCCCGGCTCGGACCAGGAGTCACCTGGGAAGTGTTTCTACGTTCAAATAAAAACCGATGAATAATTGCTGTTTGATAAATCAAGCGGGTAACGACATGCCTGCTCATCGGCGTACGAGTCCGTGAGGAAGATTGAGCCCGTGCTGGGCGTAACGTCCGCAAAAGAGTACAATATATGAGTCAAGTCCGCGGGAAGAATGTCCGTCGGCTCTGTTCAACGCGAGCCATACACGCCTCATCAGCCAACATACACAACGCACAAATGCGGCAAGGTTACGAAGCACTCACGGAAGTTCGCGCCGTAAATGCCCCTGCAGCCCGATCGGGTAGCATCGTCAGCTCATCGTTTCCACCCAAAACAGCGCGCCGAGCAATATACGGTCGAAGTGTTGACTCACCAGTTCGTGAAGTAGGCGGCCTGCACCTTTCCCGTGCTCGCGCTTCTCTCAACGATCTGCGGCTCTATGCTCGCTGCGTGAAATTCCTCCGGCCGAAACTTGTAATTTACAGGCCGATGCATCACCTGCGTCGCGTCCACGACAGATGTAGCAGCCAATACAGCCGCAACGAGGAGCGCGAGGCGTGTGAAAATACGTGGTCTAGAGTGGATTGCCATTATGGGTGATTGAGTTCAGGTATCAAAAAGCAAGATTCTTGGTATAGGGTGTCCAGTGCCGAGAGGTGAGCTGTCGGCAGGTGTGAGTTCGGTGTGGAACTTGGTCGGGTTTGGGGGGATCATATCAACCCACAGGGTATTTAAGCAGACCCATCTATCAGTTGGAACGAAATGAGCCAGGATGGGGCCTTGCTTGAAACACTAGTAGAGCCCATGTCTACGATTAGGCATACGCCCCGCGTGCCGAGCCGCGGGACGCCGTGATCTTGTGTCGCTGGCCAAGCTAGCGAAGAGTACGAGCCCTGAGCGAAGCAAAGCAAGAATGTCCCAGCGTGACACGTAGAAACACATCCCCGACACCATTCGCGAAATAGGATGGACCAATTAATCCGTCACGGGCTCCATTCAATTCTATGCGTGCTATACCAAGGGTATACGCGGTATCGTCCCGCACAGGAAGGTCAAAAGCGGCGGTTCGAGGACTGGTGGTGCACGCACGGGTCCGGCGGAAGACATGAAGTCCTTCTAGCATCAAGGCGGAGAGTTCGTCAGGGGACATCCACATGGATACGCCGAAGCTCTCAGGATCAGACGCAGAGAGATAGCCCAGCTGAGTCGACAGGTATAGAATGTAAGAAACGGGAACAGAGATGTACGCACGAAGTGGCTGATGTGAGCACGGGATCCGCATATCTGCATTGTGATGGGCATGATATGGCTTATACTTTGCGCGCGAAAAACGACAACAGTAGCCGATGTATGAGCACCCGGTTCCAGCGAAGTTCGTCCTTCGGCGAAGACTAGATAGTCCAACAGAGACGACCATGATCACAATGCCGCGCTCTATCGCGTGCATTTTTTTTCAGCTGAGCATGTGTCGAAGGCAATTGCAGCCGCGCAGATACAATCCAAACGCCGAATCCCACCCAACCGCACATCATTACGCCTATCATCCCGTATATTGGAGAACCATATCTGCGTGAATGATGTGCGAGGTTCGTCCTCAACGCGTGACAGATGCTCGGGGGTAAGCACTAGACAGCTCCAACCGAGATGGCCCCTCAGACTTCTCACCATAGCATCTACACGGCCGTCTTTGTCCCAGAAGCACCGGAGCAAGCGATGGAGCTGTCTCTGCGAGTCGCCGGCTGTGACCCCATTCGATCGTCTGCGTTGCGTTACCAGGCCACGGGTATCGAGTTAAAGGGTATCGAGTTAAAGGGTGACATGCACAGTGCACACCCTCCGAGCATTTCTTCTGGGTGCACATGAATGCATCATGCATCAATGTGCCACGAGCAAGGCAGGGTGCAATGTCTATACCCCAAATGCCTATCATGCAGAATAGTCGTCAGCAGCGCTCTCACCGGTAAAGCTTCCGTCTAATCTCTCTCCTTCTCCTCTCTTCGATGATGGTCCTTCACCCACTCATCGACAATATTGAGGTTATTTCCTAGGCTGTATCAGGTACTGGATAGTCAGCTAGTCGGGTTTCAGGCTCATGATAAGGCGGCTCAGGCGAGGGCTCCTAGACTCGGAGGATACGCGGGCCAAAAAGGTGTGCGTAGAGTTTGGATAATGAGAGAGCGCCAGATAGTTGAGGATGTCCAGGAATTTTCCTCGTCGTCCTCTGCGTTGTCTAGGCTCTAGGCTGAGGCGAGGAGGGATGAATGTCGCGCGACGCTAACAGCGGGAGTTGGAGACGAATGAGATCTGGCAGTGACCGGGTCTTTCTACCATCTCGAACTATACTGGACTTTACCTTCTTCGCCATCGTCTAGCATGGTGAGCTTGACATTCATTTCGTGCATCAGAAAGCCGTCGCCATCGCTCTTAAAGAATAACGCAATGATTTTCCACAGTCGTTCAGTGCTACGGAGATCTACTGGCTACTTTTTGCTCGATAGCACACTGCGCGGTTGCTTCTCAGCGCAGATGCCAAACGCACAGGACATCACCGCGGACGGCATCATTTATGGTCCACGAGATTCAAGGCCAATACAGCACTGCGCTTGAAGCAGCATCGGACAGGGACATCGGACAGATTCCCTTGGAACATGGGGCTATCGACCCGCTGATGAACGAGGCAAATACCACCTCAAAGTAGTTGACGAGCCATTCCCTCAGTCCCTTGCGCAATGTACTCATTTCTGCTCTAATTATTTGAAAATTTCTAGATGGTCGAGATCCGATTCCACTGGCTCACCCTTTGCGAGGTCTAGTACAGGCAAGACTGGGGGTTGCATCGCGTGGCGGATGGTCCTAGTAACACTCACCTGTACGAGCGGGCAACCATCGATGAACATGAAAGGTGGAGAATGGATTGTAGCAATTGGCACAGCAATACAAAGCGAGATAAGCAATGGGAATAGGAAAACGAATGGCATCACAAATGATACTATTTTAATGCCGCCACCGGGAGGTGAGTTGCTCAGGTCCGCTGGTTCGCCTAGACATCGAGACCAAACGACGACAGATCGATGAGAACCCACCACCTACTTCTCAATGTCATAAGTTCTTCGTACTGTTCAGGATATTATCCCTTAGCATGCTCCTCGATGGTCCGAGATGCGGTACTATAGGCACGCTGTCGTGACCAGTATGGCGGTGCCATCTTGACAAGTTCATCCACGTCTTCGAGGAGATAAACGTCAACATATTGATGGCCATAGAGAACAAGTGCTAGTTTGATGTGAGTGAGAAGTACGAGTATAAGGCATAGGCGGAGGTGCGTACAGGGTTTCCAGATCTCTAATTCTTGACAAACATCGAATAACTCTTTGCAATTGAAGTCGGGAGGATGAGGGGTGAATGCATCCACGATAATCTCCATCTTGTACTGGCACACTTCCTCGGTAGCGTCCTCGAAACCAATGACGATAGGAACCCTACTGTTATCAAGTACATTGTATTTGGCAAACCCATGATGCCTAATCCCAGCCCTGTGTATTTGACACATCATATCCACCAAGTCAAATCTGCATTCACGGTGAGGTCTGAAATGGCCTCCTCAAAATTGGAACACACCTGAAATCACGATCTAAAGCTGAGAAAATAAGTTCGACTGGGTTCCCGCAGTAGTCAAGAACAAGGCAGCCAACAATTCAGTCTTCCGTGTGCCCAACGAAGTATCCGTGGCAGGTCGGGACCACCTTCTTTTACAAAGCTTTCAGCTTACCTCTGTAGAGTCCGGCTTCGTGTTCCAGCTTCTTGATATTGTTCAGACCATAGGCTAATTTGCAGACAATGTCAGTTGAGCCATTACAAGGCTCAGAAAGTTGTCTGCGAAAAACCTCCGTTGTGCGTGTCTCATGCAGGCACAAGAGTTTGGACACAGACAGTTGTGGATCATCTTCATTGGGGTATGCATTCCGGAGGTCGAATCTGTGATTTTTTTAATGGGATGGGGAATAGAGAGGGGCATGAGGCATGAGGGCAAAGACACGATCGGTTAAGTTCAGTTGAACCGGCTGAGGCAGTGCTGAGGCTAGTTCAGCCCCGAGGCACGTGCGTGACGTGATCCTCTTAATTCAAGTTTTCGACGCCGTGCGGCCCTGGAAGCTGGAAGGCCGGTAATCAAGCATTTATGGAGGGCAATCAGTGAAGTCTTTTCTGCTCTACGCATACATAACCTTAACGCGCTTTCCCTTCGCTTCTCTCCTAATAGGCGCGTCGTCGCCGAGACAAAATCATGTAAACCGAGGACATTTATGTAGGTATGGAGCCGGGCAACCTGTGGATGAATACGTCGAAACATTAGTCGGCGTGGCTGACTTCCAATGGCGGGAGCCCCTTAACTGGTACTATACAGACGCGTACGAAAGGGCGTACGCATGTGAAGTATGAAGCAGAAACATAGCAAGAAGTACAGCGATGCAAAGCGAGGAAAACAATTTGAATGGGCAAACGAATGGCATCAAGAGGTTGGTACTCCATTGCCACCACCAGGAGGTAAGACCGATGAGGTGCTAGTGTCAGCTGATTTACCTAGACCTCAAAGTCAAACGACGACAAGTCGATGAGAGAACTAACACCTACTTCTCTTCGCCATTATCGCTTCGTACTGCTCAGGATAATATTTCTTCGTATGCTTCTCGATCGTTCGAAATGCGGCACTATACGCACGCTGTCGCGACCAGTGCCGGGGCGCCACTCTGACGAGTTCATGCACGTCCTCAAGGAGGTGGACGTCGACGTATTGACGGCCATAGAATACAAGCGCTGGGTATGTGTGAGCTGGAGAACGGGGAACCGGGTATAAATGAAGAGACGCACAGGGTTTCCACACTCCTAGGTCTTGACAGACATCAAATAACTCTTTGCAATCAAAGTCGGCAGGATGAGGTGAGAGCGCGTTCTCGATGATCTCCATCTTGCACGAACAAACTTCTTCGATAGCATCCTCGAAGCCAATGATGATGGGCACCCCATTGTGGTCAAGAACATTTCGTTCAGCGAAGTCATTATGTACAATCCCTGCCTCGTGTATGTGGCATATCGCATCTACCAAATCAAGCCTGTATACATATTGAGAATCGGACATGGCCTTGGAGATTGAGACACACCTGAAACTACGAGGCAATGCTGAGAACACAAGATCGACTGGTCCCCCGCAGTAGTCAAGGACAAGGCAGCCAATGATCCCGTCATCCGTGTGCCCAACAAAGTACCCGTGGCAAGTCGGAACCACCGTCTTTTGCAGAGCTTTCAGCTTACCTCTGTAGAGTCCGGCTTCGTGCTCCAGTTTCCTGACGTTGTTTAGACCATAGGCCAATTTGCAGACAATGTCAGTTGAACCATTACAGGGTTCGGAAAGTTGTCCGCGAAAGACATCCGTCATGCGTGTCTCATGCAGGCGCGAGAAGTTGGACACTGACAGTTCTGGATCGTTTTCATTGGGGTATGCGTTCGGAAAATCGTATCTGCGATTTTTGTCGACGGGATGGGGTATAGAGAGGGGCATCAGGCCGGTTAGGATACGAGGGGTTTCTCAGCTGTTTCTCAGTTGGCTGTCGAGGCTGAGAAGAGCTGAGACAAGTTTTAACCTATGGCGCGTGTGTAGAGACCGAGCTGCGCTCTGAAGGTAGGTGTTGTTGCTGCTTACCATAGCAGGTGGAGGCACTATTGACGAAGCCAAACCTCGCCGCTCCCCTCAGCATCACAGCCTAGCGCGCGAACAGATTGGCGATCTTGACACACTCGCCCTTTGCTCCTCTTCTGACCGGCGTTGTTTCGAGATAAACCGGGCAGCCCGAGCACCTTTCCATGCAAGTATGACATCGACGTTCGCGTCGTGTCGCCCTCTGGCGTCGTCAAAGCCGGATGGTGCGAGCCCTTCGATGTGGTAGATGCGAACGGAGATCTCAGATCCCATGGGCCGTGGCACGCCTGCAACATTCCTTTTCATGGACGAGCAGTCCGACGAGGTAGCTGAGGTAGCGCGCTTCGAACTGCTTAGAGCGACGTGTGCAGGGACTCACCATTCATTCCAAATGGAATGCCATGTAAGCGTGTCTGTATGGATCCCCTTTGATGCACATGTCATCGATCGTTCAGGATATTCTTTGCACGTGGGTCGAGACTCGTGGAATACTTCTTGCATTGACGTGCAAGTACAATCAGAATATATAGCTGACATATATGCACCGCGCTCGCGTCGTTTGCAAAAAAACACATTTGCGTAGAATTGATGGCACACAAAAAGTACACACGACGCTGCTAAAACATACAAGCATTTATTTTCTCCTTGGCTTACTGTTTCCTTGGGTTTCTTCCCTCCTTTTCATAATCTCAACACAGGTATCTTCACAACAGGTGCTCCAAAATCCGCTCACGCCGCCATCGAAGAGCAGGTACTGATTTACGAGTGCTGCACCTGGAGCCCGACGTTCGTGCGGAGGCGCCACGACTCCTCCGCGGGAGCCGCCTTGAGCGGCGCAACAGACGCCGTGCCGAGCTTCTTCGCGACGTTGTCCGAGAGCGACTGGTCGATGGCCGCGAGCACAGAGACTATATGCAGCAGTATCAGGGCCTATGTTAGCTTTGGCAGGACGAGAGGAGGTGCGGAAGACACGCACGCCAGCGGTCGCGGATCGCGGGGGTCTTGACGCCCTTGAGGTGCACTGAGAAGTTGTACACGAGGTGCTCGCGATCGGTGTCGTTCATGACCTTCTGGTACAGCGCGCGCGGCTGCTCAAAGTCGACTGCGATCCCCAACATTGACATCAATAATGCAGACGCGTGGAAAGTCACGCGCGCGACACTCACGCTCGTTGATCTCGACCAGCTCGACGTGCGCGTTGCCGATCCAAGTCTCGTGCTTCGCCTCATGCTCGTCGTACTTCTTCCCGCGGTACGCGAGCGGCACGATCGAGCTCTGGTAGTTCGGGCGCGCGCCCTGGCTCACGAACGTCCCGTACCCATCGCGCTGGAAGTTCGCGACGGGCACGATCGGCGCGTTGACCGGCAGCTGCTGGTAGTTCACTCCGAGGCGGTGCCTGTGCGTGTCGGGGTACGAGAATAGGCGCGACTGCAACACGGGGTCTGCGGAGGGCTCGATGCCAGGCACGGTGTGTGAGGGCGAGAATGCGGCCTGCTCGATCTCCGCGAAGTAGTTCTGCGGGTTCTCGTCGAGCACGAGCTTCCCGAACGGGCGGAGCGGGAACTGCGCGTGCGGCCAGACCTTGGTCAGGTCGAGTACGTTGTAGCGGAACTGCTCGGCCTGTGACGCGGTCATGGTCTGCACATAGGCAGTCCATGACGGGAATTTCTTTGCCTCGATCGTCTCGAAGAGGCTTTGGGTGCCGTAGTCGGGGTTCTCACCGCCGAGCCTGACGGCGGTATCGTTATCGAGGGTCTACAGACAAGATCACCCCGTCAGCGCTCCATCTCAGACAAATCAGATATACGGTGTAAAGATACAACGCACCTTGAATCCACCATCGGCCCTGAAGTGGATCTGGACGTACACCCACTCGCCGTCCTCGCGGACGAACTTGTAAGTGTGCCCCGAGTAACCGTGCTGGTTGTGGAAGCCGTCGGGGGTGCCGCGGTCGGAGAACAGAATCATAATCTGATGGGCCGACTCAGGGTTCTGCCCAAGGTAATCCTGTGGAATGCATGTCAGACATTGTCGGTCATAGACGTTCGATATTGAATGAACATGGGCATAGGAGCGTGGGAGAAATGAAGACGTTGGGAAGACGACGCGCGGAGTTTCAATCGCGCATCGTCTTCCTCATCTCATCTCGATCGACCGACACCATTGCTGTCGAACAGTATGCACATAACACGATCCCTCCAATGCACATCTCACTCACCCAGAACATATCCGCATCCTTCAAGTGCGTTTGAGGATCCCGTTTCTGCGTATGAATGAAGTGCGGGAACTTGGCGGGATCGCGAATGAAGAACACAGGAGTGTTGTTGAACACCCAGTCGAGGTTGCCCTCCTCGGTGCGGAGCTTGATCGCGAAGCCGCGCGGGTCGCGGGCGGTGTCGGCGGACCCAGACTCGCCACCGACGGTGGAGAAGCGCACAGTGGCGCGGGCGCGATTGCCGACCTTGGAGAAGAGCTTGGCGCAGGAGAGGTCGGAGATGTCGTGAGTGACTTCGAAGTAACCGTGTGCGCCGGCGCCCTTGGCGTGGACCTGAAAGAGAGAAAAGTGTCAGATGCGAGTGTAAATGACAGGCACGGAGGTGGGGGAGACGGAAAGGGACATACGACGCGCTCAGGAATACGCTCGCGATCAAAGTGAGCGAGGAGATCGATGTGGTGGAAGTCTGGTCATGATCCGATGGGGGCTGAGTAAAGGGGTGGAGGTACAGAGCAGTAGGTTGAAAACGTTGCATACCTTGGAGGAGGAGAGGGCCGTTCCTGCCGATCTTCTGAGCGCCGTAGGGTTTCGCGACGGGCGCACCGTTGGAGGTGGTGTAGAGCGCCTCGTCCTTGGAAGTGAATACTTGCTGTGACGGCATGATTGCTTGTCCTGCTGGATCGATGGGGTGCGATGCAAGGGACGATGGAGCGAGGAGAGAGGGAGAGAGAGAGGGATGGGATGGGGGATGGGGTGCGAGGATATGGGAGGGAAGGGCAAAGGCTATTTATGAGCAGGAGGTCAGGTGGGATGAGCAAGCGGGTGGGGGACGCAGGCCTCCTTCCTTTCGCGGTTCGGAGCATTGGAGGATGCAGAATCTGGGTGCGCCCATTGGCTCCGAGGCGCAGACCGCCTGCCCGTTTTGCTTGGGAGTTTGGGAGCGTGATCTGAGCACAAAGCAGCAGGCAGATCGCGAGCTGCCGCACGTTCTCATCCACGAGGCCTGTGCCCACCCCAGCACTATTTCGAATCCCGAATTCGACTCCTCCTCGCACGGGGCACCCCCAACCCGATCTATCCGATTACGACCCACATCAGATCGAAGACGCGACCCTCCCAGTCCCGACTCCCGAACATATGCTCAACAACAGACAATGGGCACCACCGACATTCGTCGCTGACAGACCTGAGACCCACCGCTCCACATGAGCTGACGCAGGCGCGGATGCCGGGCGCTGAGCACACGCTCTCGCACCCGCCCTCTCCACGGCCAAGCCGCTGACTCCTCGTCTGAAACTCCGTGAACATTTATCAGCTATCATCTCAAATCGGCCGACCCGCCCACGCGCTCCCGACGCCGCCCGACCTCCATTCCTCGTACCACTCCGCCCGACAAATATCACTTCAAACTCCTCCATACCGCCTCAGTCTCTTGTCCCTCTCGCCTCTCATGACATCATCGCGATCCGCCGCCATCAGCCTTCCGAGTCACACTGCTGCGCGCGGCTGGCCGTTGCACTCCGACCTAACAAAAGGAGGGGAGATCGCGGTCGTTCTAATGGTATCGTAAACGCCCTTCGACGTCGATGTTGCTATCGCGCCGTTATACCACCCAACCACAGTCGACTTGAATGTCGTACTGCACCCCCGCAATGCGATGCGATGGCGATGCGATGGCGATGCGAGGCATTTGAATCCAAGTTCTTCGATCGATCAGTGGCTCTGAGCATGCCTGTCTACTCATGCACGCTTGTATGCATGCCCCGATTGAATGCGGCGCCATCCATCACGTCAATTTGCCAATCTCGAGCCCCTAGCGCCTATCCGCTACCTGCCGCTTCGCGTTCTAGCTATTAGTGCTCTTTCCTTACAGAATATCCAACTCGTTCGATCCGCCTGGGCTCCGACTACTTATTGGACCTTACGACCTCTGATGGATTACATGTAGCTGCTGGGACCAGGCCTGGCTGATCTACTGATCCACCCTTCATTTTTTTCACCTTGACTCGGCTCATTTTTCTTATACACGATCCGATGCCCCTATCGTCCTTGACGTGATCCTTCCTCACGCACAACAATGTATGCACTCACGTCTGTCGAGCGGAACAGCTTGAGTTCATACGCGCACGTTCGCGCTTACCTGACGTTCCGACCTCGTCTGCCGTGCTCTGAGTCAGGCCACTGGATCTGACATGATCCAAACCCTGAGCACTGGTCTAGCGCATTCCAGAGTCACGCGTGCGCTCAAGCGCGCACGCACGACACGTCCCGTGCGCGTCACCTGCCCTCGACTAATCCGAGTCTCCGCGTCAATCCCGCTATAGTCTCAAATCTCAGCGGTCCGCCCGTCTTCCTCCTGTCTCTCCCTCTACTTCCTGCATCTCCTCTGCATTGTTCTCCGCATCTGAATGCTAAGAGTTGGCACGCTGCACCCGTCTTTCTCCTCGTCCTTAGTGAGTGACGGGTCGGCGCCTGAATCTCTTCATCGATGACGTCATCCCATTGGCTTCGCAGCATCAGGCAGTCGTCAGGCCTTCACCTTGGTGTTCCAGGACCGCCGCTGTTCGGCCCCTCGCGCCTAAGCTGCGCCTCAATGAAAAGCTGACCTCAGAGATCGGAACACGACAGAAGCAGAAGGAGAAGCAGATCCACGCGATGATAAGTATGGAAGCCGGGTCGCCCACTTCGTCTCAATTGCGGACGGGAGCAATGAATTAGAAGACCCACGCGCTTTTGCTTGTGCACGCTGTATACGTGCGTTCATGACTTATCAGGGGCTCTTGTTCATCATCGATGTTATGGATCTGGACAGATCGGGACCTCTTCTCGGCTCCCTCGGTGAGTACGCACTTCACGTAGTCTTGAGTCAAACGCGTCTACGGCTTTTTGCATCTCTCTGCATGAAGGATGAAACTATGGAGTGCCACGCTGTAGTACTCTTGGGCGATAGTATGACGGGTCCACACCGACGCAAGTCAGAAGCAGGTCGTCACATTTTATATCATGGAGAGAGGCTAGGCGCGTACGCGCCAGATCTGTAATTAGCTCGCCGTCGCCGAGGATGACGCGTCCATCACCTCGCTTGACAAACACATGCGCAGCCCACGCGTGTAGGCGCGTCGAAGCATTCCCCGTCGAGACTCGATCCCGATCGCCTACCCCCTCCCGGGACTTATCAATATCCTAAGAGCTAAACCCACAGCTTTTATATTTGAAGACACCCCGCACAACGTGGAGGACTTGCTTGCTTTGACTTAACCCCATGCCATCTTCACACAATTCATTGCCCACTCAAGCATGGCTGACGGTCCGGGCCTTAAGTAAACCCTATACATGCTACAATACACATTGCCTACTCTCACACTTAAAACTACTGCCACTAGCCTTACACCATGTGGGATATAAATGATTTGATTAATAAAATAAAATAAAAAAGATCCTGATTGCCTACTCATGTCTATTAATGCATATCTCATCACATGTGTCTGAGGTAGTACCCTTAGTAAAAACAGAAATTCAAGTGAATGTCATATCCAGTTATGAAATTGGGCTTTTATCATGTATCTGTCAAGAAAGTGGTACAGAAGTTGTGTGAAAGTTGTGTGCAATTTTAGAAGTTTATGACTTTTGCATGACTTTCTATACCACATTCTTAACAGATACATGACAAAAGCCCAGTTTTGTGACTGGACATAATGTTTACTTAACTTCCATTTTTACTGAGTGGTACCCATTAGACTGGAGATACCCATTGGAATAGAGAATGGGGTCTCACATAGCATAAGAAAGAACTTGTAAAGTAATCCCAACTACCCACAACACCAAAGATCTAGCTTTAGAAGTCAGCTAGTGTTATAGCTACTTGTATGACTGTAGACACAATTTTGAGATCTTCTACTAATAATAAAGATTATTCATTAAGCTGTTTTGACTACCTCTGCATCTAGAAAAACCTTCTTTCTTAATTAGATCTAATTATTCAAAATGCTAATCTGAGCTAATTAGAATATATTATCTATAATCAACTTTATGATCAAATTTGCAAGTAAGAGGGCATTGTCTATACTATTATAGTTCCATTGGAATCTACAATCCGATTACAATTTTACACATTCCAAATCCAAAATGTATAAGTGCCACAATCTAATTCTTGCTATTTTTATTTTATTTTATTATTTTACTATATCATTGTCTAGTGCCCAAATTCAAATATCAGCCCTGATTTTTGGGGTATTTATTGGCCCCTCTATATATGGAATAGATAAAAGATAGATATATAAGAAAATTAGAAATATTGAGATTGCCTTATTTATACTATCATATTTAGATTACTAGGTAAATAACTTAGACCTTGTGGCTTAGTGGTTTAAAGCAGTGGTCTAGAGTATATAGGCATAAGGTTGTTGGTTCAACTTTAGTGATAGGCAAGTTTATACAAGGTGTGACTTTTATTTGATTAGTGAGCTCTACAGATACTCTGTGATTCAAGGTGTAGTCATAGTAGAGGAATTGTGGGACTGGATTGGTTGCTATTTTTCCAAAAATCCATATGATAAATTAGCTTTAATTAACTCTAATTAGACCTTATAATTTTAGGATTAGAGAGGGGTAAGCTAAAAATCCTGAATGGTAATTGGCAAAAATCTAGCTAGATTTATGCTTAACTATGGTTAATTTGATGTGGAGCTTTTCCCTGATGCTGCCAGGATTGCTGTACACATACACAGTGTGTTCCCTGATGGTCAGCAGTGCTAATGTGCTTTTGGGTACACAGGATCCAAATATGCTACAAGAGTCTAATCACACAAGGACCCACAATGAATATCTTGAAAGGGTACGACTGTGCACTGAGCCAGTTGAGTACATTTAAGAGTTCTGCATATGTTCTGAATTCAGTCTGACCACCTGTGTGGATGAGGAAATTTCCCGGTGGAAGAGAAGGAAGGGAGCAATGAACATTGTGATGTCTGAGATACTGAACAGATTTCATACTTATTGCCCCTGATATAGCTATATATAACAACATCTTGATGACAAGCATACGTCTGGTGGTGAAGAGAAGAGGGGACAGATAGACATGCTTCCAGGCAGTGGTGGTTGCTGGTACAGCTATACATAGGAGCAAAACTCTCACGCTCGAATTTTCAAAAACGCATGACGCTTGCGCAACTTTTCACGAAGACTGGTACTAAGTGTAGAGCGCGTACATCTATGGGCAGCTGCTATATATGTATCTCATATCTGGTACTCGAGCTTTGTTTCTTAGAATTGATCTATTCTTGGACTGGTCGGACATAGGCGCCACGCACTCTCCGGGTCTCCGGTCGGCCATTAGTCCAGATCGGCCTTCAGGACCACTCCATAATCGAGAGGACAATGTCGCAGAGGAGAAGATATGATGGATACATGAAGGATGAGTACTGAGTTCCACTAACGCACCTAAATCCCAGAGATATTACATTGCCTAAACTACCCGACAGCAGCCGACAGTTCAACCTGCATGATTAGTTTTACGAAGCCCTTCTCCTCCCTTGCCTTCTGCCTGGGTTCTCATGCAGAGCTGTCCTCACGGCCCCCCTGCGAGCGCCAATATCTTCGCAACCGCCTGCTCTACCGCCGACATGAGCATCCCGTGCGGATTCCCAATTGGAAGCGAGGGCACGATCGAGGCGTCTGTGACGAACAGGTTGTCCGTCCCAAACACCTTGACATTGCTGTCCACGACGGCATTGGACGCGCTGGTACCAATCTTGGCGGAACCGACCCAATGGTTGGAGTCCATGGTAGACTTGTCGTAGGCGTCAACTGCGAGCGGATAAACCGAAGGAGTCAGTGGAGGGCGGATAAAAGTAGAGAAATGGACACTGACCGTACTGCTCGATTGTCATCTGCTCGTCTGGTGTGATGAGCGTCAGACCTGTCACTGTAAAGGGCACGACAATCCGTTTATCATCAGTACACCAAGACACCAAGATGTGGAGACGGAAGTGGGCGCACTACGCACCACTCCCGATGTTTGATACAACGTCATTGAGTGCCTGAATAAGTATGACACGATCCACAGGATCCACCAGCCATGGCTGCACGATTGGCGATGCCCGCAGTGCTGCATCGATTCCTATGCGTCCGCGCGAGGTGATTCCTGTCGACCTGTGGGTGCAGCGGTATGACCGACAGCACACACCAGAGTTCAGAATCGGGGAAGTACATATACATCAGTACCGAAGGGAGGGAGTACGGTGAAGGAACAAACGTACAGGTAGACAGTGATTGTGAAAATCTGAGTCGCATTGTACGGCAGCGTCGTATTTACTGACGCTGCTCCCGGCCGGACAGTCCCTTGCATCTATCAAAAAGAGCACCACAACAGATCAGGATCGTCGTCCAATTTGGTTGCGATATAAGAAAGCCCACTCACATAGCGGGTGATGCCGTCCGAGCCGCCGTACGCGCGCCAGAAGTTCATTCGTGGAGACGCCTGTGCGAACACGCCTGATTGGTCTGTGAGATACTGCGCCGCGTCTGCTGCGCGGGGGCTGCTCCAGACATTGGCCCAATTATTGTACGCGTCGATTGACGGGTGAGTAAACACCAACTGATAACGTTTCAGTCACTTCCAGACTACTCCAAACCGAAGAAAGGGATTGAAGAATCAAATTTTTGCGCACATTGATTGATGGGTTATCTGACACGTTCATGCCCACAGGTAGATTGATGAAGGCGCTGCTCGGCGGGAGGTTCGCGGCCGCGGCCGCGTTGCTCTGCACGACCGCAAGCATGTCGCTCGGGCCGATTCCGCTCTGGAACAGGATGCGTGCCGTTCCGTAGGAGCCTGCAGATAAGATGACACGCCCATTGGATGTGAGAGGTATAATCCCGTTTGGGCCGAGCGAGGTGTCGTTCGTCTGAACACCCGTGATGCGCGAACCGCTGCGCACCACATTGGAGACCATAACATATTGCTTGTACACAAAGTTGGAGCGTGCCTTGGCGGTTTGGAAGTATGTTGCGACAGGACCGCCGCGCTTTCCGTTAATGAACTGTGTTTGAGTGCAGCTGATGAGCGTTAAGAAGGAAGATCGCAATATCGAGAATGGGCTTACATCGTATGAGCTATAGCCGTACACATGATCTTTAGAGTTTGTGTCACTGTTGATGGTGATTTGGCGATATCCTTGACCATTCAAGAGCTGCTGCGCTACGTCGAATGACTGTTCCAAGTAACGCTTGCCGTCCGTTGACGGCGCATCCGTGCTTGGAAGGCGGGATGACATAGCGTCCGTGTACGTCTGATGTGCTTGCCATCCACTTGGCCAGCCATTGCTCGTCGAGAAATCTAAGTCGGCAGGGTACCAGTAAAGCCTGGAACAGTTTCAGCTGATGCTCCTTTAGTATAGAAGTATTGTCAAGCTCACGCTCCGTTCACGGATGTCCCTCCCCCGAGCAAGCATCCAGCAAATACAGTAACATCTGGGGGTAGGATCAACTTCGTGCCCAGCCCAAGTCGGAGAATTTTTGATGTTCACCTTTGCACCAGTACCAAGGGTTGCTATCTGTGAACATGGACTCGAACAACCCCGGGACATCGAATTTGGTCAACTGATTCAGAAAAATTAGCGCGTATATGGACATGATAGGGGAGAGCACATGCATTGGCAGTTTGGGTCCAAGGAGCATCGTACGTCCCACCAGTTTCGGCAGTAGAAGGACCACCGCGCTCGAGCAACAGGACTTTCTTCCCAGCTTGCGAGATGCGATCAGCAGCGATGATACCGCCAGGTCCAGCCCCTACGATGATGTAGTCATATGGTGTAGCCTGAAAAGGATAATGCAGTTGTATTGTGGGCGTTGATGATTGACCTTCGATGTACTCACCGAAACAGTTGGAGCCGAACTTGAAGTTGTGGATGGAGCAGTCGAGGTTGAGGCTGGTACCGACGTCCCAGTACCACCAGATAGATAAGCATCATAGTTGCTCTGTGTCGTGTGTGCAGAGCTGAAGAGCATGCCAAAGAAACCGACTGAGGCCATCGATAGGTAGAGTCATATGCGCATCATTATTGGTATTGAGAAGCAAGGTGAGGTAGAGAAAAAGCTAAGCAGTCCTGAAGGGCGGTGCGAATATAAAAATTAACTCACAGTCAGTGTGCTCGTCGAAAGTGCTCTGGGGATCGGAGGGGTCATCAACACCGACGCTAGAATACGCCCAAGCCCAGACACCTGTAGAGGCTTGCGGGATACTACCTCCTCCTTGCCAGCCTTACATGCATAAAACCACGCCGACAAGGCAGGGATATGACCAGCATGGGTGAGAAATTTAGGTCTCAGTCATCGAACAGTAGATAGACGCACTTGTACAGTTCTGGCACCGAAAGACCCATCTCCAATGGGTTGAATTCACGGTGGTGGAAGGAAGATCTGTGATGGTGGGCCCTACGTATTGCCTGTGCATATAAAGATATTGAACGCCCAGCCAGATGCCGAGGATATATGGTATTAAGGTGCCTTGTACAGGCCTAAACATACTTTCACTCACGTTGGTTGAACATAATCCCTGTATGTGAACATAAGTAGAAAGCCAAGTATGTTATGAAGTTTAGGTTGACGAGGACATACGTAGCGTATCTCGTAGACCTGACAATTGTATTACCGTTCGGCCAGGCAACGAGGAGCAAATCCTGAAGCATAGCACCAGCGAGCGCCAAACCAACCCATTTAGCAGCGAGAGGCGCCACAATCTCTCCAATGAACTCTGTAGGATTTGATCCGGACGTTGCAAGAGGGGGGAATACGGCGCCATAGGTCACCCCATGCACAGGGTCCGAATAACCTTGAAAGGTAATCCCATTTGAAGGATCGGTATAGCTACTTGAGCTCTGCGAGAGCACTGTTATGCCAATAGACTTCATTGTATACATTGTATGGTCATTTATGACAGAAGACCCACCAGTGGTTATCAAGGGTAACACCGCCAGCAGCTTTTGTCCAAATATCATCACGGAATTTTATCCCGCTTTTACGCGTGCTAAGCGGGAGAGCGCGGGTTTATATCCCAATCACCTGCAGCATCTCGGTTTATATCGTTCCACCCTTGAACGCCAGGCAACATACATGTATGCGAAGTATACCCGTTCGAGACCTGCGATAACCTCCACAACGGCATCCCTCGCCTATGTCGCCCAACGCATCTAGTCAGTTCCGCTGGCAACGCACATTCTAGGCGCGGCTCCGGTCCACGAGAGCTGTACGCACACGGAACACCTTCAACCGGAAACAAATCGGATGCGGAGGACGACATAAAGAAGCTCGCGTGACCATGACCAGGTGAAAACAAGCACGGCCGGTTGGTGCTCAATCGCCGACAATACGACGGCGTTGTGGGGTAATTAGACAACGAGGATAGATCGAACCCGAAGACCTGAAGTCTGAAACTCGGATCATATGGACACGCGACGATTTGACTTACTTTGGCTCCCTTGGTTCAAGAATAGTATAGATACCGAGCGAGAGCACGCCCAGAGCATATGGGGAAGGCGTACCTTGGAACCGAAATTGCACCGACCAATTTCCATCATCCTTTCGAAAGCCCTGAGGAGTGTGTTACAAGCTCGAGATGCATGTTCTGCAAGGGCTTCCGATACCATGCAGAGAAAGCTGCGAATAGGAACAGGTCGAAGCAAGCGGAAGCTTGAGAATAACGACGCACTAGCTATCTTTGCATGGGATATAGCCGATGAGAGATATACAATCCCGGACGGTGGGTGGAGACATTCATATGAAAAAGTCCTAAATGAGTCGAATGAATCATAGAGAATCATGATGCAAGGAATGAGTAGGAAGTGGGTGAAGGATCCACCCTGGTCATACTGTTCAGTGAAACTGGACCGTTTCAACTAAAAAAATACAATCACGAATCCTAGGCTCATGGCCTTGACTCTGTCCTCAGATCGCAAAGACGGTGCTGAGGGCCCAAAGGACACGCACATGGCCGAGTCATCAGTGGAAGATGAATCTGAAGGTGGCTTAAACATCTCGCTTTGACTTCGAGCGTAACCTAAGAAGGCATAAACACTGACAAGCGTTGAACGTTGAGCAGTACATATGCAGCATATCACAGGTCCTTATGTGCGCCACGAAACCTATGTGAAGAACTTGCGATTCTCGTTCGGGCCAAATAGGTCATGCCGGATCTCTGGCAGCATCTACAGTGTGGGATAAGATGAGACTAGGCCGCATAAGAGCATCGTGATATGGTGAATGACTTGCCCTGTCCTCGAGAAGCCTCAGACGTTCGTCAAGAGTGTTATTGACCTGAATCCGCCTAGTACCGCTAGTGAGTTTCACACCACCAGCTCTGCAAGGAGTCAGGAACGTCAGCATAACAGTAGGATCCTCGACTCCTCATGCATTTAGTACTCACAGTTCGTCACTCAGCGTTGCTTCAATCACGACTTCCACATCTCTTCCACTGATCTCAACAAAGCTCTTTTTCGCTGCCTCAGCCGCTTGACTGACAACTTCCTCGTCCTTCGCACGAGCATACACAGTGACGTCGGGCTCAAGAATCTGAAGCAGACCCTGAACGATGACACCCTCGAGGAACTGAACATAACGACCCTCATCTTCCGCAAGCTCTAGAATTGCTGAGCGGGCAGTGTTGAAGAGCTCCTGTAAATGCTCCTCACGGCGGTGAAGAAGCTTCAGACGAGACTTGTTTGTCAGGGTTGATTGCGCGCTGGTGCGTGGACGAGATCTGAGGATCGCAATTTGGTAGCGATCTGTAAGGAAACGTACATCTTCTGAGCGGTCTCAGAACCTTTGCGCTTCTTCTCGTACTGAGCGTCGATAGCCTGCTGCTCTTGTTTGACAAGCTTCGCCTGATAGCAATACCGTGAGCAGTCCAAACCTAACACAATTCGGGCCTGTTTCGAAGGCTTTTGATCTGAATTACGAACCTTCTCTATCGCAAACTCCTCATCCGCCTTCACTCGTATCTCGCGGCCCTTCTCCATTGCCTCCTGTTTGATGAACGCGACCTACTCCACGAGCAACTAGGTTGAAGGTTGTAGGTTACAAAGAAGCGCGATCACAAACCATTTTGGTCATTTCACTGAGAACTTCATCGTCATTGAGCGGGCGAGATGTCATCTTGATTATAGATGATGTTGGTGCTGTAGCGAGAGCGGCAAGGAGTGAAGCTGACTTGGATGAGACACTAGCGAGGTTAGTAAATGACTTACATAATCACGCACACTCCAATACAACATCTTCCAGCGGTCTCCAGGCTTCAAGCTACAAGCATCGAGCTTCAAGTCTCGAATAAGGAGAGTATCAAAATTACGGGGTGTCCATAGTTATGATTCAGATTCCGGGAATAGAGGCAAAACTTCAACTGTGCATATTGCATTAAGAGGGAATCGAACCCTCGGCGGGTCGATGGCAACGACCCAGGTTACCACTACCCCATTAATGCATGAAAACATTTGGCAATTAAACATATCTATAAAGATGATCCCCATTCATAAATTGTTTCCAAAAAATCATAACAAGAACATTTCATGGAAATAATACGGACACTCGTGAATTCCCATGTATCAGCATCAAGATGGATCTCAAAATGAGATCAGGTGTGTGGCGGACCCTCCTGTCCAGAAGCTGCTGATGACTTCGCCAGCATACACAACGTTCACTGACCTCGGTTGCGCCGCACGATCAGAGAAGATGGTTGCTTTCGTGGGCTTGCCACTGCTCCATTGCATGTCCAATCTCAATCCACCACGGATGCGTGCGCTTGTGATAGATCCCGATGACCATTTGCTCGGCAGCGCAGGCAAGAGGGTTACTGTGAGATCATTTGAGTAGGAGGCAACGTCGGGCGCTTGAACAAGCGCATTCTACGCGAAGTGTCACGAATCAACTCTAGCATAATGTTGACAGAACGAGGTGCTCACCATGACAGCAGCAGGGTATCCCAAATTTGCGTCTATCTGGAATATTGTGCTGCCCGACGAATAAAGACTAAACAGATTTGTAGCATAGTTGATATCAATTGCATACTGAAAGCCCCGTACGAGTCACAGATCAGCTTATTTGAAGGACAGAGGGCAGGTCGGTGAGACACCACACACCGACAATTCATGATAGAACTCTGTTGCATTCTTCAACTGTGCCCAAGCTGCGGCGCGCCAAATCTTCTCCCACCCCGAATCCGCATCTGGTCCAGTACCATTACCACGATGAATCAAGCTGATGGTCGCCGCACCCAAAACATCGGCCTGAGTATAATTTATGCCTGCCTGCACAGCGGGGTCAAAGTTCGCGACAGCGTAACCTGGGTACAATCCGACAAGGTGCGAGAGATGACGATGAGTGTCCGTCGGAGAGTCCATATCGAACTTCCATTCTGTTCACAAAACGATTATAACAGGAAATAATGAATGAGACGCGATGAACATACCTTGTAATTGACCCCAAGAGCCGATGTGAATACCCTTATCCATTTGAGCTCGGACTTGCCTCACCTCTGAAGATGAAGACATGAGGATCAAACCTGTTAAATTGCTGCTCATCACATACGATTGAGGAAGGCTTGATCTGTATCTCCTGATGCTGCAAACCCCTTCTCCGCTGCATTGAGCAACTGCCAAATAAGCTGTTGCGCATGAGCGCATCCTGCCGAAGGCGTTAGAAGGACGAGATAAATGTTGAAGAAGACCTACCAAACGTAATAGGAGTTTGCTCTGGAGAGTTGCATGGCGCAACAACGAGGGTGGAGTCATTGAAGTGCTCGTCCGGGATGAGCTTCTCCAAGTGAAATTCGGCTACGCCCTATGCAGAACCAAGTGACAGCGTGAGGACACTAATTTCAGGCGTAGACCACGCGTGAAGGATGGTTCACCTTGAGAAGGGGCCAGCCCTGATCTCTCCACCAGGCGACGTCGCCGGTGTAGTCAAAATGATCCCAAACATGAACCATCTAAGGAGACTATTTAGCTAGTTGTGGGGTTGAAAGGGTGCTAAGCTCACCATCCAGACTGCCGATTCTACAGAAAGAAAATAAGTACAAGACATACAAGCTTAACAACGAACACATACCAGGATAGTCTGCCCACTGAGCAGAATTACCAGAAAGCTTCATTCCAGTATGCCCAAATATCTGCAGTAAATCTTCATTAGCTATGGTTCTAGACCGTCGCGATCAGCAACTGACGTTCATCTAGAGCAAGAGATCGATTAATCATAGCAATGACGTCTGTGTAAGATAAGCATACCTCATTATGTGTGACCCAACCCTTGCTAATATTGTATGTTATCTGGGCAGTCTCAGCACCCCGAGGTGCCCAAGTCTTCTACTCACGATTATCAGCTCGATTTCAAAAAAAAAAAAAAAAAAAAAACATGGAGAGGAGGTGACATACCTCCATATAATCCCACAAAGATTGTGATACATCTAAGCCTGTCGTCTCAGCGGCCCAATAATTCATTTGCGTGTTGATATTGGCATCTACATCATGAAAGACGTGTCAATGTACTATTTTCCTTTAGAACGGTGAGGATGCTTACGATAGTCTTCCCGTGGTCACAATGGGAAATCATCAATAGCGGCAAATTGATATCAACCGCCTCAAACATGCTCACCTGCACTCCAAGGGTTTGAAGTACCGTCCGCCCATTTGCCTTGCAAATTCGCTGGCAAAGTCCCCCTCGCACTTCCCACAAGCAGATATCTCCCGAAATTGAACAACAACCACTCTACGTACAGATCCCCTACGTCCGTCGTATAGGCATTATACAATTCGTCCGTCGGTGTATTAAAATCCGGCTTTTGACCCAAGGAAAGTTCGAACCCGCCAAATACCTTCTGGTAGTCGATCACATGCTGCGAAAGGAGTGACGTGTAACCGGACGAAGGTGTAGTCGCGTTGACGTTGGAAGAAGCGGCAGTAGAGATGATGGTGACAAGCTTGGCGTGCGGATCGGCTCCCCGGAACGAGAATCCGTGCGTTACGTCGCCCGCATCCAAAGAATAGTCGGTGTCGCCGACCCACGTGATCCAAGCCTCTTGTGCTCCAACTACGGACACCGTCGCGTTGACGGTACCGTCAGTAGTGGACGTACAAGTGATTTTGGGGATGACACCGGAAGATGAGGAGGTGGCCTGGATGCGCCCGAGGATCTCATAGGTCATCCCTGGATCTGCGACCTTCCCGCGAACCTGAAGTGTCGACTCATCGAGGCAGGTGATATTGGGCGTTGGAAGTCCATCCTCGGTGTAGGGAGAGAAGGCATACGTTAAGCCAGGGAGCGAGAATGTCGTCGTATTGATGTGCTCGACGCACGCTTGCGCTGGGTGTGAGCAGAACGACGTCCTGTAGATAACGATTTGTCACTGAATATGGAAGATCCCTGTAGACCGAACGTACCGAATAAAAGAACTGCCATTTTGAGTCCATTGGGTATGGACAAGGGCGGAGTCCATATCCAACCACCTCCCGTAGTCAGAAACAGTTCCAGTGACATCAAGAGTGGAAATCAGATATCCAGCGCCGGCGTATGAGCCTTCCCAGATCAAAGCGGGAAAAAAAGTCAGTGTGGAGTTCGCAACAGGCGTATTGACATACCCACCATAAGCACCAATTGGGGCAGCGAGTATTTCGACATCTGTATTGAAGCCGGTGAAAACAAGACACAATGTAGAAGAATGTCAGCGTACTATCAATGGTTGCTGTCGGGCTTGAGAAGATAGCAGAACGGATATTGCGCATATCCTGAGCTAATGCTGCTTGTTGGTCGAAAGCCTTGTTGCTCCCATTATATGACTATTCAAGCAAACACTATTAATCGATCCGACCTGAGAATGAGGAGCGAATCATTGCTTACAGGATCTTCAAACGGCCCACCACTCCAAAGTGACTCAATGTTCAGCTGTGTGACTTCTCTGTCTGTCCCACCAGGGATCATTGCTGTAATCACAAGAATCAGATGACTGTTCATAACCGACCCTATAACAAAGAAAGTAGTATACTCACCTGCGAGATACCCATTGCCGATTGGTAGAAACTCCGATTGCCAAGAATTTCCAGGAGCAGTGTACCAGAGGCCGTTACCCGAACTGGGAAAGCCGGAGGGCGCAGATAAAGCTATGCGTGATCCAAGCAGCAAGGAGAGAGTCTCCAAGATAAAACACCGCAATCGCATACTGAGAGACAAGATAATGCGCAAGGAACTGGTATCGAAGTTGACGAATATGATGAGGGCAAGGACAAGGCCGATGAGGCGCAGGACAGCATTGGATTTGCGCAGACGGAGAGGGTTTATAACAGTGTGCACCGGAAGTGCGCTACCGCCCTGCAGGGCAGAGCGGGTGGTTTGGACCCCCATGACGCGTCACTAGGTTTCTGTTTTCTCTATGCCAGCAGCAGAATCAGCGAAGTGCGCGCGTCGCGAGCACGATGGGGCGTACAGGTCTAATTGGAAGTTTCGGGCAAACTAGCGAGCATGCGGCTACGTATCGACTTTCGAGGCGCGTGATCGAGATGCTTCACGTGCTTCAAGCAAAGCGGCAAGGGATTCGGTCGATTAGGAGATGGGCAATGATGAGAAGATGGGCCAATGTCGTACCATACACTACGTGAGAGCAGCTAGCAGCATTGAAGGGGTTGAAAGAGGTAGTGATCATTGATGTCGGAATGTGTGGGCAGCGGAACTAGAGAGGAGGACAGATCCCTCGTACCTATGTATGAGTATAGTTGACTTGGCAGAACCTAGGTTTCTCCGACGAAGGAGTGTTCAATAGGATTAACGTCTAGAAATAATGTGTCGACACATGAGCATGAGCAAGCATTAGAGGCGGACGCACCCAATAATGGAAGAACAGGGGGAGTAAGATTCGTTAGGCCGCGAAGCTGCAAGTAGTCCGACCAAGAAGAAGGAATAGGGACTTGTGAGGACCAGAAAAATCCTTAGGATCAGCCTGACCATAGTTGTTAGCACTGTTGGCAGGCGAGGAGAGAGTATACAGAAGAGCCGAACCCGACCGCAATTGCGTTGCACTTAGAGGAAGCAATCGCCCCGCGGGGCCCCGTTCAGGATGGCTTAGTCATAGCATCATAGCGGTGTCATAGCCCAACTCGCGCGCTTGATCACAACCAACAACAATTCTGCAACCATGCTTCGACACGCTGGAGAGCTATCGGGGTGCTGCTCTATACAGATGAAAGGGTTATTCCCGCGAATTAAATAAATATATGTTGGAAATATAAGAATCACAGCGAGGGGACTATCACGGTCGCCAAAGAGCACGGCTCACCGACACAGCACATCCATGAACATCTCCTGCTCCAGCACCTGGCTCATCTCTAACCCCCTTCTGAGTACATACGGATCTCCATCGAAATGCAAACTTCGACAGTCAGGAGTTGGACGTGGTGACGGGATGAAGTCGTTGATCTCACTGTGTGCTCATTCAAGAAGAAACGAGCACCTAGATGAATAGGCCTGTGCGTGACAATTAGATATTATTCAGAGCAGATATCCAAACTGCATAGCGACAGAACAGCCAAAGTCGAAGAGATCAAGAAAAAGCGAGAGAAGAGGAAGATATGAAGTTGAGAACTTCGAAAACGCGTCGCGTACTGCGGCGCAGCGCTGCCCTTAACCCTAATCTAGGGCCGTTGCCAAGCCCTCTGACGGTCGTTCCTCGACTTCATCTACATCACATTTCATTTTCCTATCGTTTCCATTCACCTTCATCTTCGCCTTCCCAGCTGGGCACGGAAGTTTTGTCTTATTTTTTCACTCTTTTTGCACCCTCTTTTTTTCTCGAGCCCATAATTAGGCCAATTAGCTTCCCGGTCAAAATGTCTCCGGTTTCATCCATAGGCAAGAAGGTGTTCATGATGTATGGTGCGTTCTGGGCTGTTAGAGGATTCAGGAAGAATTGCAGAAGAGGCTCATCGTCAACCTTCTTCTTGTTTGCATGTTCAAACGTTTAGGTGCCATTATATTGGTCAACATTCTTGTTTTGGCTCTCTCCACCCGTGTCAATCAGTTCCAGGACTTCTTCTGTGCGCACACATTTTGGTATATCATTCATACCGTTTGCTAACTGGATCGAGGCTTTTAAATCTCACAGATGTCGCGGACCTCTTCCCTTTTGCCCTGTCCATCGTTACACTCGTCATCTCGGTTTTCATGTACGCCCCAGATGCTGGCTTTCTGTGATCTTCATCCGCGACTCACATATGGCGATAATCAGGCTTCTGCTTGACATTGGAGTGAAAGATTCAATCACCGCCCGCCCGCCTTTTCAGATCGGCATCATGTTCGTTTTGAGCATCTTTTGGCTAGGTTGGAATGCCCTTGTTCCCCTCCCTCACCCTTTCTGAATGATGCTCCAGCATTCAACGCCTTCTCAACGTCACGCTGGAAGGAAGTACCTATGAACTGCTCCACTATTCCCGCTGGTGCGTTGTATCCCTCTGTGTCGTGATTCGCTCAAGTCCGAAACCCATTTATCGATAGACTATAGCGATACCAAGCATTGGTGCATGGACCTTCAAGCTTTGAAAGCCTTTGTCTGGATCAACTGGGTGCTCAGTAAGCCTGTGTATTCATCTTCATCGCAGAACAAATGCACAATAACGCGCTCATACCCCCTTACATTCCATCTTCAGTCTTCTTTGGTGGCTGCTTTGCTACGCACTTCGCAGTGACACAATCTCAACGTGGCCAAAAACACATCTGGAGCACAACGCTGTCGCGCTTCACTCGACGCGCCTCGCACACTCGCAACCCCACGTACGCATTTACGGCGTCGGACGTGTCACAGATGAGCCAGACTCAGAATAGCTTCTTCTCGGCGCATTAAGAGAGGCATGTCGTCGACTTGGTCTGTACGCGATTTTTCTTGGTTGTTGAGCTTGTGCGGCGCCTTCCGGTAAGGTATATATGCATGCTATTTATCGCTGCTATTGTTATACCCTCTCCTCTGTTTCGTATTTTGCTATGGTTCTGGGTTTGGATGGTTTGAACGGCCTGTTTGTATTACAGATTCATTGATGCTCAGTTTATTTTTCCCAATACGATGTGCTCACTATCATCTCGCTCGCGAATCATGGTCAGTAGGTACGTTGGTGGGTAGTTCACCAGACGAAATTCCAATAGTCCGCAGCTTCTTGAGTTCACCAAAGCATCCACTAATTTAGGCATGCGCAGATGTACCCGATGATCTGCTCTCTGTACAGATGATCTCCATTCGTGACTACTTAGGAGTCAAGATAACTACTCAGATTCAAGCCAGGCAAACACGCATACTGCTTTGTCTTATATGCTGTGTCAAACCCGATATTGGTATATCTCGGCTCACTAGGCCATCAAGAGAAATCATGGATACGTAGGCCAGAATCAACTATACGCTCGTATTCCGTAGCGATTCCCTCTGGAAATTCGCATTGTGTACTCCTCTAGTTCGGGTAAACTGGGGCAAGTAAAACTCTCGTACATGGCCCGTATACCATCCGCGATATGCTGTTTTAGGCCATGTTTGTCGCAACTGCACATCGCTTCAACGATCGCCAATTTTCCTCAATAGAAAAATGCACCGGCTAGCTAGCTTTTCAGCGACTCCATCTACCGCGAACAGGAAGTTATCGCTATTGCTCTCTTTCAGTCTGTCCCAGAGAGCGGAGGCCTGCACCCTGTCCGGAAACTTCTGCAGGACAAGGACCCATTCCTTGATAGCTTTCTCGAAGTCAGGCTGCCGATGCTCCTTCTGCTCTTCGTAATCGCTATCGTTCTCATCCACGCCTAACATAGGATCTTCTTCATAGTCGTCGAAGTCTCTCCTGCTTGAATGGCACATGTACCAGACATATCTCGAGAGATATTTGTCTCGCAGCTCCCACTCTTTGGCATTGGTCAACCAGTCGCCTCCAACCTTCTTCGATAATCTACCTTGGGGGATCATCTCCTCCAAGTATTCAGATCCTTCCTCGTGACCGGGGAATGTATCCTCGCATGCGTACCATACCATTATTTTTGCGTGTTCGAGTGCCTTTTCCATGACATCCAACGCCCTTGTGCGGAGATCTTCCGAGGACTGTTTTGAGAGGTATTCCACAATATTGCGCACCGTCGCAGGCGCTGCGGTTTGAAACGCAAACCTTGGTGCGATATCCAATAGTCGCACTAGGTCATCAGTTTCCGAGCTCTTCAAAAATATCTCTGCTACATCTTTGTACGTCTTGAGCGCAGCGGTTTCGGTACTAAATGCATGGGTCCTTGTCGCCTCGATCAAAGCCTGTTGGCGATCAGGAGATTGAGCGATAAGCTCGTTGTAAAGATGGAGAGAAGGCTTTTGTTGAAAGGAGGCTACCCGAGCATGAGCATACTCCTCCAGAAGCAGAAAACCAACATCTTGCATAGCCTGAGTCCAATGACTGTCATAATATTCGTCTCTGCCCAAGGGTTCTGATTTTTTTTAACGATCAGCCAACAATGGCGGACTTAGCCATCGGCGGGCTTACCCTCTCTAGGTCTGACGAGTGCATGGACCTCACTTGAACGTTTCAATTGCTCGATGTCAGATATGACGGATTTCGTCGTGTCGCTGTCACCTCGGACGACACTTATAACAAGGAGCTCCCTCCACATCCAATGAACGATATCATCAATGCCCGCATATTCACTTTTGTAAACGGCGTTCCCATCAGAGCTTGTGATAGTGACTTTGAGGTCAAAATCGCGAAATTCGGTTCTAGAAAGAATGGAATGATGTCAATGCGATGAGGGCCTTGAGGTGGCCCATCGAGTTGGAAGAACACTGCGTGGACTCTTGAATGGAACAAAATACCAGATAGACTCACCGACTACCACAACATTCGATCTTGTCCACAGCCTCCGTGCAGAGAAAGGTGCATCTCTGCACTAACGGAAATTCTGGCCCGTCTTCCACAGAAGTCCGCCAGAGGTCGGGCAGCTAGGCGAGAATTTCTTTAGCCATCTTATCCATCATTGCCGATTGTATGTCGGCGCCATTGGCCCAATCACGCTTGACGTCCTTCACGAGTGCCCTGATGCCCACGTCCAGGCTCGCCTTGTGAGTATCGTAGCCGATCTCACTGATCAGCTATTGGACTTTGTTGCATTCGAGTTGGATAGCGGTCAAGGCGTTAGTGGCCTCCAACCGTTCTGACGTAGGCAGAGCATCAAGAGCGGGGGACATATACTTCTCGAGGATATTGCTGAAGGTTTTAGTTGCTAGAGAGTTGTACCTAGAAAGTGAGCGCAAGATTGTGCTAGGAAGTGCATCTAGTACTAACTATCACAATCAAACAAAAATCAGGTCAAGATGAAAATGGAGGTAGAGAGCACCCACAGATGTCGGCTCTGTTCTCTTACCTACTTCCATCATTGTCCTGAGTGTTATATGACACGTCGGCTGTCTGGCCGTGGATGTGAATGTTCTCGGGAGAAGTTGGGCCGTAGTCACGGAGTGCAATCTTTTGAAAGTCTGTCAATACGCATCGGCGCAGTTCGGCTTGTCGGAAACTGCCGTGTGGTCGCCTCTCGACGCTGCGAGCATATCATCTCACCTCCTTAGTTTGGATGTTCAATATCTTGCGTTAGATGTGCAGAATGGTCATACAGGGCCTCTGCCATCACCAACATGACGACAGAACTGACAACCCGAAACCTCCTTGTGATAGAACGAGGAGAGCCATTTCATGCGAGAGGGTGAGTTGTCAGAAATGCGGTCATACAACTACAACAGCCCTTTCTCCAGTGTTCAAAGTCAGGAGGGTTATTACTGATCTTGATTAGTTGGGCTGAGATGTTTAAGACTAGATCATCCTCATGGAATGGAATGGGTGTCCTTGAAGCTTGACGGCGCATACTTTAATGCACTGACATCTGATGTCACGAAGACATGGCTCATAACTGATGGGAGTATCAACACGATATGCATGCATCCTCTTGGTCGGATCTATCGGCTAGTTCTTTTGAATCAATGGGATGGGGATTAATGGGAAATCAAAACCTGCACAGTACGTGGAGCCGCCGTTGCAAGTTGTCCGGAACTCCCTGCTGATTTTACGTGCTCTGATATTTCACTCGCGTTTCAGCGATGTAATACCCTCGTATTCAGCGGGAGGGTCCGGGGCCCTGTGTATGTGGCGCTTGTCCCCATTGGGGAAAAGCATTATTCTCCATCCACATGAGTCCCCTTTGAACTGCTTTTCCATGCCAGAGCCATTGATGACATACCTTTCTGGAAGGCGATACTTCTATGTGCATGACGGCACACATGGTCTCGAGCCCGTACATATACTGCCTCGTAAAGCTCCAAGGTTTGTAGGATCAATCTTCTCAGGCTATGTACGGCACCTCGACCTAAATCTTTCAGTCTCGTCATCTGACCTCCTTCCAAGCCCTTGTTTGTCAACGCGACTTTAGAAAACGGGCTCGGAATGCAACAGAATCGCACGTCGTAAAAACAACAAGATGCAAAAATAGCTACCAAACCTCCTCTTTTCAACATCGATGTTGTTTTCGTCGACATCGCGGCTCAAGGCGCCCTTGCGAAATCTCCCTGCTCCCATCGGGCGCCGAGCACCAAATGCACTCTGCGCGTGAAAGGTTTTGGCGACAAAAGCTAAAGTGAGGTGCCCACGCGCGAAAAAAAACTTGTTTGCCTTCGGAGCTTGTTTTATCACTGATCGAGCTTCTTCATTACACTGTCCTAGACGTGAAACACTCCTTTCAAGCCCCACAGGATGACCTTCTTCGCGCGCATCTATAGCCGGCGAGGTGATCAGCATCTGTTGTCACAGTCTGGAGGTGTGAGCTTGATAACAGCACTTTGAAGATAAGAGAGCGGGTGACGTAGTATATGATCCTTCCCATTCAAAGAAACCTCAGGCAACCGTCCAGTATACCTATTTTCAGCTCCTCAACATCCAAGTACGTCCGTCGATCGACGGCCAAATATGGAGACTGTCAGAGGGCCTCACTGTCTCCACGACATTGACGGCCGACCGACAGGCAAGTCCGCGCAACCGAAGCAAGCTACTTGCATGCTTCGAGCGCCTCTCGTTATCGCTCACCGCCCTCAAACGGCAGACGCACGATCGTTTGCGAGCTTCCCCTACGGTACGGGCGCAGCCACCGACTCGCGGCAATATCTGGCGTTCGTTGACCCTGACCGCGCGATACGCGCTTCCCCCGCTCTTGACTGGCGATTTCCAAGTCCTACGAGTTCCCGCTCCCGCCCCTGCCTCCAGCTCTTATCTGAAGCTATTTTTTGCGCAGCGAGGCTGTGAATGCGGCGGCGGCGGCAGTGGCGGCTGCGCAGGTCAAGCTCGGGGGTTGCGAGGGGCAGGAGAGAGCTTTGCTAGTGCAGAGCGGCGGAGGCGCAATGCGCCCCACGGTTATGGATTCACCCCCGGATGCATCTGTACTCCCATGACGCGATATCCGGACACTTGAGCCGGGTTGACCAAGCTCTTGTATATGCATGCGGATCTCTTCGCACCATTCGTCTGCGCGCGCCTCAGTTCTCCGAGTCCAGTCTTGGATTCACCATGTAGACGACTTCACAGGTCATCCCGAGCCGGCTCGAGAGTACTTTGCAGAGATGTTCAGATACGATGCACACTTTCGTCCGGAGTGCCCCGTCGTCAAACATCGTAGTCTAAGATCAATGTTGCATATATGTAGATTATATCAGGGAATGGCGGCATCTGCGCCGCGCAGAATAGACCGCCGCGGACCTTCGTAAGTAAAAGGGCGCATGTAGATGGGTAGCATCGACATATACGAGTACTTCGATAACGGGGTAGCCTGGGAAGCCTGAAAGTGGGAAAACGGGAAAACGGGAAAGCGAGACAGCGGGAAAGCGGGAAAGCGGGAGACCAGGGAAAGCAAGCAAATAAGCATGATATGCCAAGTGCTTAGCGAGTACCATAGGCAGAAAGTCATCGTATGCAGTCGTGAGGCGCCGTTGGTCTATGGGCCAGCAGCAGCAGCAGGCGTCGTCGTCGTCGTCGTCGTCGTCGCCGTCCCTAATGTTCGCAGTGCATATATCGTCTATGAGTGAGCATGTCGTCCGAGTGTCCATATATATGTACGTATGTATGTATGTAGTTTATATTCCGGCGTGTATGCGCACAAGATCTCGAGGGAGCGGGAGGGGTCCAATAGTGTTCGTGACGCGGGCCCTATTGAATCGCCAGTGTTCGTCGACACGCACGCGCGCCGAGGGCGGGGCGAGGAGATCCGCCCGCACGAGGGAGCCGCTCAGCACAGCTGCCACATCTTGACGTAGTCGCTGCGCACGCGCGAACACGCAAAACAGACATCAAGTCAGCGCACGCACGAGCCACACGAGAAAACAACAACAACGACGACGACGACGACGACGACGAAAAACAATAAGAAGGGAACTGTTAAAAGGAGAAGGGACGGGATGGGATGGGACGGGGCGGGACAAGACGTACATTCTCAACGCGCGATCATCGTCGCTCGCGGGCCACGTCGCGTACCACGTCGACTGCGCCTTTGCAAAGTCGACCATCGCGCCTACGATTGGAAGCGGTCGCGGCAGGCCAATCAGCATCGAACGTGGTCCTCCACCAAGAAAGGGGATGGAGGGGGTGGAAGTGTGGGAGAGAGGGGAGCACGCACTGGCGGAGCCGTCATACCACATCTTCCCGCCAACGTTGTCCGGGAACCACCCGCTCGTGCCGCCGACGGCGAGGTCGAGGATGAGGTAGAAGTCTAGCGCGAGGCATCAGCGACCGCCTGCCTAAGTATTCCATATTATCCAGCACTCGGAACGCGTAACACGCACTCTGGTCGAACGGCGCGCTCGCGCTGCCCTGGTACGGGTCCTGCACGACGACCTCCGCGCTCCCATTCACCGCCGTCGCCGGGAACTTCCCCGCCGCCCAGAACCCGCCCTTGGCGCCGACGCGCAAGTCCAGCATCGCGTGCAGGCGCGAGTCGACGTACGCGCGCACGAAGTCGGCCGTCCACTCGAGCGCGTACGTGTGGAAGCCCGCGGCGAAGGGCGCGCGCTTGCGCGCCTGCCACCCGTACAGGCGCGCGACGAGCGACGGGAGGGGCCCCCAGGCGAGCGTGCTGCGCACGACGTTGTTGCCCTGCGCGGGGTAGGACGGGGCGTTGCCGCGCGCTTCGAGGATCTGGCGGGGCGGGGGCGGGGGCGGTCAGTGCATCGGTGGTCGAGAGAGAAGGGAGCAGGGGGTGGGACGGGCGTTCGGGGACGGGCTACGCACGTCGATCTCGCCGCTGACGGGCCACGCGCCGTACACGTCCTTGACGGGGAGCATCCACACGGCGGGCCAGAGCCAGTCCCCGCGCGGCATTTTCGCGCGGACCTCGACGCGGCCGTAGCGGATGGAGTACGACTTGCGCGTCGTGAGGCGCGCGCTCTGCACGGGGTTCACGACGCTGTTGTTCGCGACGGACGACGCGGTGCACGCGGACGCGTTGGTCGACGTGCAGCCGGGGAGGTCGTACGTGTACCCCGCGAGCACGCCCGAGGTGTACCCGATCTCGTCGGACGTGAGCGTCGGAAGGATGTACAGCTCGCCGTTGCGCGTGAACAGGTTCTTCGACGACGCCGTCGTCATCTGGAACTCGCCGTTCCTGCCGCACACGCGCCGTCATCGTCAACAACAAAATATAAGCAGACTTCGTTCGGCCGCGAAACGGCCGACGCACCCAAACCCGCCAAGCTCGACCTCCCGATCCCAAATCGACCCGTCCACGCTCCCATCCGCCGAATCGAACTCGTCCACCACAACGCTGCACAGGTTCCGGGGGTCGATCAGCCCCGCGCCCGCGTCCACGTACCCGCGCCAGCACAGCACGCCCGCGAGCCCGACGCCCGCGAGGAACAGCGCGGCGGTCGCCCACCACCCGAGCGCCGTGCGCCGCTCGCGCGCGCGCAGCCACGGCTTGTCGCTCGTCGAGAGCTTGCGCGCGAGCAGCGTCGTCGGGCGCGGCGGCTTCGGCCCCGGGAGCAGGAGCGGGAGCGACGCCACAGAGGCCGTGCCGGTGCCCGCGGCGTGCGGGAGGGGCGGCGCGGTGGCAAACGCGTGCGCGGGCGGGGACCAGAGGCTGGACGACGGGCGCGAGGCGGGGGAGAGGAACGGCGCGCGGAACGACGGCGTCGAGCCCGTGCCGGGAGCCGGGGCCGCGCCGACGCCGACGCCGATGCCGACACCGACACCAACACCGACACCAGGCCCGCCCATCCCGAAGCCATACGCGCCCACGCCGACGCCGACGCCGATGCCGAACGCAGCAGGCCCCGGGCTCGGACCCGCGCTGACGTTGAACCCATCGCCGCGCACGAACGGCGCGAGCACGCGCGCGCCAACCTCGCGCTCGAACTCGGCGTCCCACGACGCCCTGCTCCCGCCCGCCCGCGCACCACCCGCGGGGGGCGGCCCGTCGGCGGAGGCGTCCGTGTCGAGGCTGCGGCGGCGCACCGCGCTCTGCGCGAGGTGGTAGTACGGCGAGGCGGCGGCGGTCGCGGTCGTGCCCGCGCCCGCGCCCGCGCGATGGGGCGCGTGCGACTCGGAGCCCGAGGCGGAGCCGGGGCGGGGGATGGCGGCCCCGGCCCCGGCGGTGGTGCGGGCGCGCGCGAGGGACTCGAGGCTCGCGCGGCGCGAGAAGGAGGTGGCGGAGGCGGAGGCGTGTACGGGGACGGGGGTGCCGGGGTCTGGGTTGCCCGGGTACGCCTGGAAGGGGAAGGCGGGGGGCAGGGAGAGCGGGAAGGAGGACGGCGGGGGGTGCGCGCGGGACGGCGGGGTGCGTGGGGAGGGCGCGAGCGGGACAAGCTGGACGGAGTCGTCGTCGCTGGCGGTGCCGGCGTTGCCCGCGGCGAAGAAGGGCCCGGCGGTGGCGGGGAGCTCGGTTGCGGAGCGCAGGGAGGCAGAGGCGGAGGCGGGGATCGCGTAGAGGGCTGTGTTGGGGTTAGGGTTTGGGGTAGGGGCGGGGGCGGGGGAGGGGGCGTGTGCGTCCGTATTGAGCGCAGTGTACCCGCCCGCAGCTGCGCCTGTGCCTGTCCCTCGACCCGCAGCGGGCCCTGCGGCCCCCACGCGGCCGCGGTTATGGGCCCTCTGGCGCGCACGAGGCGGCACGACCGGGGGCATCTCGCGCTCCGAGTCGGACGCGGAGGGCGTGTCGACCGAGGGGGTCAGCGACGCCGTCTGGCTGTCCTGGGAGTACGAGTACGAGTTGGAGGACGAGCCGGAGCGCGTGGACTGGGGCCGGGAGCGGAGGAAGGCCGGGCGGGGCGGGGCGAGGGGAGAGGGGGAGCGAGGGGAGAGGCGCGGGATGAGTGTCGGGGCGGTGGAGGGAGTGGACGGGGCTGTTGATGACGGAGGCGGGCGGATAGAGTCGTCGTCGCTGAAGGATGTGCTGCGTCTGGTGGGTGGCGGGGCGTAGCGCGAACGGCGGGGGTAGGAGGACATGGTGGAGTTGGCTCCTGGGGGAGGGGAAGAGAGCGCGAGGGCGTGGAGGGGAGCGAGGTGGTTTAAGTTTATCGCGACGCACAGCTCCTTGAGGCCTCCGCATCTCCTCCTGGGGCGTGTGCGGCGTGACTGGCGGAGACCGCAGACCGCAACCAAAGGACGTGCGACGGGAATCCGCGCGCTTCTGGGCCATGATACGATGAGCGTGCGGACACGAACACGCCACTCAAACTGTGGACCTCCGCATCGCTGTCTCCCGGCACCCACCGCGCAAGCCTCCCAGCCATCAAACAAACCAACGAAAATCGAGCAACACACAAGTCAGGGAAATTCGCCCGCCGCGAGGCCTGCACGCTTCTCGCGGTTCACACTCCGCGGCGCGCAGGCTGCCGCCGCGCCCCGCGCCAACGCTGGCCCCACCGCTCTCGTCTTGTTACGTGGCCACGACTCGTGTGCATCGTCCTTCCGACGCCCCCTGCGCGCCGCCCTCTCTGGACGCGGAGGCCCGCGTCGAGGCTTCCGCAGCACCCGTTGCGCCACGGCTGACTGCTCTATTACTGAAGCCGTTGTTTGCATCCGTGCGCATCTCAGGATCTACGCGCGATCGAACCCGTCCATCCCACTTCCATTCGCGACCACGACCTAGAAGGTAACGCGGACATGGTGCGGTCCCAGGGGTGCCCCCAATCCTTCTTCTCCCGCGCCTCTATCACCTCCCAGCCCCGTCCAACCTCCCTCCCCGACACCGCACATGACCGCGTTTGGCGGCCCCCCCCCCCTCCAGCCTCACGCCGTCCATATATCGCACAGGTATCACAGCACCTTCCTTGCGCCCCGCAGACGGAGGTTCCTTGATCCCCGTCGGTCCCGGGACCAGTCTGGGAGGGATCGTGTCTTGCCGGAGGGGACAGGATGCGGACGACGTCATCGGTGACATCGTCCTTGTCGTCGCACACTGGCAGGAGACAGCAGACTCGAGGGGCCCCGTGTTGGCTGTTGGCATGGCGAGATCCTCCACGGCGGACGTCCACGGGCGACGTCCAGCAAACAGAGTGCGAGATGACCACCCCGGGATCGTAAGCCCAGTATGCGCTGCTCTGTAGGCCGATGCACGCCTGTTCAGAATGGAATTCGAAGGGCCCCATCACGGTGCTAAAATTAAAACGCGCATACTTATCTGCAGCGATGCCCCACGACCTGTTCATGAAAGGCTCCATTCATCCTCCTTATCTCTTCGCGCCGCGCACGCAAAGCATCCGGCCGAGTCCCACTCAAGTCCCACTCGTACCCTGACGCGAGCACCTGTACGACGATAACGAGCCCGCGCTGAGCAGTGCACTTTTACCCAACGCCCGTGAGTCATCCGCCAGAAGCTGAGCGAGAACGATGATGAGAGATTGTGTAGGGAGCGCGGAGCGGCGAGCCTGCAGCGCGCCCCCGCTCGGCGCTCCCACTCCACACCTGTCCCTTGTGCGGCCAAGGCCGGGACCCCGGGCACGCCTTCTCGCTGCCTCCGCACTACTAACGTCAGGTGGGCGGCGCGAGGCTCGCCTCAAAGCCCGCCGCGTGTCGGTCCACGTACGTCCACACTTCTCGCGCAGATATCTACCCCAGCCGTCCTTCCGTCCGTCCGTCTGTCCGTCCGTCCGTCCTCGCGTCCACCCGCGTGCGCGTTCGCTCCCACGCGCCCCTCACCGCTCCACCCGTCGCCTCCTCGCTCCTCCCTCCCTCCCAACACAACAGCAAGCAGCCTCCCAACGCACCCCTCCTTCCTCTAGCCTGCACCATCGCCAAGGACCCCTCTCTTTTTTCTCCTCTCCCTCTCCCTCTCACATCTCGCATAGACCTGACCCTAGACGGGCCGCGGCGATGGACTACGACCGGTACGACGCGCTCCTGCACTACATCTTCAAGCAAACGCAAGGCGACGCCTGGTTCCGCCCCGACGCCGCCCCCGCCCCCGTACCCGCCCCCGCCCCCGCACCTACACCCCCGTACCCGCACCCGTACTCATACAGCCCCGGCTTTCCCACCAATCCCGGCACCGCCAGCTTCTACGGCCCCCCCGCCGCAGCCGCCTCGCATGCTGCGGCACCTGCAACGCCGGCAGCGCCGGCAGCGGCGGGGGGCAGCATCGCGGGCGGCGTGTGCATGCGCGACGACGCGGGCGCGTACCGCGTGTTCCCGTACGAGGACCGCAGGCTCGAGCCGTTCGAGCGCGCGGTGAGCGCGATGGGCCTGCTCGTGGCCGTCAAGGTGCGCAGTGCCGCGGCGCACGCGGCCGTTGGTGAGGTGTGAGTGGCCGCTTTTCTTTTTTTGTCGTTGTCGTTTTTTGTTGTTGTTGACGTTGACGCTGTCGTTGTCGTTGTCGTTGTTCTTGCGGGGGTCGAGGGTCGAGGAGCTATTTTTGGATGTTGGTCTTCCTTTTTTCCGTGGAGCGAAGGGTGGGTGGGTTGGTCGATCGGCCGTGCTTCTGAAGGCGGTGTGGGGACGCGCTGCGCGTCTTTGCGCCTTCCTTCCTTCTTTCCTTCTGGACCTCCTTGGGCTCGTTCGTCCGTTCGTTTCGTTTCGTTTTGGTTTCTCGCGCCTGTCGTGTCGTGGGGATGTGACGGCAGGCGCGGCTTGGCCCGCTGATGGTGGCGTCTGCTTCCATCGCTCACGCCCGTTTTTGTCGCCGTTATCTCGCTGTTTTTGGTTCTTGAGCGTATCTGTTGTATGTCGGGGGCGGGAGCGGGGGCGGGGGTTAGGCGGCGGGGGCGCGTGGGGTTCTTGATGCCCGACGGCGAGGATCGGCCTCGTCGTTATCTGCTTGACGTGTCTGCTTGACGCGCTTGACGTGTCTGTCTGGCCGGACGTCTTCTGTCGCGAACCGGGTGCCGCGGCTGCCCTTTCGGGACGCGAATCGCGCGGGCAACGTGACGCGAGCCAAGCAGCGGCTCCGCGCGCCTTCTGCCGCCATCTCGCGCGCTCTCTCTCTCTCTTGCGTGTCTTGCGCGTCGGGTCGCGACGGTTGCGTTCTGGGGCGCTTTGGGCGCGTTCGTTTCCTTTCGTTGAGTGGAGTGCTTATGGCTCTGCGTCTGCGTGCTCGTGCTTGGTTTCTTGCTCGGTGGCGGGCGCTGGAGCTGACGTCTTCCCTTGTGTTTTTTCTTATCGCTCTCGCTCGCGTCTCGGATGACGTCGCATCCGTGCATGGCCGCTCGATGCGCACACGCCACGATGCATCCGTGCGTCATCCGCGCGTCCGTGCGTTGGCGCACGCAGGGGCCCGGACGAGAAGAGCGTGTACGTCGACGCGAACACCCGCATCCAGATCGTAGAGACGATGATGCTCCTCCCGCACGCCGACCGCGAACAAAAGGCCGCCTTCGTCGTACGTCTCTCCTCCCCCCCCCTCTCTCTTCCTCCCCATCTCACGCCCCACTCCTCCTTTTCCTCCTCCTCCAAAATCTCACACGGCATGTACTAGCGCGACGAGCGCGTCCTCGTCGTCTGGTCCGACGCGCTCGACGCCATCATCCCCACCTGCTCCGACTTCGAAGAGCGCCTCATCCGCCTCCTCTGGCGCGCCCGCCCGCCGACAAGCACCGCGGGCACCGCGCCCTCGCGCCCGCCGACCGCGTCCTACGCCGACTCGGCGTCCGCGCACTCCCTCGTCGGCGGCGGCCCCACGTCGCGCGCGTCGCACGCGCAGATGCGCAGGCACAGCCCGACGCCCGCGCGCGTCCTCGCCGGCGGCGCGCTGGCGGACGAGCAGCACCTCGGCGTGGGCATGGGCGTGGGCGTAGGCGCGGACGCGGACGTCGAGAGGCGCGTGCGCGGCGCGCGGCCGGTCGTCAGGCGCACGTGGTACGGGCGTCGGTACATCATCGCCGGGTCCGATGCGGCGGAGGACGAGGGGGACGAGGAGCGGGAGAAGGAGAAGGACGCGGGGGTGGAGGGAGACGTGGACGCGCTGCGGGGGCCCGAGAGAAGGCCCGTGGTGATGTATGCGGCGGTCTACAACGGGCTCGCGGCGGGCCTGTCGGCTGGTGAGTCTCGCGCCCGGTGGTGGGAAGTGGAAGGACGGAGCGCGCGCTGACTCTTTCTTTTTTGGGGGTTCAGTGTTTATCGGGAACGGCGTCAGTGAGTCGGGCGTTTCGCGCTGGTGCGTGGAGGGCTGGAGGATTGCTGATCGTGTTTTGTGTCGTGTCGTGTCGTGCGTGCAGAGAATCTGATCGTGGAGTGGAGGCAGGACGGGAGCTTCGTGCGGTTCGCGCTCGCGGCCGTGCTCCCGCTGCTCTTCTGCGTGTCCCTCGTGCGTGCCCTCCTCCTCCTCCTCTCCTCCTCTGCCATACACCCGAGCCGCGATCTCGGCGCTCACCCTCCGTGCTGCAGTTTTTCTGCATCCAGATCGTGCAGAACGTGACCATGGCGTGAGTGTGTCCCGGCTTCTCACTCACTCGCTCGCTCGCCCGCCCGCCCGCTTGCGATGCTCGTTCCGCGCGAGAGGATGCTGAGATCGCGCCGCGCAGGATCGGCCCCATCGCGCAGTACCACCGCAACTCCAAGTTCTACTCAGCCCGCAAGCCGCGCCCGAACGCGCGCGTCGACGACGCGCTGCCGCATATCACGATACAGATGCCCGTGTACAAGGAGGGCCTCGAGGGCGTCCTGTGCGTGTCCCCGCAGCTTGCACTTTCGAATGTCGCTGATGCGCGTGCAGTGCGCCGTCGGTCGCGTCGCTCAAGAAGGCGATGCAGACGTATGCACGGCAGGGTGGCACCTCGAACATCTTCGTCAACGACGACGGGCTGCAGGTACGTCACGTCCGTCCACGCCCCGCCCCACCCCGCCCCCCTCTTCCCATCCTCCCACCCCCTCTAACTCCGTTGCTTCGTACCTCGCGACTCCGCGGTGCCGCCGCCGCCGCCGCCGCCGTCACACAGCTCCTGGGCGACCGCGAGCGCAGCGCGCGCATCGCGTTCTACGACGCGCACGGGATCGGGTGGGTCGCGCGCCCGCCGCACGGCGGCGCCGGCGGCTTCGTGCGCGCGGGGCGGTTCAAGAAGGCGTCGAATATGAACTACGGGCTCGCGCTGTCGCGCAAGGCGGAGCAGCACCTGCTCGCGATCCAGGCGCAGGAGCAGGAGCAAGCGCTGCGGGCGTCTGTCGATGGTGCGGGCCACGCCAGCGGGAGTGGGAGTGGGAGTGGGGGCGGGAGCGGGGGCGGGGGCGGGAGCGCGGAGGAGGAGCGGGAGGTCGCGATGGAGGAGCGCGCGCTGATGGCGGCGGTGGAGGAGGTGTACGAGGAGAGCGGGCGGCGGTGGCGCCCGTGGGCGAAGAACGGCCGCGCGTGTCGGCTGGGCGAGATCATATTGCTGGTGGATTCGGATACGGTCGTTCCGGAGGTGAGCATGAACGGGGGTCGGGGCTCTTGCTCGATCTCGAGTTGGCGTTTTTTTTTGTCTTTTTTTTTTTTTTTTTTGGTGCTGATTGGCGGCTCGCGTAGGACTGTCTAAGGGACGCGGCGCGGGAGATGGCGGAGTGCCCGACGGTGGCGATTATTCAGCATGAATCTGGTGGGCTTTCTCACTTTTGAGTCGCGTGTTCAACGTTGGTTGACCGATGTGGGTAGACGTCATACAGGTCGCGCATCATTATTTCGAGAACGGCATCGCGTATTTCACGAAACGGATCAACAAGTGCATCTCCATGAGTGCGTTCCGCGGTCCCGCGTGTCCCCTTTTCTCTCTCCCTATTGAAACACGCCTCACATTCACATCCGTATCGCATCCAGCGTGCGCCAACGGCGAAGTCGCGCCATTCGTCGGACACAACGCGTGCGTCGCCTCCTTGCCTTCACCGCTCGCGCTGACGCTTGCCCGGCGGGCTTCGCAGATTCCTGCGCTGGAAGGCGATCCAAGATGCCGCGTTCGTCGACGCGGCCGACGGGCAGGAGAAGATATGGAGCGAGGCGCACGTGTCGGAGGACTTCGACATGGCGCTGCGCCTGCAGATGCGCGGGTTCATCATCCGGTCCGTCCTCCTCGTCGCTCGTTGGATTTTCTTTCGTTGCTGACGAGCTTCGGCCACTAGGTGGGCGACGTACTCGAAAGGCGGGTTTAAGGAAGGCGTGTCGTTGACGGTCGACGACGAGCTCAATCGGTGGCAAAAATATGCTTACGGTGCGTGTCCTTTGCTCAATGTGTCTGCGCTCGTTTCTGACGCTATGTCGAACAGGGTGCAGCGAGTACGTGAAATCCTCTTTTCAGGTGTCGTGGAGATTATTGATAGGAGGGTATTCAGGCTGCTCTTCAATCCCTTTGTGCACTGGTGGCGACGCGGGCCGATTGCGCACCAGATCCATAAATTCCTGTGGTCTGATGCGCCCTTGCATTACAAGATCTCGATGATGGCGTGTACGTCCCTCTCCCGCTGAGCACGCAGATATGCTTGTTTCTTACCGCCTCCTTCGATTTGATATGCAGACATGTTCTCCTACTGTCAGTGCTCTGTCCTTCCACCGTTTGACTTGCACAAGCTGATACAGGACGCTGTGCAGACGGCCTCTCGGCCTCGGTGACGATCGGCTTGATTAACTATGTGCTGCTTGGGTTCGAGTTCCCCGTCGACGGATTTTACATGCACAGTTTCGAGATCTGGCTCGCGTCGATCGTCGTCTTCTTCGGGTCGGGGAACGTCGGCTACACGTTGCTGGAGTACCGTCTGGGAGAGAAGAACCTCGTGCGCGTCTCGATAGTCGATCGCCGCTGGCTCATGGCTGACTGACCGTGGGTTTATTTCGACGCAGCTCGAGTCTTTCTTCACGAACCTGCTGTGGATCCCGTTCTTGTGAGTGGCTCGTCCTGCGTGCGTGCGTGCGTGCGTGCAGACGAGAGCTGACCGCCGGGCGTTGGACGCAGCTTTTTCTTCTTCGGCGGGCTCGCGATACCGCTGAGCCAGGCGATGCTGGCGCACCTGTTCTCGTACGACATCTCGTGGGGCGCGACGAAGAAGGAAGTCGAGCGCTCGAACTTCTTCAAGGAGGTCCCGAAGATCATGAAGCGGTGCGTCCGACTCCCCGTCCCCGTCCCCGTCCCCCTACAGGCGGTCCTCATCAAAGGTCGTGGCGCGCAGGTTCTGGTTCCCGCTTCTCGTGACCATTATCCTCATCTTCGCCATGATCATCCTGTCGACGTCCCTCGTGCCGCTCGAGTGGCGCGTCGATGGCTCGGGCTGGGCCGTGATCTTCCCGCTTGCGTACGTCTCCCGGTGCACTGTATGAGATTTCTTCTCACCTTTGTCTCCGATATGCAGAATCGCTTGTGGCTGCCATGTCCTGTTCCCCGTGCGTATGACTTGGCTGTTCTTTGTGCTGGTTTCTCCGAGGCTGACGCGTTTCTTCTGTTTTGCGCAGATCGTCTTGAACCCGTGGCTGATGATTTTCTCGTACTAAGATCACGAACTATTCTTCCCGCTTCTCACGTAGAACACGTAAACGAACAACGTATCTTGGACTTCAACGATCTGAAATTTCGACTCCCTGTGTTTTTTCCACCATAGTTTTCGCTTTGATCTCGTTGCTGTTTGGCCCATCTACGGACAACTTACACACTATACCCTGCCCGCGTCCCGTTTCATGTTGGCATCTCTTTTACGACTTTGGATTTCACTGTTGTGTCGACGAACTCATACAAGCCGCTATGCGCGCGCGTGGCTATCGAATGACGCTGACGTACTAATTTCGGAATGATTCTCGTTGGTTGGTAGCGGAGGCCGTGTGCAACTATCTCTTCAGCGAAGCGGATAGGACTATACTACTGCACGCACCCATGATGTTATGTTTTAGGCACGTACCTTTAGCCGCCCTTGGGCAATATGACGCCGGGGCAATGTTGGCTGGCAAAGCCCAGCTACAGGCTCTGGGCTCTCGGACACTTACTTACTAACTTGGTATATGACGCACCGATGAAGACTGTGACCGTTTGGTGAAAATGTTCCCGTCTGACAAGTCAGGACGACGTGCACGGCCGTTTACGGAGGCAACAGAAACACGGGGCAGAGGTGCATTTGACAGACGGAGGCCCCGTCCGAGGTTGCCCGCCTGCAGCGACGACGCGATTAGCAGCGGCCGCGGGAATGTGGCGAGGTACGGCGGGACGACGACGGTGTGGGGAAGGAGGGCCGGGAGAACTCGGGCGGCTTGACGGCGGACGCCCTCCCAAATATAGCCCGGCGGAACAGCGCGCGTCCAATCACATAAATCCTGTCCAAAATTTCGCCTGTCGCCTCCTCCACCGGCCGTGTATCCTTAGTTCTCAGTCCTACTACTCCACCTCGCCGTTGCCGACGTCCGTCGCAGCGTTTAATATGCAGTCTACCCTCCGTGAGTGCCGTGCCCGCCGTCGTCGGTCGTATGCGTCCTGGTTCTGAGGGGTTTTGTTGTGCCAGTCCTTCGAACGGCCGCGGCACGCGCGCTGGTCCAGTCCAGACCACGACACCTCGCACTCGCACACAGACAGGTCCAGGTTGCCCGAAGAGCGTTGGCGACGCCCTCGGCTGCTCCAGAAAGCAGCCAAGCGGTCAGTCCCATCCACGATCCCGAGCGCTGCGCTGCTTCGCTCGTGACCTCCTCGCGGTGCTGAGATCTTATGACGCATCACAGCCACCGCCCCCACCTCCATCCCCGCCAAAAGCTTCCAGGTGGCGCAGGTTCCTCCAGGGCGCCGGGAGCGTCACTATCGTGTCCGTGCTCTCGACCGGCGGCCTGTTTTACTACGTCACCCAGAAGGAGCGCAATCCGGGCCCTCAGCTGCCCTTTGATCCCTCGAAGAAGACGGTCGTCGTGCTCGGCAGTGGGTGGGCCTCGGCGAGCTTCTTGAAAAACTTGGACACGGCAAACTACAACGTCGTGCGTTCCTATCTATCATCATAGTTTTGGCGTCGCGACTGAGCGACGGCTGGTAGATTGTCGTCAGCCCACGTAATTTCTTCCTCTTCACTCCCCTTTTGCCGAGCGTGGCCGTCGGCACATTGTCACCCAATTCTATTTTACAACGCAAGTCGTCTTGATCCTTTCCTCGACCTGCCGCGTTAACTCCGACTTTCAGCTATTCGTTATCTGACCCGTCACAAGGAGCGACAGGTCACCGTCATTGAAGCAGAGGCAAAATCCGTCGACGTCCGTCACCGCCTCTCTCTTTCCCAATCTTTCCTAACGTTTTGCTCTGACTCTCAGCCTGTTGCGAAAACCGTGACCTTTGCTGGTTAGCGCTCGGAGATGCCTCTGACGTCATAGCCTCCGACTGACGCTTTTATCTCGTTCGCAGATGAAACAGAGATTCAAGGAGAGGTGTTCTCAAACACATTAAAGTATGACTACCTTATCTACGGTGTCGGCGCGGAAACACAGACCTTCGGTATTCCCGGTGTCAAGGAGAACGCCGTATTCATGAAGGAGATCCAGGATGCTGACCGGGTATGTCCCCCTCCTGACCCGTGATACAGGTATCATGCTCTTCACTAAACAAGACATGTGTTACCTAGATGAAGCGTCGTTTCATGGACTGTATGTGGCCGCTCCTCGTGTCAACGACCCCACCGGTCTCATTATTCTATAGGCATCGAATCGGCGGGATTCCCTGGGCAGAGCGATGCTGAAATAGATCGCCTGCTGCACATGGTGGTCGTGGGTGGTGGTCCCACCGGCGTTGAAGTCAGGTATATGATTTGGTCACCTCCCCGCAACCTGATACTGATATCAATCGTAGCGGTGAACTGCATGACTTCCTCGAGGCATGTCTCCTCAGTTTCCCCTTCCAAAAATCATGCTCACGCTCATCTTCTCCAGGATGATCTCAAATCCTGGTACCCCGAGCTTTCTTCCCGCATCCGCATCACGCTGGTCGAAGCCCTGCCCTCCGTCCTGCCCATGTTCAGCAAGGAGCTCATCAGCTACACCGAGTCCACCTTCAAAGAATCCAAAATCGACATCCTCACCAAGACGATGGTGAAGGAGATCAAGGAGAAGAGCGTGGTGCTCCAGATGCCAGACAAGAGCATCAAAGAGGTGCCCGTGGGCATGGTCGTCTGGGCCGGCGGGAACAAGGCGCGGGACGTCACGGTGGACCTGATGAACAAGCTTCCGCAAGCGCAGGTCAACAAGCGCGGCATCACCATCGACGGTACGTGCCCCCCTCTATACCACTATCGGCGCCCGCCTTCGAATGACTGACTCTGCTTCGTGATGTTCACAGACCACCTCCGCATGGCCGGCACGGACGGCTCCATCTTCGCCCTCGGCGACTGCACGGCCTCGTCGTACGCGCCGACCGCCCAGGTCGCCTCCCAGCAAGGCGCGTACGTCGCGCGCATCTTCGCGCAGCTCGCTAAGCGCGACACCCTCGCGGACCAGCTCGCCGCCGCTCCGGACGGCGCAGCCGCTGGGGCGCTGCAGAAGCAGCTCGCCAAGGCGGAGAAGACGCGCCCGTTCCACTATTCGCACCAGGGCTCGCTGGCGTACATCGGCTCGGAAAAGGCCATCGCGGATTTGGTGTTCTTCAACCAGAAGGTGCGTGTGCAACCGTGGACGAGCAAAGAGGGGCTCGGCCTGTTGGGATAGAAAGCTGATTCGGTTCGGGGTTTGGGTCGTAGATCGCGAGCGGGGGCGTCGCGACGTATCTGTTCTGGCGCAGCGCGTACCTCAGCACGCTCTTCTCGCTGCGCAACCGCGTCCTCGTCGCCAATGACTGGCTCAAGGTCAAGATCTTCGGCCGGTATGTCGCCTCTTGTTCTCTCTCATCCGTCCTCTCGCCTGACCCGCCCCGCCATTCTAGTGACCTCGTTCGCGACTGATCGCGCGTGTCTCGATTACTTTCGCATCTCGAATCGCGCCCATTATTTAAGCACATAAATATATAGACAAGTACATATCGGGGGGTCCGCGGCCTGTCTCCCCATCGCCTCGCCTCGCCTCCCTTCCGCTCGTTTGCTGCCCACCTGGTCCGGCTCGCGTTATCTCTACCTTTTCTGTTTTTTTTTCTTGCCTTTGCCTTTTTCTTGCGCGTTATGACCATCGACAACATAGACCATAGATTCATATCTTACGACAACGACGACACGTTATGCGTTACACATTACCTACAGGCAGCGCGCGGCTATGGAGGCGGTAGCAGCAGTGTCTTATTTTTGTTTTGATCTTGCGCCTTGGGTTCGAGACTTTTGAGAGCATCTGCCGGTGCGAACACTTGAAGGAGACGATTTGGCAGTTGCTGACGAGCCCCCACGGCGCAGCTGCTGCAGGGGGTCGGAGGCGATAATCGAAACTCGAATCGTGAGTGTTACGGACTCCCCGCGCCGACAAGGCCACAAGGCGACTCGACGTAGCACGACATGCGGTGTCGAACGTGATAGTGAAGGAGCTGGACCGCAGTGCCCGCGGAAGAGCTTTGCAAAAAGGTCTTGCGTGTCATTCGAGAGGATATCCAGCCGGTACGACACGCACTGCAAGATGCGTTCCTTGGTCTTGAGGATAGCCTTGGAGGAGATGGTCGCAGATGATCGCTCGATGTTGGGTGAGTTTAAGGTTAGGACAGAAGGCAGCAGGCAGCGATTGAATCAACGATGTGCACGGAGCCGCTGGGAGCGGGATATATCGGGCATGCGTGTCGCGGGGAGGAGAGGACCTTCAGCGAGGGTGCACAGGATCGTGTGGGGGGAGTGACTGAGGATGAGCTGAGAGCGACCACGAGAGCGCGGCGATGTGATGTTTGAGATTTGCTTTACCTTCGATTGAGAAGAAAGGAGGGCAGAAGGTTACGTTGCATTTGTTCACAATGAACTAGCCTGGACAAATGCGATGTTACAGAACCACCGACGACCGATTGGACACATGCTTGATGGAAGGATGGCGAGAGGTTGGACTGAGAGGGATGAGTGCGCTGCAGACGTCATAAGTGATGGTTGATTCTGGAAATGCGCATCTGCACCTGCGATGCTCGATTCAAGTCTTTGCGCTGTGTCTTTGTCGCTGTGAACAGCAAAACATCCAGACTTCGCACAAAACAGGATTCCAAAATGGGGTACTACGTTCAAAGTGTCAGGGGTCCTTTGACGTTGAGCAGAGTCGTTTGGGACTTGCAGTTTCTTTCTTCTCAATCCACACTTCATCCAGATCAATGAGATGGCGAGTCTCTATGCACCTGAGCGGCTGACAAGGTGCAAGTCATGTGTGTTATCCTCTTTACTAACTACTCCCATGGACTCAATTCTGCACTCTCGGCATCTCTCAGACTTCTCCAAGTCATGTCCTCCGGCTTTATTGTCAGAAGCAGATATAATTAGCACTCCGTGTGATATGCTGTATGTTGTTATAGTCAATCAAGGTCAGGCGCCCCAAATCCTCCGTCACTTTGACTCAGCACAACTGCAAAGAGCAAGGTTCATGGCCTTCAGGGTGCTTCGTGTCTGGAGCGCTGAGCTACAGCTATGATCGATGGTGCGCGCCTATCAAGTATCTCTCCGAAAGAGCCCCACTCGTCATCCAAATTTGAACGATGCAGTATTGCCTCGGACCCGTCGGCTTCCTGAGTCAGTATTGAGGAGGAGAGTCCCGTTTATAAGAAGTCTGGCAAGAAAGGCACCTCATTTAGCTCGCTACTCAGCTCCTACCTCCACATTGAGATCACAATGTCGACCCGCCTTCCGATCATCTATGTGAGCACAGGTCGTACCATTGCGTCGGTCTTTCTTAAATTATCATAGGGTGCTGGTCTCTTCGGTGCCCGAGGGACAAATGCAAATATCAACGATCTAGCTCAAGCACAGAGACTACTAGATGTTTGCATTCAGTACGGCGTCCAGGGGATCGATACGTCTCGAATATATGGCATAGGCACATCTGAAGAGGTAGTGACATTTTCCCGATCTGCCATCTCCATTCGATCGTCATTCAATGTTCATTGTGGCAGTACCTCTCAAAACTTGATATTAAAGGAGCTCGGGTAGATACGAAGTGAATCGTTCTCTCTGGAATTACCGCACAACTTACATGCCCTTGTTGCAAGGATCTTCCCCCGGAAACCTGGAGATCACGCCCCTGAGCGATTGAAGGAGCTGGTTCATGAGTCCATCAAGGCGTTAAACGGAATCAAAATCCGGGTGTTGTATCTTCATGCGCCAGACCGTTCTGTTCCTTATGAAGATACTGTAAAAGCTCTCGACGAGCTCCACAAGGAGGGCCTTTTGTGAGTTGCTTGATATTCATCACAAATCAATTGACAGTTGAGATCACTTCAGCGAGCACTTTGGCCTTAGCAACTATTTATCTTTTGAAGTCGCTGAGATCGCAACCATCTGCCGACTCAAAGGCTATGTCATGCCTACCGTCTATCAAGGCGTTTACAACTATCTTGACCGCACTGCTGAGCCTGAGTTTGCATTCCGCGCACCTTCAAGTGTATCTCTAGATGAAATTAATATGGTTTTTTAGACTTTTCCCTTGCCTCCGCAAGTATGGCATCAGCTTTGCTGCTTATAGCCCTCTCGCGTCAGTCGATCTTTCTTATCTGCACAGCATGAATTTCACGATCAATGGACAGTGGTGGTTTCCTCACTGGCATCCATCTCGTTAAGGATGGAATAAGGATGGGAGCCATTGGGATACGAAGACGGGAGGTATCAGCCATTATTACTCCTTTCGCTATGGGCATGCGATACCTGCATTGCGAGAAATCAAGGCTTTGGCGGTACGTGCAATGCCCATCGTGTGTTGTTTGATCTTTGACTGACCGTTCTATTTTTGACATCGACCAGGACCAATTGGGGCTTACGCTCAATGAAGTCGCCGCTCGATGGCTGATGCATCACAGCAGGATGCTGGAATCTGACTGGGGGATTATCTATGGTGGGAGCAAGACAGACCAGCTGGAAGCGACACTGATCGACTCGTGGGCGACCTTTCTTTTTTGGAGGTCGTGTTCATACTGACATACTGTATCTGATACTAGCTCGAAAGGGCCGCTTCCCATGGAGATAGTTGCCGCCCTCGATGAAGCTTGGCTCAGAGTCATGCACAAAGTCCCATTGTATACCCAGATCACCCCGTCGTGATATTTTAGCATTGCTTCCGAATCATTTGTAGTCATTGATCCTAGTGTAACTTGTCTCGAGATTCTACCGGTTCGTGTCGCAGTCTTGAGAACGCAGCGTAGGAACCTTTTGATCAACTCCGAAGTCTTGAGAATCATGTCTCATAAAGCAAGGTTTCGACTGTAGCCAACTGTTTTCATCATGCTTCGTGACTCGTCAATTCGGCCTGATTTCACAAGTCGAGGAACGACCGTGAGAGGGACTGGCGACAGCCCTTCGATTAGGGTCAAGGCCGTTAAGGAGGCCCCGGGAAGCTCACCCAAATGTTTCCCCGAGAGTTAATCTTTTTGAGGGTAGAATTGGGCCGTTTCCTTCCCCGCTTTTGATCTTTTTGAGGGGGAAATGGCCAAAAAGGCTCCAAACCTTCCCAGGTTTTAATCTTTTTTAGGCATTATTCGGCGTCCGTCCCAACCCAATTTGTCATAGGTAGGGGTAAATTTTTGGAATGTTCGTCATCTTATGCTCAATTTTGTGACATTTATAACAACCCTTAACGGAATTAATCTTTTTTTGGCTTGAAGTTGGGGGTTTTGACGAGGAAACATTTGTGGTGAGCTTTCCGGGGCCTCGTTAAGGGCTGCGCCGCGGGACGCGTGTTCGAGATTCTCAACTTCATCGTCTACGTATATTGGCATGGCCTGCCTTGAGAGCGCAAGGGCTACCTTTGACTTCCCATTAGTATCAATTGGGCTGTCTCTGCGTCGTCCTCGCTTCTCATTGCGTTCATCTCGCCTTTCCTACTCTAGCTCCATCGCCACCCCGACCAGTTGGCCGCCACGTCGCTAGTTCTCTATTAGAGCGCAACCTCCCGACGACTTTTTCGAATATTCATCAGGGCTGTGGATGTAAATCTCATACACATTGATCTATGGATATATGCCTAACCCATAATATAACATGTTTAGCTATAACGATGACCTTCGCTGCGCAGAATGCAGACTTGTCTTCAATGCCGATGAGCTATGTCGACTTGCAGCGGAGGCCGTCAATCGGAGTCCTGGTGATATCGTCCGCATGCACAAACTAGCCGAGTGTGGGTTTAACCGTACCTTCCTTATTACGATGCGCGGTGGCTTCCGAATGGTGGCCCGTATTCCGTACCCGGTTTCGATTCCCAAGTACTTTGCTGTCGCCAGTGAAGTGGCTACTATGGCTTTACTCCGTTCCTCTGCCTATACCCGAGGTGTACGGGTACTCACCTACGTCAGACAACGCGGCAGGGACCGAGTATATCTTCATGGACGAGGCACTAAATTAAGCGATATATGGTTTGACCTAGGAGAAGGGGAAACCATTTCAATTTCACGCCAACTTGCTGAACTTGAGTCGAAAATGACGTCGATTGCTTTCCCGGGTGGCGGAAGCCTTTACTATACTGAAGACTTGAAGAATGCAGCCGGGAGCGCCTCTTGGTCTACCAGGCCGGGCATCACACTAGAGGACAACCGTTTCTGCGTCAGTCTGGATACAAGTGTGCGCCTATGGTATGGGAGAAGATCACTGCTCGACTTGGATCGAGGATCATTTAGGCTGCTCCTTGCCTTTTTCCGATTGCTCTCTTATACTAACTGATGACTACAAACGAGAGTGCTCACCAGGGGAGGGCTACCGTGTCCTGTCGTGTTTGACCCCGATGGCGTACATGGGACGATGGAGCTCGATGCAGAACAGACAGAAGCGGACGATGTTCTAGAGGCATGCTGGAACGTGATCGGCTTTGGACCGGAGGGCTGGGTGCCCGTCGAGCACTATGAACAGGCTATGGCGATTAGCAAGAAGCTGAAGGAGGATGCATTAGCGGCGGCAGAGTCGGAGGAGGAACAGGCTCAGGTCGCGGCGCACTGGCCCTTTGACGACATGGATGAAGAGGAATACATGAATGAATCGAGCTAGATATTCCGCAGTGTTGTATCTTATCTATATGCGGGCATGTCTGTCATGATCTGAATGCTAATATCAAGCCTTCGCCTTTCAATTGCAATCGATATTAGCTATGCTCAAAATCTGTTCGAACTTGATTAGCCCAGCCGTACAATATTCCAGATCGACGCGAACATGGGATGGTGAGCACCTTGTTCTTTTAACATCGTGCCGGGATCGCAATTTCGACCTGGAGATATAAAATGCATCATCGTTCTGGTAACATTACAAGGGGCTCTAGCATCCAATATAAGATCATTTGCTTTCACAAGGGCACTGCGATCACATGCGGCATCCTCGTCCCTATGTAATCCGTTCGTTTGATTTCTTTCAGTTCCCACCCCGCATTTCTCAAAAGCTCGTTGAATTGGCCACTGGTGCGTTCCTGTCCATTCTGAAAGGCCAGCATCTACAAATTGTTCCTGTCAATAGAGATGTCCATTGATGCGGGGAAAGGTACATGCCAAAATGTCATGGGCATACAATATCGAAGCAGCCCCACCCATGTTAGCTAGCAATGGTGCCGGGGGATCAGGAATATTGGGTGCTTTGAACGAATCACTATGCTGAGGGTGAGGCGGGCACGCATATAGGAGGACTCTGTCGATGATGAGAAGTTGGGTCCTGGGGCCTGCCACTGCGCGGAGGGTTTTCAATATTTTCACCGCGTAAGGATCGGACCAGTCGTGTATGATTCCACGTAATATGAATAAATCAGGTGCGTTCAAGGCGAGAGGCTGCGGCAAAAACATGTCGTGCGCTTCCTTGGGTGTGAGCTCCGGGTATATACGAGCTAGGTGAAGGAGACTCACCAACAAGTCGCACACGGCCAGAATCCAATGCTTCAGCGAGATTAGCCTTCCAGAACTGCGAATAGATCAAATTTAATTTAATAGGGGAGAGCTCAAGGTTGGCCAAACCTTCTCTGCGTCCTGAACAACTTGAAGCCGATCTTCGACCACAAAGTTCAGCTTTGGGTAAGCTTTCGCAATTACCATGGATACCGATCCAATTCCTCCTCCGACGTCGATGACAAGCGCGCCGTCTCGGAGCGAAGAGAAATCAAAGCCTGGACAAGTCACAAGTGGTCTTGGTCAAAATCATCTCTTCATCATGACGACATCGGTCAAAGAGACCCACCTTTCAACAGAGCGTCGGGAGGCTGTAACTTGGTCAGAGCGTCCATGACCACGCCAAAACGCCTTCTACGATACTCGTTCTCTGGAAGTTCGAACCATTCGAAGGGTGAAAGATTCGTGGAAAAGGCTTTCGAGAGAGCAGATTGGTTGGGTTCATCTGAATGGCCAAGTGCGTGGTCTCGAAGAGTCTCGGCGAGTACCGAAGTAACTTTGAAGGCTTCATCAGAGCTGGAACAGAGACATCAGACAATCTTGATAGCTAGCTAACTGAGTCCACGAACTAATGGCCCACAGCTGCAGAGTAGCCGGCAGTATCATCGTGTTTGTCAAGGGGCCTAGTGGGTCTCGTTAAGTGCCAGACGAAGACATCTTTTTGAAAGAAATACGTACAGTCTGGATAACTCCTCCAATGGTTTCCCAGTATCTAGCAGCGAAGAGATCCGATTGTTAGTAAACACATCAGGAGAGACTTCTCTGAATATGTGGTGTGTAGCGAGGAGCCGAAGAACTCGACCTGCGATACGGCTCAGCCAGGCACTGCGTGTCACAAGAGAACACTCTACCGATTCGGGCTGCATTCATGCCATTCCGTTGGGCGATGTTGTTTACAGTCGCTCCCTGAAATTCGCCACTTGCGTTAAACAACGCTTCAAGAAACAGCGAAAGAATCAAAACCACCTGTGGGCCAGCGTCGCGCAATATTTCAGCAATGTGGCCATCATTCGCCACGGCGAGGGAAGCCGGCACAGTGTGCTATTGAAGGCGTGAGTCACAAGGATGATTTATCTAACATGTAAAAATTGTACCTGTAGAATCACAGAAAACAGATGGGTCGACGGAACGTTTGCAACAGCGATAAGCTGCGTTGCTGCAGCTACTATGATACCAACATTGTGAAGAAGTTCCGGCCCTTTACGGGCCTCCTCCGATTCGTCTGAGAACGGCTCGTCTAGTGAAGGAAAGGGCAGTCCACAAGCTTCGCAAGCAGCATCGATGTTGCGAACCGATGCCGCGATGAGATCCGACAGTTGTTTCAGAACGGACGGCATCTTGGGGAATCGAAGTTCTTATCAGACTCATGATTCCTTTATATGCGCCGGAAATCGTGGTCTAGGGTCCACGAACTATGGCCTACGTCCAATGACCATACCAATAGTAGTCAGCCCCCGATCCATTTCGAACGGCCCGAGACCGGGATGAACACCCGTGCGTATTCTCAATGGAGGAAAGGTGTATAGAATCAGGCCTTTCCGTCGAGGGCGTAACACAAGGAATTGACTCACCAATATATCCAATAATCTTAATACGAGTGGCGGCAGATAAGAACGACGCCCGGACTCGACTGTAGTCAGCTATCATGGATGGTATTACCGCAGTTTGTCTGTACCTACCAAAGTCATTGAAAGATTCCATGTTCGCCGGGCATAATGCGAGTATTTTCGCCATCGCAGACCTGTACGCGTCTGTCATCGTTCTGCACGCACGAAGATTGATGCCGACGCGCAGTACCTTGTGTGCAGTCACGCAATGCTCTTCGTTTCGTAGCGGACCCACTCCGGACCCACGTTCGACTTAGCCCACAATAATTCAGAACGAGGTAAAGTTATGCCGTAGCTTGGCTTGCGCCTTATCTTCATCGAGACTAGGTTAAACAGAAAACACAAGGTCAATGACAACGCAAGTTGTGGAGTGCAGTATACACGGTCATACTCGTGTGTCATCGAGGCTGCGGTGCAAGACTGAGAAAAACAAACTATGGGTGATAATTTCAAAGCTATTGAGTTGGCGACACGGGTACGCACATCCTTCATCTCCCATCTGGCTCATGTCTACATCTTGATAGGTATAACGTGGATTGGATTGTATCAGATCGTGATCTAGAATAATGTCTTTTGTGCGAAAGACCCCTACACATCCAACGGGTGGATACAGAAGTCACGAAGAAAATATCAGTCGTGCCCAAGTAAGTGAGTTCCATGAAACTTGTGAACATGGCCTTAGACCGTGTCAGAGTGCAACTCTTCCTAAACAAGGCATCGAAGTCGAAGCATGTTGTTTTGTGTCGGCTGCAGGAAATGAACGCCTTAGAAGCCAGGAGGCGGAAAAGTCGTGAGGTAGTGGTGCTTCAATGTGCTTGAGGTCATAGCGGTCATTATGAAGGAACAGGTTGTCCGATGAGTTCCCTTCGCACTACGGCCCTTCGCGGCTATTGAACTACGGATAACGCAACGTTGAGCTCGAGATGATGTCTTTGAGCAAAAATGCTACCGTGATATATTCGAAAACAGCATCAGCTGGCGATCCGTAGAATGAATAGATGATGCCGTACGGACCATTATCATAAGAGTCAAGGCATCCGAAGAGGGCAACATTGTCAGACTACTATAGTGCATACGCCAGAAGCTCTGATCAAATTCCAGCGAGAAGGCCATCGAGCTTGAAACGAGTCAAGACGTAATAGAAGAATGATATAATACAAAAAAAAAAGAGGAAGTCGACAGCCGTTCCCACAGACAGAGAAAATAACTTGTTGTAGAAATGTCGAAAGAGTGGAGAGGAAAGAGGTGACGTGGGTGAATATATGAAGCCCAAGACGATGAAAATTCAATTAAGAGCCAACATCATACCCACGTCACATCAGCATCATTTCACTCTGCATCGTTCGCAGTCTGTGCGATCTTATCCTCGCGCCATTGCGCGAGCCTGCGTTTATGCTCCACCTTCCATACCGCGATATCTCGCTGATACTCTTCAACGTACGGCTATGGTCGAGGAAAAATATGTGCGGCTTAGTTGGTTAAACGGTCAGATTCATTGCAAATAGGACGAACTGCTTTCTCAGCGTCGCTCATGGTTTTCCATATGGCAGCAGACTCTCGCGAGAGGTAAGGCGGATAGTTCACACCGGGAGGCTGCATCCCTTTTATAAACTTGGTCTTAGAGAGTTCCTGGGCGAACCTGTGTGTGCGCATGGGCGCGCCGGAGTTAGTGGAAGGATGCGTTGGAATAAGAGATAGACAGACCTGACAAACGAGTTGGGCGGCTTTGGATGAAGTTCGTTCTGCGTGATGGGCGAGATGCCGCGTTTCTTGCGTCTGCGATTGAGCTCGGCGAGCTTTGTCTTGTCGACCGTCTTAAGCCAGGCTGTGTACTTCGTCTTGTACTCAGCATGGGCAGCAAGTCCTTTTTCGCGCCAGACCTGCGTTGGATGGTAAAACGCGATAGAACACGTTGCGATGTCCACGTAGATAGTATGTGTTGTGTGCACAGAGGGGGAGAGAGAGACATCAGATTTGGCAGAGAGTATGAGGAGGCAAGAGACACACGCACAGCTTTTTCTTCATCAGACATCAACCCCCAAGCTTTGCCCGCCTCGCGACTTCGTAGCCTGCTGTCTTCCGTGCTGCCTGGGGGACCAGCCCGTTTATAGAAATCAACGTAGAACTGTATGAACGTGTTGCCCGGTGGGCGGGGCGGCTTATCCTCTGGCTCGAGCTTCACTGGAAAGGAGAAACAAAGTTGCAGGCCGGCGTGTCCTAGGTAGAGGAAAGAAAAAAATCCGCGCACCTGTCGGGGGCTTCGCGGGTTTGCTGTTTTTGGGCCTTCCCCTCAGCTTTGGCGTTGGGTTTGGCTTTGGCTTTGGTTTCGGTCCTGGCTTGGCCCTTGCCTTTACCTTCGGTTTTGCCGTGCGCCCGGCTTTCTTTGCTGTCGGCTTTGCTTGGGCTTTGCGACCAGGTTTGGCTTTCGGTTTATCACCGGCGTCGGCATCGTCGGTGGTTACGCTGCTCGACTTGCGCGTACGCTTGGGCGCTGTCGCCGTCGCTGCGGCTTCAGACGAGGGGAAGAAGCGCGGTGAGCTCGTGACGAAGGTACGCCTTGCTACAGCAGCAGCCGCGACGGTGGGCGCGCGATAAAGCGCATGCGCACGCAAGAGGGCCGTGCGCCTGAAAAGCACGGACAACATTTGGTGCACGAGGATGAATAGGAGAGAGAGGACGACGGTGCCAACGGAGCGACGGCGACGGAGACGCGACTCTGGTTGAACCAGGCGTGGGAACTCCAGCAGGGCTCCCAAATACTTTGATGAGAGAGATAAGATAAGATCTAGACACTTGCGACCACCCACTCAGCACCTCGGAGAATGGCCCCTGAGTCCGAGAATCCCTCACTGGATGGTCTGTTTTACGACCTTGTACGCGCAGACGAGCTCCAGGATGCATACAACATGGAAGTCGAGGGTAATGTCATGGCTGCTTGCTGAAGCGCCCAAATCTCACACTGAAAACATCCATTTCCAGGATTTCCGCAAGATGAAGCGGGGAGCCTAGCAACTTTCGCGTGCGTGAGCCTCTTTCCTCTGTTCCGTCTAGATCTCCCCAAATTTGTCGCTCAGCTATCGCCAATCCGTCGCGCCTTCCCTCTTCCTCGGCGCCTTCCTTCCATCTCCTACGCCCTCTGCCCTCTCGGGCTCCTCCCGTTCTCTCATCGGTTACATCGATGGCACGCTCTCCTCCTCCCAGATACTTACCCATGCCTCCATGTCAACCCATGTTCCTGGCGCGCGCTCCCTCTGCATCCACGGCGTCTGCGTTTCGCGTGCATATCAACGGCGCAGAGTCGCGAGCACACTTTTAAAAGAGTACCTCCGTCGTGCCTCTGCCGCAACCACGGGCGGAGTTGCCGCGTACGACCGTGTACTGCTCATCGCCCATGAAGACATGCGCGGACTGTACGAGGGTGTAGGGTTCGAGTATGTCGGGCGGAGCACCGTCGTTCATGGGGACAAGCCCTGGTTTGAGATGCGCTACATCATCCCTGCCAGAGCGGTCTCCCAGCCGCCCTCAGCGATCTCTGCAGCATCAAACCTTTCGAACTCCACGCCCACGGCTGACATATTTGCCGCCCTGCGCCAGCATGACTCTTCGCGGCGAGCTCGTCCCTCTGGCGAGCTCCTCGTCGGATTCTCTGGCGGCGTCGGCGATGTCGTCGATGTACACGAAGATGCCTCGGGCGGTGCAGGCAAATCTTCTCGGAATAAGTACGATGTGCTATGTCCCCGTAAGGACTGTGGGAGCATAATCATTAAGAAGGGTATCGGTAGACTTGAGGAACGGGAAAGCGTCCAGGTGGGTTCCTTGTTCCGAAAGGCTTGCTACTTTGAAACAACATGTCGTCGCCTATAAACTGCAACTTTACCTCATCCACGGTGACGGTGAATATACTTACGCTCCTCCATTGTCTCGCTCGTAGATGGAACCTCCGGACCATACGAACCCTCACCTCCCCGCGCTCCCTATTCCTCCAACCCAGACATACTGGTGGCTCATCGGCCCTACCCCCATGGAGTTTGAGAACATCGGATTCTCAAAGCCCGTCAATACCGGTATGTTGCCTCTCTTGCACTCTCATGATCAGTCTCGCACGTCGCTCACATCGTACGGACAATGTCCACGACAGCGTCAGAAAAGCCCCGGAAACTTCTCGCGTGCGCCGAGTGCGACCTCGGCCCGCTGGGCTGGTGCGAGGACGGGACGAGCGAGTTCTGGCTCGCGGTAGGGCGGGTTCGGTATCGCGTCTGACCGCTCAGTTCTCAGTTCATGGGCCTCGAGAGGTGTGCGATGAACTGAAAATAAAATGAACGGTGGTCACCATCTGACTTTGAAGAGAAGAAGGTGGATGTATTGTATGTACTCTGGAGATTATGCTGATCAAGAACGTGGAAGACATAGAACGACCTCCACCGTTAGCGGCATTTGTAAGGATCACTATTAGCTGAGAGAATATTGAAACTGAAGGTAGCATCCTCGAGGCCTGACTTATCCGATGATCAGACAGTTGGACGCTCCTCGTGTCGAGCTGGAGATACTAGTGAGATTCTAGAGGTTATGGGCAACGTCATTTTCTCTTGCTTTACTGCCTGCTTTTGGGTTAAATCTGGGGCCGGAGTCGCGAGCGGAGTACAAAGCAAAGATCTCGCCACGTGCCTGGCACCTACTCAAGTTGAACAAATCGAACGAACCCTCACGTTAGCCCACTTAGCTTGTGGCCCACCCCATACAACTACGAACTGTCCTCAGCTCTCACATATAACCGAACATGGATATTGTTAACTTGCCCACTATTCCCTTGCCCCAATTTACTGGTAACATTCATGTCCCAGCTGCTAGAGAGGGTGTGGCGGACGATGCAAAGGTCTCTGATGCGGCCCTGCTCGAGAGTCGCGTTCTCCACTACGCCGGTGAGTAACTCGCATTCCACTTCCAATGGCTACACTGACTGTGCCAACTTTTCATTCCAGAGGACGACAAAGTACCACGGTCCGATCTAGCAAAGGCCGCTAGATACAAAGCTGCTATTGTGGCCCAATCCCTTGTAGTTACAGGAGGTGCTATGGCTGGTAAATACGGGTACAACGTGTCAGAATCATCGATTGACCTTCCCCGACACCTATAGCTGCCCCCGCGTGGTTTCAGCAGTACAACGCCAACTTCGAACAGTTTCGTACTGAGCTTAACCAGAAGGTTGACCAACATCACCAGGAGTTTGTACAGCTTCGCCAGGATTTCACACAGCTTCGCCAGGAATTTGTACAGCATCGACAAGAGTTTGTACAGCATCGACAGGAGTTTGTACAGCATCGACAGGAGTTTGTACAGCATCGACAGGAGTTTTTACAGCATCGCACAGAATTTCAACAATTTCGCACCCGTGCAACGAACGACATGGCCAAGATAAGTAAACGTCAGGCCCTCACCCATCGCCAGGTCGCTCTCGTGAGCAGCATGACGTTCTGGCTCTTGGCCATAATCACTAACATGTTTTCTAAGGCGAACAACCGGAAGGCGGGTGTGGAAGGATTTGAAGAAGTACCATTTCCAAATGGTACATACCCTTCTGAGACTCTAGTAGTAAGTCAACCACTCGTTTGTCTTTTAAAGGTCAGTATTAATGTGCGTAGAATGATGCTGTGCTTACACCTCTGACCTCCGTTGACGTCGTCACGCACCTGGGTAGGGGTCAGTCCCGCAAATATTTCGCATGCTACTTTCCTGGGGTTGCTATTCCCGGGGAACTCGATGATTGTTACGAACCTATCTTGAGGGCTATTGGCTGCCGTGTTTTCGAAGACAGGACTCCTCCAGTCGAAGACTAGAGCACCGTTAGACCATCATATTGCACGATGTTCACCTTCTATATATTTCTGTATCATCGTCCATGTACTACGCTTCACTTATCCTAAGGGGCGTGAGTCCACTTGGCTAATAGTATCAATAGTTTACACGAGACTCATATTGTCAACGCCAGATAGGGTGGTGGCATACTAGCGACTGGGCAAGTAGCGGGCGCTCCGCGCGTAACTCATGGAGTTGCTTTATGTGTCCTCAGAATGTTCTCCCGCTTCGCTTCTCGCAGGACATGCACATGCAGAAGATCCATTATCCTGAGGTAGACAAGAGAGACAGCAAAGGTGCCAAGGGTGCCAAGGGAGACTATGCATTCCCGAACTACCGCAGAAAATAATTGTTTACTAGGTGATGTCTCATTATTTATATTCTGTGCTGAATGATTTAATCGTTGGTCATGCATGCTCGCTGATGCCTCTGAGTTCCAGATCATGAACTTGCCAATCATACTCTCAGATGCTCCCCTGATCGGCAAATCGTAAGCTCACTCTGTTAATTCTCAGCACTCAGGTATGTTACATTGATATACTTGTTCGCAGACCTCCCCGATTCAGTGATGAATTCACCTGGTGACGATAAGATCGACGCAAGTGAATCTTCTGTACATGACCCGCAGACCATCGGCGATGTACTGTTCAGCGCCGCTGTGACCATATTCCCAATCGCAGCAGCTCGCATCATGCTCAGTAGCCCTTCCGATCATATGACATATCGAAAGGAAACGCGTCGATCAGCCAAAGCTTCGGCAGCGCCATCCACTGCGAACAACAAGTCCTCACCATCGGCTTCCTTCAACCTGTCCCAGACAGCTGCAGCCTGGGCCTTGTCTGGATATTCTTGGAGTGCGCCAATCCAATTTTCGATGGCCCCCCTCTAGGTTTTGCTGTCACCCTTCTTTCTCCTCTTCGTAATCGCTGTCATCCTCGTCAATGCTAATCATCGCGTCGTCGTGGTCGTTGGATTGCTCCCCATCAAGCCCCCAGCATGCCTGCTCGACAAACGTACTAAGATGTTTGTCTCGCCGATTCCACCCCTGGGGGTGGGTCACGTAATTTCCCTGAGGAGCCTTAAGAAAAATGACTCTTCTTCGATCACCACCTCCAGACAGCCAAACGCGTCCTCATAGCCGGGGAACGCGCGTTCGCACTCATACACCACACCCCCCTTCGCCTCCCGCAGTTCTGACTCGATAATGTTCAAAGCTCTCTGACGGAATTCTTCCGAAGGCTGTTTTGAGAGGTACCCGACAATTTTCGATTTTGTCGTGGACACAGCGGTATCGATCCTATGCCGCGGGAGGACGTCCAAGAGCCGAACTAGGTCTCCCGTCTCTGAAGTTTTCTGAAATATGTCTGCAGCATCTGCATATGACCTAGACACCGGGGTTTCCCTGCTGAAGACATGCTTCCGCGTAACTTCCAGCAAAGCTGGCTGGAGATCAGGAGATTGGGCGACAAGGGCGTTGTAAAGAAGGGAGGAGGGCTTCCGTTTGAAAGACGCTATGCGAGCTTCCCTGTACTCCGCATGAAGTTGGAAGCCAGCGTCCTTCATAGCCTGGGTCCAGTGCCCGTCATTATATTCGTTGTCATCCGCGGAGTGCTCCACTTCTGCAGATGATCAGTGGATAATAAAGGACTTGAGCAGTGGACTCGCCTCCCTTGCACCTGATGAGGTTGGACACTTTGCTCGTTAGTTTCGATTGCTCGATGGTAGACTTAATCTCCTTCACTGCTGGGCTGCTAGTACCGCCGCGAACAATAGCAGCAATGAGGAGTTCTTTCTACACCCAAGTGAGAGTATCGCCAATGTACGCATATTCCTTGTCGTAAACTGACCTCCCATCAGAGGTTTTGATAGTGATAGCAAAATCCTCATCGGAGAACTCGTCTCTAGTAAGTAGACAAAATCGACAGTATCGATATCTGATGAACGGAAAAGCCCTGGTGAAAATGGCGGACTAATCGGCTATTGCATCCTTCAATCTTTTTGACGGTCTCAGAACAGAGTAAGAGACATTTCTGGATGAGTGAAAGTTCTAGCCCATCTTCAACAGCGATTTGCCAAAGGTCCGGTAGCCAGCCAAGGATCTCCCCAGCTATTTCGCTCATCATCTCCGATTGCTCTTCATACCCGTCATGCTAGTCGCGCTTTACGTGCTTCAAAAAGTCCTTGACATCTCCCGACAAGCTTACTTTGTGTTCCTCGTACCCGATCTTGTTGATCCTCTGCTGGGCATTGGTTCGGTCGCGATGGGCAATGGACAAGGTATTGGTGATTCTTGACAGCTCATCGGAGTAGAGAGTGTCAAGAACAGGATACAAATACTTCTCCAGCATGCCAAGGACAGTTTCGGGCGCCAAAGACGTCGAGAGAGAACGCAGGGCAGCGCTCGGAGGTGAATTCGCTGCCAGCTGTCATTGACTGTTAGGGAAATCATACTTTCAAGAGTTCACGTCATACCGGGGCCGGCGTCATCGATGCGGGAGGCATGTCTTGAGCTCAGGACAATGGTATCAGGCGTCCTGTTCAGTGTGTACTCAATCAGGGAGAGCTGAGTGGTTCAGAGGCACGAGGATATATCACGGCGTTTTTTCATTGCCACGGAGTTCGACATCTTCGAAAGTCCGATGGTAGCCCGGCCTTATTGGGTTGGGACTTGCTATGTGCTGTGTCTTTTCAGCCCTTGCTGTCCTGAAGGTCATCGAGATCGTGGATAGATTTCGGTCTCAGATACTTATGCCCTGCAGTGCGCCCGCGCTGTCAATCGCATGCCCCGTCATATTCTAATACATCGTTTGCATCTAATAATAATAAAAGTATCAACCGAGTTGTATATTGACGCGGCCGGCACTATATGTACTCGCTTTCACGGTTCTCGTATTTATCCGTTTCATATGGATTTCCCGACGGAGGTAGCTTCTCATTCAGGTTTTGTACACATGGTCACCTTGAGGAATCTCGACACGAACAACTGATTCAGGTGCTTTCATGCCTCCTCCCATTTGGCTTCTCGCAGCGCATGCGAGCCCTTGTATGCCTCGAATGCGGGCACGGGCGGCTGCCACCCCTCTAAAGCCGAAGGAGGTACGGACCAGACTTCGACGCCGAGAGGGCGGCAGCACTCGAGGGTAGGATCTTCCTCTCCATCGACGTCCGCACCTTCGCCCCACATCTATCGAGAAGAGAATGTGCAGTGAGTTATTCCGCTCTTTCACAGACTTTATCGAATCATGGGAGGTGAAACGGCACACCGCTTTTGAAAGGTCGCCACCTGGGCAGGTGGATAGCGCACAAAGGAGGTCGATCTCGGCGAAGAACTATGAGCGCCGCGTCGATGAGCACTACTGAAATCTCATCGGCGTGAACATGGAATTAGCGCACCTCGAAGTAGTCGCCTTGCTTCGCGGGGCACGACTTCATGAAGTACTGGTCCTTGTCGTTCAGGCCCGTGCACTGGAACACGTTGAGCACATCATGCACGTCGGACTCGACGAGGCCGAATGGCCGGATGGCGCGGGTGAGATTGGAGTGACAGTGATAGTCAAAATCTGCATACAATGTCACGAGTCATCAGCACCATTTACCACGACCCCCCTCTGAGGAACCCCACTCACCTTGTCCAGTGAGCATCCGATTCACATACGGATCGCACCGCGTCCCCAGCAGATCATGCACCCGCCCTCCCTCCCCGTCCGTCCCGTAGTCCTTCAGCGAGTCACCCGTGATCGTGCACAGCGGCCGCAAATACGGCAGCGTCGACCACAGGCGGTCGTACACAGAAACGTGCGCACGCTGCAGCTGGCGCGTGCGCGACGCCCACAGGCGCTCGCGCGGGTTTGCGCGCGACCAGATATTTAGGTCACCGACCTGCGCACCCGCGACCGCGACGATGCGGCACACGGAGCCCGCGGGCACAACCCATGCGCGGCCACTGCGGATAGGCAGCACAAACTTCTCGGCGAGCGTGCGCCCGCCGCCGGGCGCAGCGGTCGCCGCGATCTTATCGTACAGGGCCTTGTCGACGTCGAGCGGCCCGCCGGGGAGGCACTGGTACGCGGCTTCTGTGAGGCGCTGGGATTGACTCGTGGGGACAGACATGGCGCAATGGTGGTGGAAGCAGGAAGAGCAAAGAGAGAGCGCTTAAGAGATCGCTGGTCGACTTGACATTGGATGTAAGATAGGTTATTTATCGTCTGCCGCGGGAGTCATCGATATAGAGCGCGACTCGCCGCCGGCATAGTCAGGTCTGACCGCGGGAACTGACGCATATAGACCTCTCCGCCGGCGGCAAGCCCCAATCGTAGAAAATCGATTTACTGGACTACTGTAACGCAAGATCACGTCTTTGTAGGGCGTTTGCAGGCGTCCGTCCAGCTTGTACTCGCAAGGTCATCCACCGCGGTACCACTGTGCCAATTTCAGCTTCTTTGACTTCATCCTCGACCACGGACGAGCCTTACGCTCTCCATGACCTTCGCTAAATTTGAAGCATTGAAACAGCAGTATGAGCAAGGCCGCTCAATGTGCGGCCCATGAGCATGTCCGAATCGTTGGACAGCGACGAGCAGCGACCGGTATGTCTCATGGCTATGCGGAGAGTGTACAACATGCCTTGAGGCGGAGAGTTAGTACCGGCGATAACGCTCATCTACAACTTCGAGGGCGGAACGCAGCCTCATGACCACACCCAGTGATGCGGGATTGTGTGCGTGGGCTCCCCTGCTAGGGTACGCCATCGAGCACATTTAGCATCCTTGTCATGTTGAGGTATCAGCGTAGATACTGGTTGGATGTCGGACTGAGTGTGTGGGAGGACATGTAGCTTTGATAAGGTCCAATGATGGGGAGAGTGATAGAAGAGACTGAGAAGAAAGCTAGATGAGGCCCACGAGCAGCTACGAGTGCACGCACGTAGAGGGTGCAGAGAAGTTCAACCACGTTCCGGCTCAGATGACGAACGTTGAACTCGAGTTGGTTGGCGAATGGCCATACTATGTAGTACGGACGAGCGAAAGATGCGATCAAAGGGACCACTTACCAAGAACACCCGTTTTGACGGGGACAAGTAACGCTTTGATGAGGCTGATATGGCTTTTCGCCGTCTTAAGTTCGCCATTACGGTGATCGTAGCGCCACAGAGGGAAGGAAAGATGCGATATACAGGCGTCATATAAGTGGATCAACACCGAGACTTACGAAGTTCCGACAGGCCCGGTGCGGACATCGCAAGGACACGATGCAGAGCTCAGTTGCTGAATGCGGAGAGACTGCAAGGGGTGCAGTGCAGTCAGACAGACGGTCTCAATTGACATTTGATCAATGTCGACGAACAACAGTGAGCATCAACGCAGGCGGGCTGGGTGGAGGGAGGTGCTGAAGAACGAAGAGGACGGAGAAGCGATGATGTGCTGAGCGCAGGTCCGATTCCCACGGGTGCATCCCTCGTATTTTACTGAATGGCTCGTTCCCAGCCCGTTTCTCCTCCAACTGCTCCTGTTCGCCGTTGTCGCGATGGCAGACGCAGACGTCGCCAAAATATCCATCCTTGGCACTCAGTCCATCCACTGCGGCTTTCACCTCATCCCCTACATCGTCCGCACCGTCCTCGACACTCTCCCCGCCTCCGCCTACGCCCTCATCACAGACACTAACATCGCAGGTCTTCACCTCAATGCTTTCGAAACCGAATTTCAAGACGCGTTTGCGCGCGCAGGCAAGAGCTCTCGATTCCTGACCTACATCGTCCCGCCCGGCGAGACCTCGAAGAGCCGCGAGGGCAAGGCAAAAGTCGAGGACTTTCTCCTCCTGAACAAATGCACCAGGGACACCGTCGTCCTTGCCCTCGGCGGCGGCGTCGTCGGTGATCTCGTGGGTTTCGTCGCAGCTACTTTGTGCGTCCCGTTGTCCCTCTTCCCTCTTATCTTTGGCTGAGATCCTGCCGCCTCCAGTATGCGCGGCGTCTCTTTCGTGCAAATCCCTACCACCTTATTGGCCATGGTTGATTCCAGCGTCGGCGGAAAGACCGCGATCGACACCCCACATGGGAAGAACCTCATCGGCGCGTTCTGGCAGCCCAAGTATATTTTCATTGACGCGGCTTTCCTCGAAACCCTCCCTGCGCGTGAGTTTTCGAATGGCATGGCCGAGGTCGTCAAGGTGCCGCCTCCCACCCTTTCTGTCTCACACAAAACCATCTGATCATTGCTGTACATTTCGTGCACAACAGACTGCAGCCATTTGGAACGAGTCCGATTTTGCCGCCCTCGAGTCCCGCTCCGCCGAGATCTTCGCTGCTATCCAAACCCAATCCAAAGACTTCTCCGGGCGGACCAAGATCACGCGCTCCCCTGCGCAGGAGCTCCTCCTCTCCGTCATCGTCGGCTCCATCTCCGTCAAGGCCCACATCGTGACCCATGACGAGCGCGAGACCACCGGACTCCGTAACCTCGTCAACTTCGGACACACCATTGGCCACGCTATCGAAGCCATCCTAACCCCCAACATGCTCCACGGCGAGTGCGTCAGCATCGGCATGGTCCTCGAGGCGGAGGTTGCGCGCCAGCTCGGCAAACTCGGCCAGGTCGGGGTCGGCCGCCTCACGCGCGCCCTCAAGGCGTACAACCTCCCCATCTCGCTCGCAGACCCACACGTCGCTGCGCTCCCCGGCGCGAAGCTCCTCACTGTCAACCGCCTGCTCGACATCATGCGCATCGACAAGAAGAACAGCGGCCCTGAGAAGAAGATCGTCATCCTCTCCGCAATCGGGAAGACGGCGGAGCAGAAAGCGAGCGTCGTTCCCGACGCGGTCATTTCCAAGACGCTGTCGGAGGCCGTCAAGGTTGTACCCGGCATGCCGGCACACCACCCCGTCCGGATGGCGACGCCTGGCTCGAAGAGTATATCCAACCGCGCGCTCGTGCTCGCTGCCCTCGGGAAGGGCACTTGCAAGCTTAAGAACCTTCTGCACTCGGACGACACCCAGGTTATGATGGCTGCGCTGCAGGAGCTCAAGGTACGCTGAATATATGCGCGTGAAGTATTCCAACTCGCTTCTCATACACTACTCTGCAGGGCGCCAGCTTTGACTGGGAAGATGGCGGTGAGACGCTTGTGGTCCACGGCGGTGAGGGCGCCCTCTCCGTCCCGCCCAAGGGTAAAGAGATATACCTCGGCAATGCCGGCACCGCCGCGCGCTTCCTCACCACCGTCTGCGCGCTCGTGCAGCCGTCGGAAGCCGCACCTACCACAATCATCACCGGCAACGCGCGCATGAAGCAGCGCCCGATCGGACCCCTCGTCGACGCATTGCGCGCCAACGGCACCGATGTTGCCTACCTTGAGTCTCAGGGCTGCCTCCCGCTCTCCATCACCCCCGCGGGGCTCAAGGGCGGGCATATCAAACTGGCAGCGAGCGTGTCGAGCCAATATGTGTCTTCGATCCTGCTGTGCGCACCGTACGCGCGCGAGCCCGTCACGCTCGAGCTCACCGGCGGGCAAGTCATCTCGCAGCCGTATATCGACATGACGATCGCGATGATGCGCACGTTCGGCATCGCCGTCACGCGCGCGGTTGACCCCGCGACGGGCGCGCCGCGCGACGTGTATACGATCCCCCGCGCGGCGTACACGAACCCGGCGGAGTACAGCATAGAGAGCGACGCGAGCAGCGCGACGTACCCGCTCGCGATCGCGGCGCTGACGGGCTCGGCGTGCACGATCGCGAACATCGGGTCGGCGAGCCTGCAGGGGGACGCGCGCTTCGCGCGGGAGGTGCTCGAGCCGATGGGGTGCACGGTCGTGCAGACGGAGACGGAGACGATGGTGCAGGGCCCGCCGGTGGGCACTCTGCGCGCGCTCGGGCGCGTCGACATGGAGCCGATGACGGACGCGTTTTTGACGGCGTCGGTGTTGGCGGCGGTCGCGGTGGGCGCGCCGCTCGAGGGGCGGGAGCTGGGAGACGGGAGCGCGCCGAGGACGACGAGGATCGTGGGGATTGCGAATCAGAGGGTGAAGGAGTGTAATCGGATCCGGGCGATGATCGACCAGTTGGGTGAGTACGGAATTTTAGGAACGTATATGCGTGTGTGGTTGACGATTGATGTACTGTTGCTAGCTAAGTTCGGCATCGAGACGAAGGAGCTGGACGACGGACTCGAAATTTACGGAAAGCCGATTTCAGAGCTGAAGGAGGGCGTCAGCGTGCACTGCTATGACGATCATCGGGTAGCGATGGCCTTCAGCGTACTCGGTACTGCCGTAAAGGACACCGTCATCGAGGAGAAACGCTGCGTAGAGAAGACTTGGCCCAACTGGTGGGATGATCTGGAAAACAAGGTACGTGGCTCGCTTGGATGTTCAATGTCTGCTCAGTGTAACTCACCACGTCGAATGGGCATCAGATCGGATTGAAGGTAGAGGGCATCGAGCTTGCCAGCTCCACCGCACACGCGTCTGCCAGCAGGCCGGCGGACGGCAACTCTGCCGCGTCCGTGGTTATCATCGGCATGCGCGGCACAGGCAAGACCTTCATCGGCGAGCTCGCGTCCACGACGCTAGACTGGCCGTTCATCGACGCGGACGCCTACTTTGAACAAAAGCTCGCCGTCGGCGTGCGCGAGTTTGTCCGGCAGCACGGCTGGCCCGCATTCCGCGTCGCGGAGACCGAGCTCCTACACGAACTGCTGAGCGAATACCCGACCAAGACGATCATCAGTCTTGGGGGTGGCATCGTCGAGACGCCCGCCGCGCGCGAGGCGCTCAAGGCGTACGCGAAGAAGGGTCCTGTCGTGAACATCGTGCGCCCGATCAACGACGTGGTGTCGTACCTCGGTGAGGAGACCGCCCGCCCGCAGTACGGGGAACCGATCATGGACGTATTCAAGCGGCGCGAGCCGTGGTTCGCCGAGTGCTGCAGCTACGAGTTCGTCAACTACATCGTCGCAGACGTTCCCGCGTCGTTGTCGCCGGATTTGCTTCCGCCGCGCGGCATCCGCGAAGAAGTGGCACGGTTCTTCGGCCACATCACTGGGCGCAGCCCGAACTTGGCACCCAACCTTGCGCGGGGCATGCGCTCGTACTTCCTATCGCTAACGTTCCCCGACGTCACGCCCGCACTTGCGAAGCTGGAGGAGATCACTGCTGGCGTCGATGCGATCGAGCTGCGGGCCGACTTGCTGCGGTCGCCGGAGCAAATCGATGCCGTCGGACCCGTCATACCGCCTTTGCCGTACGTTGCGGACCAGATCGCGGCCATTCGGCAGAAGTCGACGCTTCCGATCGTGTTCACGGTGAGGACGGTCTCCCAAGGCGGCTCGTTCCCGGACACGGCCGTCCAAGAGGCGTTCGATCTCTTCAACCTCGCGTTGCGCGTGGGCATCGAGTACATCGACGTCGAGATCAGTTGGCCGGATAAGCACATCAAGGACGTCGTCGCGCGCAAGGGGTATTCGCAGGTCATCGCGTCGTGGCACGACTGGAGCGGAAACATGAAGTGGGATACGGCCGTCGTGAAGGAGAAGTACGACATCGCGAACACGTTTGGGGACATCGTCAAGATCGTGGGCAAGGCTAACGTGCTGGAGGACAACTTCGCCCTGCACAACTTCGTTGCGCAGGTCACCGCCGACCTCAACGCCAAGCCAATCCTCGCGATCAACATGGGCGTCGAGGGCCAGCTGTCCCGCGTCTTAAACTCGACGTTCAGCCCAGTGACACACCCTCTGCTGCCTGTCAAGGCCGCACCAGGCCAGCTCTCATTCACCGAGATTCAGAGGACGCTGAATTTGATTGGCCAACTCCCGCCAAAGAAGTTCTACCTGTTCGGAAATCCCATCCAACGCTCGATGTCGCCGACCCTTCACAACACTGCCTTTGGGGTGCTCGGGCTCCCGCACACGTACGAGCTCCTCGAGACCGACGCCGTCGACGAGCAGGTGCGCTTCGCGCTCGCGTCGCCCGACTTTGGCGGTGCCTCTGTGACGATCCCGTTCAAGCGTGATGTCATGGCGCACCTTGACGGACTGTCGCCAGAGGCAGAGGCCATCGGGGCGGTCAACACAATCATCCCGCGAGTCAAGGCGGACGGCTCGACGACGTTGTACGGCGACAACACCGACTGGCTCGGAATGTACTCATCCGTCCGCGCGCGCCTACCCGCAGCGGCGCACATCGTTGAGGCAGGGCTCGTCATTGGCGCAGGCGGGACCGCGCGCGCGGCGATCTACGCGCTGCACGCGCTCGGCGCGAAGCGCATATACCTATACAACCGCACGCGCGCGAGCGCGGAGGCCCTCATGCACGCCATCCCCGGTACGACTGTCGAGCTCGTCAGCGCGCTCGGCGCGTGGCCCGCGGAGGGGCCCGCGCCCAGCGTGATCATCTCGTCCGTGCCTGCGGCGGCAACGACAACAGATGCGGGCGCCGGGTCGAGCGCGCTCTTGCTCTCTGTAGACCTTTTGCGCCCGGAGGGCGGTGTTGCAGTCGATATGGCATACATGCCTGCAGAGACGCCGCTGTTGTCGCTCGTGAAGGCGGCGGGAGGGAAGTGGCAGGGGGTGAAGGGTGTGGAGGTACTTCTCGAACAGGGGTACAAGCAGTTCGAGCTGTGGACTGGGAGGAGGTGCCCGCGAGGCGTGGTTGCGAGGCGGGTTTGGGAGAAGTACAACGCGCAGTGATGAGTTCTAGGAATATCGTCGTCGTTGGGATGTAGGAAGTATTGTAGAATTTGGTGTATGTGCGTCAGCGTCTGTTTAGACAGCTCACGAATAGAAAACGACTCATTGTTCCCGTTGCCGCCTTCGAAATCGTTGACTAGTCTCGTCTACTAACTTATTTCTGGACGTGGAATCTACGTATAGTCTTCGTCAACAATCCCATCGTAACAACTCGACAAAAGCACAATCGGGAGGACATCAAACAGAAAACCACGAAAAGCCGAAGTTGTCAAGATTGAGCAAGACATCTAGGACCGACAGGGTGACGCTAGCCAAACCACTTGAAAGCTAGAGAGAACGGTCCATAAAATGCAGAATCGAATCCGAGCTTCGTGACTACGATTGACGCATCTCCCCCATCGCTCGGGTGATCACAGCGAGACGAAGGACAGCAAAAGGGCCATGAGTGTAACGCAAGTGATCATTTATGTTAATTCAGAATCCACGACGGAACCGGGAGGCGAGGGACGAGTTACACTGTGCACACGAATTCACTTGAATATCAGGTCGGCGCTTGTCGAGACAAGTTCTGAGGAAACCATATTCCCTGGCATTGTCCATATGGACGGCGCAGGCTGAGATAGAGGGTGGGTATGTGCACGAGACATCGCTGTAAGACATGAACGCGAACACAGATGAATTTCCGTCAGTGTTCCTGCATTAAATGGGATGAGACGGGCAAGAGGAGAGGACCCACAGAGCCGTCCCTTTCTATCCTTATCCTCCATAGAGAAAAGAAAATAGATAAAAGAAGGACCACGTCGCCCTAAGGCTCTATATCGTACTTGCGACCTCCGCCGATGACAGGTGTATGATCATTGTGGTTAGGGACGACAGGGCGTCGTTAATTTCTACCTGGATAACTTTAGAAATTTGGGAGTTAGCAAGTGGGCATGTGGATGGTGTGAATGAGTGGTGAGCCGCAGAAAGGGCATGGGCATCATTGGTGTTATCGAGCGGGAGGGCGTGACCACCGCACATTGCCCCCAAATATCCCCAGGGGATATTCGGGGTATACTAGCAATATACCTGGAATATACCTGGAATATACTCGTCAGGGAATATCCCTCAAATATCCCCCAGTCAATCCCAACTGGGAGATGACTCATCCATTTCGACGGTCACCTGATGAGTGCGCGTCGTCGGACAGCGTCGAGATTTCTCTTAAGTGCTCCCTTCGTCTTACTCTCTAGGAGCCTCCAGTGTGCACATATTTTGGTGAGTCTTTCTCCCACCGAAACATGTTTCCATATGCTCTATAGTTCCGGTTTTCTCATATAATCAGATCTAATGCCTGAAAATGCGGGATCAGAGCGCATATATGCGTCCATTTAGGGCGGGCCGGGGTGGGACTGAAGGAGATTGCAAGCACAGCCTACGACGTGTGTGCGGCAAGAATTGTCAGAACGGTGAGTATTGCGGGTGTGAGCGTGAACGTTGGATGGATGAGATCAAGGGTAAGCACAGGCTGAGCTTGATGGCGTTGGCGTGGGTGCTAGCATCTGTGTTTCTCATGCGCATGGTGGCTCGGATTAGCCTCAGAGTCTGCGGTGCGCACGCAAGTGCCAATGTCGTCGGGGCAGCAGCAGCAACATCAGTGAGGCCAGTGTTCATCTGGGCTCTCCGTGTCACAATGCTAACCCCCCGCACGGCAGTACTGACCCCCCACTACACCGTATTCTTTCCATTCCCCTCGCTCCCTGCACTCGCCAACCTTATCAAGCTGCAACCCTTCCTGGTGACCTTGTCTCTTCCCGCACTGATCTTCTCAGCCTTGACACGCATGCTCACCCCGCTCCTCCGCAGGATGCGCCTCTACGTTGCCGACACCGATGCACTCGCCAGCGGCTGCGTTTGTGCGCGTGGCGTGCTACCAGATGTGCTCGTGTTCGACAGCGCGGTGCCGCAGCCCGACGCACCCCCCAAAATGTACTCCTCGAATTCGAGGCCACGCGCGGACGCACCGCTCCCGCCACCGCAATAGATTCTTGCGTCAAGGTGCTGGTCGTCCCATCCCTGATGCGCGCCGTGGCTGCTTGCGTATGCGGGGGAACATCTAGCCGGGATTCGCACCTCTCGCCTCTTCAAGTATATTTTGTAGATCTTTCAAGCCTTAGAATTGTCGTGTAGCCTTCAATAGCATGTATTAGTTTTATGATTTGTTAATATATTTATTTCTCTATCTATGGAGCGCATATAAAGTGATTGGAATGATATCGAGCTCGAATAAACCCACAATATACTGTGAATATACTCAGTACCCAGGTATATTCACGGTATATTCAAGACATTACCTTGAATGGACCGTGAATATCCCCGGAGGGGAGGTGGGTATATTCGCGGTTGATTCCGGGTATATTGCTAATATACCACAGATATCCCCTGGGGATTATTAGGGACGATGTGCGGTGGACGTTGGAGCGGGAAGCTGAGGGCTTTGGCGGCTCTCGGCAGGTTCAAGCTCAAACGACTCAAACTATGTGAAGGTCTTCTCCTTTTCTCCATTCTCTCAGCAGCTGTCCCTGTCGCCAGTCTTACAAAGGCTATAATATTCACGACTCTCGTACTCAGAACAAAAAAGAACAGAAAATAATCCATAATACCATATCAGATTCAAATAATTCTTTCAGAAACGACTATAGGACGACGCTGCAATCTGCGTCAGGCTCCTGTCCCTTTCCTTCGCATCAAAGGGGGGGCGGATCATGTCATGTGGAGATTTTACACAGCCTCCATCAGCCGCAGCACCGGTGATATTCCAGATATCCGTATTTGAGAACTCACAGTGTACTGGTATGCATTGCAATAGTTGGCCGTCCGTAGGCTGTGTGTAATCATCGCCTCTCGTGAGCGCTCTCCTCTTCTCCTATACAAATTGCATTCCTTTGCTCAAGCATTCAACCCCTACGCCTCTTTCGCAGATTCTTGCTCATGGCCGATTCTCAGTACGATGAAATTTGGAAGTCTGCGCTCAAGCATTACGAACAAGATACGAAAACAGCGATCCAAACTCATATTAGCAACACCGATACCCCAAATGATCTACTGCAGAAGATCAAGGATGACTTCGCTCAGTTCAGAAAGAAGGGGAAACGTCTGAGGGACAAGATAAAGGCTGTCTTACGTCTCGTTGGGTTGTTCGCGGAAATGACGGGCGAGGCTGTCGGCACGGTAAGTCTTAGGTTGGTAAATTCCACTGCAATGCTGGCGACGTTGAGATGATCTAGAAATATCCGCTAGGGAAAGCAATTTTTGCTGGCATTCGCGTGCTGCTTGAGGTACCCAAGTGTTCTGCACCCCATTCAGGACAATCATCTGACACATATACTCTCCTCATTAGTCCTCAAAGAGCGTCAGCTCTAATTATGAATCGATCATCGAGATGTTCGAATATTTTGATGACTTTCCTAGCCGTCTCGAGATTCACAACAAGCACAAGATCACTGATCCGGTCAAGAAGATCATCATTGAATTTCTGGCGCAGCTACTCTCAGTAATCGGTTTGACAACGAAGCTCATCAAAGAGGGCCGGATGAGTGAGTCTCAGAGTAGGCATCGATGCCGACTTTAGCTGAATCAGTGCTCAGAACGATACTTCAAATCTTTGATCAGAGAGGACGACGACGTGAAAGATGCCATGGGGAAGCTAGATCGGTTGACCAAGGAAGAGGATAGGGTAGTATTCTCAGTCACGCTGTCGGTTGTCAACACTATATTGGCAAGCTTGGAGGAGCAGATGCGATGTGCGTTTTCGGCACGCCCGTTCCTTTTCGCAGATTCTGATGGGATCATGTGAGTAGCTGGCAAAGAAGAGATCGTGTCTACTAGAGATGTCATCCTAAAGGAAATTCGAGAGTTAAATGGTGGGGTTTCGCATGTTCTTCACCCTGGTCTTCGGGCAAACCAATTCCGTCGGTGCTTTCGCCCAAATCCCCAAGGCTATGATGCAACTCGCTCATGTTTGTTTTGTGTTGACTAGATGGCCAATTCGCTAAAAAGGTTCAGAAGTGGCTTGCACCCCTAGACCCCTCGACCAACCACAACAACGCGCTTGAATTGCGACACAGTGAAACTGGAAAATGGCTCATAGACGGAGACCAATATGTGTCATGGAAGCAGACACCAAGGTCATTTCTTTGGATCCATGGGCGTCGTACGTCTATCGTTTCTCTCATCGTACTGTCAACTGAGTAGAAATATAACTGGGAGCGGTAAAACCATCATGAGGTAATTAATCTGCGAGCATGACAAGCAACCATCCACTGAGAATCCACAGTTCGACAATTATCGAAGACCTCAAGCAAGAATGTGGCCACGACCCGTCATTGGCCCTGGCCTACTTTTATCACGATTTTCGAATCCCCGAAAAATTAAGTGTCCGGAATCTACTCTGTTCCCTTATCGTCCAGCTATCTCGGCGTTGTTCAACGACTCCAGTTGTCCTGGAGAAGCTGTATGATGGCTGTCGACACGGCTTAGGCCAACCTTCATACGATACCTTGGTATCGACGCTGCGAGAAATCTCTGGGCTCTTCCAACACACGTATATAGTGGTAGATGCCCTCGACGAGTGTATGGACCCAGAACGCAGCCGGCTTCTTGGCTTCATAGGGTCAGTCTACTCTTGGGGTCTGGACGGCGTACACTTGCTAGCCACTAGTCGGCCAGAGCCTGATATACGACAGCGCCTCGTGATGGTGGCCGGGACGATCGACCTCGAAGCCGCGATGGTCGATCAAGATATCATGCGTTTTATCAAGACCCTTATGGAAAGCGAGGAGCAATTCGGCCAATGGAAAGATGGAGAGAGAAATATGGTTGCAGAGACGCTTACGAAGGGGGCCCATGGCATGTAAGATTGTTTTGATTTCATCTGAGATATGTTGTATAACCAAGGACGGGTTTCAGCTTTCGATGGGCCTCTTGTCAACTGGACGAACTGAAGAAGTGCAAGACCTTTGGTGCACTGAAACGGACACTGTCCACTTTACCAAAGACTTTGGGGGAAATATATGAGCGGATGCTCTCCAACATCGATGATGTGGATGTCCCGACTGCCCTGAGAATTCTTAGATGGTAAGTTTTTGCAACGAGGCCTTTAACTCTCGAGGAGCTCTCATTTGACGCCATGATCGATGTCGATGATGAGGACCCGTTTCAGGACGAAACTCGACTTCGGGATCCACAGGATGTGTTGAGGATCTGCTCTGGACTGATAACGATCAGCAGCTCTGGCGATGTGCAGCTGTCCCATTTTTCCGTCAAAGAACATTTCGACTCGGGGCGATCACAATGGGGATCCTACAACCAGCGCTTTGATCTCAGCGCAGAAGTGTCGCAAGTGTTCATTTGTTGGGCCTGCTTTGCCATTCTGCTACAGCTTACCGATCCCTCGGCGCACGAATCATCTGAAATAGACATCCCCCTCGCACGCTATGCTGCTCGCCACTGGACATGCCTTGATGCTCGAGACATCGAGAGTTCTCCTCTCCTGCTGGCATCTCTCAAAGCTCTTTTTCGTCGGGATAGCCCTCAATTTATCAACTGGACGAAGCTAGCCTGCGCTGAACATCGCGATTTTTTGGATGTAGAGCACAGTGGTGCGCGACCTCTTTATTACGCATTAATGTTCGGTCCTGTAGGACTATCCCGATTTCTGATCATGGACGGGGAGGACATCAACGCACGAGGGTTCCATGCGACCGCATTGGCTGCAGCATCAAATCAAGGCCACGAGAGGATCGTCCGGCTGCTCCTCAAGAAGGGCGCAGATGTCAACGCACATGAAGGATTCCACGGAAATGCGCTACGGGCGGCTTCATCTAAGGGACACGAGAGAATCGTTGGGCCGCTCCTCGAGAAGGGCGCAGATATCAATGCACAATACGGAACTTCTGAAACTGCACTGCACGTCGCGTCATCCAAGGGCTACGAGGATATCGTCCGGCTGCTCCTCGAGAATGGCGCAGATGTCAACGCCTAAGGAGGATATCATGGATCTGTACTGCAGGCGGCGTCATTCAACGACCGCGAGGGGATTTTTCGGCTGCTCATCAAGAAGGGTGCTAATGTCAACGCCCAGGGATATACTTCAAATGCGCTGTTGGTGGCGTCACGCAGGGGACACGAGAGGATCGTTTTACTGCTCTTCGAGGAGGGCGCATATGTCAACGCACAAAACGGAGCTGCACTGCAGGCGGCGGCAAGAAAAGGCCACAAGAGAATTGTCCGGCTGCTCATCGAGAAGGGTGCAGATGTCAACGACCAATACGAAGATCTTAAAATAGCACTGCAGGCAGCGTCAACCAACGGCCACGAGGAGATCGTTCGGCTGCTCCTCGAAAAGGGCGCAGATGTCTCCCAAGGAGGACATTGTGGAACTGCATTGCAGGCGGCATCATCCCATGGCCACGAGCAGACTGTCAGGCGGCTCCTCCAGACAGGTACGGATGTAAACCAGGAAGGCCTATACAGCACTGCACTTGATGCAGCATCGGCCGGGGCCCACGATAGCATTGTCTGGCTTCTTTTGGAACATGACGCCATCAGAGTGAAACGCCGACGACTGTGATGACTCCACATTGCAAGATGCGACTTCAAAGTACTGAAAGATTACCCCCTTAATGTGACCGTGTGTAGTACGTTGTCGAAGGTCTGAACTTTTCCGATCGGATGTCGTTTGCAGAGCGCGGTATTGCCGAAGTCGACATGGTCAATTGGACATCATGTTCTACTATTAAATTCTGCATTCATTGACGAGAAAGTTGAATCTGTACAATTGATAGCGTCTTACACTGTGGGATGATAAATAAGAAAGTCCTATTGAAGGTGTCGTACTCGCATCAGAATTATCAACATCTCTAACTCTTGCGGTGTATAACAACATGAGCAACTAGTAATCTACAAGGGCTGAAAACACGCGAAGAAAGCTACTAATGCTAATCGATATGCTACACAAACAACAAACAACAAAATCTCCCTGCTGTCGTTCGCATCAAGGCGCTTCGCAGAATCGCGCTAGAGGGCAGCGATTACGCTCTTAGGTACCTTGTTGTCATTCGAAAGAAGAGCACATCGATCAATGATCTTTATGAACCACTGTAGTTCGCACAGCGTCGTCGAGCCGTCCGCCTTCTAGAGCAGGATGCTTGTATTGACCACCCCGATGGCCTCTACCTCGAGCGACAGTCCGTTGGGGTGCGCCATGACATGACCTTTGATCGAAATCGCCACGGAGGCGCCGCGAAAGTCGGATGACGAGCACGAAGCGCACCTAATCGTCGACGGCGTCGGTCTCAAAGAACTTATACACTTGCGGGAACTCAAGGAGCCCAAAGGCAGTGTAGTGCAGTCGCAAGATCGATGAAATCAAGGAACAGGAGGACTTCTTCGGCGGGAGCTGGCCGATCAGGTTCAGCGACCTCTGAACCTCAGTGGAAGAGAACTTGTCCAGCACGGCCTTGATAGCCAACAGGGGATGCGTCACCGAGCTGAACGTCGCGTCCAAGAAGTGGGATAACTGGTTCTCGACGCCCATATTGATCGAGAGGATCAGTGAAGTACACCTTCCGCCCCATCCCTTCTGGCGCGGCCGGATCGTGGAACGCGAATCCACGGACCGTGATGCGCTATCTGGGGAGTCATCAACTTAACGATCGTGCTGCCTCCCACAAACATCTTGAAGCACACAGTGCCCTAGAACTGCGAAACTAGACAATAAATTCCACATGCGAGAAAGCTATGTATAAAACAGCCGGTCCAGGCCATATTCACTCACCCTACCGTGTAGGTCACCATCGTAGGTCACCATGAAGAGAGATGCCACTTTCTCTCAAACGGGATTCAAATTTGAATGTCATTTGACTATCATCGAGATATGCACTCACTTTTTCTGAGTAAAACCCATGGATCATATGTACCACGTTTACATCGGTGATGGATGGGAATCATGCCTTACAGTGGAAATTGGAGATGAGTCTACGAACAGAGAAGCAAACATGAATGTAGCACTCGTTCCTCGCATGAGCGACTTCGCGTGGCGACATTGTCTACCATGTTACCAACTCGGATAGCGGAATCATGTTAACGGACTCTCAGCTGCTCGAATGGACTCAGTAGATCTCGAGAACATAACATGATTATAGTGGGCGAATCCTTGTGCATAATTTACACGGTATCATCTGGGGTCATGACGTTTGAGTATCAGTCAAGCATGCACGGGTGCCGTACTTACCAATCTTCTATCACGCACTCCTGCCCGGCGGCCTAAAACTCCAGGTGGTTGCCAACGCTCGACTTCAACGTCTCCGCAGCGCGTTGAACCGTTGCCCATTCCGTACCCTCTTGTCCCAGCAGGTAGTACATCCCACGCCGATATAGGAATGCGACATGGTACGGGAAATACTTGTAGAGGCCTGTGACAAGCATTGTCGTGAACACAGCGAGCAGGGTCACTATTCACACGCGACAAGCGGTCAGCCGTAGTATTGCCAGCCACGAAGAGTAGACTCACTGAGGAACGCTTTCTCCCATGGTTCCAAGAGCGTGAAGACGAATGTGGCCTCGAACCAGAGCCGCCATTGCCAAAGGACACGGCTGATCATGGAGTTCGGCTTCTTGTATGGCGCCATCTCGGTGACAAATAGCGAGGGCTCCTGCTGTTTAATCGTAACGTTGGCCATCGAGGATTGTCCAGTCGCGTAGACAGTGTCAGACGTCGGTGAAGGACGGAGCTAGGTCTCGGGACAGGCTGAACAACTCAGTTCAACAGATATCCCAATACAGTATATTTTCCCCACGATTTCGATGTAACTATTAAAAAGGCTCTGCTCGACATTCTACAATACACATCAGTCGTACGAGGCAGAAAGAGCCCCGCGGTATGCATAAAAATACAACAATCTAATGACCCATTAGTACTATATGTTAACCAAAGGTGTTGGAGACGGGCTGCCGCGGGTACAATCCCTACGATGTCGACTTGATGCTGTCTAGTCGGACGACAAGAGGAAGGAGCGAGACGTTTTCACTCGACGCGTAGAACTGTACGCAGTCAATATGAACCTGTGAAAGAGCGCCCTTGTCAGTTTTTCACACAAGGGCAGAGTGAAAATGTTTGACCTTAAACCTAGAACAAGAAGACATGAGCTTCAATGGTTGAGGAGGCAATTAAAGACGCACCAGTGATTGAAATTTGTCTCGAATTTGCTAAGGACATCCAAGCGCTTCGCCATGCCCTGATCGCCTTCGGGTGACTCTGCTGCAGCGAGCGCATGATTGGCGGATTTTGTGAAGGACGCTGTGTACATTGCGAACGTTGAACAGGTCACAATCAATCGAGAATAAGCCTATCATCAGTTGGATTATCAGTGACATTGCTATAGGATACAGAAAAAATCATCGAGAAGAACGTACTTTGAGTAGTTTTGAGCTCGTCAACATGCACTCCTTCAAACATGTATCCAAGAAATCTACGTGATCCCTGAGAAGCTGGTCGACGGTAACGACCTTCGCCAGTTTAGCCTCGAGGGCACGCCAATTTGGTTCGAGGACTTCAAAGGTGACAAACGCAAGGATCTGCTGAACAAATGCCAGCATCCTCGCCCTCAGACAAAACACTCTAAATCGCCAGCGCTCGAACTCAGAATGCACGGGCACGGCGCGCCGCCATGGTGTTGTCTTGTGCTCAATCCACATAGAGGAAAGCGATTGTTCGACGTGCTTGAGATGCAGAAGGAAACGAAAGATAAGTTGATAGCGCAAAATGGTTTTGCGGGAGATGACGAGAGACAGCGGAAATTTGACATTGAAATCGAGCGTGAGCGCATCGATCGCTAGAAACATGTTAGCCTGAAACGACAAAACGACGAGGTAGGTCATTCACCTAGCATCGGTTTCTTGTCATCTTTGTCCTTCTCTTTTTTGTGCTCTTCGTGCACTCCATCTCCGTTCTCGCCCTCCTCAGTGCTGATGACCCCACTCACATTTACGACCTTCGACAGCCATTCGTACAGTCCACTGGTCGCCATGGTAACCTTAACATCTTCTCTGAACAACATGTCGTCGCCGTGTGCATCCGCGCTAAGGGCAAGATCGAGCAAACTTTGGAGCTTGACCAACGACGCTGATTTAGCCGACTTGCGCAACTCCATGTGTGAGAGGTCAAGAAAGTGTGTGAGGAAGGAAGCATGCGAAAGGAAGAAGTATCGCTTGAGACAACGTAAACGTGGTATAAGCTCTTGATCCTTGAGCAGGAGCTGCAGAAGTGTACGGTTTGCGTGGGTGTAATCATCTTCGATGGATTTATAGAATCTAGCGCTCAAACGTCAGAGATCGATGCGCTGTGGTCCTAAAAGGCTTACTTCTCGCCGTCTATGGAGTACTGCTCCTCGTGATTGGATGAATTATTTCCGATTTCGATTCCGCATTCTCGGATGACGTTCAGATATTTGCCCGCAAGGAGCACCTTGTGTTTCCAGCCCTCCAACAAGGGTGGAATGCACGCTCCGCCAGGTAAACGTCCGCTCACAGTTCGAGGTGGGGGTACACCAGCCTGTTGCCGCTTGTTTGGAGCCGACAGGGTTGATCCATCTCTTAACTGTGAATGCCCTTAGCGACCCTGTTGCAGCTCGCAAGTGGTAGGATAGGTAGGCTCACCGTGTACCTCCTCTCCCAATACTCATCGGTGTAATCCATTTCCAACGTCCCTCGATCAATGAACTTGCTCTCTTTGACGCAAAGTTCTTCATAAGGGTCCAGCAACTTCCCCGTCCGTGTCCACATCTGAAGCATTGCCACATAAGGCTTGCCTGCCGCTTCAAGTAGTTTCCCATATGCAGCGCGGGCGGTCGGGTCTCCTGACATGTTCTGCATCCGTTCGTGCAGTATGGCAAGAACTTCTCCGCCTTTCACTGCGATACTACTTGCTTCAATCCCACCCCGATCCAGCTCGGACAGCACCGCTTTCAGCTTCGCACCCCCGAGGCCCAACGCCTCGTTCCGTGCGGCATCTTCGTCGTCGGACAAATCTGAGGGAGATGATAGTGCAGATGGATCCTCATCAGCAGTAGCAAGCTCGGTAGTGAGCTGGTAGATCAGAGAGAGCGTATGCACGGTCGGATGAACATAAAACCAAAGCTTCTGGAGGGTAAACTGCGGGGATGTGTTGAACGCATGTTCGAGCTGTGAGAGAAGGGTTTGGTAGTCCTGTGAATGACAAACTCGATCAGCATCAGGTGTGGCATAGGACAATTTACAATTTGCGGCGTGAAATGCTGCGGAAACAGATGGGAAGCTTCCTATGACGATAAATTCTGCAAGAGGCTGTGATACCAAGCCAGTGACCGCCCGTCCGATAGGAAACGCAGGACCAAAGTTTTTGCTGAGATAAGGGAGAAGGAGATATCAACAAATATCCGGACCTGCGATGCAAGTCTAGATCCCGAGCACAACATACGAGCAGGCGTTCAACCGCCGTTTCAACGACACATAGCCGGATAGCACAACTCTACTTGGTATACAATGGAACGAGGATGTGCTCTGCGGAAAAGATCGGAACCTGCAAGCTGCGTGCACGTATTGCGTGTTGGGGGACAATGATCAGCCAGGATCGTATCTTTCGCACGCAGACGAAAGTGTATGGTGGAAGACTATCTCGATTATGTCCAAAAGATTCTCGAGGCACAGATACCCGCGCTCTAACAAGGTTACAGCATAACGCACCTTCAGCATGTCACGAATACATGCACATAGGGCATGGTTCACCAGTCCGAAGTCGAAGTGGCTGCGAAGCTCAATGAAAGAGGATATTGCGGTGTAGTAAGTCGCGAGTGGGAGAATCCGCTCGACGAGGTCGCGTAAAGAAGGGTCTGCATTCTTTCAGCAGAGCCGCGTGAAGCGACATGAGGGCACATACCTAGCCATTTGGAGACGACAAAGAGAATGCCTTGCAATGGGTCATCATCCTCTGGGGAATATTCTTCGTGGAAGGTAATATACGATCCCTCAATGCCCTATATGCAGCTGATCAAGCAGGAACTTCGACGATTCAGGCGCGCAAGACGCACCATGAGCACGTAGAGCAGATCCTCCAATATGACCGCCTCCTGTATCTCGACAGGCATATCGTGCAAACTCTCCTCCTTGGCCTTTCCTTTGGACTTGTGCATGCCGGCGCTGGACACGACGCGTGAATTGAGAGGCGCTCGGACAAAGGATTCCTCTGCGATGAATGATGGCTCGACATTCTCTGCTCGATGTCAGTTTCGGCTTGAGTCCGAGTAGCTATGAATGTACTAGCCTCTCCGATGAGATCCACGAGCGAGGTCATCATTCTCTGCTTGGGAGAGCTGTCGGTTCCTCCGTACAGACGCGATGGTCCCGGTCACCTGCGCGAACTGGGTCAACCGACGCGAAGGGAAAGTGGATGAATCATCTTACCTTTGTGTACTCCTTGGCGGAGAGTGTAAGGGTTTTGCGACTCGCTGGACGCGTTCGCGGAGTATATGGGTCCATCTTGTCGCAGTGGGCGGATGAGTCGCACCAAGTGACCTTCAATTTCGACGCGCCACGGCTGCCAGCCTCTTTGCTCCTGCCACCTGCACGCTTTTGCACACAACCCTCCCTGCGATGCGGGACATCAATGTCTATTCGTTTGCAAAGGCTCTGCCTCGAATGGTTGCTCGTTTCTTCGTTCTCTTCCCTCGCATTGTCTTTCTAACCAATCACCTCAACAGAGCTGGTCGCGACATAATCTCTACAACCTCTGGCGACGCTCTCTCGGTGAACTTGCAAAGGAGACTAACTTTACGCGTACCCAAAAAACTCTTTTCCAGCAACGTTGGGCTGCAAAATCCCTTGTTCGCGCATATCATGGGGACTTCATCAATGAAAAGTCGTTCAAACGATGGTACCTACCCACTACACTTCCTGATGTGCGGTCACGGCGGCGGGTGGCAGGTGACGACACTCTCGATTTGAATAAGTGGGCGAAGCAAGACAAGGTTGTTGAAAAAGGCACGAAGGTTCTTCAAGAGGATACAGAGAATGCTCAGCTTGCACCCGTCGGGAGCATGATGTTCGCGGAAGTAGAACGAAGGATTGATGTATTCATCTTTCGGGCGTGTATGGCACACAGCGTTTATGAGGCTCGTCGAATGGTAGTGCACGGCGATGTACTATTGAATGGGCAGAAGGTATGTTTGCCAGACTGGTCGATTCCGCTTCTTCTTTCAACACCGTCTTGTCATAGCATCAAAACGCCAACACACGCCTCGCACCAGGCGACATGGTGTCCGTGAACCCAGATGCCATCCGTTTCCTGCAGCGCCAGGAGCCGAAGAAAGAGGATGTTGAGTTGGAGACAGTAGAGCCGAAGATTGAGATTGCGGATGAATCGACGTCCGCCTCGGAAGGGGAACCATCCGCAGCTTCTTCTTCTAGCCCATCAGGCAAGCCCAAGGTACCGAACAAGCCCAAGGCGAAAAAAGACTCAGACCTTACGCCATTCAACCTCCCCCCTTTTGCATCGCCTTTTATCTTCATCCCGGCATATATCGAACCCTCTTTTGCAACATGCTCCGCAATTTACGTTCGCCACCCGACTGCGCGTCCAGGCTACTCAGAAGTCCCGACTCCATATGATGCGGATGGTGAAGTTGTGCGGCTGGCTTGGGAGTGGTATTCGAAGGTGCGGCCGAGAATGCGGAGCAAGAGGCAGCTGGCTCGCATGCCTGAGAATAGACATTAGATCACTAGAAGTTACCCAGTGCGTTCATGTTTGTTTTTACTTAGTCGTAATATCGCTGCTCTATCGGGGTTTGCTGTGCATAAAGCTCGGCAGGAACACCAGTGAACAGCATTTGGATCGTTGTAAAGTTCAGGGTCGGTCTTCCCAAGTCGCTACTGCGCGTCCGGGGTCTCAGATAAGATTGAGTTAGGCATCAATCTAATCTGGCGCTGTAAGGCGCTGCGCATTCCAATTTCGACCGTACACGCCTTTTACACGCACCAACCTTGGCACAACCACGATTTCATTTTGCACCAATGCATGATCTCCGGGCAAGACCAACACGAGGCTATTGGTTGCTGGCGGCGGTCGTACCTATGCGTTCTTCGCCCGTAAGTTTTCATCCGTCCTTTCGGCCGCCTTGTTCTACACCGCCAGCGACGCCAATTATTTAAAGCACCCCTTTGTTTGTTGTTTCTCCACTCCTTATACCCCCCTGCTGGCCACCCATAGATTTGAGATCTGCCATGTCTTACTCCGGCAATGTAACATCAGACGACACATCATCTGGTGCTACGCTTGCCGCTCCTGCCGCACAGTTTGACGACTTCACCTTCGTATTTCGAGTCGACATCGTCCTGCTTTCTATCTTTGGTATCTATGCTCTTGTCAACCTTCCCCGTGCGCTCGCTCGCCTCTCTCAGCTGCCAGATTTATTCAATGGCCATTTTCTACGCTCGGGGGGACATGCATACCGACCTTCGCATTCTATGAATAGTATAGCCATGCAGGCCGTCAGCCCCAGCAGTCCCGAGCTAGCCTCGGAGATGTCTCATACCCTCAACTCACACGCACATCTTATACTTCACGCTACAGAATCAGCCCCAGCGCTTGCACATAGCCCTCCAACTCGGGTGCCTCGTTGGTCCACCCTTATCCATCCCTTTGTCAGCTACGCGATCAACTATCGTGTTGCACCCAGTCTTTCTGTCGGCAAGCTATTCGTTTTAGCGGTATATCTTGGCGTCATCTTTTATGCCGCGTTCTACAAGTCAAACCCCTTTACTGATCCGGCACGCGCTGGCTTCGTCGCAATGTCGCAAATTCCTATCGTCATCGGGCTCGCGAATAAGAACAATTTGCTCAGCTACTTGTGCGGTGTTGCGTATGAAAAGGTACGCATGGTCACACACGATATTCATCGAGTTTGTCTTCTAATGCTTGTCGCCTGTCAACTCAGCTGAACTATATTCATCGTTTCAGTGGCCGTATCGTTGCGCTCGCGGTGAACGTTCACGCCATTGGCTTTCGTACGTTCTAATACTTCTCGGCATTCAGATTTGCGAATTAATTCTTTCACAGTGTACAAATGGTCGATCAATGACAACATATCGACACAGCTTTTACAGCCTCACATCCGGTGGGGTCTTGCTGGACTCGCCGCTGTGGACACCCTCGCACTCTTCTCAATTGCGTTCATTCGCCAGAAGTTGTATAATTTATTCTTCTACTCTCACATCGCAGGGTTCATCGTCTTCCTTACTGCTGTACGTAATTCCTACCCTCATTTGCATAGTCTTCGTCTGATCATCGATTCCATTTCTCAAAGGCCTACCAACACTTTCCCATCACTCTGCCCTACGTGGTTACCGGCTTTGCTCTATTCGGCTTGGATCATGTCCTCCGCCTTTGCAAAACGCGTGTCGCAGCGGGGACCTTGTTTGCGATCCCCGCTTTAAATAGTACCCATATCTCTGTGCCCTCCCTTGGCGCGGGCTGGCGGGCAGGCCAACATGTCCGCATCCGCGTGGTTGCGGCGTCGCCGACGGGATCCTGGATTGGTTGCTGTTGGGCTTGGCTCGTTGGCCGTGCGCGTCCATTCACAATTGCGACGGCGAGTGGTGACGATTTGGGCCTTGAGTTGATCGTGAAGAAATACGAGGGCGGGTGGACAGGTCGTCTGTTTGAAATGGCACAGGCTCAGGATGGTGGAATGGAGGAGAAGACCATTGGCCTGCCAAAGCATTCTATCGGCCGGCGGGTGCGCGTGATAGTTGAGGGGCCCTATAGTAAGCGTCCGCATCACGCTTCTCCAGGATATTCACCTGATCAGGCTCCACAACGCAGGTGGTCCTGGTCATACGCTCTTTGCGTCATATTCAGGAGCGTTACTCGTTGCTGGCGGCAGTGGCATAACGTTTGTACTCTCGATCCTGGCCGACCTCCTCCAGAAGCACGGAGAGGGTCGCAGCAGGCTGCGTGTTATTGAGGTCGTCTGGTCAGTTGCGGACCCATGTAAGTGGATCAAGCACAGCTCTTTCGATAGCAACCACATTGATGCTCCGTTTTCGCCCAGCTGCACTCACAGCACTCCTTCCTACCTTCACTACGCACCTCCGGCCGCGCGCATCCCCTCACGGCTCCCTCCAAGTTCGAATCTCCATATATTACACCCGCGCTCCGCGCGCCGGCGCACTGGACGCACTTTCATCCCTTTCTCACCCTGTCGGCCTCAATCTGCGCCCTGGTCGTCCAAACCTCGGCAAACACCTTACAGAAACCACTGATGCCGTTGTTCTCGCTCATTCTATGCGACATGCCTCGAAGGGGTCTGAGCAGTATCCCTGTGGTGTCATTGTAGGTACATGCGGTCCTGTTGATTTAGGGGATGAAGCTGGCAAGGCGGTGGGATCGGTTCCATGGAAGAAATGGAAGGAAGTTGGGGGCGTTGAGGCATACGACGAGTCAGTCCCCCTGTTTCCTCTCACCGTGGCTGTACTGATGCCTCCAATTGCTCGAAAAGGGTGTTTGGCTGGTGATATCAACGTACCAGCTCCTAGCCCGTCCTCGCTGGTGTTCTGGAGAGGGATATCACGACTTTGATGCAGGCATGCGATGTGTTTCCAAAATTATCTGTAGGACTGCATTACTTACGAGGTGGGGACGGGCCATTGTGGGATGACTTGTATTTTTGTAAGCATTTGTCGAATACACCATATTATAAAGTACCCGAAATAGAGTTGTTAGCAATCACGATCCCAACTAAGTATCGTCAGGGTATCATATCTCTGTCTATGATTACCGGAGATTGAAGATGGCGAGAGTAAATAGGATCATGATGCACGGCGCGGTGGCATAGGACGCGTCTTTACTTTCCAAACAATGCAAAATAACGCGTCTGTGTATGGTCACGTGTGTCACATTTGTTGTGGCCCCAGGCCGTCATGATCATTGTTTTTGACTCTTGTCCTCCACATTCATCATGTCCAACACGCGGACTCTCAGGACAAGATCTTCTGCCACCAATGGGGCTGCTACTACCGCGAAATCCACGACGAAACCTGTGGCAAAAACTACCACTGTAAAAGCTACGACCGCGCGAGGTAAATTCATAGTGCAAAATAGATTCAATCACTGATTTTTTTCTGGTGTAGCTCGGAAAACAAGCGAAAAATCCAACGATTCGAAAGCGACTGCAAAGGCCTTAAAGGCTGCTGCCATAGTCAAAGCTACTGCAGAGAAGGCATCTGCGGCCAATGGCACCACTACAACCAGCCGCAAGCGTAAAGCGGCGGCCAATGCGCCTGCTCCGCTCAAGCGAACCCGCACGCTCCTCGAACCCATCAATTCACTTCCAGCTGCCGCTACTCCGCCAGCGTCTGGGAAGCCGCGCCTTATGTTGGTGCACGGTACAGGCGACGGTGGGCAGTTTGGGTTGGGGGTTGATGTGAGCAACATTCAAAGGCCAAGGCTGCATGTAGCGGTTAAGGAGCTAGTGAACAGCGGCAAAATGGGACCTGTTGGCGTCGAAAGGGTAGTTGCTGCTGGCATGCACTCGCTAGTGCTGGACTCGAATGGACAGGTAAGTGCTGCGCTGATTTGCTGTCCGCTGGTGTGGCATAGGCTGCGGCCTAGACGCCATCTCCGATAATCATTGATCTTGGGCCCAACCTCCGAACCAAACTGAAAGGAGCCATAGGGCTGTTCAAATCACTTCTTGCCCTCTAGGCCGCCCATACCGGGGATGACGGGAGATCGACATGACCCTGTTTTATCCTATATGGTTCATTTGCGGCTACGGAAGCTCTCATTTACTGAATGCTCCAACTTTCTCTTTATGTTCGTTGGTTACATATCCTGCCGTGCCTTATGCTCGCCTCTCTTTCTAGGTTTGGTCCTGCGGTGTCAATGACTCTATGGCTCTTGGGCGGAAGACTCAAGGAATCAAAGATGTGGATAACACGGAGCTGGAGTCTTCCCTTGATCTCGTGCAAGGATTGGAGGATTTCCGCGCTACATTCATCGCAGCTTCTGACAGCTGCAGCATCGCTGTCAGTGAACGAGGCGAACTGCGCGCATGGGGCTCATTCAGCGTATGTTTCTCTCCTTTTTCATTTCTCTTACCTGACCGTGTCTACAGTCAGACGGAATCCTCGGTTTCGATGGCGTTCGTGATCATGGGATGAAAGTTGTCGCCCCTACCGCTCTTCCCGCCTTTGCCAAAAATCCCGTTTGCCAGGTCGCTTGCGGTGAAGACCACGTCTTAGCTCTCACAACATCGGGGACAATATACACATGGGGAAATGGTGTCAACTTCCAATTGGGGCGCAAAATCATGGAGCGCAGAAAAACGAATGGCTTGAGACCAGAGCCGCTCCACCTACGCGACATCGTACTGGTGTCAGCTGGAAACCATCATTCTTTTGCCGTGGATAAACCCGGCGTGGTATACGCATGGGGGCTAAATCAGATGAGGCAGACCGGTGTCAGCGACGAGCGGGGTGGTGAGGAGTCGCATATCAAGATGCCAACGGTTGTAGACGCGCTGCACCCGGATAAACATGGCGGGGCGAAGGTCGTTCAGATTTCTGGTGGTGAACACCACTCGATATTCTTGTTCGATAATGGCGAGGTTTGGGGTTGCGGCAGGTCTGATGTGGGAAGATTAGGATTGGCAGATGACCATCCTGCCATACTCGAGATCAAGAAGCGGTATCGAGAGGAACTCGAGGAGATCATGGCGCAGAGATCGTCAAAGGCTCATGAGGCAGGTGAAGGGAGCCAGACGTCTGACCAGGAGCCTATCCGTCTTGTTGAAGATTCGCTCGTCCGAGAACCAGTGCGGATACCTTTCCCCCCTCCCCCGACAGACGATGAGCCCACGCCTGATCTTCCTCCTTACGAGGATGGAGTTTCGTCCACGAAAATTGTGGGAATATCTGTTGGCGAGAGATACAACTTCGCTTATGACGAGAGCGGGATCGCGTATTCATGGGGAGAGGGTTCTGTTAATCAGCTTGGGTTGGGCAAGGTGGAAGAGGTCAAGGTACCGACACGAGTGCACAACACTGCTCTCAAGACATATCAAGTTGTCGGTGCGAGTGCTGGAGGTCAGCATGTCTTACTCATGTAAGTACTTGTATCTTCATTTGCACGGCACACTCATAACTTGCTACGCATATCTTCTGTTTTCAGCGGTGTTGAACGGTACGTTTCAAATACAATCCATTATTCTTTCATTGACTGATGTATCTCATTGTAGGGACACTCCACTCCTCTAATTATAAAATCATCGAGTGGACAATTTCTCGACGTCTTTGAACTTTTCCGTTTCCTTTCGGTTGACAAATAACAATATCTGTTCATTGATGTAATGCGCGAGCTTTTTCTTACTTCTTATAGACTTTGGCAATGTGATCCTGGACGACTCGCTGACTGTCTGGTTCGTCATACGAGGCCTTGTACGAACCAAGAGGGTCTGGGTATCAGCTTGCTAGTTCCTATCTGCATGGAACGGGAAAACACGGGATGGTGCTTACTGTGTGTTAGAACGAAGCTTCCACATGCCTTCGAGGTCTGGTGGGCCACACGGGAACCAAAGGAGATCTATCATCTGCCTGCGGTCCAATGCGTAAAGCCGATTGGCGTGCATGTTTGCTTATTCACCGGCGGCTACATGGCTGCCAACAGTCTTAGCTCACACTTGCACTCTAGACCGATCAAACCCGGACGCTGAATATAAAAAGGTTGATGCTCTCCCCGCTTTCGTTGGCTGTGCCACGATCCACGTCATGACCCCTCAAAACGCCGCTCGATCTGCACTTGCTGCCCAATGTGAGGACGCGGTGCCATTCTCTTCGGTTTTTTCTATTGATATGGCACCGTACAAACCCCCGCGCTCGAAACTGGGTGCACTTCTCTGGCGAAAGCGGATCTGGTTTGAGACGACCTTCGGCGCATCTGTTCTAGAGCCATGGGAAAAGACCTTATTCTGTGCGTTGGTTACTGGGGTTTCAATTGTGGCCAGTCACGACTTACTTCTCACTGTTCTAGATACAGTCCTCGCCTTGGTGTCAACCCTCTTCTGGGCTTGGGTGTACAAGTATCTTCCGCACCAGCTCATGTCCATGGCGCTGCGAGCGCGATACTATGTATCGGGCGAGCAGTGACCTCTCTCGATTGGGCAGATCCGGTGTATCTATGAATGACGCATTTTTACGTTGAGTGTTTATTTTGGGGGAAATTTTCGTTCGTCACTCGGAGCTACTGTGGGGGGTTAGTAAGTGAATCTTCTTTGGGTGCGACCGACCGAAAGTACTCAAACAATAAATGTCCTCGCTGCTCAGTATCCTTACTACTTTATGGTTCTGTACATTGTGTGCCGACAGTAGTCACACCGGTGCGGAAGCATATGTGAAGTGAACTCAATGCGCCGATATGATCTCTTCTCTGTATTCGGCGTCGGACAGCCCGTGAGATACGTGAAAAGTGTAGCATGTGAGGTGCTGAAGACTGTGCTAGGGAGATACGCTGCATCAGTGGACAAAAGAAAACTACAGTACAAGTCCTTCATATAATACGAGTACCAGCGTGCGAATGCTGGTGCAAGCCGAGTGTGGATGGGCGGCGATTGAATTGGCACAAGGATGTCGACGTTCGGTGCCTCGGATCTTGACGATTACGACGAGTGATGCTCAGCCTCCATTCCGTGACAACTTCAGGTAGATCCCCATCTAACCAACTTTGCTTACTTGTGGGCATAACCGGCACTAGGGCAAAGCTCTCAATGGTTCAGGCTCGAATGCACCTCTCGTGACCAGCCTACAGCCGTCTTACTCCATGGGCATTGAAGCTTGAAGCTTGAATCTGGGACCCAACACAACGAGTTTCTTCCACATACGAATCTGAGTCTGGCCTGCTCTGGCTCAATGCCCTTTCAAGGTACCATCGACCACACAGTGTGTTCTACCAGGCGTATGCAAACGCAACATGGTGCACGCCATGCGAATACGTATGTGTTGTAACTCAGATATCTTACCCTGGCTACGCCGCTCTCGGTCACCGCTGATGGATCTGTTTCAAATCATAGACATGCTCACCGCGGGTACTGTGTGTCTGTCTCTCACACATAATGCCCGCGTCCTGCGCCCCTCTCTCCTCCGTTTAGGCATCGAACGGCGATCCAATACTCGTGACTGGGCCTTTCAGGGGGCATAAAAGGGTGTCTTGCAAGGAGTCACGGCTTTTGTTAGCAGAACCTGGTTAATCCTTCACACTCCACTGAAGCCTGAGCTGCCATGCCTTCATGGAAGTCCAAACGCAGCCTCGCGGAATGTTATTCCTTGATGGCAACACCACGCTCTCCTCTGGAAACGGAGACCGCTCTTGTAGGCGGACGCGTGCAGAAGGTATTCAAGAATATCGAACCTGCAAGTCTGTTTTCATTGTCTAGTATACGTCTCGCTCTGCTCACCACACACAGAATCTTCGCCTTTTTTTTCTTCAGCATGCCTCCCGATTCGCCGGTCGCGAGTACCTTGTTTTCGAGAACGAGGGTTACACGTACCGCCAAGCCTTCGATGCCGCGTCTGACGTGGCCAACACGCTCTCGCAAGAATATCACGTACGGAAAGGAGATCGCGGTTTGTCGTCCAACACGCCCTAGTCTGGCTTTATGGCACTAAGGACTTTGTTATGTGCAGTTGCCATATGCATGCGTAACGTCCCTGAGTTTCTCATCGTTTTTTGGGCCACCGCCCTTCTCGGCGCAGTCCCGACTTTGATCAATGCCTGGCTCGCCGACGCAGCTCTCGAACATTGCTTCAACATCTCCTCTCCCACGATCGCCTTCGTCGACCGTGAACGCGCAGATAGGGTGGAAGGACTGCTTACATCCTTCAAGCAAACGATCCCCATAATCGTCGTGCGCGGTCACGAGGCGCAGGGTCAAGAATGGAAGGGCATGGCACCTTGGTCCCAAGTGTTCGACGGGACGCGCATGAATGCCGGGTTTTGGGAGAAAGAACCCAATTGCTCGCCGGACGACGACGGCGCCATCTTCTTCACGTCAGGGACTACAGCGATGCCGAAGGCCACGCTATCCTCTCAAAGGGCGTTTATCAGCAACTCATATACCGTCATGTTTGGTGTCGTATTAGCGAACCTGAGACGTGGAGGAGCTATGCCCTCTGTCGATGACACCAAGCCACAACAATCATTTCTGGTCACCGCGCCTCTTTTCCATGTCCAAGGGCTTGCCGCCAACATGGTATGTACTGAGTGGCAATGCATGATGCATGTGTTCGTGATCCGGTCTAAACGATTACCTGTGGTGATATAGATGTTGTGCACGCTCAGTGGATCCAAAGTTGTTTTGATGCGAAAGGTGAGCCTTTGTGTATATAGAGAGAGAAAAACGTTCTTGATCATGTCAATACAATGAAGTGGAATGTGGCTCAAGGTGCGTGTTTACTCACTGATCGAACCCAGCCACTTGACTGACGAGGTTTCACAGCACTTGAACTATGTCTACGAGAGAACGTGACTGCGACTTCGGGGGTGCCGACCGTTATCACAGACATCATGCGCTCCTCCATTCCGCGCCAGATCAGGTTTGAGGCGATATCAGTCGGCTCGGCGCCTATGCCCGCCACTCTAAGCGCAGAATTCTCCAAGATCTTTCCCAACGTCCCTCTGTTTGTGCTCTGGCTCCTTCACGGTTTGACACAGATTTCTCACCGGGGCTGTTGCATCAGGTATCATGCTTATGGTCTAACAGAGACGACAGGAGTCGTGACGGCCGTGTGTGGTGAGTGAAGCGAAAAGTCCTTCTGGTCTGCGAGTGGCTCATGGACCCTTTATTGTTCCGAAACGAAGGCGAGGACTTGTTCGAACGAGCGCCAACTATGTAAGTTCCAACGCCTCATCTTATCGCAATGTTCTGTTGAAGTCCGCGTGGTAGAGGGGTGCCGACGCCTATTTGTGACATCCTCATCATCGATTCGGAAACATCTAGGCCAGTTCCATCGAATCACGTTGGCGAGCTTTGGGTGTACGTGCTCTAGAACCTTGTTTGACATGATAGGCTAACTCATGTTATTATTGTCTCATTCGTCTATTATGCACCTTCCAGTCGCGGTCCGAATGTCATGAAATGTTACCTCGGCGACCCCTCTGCAACCAATAAAGCCATCACCTCTGATGGGTGGTTCATGACAGGCGATTTAGCAGTGCAGGACGACGATGGCTTTGTTTACATCAGAGATCGAGGTGTGTGGTGGCATGTTCTATCACAGAAGGAGTTAGACAGGACGTTTTTCTTTTGTCCACATGAAGCGAAAGATGTAATTATCCGAGGTACGCCGATCAAATTCGATCTTAGAAATAATGCACTGACCCTCGCACGGAGAACCAGGTGGCGAGAACATAGTCAGTCCAGCATCTGTGCACCGTTTTGGAAGGGGTGCCCGTGCTCATGATATCTCAGCATTCAACAACGATCGAATCAGCCCTTCTCGCCAATCCTCAGATACAAGACGCGGCAGCTGTGGGCGTGCCATCGGCGCGCCTCGGAGAGCTCCCTGCGGCCATCATCTCCCTCTCTTCGACTTCCCTTGTTCCGGATGTGGACCTCGAACGCACCCTGCTCGAAGACGTTCGCAGGCGGTGAGCGTTTGTGCTGCTTCTGATCCGCATAGGTGTTTGAGCGCTGAGACGTGGTCCATATTCGTAGACTTGCGCCACACGCGGTCCCCGTCCTGCTTCTGATTAGGGACAAGCCCATTGGTACGTATCTCTATGAGAGCATCGAATCCTAGGAGCACATGATGATCGATGAACAGATCGTAGCGCAACGGGGAAAGTCGACAAGGGTCCTCTGAGGAAGATAGCCGCAGAAGAGTGGGAGCGGAGACAGGTCCAGGGCCGCGAGAAGGCAAGGATGTAGGTGGTTCATGGTCGGTGTGGCGTGAATATATGATTTCTTGGCTACACGATCTCCGTCTTTCGCGGACTTCAGGCGCGCAGTGTAGAGCTAAGGAAGGGCGTAGATGCACCTCAACAAGCGAAATTGGATGCTGAACATATTATGCAAGCTACATTGTGCAATGAGTGGGCCACTGTGGCTTGTGGACCATGGCTCAACAAGACTCGCGGGGCAAACCGCATGTTGCAGATGAGATCGGATAAGGGGAAGGCGAGAGCCTGTGCAGCGATGAACCAATGAGATCTCCGTTGTGTGATGGCATCTACGAATGTGGAGAACACGAGGTTTGCGTACAAGGGAAGCGAGCGCCTGCAAGCACCGATCCGGCCGTGCCCGGGGCGATTTTTGGAACCGCGCAGGCGCAGACAATGGCCGCCAGTCCACCGGGCCGTTGCCACACTTGTGCCACAGTGCCACAATTACAATGTCCAGAAGCACAGGGCACTCACTTTCCACCTCCTCCCTATAAAAGAGCGACGACATGGACGGGCACAGGTCAATCATCCCCTCTTCCATTCCACACAGGCTGCCCCTCTCCTGCACTATGCAGTACAGCCCCGTATCCAGCACGTCTCGCCCTCGCTTCCCATCCTTCGATTCCGGATACTCGTCCGACGACTCGTCCGCCATGGACTATCACCAGGGCCCGTCCGTGTCGCCGTCTCCCAGCATGATAATGGATTGCGTGCCGCAGCGGAACTCGAGGCAGACGCCGTACATGACTACCGAATGGAACTGCCATGCGTGCATGGTGGGGTTCAACAGAAAGGCCGACCTCGGGCGCCACGAGGAAACCAATCGGCACCTGCGAAACGAGAATCGGAACACGGCCGACGCGCTCATCACCTCCTCGTCGCGGCGGGAGCGGGTCGGAAAGTTCGTCTGCGACATGTGTGGCGACAAGCTGAGTCGCAAGGACGCACTGAGCAGGCACAAGAAGAGCCGCCACGGCGTCGCCCGTGCCACATATGAAATCTCTCGCTCACATCTGGGAGAGCTAATCAAGTTCGAGACCATGGAGCCCAAATCCGAGCCCGTCGAACACGCGTATGAGCCTGTCATCGTCCCCAAGATCGAGCCGATCGAGCCAACGCTCAGCGAGCGGGTTGATCCCAGCCTCATACTCGTCAAGGCCCACTTTGAGAGCGAGGAGGACGACTATGAGAGCGAGGACGAGCCCGAGAGCGCGTGTGAAAGTGAGAGCCTGGGCGAAGAAGACAGCGAAAGCGAGATGGAATACGACAGTGGCGAGGAGGAGGTGGAAGAAGTTGAGGAGAGGCCCGTCCTTCGAACCTACTACGACCCCGCGAGGAACATGAGGTGGATGGTCAGTGGCCCTTGACCTGTTTTTGTCGATCGAATTGGGTGCTCACTTTGCTGCCGTCTTAGACTCCCCGCTGAACCTCACTCGCCTTTCACACTCGCGCGGCAAGTCTCCCTTCCTAATCTCAGCATTCGTTCTCTGTATGGCAATTCATCGGCGTGGCTGAGGACGTTAAAAAGCCGATTACTTTACGAACATATTTCTTTTCCTGCACTGGCCCCGCTTTTCAGTTCTATTATAGCTATCACCTGTACCAATTGCTACTTACATGCCAGAAATCCACATTGTATCCTTGGTCCCATCCGTGTGTACCTTCAAAGTAATTCCCGCCATGTCCCAGGAGCGAGATACCGTCTTGGCGTTGGTGTTGCGCTCGACGCAGCAGGCAAAGCTGAGGCTTATGTGATGGCGCTCAGTCATTTATCACATGACCGCACTGCACACCAAGCCGTGAGCGGCTCCCTCGGTGGGTCCTTCCCCAACGGCATCGCAGTGAACACAGCTCCTTCTCCTTCCTTACTTCCTCGACAGACTAGACGCGGCCAGATCCAACCATGGGCGAGGTCGTCAACGTTATTGTTGCGTTCGCCGTGATCGTGTTCATCTTCCGATGGGCGACTTCATCCGGTGCGTTCGACACACACGATGTGGGGTCACCTATCGCACTGGTCTACTGACTGTCTTGACTTGAATGACGGTACGCAGGTGGTGAGCCGTCACCAGAGGCAGCCGCTGCGCGCGCGCTGCGATTTCGACCGAAGAATGTGACGCCAGAGATGGTGCGTGCGCTCGTGTGCCCCGGCCATATACCTGTGCTCGCGGCCTGACGTCCCCTCGCGCACAGACCGACACAATCAGCGGCATGTTCCCCGACATCCCACGGTACGTGCGTGCGTGCGCGTCCGATCCCCCAAGCCCGATTTCTCATTGACCGTCCCGGACGGAAAGTCGGAGTGCTGGCGCTGACCTTGCCTCGCGTCCAGAGAAAACATCCACTATGATCTCCTGCGCACCGGCTCCGTCGAGCTAACATCCAACAAGATCCTCGAGCGAGGCTTCCTGGACGCGGTACATATATACATCCTCCGCTACATCGAATCCCGCAGTCCCCTCTACTAACCGCCCGCATTCTCAGCCCCCACCCGCCTACTTCACCCTCTACACCCGCTCGTCCACCGCCGCCGCCACCGCCACCGCCGCCGTCGCTGGGGCAGGAGCGCGCGCAACCGCCGCGACAGCCGCGTCGGCAAAGCGCAAGCCCGAAACGCTCATCTCGCGCTTCCGCCTCGAGGACCGCGTCGCGGCCGAGCCCGACGCGAGCGCAGACGCGGCGCTCCCCGCGCCCGAGGAGGCCGGCGGGCGCGCGGTGTGGGAGGACTCGGCGGAGAAGCGCGAGGCGAGCCTGCGGGAGCGCAAGGCGCAGATGGTGCTCGCCGCGCGGCAGTGAGCTTCCCTGTTCTCCCCCTCGGGGCCCTGCATGCGCCGTTAGCTGACCGTGCCTTTGTGTCGCTCCATCTCAGGCGGATGCTCGCGCAGCAGCAGCAGCAGCAGAAAGCGGCGGCGAAGGCGTCGTGATCGCGGCGTCTCGCTACGTTGATCGCTGATGACAATCGAAGAAGTCCCTTTTTCTTTTCTCCGGGATCACGCATGTCTCCTCCGTTCTTGCTCCGAACCACTACTTGTGTGGATAGCACCTATCTAACACTGTTGTTCGTTTATTTATAAACCCGGATAATTGCCAGCTGGTGCGCCCGCTCGAGGGCCTCCCAACGACAACGAAACGTTTGCGATATCACACGGACGAGACAAAAGACGGACTCGGATTCAATTTCGATTTCTACTTCTTCGACTATAGATGCCACCCACCCCCACTGGCAGACTCGACGGCCAAACAACGCGCGACGAGGCAGAAAAGATAAAACGAAAACAAAACAGAAAACAAACAAAAAAACAATAAGCTTATGACATGCGTGCGTGCAGAGGAGACGAAAAAGAGAAAGAAAGAGTTGGACAAAAGCAGACCAACGATTCACACACAAAAAAAACACAAAAACACGAAAAGCACAAAAGCACAAAAACAGAGAGTAGATCAAAGTCAGGAGGCAGAGGCCGGCTGGAGATCGAACAAAGGAAGGGCGGGGCGCGATCATACGGGGACTGTGGCGAAAACGGAAGAAAGGAGGAAGGGGGGCGGCTGGCACATGTACATAGCTCAAAGGGAGATAATTGACACATAAATCGTGCAAGGGGGGGGGGGGGAGTGAATTACAGCGAGTGGACGAAGGCAGCATGGCGAGGGGAACTGTGAGGTGAGATAAGCGGGCGCAGAAGCCGAGTAAAGGGAAGGAAAAAAGGACACACGAAAAAACCAACATAAATTAGAAGAGCGGGGGAGCCAGGTTTTGGAGACGGACGACCTCGCCTATGCCCCGCCGCCGACAACGATGGCATCAGCGCCTCCGACCCCGCTCACCACGCCCTCCACCTCCCCATCCCCATCCCCATCCCCACCACCCTCCCCGCCGACGAACACCACCCCCTCCCCTCCCCGCTCCCCCGCGCGCGCGCCCTCCACATACACGTTCCCCCAGTCCAATATCGACGGGTACCGCCACGCCCGCTCCCCGCCGCCCACATCCAACTCCACGCCCGCGCCCGCAAACGCCCCGCGCCGCGCGCCGCCCTTGCGCGCCCGCCCCGAGCCAGCGGCGGACCCGAGCCGCATGCCCTCCGGGCGCTTCAATATCGCGTCCGCAAGCGCCTCGCTGAGGCCGTACGTCCCGTCCTCGCTGTCCTCTGCGTCGTCGTCGTCGTCGTCCTCCTCATCATCATCCTCTGCGTCGTCCTCGTCCTCGTCCTCGTCTTCGTTCTCGTACATGTCGTCCTGGAAGTCTTCCTCGTCGTCGTATCCGGCCCCGGCCTCGTCCCCGGCTCCCCCCTCGCCAGACGCGCACCGCACACCCCCTTCCACCGCCTCGTTCGACCCCTCTTCCCGCCCATCGCGCGCATCGACACCCTCCAGCCCCCAGCCCGCTCCCGCCCCGTCGCCATTCCCGTCATCAAACCCCGCCCGCGCACGCCGCCGCCCCCGATCCTGCCTCTGCCTCGGCGCCTTCTTACCCCGCCCCCCCTCTCCCTCTCCCTCTCCCTCGGGGCTCCGCGACCCCGACCCCGACCCCGACCCCGAGCCTGAACCCGAAGACGCCTTGCGCGCGCCGCTCCTGCTCTTCAGCCCCGACGGCGGCGGCGGCGGCAACAGCGCCGCGAGCGGATGCGCCGGCCCGTATCCCTGCCCATAATACCCCTGCGCGCCGTACCCCTGCGCGCCGTACCCCTGCGCGCCGTACCCCTGCGCGTTAAAGCCCTGCGCGCTAAAGCCCTGCGCGGCATTATAGCCCGGTGCGTCGTAGCCCTGCCCGTACCCCGACCCGTAGGCCTGCCCATACCCCGGCGCCTGCTGCGCCCACGCGAAGCCGAGCGGCGGGCTCTGGACCTGCGCGTGTGCGTGCGCGTGTGCGTGCGCGTGCGCGTGCGCGGGGAGGGAGTAGGGATAGCCGGGCGGGTGTGCGTACGCGGCGCTCGTGGCGCTCGTGGGCGAGGGGAGCTGCGAGTGCGCGGGCGTGGGGAGGGGCGCGGGAGGTTGGGGCTGTGCGCGCGGGGGGGAGGACGGCGCGAGGGGCGAGAGCGGGGCAAAGGGGCTCGATGCCGCCGCTCCCGCACCCGCCGCCGCCGCGACGGGCGGTCCAGGCGGCGGGGTGGGCAGCGGGGTGGGCAGCGCGCCGTACAGCTGGAGCCCATGCGTGAGGTACTGTATATAGTTACACAGCTGCTCCAAAAGAACAGAGAGGGAAAAAAAAACGCGACGATATGAGCGAGCGAGCGATCGCGCGGGGGCGCCGAAGCGCACGCACCTCGGCTTCGCGCCGCCGCCACGCGCGCGCGTCCTCCGTGCCCTGCGCGCGCAGGCTGTCGCATGCGCGCGCGAGGGCCGCTTCGCGGGTCTTGGCGGCGCCGAGGGCGCCCTTGAGGGATGCGATTTGCGTTTGGGGGGATACGGGGTCCGGGGGGGGCCCGGTGGGGCTCGGGGAGCTGGGGGCGATCGGGGCGTTGAGGTTGAGGTCGGGGTTGGGGTTGAGGTGGGGGTTGAGGTGGGGGTTGAGGTGGGGGTTGAGGTGGGGGTTGGGGTTGGGAGGGGGATTGGGAGGGGGCGCGTGTGAGAGGCGCGGGGGCGGGGTGGGCTTGGGAGCGGCGGGCGACGACTCTGGTGCGGGCTTTAGCGTGGGCGGGGGGTCGCGGTAGTGCGGCGCCTGGCCGTCCCAGTCCCACGCCGCGGCGGGCGAGTGCGAGTGCGAGTGTGAGTGTGAGTGTGAGTGCGCGGGCGGGGAGATGTCGATCCAGGAGGCGTCGGGCGGGGCATCGGACGGGGGGGTCGGTGCCTGTGTCGGTGTCGGTGCCTGTGTCGGTGTCGGTGTCGGTGTCTGGGCCGGTGCTAGTGTTGACGCCGAAGTCGATGTCGATGTCGATGTCGATGCCGAGTTCGATGCCGAGATCGAGTTCGAGTTCGAGAGCGGGGGGACCGGGCTCGCGTCGGGCGCGGGAGAAGCGAGCGCGCGAGCGCGCTGATCGGGGGGCCCGTGCGGCGACGAGGGCGGGCGCGGCGTGCCGTCTCGGTCGTCGCGGCTCGCGGACCTGCTGCTGCTGCTGCTGCTCCGCCCCCCACCGCACGCGGCGTGCTCCACCGCCTCGCCCTCGCCCTCGCCCTCGCCCTCGCCCTCGCCCTCGCCCTCGCCCTCGCCCTCATCTGCAGCACCCGCACCCGTACCCGCGCCCGGCCGCATATCCTGGCGCAGCAAGTCCTTGAGCGCGACCCGCTTCCCGCCCGCGCCCCTAGGCACGACGGCGCCGCGCACGGCGTCCCTGAGCGGGTCCTTCCCGCGGCGCCTGCGTTCCTTCGAGCGCGAGTTCTTGAGCGCGGCAGCTGCGCCGCCGCCGGCGCCGTCTGCTCCGGGCTTGTTCTTGTTCTTGTTCTTGTTCTTTCTGTTGGTGGTGGCGGTGTGGTTGTTGGTGTTGGTGGCGGGGGTATCGGTGTTGGCGTTGGCGTTGGTGGTGGTGGTGGTGGGGGAGCGCAGGCGGACGAGGCTGAGGGCCGCGAGCGCGGAGCGCAGGAACGACGAGCGCGCGCGCGCACCGGCAGCACCTCCATCGTGGGCAGGGGCCGCGCGGCCGCCGCCGTCGCCGTCGTCGTCGTCGCGGACCGCGAACGCGTCGAGAAGGCGGCGGCGCTGGGCGCGCCAGAGGAGCACGGTGCTGGTGGCGAGGGTGAGGGCGGCGATGGTGGTGAGCAGCGCGCTGGGGTCGGAGTCGCGCGGGAGGGGGGCCCACCAGGCGGGGCGTGGGGCACGTGGGCCTCCTGGGGCAGTGACGGAGACGGCGGCGGGGGGGTGGGGGAGGTCGGGCATGATGGGAGGGCCCTGGGAGGGGTGGGGTGGGGTGGAGGGGTGGGGTGGAGGGGTGGGGTGGAGGGGTGGGATGAGAGAGAGAGGAGAGAGAGAGGAGAGGAGAGAGAGGAGAGAGAGGGAAAGGGGTGTGTGGGAGCGAACGGGTGGGATGGGATGGGATGGGATGGGCCGGGTCAGGCGGAGGGAAAGGAGAGGGAGAGGCTGAGCCGGGCAGCAGGCGAGCGCCAGCAGAGCGTGCGTCCACTCGACGGCCGCTGCCCACCGACCCCGCCGTGCTGCCGTGCCTGGTGCCTCGCAACCTTGTCTCGGATGCGGACATGGACCGCAGCTGCATCATCCGACGTCACCCCGCGCCGAACAATCCCCCAGCGTGCGTGCGTGCGTGCGTGCGTGCAAACATACGTATAGGTCGCATCCAGCCTCGCCCGTCCCCTCTCCTACAGTACTCCTACGGTAGTGAGCTACAGTACTCTACCCGCCCAGCTCACACAGAGCCCACCGGACCCGCCACCCGGCTCGACGAAGCACCGACGCACATGCACCGACGCACATGCCCCTCGCACCACCACCCACCCACCCAAAAACAGCCCACGCAGGCCACACAAGACCACCCCCTCGTCCGTCCGTCCGTCCGTCCGTCCGTATTATCCGCGCACGGCTTCGAAAGTACAAAGCCCAGCCAGCACGACGCCCCGCGCGCGCGCACAGCCCGCTTCTCGAAGAAGAGACCCCACAGCCCTCCGCGCGCCCGTGCCTCTCCTTCTCCCCCGTCCCGTCCCCGTCCCCGTCCCCGTCCTTCGACATACGTTCTCGCGCGCCGCGCCGCGCCGCTCCCGACCGCGCACGAGTCCCCATGACCCGCGCGTGCTCGGGCGACCTATTTATCGCACACGCCTCGAACGAGCGAGCGCGGCGCCGATGCCAGCACGAGCACGCGGCCCTCGCGCGCGCACGAGCACGGGCCACGCTTCCAGCCCCCAGGAGTCCAGAACCGCGATAATAAAAGACGGTAATAGACGTCCTCCCCGTCTCTGTCGCCCTCCACCACCACGCGCGCGTCCAGACCGTACACAGTACGTACGCGCATCTCGTGCGCTCGTAGACCCAGACCCAGACCTAGACTTAGACCCAGATATATATACATACATATACATACATATGCGTATACATACGCAGCGACTCCGCGTGCCGTACCCACGTCCCGCGGCGACGGGTTCTGCGAGCCAGGTCGCATGAGTCGCATCGAGTCGCATGAGTCGCACCGAGTAAGAGCAAGCCATCGTTGGACGGACAAACCGGTCGAGCGCGAGCGCGAGCCGTCTGCCGCACGCACGACGGGGGCCCGCACGACGGGGGCCCGTTGCGGCGGGCGACGCGCGCGCGAGCTGGTGTGGCGTTCTCGGTTGGTTGGTGGGTGGGTGGGTGGGTTGGTTGGTGGGTGGGTTGGTTAAATGGTTGGTGGGTCGGTCGGTCGAGGTGGGCCCACGGGCCGGCGTACTATGCGTCTCATGCATCGCGCGCAGGTCGGGGTGGCGCTGGTGAGGACGTCGGGGGCGGCGAGAGCAAGAGTGCTAGGAGCGTCGAGTGCGCTGAGTACGTCGAGTACGTCGAGAGCTTCAAGGGTGCTAAGAGCGTCAAAAGCGCCAAGCGCGTCGAATACTAAGAGCACCGCGTGCGGCGAGAGCGTCGAGTGTGTCGAGAGCTTCAAGCGTGCTAAGAGCGTCAAAAGCGCCAAGCGCGTCGAGTACTAAGAGCACCGCGTGCGTCGAGAGCGTCGAGAGCGCCGAGAGCAAGAGCGCCGAGAGCACCGAATGCGCCGCGTGCATCGACGACGCCGCCGAAACGGACGCGGGCGTATCGGTGTGTCGTCGCATCGTCGTGCCGCGCCTGCGAAACGCTGGAGCCTGTTGAGCTCTGCGTGTGCGTTGCACGCAGGAGGGTACGATAGAGTGCGACGGAGGGCGGGAGGGTGCGGGGCGGGCGGGCGCGGTACGGTGCTATAGAGTGCGGGGATGCTGCGGTACGGTGCTGCGGTGGTATGCGCGCGAGCGAAGACCGGAACCGCAGCCGGCCGTGGCCTCACGCGGCGCTCTCGAGGCGCGCGCCGACGACGAAGTGGCCGGTGGCCGGTGGCCGGTGACTGGTGGGCCCAGGTGCACCCGTACCGCCCACCCGTTTGCCACGCACCCGTAGTACCGCCCACCCGTAGTACCGCCCACCCGTCCGCGCGCGTCGCCCACCGCCCACGCAAGCGCCCAATGCCAGCGCGCGGGTTGACGAGCCGGATGCGCGCGCGAGGAGGCGCAGTGGGAGGGATCCCGCGCGCCGGGTCGGCGTGGGACCTCTCTCTGCCTCTCTCCCCTCCCTGCCTCTTTCTGCGCGCGCGGGCGCGGGCGTGGGCGTGGGCGCGGGGCCGGGTGTCGGCGATCGTCGTCGCCGTCGTCGCCGTCATCGCCATCGTCGCCATCGTCGTCGTCGTATCGCGGCGCCTCGGATCCCGAGCGAGCGTGCGCGGACACCGGATGCGCGCGCGGGGGCTGGGAGAGATCCTGCGCGCCGGGTCTGCGTGGGAGCTCCCGCTGCGTGGGCGCGCGGCCGGGTGTCGGCGATCGTCATCGCCATCGTCGCCGCATCGCGGCGCACGAGGTCCCGAGCGAGCGCGTCGCTCCCGAGGGCGTGCGAGAGCACCCGAGCGCATCCGGGAGCGTGCAAGAAGCGTGCGAGAAGCGTCTACGTTCCGAGCCTCCGTGCGCAGAGGAGCACAAAAAGCCAGCCGCGCCGCCTGTGTGCGCGAGGCGGTCCTGTGGGCTCCGCTCCGCGGCGCCTTGGTCCTTGGTGCTTGGGTCTGACCCGCGCGTTCGATGCTGGGCGCTCAGGCCTCGTCGAGTCGCTCACGCGTGCGGACGGGTGCGAGACGGTCGCGGGGAGGGGCGGGTGGTGCTGTGCGGGCGCGTGTTCCGGTGAGGGCTGGAGCGGAGGGATGGGTGAGATGGCTTGCGGAGGGGTGAGCTGGAGGGCGGGTTGGCTCCGACGGATGGACGAGGTGACGGACGGACCAACGCGGAGGGGCGATGCGCAGACGCGCGGGGTAGAAATAGTCTCATTCATGGGGATGCGAGCACTCGTCGCGCAGGCGCTGTCTCGCCTGATACATAAAGCATGATGTGATTGCGAGTTTGCGGGTGCGGACGAGCGGTGCCGTCGAGTATGGCATAGCGTGAAGAGAGCGCCTGTCAGCGCATCGGGGGACGCAGGGGATGGGCGGTCCGGTGATGGCTGGGCGGGCGCTTTGGGGGTGATGGACGCGGGAGCGTGAGCGCGAGTGTGGGCGTTGGCGGGCGCGCTCGAGATCGGCGGAGACGCGCGGGTGATGGGCAGGCCCGCGCGGACGATTGAGATTGGACGGGACGGACAGGGTGGGAGGGCAGGTAGACAGGGGACGCGGTGCGTAGATCATGATGTGGGCCGCGAGGGGATGAGGGCATGGTATCCAACGGCGGCTCGGGACTTCGCTCCTGGGACACATTGTGAATCCGTCGGATGCAGGGCGTGTGGTACAGAGAGAATGGGGCGCTGGGTGGGGGATGTGTAAGAGACGGAGGGAAGATCGCGAGGAGGTGGAGGATCGAGGAGAGTCACATGGCCGAGGACGTGGGCGTCGTCAGTCAGTCAGCGCTCCCGTTGTCCTCAACCTCCTCTCCCCTCCCCACCACAATGTCCTGGAAGCTCGGTTCTTCAAAGAGTGCGCGCAACCCTACCGTTCACAGACCCGCTCTCACCGTCGTCTTCGTCCACAGAAAACAAGGAGCCCAAGCCCGAGCTCGGCGTCTCCTCTCGCTCCGTCACCCCCATCCCCCCGCCGTCCCGCTCGACCACACCCATGCCGCCCCCAGCCATCGACGCCCAGTCCACATTCCGCTCCGGCCTCCTCACCATCCGCATCTTCTCAGGTCAGTCCCCGTCCGCCCGTCCCTCGTCCCCGCCCTTCCACCCCCGCTCACAAAGCACCTGCTGCGCCCCTATCGCCCCGCACCCGCACTCGCCCTCTCCCTGTCCTCCCCCCCCCCCTCGCCCCCCCCCACCCACGACACTCTCGATGGCACGCTACACCCCGCGCGCTCACACGCCCAGGCCGCGGCCTCGCCCTCGCGCCCGGCGTCCACATCCCCGAGATCATACAGAAGGCCCTCGACGGCGCCCCCGCCCCGCGCACCTCCACCGGCAGCCACCGCGAGAGCATGCAGCGCCGCCGCTACTGGTGGCTCCCCTACGTCGTCCTCGAGTTTGACAAGAACGAGATCCTCATCGATGCCCTCGGCGGCGATCTCACCAATCCGATATGGAACTACCGCGCGAACTTGTGAGCCTTGTCCTCTCGCTTTCCTTCGCTCTTTTGCTTTCTGTTCCGTCGGCGTGCGTGGGCGGGACGGGGCTGCGGTGGGTGGAGCGGGAGAGCGGCGAGGGTGGAGGCTGCTGCAAGCGACGTGTTCGAGCTCGTGATCATTGTGATGATGGGGTTGGCCCTCGTCGCCGCCCTCGCCCGCCTCTTCGAAGCTCTATCATTCCCCGTCGGATTGTCGATCTACATCGTACTAACGCGCGCGCGCTCGTGCCTTCCAGCGATGTCTCGCGCACGTCCACGATCTCCGTCTCGGCCTACCTGCGCACGGCGCAGTGCGTCCAGGGACAGGACGACATGGGCAATGACCTCCTCATGGCGCGCGTCGACCTGACGCCCGTCCTCGACGCCCAAGTAAGTCCACCGCTCCTCGCTCCCCTCCCCCCCCGTCCCCCATCCTCACGCCTCACGCCCCCCCTCACGCCCCGCAGCACGTCTCCGACCAATGGTACACCTCCACGACCAACTCCGGCTCCTTCCACCTCACGATCGCCTTCAAGCCCTCGCGCAACGAGCCGCTCACGATCGAGGCCTTCGACCTGCTCAAGGTCATCGGCAAGGGCTCCTTCGGCAAGGTCATGCAGGTCCGCAAGAAGGACACCCAGCGCGTGTACGCCCTCAAGACGATCCGCAAGGCGAACATCGCCTCGCGCCCGGGCGAGATCACGCACATCCTCGCGGAGCGCACCGTGCTCGCGCTCGTGAACAACCCGTTCATCGTCCCCCTCAAGTTCTCGTTCCAGAACCCGGACAAGCTCTACCTCGTCATGTCCTTCGGTGAGCCGCCCGTCCGCCGCGCGCGTCTGCGTCTTTCTGTATTCTGGGCGCTGATGGTCGACGCAGTGAACGGCGGAGAGCTGTTCTATCACCTCCAGCGCGAGGGCAAGTTCGACGAGTACAGGAGCAGGTTCTACGCCGCCGAGCTCCTCTGCGCGCTCGAGCACCTGCACATGTTCAACGTCGTCTACCGGTGCGTCCCGTCCCGCCTCCGTCCCGCCCCCCGTCCTCGTCCTCGCCCTCACTCTCAGCGATCGCATATAACGTCGATCCTGACTCTTGACTCTCGCCCGGCGACGTCGAACGCACCTTGCCCGCCCGCAGCGATTTGAAACCGGAGAATATTTTGCTCGATTATACGGGCCACATCGCGCTGTGCGATTTTGGGCTCTGCAAGCTCAACATGTCGGAGACGGAGAAGACGAACAGTGCGTCCACCTCTCTCCCCTCTCTCACCTCTCACCCCCTCTCCTCTCTCTCGTTCTCTATCACCCTCCCTCACACCCCTCTCCTCTGCTTTCTCGCGTGCCATCGCCTCGTGCGCCGCGGCTCGCACGGAATCACGATCGCTCACCCGTGTTTTGTGTGTTCGTTCAGCGTTTTGCGGGACGCCGGAGTACATTGCGCCGGAGCTGCTTGAGTCGCAGGGATACACGAAGACGGTGGACTGGTGGACGCTCGGCGTGCTTCTATACGAAATGATGGTGCGCCTCTCCCTCTCCCTCTCCCTCTCCCTCTCCCCTCCCTACCCCTCTCCCTCTTCCCTCCCTACCCCTCCCGACCTCCCGCCCGCACCCGCTCTCCCTGATCCCACCGCTGATCACCCCCCGTATGCAGACCGGCCTCCCCCCGTTCTACGACGAGAACGTGAACGTGATGTACCAGCGCATCCTGCAGGACCCGCTCCTCTTCCCGCCCGACATGCCGCCCGAGGCGCAGAGCGTGATCGCCGCGCTCCTCCAGCGCGACCCCGCGAAGCGCCTCGGCGCGAACGGTGGCGAGGAGATCAAGCGCCACCCATTCTTCGCGCGGCACGTGGATTGGCACCGGTGCGTCGTGTTTTGGCTTTGGCGTTCACGTGGCGTTGTGCTGACCGGCGCGAACAGGCTGCTGCAGAAGAAGATCCAGCCGCCTTTCAAGCCCAGCGTGGTGCGTAGCCTCCGCCTCTTTCTCCCTGTCCACACAGTGCTGACCTTCCCTCCCCCCTTTTTCATTTGATTATTATTCAATTATCTCGCCCGCGCCCGCGATCTCTGCCCCGCTCCGGACATGCAGGAATCCGTGCTCGACGTCGCGAACTTCGACCAGGAGTTCACGAGCGAGGCCGCGCAGGACTCGGTCGTGCAGGACTCGCGCCTGTCGGAGACTGTGCAGGACCAGTTCCGCGGGTTCACGTATAACCCCGCGGACGAGCACCTGAGCGAGAGCGTCACGTATAACAGCGCGATGGCGTGAGCGCGCCGACCGCATGGAGTGGTCCGTCCGTCTGTTGTGGTCTGGACGCTGTTCGTTTTTTTTGTGCTTTGTTCGTGGTTCGCCTCGGCCCGGCCCGTACGCGCGCTCTCGCGCCCGCTTCTGTTTGTTTGTTTGTTCGTATATCCGTCCGCCGTCGTGGATAGGCATACTTTTCTTGGTTCTCTGCTATTTATTGTTCGCTCGCTCGTGCCCGTCCGTCTGCGTCGTCTGTCCGTCTGTCCGTCCTCGCTCCTCCCGATCCCGTGCCTTACTTATTCTCGCTTCTCGCTTCTCTTCTCGCTTCTTGTACACACGTCGTCCGTCCTCGTCCTCGCCCTCATTCTCGTCTTCGCTTTCATCTCCTTTCCCTCTCTTTCTCTCTTTCTCGCCTATACATCGTCGCACGCACGTACATACATACGCACGCGGACTTGTTTTTTTCGCACACACCCTGGGCGCCCCACAGGCGGGCGAAGCGCGAGATGCATCTGGTCGAGCCACGTTAACTGCTACAGTACGTTACGTCGGATGCCGCCTCTTCCGCATCCCCGTCCATCGAGTCCGTTTCGCCCGCGCGAGGCGCATGTACATACACACGTACGCGGTTTTCGCTCTTGCGCGCGCGCACTGCGCATGCGTGGCATGTCTGCGCGATGATGCGGTGATGCTCTGTGTGGCGACCCTGCATCAGCCCGATGCTGCTCGCCACTCACTCATGCGCCGCACGTCGGTCCGTACGTCGAGGGGCTCGCGCCGGTGGTGTGACTGGAGCGCGCCCAACCACTACGCAAGTGTCTAGGCGCTTGGGCCTTATGCCTGAGGTCGCACGCGGACGCCTTTCCGCAGGATATGATGTGGAAAATCCTAAGATCTACAGTTCGCGGCTGGCTGGTGTGATTTGCAAGAACTCCATGCTCTTCCGCCGGCTGTCAGATTTGTGTCGCCCCTTACCGACCTCCGCCTCGAAAGAAGGCGTCTGCACTCGGTAATTCTGGAGCTGCCCAAATGCGACACGAACGGGAAGGGAGCCCGGTAGATTTGAGCCTGATATTGAAACATGCAAGAAAACAATGGATAGATAAAAGGCACTTTGACGTCCCCAGCAGCTCCCGATCGCTCTCAGGATCGTCACAGGTCTCGAAACAACAGCCTATCATTGCACGCGTACGCTCAAAGTCACATATCTCGCAATACAATAATCGTATCAAGCGCTGGCCTTGGACGCCCCCCACGCGACTTTCTTTTGGGCCTGGGCAGGTTTTGCGGCCTTCGCGGCGTCGGCCTCTTGCACGCCGTTTTGGGCGGCGGGCGCCTTGGGCGCGATCGGTAGCGGGCTGTTGCGCAGGCCGTCGAGGACGCGCTGGGCGTGCTCGGTGTTGCGGATGAACCAGCCTGCGAAGCGGCGGCCTACGGTGGACTCGCATATGTGCACCATGTTCTGTGAGTTCGTGTGGTCAGCGACTGGCCGCAGAAGGAGAAGCATGCGGGGAGTGGGTACCTCGTTGATGACAAAGTCAAGATCGCTCGTGGAGATCATTTGGCCCTCGAGCAGACCCTTCTCGTTGCCGACGCGGCTGACGCACCGGCTGGCAGCCTTGACGGCCATCATCTGCTGCACCATCTCCTCCTCGTCGGCGTCGAGGAAGCCTGCGAGCTTGCTCGCGTCGAGCGACGTGTAGAGCTTGAGGAAGCTGCGCAGCGTCGGGACAGCCGCCTGCGCGCGCACGTCGGCGAGGAAGAGCGCGATATGTCGCTGCTGCGGCTCGACTGGGGCCGACTCGACGTACGCTGCGAGCTGGCTTGGGTCTTCGTATGGGGGCGCGTTGGCGGAGATGAACTTGGGGCAGGCGTGGCTGAAGAGTTCTTCAAAGGCGGGGATGCCCTCCTCGCTGTGTGAGTTGTTAGAAGACAGTTCACATGCGTGCCAAGACGAAGCGAGACTAACCCCCGGGACATTTTTGTGAATTGATCGCCGTAGCGGTCCTTGACGATGTTGGCGATGTTGTCGTCAAGACGGCTGGGCGAGAGCGCGTTGCAGATCGCAAAAAGCGCATACATCCGGTCGACAGTCTTGTTGATCTGCGATGAAGCTTGATTAGGACTGGCTCATACTGGAAGACATGTAAAGCCGAATACCTGATCGTACTGGTAGCTTCGTGTGTGGTATTGTCTCATCCGAAGGATGAAGTTCAGAATAGAGACGAACGTGCGGATGGCGTCGGGGTACCGCCGCAGCATGATGTAGCAGAAACCAACATAGTAGTATGTGGTGACATGGCAAGCTGTCACGCGAGTGAATGGCGTCTAACCAAGGCTCAGCTAATGGGGATATTGCAAAGAGGACACAGCACACCTTTTGGTTGAGCTCGACATTCTCCGCCACCTTCAAAGCTAAGGTGAAGTCGCCGAGAAGGACATGAACGCGTAGTAGACCGATCAAGCTGAAGAAACCGAGCATGCGATATAACGGGCGAACGCCGTATTCGCCGACGATCTCACTACAGACATAGTGGTGTTGAGCGAATCAGAGACCTTGAAATCAAAACAGCACGCACGCAAGCTCTTCCTCGGTTTTGCCTTGCTGCTGCGCGACGATGTACTCATTGATTTTGGATTTTTGGATGAGCGAGTACAGCACGTTCAAGACGCTGTATGCACTCCAAACCTGCGCGCGATGAGGTCAAAAGAACACCGGCACAACGAATCAAGCATACCTGGCCGCCATCTGCCAACATCAGGAGTTCTTCGTCGCTCTTCGTTTTGACCTTCGCCGTCCATACACAAAACGACTGAAACTGATAAATGAACTCGTCAACAATGTCCCATAGCCATTGCTCTGGCAACTCGAGTGTGACAGGGCCGTCGGAGTCTGCACATGATTGATTAGCGGTCGTCAAATGGCTGAAGGGCAAAAGACCTACTAAGGAGGTAATTGAAAAGTTCACAGCTATTCTCGTACGAGTGGAAGCGATCGTCGATATTTGGCTGAAGGCGTGAATAAACGTGGCGGTAGTAGAGTTCGCGGTAGAGGATGAGGAAGAGCTGATCTAGCTTCATTTGTCGACATCCTATTCCGGCGGTTCAGGAAGTGAAGCGACGTACCATCATTGACGAGCGGTGCAATAACCTCTGCCTCCGGCCACTCTGTCTTAGCATAGTATTTCTCTGTCAAACGATTCCACCCGCTGTCGTAGGCAACCGTGATTTCAGCCAAATTGTTCTCGAGCACGGCTTGATGGAAATGCACAATAAACTGTATGAGTGATGTTCAGATGTGTGATCATATTGGGAGCTGCCTGTACGCGGAACTTCATCCAAAGAAAACAAACGCAAAAAGGCGTTGCACCTTTTGCCCGGTCAAGATGTATCTTACGAAGAGACAGAATACAGATGGAATGTGATGGAAACGACATATGCTCCCGGTATCAGACGCTGTCTTCGGGGATGGGCTTGGTGTATAGACATAAAATTAGACTCACTCGCTTAACCACATCGGGAATCTGAGCAAAGGCAGCTTGTTGAGCCATCTGCTGCTGTACAGCTAAGAGCGCGACTTCATTGATGCGCGACTGAGCTATTGAAGGATTCCAAATTGATGGACGAGAAGGAGGACAGTAACCTGTGAGACGCACCATCGTCGTAGGATCCACTCTGTCCATAGTTTCCAATCGCAAGATTGACATCGACATCATGTAACTCTTCATTTATCTCCTCAGCTGCCCAGAGAGCCATTCGTTGCTGAGCCATGGTGGAGCCGGCGAGGATGATAGAACGAAAGTTTTCCGTTCAAGTGGGACGGTGAGGGACACAAGTAAGGTAGTACCGATTTGTAGACCAGCTTCGAATCGAGCGTAGAGTTCTTTCGAGGCTCTAAGAGCGGCCTTCTAAAAGTCTTCAGCTCTCCTTTGCGGCAACTCGGCACGGGATCGGAGCCTGAAAGCTTCAAGTGCTCTGAGCTGCTCTGAGGCTCAAGAAGAGCTGCTTTCGCCAATACTTCTAAAACCCTCTCTCGCACACTTCCGTTTGCTATATCGCAGCCCTGGGGTTCTTAGCTTACCTTCCGCCATAGATGCGATCCCTGCGAACCTTTTCAACAACAAGATTCACGAGCAAGCAACCATTGTTTCGGCCATATGTCGCCCCCTTGAACCAGGAGCAGAAGAAAGCTCTGAGGAAAAAGATCCTGAAGACCATGCCAAATTTTCACAATGGTTTGAAAAGAGATGCTCAGTGGCTCTTGAATGTGTGCATGCCCTGTTCTCGCGTCGCCCACTCTTCACTGACACGCTTTGCCGTCATCAGACTTTCGCTATCTCCGTGCAGAGGTCACACGAACGCGAGCAAATTCATGAGAAGATTCGAAACATCATTCGATCTTCCGCTGGAGATGACTATGACGTAGAGGATATTAGCATGCGAAACTACGCTATCGACGTTGAGCCGGCACCTCTGGAGTTGGTCATAGTAGTGAGCACATCTTCTTACCCTCACGACTCGTCTCGCTACAGTGAAATCAAAGGTTTGTATATCAACTCAATGATTGACGTGCTCCCTACAGGACAAAAAACATCCTAAGGGTCTCCCTCCAGGAACTGACTTTGCGCAGCTTCCAGTCGTGTACAAACCAAGGTAGTTGTTTTTAGACTGCGTGTCATCTGTAACCTGATCTCTCTTGGTATAGTCAATTGTCACAATTACTCATTACACACGGGCTCGATGGCGGGTTCAGACCGCAAGGCGTAGATCGTCGCCAGCGCGTTCGCATGGTGGACGGCCGACCACATTATGTATCGGAGGAATTTGATCGATGGCCCGAATACCAGTCTTTCGAGCGTGGTTTTTTATACCCTACAATACTGCACGGCCAAAGTCCTGCAGAGTTTAAACTCACGCTGCCTGGCCCGACGATCAGGCCTACACTGAGGTTGCTAGATGCTTATGGCAAAATGAGCCCGTATATCTTCAACACGATCAGCCTCCTTTACATTTGGATACGGTCATGGGGAGTGCATGACTTCCCCCCAATCGTATTGGCAATGATGTTTGTCAAGTTTCTGCAGGTTCGTATACGCCTCTGTCTCGGTCGATACATGGCATTTACGACCGTCGACAGGAGTCTTACATGTTTCCCAACCTCAGTCCGACTGAAAAAAGCCCTGATTCGCAGGGGGGCTCTCCTGGCTTGGCCGAAAATATTGCCTGGATGCCATATCATGACTATGATCAGGAGCGCGGCAGCGTTCTGTTAAAATCCTTGCCCATCGATTTATCCCTTGATCCGAAGATCTACTTCAAATTTGACAGAAGGTCTGGTATTGTGATGCATGATTTTTTCAAGTAAGCTCGTGATTCCAATGTTAGGTTTTCTCAGCCGGCTAACTTCTTTTGCATAGATGGTTTGTTGAAAAGAAATTTCATGGTGCAAAGGAGCGACATATTTTATCTATCCATACACCCAACACGCTTGAACCCGTTCGACGAGATATCTATGCTTGGAAAAATGACCAGAGCGTTGTTCAGGATCCGTTCGTCCCCACTTACGTGAGTCTTCTAACTTCCTCTCATTTTACTCATGTTATATTAACCTTTACTTGGACTTCCCTCGGCGAGATAGAACCACGCCTACACCGTCTCTCGTTCCGCATTATATTGTCTCTCCTCCATTGCGCTGTCCGCTATCACTGCCCTATCTAAGTCGAAATCATTAGGAAGCATATATGGACTCCACATCACTCCACCACGACTTGAGGCATACTGGCAGGAACGCTACATCGACAAAGACGTGATCTTTAGATCGCCACACGTGTACAAATTTCCACAAGAACCTCCCAAGCACAGGTCATACCACACCAGTGCGCGTCTCCGAAAGGATATCCGACGTACTCCCCAGGTAAGCTAATCATTTTTATCACCTCATAATAGACAATAGCATGTCTTGGATATCGTTTCTTTCGAAAAAAATTGGATCTATCGTCCCTGAGAACTTGTGACTTCTGCAGGTACCTGTCTCACCAACGCGTGTTGGGGCTTTTCGCTCAAGGACACTTGAGAAAGTGACAAATCTCATTAAGGCGCGGTATGGTGTTAAATATTCCGTCGAGTGCTTTGGTAGTACGCAGTATGGCGTAGATTCGCCGAGCAGCGATCTCGACCTGGTAATTATCGTGAGCACGATCCTGCGCTGTCCAATATACAGTCTTCATAACTTTGATTCCTGTTCTTAGGATCCCAACAGGCGTAACGGTTTGAGCCCGAACGTCAAACTGAAGGCACTTCCGGGTAACTATCTCTATATTTGTTGGCAAGTTGAAGTCTGATAGCAATCTGCACAGCCATTTATAGCATAAAGTAAGTAGTCGAGATTTCTAGAATCAACGTTTTCTTGAACCTGTCGCTGCGTTTAGTCACCTTGAGAAAAGTCTCCGCCAGGCTGGCTTTCAAATAGTCCTTAAGATTCCTAAAGCGACCGTGCCTATCAGTATGCCGCTATACTACCGCGACTGGTGGCTGTCTAATCTCTGATTTGGGGCAGTCAGATTCCGCGATCCACTGACTGGCATCACTTGTGATATTAACGTCAATGATCGACTTGGTATCGCGAATACAGAGCTTATCAAGCGTTATTGCGACCTTCTTCCTGTCCTTCGCGAAGTCATCATGACCATAAAGGTGTGGGCGAAAGAGTATGGATATAACAATACAGGCGTTCAGGGCGGCATGGTCACCTTCAGCAGCTATGCGCTGACGCTGATGTCGATCGGACTATTTCAAGTGAGTGGACTCAATTCGGGAGATTGAAACGTGCTTATATAGTTGGTAACAGGCTCGTGGCTTTCTTCCTAATCTGCAGAATGTCTCCAAGTCCGACCCAAACTCACACACGGACTTCTTCTGGCTGAAACAGAAGAGCGGAGGGAGCACGCAATGCGACATTCGATGGAAGGAATGCGTTGGCTGGAAGCCTCCACGAGATTTGAGTGTGAATGAAGCCATCATGGATTGGTTCCGGTACGTGATTGGTCTTGATATGCGCCGATAGCTGGCTGAAGTTTGTTTTTCGATACTTCGACAGCTACTGGGGGCGCGACCATCGGTACGAAACGGATGTTATGAGCATTCGACATGGAGGGTTGATTCCAAGACAAGAGCCCTTTCAGAAATCTGGCAACAAGTTAACACTTCCTCGCGGTGCAGACTCCTGTGATCTTGTTCGGGGTGGAGATCCGGCGGAGACAAAGATCACGGCGGAATTTGCGATTACGGAGAGAGCTAAAATTACGGCAGAAACGGAAGGTATGTCTTATCCTATCCCAATTCAACGACAAGGGTTGATGAACAGGTCCCTCTTGGACAGACCTCGAGCCTGTTGTAGAGCGCGATGAAGTTGGATTTGGGTTGCGAAGCCCAGAGGCCGCGGAAGATGCTTCTAGACAGCTGTTTGAGGAGACCCATTCGCAGAAGCTCGCCCCCGAAGAATTTGTCGCACAAGGTATTCCTGTCGATGCTGACCAGCAGCCATCCTTATGGGCCCGACAACCATTGTGCGTTGCCGATCCGTTCATTCTGACAAAGGTATGTATGTGATTGTTTCGATGTTCTTCTGTCAAATTGAAGGTAGTATGTAGAACGTGGCAGGGGCGGTTGGTCATAAGGCCATCGAACAGTTTCGGGATGATTGCATGCGCGCTTACATCTTGCTAGGCTCGGAACGGGCTCGCAAGGAATCCAAAGGGAAGGATGGGGATCAAGGAAAACCCAAGGGAGAACCCCAAACCCAGCAGAGTCGCGCTCAGGGGCGCGATATTAAAGGTGCTGCTGCTGAAATTCAAAGCCTCTCTCAAGCACCGAAAAGATCAAGACGAAGGTCATTTGCCAACGATTGATGACGCTGACCGCTTGTCTGTCACCTGTACCCACTTTCGCGCCTTGGCTCCTCGCGATATAGTAGTCCACCTCGCCTTTACGCAGGAGAGCATATCACCCCGTCTCGGCTAGGCAGAGGGTCAAGAACTGTTTATAGTGACACAGATAGTCAAGCGATGCGTGTACCATAATTTTATAATCATCTATAAGACTAATAAACAGCTTGAAAATACGATTCTCCTCGGATTTCAAGGCATCTGGAAGGACCAGACATGTTGAGCAGGGAGTGTGTCGTGTTGGTCGCCCGATGGCGGCGACACTCAAAAGACGCTCGAGATGACCGACGTTCGACAGTCCTGGTCAAATCGTATGCACGTGATATGAAACCTGACAGCTACTACAGGCATCAATAAGACTTTGGGCTGACCTAAGTTAAATGTCGCTTGGAAAATAGCTTAATACACTATCACATTTTTTTTGCATGCAATTGAAGCTTGAAACGATGATCTCAGAACATTTTGAGGCCAGGAGCAAAGGATCAGTGCGTAAAGCTGTTATCAGCTCGGTTATGTGGCTTTAGGCTGTGACTGCTTCACGCCAGCAATTGCCATATCTAATCTACATCAGATTCATCCTCTCTATCATGATCCTCTGCTTGTGAGACTGCTGCTGTCGGGTGCAGCATCAGTCCAATCTCACTTACCCAGTACGGTGGCGCTACTTTTGTGTGACGCGTGATGGCCCATTTGGGACAGCCCATAATTAGCCAAAGTAGCCGAAAACACAAGAAATAATCTAGTGCACAGTATCACTCGTGATTCACTCCTTGGGAGGTTACTAGCTTGAAGCCTTTATGTGTTATGTTCAGAAAAGACACTTTGTTGGCTCAAAAGTACTGCATATCTGTTGTGTTTTGGTTGACAATTCTAAAATTCTGGACATTGACACAATGATTGGGACCTTCAAACGTATTCACAACACGATGGTCTTCTAAATTAATATATATGATACCCAACATGTACAGGAACACATATGCAAAAAATTCGAGGGAATTGATTCAGTAGGTGTGATGCAAAGTGTGTTTAGCCCTAAGTCTCATAGTAGCCCAAAGTCTCATTGATGCCTATACATGTGCAGATATGTGTGCATTAATCGGTAGACATCTGCCTAGTCTTTCTGTGGCAAAATCCGATGCTGAGCGCTGAGCATGAGTATCCTCTAAGCATACCTTTACTGAGAAGCATCAGTCATTATATGGACAACTACCCATTTTTATGTAAATAGATCTTTTCCGACTTCTCTGACATGGTCTCGCTTCAACACTCTCATTATCATCACATATCATAGTTTCGTATCAGCAGCACATCCTTGCAGTGTCATGCACAACGGTGGACCTTACTCTCGATTAGCTTCTCATTTACTCATCTGCTATCTCCTTTGAATCACCTTCGCAAGCGTCGCCCTGCCACTCTACTGCCATTACAACCAACGGTCGTTGCCCCAAGCAACCCAGCATCCTCATCGAAGCCAACCCAAGATAATCCTACCACTGCTCAGAAAACAAAGGTATGTGTCCTATGTTTGCTCACATCTTGTCATAAGTTCACAGTATGTATTACCATCCAGTTGGATGACATCAATGCGATGATTCAGTCACCGAGTTTCCCCCATAACCACGAAGATGCGTACCAAGCTCTCGAGATTATCATCACCATGCGTATATGAGTGAGTTGCATCATAGCCTTGGGGATTTGGGCTACAGCATCGACGAAATTGTTTTTCGTAGAGATCATGGTGAAGAACATGCGAAAACCCACCATTTAACCTTCGAATTTCATTCAAGATGATGTCTCTAGCAGTTATGAGGTCTTCTTTGCCGGCTACTCATCTCATCTGTTTAGGATCCCCAGAAAAAAATAGAGGTGCCGAGAAACGTACATCGCATTTGTTCCTCGAATCTTGCCAATATGGTGTTTGCAACCGACAGCGTGACCGAGGATACCATTTTATCTTCTTGCTTGGTCAACCGATCTAGCTTCGCCATCGCGTCCTTCACGTCGTCAATGTCTTTCACGAGAGATTTGAAAAATCGTCCTGAGCATGAATACAGTGAAACTAGTCATCAATGTCCTCTGTGAGACTCAAGTACTCATGACTCACTAAACCGGATAAGCTTCGTCGCCAGACCGATGATCGACAATAGTTGTGCCAAAAATTTGATGATAATTTTTTTGACCGGATCGGTAATCTCGTGCTTGTTGTGAATCTCAAGACGAGAAAGATTCACTTCTGTGAAGAGCCAACCAGATGCAGGACGGGCTTCAATTTGTCCCTGAGACGTTTATACTTCTCTCGGAAATGAGTGAAGTTTCCCTGAATCTTCTGCAACAGATCATCCGGGGTGTCGCTCTCGCTGATATTGACTTTGAATCGCAATGTTCGTGTCTTGTTCGTAACGCTTCAGAGCAGACTTCCAAATTTCTACGCACTGGGGATCCGCCATGAGAGATAGTCTACAAAGAGGTGCGGGAGTTGAGGAAGGGTATGAGAGTGTTGGGGGGGAAGAGGAGAGCGCTCAAGAGAGATGAGCATGCGGCCTATGACAGGTGCAAACCAAGATACGCCGTATTAGGGGCTGTGCGCTATCGTCGCAGTAAACGCGATGAGGAGATATAGTTCCGCGTCCGAGAATGAACTTTGAACACCCGAGGCGGTACGCACTTGACACGGCGAGTTCGCTGCAATTGGAAAGCACAGAACTTTGGAGCCAAATATACATGGAGGGAGACGAGCAGTTGTTCTGATCTGTCTTTGAAGAGTATCCAAGAACGAACCATACCCTAGAGGCAACTGGCTCAGCCTGCATCGTAGTAAGAGCTAGTAAGGGCTCTTGAGTTTGAGGAATCCATTCAGCAGTCGAGAGTAGGTCATTACGTCGTGTCTTGAGCGCAACGCTGGCGCCTTTGTGGGTCTGATATCGTGATACGCTCAGTTTCATGCCAAACGGTGGGGTCGATGACCGTAGTGGTTCGGGTGCAGTGCTGACGATGAGGAGAAATTGTCACCGGATGACGTATGGAGAGACCCCGGCTGACCCCGGTCACTCATACTCACCTCGGCTTGCTTTGCGACATCCATCCTACTTTGCCGGAGTATAGACACGGCAGAGGACGACAGGCCTTCCTATGAAGACCGTTTCCAAGGGCGTGAGCCTCCCAGCCGCAGCCGACTACACTTCTTGCAGGAGCCTCAGTTCTGAAAATCGCATTTTTCGCGCTCTCAGGCTCCTGCTGCTCTGTTGTGCTGCCCTGGTACTGTCCTTCGTTCTTCCTAGATCTCCGTGGTCTCTATTCCCCGCACAACGCTCTACAAAGATCGTTCGTGAAAATCTTGCTCTGAGCCCTGCCGACAAATGGAAGGACGACGTATGGCCGATCCGTCCGCCCACGCCCTGGGACATCTCCACCGACTTCCCTTACCCCCGTGTGCTGGAGTATGATGTGCAGGAAGGCACTTGGCTGCGTCTCGACGTGAATCCAAAATCGGGGGACATCATATTTGACATGGCAGGTGACATCTACTGTCTGCCATCCGAGTCCTACATCCGCGTCAGGGATTCCCAGGCTCGCGCTAGCAACGTCGTCTTTGCACATCCTGTGTTGTTAGGCGTGCCGCACGACTCTGATCCGCACTTCTCGCCTGAGGGAGACAGGTTCGTGTTTCGAAGCGACGCGGAACTTGGTGTTGAGAACATATGGGTGCGCAAGTGGGTGGGATGTGTCCTCGAGAACCTGCGACCCGATGAGCATGGCATCGTCAGCGACGAATTACGGGAGGCTTTGGCTATGAAGGTGGAAGATGAGTCCATGCTGGTGAGGGGCGTCAAAGAGAACCCAGAGAGGAAGAGGAGGCGTTTGCTTCGAGAGGGTAGACATGGAGGTGAGCTCACTCAACACGGTCAGAGGACATGACATCAAACCAATCTTACACCCCACAGCGCAGCGCATAACGAATGAGACTTACCGCTGGGTCTCGGATGCACGTTTCCATCCATCTGGATCCAAGGTAATTGCCACGAAATGGTACACGTCCGAACGCAGCCTTGGAGCCGGCGAAGGTTGGCAATATGATGTGCCGTCTCTTAGCGGAAATTATCAGGTCGAAGTTGGAGCTGGTAAGAGGATTGTTGGCAGGACGCTGCCACCAGGATGGTCGAGTGAGGATTATGGGAACCAGCAGATCGGACCGGAGCAGCTCATTTGGAGAGGAGAGGACGCTGTAATCTATGCCAAGAACGTGCGAGACTCAAATGGTGTCTTCACTTACTCAAAAGGTGCGATATATATATATGTGGACTAACTCTTCCATTACTTATTTAGGCCTATCTCGCAGACGTTCATAAGGGTATATACGCCATATTCTCTACGAACCTCACGACAGGCAAAACCGAGACTCTGGTCCCCGCGTTTCCGGGCGGTGCTAGTCGACCCGAGCTCTCACGAGACGGCAAGACGTTGGCTTTCGTACGCCGAATCCGGGACAAAGAAGCTCTCGTCCTCAAGTGAGCAAGCTCATCCACTTTTCTCTCCGTGCATGACGTGACAGTGGAGAGCAGAGACCTCGAAACAGGAACCCTTCACGATGCATGGTACGGTCTCACGTACGACCTGAGCACTGTTTCCGCCCCAATGGGCACCTACCCCTCCTTCGCATTCACCCCATCCGATGACGGCATTATTATCTGGGCAGACGGGAAGATCCACATTGTATACCTCTCCGTCAATGGCCGAGGCGAAAAGGTTGCTGCAGGGGACCCTGCGATGATTGGCTTCACTGCGCACATCGAGAAGCGGCTCGCGGAGACACGCAGGAGCGTGACGGACCTACTGACGCTCGAGACACAGGAGCGCCAGCGCGTGCATGCGTTCGAAGGGCTGAAGGTCGACGCGGTTGGAGCTCGGGCGATATTCCAGGCTGCGGGCGTGACGTATGTGCAGCGCGTGGGCGGAAGCCCATCTGCAGATGCAGAGAAGGTGCCGGTGCTTCACGCAGATGCGCCGTACTACTCGCCGACGTTCATTCATGGGGCGGATGACCTCGTGCTCCACGCGCGCTGGTCGAACATTAACTTCACGACGCTCGAGTTCGCAAACCTCACCTCCGGCACGGCGTACGAGGTGCGCGGGCTGCCCCTCGGCCGTTACTATTCCCCGGCAGTGTGCGAGTGCGTGGGCAACCGCCGAAAGATCGCGTTCGTGAAAACCGCAGGCGATGTGCTAACTGGGAATGTCGTCGCCACCGCCAACCCTGGCATCTACGTCGGCGACTTCACGCTCCCCAGTCCTGACTCATCAGACAACATCGTCGTCATCGAGCACCTGCGTTTCGTCCCGTCCGAGATTGATCTCGACGACAAGCTCGACATCAGGTTCGTGCAAAAGAACGCCAAGATCTTGGTGCAGCAAGGCAGGAGGGCGTTCGTGGTCGACTTAGCCGCGGGACCGGACGCGTTTGGGGAGTATGTGCACCAGGATTTAGCTCAGGGGAAGATGTCGACCCAGATCGCTGTGTCGACACAGGAAGAGGCTGGCAGTGGGAAGGCGGTGAAGGCGGGGGTTGTGGCGTTCACGGAACGGTACCACGTGTATGTCGTGTCGAAGTCGTTGCCAGATGTCCCGGTATGGACGAAGCCGGGGAACGCGACGAGAGGTGTCGCGAGGCTGAGCTTGGACGGCGGGCACGATATTGCGTGGAGTCGGGATGGAAAGAGGCTGTTTTGGTTCCTTGGTAAGTTGTGCTGGTTCCTGTGCGTTGACGAGCATATACAAGGTTTATCTGACGATCTTACTTTGGCCAGGACCCTATTTGCACTCCATCGAGATTTCGAAGCTGGATCAGTGCTCATCTGAGATTGCTAAGGATGGGGACACGTTCGGGATCGCGTGCATCGTGAAGCTACTCCAGTACCAGGAAGTACTCGTCGACTACCCCACCGACATCCAGCGACTCAAGGAAGAAGCCCTCATCTCCCACCGTCGAACGTCGGCTTCTTCTGCTGCGAACGCTGACGTCCTGATCATCGCCAATGCGACGATTTTGACCATAGAGGACGAGACAGTCGCAGAGGTGCCTATCAGGGGAGGTGCTCTTGTGACACGTGGCGGGCTTATTGAACAAGTGGTCGAGGGTCATAATTTGCGTGTGCCAGAGGGCGCCACAGTCATTGATGCCCAGGGCGGTAAGGAATGCACCAAATCGTGCAGAAGTGGATCTGATGGTCTTCTGTAGGATTTATTGTCCCTGGCTTTATCGATGTTCACGCGCACTGGGCCTCAGCTAGCGGCGAGGGGCCATACCCAGCTTCCTCATGGGAACACCAGGCCTTCCTCGCGTATGGCGTCACCACCGTGCACAAGTAAGAGTTCACCTTTCTGCTTGTAGTTGTAAATTATCTTCTGAGACCACCTGCTCAGCCCTAGCACCGATACAGTGATCACGTTCGCGGAAAGGAGTCGCATTGAAAGCGGACAGATCATCGGGCCTCGGGTCTTCCACACCGGCACGATTATCTACGGTGCTGGCAATGCGGAGTATCATCAAGATATCGTGGACGACGCGGAGGCGTATTCGGCGCTGCTTCGAATCAAAGTAGAGGGAGGCCCTGCTAGCTTCTCCTACAAGAATTATAACCTACCATCGCGGTACGTTGCAAGGTTCTTGCAGGAAATCGACGTTCGTTGACGATTCGCTGTAGAGCGGCTCGTCAGAGGCTTTTGCTGAATGCTAGGAATTTGAGCATGCTCTGTGTCCCCGAAGGCGTGAGTTTGCATTTCATCATGCCTCATCGTTTACTCACATCTCTCCCAAATTAGGGAATGAACCTAGACTGGGATCTGACCTACATCGTCGATGGTAGGAGAAGTCCTTCCTGCTTAGCATCATCTGATCCGAAGGAAACTCGATAGGCATGACGACGGTCGAACACTCAATACCTGTTCCTAAATTGTACGATGACATTTTGACGCTCTTTGCGAAAAGCGGAACGGGCTCGACGCCCACTCATATCGTCAATTATGGTGGTGCCTGGGGCGAGCAGCTGGTCTGGGCGACCGAGGATGTACCTAATGATCCGAAGTGAGTGTGTGCTCCTTGCTCATCTTAGATTGTCCTGACATTGTATGATGGATCAGGTTGAGAAGATTCTTACCTCATGATCATCTAGAAGACATATCTGAATCTACGGCGCGGCCTTTCAACTGTGAGTGCGTAATTTCTTCCAGAGATAATATACAAACACACGATCCACAGCTTTTGCACTGTTCAACACATCGGCTTCCACAGCTAATATGGTCCACAAGGGACTTCGTGCCCACATCGGCGCTCATGGGGAGAACCCCATCGGGTTGAACTACCATGCTGAAATGTGGTTCACAAAGCAGGGGGGACTCTCCAACTACGAGGTCTGATCCACGTTCCATTTTAAAGCTGAATCATGTGTCTGACCGACGAATGGATATGCAGGTGCTCCGTGCTGCGACATCCGACGCTGCCGACACGCTAGGTTTGCTGCCGTCGCTTGGATCACTCACTCCGGGAAAACTCGCCGACTTCCTGGTCTATCCTCCCGGTTTCGATCTACTGCAAGATGACATTCGCGGATCGCGTTCTATACGTTACGTTGCAAGAGGAGGCAGACTTTGGGACGCGGAGACGATGCGCGAAGAGTGGCCCAACAAAGGAAGGAAGCAGGCGTTGCCTCCTTTGAATGAGGATTGATTCTCGTGGTATGCTTATCTCCGAGATTATGAATTATTTTGGCTGCTTCGAGGATGGGACGTTGCTCTATCTTTTTGTCTTCCTTTCCGGGATCCGAACAGAACAACACAATACCATCAAAGTCTTAACACTGGCTGATGCGCCGATTGTCTTGGGAATCAAGCGCTGAACAATACAATGGTCGATACCTGCAGGCGATGAAGCAAAATTGTTTTGTCGATTCGAGTATCTCTCAGTCTTCCCGGGATCAAACCACTGGCACTCGTTCATTTGAGCTCTTCTTATCTGCTTGGCGAGACAATGTTCTTCATGCTCTTCGGATCCATCTTTGATATCTTTGGCCGCGTCCTTCATAAAATCTTGATTCAATCTTGAGCGAATCTCCTGATGCATCAACCTCGTGGGAAGACTTTCTCCGTCTTGGTTTCGGCTACGTGCTCTTGCCTTCCCCAAGCGCGATTGTTTCCTCATCCTGAACGAATATAGTCCTCAAATGTCACACATTAGGTGCCTTGGGAGAACTTGCAAACATGCTCTGGAGCAGGTTCCCATCATGCTTCTTTGCTGCGGGAGCCGGCGTAACGAAATATCCACTGATACTGCGATAGTCCTATAACTGTGAAAATCTCGCTCCACTCCTTTCCGAATTCTGCATCAGTATCTGGGTAGTGGGCCATATTTTGATTTCTCCATTATTATTTTTACGCCGAAATGCTTCGACCTTTTGCTTTTCTCATGGATTTGGAGGCTTAGGCCTTAGGACTTGAACTTCTCAGCACGTTCTATTTCCAGGTCCCTCAATGGCTTGACGACATTTCGTCTGGAATGTGTGAGGCTGCTCAACAATTGACTCGAAGGGAACCCTTCCATCCCTTCCCTTTGCTTGATGGACCTGTGCCTTCGACCTGTAGCTGGCGACACGACATTCTCCCGGGACGCATCTGATCTTGCCTCACAATTAGAGAGCTTAACATGTCATTTCTCGATGCCGTTGCCCTCACGTTGCGCTCCGGTCCCGACGAGCATCTTATCGCTACACAATGAGGTAGGTGCCAGTGGATGCTGTCGATGTTGGATTTCAAACCTATCCAAAGCGTCCACAGATGGTTTGGTTATCGGTTTCTCATGGCATTCATGGCTACCCCAAGCCATCGGACATAAGTATCTGTGTGTGCACAACTTAAAAGGCTCTGCTTCTTGGAAGCTTCAGAAGCAGGACAGACTCATAAACTTCTTATATACCCCGAGCTTGACTTCCCCGATCATTCGGCGATAAGTATCATCAAGAAAGGTCAGACCCTGCGATACTCCAGAATACTCCCCCTAGGTCTCTCTAGCTCCCCTTGGTCGACTTAAAATCCCAGACCAGCATACGCTCTTCAGCGTTTTCAGCCCCAAATTCACTCGATCACAAAAGCGATACGTCATAGGTCTAGCTCGCCAGCGCCCCATTTCAACTATGGATCATGTTTCACTTGACCGCAACGGCAACAGCGTCAGCAACCTACGTCAGAGGATTCTGTCACTGAACAATCGAAAATACCACGCTTATCTCGCATGACAAGGGTTGGTAGTGGAAGAGGCGCCCTGGAATCCTGTTGGTATGTATGTTTTTACCCACTACAAACATCGCAATCAACCCTATGAATGTGACAAATTAAGTGCAGACGGCAGTTTAACTACAACTATGACGATGCAAATGTCAATTCACTTACAAGTCTAGGTGGCATCTGATTGGCTCCTTCGGAGCTCGGGCATGCTGCGTAAGGCCTGGCAAGGTGAGCAATCACTCTGTTCTCATTCGAACTCTTTTGTAATTGGACCCATTCCCGTGTCCATTAGGCATTCAAGGCCCAGAAGATGCTCATCACCGATCGGGAAACGTGTTCGTCCTTAGCCATCGTTCACTCTGTGGTGATGGCGACCCTCCTTAGCTCGAGGTGTGGCGGAAGTTAGTTCCGAAATGTATACACGACAGTACACCTTGCTCTTATGAGGTAAGTGCGGCATATACGAGGGAGGGAACGCCATCATACGTCTAGATTCTTTTGTTGCACCCCTGCTTTGGATATTGGGAAAGACGTTGGGGTTCCAAGCATTGTGAAGTTCTTTTCTTAGTCTGGCGTGTCATGTCATCCGCTTCTATCATGGTTGTTGACCGCTCTACAGCCTTCTTCGGCCAGTGAGCACCACTACATGACTTGCTCGGAGACACACGCGGGATGGGTTTCCTGGTCCAGCCATGAGACTTTGTGATCAAAAAAGGACGATGCCGTGTGCCCATTCGATGATTTCCAGAGTACATTCCATCAGGTAAGGCGATTCCACCGAAGTCTCCGGATTCATGTTATGTATAAAAAGACTAAAATATCCCTGCAATCGAACAGCAACACCTCCTGAACCATGTCCACTACTCACCTCACTCTGACCACAGCATCTCTTACGCTTCTCTCTCTGGTAGTGCTAGCGCTGATTCACTCTCGCTTCAAGCGTCGCCTGCCGAAGGACATTCAAGGTCCTCCATCGACATCTTTCTGGATCGGTGCGAAGAATCGTCTCAAATCATTGATACATCGCCGTTTTAACTCCGCTCCTATAGGCAACGAGAAGGACATCCGTTACCAGAATGAGGTTGGCGACCAGGAGTTCCAGTGGCTTCGCCAGTATGGGACTGCCTGGCGTGCAGCCGGTTGTATGGGGGTTAGAACCTGCTCGTATCTTCTTCATGATGCCATTGCTCATGTCCTGGGTTTATGTAGGAAGAAGTCCTCATGGTAGCAGATCCGAAAGGCATTCAGCACATTTTGCAGGGCGCGGGTTACAACTACCTCAAGAGCGAGGAGGATCGACAGCTGTTGCGGATGGTTTCCGGAGACGGTCTCGCCTGGGTGCACGGTGATGCAAAACTCCCCACTTTTATCTTTTTCTTGTTTACTCATCCAAGGACGCCTTGCAGGTGACGCCCATCGTCGTCAGAGAAAGGTCATGAACCCGGCGTTCTCTGCGGCGCAGTTGCGAGACTTCCTCCCCTTGTTCCACAAGAGGGCCGCAAAGGCACGAGTACACTCTTTCTGCTTTGAGCAGGGTACTGAAAGAACATAGTAGCTCGTCCAGCGAATAGAAGAGGAAATCACGAACGAAGATACAAGCGAGCCCGTTCTCAATGTTGCGGGTTGGCTTACACGCGTGACCATGGACGTCCTTGGAGAAGGCACGTTGCCTGACCCAAATGGTCCTGTGTGTGATCTTTCTGACGCAGACACATCGTAGCCGGCTTTGGCTACGAATTTGGCGCCACGGATGACCGCAAGGGTGATCTCATGAAGAATCTAGAGGGCATCTTGTACGTATCTCCATACGCCGTCCTCGGGACTCTCCTCGTGTCTCTCATCTGGTCGTAGCGTCGAGTCGACGTTGTACCCCTCGAAGCTGGACCTGATTGTCAAGTCTTTCTTCAACGCGATCCCGTCGGGTTTACTGTACTACGTCCGCCACTTCCCTTCGCGCGAGTACCGCAGGTCGCGCGAATGGCTCGACTTCTCGCGGACCATGGCGCGAGACATCGTGCGGAAGAGTGAGGCGCGCGTCGACGGGAAGGACGTCATGAGCGTGCTTATACGCGCGAACGCCTCCGAAGACCCAAAGTCTCAGCTATCACAGACGGAAGTGATTGACCAGATCGCGTGTGTAGACTCTCGCACGCTCCGCATGTTGCATACATAACTCGCAAGGTCCTTGCTTCTTTGTTTTTGCAGTACACTCATCCTAGCGGGCACGGACACGACGTCGATCACCGCGTCATGGATACTGCTAGAGATTGCAAGGCACCCCGAGGCTCAGATCAAGATCCGCGATGAGATCCACGCAGCTCGTGTGCGCGTGACCGCGCGTGGGGACACTGAGTTCACCATCGCAGACCTAGAGGGGCTGACCCTGCTGCAGTGCGCGATGAAGGTGCGTCGCATTCACGCTTCATTGTGCCCGCGCCGTGTCCCTAAAGACATGGCATTGCGCGCGCGGCACAGGAGGGCATGCGCTTGCACCCGATTACGTGGCAGCTCACACGGCTTGCGGGGATGGACGACGTAATCCCGCTCGCAAACCCGATCACGACAAAGTCGGGCCAGCTGTCCTCCATCGCCGTGAGGAAAGGCACCCGAGTCAAAATTTCCATTTGCGCGTACCATCGGTGAGAACGCTTCCGTGCTCCACATTCGCATGTCGAAGCCCCTTGAAACCAATCTATTTTTTCTCCCTATCGGTACCTGTATAGGCTTCCGAGTGTATGGGGTCAGGACGCAGATCAGTGGAACCCCGCACGCTGGCTTAATCTAGACAACTCGAAGCAAGCTTCTGTGGGTATGTATGCCAACCTGTAAGTTCCCGTTGCTGTCTCGCATTCGGCTCTGCTTGACGCCAGGCGGCTCCCTCTCAGATTGAACTTCTGTAAGTCGAGACGAGATCCGTTGGCTAGTTGGTTGACCGACTGCTGAACAACCTTGTAGCTGCCGGAGTTCGCTCTTGCATCGGGTGTGTGCCTGCACAATCTGTCTGTATGATCCACCGCAATCTCTAACTGCTTCTCTGTTCTTCGCGCGCTTCACAGCTGGAGATTCTCGTACGTACCACACGCTCTGTACTAAGCCCGATGTACTTCCACTGATGTGTTACTTTACGCTGCAGCGTCATCGAGCAGTCATCCATCCTCGCGAGCCTCTTGGAGCATTTCGAGTTCGCACTGCCTGATGACGCAATGACGAAGCCCGCCCTGCGGAAACCAAGCCTCGTCATGACGCCGACCGTTGAAGGCAAGCAGGGCTCCTGGCTGAGGCTGAAAGTGAAGAGCTTGGCGTGAGACTCAAGGTGAGGCTGGTCGAATCGATGGCATGACCTGGCATGATGCGGACAGTTATTTTGCATGACCATAGCGGAGTTCGAGAGATAAAAAAAGCTTAAAAATTGTATCGCATCTCAATTGTGTTCCACATGTATAGTCACGGACTCCCATAGTATGCAAGGTTTTGAGTATGATCAATTTGTCACGCTTGATCCACTTGACCTGGCATCCTCAGTCTATGAGTGTCGTACTGCTCCGAGAGACTATCATTAGCACGATGATCTGGCAGGTAATAGAAGAATAACACTGGAATAACTCGCATGATTAGTGTCGAGGCGTCAAAGGAGGAAAAAGGAAGGTTTTGTTCTTCAAAGTGATTGGATTTTGAGGATTCCAATGTCAACACAATTGGATGGGGAAAGAATCGACTCACCTGATGCAAAACCCTATTATACCAAGAAAGCACACGACGTTCCGTGCTCAAGCAGGCTCAAGCCCTCGTTGAAGGTCGCTCATTGCACAGCCGCAGATTCAGCTCAGGCCATATCGACGTGACGGCGTGACCGTTCCTAGATCAACGCGCGGAGTTCCAACTGAACAGCGACATGTCTCAGACCTTCTCAGCACTCGTCGATGATGATCAACACGCCTTGCAGCGCGTATTGTTCTCTAAAGCTCGGCCCAAGCATCGACAACCTTCTGGTCAAAGCGTACGCATCACTATATTTAAATATCCTCGCCTCCATTTCCTTTCTCTCCCATGTCTCACCATTCGAAATACTCACAATGCAGCCTCCTCGAACAGGTACTGCGTTCCGCGTCCGCCGCCCATCGTCGCTCTTCAAAGAAAGTCTTGGTGGAAGTATCGCAAGGAGGCTTACAAGGCCTATCGTCAAACCATTGCTCAAGGAAGAGCTCATGGATACCCTCCAAGTCGGTCTCTTGATCGAGGATTTCGTCTATCGCATCTGGGGATTTCATCCTGATCGCCTCCAATGGGAGAAGTTCTTTAAGGACCTGCAGCTTGATTATACACTGGTTGAAGCATACAAGGCTACGCTCCAGCACGCCGAGAGATACCGATATGCTCCCTTTGCGAGGCTCATTGACTCAATCGTGGCCAAGCTCGTTGAGGTGCTGAAGCTGGAGTCGCCTTTGCCCGTTTCGTTCGAGCCGCTTGGATCGACTTACATCCGAAGCGACAGGAGCAACCGGAAACCGGATATGGGAATCATCGGGAAACAAGCGGTGGAAGAGTATCGATTGGCGCAGGACGGCCCTGACAAGCATTCAAAAGCCCAACTTCGATGGGAGATAGTCCCGTGCTTCATGGAGTTCAAGAGGTTTCTCCCGATAGACCACGATGCCGTCATTCTGTTTTCACAGGCTCCGGGGGCGATCTCAGAGCCGGTGGCCATTGCCCTCAAGCCGGACGACGAGTGCAGACAGGAAGGATTGAAACGGAAGAATGTCTCGGACGAAGGTCTTCCGCCCGCGAAACGAGTCAACCAGGATCCAAACATCACCTCTGACAGATCCGATAGATCTGGCGGCTCAGTTGATGAAAGCCACTCGACCAGTTCAGTACCAATCGAGGTTCCAAACGCAGGCGCTTCGATCAGCGCCGTCGGGACGGGGACAGAACCCGAAAATTTCGAAACGCACCGGAGCAGATGTAAACTGAGCCCTCAAATGACTGAGGACGAACTTCAGGCGGCGAACTATGCGTCCGAATGCCTCGGCGATGGTCGTCGGCGGTATGTGACATCTTTCATGATCACAGACCTCAAAGTGTCTCTATGGTACTACGACCGGATTGGAGTGATCAAGAGCGAAGAGTTCGACCTGGTGGAAAATCCGAGGCTTTTCGTTCTTGCCATTGCCGCGGTCACGACGTGCGACATGAAGCATTTTGGGTTCGAGCCCATGATCCACCCGCCTTCTACCATCCCTCCTCCAATGCGCCTAGAACATCCCATCCGACTCGAACCTCCCCGCAACATCAGCGGTTGGGAGATCCATATCGACGAAGGGGTTGACTCGGAGGGCAAAATGGTCCCTAGCGTTGTCCGTTTGAGGATCACCGGAGCTCCGATCTACGTCCAAGCTGGGATCGTAGGCCGGGGAACGTCAGTGATACCTGCTTCTGCGTTCGCCGACAGTGGGCTGGCGGCCGTCAAGTCCTCGCAGAAGCTTGTGGTCAAGTTCAGCTGGCCGGCTGCGACGCGTGTTCCCGAGGACGTGCTGATACGACGGATACGGAAGGCGATTGGATCGAAGGAGGCGCGGCACGTGAGTCGGATGCGGATGTCGACGACACTGGAGGGCTTGCGATTGGGCCTGCCTCGGATAGAGGAATCGATTCAGTCACTGCCGGGCGACGTTGAGACTCGGGTTCTCCGCGTTCTGGTGTGCGATCGCTATCAGCACCTGAATAAACTGAAGACGATCTCAGAGTTCCAGTCAGTCTTCATCGATCTTGTCAGAGGTACGTCTTGACGTGTGATTGCGCGCATTGTCTGTGCTTATTTCTCTAATAGCCCATCGCGTTGTTTACAAGAGAGCGGGTATCCTCCACCGTGACCTGAGCATCAACAACGTGATGTTCGGAATGAGATCTGGAAAGCCGTATGGGATTCTCATCGACTGGGACCTCGCGATTGACATGAAACTGAGAGAAGATGACGGAGACGGTCCGTCTTCTCGTTACCGGACAGGGACAGGGCCGTTCATGGCCATTGATCTTTTGAAGCCGAAGATGGGACCTCCTCATTATTACCGTCACGACCTCGAGTCGTTCTTCTACATCCTTTTGTGGTCAGCGTGCACTTTTCTTCTCAACGGAACAGAAGTGAAGAAGCAGCATAAACTCGTGGAACCTTGGTCGGTGGTGAATTGGGGCGATATCCGAGACAAGAAAGTGGGGTTTTTTTCCCGAGCCGGCGAAGGTTTTGGAGACTTGAATGAAGCCGTTACTGAACCTTTCAGGCTTCTTCTTGACTCTTGGATCCGGCCTCTAGGACGAATGATTGCGACAGCGCGTTCAACGTCAGAGCTTGCTCAGTTGAACGACAGTCCGTTCGACCCCGAGACCTGGGGTGGCCTCATGACTTACCGAAAATTCTTGGGGGCCGTTAACGTGGACTTCAAGAACGCGCCGCACAGTTTAGACGCGGATTTGCTCGACTGATTTCACGTTTGTTTATCACATTCCCTTTGTAACTTTATCGAGGATCGCTGATTCATTCTTTGAAGGTTATCTGTTGTATCTTTTATGTTCTTTGCATTGTTCTTTGTACGGATACACAATGGGCGATGCACTGCTTGAGCAATCGATCATCTGTTGATGCTGCGTAGCTCTCAGTCGCTCGACGTCCACGGCAAGGCGCTACGAATTTCGAAGATCATCAAATTCACAGCAGAACAGGCACCAGACCAACGTTCATACTTCTTACTCTACCGGGACCAGAAGATAAGCATCCATGTGTCATATTAGAGAGTTTGTAGAGCATGTCCGAATAAGAATAGATACGGCAAGGGAGACAATTATGCCGATCGAAGCGATATTGTATGTGTGTGGGGAGATGCATGAGAGACACTTGTGCGAATAATAAGAGAAACGATTAACGTATGTCAAAATATCCACATCGCGGGATTTTACTGGGAGGGGCACAATCGGACCTGAATTCAAGTCTCGATGCCCTCGGGAGGATTGCACCCTAGAAGCCAGCGTCAGCGACCCGTCGACGTCACGTACGAGAGGGATCAAAGCACGTGACTCACACTCGCACGACGTCAGGCACTTGGTGCGGTAGACGAGCCCGCTGTCCTTGCAGCACCGGTGAATGCGCGCTTCCTGTTTCGGCGCGCCCTGCTTCCGCTTCGTCCCTGACACGCGCAGGCGGGGCGCATACCCGCCCGGGAGACAGAACGCCTCGAGACGCGCGGCGCGCGCGCCGGGCGGCACGCAGCAGCGCGACACGACCATGTCCGCGAGCGCGGTGTGGTACGCGGCGAGGTCCGTCGCGGCGCCGCAGTTGAGGTACATGTGCGCGAGGCGCGTGTTTTGCCCGGCGACGAGCGTGCCGTCGGGCGCGAACACGTAGGAGAGCGCGGCGCAGAAGCGCGTGCCGATGTACATCTGATCCAGCGCGAGCGAGACGAGTGCGGCGAGGCCCTCGAGGCCCTCGCTGAGCCTGCCATCTTCGATCGGGACCTCGCAGAGCGTGAGCGTGTGCAGGGAGGCGAAACAGTGCGTGGAGAGGCGGCGGAGGGCGAGATGAAGGTGGATGTCTCCTGGCATCAAGAAGGAGGATAGGCGCAGGCTGCGAAGACGCGGCAGGATGAGAGAGTCGAGGAGCACGACGAGAGAGCTCGGTTTCATCATGGATTGGACGCTCAGATGAAGAAGCTTGGGCAAGACGATCTGTGTGGGGCTGCTGATAACCTGCTGGTGGTAGAACGATAGCGAGAGAACGGACAGCTGCAGGCATTGCGATAGCCCGTCCAGGAGAGGGCCGACGTCCGCGACCAACTCTTCGACGGGAGAAAGCGCGTCGATGCAGTCCAGATAGAGCCTTGTCAGTCCCCCAAACGGCAACTGCCATCTGTATCCAAGACGGTGCGTAAGGCGCACCGTACGCAGGGCCTTGCTGTTCTGCACTGCGGCCACGAGGCCGTCACGCGGGACTTCGTCGGCGAGGACGCGCGAGAACGAGACGTCGAGGTCTTGCACAACGGGAAGCGCGTCATGCGGCACGGACGGCAAGACGTCGAGATCGTGTGCGACCTCGATGCGCAGCGCACGGAAGCGCTGCGAGTGCGGGAACAAAATGCCGAGGTACCGCAAGAGGACGTCCGCGCGGGTGTCGGATGTCGCGAGGACGATGGAGAGCAGCGTAGAGCGCGAGAGCGCGAGCCACGACGCGAGCGCGTCGAAGAAGGCCTCGAGCGCGGCAGGGTCGCGCGGGGCGTCCGGGAGTGTGAGCGCAGACCAGAGGCATGGAGTCGAGCGTGCAACGTGGCGCCAGCGGCGGGCGACCTTGGTGAGCACGAGCGGCGCGGTGGACGGGTGGACCGCGTGCGACTCGGGGGGAGTGCAGTGAAGGAAGATGAGCGAGAGGACCTCGGCGGGGAACGCTTTCGTCTTTCCCATCGTGATCGCACGATGCCGGTGGGCGGTACTCGATCCGCGAGGCTGCGACGCCTACAGACTTGAATCTGGTAATGGGCAATGCGCGCGCTCTACGTCCGAAGCGCGTGCGCTTTCCTCCAACCACCCAAACACCGCCAAAAAAAACTAGAAAAAAATATCGAAAAAAAATCTGCCCGCTCGACAGTGCGAATATAGGCTAAGTTTAACCAGCTGAGCCCCAACTACACCAACTTGCAACGCGGTGCCAGCTGACTGGTCGTGGTGGTTTGGACAAGATTGGATACGGCAAGTAAATCGGTCACTAAAAGGGAATTGGTCTTAGCGTCGGCCACCTCACGCATTAAGTCGCCGGAGGCACTCTGGCACGGGTCCGACGACAACAACAGATACATACCTCCGACTCGATCGTTCGACGCGGTCTGCGCGTCGGTCTCTCTGGAATATGCTGGCGCACCACCACGTCGATAACGAATACTGAAAGCACAGCGAAGATCGCCAGCGGAGGAAGGAGATGGGAGAGTGCTGGAGTGCAGGGACGCTCTAAATCACCGAGTGGTCACCGCTGGGCGCTCGCTCTGCCGCCCGTATGCCGCGGCGTAGCTCCGAAAGGACCCCGAAACTGCTCGCTGACACATCCAAATCCCCAACAGCGATGGCGTATACCCACGCATCCACACACATCCGCGAAAGATCACGTCGCTCGTAAGTTGTAACGCGTAAAAAAAATAACAGTACACTAAGACACATAGCACAGTACACCAACATAATATCCTCAGATCACGAGGCCGCCAGCGGACGGGGTAGCAAACGCGCGCGCGCCGTCCCGCCTCTACAAGTACACCGAGCTTTCCTACCACTCTCTCCGCCATGCAGTACATAGCTCGCCCCCCTTCGCCACCCTTAGCTCCCTACACACCCATCTCGCCGCTCACGTGCGCTCCGTCCCCCTGACGACATCCACGGCGTTCTTGAGCTGCTCGAGCGTCAGGAAGATGAGGATCGTCGTTGGCTGCAGCCGCGTCCACGCGGGGAGCCAGCCCTTGAACATGAACATCGCGCCCTCGGTGCGCAGCGACTGCCGGATCACCTGCATCGTGGACTGTGCGCGTGGAGCAGGAGGAAGAGTGAACGGGTAAGAGGATTGCCAAACGAGGATACAGGTATGCACGTACGTTCGACCCAGGCCCCGAAGCGTTCATGATCCGACTCTAGACAGCGCCATCCAATGATCAGCAGCAGCACAATCACCGGAATTTGCGACGCAGCCGACTCGCCTTGAGCACATCCGCCGGCGAGCACACCGTCGTCGCGACCGTTCCCTGCACGCGCATCAATCCCCCAGTCAGCACAATCTCACTATCAGGCAGCCCCCAGGACAACGGGACCCACGCACCGCAGCAAAGCTCGCCGTAAAATGACAATATATATTATCCTGGAAATGCCCGCTCTTGAGGAGCTCCGACTTGAAGAAGTCGTACCTGCACCGGCATCAGCCGTGCCCCTCGCGCGAAATCACGATGCGGGAAAGGAGGAGGGAGAGGAGGCACTTACGACGCGAGCTGGCTGGCGTTCATCAGCACGGCACGGAACACGTTCGGGCCGACGCCGCGCGCAAGCGAGCCTACGCCTTCCTCGCGGACCATCTATCGCACGGCACGGCATCGTTGCACCGACCACGATCACGATCATGACAGAAAAAAGCAAGCAGAGCGCGTCAGACGTTGAAGCGCAGAGCGAGCGGCGCGAAAAACACGTACGCGGAACAGCGCGTCGAAGCAGTGCTTGTAATTGAACCGCTTCTCAGGCGCCTTCGCAAAGTCGCCCTGCAAGCGCACCTACGTGCCGCAGGACGCAGGGCACGGAGTGAATGCGCGGGGGCCAAATATTAACGTGCGAGGCGGAAGCGCGAGCGCGGGAGAGAGGGAGGTGGCCGTGTGTGAGCGCGAAGTAGGAGAGGGAGGTAGGGGGTAGGGGTGCGAATCGGGCGCTCACCATGACGATCTCTGTGGAGCAATGGGACAGTCGCAGACGCAGATGAAGACGCAGATGCAGAAGCAGTCAGCCAACCGTCGACAAACCCATCATTCTCTGGGAGTCGATTCGACGCGCGAGTCGCGCATATGAGCGCGCGCGCGTGCGTACGTACACGTGCATCTCATGAGTCACGTGCAACTCACGCGTGCGCGCCCGAACCCGAACCCCAAAGCAAAAACGAGACCGAAATCTAGATGACTGGCCCGGACATGTGCTTACCTCCAGGGTTGCCCACTAATCCGGCGATGCCGCCCGCTGTGTGCGTTCAATCCGTTGTCGCGTTCGATCGCGGTGTTCGGGCGCGTTCGATCGCGTTTGGGTCCGCCGGATGGGGGGCCGGGTGAGTTGGGAGCCGAGGGGAAGCGAAGGTGAGAGACGAAAGACGAAGGTGAGAGACAGGACGAGCGGGAGCGAGGTGAGCGATAGCGAAGCGAGGGAGTGAAGGAAGAAAGGAAGCGAGCGAGACGAGACCCACCCATACTTCCCGCGGCCGCGAGCTTCCACGCAGGCGCACCGGGTCCTAGACACGCAACACACAGCATGTAGCATGCCCGTCCGACAAATCACCCATAACACCAAACACGAAAACCCAAGACGCAATTGTCAGCGAAACATCTTCGCACACCCGAACGGATAGACGCACCGGCGCCGAGGAGCTTCTTGCTCTCGTCGTACGCCCAGAAGCGGCACAGTGAGTAGGACATCTGGCGCATCCAGGTGCCGGAGATGCCGTCGAAGAGGCCGCGGACGCCTGGCGACGCGTCGGCGAGCGATCGAGCGAGCAAGCGATTGCGCACACGCCGCGTAGTGCGGAATGCGGCATGCGGGGTCAGGGTCGGGGTTGAAGGTGGCGGTGGCGGTGGGTGCGGAGAGATGTGGGTCGGCATGGGAGGGAACGACCAGCGTGCGAAACGGCGTCAAAAGGGAGTGAAGGAACAAAAAGAGAGTGAGAACGAAAGGGCGAAGGAAGGCGGGGCGGAGGAGGGATGTTCGGTCGGGGCGCACGCACCGGCTGTTCGGACTGTCTTGCGTATGCTCTCGACCATGCGCTTGTCACCCGACGCTTGGAGGCGGACCTTGGTCAAGTCGAGTGGACTGCCGAGGCACGGGGGCGCGCAAGAGTATCGCAGATCAGCATTGACGGAGCGCGCCAACGGCGAGGAGAAGAGAAAGGCGGACACACTGTGTTATGGACGCGGCGATCGTCGCTGCGACGCCTGTTCGGGCATCGTTCGGACATCGCGTCGCATCGTGTGGTATGGTCAGCTGGAGAAGGCAGCGCAATGAGGGAACGCACCGCCGAGCCAAAAGGGATACGGCTGCTGCTTCTTGGACGCAGCGGGCGCTGGGAGCGCGGCACTTTGTGTTGGGCTGGACATGTCTGTGGTATTTCTCTATCTGTCTACGTAGGCGCTGTCAGTGTTCGTGGGCACACGCGCGAGCTGTAGGACTGTGGACGACGACGCGCGTCTCGAGAGATAGGAAGGAAAAGGGCTGGGAATACTGCGGGAGGAGGGAGAGCGAGAGGCTGGGAAGGGGCAGCGGGCAGCGCCCACAGGCCCCACGGGGTCTAGGATTAAATATACCCACGACAAGCAGTCGACAACATCGCAGCAGACACGAATACTCGTTCTTAGACCCCGCCCGGCGCGAGGGCTGCCATATAAGGCACCGTGCCCCGCGTTTTAGCGCGGTTTACCCCGCACTCGGTCCAGGCCCGCCTCCATCGCCCGCGCGCCTGACTCCGTGTCGGGTGCGCCCGTGTCGCGCCCTTCCGTCTCCCCCGCGTCATGCGCTCGCGAGGTTTGCGCCTCTTGTCTTGATGTGGGCGCTCTGGTGCTGGCGTGGATACAACTAGGGCGTGCGCGCTCGTGCTTTGGCCGAACGCTGCCTGGGCGCGAGGGCTCTTGCATCGTCTGCGTGTCAGCCGAACCATAGAGAACCCTTGCAGGCAGGTGCAAGCAAGTCACACTCGGCTTTTCGGGTCGTGGATGCTGTAAATACGGCAGGCATGTCTATCGCGCTGAACTTGGAACCTGCACCAACCTCGGCCGAATAACAACACGAGCAACGCCAGACGAAGAGGCTCCGTGGACCGTCGTGGTCCAACCCACGTCAGGCCAGCTGTTCGGCACGCATCGCGCTTGCGCCGACACGTCGTGCGTTCCGTCAAACCACCTATCACACGCGCCCGATCTAAAGTGTGCGTGAACCCCCACAGCTCGCGAAATCATTGCTAGTGCAGACAAGTGCGCGATCCCAATATCACACCCGCATATATGCCTCCGGTTTGTCCCGCACAGCGCGTGCCCCGGCGGGTCCCCGACTGCTTTCCTATCATGTAGTTGACTCGTGTGTGGGCCCCGAACCCACGCATGAGATTCGAACTGCACGGAGAACCCAGAGAGAACCCGGGGTCGGATGGCAGCGGCCGGACGACGGCCGTGCGGCCCGCCAATTGACGGGCTGCGCCGCCACAGAGCACGTTGGATAGCGCGACGCACGTCATCCTACTCGTGCTGTTCCATCTGAACGCCTGATCCATGACGAGCCCGCGCTCTCCCGTCTCGCCGCCCAACACTCTCTTCCCGCCACGTCTCCGCGCTCCCGCCAGCTCGCCTTCTCCGAGCGGCAGGCCAGACGACGTCTACTTCCGCCTCGCCCGCCCCGTCCGCGTTCTTGTCCGCACCCGCGTCTGTGGGTACACTGCTGCGCCTCCTGCGCACCCCCGCGCTCTGCGAGCGTCCAAGCGCGTCGCGTACGACATATAAAGCGCGGCACACAGCAGCGGAGGCCTTGCTCTTCCAGGACCAGATGTGTGTCGGCAGGCGCTTCAGCTTCACGCTCAACAGTGCGTGGACCGCGCGTCTCGCGCGCACCAACACCGACAGCCGTTCTATACGCCGCCAGTGCGGACACGAGCCGCGTCGCGACACCGTGCGCTCGCTCGCCTGGGAGCGGCTCGCGCGTATTGTGGGCACGGGGACAGAGCACCGGTCATCGTGCGGGAAGGTGGGCCTTGTGTGCTTCGCGTCCGTTCTCTGGCGCGCACAACGCCCTTGGAGTGTGTAGCCCCTAGTGGTCCATATCGAGGCTCGAGCTGAGGTACCCTCGCAGCCCATGTTGAGCTGGCGACATCGCTTCGCCTTCACCATCTCCCCTGTGAGGCTGCGCCAACAAACAATCTGGCATAATCGTCTCTCTCTTTGCGTTTTCCGGACATCCTGATGCCATATGTGCCTTATTTTCCGATTCCATGGAGGACGATGAAACCACGCAAATAATATAACAAATACAACGAAAAATCAACGGATTGGTACAGCGATCCTCAAATTCAGCTACAAAGGGAGTGTGATTCCAGAAAATATAATCGGTCGAACAAATCATGGTCCGAACTGTGTGAGGCCGTGTCAAGATCCACATTCAGCGTCTCAAAGAAGACCTTGTAAGTCATGTTGCCACCGAGAGTTTCGAGGTCTACTAAAGGTGCACGCTTGCTAGATCGACGCTTGTGGGGTGCCCTCTCGTTGGCTTTTGCGTGTGCCCATGCGACCAACTCTGCGAGAGGTCTGAGCCAGGAGTCGAGAATAGGCCTGAAGGGCGCTGTCACTGCCTCGCTCAGCACTTCGAATTCATCCTTGGTCTTGGCGAAAAAGGCTATCTTCTTGTCTTTGACATCGCCCCAAGTCGCCACCGACCAATGCTCCACGATTTGATGCTGTTTTTTCACCTCTGTTCCATTGAGAAGAAAAGCGCACGCTGACCACAGTAGGATGTAGAAGAGCGACTCGAGGTCGTGGCGGTAGAAATAAGGAGACCCCATCTTCGGTCCCAGATGGTCGACGGCCATGAACGGCCCAGTCCCCGTCCGGTGACGAGAAGACACACTATCTCTAGATTTCATGTCGATTGCAAGGTCCCAGTCGATGAGAATCCCATACGGTTTTCCAGATCTCACTCCGAACATCACGTTATTGATGCTAAGGTCGTGGTGAAGGATACTCGCCCTCTTGTAAACAACACGGCGGGCTCATAGAAGGTTTGGGCATATTTATTGTACATCATCACACAGAAAGGCGTACCTCTGACAAGGTCGATGAAGACTGACTGGAACTCTGGGATCGTGTTCAGCTGCTTCAGGTGCTGGTAGCGGTCACGCGCAAGAACGCGGAGAGCCCGAGTCTCAACGTCGCCCGGCAGTGACTGAATCGATTCCTCTATCCGAGGCAGGCCCAATCGCAAGCCCTCCAGTGTCGTCGACATCCGCATCCGACTCACATGCCACGCCTCCTTCGATCCAATCGCCTTCCGTATCCGTCGTATCAGCACGTCCTCAGACACACGCGTCGCAGCCGGTCAGCTGAACCTGATCACAAGCTTCTGCAAGTGATCGACGTCCGCCAGGCCACTGTCGGCGAACGCAGAAACAGGTAGCACTGATGTTCCCCGGCCTACGATCCCAGCTTGGACGTAGATCAGTGATCCGATGATCTTCAAACGGACGACACCGGGGACCGATTGGCCCTCCGAGTCGATCCCTTCGTCGATATGGATCTCCCAGCCTCTTATGTCTCGAGGAGGTTTGAGTCGGATGGGATGTTCTAGGCGCATCGGAGAAGCGATGGTAGACGTCGGACGGATCATGGGCTCGAACCCAAAATGCTTCATGTCGCACGTCGTGACCGCGGCAATGGCGAGAATGAAAAGCCTCGGATTCTCCACCAGGTCGAACTCTTCGCTCTTGATCACTCCAATCCGGTCGTAGTACCATAGTGAGACCTTGAGGTCTGTGATCATAAACGACATCACGTACCGCCGACGACCATCGCCGAGGCATTCGGACGCATAGTTGGCCGCTTGGATTTCGTCCGCGGTCATCCGTGGTTTCAGTTTCCATTTATTCAGGTGCGTCTCGAAATTTTCGGGTTCTGTCCCCGTCCCGACGACGCTGGTCGAAGCGCCTGCGTTTGGAACCTCGATTGGTACTGGATTGGTCGAGTGGCTCTCACCATCTGAGCTCTTTGAATCAGTGCTCTAATCGCGATTGACTCGTTCGCGGGGGGGAGACCTTCGTCCGAGACATTCTTCCGCTTCAATCCTTCCTATTTCCACTCGTTTTCCGTCTCGGGGGCAATGGCCACCGGTTCTGAGATCGCCGCCGGAGCCTGCGGGAACAGAATGACGGCGTCGTGGTCTATTAGGAGAAACCTCTTGAACTCCATAAAGCACGGGATGGTTTCCCATCGGAGCCGGGCTTTCGAGTATTTGTCGGGGTTGTCCTGCGCCAATCGATATTCTTCCACTGCTCGTTTCCCGATGATTCCCATATCCAATTTCCGGTTGCTCCTGTCGCTTCGGATGTAAGTCGATCCAAGCGGCTCGAACGAAACGGGCAAAGGCGACTCCAGCTTCAGCACCTCGACGAGCTTGGCCACGGTTGAGTCAATGAGCCTCGCAAAGGGAGCATATCGGTATGGCTCAGGGTAATGGAACGTAGCTTTGTATGCCTCAACCAGAGTCTCATCGAGCTGGAAGAGATAGAAGAAATTCTTCCACTGAAGGCGGTCAGGATGGAATCCCCAGATGCGATAGACGAAATCCTCGATCAAGAGATCGATTTGGAGGGTATTGATGAGCTCTTCCTTGAGCAATGGTTTGACGATAGATCTTGTGAGCCCCCTTGCGATACTTCCACCAAGACTTTCTTTAAAGGGTGTCGATGAGCGGACGACGACCGCAGGGCCAATGCGAGGAGATTGCATTGTTAATGGTTGAATTGATGAGACATGAGGAGACGAAGTTAATAGATAATAGAATGTATAGCATCAATGCATACGCTTGGACCGAGAGACTGTCGATGCTTGGACCGAAAAACAGCGACCGAAAAACAACGAGCTCTGCAAGGCGTGTTGATGGTCGCTTGAGAGTTGGGTGGAGATCTGAGACAAGTTGTGATGCACTTGGAACTCCGCGTGTTGAACCGGGAACCGTCTGCGCTCGATCCTACGTTAAGAAGCCTCTTGAGTACAAAGCGTTTTGTTCTGACCATGCTTGTCGCCATCGCATTTCTCCGGGTGAATCGACTCCTACCCGGTTCGATTGTCTTGCCTCATGATCAGCAATCGCCTCGAAGTACACATGGCCTGCCTTCTCTTCCTCTCATGCTTCTCGACACTATACATGTCTGATCTACGCTCGTATCACCTGCCATATAGCCTTCCCAGCGACGTCAACTCCATCGTTCCTCAAGTTAGCCCTGGCCCGAGCATCATCCGCCGTTTCAGTGTCTATGATCCCATTTGCACTTCGCAAATCAACGAGCTCTTTCACAATCGACGCTGTAAACTCTGGGTGACCTTGCAGAGTAAGAATCTGGATGTGTGGGAGAGCTTTTTCTGCCGAAATGCCTCCTGTGGGAGGAGAGAAGCGAACAAAGCCCTGGTTCATGGATACGGATGTCGAGCCAAGAAGATGGCATGATGGAGGGATCGTCGGAACGTGGTCTCTATGCATCTGTTGAATATTCTGTGCCATGCCGGCTCTGTCAGCTGACAATATTAGCGATCAGGATAGAGAAACGGACCAAGACATCGGCACCAAATATCCTCTTCCCAAGGTCGGTGAGCCCAACCTCCGTCACACCCACTTCCCATTTTCCGCCATTTGGCACACAGTCCTCTCCCAGGGCGCGCGCAATAATTTGATGGCCGAAGCATATGCCTGCATGTCGTTAACAGCCATCTCAAGTCACTGTGCGATGGAGCGCACCAATTATCTTCAATTCCGGCTTAGCAGTAGAGATGTTCGCAACCCATTTTACGAGATTGCTTATCCATGGTACATCCTCATACGCGGATGCCGCTTCAATGAACGTCATGATAAGTGTCGATGTAAACAGGGAATGATCGTACGTGCCTGATCCAGTAATGACAACCCCAGCATAATCATCTAGCTGAGAATCTCCTGGATACTCCATCTTATTTCTGATATCATACGCATCGATCGCGAAGTCTACAAGTTCAGATGGGAGTGCCGAACGAAAGAATGTCTTGAAGATCTCATGATAATCGCCTGAGGACTGAAGAACAGCGGGGATAGGTGTGTCGCAGAGCAGAAGTGCCAGGCGAGGAGTTTTCTGAGACATTGTTAATAGCTAGGTTTCACGTTGTGGGTGGTGGGTTTGGAGTCGGACAGATTCAGTCGCATAAATATGACTCTGACAGCGCGATTAGATAAGATAATACGGAAGAGATTAGATAAAAGCCTGCCGCCGGCCGACAGTACTTATCAATCGCGCTCCCGATACCCAAGTACAATGCGGATCTGTATGGATAATTTACAATGTTGACGAAGATAAAGGTATGTGAGACAAACAGCAGACAGGTGTAAGAGGGTCAATATGAAGACAACATGGTATCATGATGGAGAGCAGGAGCGAACGCAGAGCACTCGAAGAATAGGGCGGGATGCTCGTCATGTCTTGAATATGATGATCAGGACCAAGAGAACAAGTATAAGAGTTGCGATCGTTACTGTCGACCCTACGGCATCAGTGTAGCTTAGTCCTGAAAGGGAGACGCAACAGAAACTTGATGCGAAGATGACGTACCGTTGTTCCTTGCACCCTTTGCGACGCGTTCTAGCTGTCGCCGTGCACCTCCCAATCGACTCTCCGTCCGGTCCAAATCGTGATCCAGTTCCTGTAACAGCCCTGTATGGACATCCAGCTCGTCGTTTATTTGTATCGAGATATCGCGCTGCCGATTCACTGAGCGTGATAGATTCTCGAGATGTAAGTCTTGATCTGCATACCACGCAACATGCTTCAACCAAAGGGACGAGAGTAATGAAATAAATGAATAATTACGGTCCATCATTCGTCTCTGCTCCTGTAGCATGAGTGCAGGGTCAAGACCAGCCTCAGGGTCGTCTGTGTACGGTGTGTAGATCGGCTCCTCAGATAGCTTCCCGTTCTTTGTCCCTTCCGATGGTGTTGAGGCACCTGAGTTTGGTCGTGACCCCGACGCCTCACTACCAGGCTGCCCTAATGTCCCGACTGTTTTCCCGTCCTCCTGGAAAGCCTCTATCCCCATTACTTCCGCGTCTTCTCCCAGCATGCCCCTCATCCTCCCAAACTGACTCTTCAGAAGGACAACAGCCTCACTCCGCCCATGCTTCTCCTCCATATCCAAGATAGCCTTCCTTAACTGTTTAAGATTTCGTGATATCTGTGGTAGATGCAGGTTTGTCGTCGTTGGCTGCGCACCGAGTGGTGAGAGCGACTGCAGTCGCTGGCGTTCAAGAAGGAGGGAAAGAGTTTGGGTGGATAGCGAGGTTAGTTTGGCGAGCGACATGATGTATGCCGGTGAGCTATGGCTTGCAATAGTGCAGTCAAGATGGAACAGGTTCTAGAGGCCGTATGTTGTCTCGAGACCTCTAGCGCCCAGCCAGCGGTTCGTCGTATATGACACACTGTCACGAGCGTACGGTCACTGTCACAGGACTATTCTAGTTCTCTGAACGCCTTCTAAAAGGTTTTATGAGCCCTAGCAACTTCTGAGTATTGTATTTAGACACTGGAGCTTGGGGATATGTATACTTGCACCCAGAGACCCTTGACATCAATTAAGTGATACAGGAAGGAGGCCTGTTACTGAGGAAGCCGTTTGCCAAGTTTTAGTTGATAGGCCTGGGGAGGCATACAGTAAGCATATTGGATCTAAGGCAGCACGGAGCGCGTTTCAGTGAGCGGCTGTATACTATATATTCAACAACCATGTCAAAATCTTTCGCAAAGTGCTCTGCTATGCCGTGAATCCTGCTGATGAAAGTACGATCTGTCTTCGTTCCAGGTAGTCCTCGTCCACCTCTTGGGTGTCCCTGCAACTGCACTTGTGATGATGAGATGGACCGAACAGTACCAATGTTGTCCCCAAAGCAATCGCCGATACAGCGTGAACCTTGGCCGAGTCACCTACACACCGCTCGGTGTGGATACCTCTTTGCTCTTCTTTTTCTTCTTTGCCCCGATTGTCCTATCTGCTTGAAGAGCCCCTTGATCATCGTCCCGCCGCCGCTTCTTACTCTCTGGAACTTGGACGTCTCTTGTGGAGGAATCAGTTTCCATTCCTTCTGCGAATTTTTGTAGAGAGTTGGCTATCTGTGTGTCAGGCTCTGCTACGCTCTCTAGTATAGGCTGCGACATGAATGATTCGGGTATGATGACCTTGGGTTCAGAGAAAACAGCTCTGTATGTTTTGCGCGTTTCTGTAAATATACGGATGTGTGAGCGCGCCGTGAAAATTGCAACAGATGAAGACGCACGGGCGCGTAACACTAGCGACTTCGGTGTTGTCGTTGACGCGTCATGAGCAAGGTTCTGCGGAAGCCCGAGAAACGTGATTCTGAACCAACATTAGCGCAGTCCCGCCGCCGGCCGTCAAAAATGAAGGAAGATGCTCACAGGTTTCCTACATCCCTGGGAGCTCGCAGCTCCAATTCACCAGTTACCCCGCCGCTCACTACCACTCCTTTACCTTTCGTGACCCTGACAACCTCTCTTGCACCCGCCCACCAGTTCCGCTTCGTTCCTGCCCCCCCTCCACCGTCTGTCTCTTCTGCCCCACCCAACGCACCGGTATAATTGATCTCGAACACTGCGCCGTTCCTCAGTGCTGCGCGCACGACCTTGTGTTTCATGCGAAAGGGGAGACGGGGGAGGGTGAGAGGAAGGGATAGGATGTGGGCAGTCAGGGAGGAAGGGGCCGTGTGCGTCAGGCATGCAAGAGAGAACGTGGTTTCAGTGGTGGGATGCAAAGCTATGATGTCGTATGCTGTGAAGAGAGAGGCGTTGGCATTTGTCTATGGTCGCGTTAATGAAGTTGACGACCACATAGACGAAAGGCTCTGCACGCACGAGCCCGAATCCCTTTTCGCTATCTTCATCCAGAACGACTGTCAATCGCTTCAGGTATATGATACCCTGGCGTTTTCGCAGCTGTCCGAGCAATGGATCGAGTGCATTGACGAACGCTTTCGGCTCTACTTTTTTATACACCGTCTGATTGAGCGCGATAACAGTGTATCCTACTATCTATCAGTATCAACGCGAGTTCGAAGTCATGACCTGAATTAGAGACGAACATTGAACAAGCAAATCAAGACGCGTCTCAAAGGCTGTGATCTGTGAAGGTGTAAAGAGGGATCCGGCAGTGCTGGTCGAGGCAGAGGGCTGCTTTCCCTTTCCTTTCTTCGATTGCACTTGTGCAGTAGATTGTGTTGGTTGTGGAATAGGCACATTCAAGTCAAAGTACATCCTGGACTGCAAGAGTGTGGGCTTTCGGGTGAAGCGCTCATGCGAGAGCGCGGGAATCAGACCTGATGCGGCCAAGGCGATGTTCGCAGCCGCCTTCTCCCCGCTCCCCCCTTCGCCCATGCAATCCCTACTGCATTTTCGTCATAATTCATACAAGTAGAATCATTTTGGATGCCGCAAGAAAACGCTTCATTAACCGTCATCAACAGCATTACATCGGCCCCCGCCCAGAAATCCGCAGGGAAAAGGTAAGTAGAGAAAAAACAAATGTCGAAGGAAGATTAGATGTCGTCTCTTCACAAGTCTACCAAGTGTCTACCACCACCTGACACCGCCAAAACCTGCCCAGTCCTGTAGCTTGACGTTGTCCCCGACGTAAGGTCTTCAGACTCGACGCAACAGCCAGATAGCCATCAGATGACGAAACGAGCTCATGACCACGTCCGCATCGATCTTCGAGATGTACTGAGGGTCTGAGATGGCAATATCAGCCCGTGATCGATAGGACGGCAGAATGGCAGGGGAGGCTGATTGTGTGGCATGGATGGTACAAATGCATAAAAGCTGAGACTCACCGTCACTTGTTCTTCGCGCTTCTCTCCGTCTTTGTCCTCGTCCTCGCCTTCGTCATCTTCGCCCCCGCTTTCGTCCCCTTGGCCTTCACCTGCGCCCTCGTCTTCGCCCCTGACTTCTTTGCTGATTGATCGAGAATCTTGTGCACCTCCCGTCTATGCCTCATCAGCGCGTCTTTTCGGCCGAACGCCTTTTGGCAACCATGCTCCTCGCACTTGAAAGGCCTTGGGCCCTTGATGTCTCCTTGGATGTCTCCAATCTCGGCCTCTCGCCTGGCATGCTTGTCTGTCAGGCAGTGGTTCTTGCGCTCTTTCTCCCGATGGAAGCCTTCTGAGCAGATGTGGCAGTTCCAAGGAGTGGACATGTAAGGTGCCTGCCTTGATCCTCCGTTATCGTGTGCGGGGGACGTCGGCTGCGATGGCGGAAGCTCTTGTTTCGACACTGGGACAGTGTCGGGTATTGATCCGTCTTCGGGGAGATCGTCCTCGAAGTCGGTCTTGCTTGATGTCTGAGTGTTGATTTTGAGGGCATTGCCCTCGTGGTCGGCGGGGGCTCCATTGTCCCCGCGGCATGCTGTGCTCGAGGAGGCCAACGTGTCCTCTATGGATCTCTTCGCATACTTCGGGGAAGATTTCCTGTCTGTATGGTCATCGACTTCGGTGCGTCTCCTTTTCATGCCTGCCTGTAGGGGAAGGGAGCAACCCGACACCTTCTCTACTGTTCCAGGCTTTGGAAAATCATCTGCGAGCGTCAATCAAGAGCAAGGCATGAGTTGGTCATGGAGAAGGATGATTGGAAGGATGAATGGTGTCGTACGATGAGTACAAGTGCTGCAAAGTTGATCGGGTGGCTCACCACCACCTTGCGCAGCAAGAGGTTGAAATTGAAGAACAAAAGGGATCTCGCCCATGATATCCATTGCTTGAGTAACATTGGATTTGTCCCGGTGTGTTCGAACGGGGGAGGAGAGGTAGTTGGAGTATGACCATCCATAGGGACATATTGTGACTCCCGTTCTTGACGTGAGGGTGGTGCAATGTTGGAATAATAGTTGCTTTTGGTGAAAACTCAATATTTCCCCTGCCTAAGGTCTCTGGCATGCATTTCTTCTATGTGCATAGTTTCGTGCCTTTTGGCCTTAGCCACTAGTTTGTCCCAGGTGGTTTGTGTTGCTAGGTCTTGGTAAATTCTTCGGGCCAATTCCTATTTGAGGCCCCTCAAGAAGTGCATTTTCTTGGTTTCAAGATCAACCCCGGCTAGTTTGGCAATTTGTTCGAATAGCTGAACATATGCTTTGAAGGATTCTGTTCCTTGGTTGATCCTAGCCAGCTTGTCTCTGGCATCTGCTGTCTTGTTGAATTCTTCGAAGTCCATAGAGATTTTCTGATGGACCAAGATCATGTCTTGGGTTGGTTTCCATGTGTATAATTCCCAGTCCTCATTTGAGTTCCTTGCTTTGGTAAAATTCCTTGACCATATCTCGGCAGATCCTCCTTTCATGTAGGATAGCACATAAGCAATCTTGGTAAATGTGTCTGGTAAGTCATATTTCCTGGTGAGGATCATTAGGTTAATTTTGTGGAGGAACTGCTCAGTTTGTTTCCTGTTTCCATCAAAGGGGGTGGGTTTGGCCATAGCCAGTCCCTTGAACTCAGGATTTCTAGTATTTGTTGACATGTCACTGGTTGGGGGCTACAGATTGTTAGGAGGCCTTCCATCTGAATCTGATTCTTGAGTATGCTCTTCCCAGGGGTTCAGAAGCTTGCTTGCATCTGGAAAACCACCCCCTTGTATTAGCTCCGGATTATATCTAATAGTGTCTAAAAGTATCTAAAAGTGTTAATAGCATCTAAAAATGTCTAATTTCCTAATTGGGAGCAACACATTATGAGCATTGGATTGGTTTCTAATTTTATGATATTAGCACTAATTTTATACTAAGAAGTCTTTCATTAGCAGTAGGAAATAGTAAGTACTACTGCTTTATCAGTAAGAAGGTAATGATGTGGCACATTCTATACTATTTTAGCACATTACTCTCCTTCATATATGCATATACCATTATCTTGTAGCTCTTTTGCCAACTTTCCAGCTGCCTTTGAAAGGGACATAGAAAGAGAGAAATATGCATTGATGCCCCCAGCCACTTTGTTGGCAGCTTGGCAGTTGCCACAAGAGGCTATGAAGACCTTGGTACCTTGGCCTTGCACACAAGATTATTAAAATTGTCATTGTTAGCCAATGCCTGCTACTAGTCATTATAGGACACAACATGTGGGTTGGGCTTAGGAATATGCTATATGCAGCCTTGTAGACCTTGTCTATTAGTACAATGGTCAATACTATCTTGTGCAGCACACAATCATCATCACTATTGATATTACAATTTTTAGCACTATTTATATTGTTCATTGCCTTGTTATACAGAAGATGCTCAAACTTGGTGTTTTTCTCTATGGAAAAGACAGTCATGTGAATATGTGGTGCCAGAATGATATATTTGCCTGCCATATAGGAAATATGTGCACTAAGCATATTAAAATCACCTCCAACAATCTTGTGCTTATTTATATATAGGCATGCCATATATATACCCTTGTCCCCACCCTCTACCTCACTAGTGGCTATTTGGAAAACCTCTCTCTCTTATTGGATCTTAATTATTTATAATCATGTTTTTGATCAAATTTGCAAATTAAGGTAGCATTGTCTATACTAGTAGAGTCCCATTGAATATTACACTCAATCATAGTTTTACACATTCTCAATCCAAATTGTGTAAGTGCCATAATTTATTTTTACCCTATATAAAGTGTATTATTTATTTTCCATTGGTTTATCATCTTCTTAGCTGGTGTTTAAACTAAATCCTGAAAGACCTGACTTTTTAGGTATTTATTGACTTATTTATTTATAAGAGAGAGGAAAGATAAATGTTGAATAAAATCAGAGGTGTTGAGGTTGCCTATATTATGTCTACTTATTTAGATTACCAAGTTTATATATTAGACCTTGTGGCTTAGTGGCTTAGAGCATCTGTCCTAGGTGCTTGCATATATGAGGTTGTTGGCTCAACTCTGGCAGAAGGCAGGTTTGTTATAAGGTATATTCTGTGTTTAGGTATTTAACTAGTGCTCTAATAGACATGACTTTATAGGAAGGCTATGAGAACTGTAATGCTTGATTTATTATTATTGTTCTGAAATTTCAAGTTATAATCAATCCTAATAATTCCTAATTTAGGAAAATTATGTCTAATTAGAACAGGTTTAGAGGGGGTAAGCTAAAAATGTCTAATCCTAATCTTTCATAATTTAGTATAGTAGAGCATCAATTATAGCTAATTATAGCTTAATACAAGGGGGTGGTTTTCCAGATGAAGTAAAATCCAAAACAAGCAGGTGTGGTATTGATTGCATCTGGGGATGACTCTCAAGACATCACTAGTCCGAAATCATGACTAGTGGACTCTGCCAATTCCGGCAGTTCCTTTTGGGCTCTAGTAATCTAGTGCTGCTGTACAGGCCGTTTTAGCTACTATACGGACTCCTGATGGCCCTTCAAAGTGATTGGATTTTGAGGATTCCGATGTCAACACAATTGGATGGGGAAAGAATCGACTCACCTGATGAAAACCCCTATTATACCAAGAAGGCACACGACGTTCCGTGCTCAAGCAGGCTCAAGCCCCCGTTGAAGGTCGCTCATTGCAGGGTCGCAGATTCAGCTCAGGCCATATCGACGTGACGGCGTGACCGTTCCTAGATCAACGCGCGGAGTTTCAACTGAACAGCGACTTGTCTCAGACCTTCTCAGCACTCGTCGATGATGATCAACACGCCTTGCAGCGCGTATTGTTCTCTAAAGCTCGGCCCAAGCATCGACAACCTTCTGGTCAAAGCGTACGCATCAATATATTTAAATATCCTCGCCTCCATTTCCTTTCTCTCCCATGTCTCACCATTCGAAATACTCACAATGCAGCCTCCTCGAACAGGTACTGCGTTCCGCGTCCGCCGCCCATCGTCGCTCTTCAAAGAAAGTCTTGGTGGAAGTATCGCAAGGAGGCTTACAAGGCCTATCGTCAAACCATTGCTCAAGGAAGAGCTCATGGATACCCTTCAAGTCGGTCTCTTGATCGAGGATTTCGTCTATCGCATCTGGGGATTCCATCCTGATCGCCTCCAATGGGAGAAGTTCTTTAAGGACCTGCAGCTTGATAAGACACTGGTTGAAGCATATAAGGCTACGTTCCAGCACGCCGAGAGATACCGATATGCTCCCTTTGCGAGGCTCATTGACTCAACCGTGGCCAAGCTCGTCGAGGTGCTGAAGCTGGAGTCGCCTTTGCCCGTTTCGTTCGAGCCGCTTGGATCGACTTACATCCGAAGCGACAGGAGCAACCGGAAACCAGATATGGGAATCATCGGGAAACAAGCAGTGGAAGAGTATCGATTGGCGCAGGACGGCCCTGACAAGCATTCAAAAGCCCAACTTCGATGGGAAATAGTCCCGTGCTTCATGGAATTCAAGAGGTTTCTCCCGATAGACCACGATGCCGTCATTCTGTTTCAACAGGCTCCGGCGGCGATCTCAGAGCCGGTGGCGATTACCCTCAAGCCGGACGACGAGTGCAGACAGGAAGGATTGAAGCGGAAGAATGTCTCGGACGAAGGTCTCCCGCCCGCAAAACGAGTCAACCAGGATCCAAGCATCACCTCTGACAGATCCGATAGATCTGACGGCTCAGTTGATGAAAGCCACTCGACCAGTTCAGTACCAATCGAGGTTCCAAACGCAGGCGCTTCGATCAGCGCCGTCGGGACGGGGACAGAACCCGAAAATTTCGAAACGCACCGGAGCAGATGTAAACTGAATCCTCAAATGACCGAGGACGAACTTCAATCGGCCAACTATGCATCCGAATGCCTCGGCGATGGTCGTCGGCGGTACGTGACATCTTTCATGATCACAGACCTCAAAGTGTCTCTATGGTACTACGACCGGATTGGAGTGATCAAGAGCGAAGAGTTCGACCTGGTGGAGAATCCGAGGCTTTTCGTTCTTGCCATTGCCGCGGTCACGACGTGCGACATGAAGCATTTTGGGTTCGAGCCCATGATCCACCCGCCTTCTACCATCCCTCCTCCAATGCGCCTAGAACATCCCATCCGACTCGAACCTCCCCGCAACATCAGCGGTTGGGAGATCCATATCGACGAAGGGGTTGACTCGGAGGGCAAAACGGTCCCTGGCATTGTCCGTTTGAAGATCACCGGAGCTCCGATCTACGTCCAAGCCGGGATCGTAGGCCGGGGAACGTCAGTGCTACCTGTTTCTGCGTTCGCCGACAGTGGACTGGCGGCCGTCAAGTCCTCGCAGAAGCTTGTGGTCAAGTTCAGCTGGCCGGCTGCGACGCGTGTTCCCGAGGACGTGCTGATACGACGGATACGGAAGGCGATTGGATCGAAGGAGGCGCGGCACGTGAGTCGGATGCGGATGTCGACGACACTGGAGGGCTTGCGATTGGGCCTGCCTCGGATAGAGGAATCGATTCAGTCACTGCCGGGCGACGTTGAGACTCGGGTTCTCCGCGTTCTGGTGTGCGATCGCTATCAGCACCTGAATAAACTGAAGACGATCTCAGAGTTCCAATCAGTCTTCATCGATCTTGTCAGAGGTACGCCTTGACGTGTGATTGCGCGCACTGTCTGTGCTTATTTCTCTAATAGCCCATCGCGTTGTTTACAAGAGAGCGGGTATCCTCCACCGTGACCTGAGCATCAACAACGTGATGTTCGGAATGAGATCTGGAAAGCCGTATGGGATTCTCATCGACTGGGACCTCGCGATTGACATGAAACTGAGAGAAGATGACGGAGACGGTCCGTCTTCTCGTTACCGGACAGGGACAGGACCGTTCATGGCCATTGATCTTTTGAAGCCGAAGATGGGACCTCCTCATTATTACCGTCACGACCTCGAGTCGTTCTTCTACATCCTGTTGTGGTCAGCGTGCACTTTTCTTCTCAACGGAACAGAAGTGAAGAAGCAGCATAAACTCGTGGAACCTTGGTCGGTGGTGAATTGGGGCGATATCCGAGACAAGAAAGTGGTGTTTTTCACCCGAGCCGGCGAAGGTTTTGGAGGATTGGATGAAGCCGTTACCGAACCTTTCAGGCCTCTCCTTGACTCCTGGATCCGGCCTCTAGGACGAATGATTGCGACAGCGCGTTCAACGTCAGAGCTTGCTCAGTTGAACGACAGTCCGTTCGACCCCGAGACTTGGGGTGGCCTCATGACTTACCGTAAATTCTTGGGAATCCTCAGCGTAGACTTCAAGAACGCGCCGCACAGTTTGGACACGGATTTGCTCGACTGATTTCACGTTTATATATCACATTCCCTTTGTAGCTCTATCGAGGATCGCTAATCCATTCTCTAAAGGTTATCTGTTGTATCTTTTATGTTATTTCCATTGTTCTTTATACGGATGCACTACGAATTTCGAAGATCAGTGGAGCGGGGCTCGCATCATCAAATTCACGGCAGAACACGCACCAGACCAACGTTCATACTTCTTACTCTACCGGGACCAGAAGATAAGCATCCATGTGTCATATTAGAGAGTTTGTAGAGCATGTCCGAATAAGAATAGATACGGCAAGGGAGACAATTATGCCGATCGAAGCGATATTGTATGTGTGCGGGGAGATGCATGAGAGATACTTGTGCGAATAATAAGAGAAACGATTAACGTATGTCAAAATATCCACATCGCGGGTTTTACTGAGAGGGGCACAATCGGACCTGAACTCAAGTCTCTATGCCCTCGGGAGGATTGCACCCTAGAAGCCAGCGTCAGCGACCCGTCGGCGTCACGTACGAGAGGGATCGAAGCACGTGACTCACACTCGCACGACGTCAGGCACTTGGTGCGGTAGACGAGCCCGCTGTCCTTGCAGCACCGGTGAATGCGCGCCTCCTGTTTCGGCGCGCCCTGCTTCCGCTTCGTCTCCGACGCGCGTAGGCGGGGCGCATACCCGCCCGGGAGACAGAACGCCTCGAGACGCGCGACGCGCGCGCCGGGTGGCACGCAGCAGCGCGACACGACCATGTCCGCGAGCGCGGTGTGGTACGCGGCGAGGTCCGTCGCGGCGCCGCAGCTGAGGTACATGTGCGCAAGGTGCGTGCTCTGCCCGGCGACGAGCGTGCCGTCGGGCGCGAACGCGTAGGAGAGCGCGTGCCGATGTACATCTGATCCAGCGCGAGCGAGACGAGTGCGGCGAGGCCCTCGAGACCCTTGCTGAGCCTGCCATCTTCGATGGAGCCCTCGCGGAGCGTGAGCGTGTGCAGGGAGGCGAAACAGTGCGTGGAGAGGCGGCGGAGGACGAGATGAAGGTGGATGTCTCCTGGCATCGAGAAGGAGGATAGGCGCAGGCTGCGGAGACGCGGCAGGATGAGAGAGTCGAGGAGCACGACGAGAGAGCTCGGTTTCATCATAGATTGGACGCTCAGATGAAGAAGCTTGGGCAAGACGATCTGTGTGGGGCTGCTGATAACCTGCTGGTGGTAGAACGATATCGAGAGAACGGTAGGGTTCCGTGAGTAATTCACGGACAGTTATTAACAAATGTTAATAACATTTGCTCCTATGAGGAATTTCTAACATGAGTAAATAACAGATTAATAACAATTGTATATAAATTGTTATTAACATGTTAAAAATCGGTTTATTTACATGTTAATAAAGAAAGTGGTGTTATTGACAAGAAGTCACCAGCTCCAGTCAATATCGGAGCTGGGAATGGAAGGGGGGGGCTTCAGGGGGGGGTGGGGTGGGGGGCTCGTGGCAGTGTACCTTGGAGTATCAGATAGCAGATCTGCGAAGGCCTCCTCACGGATTGCAAACTCCTGCACGATATTGAGTGCAGAAGCCCGGCACGGGGGTCCTCTCTGTCGGCCATCCATGTCATGGTCCAAGTCGTCTGAGTCGTCATCAGAATCGGAGCCATCCAAGGTGAAGGTGGCAGTGTCCGCCATGTCAGCGATGCCCTCGGGTGATGAACGAGAGATGGCAGCCTTGAGATCGTCTTCAAGATCGTGGAACTTGACGGTCGGGCACTTTTCTGGCACTTTGTCTTTGGTCTATAGAACAGATGAGCCACAGCATGGGAAAGAGAGGGATGTACATACCGCATGGGTGCCATACCACTGTCCAATGACAGTCATATCCATGGGCAACTGTGCGTGCTGGCGTCCCCGCAGCGCCGAATTGAACCAAGTGAATCTTGAACCGGTCCACTCATCTGGCATTGAGTTCACGAGAATGGAGAAGACTCTCTCAGCAAGCATCTAAAAATGAATAGGAAAGGTTAGTTGTATGCAGAAGGAAGTGAGGAGCTGCAGCGCACCGCAAGAATGTCTGCTTCTGGATCGTTTGTGAATTGCTGCCACCAGCCCAGAACATCGCCATCTTGGATGGGCTTGGCCCTGTCAAAGGGGGCCTTCTCCCGTCAATATGCATCAAGCTGCAACCGGAATTTTGCAACGGCCATGGTGCCGCTAAGCCTTTTGAGTACGGGGTGCGTGCCTTCCGGATGGGTATCCATATGCTCCACCATTGGCTTGAGCATCTTATCCCGAAGGAATGCTTTCATGCGGTTGAATGGATGAGGATGTGGAATATTGAGGTCAGATCCCCGTTTGGGAATCACAATGACAGGATTGGCGGCTGCAGAGTTGATCAAGAAGTCCGACCGTGGGTATCCTGTCACCAAAAATAAATGCAATATGAGAATCTATTCAATTGAATCAGGAAAAAGGCACAAACTAGGATCCAATATGAAAACCGTAATATGGAAGTCCTTGCAGTCTTCAAAGAAGGCGTCAAAGCACTCGTTGATTATGCCCATGACTGTTACGAACTGCTCGTTCGGTAACCCCAAGAGTAGGAGGTTCTTCCCTAGGTCACTCGAGGAGGATGTGTGGAACGGTGGTCTCGACTGTACGTGTAGCACAGGAGCCAGAGATGTATTGCGATATAGCAATGGAGGCTGTAGTAGGAAGACTATAGTGAATGAAGTAGACAGTGTGAAGACTGTCTAAGAACGAAGAGAATAGACTGAAGAACCTCAGCCTACTCTATGGGCCTTTTATACTACTTTAGGAAATAGGGGGTGAGAATACCGTATATGTATCCGTAGGTATTCTCTAAGTCGTCTCTCTCAATAACGACTACTCTTGTGCTTCTCCGTTCGTCTCCTTCCGGCCAGGAAAGACTAGGAGCTCAATGCCCGGTGTATGAGTAGTTTGTAAGGCAGCATTCTATGCCCGTCGCAATATGGCTCGTGATACTCGACCAACGATAAGGTGATCCGTTGGGAGTGGATGACCAAGGTTACTATCTGTACCTTGTTGTACGCCTCACCTTGTGAGGCCGCTCGATATTTGTGATGATCGTGTCGGTATAGACCGCCGTTAAGGCCCAACAGAACGTGATCATAACAATGACTTCCTCGGCAAGCTCCATTGTAATGCCGGTCTTCTGCTGTCTGAGATCAAAGAGCTTGCGCAGCGCGGCGCCCATCGCTAGGTGGAATACATACACATCGGAAGTGTTGGCCTGCGTTGATTCAAGTGCCCAAAGGGACCAGATCAGGGGCTGGATGATCCCGATGTATTGTAGCAGCCCAAGTTTGAGCCGGTGGTAATCTTCGGACACCTGGTGGGCAAATAAGTTCTGGACTTCCTTGTGCTATTGAAAGCATCAATGAATAGAAATATAACTATTTTTAGTCCAAGCACACCTTCAATTTGATGATGCCAGATTGCACCAGTTGCCGAACTTGAGGTAAACTTATCTCAAGTGAATGGGCACCAGACTAGTGGGTGCCAAATCAAGTCTTCCCAATATTCTGGAGTGCACTGACATGTTTACCATCACCACCCTTGAATTGCATGCGAAGATGTGCTTTGGCATATGTTGAACTGCCAAAGTATGCCAAAATTGCTTTCAAGATCTTGATCATCTAGAAGGTGACATGAGAGAAGTTCAATTCAAAGAAACACAGGCACACAGTACCCATTTAAATTAAGGCAGCTTGGTTATGGCCTTGATGATGTTGTGGATGTGATGGCATACATCTCAGAGATTTAATACAGTACTAATCTCAGTAGTGACTTCTCGATAAGTGGTGATACGCTAGAGGTAGCTCTAAGTGCCGAGCACAACACTAAAACAACCTCTAATGCAGGGGTGCTGGAGCTAGTATCTAATACACAAGGAATCATCAGTGATGACTTTAGAAATTGAAGGCATACTGAGAAGCAATCGGGGAGTGTGAGATTATAGCGCCCAAACGGTTTCAGGACTGCGCCAAACACCGACCGAATGTTCGGTTGGTCGTGTCGGCAATGCGGTCAGTAACGAGAAGGTAGTGTCGCAACTGACAACTACGTGCTTCAAGAGCCACACAGGACTCTGACAATATATGAGGGAGGACAGGGGTACAAGCAAAGAGACAAGTACGAACGCGAATGAAGCCGAACAATGAGGATGGCAAGTTTTCAGAAGTTGACAAAGACAATTTCGATGGTTGAGTAGAGTGCAAATGAGCTCTGAACTGTGGGGTGCGAAAGCTGGTTTATTCCAGAGTTGTATGTAGGTTTTTATAGTAAACAGAGCCCTTAAGTAAAATATTAAACAAGAAATGAGAGTAGATGTCAAATGGGCGCCAAGCCTTAGCGATCAGAGAAGATAAGAAGGTAGGTGAGATGTCCATATGGGTTCCGAAGGTGACAAGGTAAAAGTCAATCAGCGATGGCAACATCCCGAACATTTGGGATCCGTCGCCCAAGCATAGGTAGCAGGAACAGGCATTGGAGAACCAATGAAAAATCAAGAAGAGGTATTGTACGACCAGGGTAGCCAAGTAATGGTGCAAGATCGCATTTGACCGACCATGTGGAAGTTGGGAAGATAAGCAATAAGGACCGACCAACTCATGGAGGACATTGGCCGATACTGAATACTGGCTCCGATTTCATAAACACTTATCGTAACACTCCTATGCGGTCATGGTAAGTACGTGAAGTATGGGCAAACTGACCCAAGTGCTGCCAAACGTCCTTCGGTGGCTTGTCGTCTGTTGGGCAGGGACCGACCATGTTTGGTAAAAGTTGGCGTCTTTGGTACTTGTTGAGCGCTGTTCGGTATCTCCCCAAAGCTTCCCGAATACCTCCCTTGGACCCTAGCACAGGTGAATGCTCATCATCTCCTCCCTACTGAAATCCTGACTGTCCTCAGTCAGTTGGTTGGCGGCTAGGAGTTGGAGCGAAAAAATTTGCATGGCAATACTGCACGTGGATCAGGGCACGTAGTGTGTGGATGTGGGAAAGCGTCGGTAACAAGCAATGGCGTGGAAAAAGTGGGCGCGTGGGAGAGATGTGGCACAGGTGAATAATCGGCAAGGAGATGTCGTAGAACAGACTGGGTCAGAGCGCAAGAGAGACCAGGGCTGCATCGGCAAAGTCCTGTGGCATGGCAACTGATTAGGTGAGGGAGTGGCTGAAGCCTAGAGTGCCCCAACTAGGCGCTGGCATGGGAGTGTGTTGGCAAAGAGCGGTGATGCGTATCGTGGTTTCTGCTGAGCATAGTGGCGCGTGGCTTAGTCAGGTGACCACAATCACCTGATGACCATTGATTCTTCAGCAACTAAGTCCTTCATCGCCATTCTCTTGCTGCTTCGCCTCCTTATCCGATCCTCTCTGCCTCCCAACATGTCCTCTATCATTTCTGTCCTCAAAACCAAGCTTGGGGAGTATATGCTCACCCTTCCCGATGGCACTGCCGAGTATGAAGATTATGAGGCCTGGGTACAGGGTTTTGCCAAATGAGTGGTCAGTTGGTTCGTCCCTTTGCCTTCTGCTAGCTGCTGACGTCCTTGCAGGCTGTTTTCGACCGTTCGGCATGTGGGAAAGACGTGCCCGAACTCGCCGACTGGATTGCCAAGGCTGAGATTGGCCTCGATCCGATGGCTACTGACAACTGGCTGGTATGGGGGGCGCAAATCCTTCCACAGCGGGTGGTGCATGTCGCATTGCAGCAGCAGCAGGCGGCCGAGGAACAGGCCCTAGTGGAGGAGTAGGAGTGTGTTGCTGTCGCTAAACGGGAGGCTGCCGAAGCTGAGGTGGCTCGGGCTGCTGCGGCTTGGGAGTTGGCTGAAGTGGATCGTGAACAGTGCTGGGAGGTACTGGTGGATGCAATGTTTGATGGATCGCTCGATCCTGAAGAGGGTGAGCATCAGTTGGCTGAGCTTGAGGCCGAGTCTGTCATTCCTCTCCCTCTCTTCCTTCCTTCTCCTTCCCCTTCTGCCACCGTGTCCTCCTCCCATCCTGACCCATCCGCCGACTCGTCCCAGCCTGACCTGTCCACTGCCAATTCTACGCTCATGTCTGCAACTGATGCTCTGGATCAAATGAGCATGGGTTTGGTTGCCGCCGCTGCCCCGACCGACTTGAAGGGCAAATAGTCGGCCACAGCTGTTGTCGTCAAGTTCGCTCGTCAACCAACGCCACCTCTTGGGCACGTTGTCCTTCCTCTCGGCCCTGGAACGGGCCGAATGTCAACTGCTAGGTCCCCTGTAGAGCGGAATGGTGCTGGGAAGCTGCTCAAAGACCCTCCCAAATTATTACTGGGTGACGTCTTGGTGAGTTCCCTCCCTCTTGCCGCCGCTTTCTATTGCTGACCCTCCTTCTAGGCCAACTACGCTTGTCATCGCTGTGCGACCACCTTTCTGACCAAGGCGTTCCAATGCTACCAGTGACCTGGGCTGGTATTGTGCATGAAGTGTGCCAGGGAGTCGAAGGGGTGTAGCTTTCAGCCTGGGTGGACGCCGATGGATAAGGGGAAGGGGAAGGGGAAATCAAAGGAAAAGGGGAAGTCGGCGCCAAAGTTGGAGGAGAGGGGACGCCCCTTGAAGCGTTGTAAGGTAGAGGTGGTTGTTCCTGTACGGTCGATTGGTGATAGCATCGCTCAAACGAAAGGTAAGTCATCTTTTGTTTGAATCGGAGATGTGGAGCTCATCATTTGGTATCATTCGGCACAGCTGCTCATACCAGAAAGCTGGTCCAGTGGCTTCCTACCACTGCTAGGGCCACCCCCGCTCCTACCCGCCCTTCATGCGCTCGTTCGGCTGCCTTCCCCGTTCCCACCAACTCTTCTCGCCTCCCACCCATTGTCGCCCAAGGCATTGCATCTGAGCTTCGGTACCGTATTGCGGTGGCTGAGGGTACACATGCTTCGTTGGCGCGCTCGGTCAAGATGTGGCAGGCTGAACTTGAGTCGCTTGAGGTGCAGGCGGGTCCATCCCCATCCTCCAACGTTGTCTTGGTCGAGGACTTGTCGGCGGCAGACGATTTGGGAATGTCTGTGTCAGATGATGCGTAGGGTGGCTTTGAGAGTCCTATAATATAGTAAATTGTATTGTATAAAAGAAAAAGACTGTCCTGATTCAAATGAAACGTTTGGCTAAGCCTAGAAGCGTTTATTCGGGAAATCGGTTGGCAAAATGACTGTGTGTAAAAGTACTGGTAAGCGACATGTTTGGCAGAAATGAAGAAAATAAATTGGAATAGTAGGGGAAGCCTCAGTATGTCATCACAGGCATAAAACCCTATGGTTTTGCACAAATTGGAAGAAGTCTTCAATGCGGCTTGGTACTTGCAGGAGTGATGTGGAAAATGAGTGCCAACTATTCGGTCAGTGATCGGTCGGTGGTAAAAGTACTAAAAGTGTGGAAATGATTGGGCATCAGTCCATGTCTGTGATGAATAAACAAAAACAAAGGAATGGGTATATCTGTGAATCCTCCTCCCTATTGAGATTGTGACTGTCCCCAGTCACCGACCAAAGAGAGTGAAGGGTGGGAGGGTGGGATCTAGTCGGAGGTCACCAAAGCTGCATTGTTGTCTTCTGCCGACCGGACTGAGCTGGTGTTGGTATTGTCATCGGCACTATCGTTTTCGGTGTTGTCGTCGCTTGATCGGGAATCTTCCATGGCCCAAAGGCATTCCTACGAGATGTTGAGGAGGGCTTCAAGTTTGGTGAGCTTCAGAGACCTACGAGCAAAATAAGGAATAACACAGAATGCTGCAATTGGCCGATCAAAGACCAATCCGTCGAGTTCGGCCAGGATATATGCTCCTCCCCAATTCCTAGAAATTACTAGCAAAGGCCCTAAATACCATGGACGCATCTTCTGATTGAGCACCTTTTCTATGGCTGTGTTGCGCATCAGGACAAGCGAGCCTCGGTGGAAATTGAAGTCGCAAAGTGTGGCCGAGTGCTGTTATTCAAATCGGATGGCGGCCTGGACATAGGCGTCGACAACTGAGCTGCGAAGGTGGGCGAGGTCCGATCGGTGTTTCTGCAAAGCAATGGCCCATCGGGCGATGAGGTCGGTAGTGCTGAGGGTTGTGGTCGGCGGTGGCAGGAGGTAGGTGGCTTCGGCGATGTCGAGGGGAAGGAGGGGATGGGTTCTGGTCGCTGCAAAGTATGGCGAGCAACCCATTCGGCACCGAACAATAATGCGATCAGCCCAAAATACGAAATGAGCTGCACGATTCCACTTGGCCTGATCTCCGTCCACTGCCTTGAACAGAGCCTGCTGAACATCAAAGTGAGGTCGTTCAGCGATGCCGTTGGCGCGGGAATTGTAGCCTGAAATACGGATGTGCCGAATGTGGTACTTTTTTGCTAACTGGTCAAGCGCCTTGACGAATGCTGGTCCATTGTTGGAGATGATCTTTACCAGGGTTTCCCATCGGCACAGGATATCCTTGAAGATCCAGCCGGCAAGAGCTGAGCTTGTTTCGCACCGGAGCATTCGGAATTCTGGGTAGTGTGATACCAAACAGCAGCCTTGAATGAGATACTTGAAACCACTGGCGGTCAGCATATGCATAGTGTCCATATACATCTTCGCAAAGAGTGGTGCAGGCGTAGCAATGGTCGAGGGAATGAGGACGTTGCGAGTCTGGCAAATCTGGCAAAGGTGACACGTCCAAACGAACCAGGAAATGTCTTGCCTTATGTGCAGCCACCAGAAGCGTTCGGCGACCAAGACAGTCATGGCATAGAAACCCTTGTAAGCAACGTTGTCGTGGGTGGCAGTGAGAATTGTGATCCGACTAGAGGGGGCTGCAACGATCTTGTGTCGACCGTGCAAGTCTTTTCTCCATAGCTTGTCGGCTGCGATAAAAAACTCAGTGCAATATTGTAGAAAGGTGGCATATTCAGAATTGGAGAGAGAAGGGGGCCGAACCAATGTTCAGTGCCAGTCGCGGACCAACCATAGGCATTTCTCGACTTCCAAAGCTTTTTGCAATCTTGGGATATCTGAATAGTCAATGGTTGGGCCTTCGTCGTCAGAGTCGGCATCGGTCGGGAGGTCGCCTATGAGTGAGGAGGTAAAGATGGCCGTCGTTGAGGTTGAGTTGGTGGTGGGAAACATGTTGTTGATCTGATGGAGGAAGCTGTAGAGATTGTCAATCTAGTCGTCAAAGCCGTCTTCAGGTTCAGGTCGATTAGCAGGTTGTGGTAGTTGCCGGGAGAGACCATCGGGGCCATGAGAGGTGTCGGGGACGTGGATGAGTGTGAAATGGAAGGTGAGGATGGAGACGATTCACCAATTGATGCTAGCGCTGGGTTCAAGATCTAGGTTAGTGAGCATGCCCTTGATGTAGCGTGCGTCTACTTCGACTATCAGGTTCCGAACGCCAATGAGATACATCTTGAGTGATTGGAGGGCACAGAAGAGGCCGTAGAGTTCGAGTTTGGGTTGGGAGAATTGCGATTTGCGGTCGTGAAGGGTGATGGAGCTGAATTGGGCATAGTACCAAACCCGCGAATTGTTGAGTGCGCATTGACAGAGGTGGAAGCCGACTGCGATTTGTGAGGTATCGATGGTGAGGATGACGTTGGCCGCCAACCCATAGTCGATCAGCCAAAGGGCTGGCGATTCGAGAAGCGCCGACCAGAGGTCATCCTGGGCCGCTATCTGGTCTGGGCCAAACACAAATGGAAAATCTTTGCGCATTAACGTAGTCAGTGCATGTGCCCTGTGTGCAAAATTCTGAATAAAGATCTGAATAACACCAATTGTCCCCAAGAATGCCCGAACATCGGAGAGATCCCTGCACGGTCCCCACTTCATAATTGATTCTACCCTAGACTTGTCGGGCAACCTTCCTTCATACATGCAGCGATGGCCGACCACTGTGATTTCGGCTGCGCAGAGTGTTGCCTTGTGTCCTGAAAATGTTCCTCCGCTGTACTTCATCTGCTGAACCACTTGATTGAGGCCTTGAAAGTGTTCCCACACAAACCGTCATATGCCGGGGTTGTTGGGATGTGTCTCGAAGCCTCCGTTCGGAAGTTTGTATTGGGTTGGCGGGCCCTGAATTGGAACATCGTCAATGAAAGGAATGGTGGTGTCTGGGATCTCTGGCTGGAAGATGTGGGTGACATCATTGTGGAAGATCGGGACTGAACTTGTCCATCCCATAGGCAGGGCGACAAGTCGGTGGGCACTGAATGGGGTCTGGAATGTGGTGAAGTCGCGAGATGATTTGGCTAGCCCTTGTTTGTCATAGCCGACATAGAGATCCAGAATGCTGCTGCAGGCACGAGCTGCAAACTGTTCAGCAATCTGATCAGTATATGAGGGCACACCTGAATGCTAGATGGTGATAGCATTTAGGGGTTCGAGGCTGTGAACAATTCGGAGTTTGGTGCCAGTGGAGGTGCTATTTGTCTTCTTGATGACCATAAACCAGCGCAATTGGTAGGACAAATTCAATGGCTCATAGACTCCAGCGGCGATCTTGGTCTTGAAAAGTCAGCACACTTCGTCGTAGATGCCTGGTGGAATTGGAATGTTGCATTGAACCCAGGGCTTGTGTTCAACCACTAGCATATTGACTGGAGGAAAGAATTCCTTGTGGAAACGTCCACATTCCAAATTGTCCCAGGCAAATCCCATCTCTTGTAGACACATGAAATGGTGCATGAGCTGTCATTCGGCAGGCCAAAGGAAGTTGTCCAAGTGGACTTTGTCAATGAGGTTGCATCGTTTGGCTGTGTATCTGCCGGTCGGCGTGAAGGGTGGGGGGTTCGGTGTCAGTGTCGGAAGGGTAGCGAGAGGGTCATCAAGGATGTTCTGAACAATTTGGAACTTTTTGGGGAGGTCGGCCAAGACTGGTCATGTTTTCTGTGCAACCAGTTTGTACTTGTGCTTGGTGGCAAAGATGGCGACCGTGTCGGCGATATTAGTGGAATGGAAAGAACCAGGGACGACTGAGGAGAAATAGGATGACATAGCAGAATCGAGATTGTTTTTGAGATGATTTTCGGGCCCCAAATCAGAAGCCATAATGTACTTGAGACAAAGATCATGACGAGAGGGAGGTGGAGAATGGAAATCTGAGGACGCTTCGATAAGTGGGAAATTGGGGGTATCATGATCGGTGGAAATGATCAGTGCAACTTCTCCTTGATCTCGGATCAATTCATCAAGTCGTGAAAACCCGCTTGTCTTCGGTGAAGGACTCGAGGCAGTCCTCGTCTGATCGTTGGGATGGTGGCTCGTCATCCCGTATTCGGGTCACTGATGGTGATCGTCTGGTCTTCGTTTGAATAATTCTTGATGATACTTTCGGTGAGGATGTTGAAGGGCCGACCAAGGAGAACGTCATAGGCGGGGTTCCAAATGATGTGGACTTGGAGGTACAAGGTGATATTGCCGATGAGGAATGGGACGTTGTGTGCGAGTCCCAAAGATCGGTCGATTTTGCCATTTGCCAACTGCATATTGAGGACGATTTCGGGGCCGTAGATGAGTGCCAGTTCGTTGCATATGCCTTCTGACATGGCGATGACTTGTGAACCCGGGTCGATGACACATTCAACTTCCTGTTGGTGATTGACAAGGGGGACAATGGACCTTAGGGCTAAAGATTCTTTAGCAACTATCAACGGCTGAGAAACCTGACCGGGCTGTAGATTCTTCAGATATGTTTCATACATGTCGGGGATGATGATCGCACCAGGTGGAGGTGTTTCAGGCTGGTGCAGGACATTGACAAAGGAGGAAATGGTCGGTCAAGTCGGTGGTTCGAGATCGTCAATGGCATAGGGTAGATCAGCCTCTTGGTAGAAGGTCCGAACATTGCTGGCATCTTTAGTAGGCGATTGGCGCACCAATGTGGCTTCCCTGACCTGCAAACGGACTTCTGCGGAGAGGGAGAGTAGTTCACGCTGGGTAAGCGTCACCTGCATGGCCATCGCCCTGTTGTAGACCTTGGTGGCTACCTTCTCATCGTAGATCGGCGCCGTAGTCTTGTAGGCCGGAGCGTCCTTCTTTGCTGATGGTATCTTCACCGGGGTTCCCATGTTGCGCTCATGCGGTGGTGCATAAGTGGCATCCTGGGCTTTGGCATATGGGTGGATTGGAGCATCGTCCTTGGCTGGTACCGGGGGCAGTTGCTGAGTCGGGGTGGTTGGTCAGGGTTCGGGTTTGGGAGTTCTGGTCCTCGTTCGTTGTTCGGGAGCCGGTGACGGGGTAGGCGCCAAACATCCTGTCTGTGCCATTTCACGTGCCCTCGCACCCCACGTTCGGAGTGCGAATAGTTCACGTTCAAGGCTTGTGATTTGCTGGACGTCGGTGAGTTGGTAAGTTGGGGTGACATCCAGCAATGAGGGTGAATCGTGATGGGAGGCTATCGTCATCGGGTGAGTCGGCACCGTGTTTACCGTAAACATCATCTGTCCGGTTGCCAACTGTCCTGGGTTCCTGCAATGCCATTTGTCAACTTGGCCCTTCAGGTTACTACCTGTGATTTCTCTGGGTATGAATGCCCCACTTGACAATACAACCTTCCCTCGATATTCTGCTTGCATTTGCCAATCTGAATGTATTCAGTGACCTCGGGACAGGTGTGCATGAAGTGTTTGGGACTGCCACAGAACATGCAGTTGTTGCCGCCTTGTCCTGGTTTTCGGGATGGTCAATCGGCTGGCCTAGACGTCCCCTGAGCTGAAATGGCTTTGACAAAGGTGTCAGTGAGCCGTTTGAACATGGTCACCAGGTCTTTGGCCTTGATTGCATTGGTGGGCAGTGCGGCGGGGGCTGCTTGAGAGATGTTGGTAGACATAGTGCTGTAGGCGGATGTGGTGCCATGCAAGATGAATTGGGCAGCATCGTGAATGTCCTGGAGATTATATGGGTTGTCTGGGAAATAATCGGGGAACTTGAGTTGTAGGCGCTGAGAGATCCTTGCCCATAGCTCCAGCTGGAATCCTCTAGCAAAGGTGCATCCCTGTTTGGTGACCGAGATTTGTGCCTTGCTGAGGAGGAATACTGTGATCGCCAGGAATCGCCAATGATAGTTGCCGAGTTTGCTGAGTGACAAAATGCCCACCCTGCTCATTTTGCCGACTAGCTTGTCCATATCTGATACCGACCATTTGCGCTCTTCCTCCGATCCGGGGTACAGTCTGTAGACTTCTTCACAGAACTCCTTGAATGTCTTCGTGGTGTCGGTGAAAGTGGTGAGTGATTCCCAAAGCTTGCAGGTGTTGATGTCCAGGAATCGGCAAGCATGTTTCTTCTTTTCCTGCTCGTCTTCTATCGCTGACTGACCAAAGTGGAAGTCCAGATTGGCAAAATATCGTCTCAATTCACGGGGTTGATGGGGGTCAAAGGTTGGGGCCGTTCAATTTCCACGAGCGGGCATGGATGGGGTCGCCATAGTGAGAAAGTCAAAGGTGGGAGAAAAGACGTTGTTTGCTAAAGTAATTGGGGATGGAGTTACTGGTTCAAAGGAGTGTTTTAGCGAAGTTGGTCGGATGGTCAGCATTGATGAGCATGCACCCATGCTAGGGTCCAAGGAAGGTATTCGGGAAGCTTTGGGGAGATACCGAACAGCGCTCAACAAGTACCAAAGACGCCAACTTTTACCAAACACAGTCGGTCCTTGCCCAACAGACGACAAGCCACCGAAGGACGTTCGGCAGCACTTGGGTCAGTTTGCCCACACTTCACATACTTACCATGACCACACAGGAGTGTTACAATAAGTGTTTACGAGATCGGAGCCAGTAGTCCGTATTGGCCAATGTCCTCCGTGAGTCGGTCGGTCCTTATAGCTTATCTTCCCGACTTCCACATGGTCGGTCAAACGCGATCTTACACCATTGCTTGGCTACCCTTGTCGTACGATACCTCTTCTTTATTTTCATTGGTTCTCCAACGCCTTTTCCTACTACCTACACTCGGGCGACGGATCCCGAACATTCGGGATTTCGCCATCGCTGATTAACTTTTACCTTGTCACCTTCGGAACCCATATGGACATCTCACCTACCTTCTTATCTTCTCTGATCGCTAAGGCTTGGCGCCCATTCGACATCTACTCTCATTTCTTGTTTAATATTTTACTTAGGGGCTCTGTTTACTATAAAAACCTACATACAACTCTGGAATAAACCAGCTTTCGCACCCCACAGTTCAGAGCTCATTCCAACTCGTCTCAACCATCAAAATTGTCTTCGTCGACTTCCGAAAACTTGTCATCCTTGTCGTTCGGCCTTATTTGTGTTCGTACTAGTCTCTTCGCTCGTACCCCGTCCTCCCCCGTATATTGTCAGAGTCCCATGCGGCTCTTGAAGCACGTAGTTGTCGGTCACGACACTACCTTCTCGTTACAGACCGAATTGCCGACACGACTGACCGAACATTCGGTCGGTGTTCAGCGCAGTCCCAAAACCGTTCGGGCGCTATAATCTCACACTCCCTGATTACTTTTCAGTACGCCCTCAATTTCCAAAGTCACCACTTACAATTCCTTGCATATCAGATACTAGCTCCAGCACCCCTGCATTAGAGGTTGTTTTAGTGTTGTGCTTGGCACTTAGAGCTACCTCTAGCGTATCAACACCATTGACGATCTCGAACCACCGACTTGACCAACCATTTCCTCCTTTGTCAATGTCCTGCACCAGCCTGAAACACCTCCACCTGGTGCGATCATCATCCCCGACATGTATGAAACATATCTGAAGAATCTACAGCCCGGTCAGGTTTCTCAGCCGTTGATAGTTGCTAAAGAATCTTTAGCCCTAAGGTCCATTGTCCCCCTTGTCAATCACCAACAGGAAGTTGAATGTGTCATCGACCCGGGTTCACAAGTCATCGCCATGTCAGAAGGCATATGCAACGAACTGGCACTCATCTACGGCCCCGAAATCGTCCTCAATATGCAGTTGGCAAATGGCAAAATCGACCGATCTTTGGGACTCGCACACAACGTCCCATTCCTCATCGGCAATATCACCTTGTACCTCCAAGTCCACATCATTTGGAACCCCGCCTATGACGTTCTCCTTGGTCGGCCCTTCAACATCCTCACCGAAAGTATCATCAAGAATTATTCAAACGAAGACCAGACGATCACCATCAGTGACCCGAATACGGGATGACGAGCCACCATCCCAACGATCAGACGAGGACTGCCTCGAGTCCTTCACCGAAGACAAGCGGGTTTTCACGACTTGATGAATTGATCCGAGATCAAGGAGAAGTTGCACTGATCATTTCCACCGATCATGATACCCCCAATTTCCCACTTATCGAAGCGTCCTCAGATTTCCATTCTCCACCTCCCTCTCGTCATGATCTTTGTCTCAAGTACATTATGGCTTCTGATTTGGGGCCCGAAAATCATCTCAAAAACAATCTCGATTCTGCTATGTCATCCTATTTCTCCTCAGTCGTCCCTGGTTCTTTCCATTCCACTAATATCGCCGACACGGTCGCCATCTTTGCCACCAAGCACAAGTACAAACTGGTTGCACAGAAAACATGACCAGTCTTGGCCGACCTCCCCAAAAAGTTCCAAATTGTTCAGAACATCCTTGATGACCCTCTCGCTACCCTTCCGACACTGACACCGAACCCCCCACCCTTCACGCCGACCGGCAGATACACAGCCAAACGATGCAACCTCATTGACAAAGTCCACTTGGACAACTTCCTTTGGCCTGCCGAATGACAGCTCATGCACCATTTCATGTGTCTACAAGAGATGGGATTTGCCTGGGACAATTTGGAATGTGGACGTTTCCACAAGGAATTCTTTCCTCCAGTCAATATGCTAGTGGTTGAACACAAGCCCTGGGTTCAATGCAACATTCCAATTCCACCAGGCATCTACGACGAAGTGTGCTGACTTTTCAAGACCAAGATCGCCGCTGGAGTCTATGAGCCATTGAATTTGTCCTACCAATTGCGCTGGTTTATGGTCATCAAGAAGACAAATAGCACCTCCACTGGCACCAAACTCCGAATTGTTCACAGCCTCGAACCCCTAAATGCTATCACCATCTAGCATTCAGGTGTGCCCTCATATACTGATCAGATTGCTGAACAGTTTGCAGCTCGTGCCTGCAGCAGCATTCTGGATCTCTATGTCGGCTATGACAAACAAGGGCTAGCCAAATCATCTCGCGACTTCACCACATTCCAGACCCCATTCAGTGCCCACCGACTTGTCGCCCTGCCTATGGGATGGACAAGTTCAGTCCCGATCTTCCACAATGATGTCACCCACATCTTCCAGCCAGAGATCCCAGACACCACCATTCCTTTCATTGACGATGTTCCAATTCAGGGCCCGCCAACCCAATACAAACTTCCGAACGGAGGCTTCGAGACACATCCCAACAACCCCGGCATATGACGGTTTGTGTGGGAACACTTTCAAGGCCTCAATCAAGTGGTTCAGCAGATGAAGTACAGCGGAGGAACATTTTCAGGACACAAGGCAACACTCTGCGCAGCCGAAATCACAGTGGTCGGCCATCGCTGCATGTATGAAGGAAGGTTGCCCGACAAGTCTAGGGTAGAATCAATTATGAAGTGGGGACCGTGCAGGGATCTCTCCGATGTTCGGGCATTCTTGGGGACAATTGGTGTTATTCAGATCTTTATTCAGAATTTTGCACACAGGGCACATGCACTGACTACGTTAATGCGCAAAGATTTTCCATTTGTGTTTGGCCCAGACCAGATAGCGGCCCAGGATGACCTCTGGTCGGCGCTTCTCGAATCGCCAGCCCTTTGGCTGATCGACTATGGGTTGGCGGCCAACGTCATCCTCACCATCGATACCTCACAAATCGCAGTCGGCTTCCACCTCTGTCAATGCGCACTCAACAATTCGCGGGTTTGGTACTATGCCCAATTCAGCTCCATCACCCTTCACGACCGCAAATCGCAATTCTCCCAACCCAAACTCGAACTCTACGGCCTCTTCTGTGCCCTCCAATCACTCAAGATGTATCTCATTGGCGTTCGGAACCTGATAGTCGAAGTAGACGCACGCTACATCAAGGGCATGCTCACTAACCTAGATCTTGAACCCAGCGCTAGCATCAATTGGTGAATCGTCTCCATCCTCACCTTCCATTTCACACTCATCCACGTCCCCGACACCTCTCATGGCCCCGATGGTCTCTCCCGGCAACTACCACAACCTGCTAATCGACCTGAACCTGAAGACGGCTTTGACGACTAGATTGACAATCTCTACAGCTTCCTCCATCAGATCAACAACATGTTTCCCACCACCAACTCAACCTCAACGACGGCCATCTTTACCTCCTCACTCATAGGCGACCTCCCGACCGATGCCGACTCTGACGACGAAGGCCCAACCATTGACTATTCAGATATCCCAAGATTGCAAAAAGCTTTGGAAGTCGAGAAATGCCTATGGTTGGTCCGCGACTGGCACTGAACATTGGCCCTAATATTCCAATTTATTTTCTTAAATTCCGCTGAACACTTCGCTTACAAGTATATTCACACACAGTCATTTCACCAACCGATTTCCCGAATGACGCCTCTGGTCTGCCCACGGGCATTACTGTATACTCTGGACAAGTTCTATTTTACATTTTAATTTTTAAAATTTCTACACTAAAATTCCTACAAACTCAGTCATTGGGCACAAAATCACCCGACGCCAACCTTCCAGAATCATCGGCCTCCGACGAATCCTCGACCAGGACAATGTCCAAAGGCGCTGAAGGACCCAACCAGGCCTCAAGGGCCTCCAACTTGGCTCTCCACATTGTAATTGACTGCGCCAAGAAGGCGCGCAATCCCTCAGCCACAGCAATATGATATCTAATCTTGGATGTGACACCACGGGCAACGGACGGCGACAGGCATGAAAGCTTGGGGGAAGGGGCGGCAGTAGAGGTCAGGCGAGTAGAGCGACTGGAGTGAGAGGGGACAGAAAGGTGCTGGGTAGTAGTCGGAAGGCATTTGACTGGCTTCCTACTCTGAATGGCTGCACAAGGATGAGCTCAATTACCATGATCACCAAATAACCACTCACCTTTTGACTGTGTGATGCTCTCACCAGCCGGCCGCTCAGGGACCAGTACCTCCACCTTGTGCTTCTTTATCGGCCGCTCATTCTCCACCGACTTTGCCCCCAACTTTGCCTTTGCCTAGGCTTTCCCCTTCTCCTTCGATGTCCACCCAGGCTGGAAGCTACACCCCTTGCGATCGTCAGCGCACTTGAGGCATGAGACCTGGCCTGGTCGGGTATAGCACTGAGGGGCAACTGTGGCAAACTCGGTCGTGCACCAATGGCAAGCGTACTTAGCCTGGAAAAGAAAGAGTCAGCAAGCAACAGAGGCAGCAAGAGGGAGGGGACTTACAAGAACGTCACCTGGCAACAGGCCTGGAGGATCCTGAAGCAGCTTCCTGGCTCCGTTCCGCTTTACAGGGGACCAAACAGTTGACATTTGGCCCATTCCAAGACAAAGTGGGAGGACCACCTGACCTTTGGTTGGTGTTCGCTGCCAAGCGAACTCAACGATAACGGTGCTGGCGCGCTGCTTTCCCTTCGAATTGGCCGAAGGAGTAGGAAGGTCGAGTCCATGCTCATGCGATCTAGGGCCTTAGTTGCGGAAGCAAGGCCAGCACCAGCAGGGAGCAGGAGAAGGGAAGAGGAAGCGGCAGGAGCGGGAGTGGGAGAGGAAGAAGGAAGGAAGAGAGGGAGAAGGCTGGCGGACCCTGCCTCCAGCATGGCCAACTGTTGGTTCCCCTCATCCGGATCAACTAACCCACTAAACATGGCCTCCACCAAGGCCTCCCAATGCCGCTGACGATCCTCTTCAGCTGACCGATGGGCAGCAGCAGCCCGCGCCTCTTGTGCTTCACCGGCCTCCCGTTTGGCGGCAGCCACCCATGCAATCACCTCAGCTAAAGCCTGTTTTTCGGTGGCTTGCCGTTGTTGGAGCTCAGCAAAGCGCACCGCACGCTAGGGCAAGATACACGACCCCCAGGAGAGCCAGTCGCCGGTAGCAATGTGGTTGAGGCCACGCTCAGCTTTGGCAACCCAGGCAGCAAGTTTGGGCACTTCTTGTCCTGGCGCGGTGATGCGCTTGCGATGGCTCTGCGTGCGAAAACACAACACAAAACACACCACTAAACACAGGGTAGGCGGGGAGCTGACTTTTACTACAAATATCGAGGGACCCTTGTAAGTTGCGAGACGGGGTGCGATATACGTACTACGAGATGTCGAGATATCTAGCACGGTGATGCAAGGTCACGCGAGAATACTCTCGTGTGAAACGAAGTGGTGGACCGTGAGCCAAGGCGCGAGTGACCGAGGCAACTTCAAGGGCAGCGACGAAGGCCCTGACAATAGCGGCGATGAGGGCGACGAGTGCTAAATCGAGCGAGTGCGATGTCGGTGCGATGCGATATGAGCGAGATCTTCGTGCGAAGTTGAGCTCTAAACAGAGGGGTGTTCGAAACTGGTGTATTGCAGTGTCGTAGGCAGATATTTATAGTAAGTCGAAGTGAGTATAGTAAACGCGAACTCGTAAGGTAAAATAAATCGATATCGCGCCAAGACCGTGACATAGAAAGATAAAGAGAAACCACGCACAGAGGTGCTCGCAGACCGCGAGGTTCTGTCGCGCCGCGGTCGCGAGACAAAGCGATATTTAGTAAAGAGGTGTAGCGGTGAGACGAGGTAAACTCTAGGAAGGTGGAGGGGCCATGGATCACGGGACCTGTACTACCCAATAAGCGCACGCGATAAAGCTCTCTGCGATATCGCGTCGCGGAGCTGCTCGCGGTGAGGTCCGTGCGGTCGATGCTTGCGAGGCGTATGGCGAGAGCTTGGCGAGGTCTTTGCGGGTGCAGCAGGCTCGAGGTCGTCGTGCGATACGCGTGGGGCTGAGTGAGATGATGCGAGACGATGACGGGGGGGGGTGTGAGACAAGACCGCGTCGGCCCGATACCGTAATGCTGAGGTCGTAGTGGGCATCGGAGGGATCGCTCTGGGCGGCGGGGCCACCCGGCGGTCTCTGGGGTATCTCCTGAGGTCAGCATGCTCGTGCTCGTAGAACTGCGAAAACGGGGTCCCGGCGCTTAGAGAGGTGGCGCGCTCATCATCTCCTCCCTACTGAAATCCTGACTGTCCTCAGTCAGTCCCGTGCCATGTGACCTAGTGGCTGAGATGCACGTGTGCTGCAGAAGTCGGCTGTGCTCGGTGGCGTCAAGGTGTGGCGTGGGATCGGCGTGGTGGCGTGGGGATGGTTGGTAAATGATGGTGAGACTGGCCTGAATGGGATGTCGCGGGTCGTGGGAGCGGAGGCGTGACTCGGTGGCGGATGCAGTAAGCGATGTCGGGCAGATGCCAGTGGCGTGGAAAAATACGCTGTGGCTGTCGAGGTAGCCGGTCGGCGCGGGGCCCGAGTTGCCGATGTGGCTGGGACTCGTTCCTGTTTGGTCAGGGTACGCGTCACCCAAGTTCAACGCACCATCTGCTCCCGTCTTCCTAGCGTCCCTTGCTCCCTCCCAATCCGGCCTTTCTCGATCGTACTCTGCTTCCGCGACAAGTCTCTCCCGATGCCATCGTCCCTCGTCGATCTCCTCGTCTCCGCCCTGTCCGACCTTATCGACGTGTCCCCCGAGCATCCCGCCGAGTTGGAGGACTTCATGATCTGGGGTCAAAACTTTGCCCGTACCCTGGTGCGTCCTCTCTTTCCTTTCTTTTTCTCGTGCTGACCCTTCTCTCCTAGGCCAGCCTGGAGGCGATTCCCTCGTTTGCGCCTTCCCCTCAGCTCGCGCTCTGGCTCGATAGCGCCGAGGACACTCTCGAGACCTACGTGACCGATGACTGGTTAGCGTGGGGGGCACGCATCCTGCGGACGCGTGCGACGCGTCGTGACGAGCGCATCCAGGCTGAGGTCGCCGCCGCCGCTACTGCTCAGGCCGAGGTGGCTCGTGTCGCCGAGGCGGAAGCTCGCCGGTTGGCCGATGAAGAGCGCGCTGCGCGCGGAGTTGCTGAAGAGGCGCGTCGGAGGGCTCGTGATCAGGAGATCATGGGCTTGTACGTGCGTGGTTCCATCTCGCGCGAGGAAAGTGAGCGTCGTCTGGCCGAGCCGCTGGAGACGGAGTCGGGACCTAGCGTGGTGAGTGCCAAGGATCGGGTAGTGGGGCGTGATGGCGATGTCGAGATGGCGGCGCCCGTTTTACGGACGGGCGACGCCATTGACTCCTTGCGGGCGTCGACCGCTGCGCTGTCCGTGCGAGGGGAGGGTCCTGTGCCTTCCGGGACTGGGCTCTTCCTTCCCGATGGCGAGGAGGAGGTCGTGGAAGTGGATCGGAAAGGGAAGCGGCGCGAGGTCGTGGATGAAGAGTGGAAGGGCAAGCGTCGCGCTCCTCCTGCGCGGATGTCTGTGAAGTCCCCGGCGCAGCAGAAGGCCGAAGCTGATAGAGAAGCAGAGGAGCGTGCTGCGAAACGTCAGCGAAAGACGGATGGGCGTCCTATCGTCCCTGGTCAGTTGCCTCCCGGCGCGCAGCAGGTGAGCTCCTTCCCCTCTCCTTTCCTCTCCTCCTGTTCCTCAGACTTTCCTAGGCCGAACCTCCCTGCACCTATTGTTCCCACTTCGTCACCCCCTTCGTCTGTTTCCGCGTCCTGGGCGATGCGACGCACTGCCTCAAGTGTCGTCGCGATCGCAAGTCGTGCGACGGGCCCCGTCGATGGACGAAGCTCCTTTCGACCCCTTCGGACACCGTCCCTCTTCCTCTCCCTTCCTCTCCTCCTCCGCCCATCGCTTCTTCCTCTTCCGCCCGCTTCCTTCCCGACGACCTTCGTCGGCCTGCTCGTCGCTTGGCGCGCACGGCGCGCGGTGAACTCCGGACTCGTCGGACGGTAGACCGCGACATCGAAATCCTTCGTTGGCGGATGGCTCGGACCGAGAGCGAGGTCCGCTATTTGTTGTCCGAGCACGAGGCGCGCGGAACTGAGCTCGCCGAGCTGGAGCGCGTTCGCGCGTCGTTGCCGGAGGGGTCGGAGGACGAGGACGAGGATGGCGAGGGTAGCGTGGAGTTGGTGCTCGACTAGCACCTCGGACGCTTTTAGATGTAATATATAAGTTTCGATGCAAAATGTAAAAGTACTTCTTTCTTGGTTTTAGCAATATTTGTGATAAAAATCGGGAAGAAACACTCGAGTAAAGTCTCGCTAGAGTCTAAAGGTTGTTTGGTGAGCGAGAAATGTCGGAGATAGATTAAGACGTATCGCGTGCGGGGTTGAAGTCGTCGTATAATAGGGATCTGTTGTAGATGTCTCGATGGTAAGCGATAACGTTCTAAACTGGAATTTGAGAGAATATAGAATTTAGGGAAAGCCTCAGTAGATCATCACAGGCGTAAAACCCTTCGGTTTTGCGCAAATCCGATAAGGTTCGTTAATGCGACTTTGAAATGAAGAGGAAATGCCGGGTGCGAGAACCGTCGAAGTAACTGTGCGATATTCGCTAGTCCGAGTCTGAAGTGTAAAATAGTCGTAAGCTTTGCTGCGAGATAGATCGGGATGCGAAAAATAGGGTATCATAGCTGGTCCTTCTCCTCCCTACTGAAATCTGGGCTGTCCTCAGTCACATCGCCCCGCGCGAGAAGGGAGGGTGGGTGGGCTCGTTGGTATCGGATACTGTGTCGATATCCCGCTGCGAAGCTTCGTCCTCCGAGTCGTCCATCTCGTCGCCGCGGAGGCCCTCCTCTTCAGGATCCTCGTCCACGGTGGCCTTCATCTCGCGCAGTCGTTGTGCAGAGATGTCGAGGAGTGCGTCGAGGTCGGGTATGTCGAGCTTCTTGCGAGCAAAGTAGGGGATGACGCGGAAGGCCGCGATCGGTCGGTCAAGTACCGAGCCGTCTAATTCTGCGAGAATGTAAGCACCGCCGCGATTCTGAGATATAACGAGAAGGGGTCCCAAGTAGCGAGGTCGCATTTTGCGGTTTAGGGCCTTCTCGATGGCGGTGTTGCGGATGAGGACGAGGTCTCCGAGATCGAAATGAAATGCTCGAATTGTCGCCTGGTGGTCGGTCTCGAATCGGATGGCGGCTTTAACTCGTGCTGCGATGACTGCGGTGCGGAGGCGAGCGAGGTCAGCGCGACGCTTTTGGAGTGCGATTGCTCGGCGGGCGATGAGGTCGGTGGTCGACATTGTCTCGGATGGTGGTGGAAGGAGGTACGTTGCTTCCGCTATATCGAGGGGCAGGAGGGGATGAGTTCCTGTCGCGGCGAAGTATGGTGAGCAACCCATGCGACGTCGGACAGTGATGCGATCGGCCCAGAAAACAAACGGTGCCGCTCTATTCCACTTCGACTGATCCCCATCGACCGCCTTGAAGAGAGCTTGTCGGACATCGAAATGCGGCCTTTCGACAATGCCGTTGGCGCGAGAATTGTACCCCAATATTCGAATGTGCGAAATGTGATACTTCTTGGCGAGATGGGTGAGAGCTTTGACGAAGGCTGGCCCGTTATCGGAAACGATCTCGACGAGGGTGCCCCAGCGACAGAGAATATCCTCGAAGATCCAGTCGGCGAGGGCGGCGCTGGTCTCGTTGCGGAACTCGGGATAGTGCGATATCGAGCATCGACCTTGAACGAGGTATCGGAAGCCTCCTGCCGTCGGCATGTGCATCGTGTCCATATACATTTTCGCGAAGAGAGGCGCCGGCGATGCGACGACTGGAGGGATCAAGACGTTGCGTGTTTGTCGAATCTGGCAGAGATGACATGAGCGAATGAATCAAGCGATGTCTTGCCTCATAAGCGGCCACCAGAATCTTTCCGCGATGAGGACGCGAGTGGCGAAGAAGCCCTTGTGCGCGACGTCGTCGTGGGCCGAGGCGAGAATGGAAACACGGTGGTCGGGCGGCGCGACGAGCTTATGTCGGCCTTGAGCATCTTTCTTCCATAGCTTGTCCGAGGCGAGGAAGAATTCAGCGCAGTATCGGAGGAATGTTGTGTACTCAGCGTCGGATAGACCGCTCGGGCGTGTGAGGTCGGAATGCCATTTCCTAACTGCTACGATCCGGTCGTCCGCTGATATCGCTGTGCTGGTGCGAGGAATGTCGGAGTAGTTGAGAGGTGGAGGGATGTTATCGTCGATGTCGGTGATGGTGTTCGCAAGAATGGTGAGGCACTGGCGCGCTGATGGCGGTGGTTGAGGGTTGTTTATTTGGTGCATAAAGCTGTAGAGGTTGTCGATCCAGTCTTCGAAGTCGTCGTCAGCCTCGGGATGGTCGCCTGGCTGCGGCGGTCGACGCGAGAGACCATCGGGCCCATGCGAGGCGCCGGGAACGTGGACGAGGGTAAAATGGAATGTGAGGATGGCGATGATCCAGCGATTAATGCTCGCGCTTGGTTCGAGATCTGGATTCGTTAGCATTCCTTTTATATATCTCGCGTCCACCTCGATGACCAAGTTACGGATCCCGATGAGGTACATCTTGAGAGCTCGGAGAGCGCGAAACAGGCCGTAGAGCTCTAGTTTTGGCTGCGAGAATCTTGACTCGCGGTCGTTCAGGGTGATGGAGCCAAATCTGGCGTAGTACCGGATTCGCGGATTGTCAAGGTCGCACTGGCAGAGGTGGAATCCGACCGCGAGGTGCGAGGTGTCGACTGCGAGGATGACATTGGCTGGTGAGGAATAGTCGATCGGTCGGAGGGCGGGCGAGGAAAGGAGTGCTGATTTGAGATCGTCTTGCGCCGCGATCTGTTCAGGTCCGAAGATAAAAGGGAAGTCTTTTCGAGTGAGCATTGTTAAAGGGTGTGCTCGATGGGCAAAGTTACGAATGAAGATGCGGACGACGCCGATCGTTCCAAGGAATGCCCGTACTTCTGAGAGATCGCGGCAAGGTCCCCAGTTGACTATCTTCTCAACTCGAGATTCCTCGGGAAGTCGGCCCTCGTAGGTGCAGCGGTGCCCGACGACGATGATCTCGGGCGCGCATAGCGTCGCCTTATGCCCTGAAAATGTCCCGCCGCAGTATTTCATGCGCTGGACGACTCGATTGACGCCTTGGAAGTGTTCCCAAACAAATCGCCTAATGCCAGGATTGTCGGGGTGCGTCTCGTAACCGCCGTCAGGTGTCTCGTATCGCGTGGCTGGACCTCGGAGGGGAACGTCGTCGATGAAGGGTATTGTTGTGTCGGGAATCTCGGGCTGCAAGATGTGAGTAACATCGTCATGGAAAATAGGCACCGAGTTTGTCCATCCCATCGGAAGGGTGACGAGGCGATGTGCTCCGAACGGGGTCTGGAATGTCGTGTAATCGCGTGATTTCTCGTCGAGACCTCGTTCGTCGTACCCGATGTAGAGATCGAGAATCCCTCCGCAAGCGCGACCTGCAAACTGCTCAGCGATTTGATCGGTATACGGAGGCACACCTGAGTGCTGTATGGTGACCGCGTTGAGCGGTTCGAGGCTGTGGACGATACGGAGTTTGGTCCCGGTCGCGGTGCTGTTGGTCTTCTTCACCACCGTGAACCAACGAGATCGGTACGAGGAGTTTGAGGGCTCGTAAACGCCGGCCGCGATCTTGGTTTTGATTAACCGGCAGACCTCATCGTAGATTCCTGGCGGGATTGGCATATTGCGCTGGACCCACGGTTTGTGCTCGATAACAGGCATGCTAACTGGGGGAAAGAAATCCTCGCGGAAACGTCCGCGTTCTGAGTCGTCCCAGGCAAACCCGAGATGTTGAAGACACATGAAGTGGTGCATAAGCTCGCGCTCTGCCGGCCAGAGGAAGTCGGAGGAGTGTACTTGGTTGATCAGGTCGCGTCGTTCGGAGGTATATCGTCCAGTCGGTTTGAATGGAGGGGGGTTGGGCGTGAGGGTTGGTAGGTCTGCAAGGGGGTCGCCTCGAATGTTGCGGACGATGCGAAATTTGTCGGGAAGGTCGGCTAGTACCGGGCGGACTTTTAAAGCGACAGGCTTGTATTTTCTTTTGGCCGCAAAAATCGCGACTGGGCTAGAGAGATTCAGTGGTGACGTCGAGCGAGGCAAAATGGGAACCGAGCGGCGAGAAGCAATACGAGATAGAGATGTAGACGGGGGCGGGAGAGAAGTGGGGGACGGAATAGAACCGGGAGACGTAGCGCGGAGAGACTTGTAGAGGAGAGATGGAGAGATGTTTTTGAGGGCTTCGTGCCGCGGATCGCAGGCTAAGAGATAGGCGAGACTAATATCGAGGAGACAAGGTGAGCGCGAGAATGGAGAAATGGCTTCGATATGAAAGGAGTTCTGGGTATATGGGTCTTCAGCAATAACCAACGCGGCCTCTCCTTGATCGTCGATCAATTCCTCGAGTCCCGAAAACCCGAGTTGTCGCGGTAGAGAATTCTCGGTGGGCCTCGTCGAACCGTTGGGATCGTTGCCTTCCGTCCGGTGTTCGGGTCGCTTATTGTGATCGTCTGATCTTCATTGGCGAAATTCTTGACGACGCTCTCGGTGAGAATGTCGAAAGGTCGACCGAGGAGTACATCGTAGGCGGGGTTGCGAATGATGTGTACCTGGAGGTAAAGAGTGATATCGCCTATTAAGAAGGGGACGTTACGCGCGAGACCGAGGGATTTGTCGATCTCTCCGTTAGCCGACTGCATATTGAGGACGACCTCTGGATCATAGATGAGGGCGAGCTCGTTGCAGATACCATCCGACATTGCTATGACTTGTGAGCCTGGGTCGATGACGCACTCGACAAGTTGCTGGTGGTCGACGAGGGGTATGATCGATCTTAAAGCAGAAGATTCTTTAGCGATGACGAGCGGTTGGGGAATCTGACCGGGTGAGAGTGAGCTGAGATATTGTTCGTAACAATCGGGCACCACGAGAGATCCCGGCGGAGGTGTCTCTGGTTGGTGGATTATGTGCGCGAAGGAGGAGACTGTCGATGTCGGTGGGTCGAGGTCGTCGATTGCGTAGGGAAGTTCCGCGTCTTGGTATAACGTCCTGACTTGATTCGGGTCTTTGGGAGGTGTCCTCCTTGCCGATGTTGCCTCGCGAACTTGAGATCTTACCTCCGGGGCGAGCGAGAGGAGTTCGCGCTGAGTAAGCGTCACTTGTGTCGACATTGCCCGGTTATAGACCTCGGAGGCGACTTTCTCATCATAGATGGGTACCGTCGTCTTGTATGCCGGACCGTCTTTCTTGAATGCGGAACCATTGGGTAGTGCCCCGATGTTGCGATCGCGAGGCGGCGCGTAGGTGGCGTCGGGGGCGTTGGCGAATGGGTGTACTGGAGGTTCTGCCGGCGCCGGTGCGCGAGGTCTTGTCGAGGCTGCGGCTTGGTGGGCTGGCGCTTCTCGAGGTACCGCCGGGGTAGGAGACATCGAGTGGCGGTTGTCGACCTCGGGCGTATCTTCCCGACTGTCGCGGTCGACCTGGGCCTGGGCTCGCGTCCTGACGCCTCCTCGGGTGCGTAGCGCGAAAAGCTCGTGTTCAAGGCTTTGAATCCTCTCGACGTCCGTTAACTGGTACATGGCAGTTGCGTCGAGGAGCGAGGGAGAATTGTGTCAGGAGGCGATGCTGACCGATGGTGCTGGTGGGGCGTTGACGGTGAACATCATCGAGCCGGTGGCGATCTGGCCGGGGTTGCGACGGTGCCATTCATCGACGCGATCCTTGAGGTTGTTACCCGGAATTTCTCGCGGTACGAATGCGCCTGTCGATAATACGATCCTTCCTTCCGTGTTCTTCTTGCACTTCCCAACCCTGATATATTCAGCAACCTCACCGCATTCACGTACAAAATGATCGGGTCCTCCACAAAACATGCAGCGGTCCGAGCTACTGGGATCGCGACGCGCGCGTGGTGGCTGTGACATTGTCGAGACTTGTGCGGGCTGGTTTGCGAGTGCTTTGACGAAGGTTTCAGCGATGCGTTCGAACATGGTGGCGAGGTCCTCGGTTTTTATCGATGGTTCGGTCTTCGTTCCGCGAGTCGCGCGAGAACTGTCGGAGGAGGCCAGTTGAAATGTCGACGAGGTGCCATGTAAGATAAATCTCGCGGCGTCGTGAATGTCTTGTAACTGGTACGGGTCGTCGGGAAAGTGATCTGGGAACTTGAGCTGGAGGCGTTGCGAGATGCGGCCCCATAATTCGGGCTGAAATCCGCGGGTAAAGGCGCGACCTTGTTCGGCGGTGGAGATGCGATCCTTGCTGAGGAGGAAAGAGGTGATCGCGAGGAACTGGCGGTAGTACTCGCCTAGATCGCTGAGCGATAAAATCCCTATCCTGCTACTTTCTCCGACCAACTTGTCCATATCCGCCACTGACCATTTCCTCTCTTCTTCTGATCCTGGGTAGAGGCGATAAACTGCCTTGCAAAAATCTTCGTAGGACATTGCGGCGTTGGTGTACTCGGCCAGGGTTTCCCAGAGCTCGCAGGTGTCGACATCGAGGAATCGGCAGGCGTGTTTTTTGCGTTCTGTAGTGTCGACGACCGTAGATCGATTGAAGTGGAATTCGAGGTCCGAGAAGTATCGCCGGAGTTCCCGAGGTTGGCGAGGGTCGAAAGTGGGTGCGGTTCTATCGCCGCGGGCTGGCATGGAAGGGGTAGTCATAGCGCTAATGTGAGGCGGGTGTGAAGAGGTTACGAGTGGACGTGGGATTGTGAGTGGAGTAGAAGTGGGCGCGGGAAAAGTCGGGGTGGAGTTCTCGGGAGTGTGACTAAGCAATGAAGATATCGAGTGATGGCGGGATAAGATCGGGGATGGCGGAGTGGATTCTAGCTGGGCCAGATCGAGCGATGGGGAGATGGGTGTAAGTTGAGTACGATTTGGGGATGAAGGAGGTGTTAGGAAGAATGAAGTTTCGAGTGGGGGTGAAGGCGATAAAGGAGTCGGCGAGTTATCTGAGTCAAGAAGATGATGGTGGGAGAGGTGGTAAGGCACGATGTCAGTGTCCGTGAATAGGCTGAGATCGGCGTCGAGTCCGAGGTTACTGAAGCTGGCGATAAGTTCTTGGATCTCGTTGCGTTCGGCGGTGGGTCGGGAAGATCGTCGGAGGTCCCTCGGTGGAATTTTGAAAGTCAACCCCTCGCGGTGGGCTCCAAAATGATGCGCTTGCGATGGCTCTGCGTGCGAAAACACAACACAAAACACACCACTAAACACAGGGTAGGCGGGGAGCTGACTTTTACTACAAATATCGAGGGACCCTTGTAAGTTGCGAGACGGGGCGCGATATACGTACTACGAGATGTCGAGATATCTAGTACGGTGATGCAAGGTCACGCGAGAATACTCTCGTGTGAAACGAAGTGGTGGACCGTGAGCCAAGGCGCGAGTGACCGAGGCAACTTCAAGGGCAGCGACGAAGGCCCTGACAATAGCAGCGATGAGGGCGACGAGTGCTAAATCGAGCGAGTGCGATGTCGGTGCGATGCGATATGAGCGAGATCTTCGTGCGAAGTTGAGCTCTAAACAGAGGGGTGTTCGAAACTGGTGTATTGCAGTGTCGTAGGCAGATATTTATAGTAAGTCGAAGTGAGTATAGTAAACGCGAACTCGTAAGGTAAAATAAATCGATATCGCGCCAAGACCGTGACATAGAAAGATAAAGAGAAACCACGCGCAGAGGTGCTCGCAGACCGCGAGGTTCTGTCGCGCCGCGGTCGCGAGACAAAGCGATATTTAGTAAAGAGGTGTAGCGGTGAGACGAGGTAAACTCTAGGAAGGTGGAGGGGCCATGGATCACGGGACCTGTACTACCCAATAAGCGCACGCGATAAAGCTCTCTGCGATATCGCGTCGCGGAGCTGCTCGCGGTGAGGTCCGTGCGGTCGATGCTTGCGAGGCGTATGGCGAGAGCTTGGCGAGGTCTTTGCGGGTGCAGCAGGCTCGAGGTCGTCGTGCGATACGCGTGGGGCTGAGTGAGATGATGCGAGACGATGACGGGGGGGGGTGTGAGACAAGACCGCGTCGGCCCGATACCGTAATGCTGAGGTCGTAGTGGGCATTGGAGGGATCGCTCTAGGCGGCGGGGCCACCCGGTGGTCTCTGGGGTATCTCCTGAGGTCAGCATGCTCGTGCTCGTAGAACTGCGAAAACGGGGTCCCGGCGCTTAGAGAGGTGGCGCGCTCATCAGCGGAACAATCAAACACAGCCTACTAAAACAATCAGAGGCAGATTTGAAGAAAGAAAGAGGACTCACCACTTGCTTGGCAAACCCCTGTGCCCAGGCCTCGTAATCTTCACACTCAGTGGCGCTGTCAGGAAGGGCGAGCATGTACTCCCCGAGCTTGTCTTTGAGGACAGAGAGGATGGAAGACATGGTGAGAAGGCCAAAAGGAGTTGGACAAGGAGACAAAGTGACAGAAAGAGGGCGATGAGGGACTTAGTCGCTGGAGAATCAACGATCATCAGGTGATTGTGGTCACCTGACTAAGCCACGCGCCACTACGCTCGGCAGAAACTGCGATATGTGTCACCGCTCTTTGCCGACACGCTCTCATGCCAGCGTCTAGTTGGGGCACTCTAGGCTTCAGCCACTCCCTCACCTAATCAGTTGCCATGCCACAGGACTTTGCCGACTCAGCCCCGGTCTCTCTTGCGTGCCGACCTGGTCCGTTCTACAACATCTCCTTGCTGATTATTCACCTGTGCCACATCTCTCCCACGCACCCACTCTTTTCCACGCCACTGCTCATAGCCGATCTTTTTCCCATGAAACTTGCCACACCACTCCATTTTCCACACCACAGCTATTCTTTCCATGCTATCGCTTGTTACCAACTCTTTCCCACATCCACGCCACCACATTTTCCACACCACTTTTTTTCCACTCCAACTCATAGCCGCCGACCACTGACTGAGGACAGTCAGGATTTCAGTAAGGAGGAGATGATGAGCATGCACCCATGCTAGGGCCCGAGGGAGGTATTCGGGAAGCTTTGGGGAGATACCGAACAGCGCTCAACAAGTACCAAAGACGCCAACTTTTACCAAACACGGTTGGTCCCTGCCTGACCAACGACAAGCCACTAAAGGACGTTTGGCAGCACTTGGGTCAGTTCGCCCACACTTCACGTACTTACCATGACCACACAGGAGTGTTACGATAGGTGTTTACAAGATCAGAGCCAGTATTCCATATTGGCCGATGTCCTCCATGAGTTGGTCGGTCCTTATTGCTTATCTTCCCGACTTCCACATGGTCGGTCAAATGCGATCTTGCACCATTACTTGGCTACCCTGGTCATACGATACCTCTTCTTGATTTTTCATTGGTTCTCCAACGCCTGTTCCTGCTACCTATGCTTGGGCGACGGATCCCGAATGTTCGGGATTTTGCCATCGCTGATTAACTTTTACCTTGTCACCTTCGGAACCCATATGGACATCTCACCTACCTTCTTATCTTCTCTGATTGCTAAGGCTTGGCGCCCATTTTGACATCTACTCTCATTTCTTGTTTAATATTTTACTTAGGGGCTCTGTTTACTATAAAAACCTACATACAACTCTGGAATAAACCAGCTTTCGCACCCCACAGTTCAGAGCTCATTTGCACTCTACTCAACCATCGAAATTGTCTTCATCGACTCCCAAAAAGTTGTCATCTTCATCGTTCAGCCTTGTTTGCGTTTGTACTCGTCTCTTCACTCGTACCCCTCGTCCTCCCTCGTATATTGTCAGAGTCCTGTGTGGCTCTTAAAGCACGTAGTTGTCAGTTGCGACACTACCTTCTCGTTACCGACCGCATCGCCGACACGACCAACCGAACATTTGGTTGGTGTTTGGTGCAGTCCCAAAACTGTTCGGGTGCTATAATCTCACACTCCTTGCTGCTTCTCAAGTGCACCATCTATTTCTAAAGTCCTCACTAGTGATTCCTTGTATATTAGATACTAGCTCTAGCACCCCTGCATTGGAGGTTGTTTTGGTGTTATGCTTGGCACTTAGAGCCACCTCTAGCATATCAGCATACAACAAGGTACAGATAATAACCTTGGTCATCCACTCCCAATGGATCACCTATCGTTGGTCGAGTATTATGAGCCTTATTGCAGTGGGCATGGAATGCCGCCTTACAAACTACTCACACACCAGGCATAGAACTCCTAGTCTTTCCTGGCCAGAAGGAGACAAACAGAGAAGCACAAGAGTAGTCGTTATTGAGAGAGACGACTTAGAGAATACCTACAGATACATATACAGTATTCTCACGCCCTACTTCCTAAAGTAGTATAAAAGGCCCATAGAATAGGCTGACGATCTTCAGTCTATTCTCCTCATTATACTGCAGTCTTCCTACTGCAGCCTTCATTCACTGTAGTTTCCCTACTACAGTATCCTCGTTCTACTGCAGTCCTCCTACTACAGTCTCTGCACTACATCTCTGGCTCCTGTGCTGCACATACAGTCGAGACCATTGTTCCACCCTTCCTCTACAAGCAACCTAGGGAAGAACCTCCTACTCTTGGGGTTACCAAACGAGCAGTTTGTAACAGGGCACAGGAGAGTGACGAGATTACCAGGTAAAGAATTTCTTCCTGAGAACATACAGCCAACCTTCAAGAGTGGTTGCAAATCCATTATGGTATGGGGGTATATTGCACAAGATGTGAAAGGTCTGCTGATCAAGCTAGAATTCCCGCCTGCAACTATGAGTGAGAAGGGCCAAAGACGAGGTAGAGGCTTGGGTGCAAAAGAGTATGTTGCACAGGTTCTTGAAGAGCCTCTAAAGGATTTTTTTCGACAGCACGGAGCAGCAGCAGATACATCTCATGCTTGTTATCAAAGATGGAGCACCAGCCCACACAAGCTGCCTCACAAAATCTGCTCAGTTGAAACTGGGCATCACACCCCTAACACATCCTCCATCTTCACCTGATCTTAACCCTATTGAGCCATTATGGCTGCTGCTCAAAAACCATGTTGCTGATACCCCAGGTGCCAGTAATTCTCTTGAGAACCTATGGTTAGCAGCACAGCATGCATGGGAAGAAATTACAGAGGAGGAGATTCAGGGACATACTGGGAAGATGTCAGAGAGAGTTACACAAGTTCAGGCAGCAAAAGGCTGGCATACAAGATTCTAACTACTGTATTGTATAAAAGACATTCCTAGCTCTTTATAAAGACTATCAAATTGTCGATCCATTCACAATTGCTCTCAGGAGACAGTCGGAAACTAGGAGACATGTCATGTCACAGTCACCTGTTCAAACACTTTTCGCGGGCACGAGTACAGGCCGTTTTAGCTACTATACGGACTCCTGATGGCCCTTCAAAGTAATTGGATTTGGAGGATTCCAATGTCAACACAATTGGATGGGGAAAGAATCAACTCACCTGATGAAAACCCCTATTATACCAAGAAGGCACACGACGTTCCATGCTCAAGCAGGCTCAGGCCCTCGTTGAAGGTCGCTCATTGCAGAGTCGCAGATTCAGCTCGGGCTGTATCGACGTGACGGCGTGACCGTTCCTAGATCAACGCGCGGAGTTCCAACTGAACAGCGACTTGTCTCAGACCTTCTCAGCACTCGTCGATGATGATCAACACGCCTTGCAGCGCGTATTGTTCTCTAAAGCTCGGCCCAAGCATCGACAACCTTCTGGTCAAAGCGTACGCATCACTATATTTAAATATCCTCGCCTCCATTTCCTTTCTCTCCCATGTCTCACCATTCGAAATACTCACAATGCAGCCTCCTCGAACAGGTACTGCGTTCCGCGTCCGCCGCCCATCGTCGCTCTTCAAAGAAAGTCTTGGTGGAAGTATCGCAAGGAGGCTTACAAGGCCTATCGTCAAACCATTGCTCAAGGAAGAGCTCATGGATACCCTCCAAGTCGGTCTCTTGATCGAGGATTTCGTCTATCGCATCTGGGGATTCCATCCTGATCGCCTCCAATGGGAGAAGTTCTTTAAGGACCTGCAGCTTGATAAGACACTGGTTGAAGCATATAAGGCTACGTTCCAGCACGCCGAGAGATACCGATATGCTCCCTTTGCGAGGCTCATTGACTCAATCGTGGCCAAGCTCGTTGAGGTGCTGAAGCTGGAGTCGCCTTTGCCCGTTTCGTTCGAGCCGCTTGGATCGACTTACATCCGAAGCGACAGGAGCAACCGGAAACCGGATATGGGAATCATCGGGAAACAAGCAGTGGAAGAGTATCGATTGGCGCAGGACGGCCCTGACAAGCATTCAAAAGCCCAACTTCGATGGGAAATAGTCCCGTGCTTCATGGAATTCAAGAGGTTTCTCCCGATAGACCACGATGCCGTCATTCTGTTTCAACAGGCTCCGGCGGCGATCTCAGAGCCGGTGGCGATTACCCTCAAGCCGGACGACGAGTGCAGACAGGAAGGATTGAAGCGGAAGAATGTCTCGGACGAAGGTCTCCCGCCCGCAAAACGAGTCAACCAGGATCCAAGCATCACCTCTGACAGATCCGATAGATCTGACGGCTCAGTTGATGAGAGCCACTCGACCAGTTCAGTACCAATCGAGGTTCCAAACGCGGGTGCTTCGATCAGCGCCGTCGGGACGGGGACAGAACCCGAAAATTTCGAAACGCACCGGAGCAGATGTGAACTGAATCCTCAAATGACCGAGGACGAACTTCAGGCGGCCAACTATGCGTCCGAATGCCTCGGCGATGGTCGTCGGCGGTATGTGACATCTTTCATGATCACAGACCTCAAAGTGTCTCTATGGTACTACGACCGGATTGGAGTGATCAAGAGCGAAGAGTTCGACCTGGTGGAGAATCCGAGGCTTTTCATTCTCGCCATTGCCGCGGTCACGACGTGCGACATGAAGCATTTTGGGTTCGAGCCCATGATCCACCCGCCTTCTACCATCCCTCCTCCAATGCGCCTAGAACATCCCATCCGACGCGAACCTCCCCGCAACATCAGCGGCTGGGAGATCCATATTGACGAAGGGGTTGACTCGGAGGGCAAAATGGTCCTTGGCATTGTCCGTTTGAAGATCACCGGAGCTCCGATCTACGTCCAAGCAGGGATCGTAGGCCGGGGAACGTCAGTGCTACCTGTATCTGCGTTCGCCGACAGTGGGCTGGCGGCCGTCAAGTCCTCGCAGAAGCTTGTGGTCAAGTTCAGCTGGCCGGCTGCGACGCGTGTTCCCGAGGACGTGCTGATACGACGGATACGGAAGGCGATTGGATCGAAGGAGGCGCGGCATGTGAGTCGGATGCGGATGTCGACGACACTGGAGGGCTTGCGATTGGGCCTGCCTCGGATAGAGGAATCGATTCAGTCACTGCCGGGCGACGTTGAGACTCGGGTTCTCCGCGTTCTGGTGTGCGATCGCTATCAGCACCTGAAGAAATTGACGAAAATCTCAGATTTTCAGTCAGTCTTCATCGATCTTGTCAGAGGTACGCCTTGACGTGTGATTGCGCGCATTGTCTGTGCTTATTTCTCTAATAGCCCATCGCGTTGTTTACAAGAGAGCGGGTATCCTCCACCGTGACCTGAGCATCAACAACGTGATGTTCGGAATGAGATCTGGAAAGCCGTATGGGATCCTCATCGACTGGGACCTCGCAATTGACATGAACCCGAGAGAAGATGACGGAGACGGTCCGTCTTCTCGTTACCGGACAGGGACAGGACCGTTCATGGCCATTGATCTTTTGAAGCCGAAGATGGGACCTCCTCATTATTACCGTCACGACCTCGAGTCGTTCTTCTACATCCTGTTGTGGTCAGCGTGCACTTTTCTTTTCAACGGAGCAGAAGTGAAGAAGCAGCATAAACTCGTGGAACCTTGGTCGGTGGCGGATTGGGGCGATATCCGAGACAAGAAAGCGGCCTTTTTCACCCGAGCCGGCGGTGGTTTTGAAGACTTGGATGACGCCGTTAATGGACCTTTCAAGCCTCTCATTGACTCTTGGATCCGACCTCTAGGACGAATGATTGCAACAGCGCGTTCAACGTCAGAGCTTGCTCAGTTGAACAATAGTCCGTTCGACCCCGAGACCTGGGGTGGCCTCATGACTTACCGAAAATTCTTGGGAACCCTCGGTGTAGACTTCAAGAACGCACCGCACAGTTTGGATACGGATTTGCTGGACTGAAGTCACGTTTATTCATCACATTACCTTTGTAGCTCTATCGAGGATCGCTGATTCATTCTTCGAAGGTTATCTTTTGTATCTATCATGTTATTTGCATTGTTCTTTGTACAGATACACAATGGGCGATGCACTGCTTGAGCAATCGATCATCTGTCGATGATGCGTAGCTCTCAGTCGCTCGACGTCCACGGCAAGGCGCTACGAATTTCGAAGATCATCAAATTCGCAGCAGAACAGGCACCAGACCAACGTTCATACTTCTTACTCTACCGGGACCAGAAGATAAGCATCCATCATCCATGTGTCATATTAGAGAGTTTGTAGAGCTTGTCCGAATAAGAATAGATACGGCAAGGGAGACAATTATGCCGATCGAAGCGATATTGTATGTATGTGGGAAGATGCATGAGAGATACTTGTGCGAATAATAAGAGAAAGGATTAACGTGTGTCAAAATATCCACATCGCGGGTTTTTACTGAGAGGGGCACAATCGGACCTGAACTCAAGTCTCGATGCCCTCGGGAGGATTGCACCCTAGAAGCCAGCGTCAGCGACCCGTCGGCGTCACGTACGAGAGGGATCGAAGCACGTGACTCACACTCGCACGACGTCAGGCACTTGGTGCGGTAGACGAGCCCGTCCTTGCAGCACCGGTGAATGCGCGCCTCCTGTTTCGGCGCGCCCTGCTTCCGCTTCGTCTCCGACGCGCGTAGGCGGGGCGCATACCCGCCCAGGAGACAGAACGCCTCGAGACGCGCGGCGCGCGCGCCGGGCGGCACGCAGCAGCGCGACACAACCATGTCCGCGAGCGCGGTGTGGTACGCGGCGAGGTCTGTCACGGCGCCGCAGCTGAGGTACATGTGCGCAAGGCGCGTGTTCTGCCCGGCGACGAGCGTGCCGTCGGGTGCGAACACGTAGGAGAGCGCGGCGCAGAAGCGCGTGCCGATGTACATCTGATCCAGCGCGAGCGAGACGAGTGCGGCGAGGCCCTCGAGGCCCTCGCTGAGCCTGCCATCTTCGATGGGGACCTCGCAGAGCGTGAGCGTGTGCAGGGAGGCGAAACAGTGCGTGGAGAGGCGGCGGAGGGCGAGATGAAGGTGGATGTCTCCTGGCATCAAGAAGGAGGATAGGCGCAGGCTGCGGAGACGCGGCAGGATGAGAGAGTCGAGGAGCACGACGAGAGAGCTCGGTTTCATCATAGATTGAACGCTCAGATGAAGAAGCTTGGGCAAGACGATCTGTGTGAGGCTGCTGATAACGTACTGGTGGTAGAACGATATCGAGAGAACGGGCAGCTGCAGGCATTGAGATAGCCCGTCCAGGAGAGGGCCGACGTCCGCGACCGACTCTTCGACGGGAGAAAACGCGTCGATGCAGTTCAGATAGAGCCTCGTCAGCCCCCCAAACGGCAACTGCCATCTGTACCCAAGACGGTGCGTGAGGCGCACCGTACGCAGGGCCTTGTTGTTCTGCACTGCGGTCACGAGGCCGTCACGCGGGACTTCGTCGGCGAGGACGCGCGAGAACGAGACGTCGAGGTCTTGCACAACGGGAAGCGCGTCATGCGGCACGGGCGGAAAGACATCGAGATCGTGTGCAACCTCGATGCGCAGCGCGCGGAAGCGCTGCGAGTGCAGGAACAAAATGCCGAGGTACCGCAAGAGGACGTCCGCGCGGGTGTCGGGTGTCGCGAGGACGATGGAGAGCAGCGTAGAGCGCGAGAGCGCGAGCCACGACGCGAGCGCGCCGAAGAAGGCCTCGAGCGCGACTGGGTCGCGCGGGGCGTCCGGGAGTGTGAGAGCAGACCAGAGGCATGGGGTCGAGCGTGCAACGTGGCGCCAGCCGACCTTGGTGAACACGAGCGGCGCGGTGGACGGGTGGACCGCGTGCGACTCGGGGGGAGTACAGTGAAGGAAGATGAGCGAGAGGACCTCGGCGGGGAACGCTTTCGTCTTTCCCATCGTGATCGCACGATGCCGGTGGGCGGTACTCGATCCGCGAGGCTGCGACGCCTGCAGACTTGAATCCAGTAATGGGCAATGCTACGCTCTCCAGTATAGGCTGCGACATGGATGCTTCGGGTATGATGACCTTGGGTTCAGAGAAAACAGCTCTGTATGTTTTGCGCGTTTCTGTAAACATACGGACGTGTGAGCGCGTCGTAAAAATTGCAACAGATGAAGACGCACGGGCGCGTAACACTAGCGACTTCGGTGTTGTCGTTGACGCGTCATGAGCAAGGTTCTGCGGAAGCCCGAGAAACGTGATTCTGAACCAACATTAGCGCAGTCCCGCCGCCGGCCGTCAAAAATGAAGGAAGATGCTCACAGGTTTCCTACATCCCTGGGAGCTCGCAGCTCCAATTCACCAGTTACCCCGCCGCTCACTACCCTCGTGACCCTGACGACCTCTCTTGCACCCGCCCACCAGTTCCGCTTCGCTCCTGTCCCCCCTCCACCGTCTGTCTCTTCTGCCCCACCCAACGCACCGGTATAATTGATCTCAAACACTGCGCCGTTTCTAAGTGCTGCGCGCACGACCTTGTGTTTCATGCGAAAGGGGAGACGGGGGAGGGTGAGAGGAAGGGATAGGATGTGGGCAGTCAGGGAGGAAGGGGCCGTGTGCATCAGGCATGCAAGAGAGAACGTGGTTTCAGTGGTGGGATGCAAAGCTATGATGTCGTATGCTGCGAAGAGAGAGGCGTTGGCATTTGTCTATGGTCGCGTTAATGAAGTTGACGACCACATAGACGAAAGGCTCTGCACGCACGAGCCCGAATCCCTTTTCGCTATCTTCATCCAGAACGGCTGTCAATCGCTTCAGGTATATGATACCCTGGCGTTTTCGCAGCTGTCCGAGCAATGGATCGAGTGCATTAACGAACGCTTTCGGCTCTACTTTTTTGTACACCGTCTGATTGAGCGCGATAACAGTGTATCCTACTATCTATCAGTATCAACGCGAGTTCGAAGTCATGACCTGAATTAGAGACGAACATTGGACAAGCAAATACAGACGCGTCTCAAGGGCTGTGATGTAAAGAGGGATCCGGCAGTGCTGGTCGAGGCAGAGGGCTGCTTTCCCTTTCCTTTCTTCGATTGCACTTGTGCAGTAGATTGTGTTGGTTGTGGAATAGGCACATTCAAGTCAAAGTACATCCTGGACCGAAAGAGTGTGGGCTTTCAGGCGAAGCGCTCATGTGAGAGCGCGGGAATCAGACCTGATGTGGCCAAAACGATGTTCGCAGCCTTCCCCTAGCTTCCTCCGCCCATGCAATCCCTACTGCATTTTCGTCATAATTCATACAAGTAGAATCATTTTGGATTCCGCAAGAAAACGCTTCATTAACCGTCATCAACGGCGTTGCATCAGCCCCCACCCAGAAATTCACAGGGAAAAGGTAAGTAGAGAAAAAAACAAATGTCAAAGGAAGATTAGGTGTCGTCGTTTCACAAGTCTATCACCACCTGACACCGCCCAGACTTTCCCAGACCTTTGCCTTGACGTTGTCCCCGACGTAAGGTCTTCAGACTCGACGCAACAGCCGGATAGCCATCGGATGACGAAACGAGCTCATGACCACGTCCGCATCGATCTTCGAGATGTACGGAGGGTCTGAGGTGGCAATATCAGTACGCGATCGATAAGACGGCAGAATGGCAGGGGAGGTTGATTGCGTGGCATGGATGGCACAAATGCATAAAAGCTACGACTCACCGTCACTTGTTCTTCGCGCTTCTCTCCGTCTTTGTCCTCGTCCTCGTCCTCGCCTTCGTCGTCTTCGCCCCCGCTTTCGTCCCCTTGGCCTTCACCTGCGCCCTCGCCGTTGCCCTTGGCTTCTTCGCTGATTGATCTAGAATCTTGTGCACCTCCCGTCTATGCCTCATCAGCGCGTCTTTTCGGCCGAACGCCTTTTGGCAACCATGCTCCTCGCACTTGAAAGGCCTTGGGCCCTTGATGTCTCCTTGGATGTCTCCAATCTCGGCCTCTCGCCTGGCATGCTTGTCTGTCAGGCAGTGGTTCTTGCGCTCTTTCTCCCGATGGAAGCCTTCTAAGCAGATGTGGCAGTTCCAAGGAGTGGACATGTAAGGTGCCTGCCTTGATCCTCCATTATCGTGTGCGGGGGACGTCGGCTGCGATGGCAGAAGCTCTTGTTTCGACACTGGGACAGTGTCGGGTATTGATCCGTCTTCGGGGAGATCGTCCTCGAAGTCGGTCTTGCTTGATGTGTCAGTGTTGATCTCGAGGGCATCGCCCTCGTGGTCGGCGGGGGCTCCATTATCCCCGCGGGATGCTGTGCTCGAGGAGGCCAATGTGTCCTCTATGGATCTCTTCGCATACTTCGGGGAAGATTCCCCGTCTGTATGGTCATCGACTTCAGTGCGTCTCCTTTTCATGCCTGCCTGTAGTGGAAGGGAGCAACCTGACGCCTTCTCTACTGTTCCAGGCTTTGAGAAATCATCTGCGAGCGTCAATCAAGAGCAAGGTGTGAGTTGGTCATGGAGAAGGATGATTGGAAGGATGAATGGTGTCGTACGATGAGTACGAGTGCTGCAAAGTTGATCGGGTGGCTCACCATCACCTTGCGCAGCAAGAGGTTGAAATTGAAGCACAAAAGGGATCTCGCCCGTGATATCACTTGCTTGAGTAACATTGAATTTGTCCTGGTGTGTTCGAACGGGGGAGGAGAGGCAGTCGGAGTATGACCAGGATGTGAGGCCAAGGAGCTCGTCTAACGAGCAGTCACTTCCATCGTGTCCAAGGCTAAGGTCGTGAGGTTGATTAACAAGGAAGCCGACTACAGAGGATGGTCCCTCCACAGATCTGGCCCAGGACTGGCCGTCGATGGCCTCGATAGCTGCGAGTTGCTTACCGACAAGGTCCGTGGTGGGAAAGCCGGTGTCGACATCAGTGTTTAAGAGGAATGGCATAGCGTTTAATAGTGCTACTGGGGAGTCTTGAAAGCAGGCAAGTGGGTGTGAGAACGTACTGTCCTCCATGTTTGCTGTTGCTTTATAGGCCCACAAGCTCCCGGACAAACAGAAAGGCGGGAGCCCCCAGGTACTCGGCGCTTTGTATCGATCAAGGGACTGGGTTGTTCCGTCCTTGCTTTGTTATGCTTACACGATCAGAGAAGCTACTATGCAACACCCCCTCTGCAGCCGCCCTGTTTCGGTCCGTAGCTCCTACGAAGACCTCAGGCTCCACACCGTGGATCGAACACGCTGCAATGGTGGACCCCTCAGAGGGCGTCTTGCAAGGTCAATTCCATGGGAAGCGGGTTTTCAGGATTCCGATTGATAGCTTCTGGGAATTGGCGTCTTTCTAGCGGAACGGACCCAAATAAAGACATCCGTCAGGTGGAATTTCTTGGACAGTGAGCTGGGAGTTGCACCGCGCTGTGATAAACTCTCAGCCTAGCTTCCATGGCGCATTGTTAGGCGGCGATCGGACATCACAGGAAGCCCTGAGAAGCGGGCTCAGACAAAGAATTTCTGGAGGCGGGCTCGGTCCGTTCCACACATGTGGCAAAGGCGGTCAACAGTCCCACCGTGACGCACAAGTGTGATCGGACCGTGTGAGCGCCGAATGCTGTACGCCTTGTTTTTCTCCCGCCTCTTCCCCTTCTTGGAATGTCGTACGGCATTGCGCGAGGCCTGGCGTTCGTCTACCAGGAAGTATGCTTGGATAATATACTTGATCGCAGACCCTTCTGTTCCATAGAGGTGCATTTCCGTGCAGAAAATTTGAGCGAAAGTTGTTCGACGCCAATGGGCAGGCCTCCTCGCACACGTTCTACACCAGGTGTTCGCACAGCAGTATCAAGACGCCGCGATACTTCCGCGGTGCCTTGCTACCTTTCCTGCTCCCTCGAATCCCGAATCATTCGCTTGACAACCATAGCGACGAAAATGCACGGTCATGAAGCTGGACAGCGTTCATCCGATGGTCGTAGCTGAAGGCGTGCTCGAGCTTTTGAGCGCGGCATCTAGAGTGTCGTATATATGGTGTAAAGCAGTATGATAGATAACTTGACTAGAGCGGTTGAACTCATCATAATTGGCGCACGCCGTACGCCTACCCCTCACCCGTGAATAACGTGTCCGACCTCCGACAAACTCCTATACTACTACGGCTACAAGACCAGACCCCACTTCAAGCGTCAGCTGAGAGGCCGGGACTGGTGGCATCGTCGTCCTCAGTTCGTCAAAGCAGCCGGGATATCCTTCTGACTAGGATATAGGAAAGGGATGCATGATAGGTCTGCGATCAGGCGAGATGGTGCCCACATTCACACGTGAGAATGGGGTTGCGAGGAGGGATTGACGCAGAGCATCTAGCCATTGCCTGAGATAAGAGTTCGAAGGGAGATGACAGGCCACGTACGTACTCATACGTACATGAGTGATCATAACGAGTAGACCTCCGATGAGTGAATGGGCTAGAGAAATCCTGCGCCATCCTCAAACGGAACGGGTGGCGAGTACCCTGAAAATTGTGACCCGTTCCATTGGTTGTTGTGTTCAGAAGCACAAGCCAGATGTCGTAATTGAGCTGTTGGACAATGGCGGATCAGCCGATCCTCGAGGCTGTGGCAATGTGCTTCTCCACCACAAGAGCAATCGCGCCGCGTCTGCAAAGGCTGGACCCTCGTAGCGCGTGCCGCCGTTACAAAATTTGCCACCGAACACAGTGGAGATGAAGCTTCTCTTGATCGTGCGCGGACCAAATTTCTATAAAGGAGGGGGCGTGAGCGGATGATAAGCCCAACTCTCCACCCGACTTAATTGACACCAACTCATCCCGGACTCACTCATCCGTTTCACTTCCACTTTTCGAATGTCTGACTTCAATCAACTCCTCACGGAGTTTATCCAAAGGGCTCGCGGCGCTATGATGCCCACTGGCTCCGACGTCCAGCTTTTCTCCGCCGCCTCTGCCTCCGCGTCCTTCTCCGCTGTCGCCGGCCTACCGCAGGGAGGTCTAGCTGATGTTGAATTGGGGCACAATTTCTATGTAAGCCGAACATTAGTCGCCTCATAGTCGACACCATCCTGACGCCTCTTGTAGGAGAATAGAGACCCCGTCTACGCCGACCTCACCTCTTCCTTCTCGACCAATACATCCTCGGCTCCAGATTTATGGCCAAGGAAGAGCGAGCGTCATGACAAGTACACGAACCATTTCCAAGGCCTCCAAAATTGTAAGTTATTCCTTATCCGATGTGGCATGAGACATCGATAGTGACGCATGCTTTCATCCGCCAGTGCTAGAGTCGCAGCCGTACCCCTATCACCTCCTGCCTCCCCATGCCATCGCGGAATGGAGCGATACAAGGGATGGGGTGGGTACTTCAGAGATAGGCTCTGTTCCTGAGCGTCCACAAGCAGCGTTCAGCAGGTTGATCGGGGATTATGGGGACGCCGAGGGCAATGGTCTCACACCGAACAAGCTCGCAACAGGAACTTCCGACGTTGAGGAGTTCCCCGCAGTCGGATCAGTTCCCGTCGCTGTACAGTCGTTGGCACAAGGACCTTCACCCAAGTTGCCATCCAGCCTGGCCCCAAAGAGGCATAGGCACCCTGTCCAGACGCCCAATACGGCAGCGCAACGCAGTGGCCAGTCCTTCTCTATCATGCGATTATCAGCTACAGGTTGCCCGCCTATGCTGACGTCGAGCCCGGTCCCGAAGCACCGTCGCCGTCTTCTTCAGACGCCAAATACGAGTATGGAACACAGTGGACAGTCCTTCTCTAGCCCTGTCGCCCTGTCGCCCTTCGGTCAATCCTATCGGCCTCAATCGTGCTGCCATCGAGCGGGATGCTCGAGGCCCGTCTGAACACCAGGTCGACGCCGTACATGACAATCGAGTACGGCTCCGATCCCTTCCATCGTCCCGTCGTCGACCCATCCTTTACTCGGTCAGCACGCTCGACAGAGTTATTGGCCCCGTGCTCAGACACCGCACATGGCTACCGAAGACACATGGAAGAAATCCCTCTCGCCCACCCAGAGAGCATCGTCATCCGGAAGTCCATCGTCCTCATGGCTATTATACATGAGCCAGCACAGGGCACCTGTATTCGGTTCCACACTTTCCAAGAAGCCACAGTACAGTCCTTTCACAGCGCTGTCGAACCATTGCTAGGTCGAGGATCATCGATGCCTGGGGTATGGACCACCACCACGGAGCGTGGAAATGATCACTGAACACCAAACATGAAGGCCGAACATGGCATCCAGGGGCTGTACTCTCGTGCTTGGGCATCCCTTAGGCCGACGCTCTCGCATCATGTATCGCCCTGCATGGCAAGCCAGCACCGCTGCCAGCCATTCCGTGGCAACGCATTGCTGCCTTAGCCACCGACCTAGATTCCAAGAAGCCTACAGCGCCGGAGGAGGCAGGGATGGCAGAACTGACTGCTCTACAGGTCAAAGGGCCAAGTGGATTGCGATTTTTACGAAAGCCACTGCAGGGATCGGTCCGCGCTCGAGGATATCCGCAGCCAGGATAGGTGCTTCGGTGCAATGATGCAACAGGACATGCGCTTTACTTGCAAAGTGGAAGTGGGTGATAAGTACCGTATCATCCACAAGAGAGTGGGTACGTAGGGACTGAGACGGGTTGGCCGAGCATAGAGGAAGTAAGGTTTGGAGTCGCTGCTGAGCCAGGTATGGAGTCCCGTCTGCTCATGTCGCGTTGGGTGCAGCGCGGAATGCAGTGCTCGGGCCGATGCTGTGTGAGGCGAAGATAGCGATTGAAAAGATTCAAGGGGGACGGAGATCTGGGGGGGTGGGATTGGCGGCGGTCTTCGTTGGATGTCGACTAGTTTTTCTTACTTGATCGATACATCTACCAACCGCTCGTATTCTGTCTATAAAATCTCCGTTTTCTTATAACTCGTTGGTCACCGCAAGCTGAGACTAGAGTTCAAGTAGTTATTGGCGCCTGTGTGAGCACTCCAATCTGTAAAATAACTCTTTTGAAGAGTAAGCGTTCTTGAAGGCTCACTACAGTCGTGACCCCGATCCCTCAGCTGAATTGCCAACAGATACTCCCTCGCACGCTCGAGACTCCCAAGATAATCTTAGTGTTCATGCCCTGTCGTAAATCGTGCCATTGTTGCTAATCTTCGTAGAGGGAGATGGAATTGCTATTTGCTGCGACCGATCTCAAAATGGCTAAGCATGCAAGCCGACTCATCGTTGGGGTTGCGTCGGGTTGCGTCGGGTTGCGCCGGGCGAAAATTCACACAGGTCACAAGATCTGGCCAAGGTCTTCTCGCGTCTGACCCATTCAAGCGACATCGCACAAGTGTTCGGTGAACAACGCATACTAATACCATACACTGCATCGACCGATAATGGATACGGATCCATAGACGATGTAAAAACTTTTCCTTCGGATATCATCATCTTTCATGTTAATCAATCCGACTGCGGAGAGGGGAACCTTCATGGGCATGCAAGACCTTCTCATCAATCTCCAGTTGAAGTTGACGCACCCAAAACATCCGTTCTAAGCCTTTGAATGGTATACTGTCTTGACCCGGAGCCCAAACATCTGTTTCTCCGTACCTACTCGCGTCCGACGTTACTAATCTAGAGTTCAGACAGTACTTCATACATCAAAATCTTCTCCAACTTGTTCGGATCCCCAGACTTGATTGGATTGGATATATATGCTCTTCCGACCAGGGGTGCCACTGCCTAACGGTGACGTGTCTGTAATCACAGGCAATTGTATTTCGCCTCTCAAGCTCGAACGACTAAGGGGATTGAGGACCATTGATACGGTTCAGGTCTTACTGTGAGTTGCATATAGCTTAAATTCACTTCATATTTGAGTTCTTTGGAACGTTCATGATGTGATCCTCATCCCTGACAATGGGGCGGTATACCAATAGGTGACACAGGTTTGGAGGGCATTCCATGCTCGGAGCCTTCAATCTAGGCTATGTCGACACGGCGCCACATAGTATGACCATTCATTCAAACGAATAACACGCTCCATTGCTACCACCTTTCTACTGTCATACCCTTCTACTGTCATGCTCGGTAAGACTCTAGTGATATTAGAGGAGCCGTCCCACATCATACCACCCGTCAAGCGAGTCTTCAGGTCTTAAAGGTTCAGAGAGGCTCAATGCTTGACAGTATTCCCGCACTGCGCAGGATGTCCCTCACCATGTCAATTCCTCTCCTTCGAACCCCACTTTCTCTGTCTGACATCCTCACCACGGTCCAGCGAAACACTCATCTTTCTCTTGCATTTTTACTTGGCTTTTCCTTGCTGCTTATTGTCAGATACCACCAGAGTCCTTGGCGCAGACTCCCACCAGGCCCCAAGGGATTGCCATTACTCGGTAATATCTTCCAACTTGGGCCGAAACAATGGCTTACCTTTGCCGATTGGAGGAAGACATACGGTGAGCTGCATCGCGTCGTCTATTACTTTCCCACTAACGAGCCTTATGCAAGGCGACCTTATCTATCTCAACGCCGCCGGCCAGCCTATCCTCGTCCTCAACTCTCAGAAAGCTGCGGCAGACCTTCTCGATCGTCGGGCAGCAAACTACTCGGGCCGAGCACGAAATTTTGTCGCTGCCGATATTCTGGCAGGCGGTCTACTTATGGTCTTCAATCAACACTCCGACATGTAGGATTACCCCTATCATCCTCCCTCTGTCATCTCACGATTCTTCGTCATAGCTGGCGACGAATGCGCAAGGCTGCTCACGAGGGCCTTAACAAAACGATGGTTCAAAACTACAATCACAAACAGACGAGCGAGGCCGCATTGCTCGCCTCCGGTATACTGACGGAACCTCAATTTTGGGATCAGCACATGCGTCGGACAGCCGCATCCACCATCATGTCTGTGATGTATGACTCGCCAACAATTACATCCGAACATGACCCTTCAGTATCCCGAATCAATGATTTTGTCTATCGCTTGACCCGTGCCGCCCTGCCTGGTGCTCACTTTGTCGAATTTTTCCCTTGGATGATGCATATTCCAAGCTGGTCTGTACTCCACAGTGCCATCTATGCTGCTTGTTGACTTGAATTATTTCCAAGGTTGGCGAAATGGAAACGTGAAGCTGAAGAATGGTTCATTCGTGATACCAAATTATTTGAGGGCCTCTATCTTGGCGTTCGTCCATTCAAGAAGTTTGGTATTCTGTCACATGGAACTGATGATCAATGCAGGCTCAAGGGGAGGGACGCAAGAGCTTCTCAGGAACACTTATGGAAGACGACCGATTCGGTCTTTCACTTCGGGAGAAGGCCTGGCTTGTGGGTGGCATGTAGTAAGTAGATCGCAAGACTGTCTGACATTCTTGCTTATATGCTTCCATAGCGCCGCCGGTGCTGAGACCACCTCTGGCGTTTTGGCCTGGTGGATGCTCGCCATGACTGCTTATCCCGAAACGCAAAGGCGTGCACAAGCCGAGTTAGACGCAGTCGTTGGCCGGTCGCGGATCCCAAGCTTTGCAGACTTCGATCATCTTCCATACATTCGTGCAATGGTCAAGGAAGCGCTGAGATGGCACTCCGTCACGCCCTTCGCCATGCCGCACCTGGCGGTCGAGGATGATTGGTATGAAGGGTACTTCATCCCCGCGGGTACGATGTGCATCCCCAACGTGTGGCATATTAATCGCGACCCGGAGATATACGGCCCCGATGCGGCGCACTTTAACCCTGCTCGGCATCTCGATGCAGAGGGACGTGTTGCGCAAGGCCCGGCGGACACTAAAGAGGAGAGCCACTGTTCGTTCGGCTTCGGGCGAAGACTGTGTGTAGGTCGCAATGTCGCCAATAATTCATTGTTCATCGACATCGCCATGATGCTATGGGCGGCGAATATCGAACCTGCGACGGACGCGAGCGGCAAACCGGCACCGTTGGACTTGGAGGGATGCATCGACGATGGACTAGTCATGTCAGTCACTCCCATTACCGATAATTATATCTCTGACTTCTCGGACACCAGCCGGCCGGTACCCTTTGAATGCAAAATCACTCCTCGTTTCCCAGAAGCTCTTTCTATTTTGGAAGAAGAACAGGAGATTCTAGGGAAATAATCGGAAATCTGTCTGCTCTTTCGGACAGTCATATCTGTGGGTTGCTGTTCTCGTACTATCTCCTCATATTCGTTCTTCGCCTTGCATCGAGTAGTCCTTTTTGACTGATATTTAGCTTTTGAGAGATTTTTATTAGATATTTCTTTCTGTCAGATTGAATTCAGAGACACTTAATCCTCAAGCAAAGGACAGTTCACCGCGCTGCTCTTCCCTTCTTAGGCTACGCAGCAAGATAATCAATGTTATACACTTCCAAGGCTTCCTTTTAATCACCCCACGATAGCAGATTTTTCGTGCATCCTCAATCTCGTCATTTACTGAATTGGAACTTTCATAGTAAAGATCGGGACTGTTCCGCGACAATCCCTCCCAGCTTCATGTCCCATCCGAGTTGTTCGTAGGTCCAACCGAACACGGAACCGTTGTTGTCATGATACGAACTGAGCAGTGAGCGATGCATCCCTGGTCTCTCGTGCAGGACATTCAGAGCCTGCATATCGGCATCGTCCAATTTCACAAGCTGATTAGCGAGCGATGCACACGTCAGGACCAAAATGTTATTTCGGAGCATGTCTGGCTGACTGTGATGTTGGCCGTCATGCGGTCCAGGTTCTCGCTCTTCGGGATGACAATCGTGTTCCGCTGGACAGCCCAGTTGATGAGCGCCTGCGCTGGAGTTGCGCCGTGCTTATCGGCGATTGCTTGCACAGTGGGGTCCGCTACCAATGTGGGCACCGTGGTGTCAAGGCCGCCGCTTGAGGCATACGGGCTACCTATTGCATCGTTATCAGCAACCACGTCTGTTGAGCAACTTAGAGGGTTCGTCCACACCGATTGGCGAGTAAGCAGTAAGCAGGATACCACGCTCTTCGCAGAATGCTTTGAGTTTAGTTTGGGGCAAGTAGGGGTGTAGCTCGACTTGATTCGTCGCTGGAAAGATCCTGCAGTGCGGAAGCAGCCGGGTGAGGGTCTTAATAGAAAAGTTGGACACGCCGATGGATTTCACTTTGCCTGCACGGTTACATTGAGCGCAAGCGCTGGTAAAATTGAGGTCAGATAGCTTGCCAGTGTCGACCAATTTCTCCATCTCCTTCCAAGTGTCGATAATCGTCGGATATTCGTCCGCTTGAAGTGTGACACCTGAAAATGACATGACGATGGGATCGATCTTCTCTTAGCTTAGCAGACGAGAACATATCGGACACACCTTGCGCACTGACTGCTTGAGGCCAGTGCATCAGATACAAGTCGATATAATCACAGTTGAGTTTAGCAAGCGACTCCTCAAATGCTTCGCGGACACGGTGATGATCACCATTCCTAGATGTAAAGAAAGGAGTTAGCCAAAACGGGAATATGGCTTTTATGTGTGCGTCAATCGCGAACTTCAGAGTTGAAGCAAGCCGTTCAGTTGCACAACTGACTCAGGTCTCGGTGACGAGTGGTAGGAAATGAAGGATAAGCCCTATAAAGGGAACGTCCCGATAAAGAAAACAAAGTCGGCACGTACCATAGCTTAGTGGTAACGTATAGTTGTTCTCTTGGAATGCCAGATTCAGCGATCGCAAGGCCTACTTTCGCCTCGTTGGCTAGCAAGTACTCATGTTGCCTAATAATATCTCAAATACTGCAAAAACACGTACCATACCCGGAAGCCTGGTCGACGATCATGATGTCAGTACAATACGTTTAGAATGCGTTTATAATGCTTGAGTCAATGACTGACCGTATCAAAATGACGATATCCAACCTGCAAATTGATATCCTTAGAGGTTAGAGAGTATAGGACTTTGCTATCAACTAATAACATACTGTTAGTGCTTTGTCGCACATCTCCTTCACTCGCTCGCCTCCACCGGGCGAACCCATCCAGCACCTGTTTATCTTCTGTTTCGCAAGTGATGGAGCAGCGCATATGGTTTGAGAACATACCCCATTCCAATTGACGGTACCGTGCTGCCATTATTCAGCGCAAAAGAGGGGACGTCCGCAGCGGTCATCTTGAGCGGAGCGGGATGGAATAGTGACAGCTTTGAAAGCCACTCTTCATCCGTGTACGAGTATTTAACAGGTCAAGCTGCTGGATATGTCGGACATGATGTGGGGCGCACGAGGGCTGAGCGCTGAGGTGCCGATCTATCATCCAGGGTCAAGCAAAGTCGGCACGGTTCTCCGACTTATGTTGAGCGGTGTAAGTAATTCCAGACGCTTTAGCAAGACTGAGGTACCGAACAACCTTCTCAACACTTTTTTTAAACAGAACCCCATGGCAGTCTTATCCTACATGCTTCCAAACGTGCCGAAGCCCTCCTCGATCAATTGTATATCCACGCAATGATCCCACTTGGCTTCATATCCTATCCGAGCTGTTCATACGTCCAACCCAAGATAGAACCGTTGCTGCCAGGATATGTCAGTAGCGAGCGATGCATTCTCGGCCTCTCATGCAATGTATCCAGAGCTCTCATATCAGCCTCGTCCAATTTCATAACCTGGTGAGCGGCGCCGAAAGTCAGGCATCGTCCAACAGGAAAGCATCTTAGCTTTAACTAACTGCGATGTTAGCTGTCATGCAGTCTAGATTCTCGCTCTTGGGAACGACGATCATGTTACGCTGGACTGCCCAATCTGTCCTGGGGTCGCACCATGCTTATCGGCGACTGCGAGCAGAGCGGGACCTGCCACCAAAATGGGTATCGTGGTATTGGTGTCACCCGGAGCAGGCGGACGTTCTAATATAGATAAGGCAGCATCAGCAATTGAGCAGACGAAATTAGGGCTCGATCCGAAACCAAGTGAGGAATACGCCGTGAGTAGGATGCCACGCTCCTCACAGAACATTTTCAGCTCTGTTTGAGGAAGACAAGGATGCATTTCGACTTGGTTCGTCGCGGGAATGATCTTGCAGCGGGGAAGCAACTGATTGAGAGTCTTGATAGAAGAGTCAGATACACCGATCGGTTTGACTTTTCCTGTAAAAAGCGGTTGAGAGGGAAAACTGTGGCGTGGTTCAAGACGACATACCTGTATCAATTAGCTTCTCCATCTCCTTCCATGTGCCGATGATGGTCGGATGATCCCCGGGTTGAAGAGTGACACCTAAACGGGAAGGACGTGTCTATGAGTAAAGAAAGACCTAACAGAAAACAAGAGACAAACCTATTTCGCTGATTGCTTATGGCCAGTGTATGAGATACAAGTCGATGTATTCACAAGCTATTTTGACGAGTGACTCTTCGAATGCCTCGCAGACACGGCGACGATCGCCATTCCTGAACATTAGGACAGGAGTGAATAGATGATCCTTAGATGGCAAGATGGTATCATGTGTCACAGCCACATATCTTGGAGAGGTACGCGAAGTTCTAGGCCGAAGCACACAACGACGTATATGAAAAATAGAGTGCAGGCACATACCAAAGTTTGGTGGTAATGTATAATTGTTCCCTGGGGATTTCGGATTCAGAGATCGCAAGGCCTACGTTCTCTTCGTTGGCTAGCCAATGACAAATGGAGAAGTCAGAGAGAGGATTCTCGACTGTTGCAAAGACTTCCGACACGTACTATACGCAGAAGCTTGGGATGATGAGCACAATGTCAGGACTCTGCCTTTAAAAGAGCTTTAATGACTACGGACCGTATCAAAGTGACGACATCCAACCTATGAATGATTAGACTCGACGTTGGAAAGAATCGAAAATTTCACGCACTGCTAGTGCCTTCTTGCACATCTCCTTAACACGCTCGCCTTCCCCAGGTGTTCCCATCCAGCACCTATCCAGCGTCCACTGTCAATGCAATAGATGACCATTCACGGTCTGAGAACGCACCCCAGTCCGATCGACGGGATCGTGGTACCGTCATTAAGCTTGAAAGAGGGTATATACATGCTCGCGGCCATCTTTGACAAAATGTGAGAAAATAAAGGCGACCATGACTGCGGCTGGGTCAGAGCTAAGTTCAAAAGCAGATGCAGAATTTGATAGTATGGAGAACATCGCCGCCGTTTGGCATTTGTGCACCACTAGGCACCACTAGGCACCACTACATGCCGCCACTCATATGCAACATATCTCTCCACCATCGAGATCGACATACCTTCACTTTGGAAAAAGAACGATGTAGCTGATATTACGTATGCAGGAGGCGGCGGGATGGCTGTGTTCCCCTTGAAAAAGAGACGGCTGCCCCATTCAAATGTCTGTCGGCCCGTGTGCACTTGATGACATCGGCGATGACGACGACGGCGGCGATGATTCAGACGATGGTGGTGATGATGTCACACTCAGAAAACGCCGAGGGCTGATACTGGGCCGATTGAAATTGGAGTTCTGGAGCAAATTTTGAAGTTTTAAAGGTTTCTCACGCCTGCCGGACGTTGATTTGGCAGGAGACTTGAGTTTCTGCACAAAACCGATCCACCTCGGCACCTCGGCACAGCTATGGCAATCTATCAGAAAGTTACCCATGACAGGCCGAGATAACATTAAGTATAGCTTCTATAAACGAGTGAATGAAGTATTTATCGTAATGTCTATGCTACATGAAGGGTCAAAGCCCGTGCAGTACTATCGTACCTGTCGCTGCTCCAGCTGTTCCTAAGAGGAGCAGGTTGTCCGTGATCCGCTATATATCTGTGATTTACCATGTCCTGTAAAACCTAGAAGATATCACTAGTGACTACACCGCACCCTTCTCCCTCTCAGCCTTCTGCTCATCCTCGATTTCTTTCGCTATCTTTAGATCCTATTACAGAAGATAAGCATCAGCAGAACTTAAGGAGAGTAGTTTCGCTCACAAGACATGGCGCAAATTTGCTATTTTGTCGGATGCGCGGACCGTACTTATAAAACAAAAATGGCATAGGTGCCAGGACGATGCCGACGCAGCCAATGAGCGTTGCTGCCCACTGGACACCCATCTACAGCGAAACATCAGCTAACGTCGGGTTTTACGGAAGGGAGTGTACTTACACCTTCAAACATCTGTACAGTGAAAAGAGGAAATGCTGCTCCGACAATCGATCGTATCATCGTGTTCGCAGCAAATGCAGAGGCAGAATACATGCTGTGACGCAAGGTCAGCATTTTGATCGATTCATCGATCAGATCGGCGCGTGCTCACAGATAGGTGTCCACAAGGTAGCTCTACAACGTACGACACCATGTCAGCAACCTGAAAATCGCGAAAAAAACAGTCGTACACACCAAAAATGATATAAACACAAGGCTAACGCTCATACCGATCAAAATCGTACTGAGTGCCGGAACGTACCACGGGACGGAAGCGTAAGCACCTGTCCATCCGAGCCAGAAAATACCAATAACCAGACACGGACCAGCCATCATGGCACCGTATAAGCGTTCCTCGGCAGGCGGAAACCCACGCCATTCCTTCATGAGTCGGGGATAATCGCGGGAGAAATAGTAATTCAGAGAAGCGCCGATTGTTGTACCGATTCCCACTCCAATGAAGATGAGACCATCTTGGCTGATTGTCAGGCCTCGGATGCGGACGAAGACGATGGGGAAGGCCTCGAAAACTGGTAGGTGTCAGCGACCATCTTGTTTGTTGCCACACAGGGACTCACGAGCATAGAGCAAGCCATAAACGATTGACATGTAGATGGTGATGATGACGAGGATTGGTTCCTGGAGGAGCATCTTGAAAGGTCGGAGGATTGTGCGATGCATCAGTTCCTTGAACGACCATTTCTGACGCTCCGCCTCGGCATACAGATCCTTGTAGCGTTCGGGATCTGCGATCCGGAGACGCCTTGCCTGCAGAAGGAGATCAGCAAATATCTCTAGTAGCCTGGATATAACTTACTTTATGGAGGAGAATGATGGGTGCATATGTCTCCGGTAATAACACAGCAGCGAGAATAGTACAGGCGCCTGCGAAAATCATCATTACCCAAAACACCCAGCGCCACGATAGGGAACTCTCAATGATGCTACGACGCAATTATGAATCAAATGTCGCACGATCGGCATGATACATATGGTGCTTACAACCCAGAAACGAGGGGTCCAAGGACGGGGCCTAAAAATACTGTGGTCGAAAATACACTTGTGGCCGGCCCACGGCCTTCAGAATCCCATATATCGGCAATAAGACCACCTCCCATCGTCAGTGGCGCACAAGCAAAGAACCCAGATAGAAAACGAGTGATAAGCAGAGTCTCCATATTGTGGGCAAGCGCCTGACCGAGATGGAACATGACATAGAGCGAAAGGGTAACGATGAAGACAGGTCGCCGACCAACCACTTCTGAACCTGGTCCCCAGAAAATAGGACCTAGGAGACTACCTTGAATACTAGGACTGATAGAAGCAGATAACCAGAGACGTACCAAATACATATCCGATCAAAAACACAGACGTGACAAGATATGATACTTCTGTCGACGAATGAAACTCAGCTGCAACCCTGAACGCCGCTGTTGACGGCGCAGACGAAGCAAAGGTTCTGGTGTTACGAAAATCGTCAATGCCCCGTGCTGAGTTGATGGAAAGCATCGACTCACACATTGAGTGTCGTTAGACTGCACAGAAGTGTGACGAACCACTTGTATGCATATGTCCATGTCTGAGGGTTTTCTCGATCATCGGGACCATCCCAGGCGACAAGGTTGGGATCTATGATTTCCTTCGATGACGACCGCGCGATGGGCTGGGAAGACTTGACTGGTGGGTCCTCCGGATCGTCTCCTCCATACATCTCAAAATGTGCCTCAGCATGATTGATTTCCTGGTTCAACGCTGCCGCATCCTGATGGATGACTGTCGACATTGAGGATCGAAGAGACACAGGAGTCGAAGCATAAGACGTAGCAGGCATAGCAGTCATCTGCGCTCGTGAGGGCTCTCGAGGATTGAGGAGGGCTACCAGCAGCGAACGGACCGAGATGGGGGGGAAGACGGGTGGTAGTAAGAATTTCCATGGCCGGCCTTTTCTACTTCCCTTGCTTGAACCGTGTCCCCAACGGAGGCCGATATGCGCACACCGACTGTAAAAACGATGACAGATTGAAGGTGACAGAGAGCCAGGCCAGCCGGAATTCAATAGCAGCCAAATATAGGTTTTTCTTCGGGCGGTTAATTTACCGACGCCGAGGGTACCTAAGGGTTCCTATTTTCGGGAACCTACTGTTTGGATCAGTTGAGAGTGCGATCCTTTTTGCCAATGGGCAGTTCGAAGAGCTAGGCATCCCACAGCCAAGACTCATCGAAGGAGTCGGAGGAGGTTATTAGGAGCAACAACGCAGACGATGGCAATACGAGGCGAGCTGCTTATTCTGCTCTGCCACTGCTGAGTCACAAAAAAATTTAAACACCGCGGCCAGCCTTCATCAGCGCCGCACAAGGCTGCACCATGCTCAACGAGGCAAAATACCAGTCTTGAAGCGGCTTACTGTCTTGCTCTCTCTGTGATCATAACCACCAATTGTGAATCTTTATCACCGACTATTCTTCATCTGCGCTGAAATCGACTCATCGTCTCAACATGAAATCGGTTGGCAGCCCTGTTCCCAGTATCAGTATCTCCGTGACTGACATTGCGCTTCTTGCCGCCCACAACTTGATGCGATTGATCCTGACTCAGGTATGGTATACTACTTGATCTGTCTCCTTCCTCCGCGGAAACGTTGCAGAACTTCCAGAGGGCCTCTTCTTGGTATTACTAAGCTCGAAATGTTATTCCCGACATACCGGGATATATTTCGAAATTGTCGACACAGACTCGGAGAGATCAGTTTGGTAACGCCCGTGTCTGACTACCAATGATTGGGAGGTTGCCTATCTCAGCAGACAATCCGGTTACTCATCTCCATTCATCACTAGCTGCTCCTACACGGCTTGCATCTCTTCGCGAAGTCCTTGGGCTTGCAAGCCGGCGTCTTGTAACTATGTGCTCACGCACGACAAACCATTGTGAGTGCTTTGTATTAGGCCTTCAACATATCTATTCATTCAGAAAATGGTGGAACCTATATGTGCATGCCTGAGACACGTGCAAGCTCTGTGGCTGTGAGACTCTCACGCCGAGCGTTGCAGAATCGCTCGCCAACATCATTGCATTGACCATACTGCTTTACGAGCTTGATTTTTTTTGTTGATTGCTGCCCCCATCAAGGTAAGTCAGTGGTAAGTCGCGTATTCAAGGCACTGATTCTGTAGGGTTTTGGAAATACGCCAAATCAAAACTGCTGGGCACAACGATGCACTCGTTCGACTTGTGCAGTTACGCACTGGCACACCTGCTCTGCACTCCAAGTGAGCCGGCGCGGCGGGCGCCGTGACAAGCAACTGACAAGCAGTATAAGCTAACCGTACTGATCACGGAGCGTTTACCCGAGTGGACGCGTGTATTGGCCGGTATGAATGTGGATCGTCATGCAGGTAATTTGGAATATGTACAGCGGGTGGGAGAAGTCATAGTGAGTAAATCCCATACTTAAATAGTAATTCATTTCTCATATTCGTGTACATAGATCATCGGCATCAGCGGCCCACTGGTTTCCGTTCCAACACAAGGAGTCTCGCACCCATTTTCTCTCCGCCAACCCGCCTTAAGAATTCACACATTCGCGAACTGGAGCGCAGTCGGCACGCGTCATTAATTTTAATCTCTACAGCAATAGCCGACCTGACAAGCCTTACTGGGATTCAACCCTATAGATCATTTCCAAACGACATCAATGGTATAAGAGCCCAAGCACAACACTACCCACTTCGTACAATCTGATACTGAACGTCCAACTAGTCTAAGTCACAACTGAGAGGCTATCTATGCGATGTCTGGGTCCTGTAAGTGAGGGATGCTACATATTGTGAATGATTATAAAGGTCGATACGATGAGTGACTGCGACCTAACAGGACTATAAACATAAGGATATCATCAAGGTTCATAGAGGGAAGCGTCATCGCAGATGATCAAACTTGGCCCTTCTCGAGTTCAGCTTTCCTTTCCTCTTCCATGGCCTTCGCAATTTTCAGATCCTAGTTTGAAGGAAAGTAAGCATCCGACAAATTCAACAGGAACATCTGGATACTGACAATACAAGGTGCGAATGTGCTGTTCTGTCGGATACGAGGTCCATATTTGTAGAAAAGGAATGGCATGGGTGCTAGCACGATCCCGACGCAACCGATGAGCGTTGCTGCCCAGTTGACGCCCAACTTCAAAAGTCAATCAGTACAATTCAAAATAAAATCAAGCGCGATGCAGAATACTCACTCCTTCGAACATCTGAACGGTGAACAGAGGGAACGCAGCCCCTACCGCCGAACGAATCATGGTATTTGCCGCGAAAGCGGAAGCGGCATACATTCTGTGATTCGGATTAATTCAAGGTACGCAAATGATTTTTTTTGAAAACATATACAAATACGTGTCCACGAGATAGCCCTGGAGTGATATCCGAGTCAGCATTTTGCCATGACGATATCCGCACTAAGAACTCACCAAGAATGACATGAAGACAAGACTAATGCTCATCCCGATGGGGATCGAGCTGATCGCAGGGACATACCAAGGAATAGAGGAGTACTGGCCCGTCCAGCCAAGCCAAAAGATGCCTATCACAAGACTTGGACCGCCGACCATAGCACCGTACAGTCGCTTTTCTGGCGGAGGGAACCCACGGTACTTTTGCATGAGGACAGGGTACCCGCGGGAGAGCCACCCGTTGAGGAAAGCGCCAATTGTCGTGCCAATACCGACGCCGATGAACGTCAGGCCATCTTGACTGAGCGTCAGGCCATGCTTCCGTATGAAAATGATCGGGAATGCCTCAAAGACTGGCGTTCGTGAGTTGTGTTGTTTGCTACCTTTCTACTGACGTGATGGACTTACGAGCATAGATAACACCGTAGACAACGGAGAGGTAGATGGTGACGAGGACAAGAATAGGCTCCAAGGTCAACATCTTGAAGGGCCGGGACACTGTGCGTCCGACAAGCTCCTGTACAGTGAATTTCTTCACTTCCATCTCTGCATACAACTTCGCGTTGCCCTCTGGGTCGGCTTTCCGCAGGCGCTTTGCCTAAAACAATGAAGTCAACCGAGTTGATCGACCTAGATATGAATATGGATATACCTTTCTGAGGAGGATCACCGGTGCGTACGTCTCAGGCATGAACAGTATCGCAAGGATAGTACACGCTCCGGCAAACATCATCATAACCCAAAACACCCAGCGCCACCCGAGGTAGCTCTCCACGATGCTGAAGCAATGTGCGTGAGACAAGACTCATCGAGCGACATACTAACACTCACAATCCACTCACGATTGGTCCCAGAACGGGGCCAAGGAAGACGGTCGTAGAGAACATGGAGGTAGAAGGTCCACGACCAACAGGGTCCCAAACATCGGCGATGAATCCGCCCCCGACTGTTAATGGTGCACAAGCAAAGAACCCAGATAAAAAGCGAGTGACAAGGAGCGTTTCAATGTTATGGGCAAGGGCTTGGCCAAGGTGGAAAATGGTGTATAGGGTAAGTGCAACGGTGCAAATAAGCTTTCGCCCAACAACCTCTGATCCTGGCCCCCAGAGAAGAGGACCTACAACACAAAGGTCAGTAGGGCCTTCGATGATGGGAAAAGGAAGTCAACTCATACCCAGGACATATCCGATCAAGAAAATAGATGTTATCAAGTACGATACTTCCTGCGTAGTCCGGAACTCTGCGGCGATGAAGAGGCTGGCTGATGAAGGTGCAGACGAGGCAAACGTGCTGTTCAAAGTAAGCCTGCAAAGCCCTTTGGCGTGACGAATGAAGAAACTCACACATTGAGGGTCATGAGACTCATCAGCACCGTTATAGCCCACTTGTACCCATGTGACCAGTTCTGCGGGTTTTCCGGGTCATTGGGCCCATCCCAGGTGACAAGATTAGAATCCGCTGGTGGCTGGGGAGGAAGGCCGGGGATCATGGACTTTGCAGGAGGTTCGTCAGGTTCGTCTCCGCCATACTTCTCGATCTCGGCCTCGTCATGGGCGATCTCCTCATCGAGCGGAGAGCGGACTCGAGTAATTGACCCAATGGCCGTTTCGGTCGATGCCCTGGGCGACGAGAATTGAGGCGTCATTGTTGCTCAGACTTGGGAGCAAGTCAAGAATAGCGGACGAAGAAGGGCGATAGCGCGGTCCCAGACAAGGAGCATGGTCCTTTTATCAGTGCTCGACGTGGCATGCGCGCAATTTTTTCAGTCGCCACACAACCGACGTGCACAAAGCTGGAACCAGCCGGTAGTCGGCAACTGGTTCGGCTACTGGAAATATGTGATACATGTTAGCGAAAGATCGAGATGGGTCTTCGGGATGGTTGTAAGCCTTGTTCCGCCTCGGGCTATCTTGAGTGAAGTATTCACTCAAAAACCAACGAAGGGACGCTATAGCACTTACTTACACCTATCGGGTGCTACTGAACAGTAAATCGGGCAATGTGACTGCAATGTGCCAGTTGACCTTGGTCAGGTGCATGCGATCACTGTGAGATCCTTTGTGATCGCTGTGAGTTGTTATGCCGATCGGGAGATCTTGCCAAATAACCTTGCTATACTGAAGTATACTGGTCGCAAACGTGTGCCGCCGCCGGCACCGTGCAAGAGGTATATAGTACAGTTGTTCATGTGTTTTTTTACCGCATATCTGACTTCCTCAGGCGTCCTCAGCTGTCCTCAGGCATCCAAGCACGTTTCATAGTTCCAGTTTCGCTCCCAAACGCGCAAAATGACGTTTTCGGATGAACGAGCCGCTGACTCATGCGGTGCGCAGACAGCCGGTCCGGCTTTGAGACATAGCCGGACTGGCCCTAGTAGGGCCCTGGTGCACTGAACTGCTAGGCAAGGCCAGGCAAGGCCAGGCAAGGCCATGATGAGTGACCATCTGGCATATGAGCGCTACACCTGTACCTATGGAGCTACTTATGGGGACACGTACTACAACTGGAACTTCCATCGAGGTGCACACAGGTGCACTCTGCCACTGCGCAGGTCAGTGCTTGTCAGCAGGCTTCAGTTATAGGACCGGTGCCGAGTAGCTTTAGACTCTCATCGTAGATCCAGGCACCGGGACCTTGCTCATTCCCTCAGATCTCCAAGAGCCACGATGACAATCACATGTTAGGATGTCTGGAGAGTCTCAGTTGTTTGAGACATGCAGCATATCATACAAAACATGAGCATACCTGAATGTTCAAACGTGCAACAGGCTGCAGGACACCTGCAGGAGCCAAGCAGAGGGTGATAAGGTGATTGCTTAGCATGAAACAGCAACAGCACCATCAAATGAATCATGCAATGCCAGAACCATATGTCAACCACACCGAAGCCCGAACCACCAATTCAGCGATCTTCGGATTCGATACGATGACGGATCAACGTGTGGAATCTAGCTGTAATCTACAAACCCTTGGAGCTTGTGCGCGATCCGAGGCGGGAACTTGAACGCCGAAAGCCTCTCCCCAAACGTCCGTACGATGCGGACGATACCTTCTTTGAGCGCTAGAAGTTTCATGTAATCAATCGCCTGTCTAAACAAAATGAAGTCAAACAAAGGACCCACCGTCACCAACAACAGCAAGCACATCGCCTGCTCGCGTAACCTCCATAAGGACACGATCACGGGCCTCGCGGTCCTTGACGGACAATTCGTCTTCATCGGATGACGGAACCGGTGCGAGAGCGCTCAATTCAGCCTGGTATCCTTCAATAGCAGTCAAATGCGAAAGCATCGCCTCCAAAATGCGAGGTATGTCGCGCTGAACAACGCCATAACGGTCTTCAGTCAGCGACGCGCAGACAAGGCGAGACAACACTGAAGCGAAAATGATCAATTGAAGGGCGTTCGCTTGCTTCATCAATAAAATACAAACCTTCGACGATGAGCGCATCCACCTCACGGTAAAGCAACGATGCTTCAGCGGTTTTACTAACCCGCTCTCTCCGCCACCAGTTTTCCCAATGCTCTCCGACGCGTGAAAGTATCAGAGGGACTGACATGGGAAGCAAATGCTTGAGGGAGCTGATGCTTCGCACTGGAGCCGTAATAGCTTTGACAGCCGCCTCGTTTTCGATCAAAGCCAGTGGCTGTTTGATAGCCGTCGCCGGGGATTCAATGCCCTTGAAGAGTTCTGGCATATGTGCCGCTGTTGTCTGAACAGAATTTTGGACGGCTTGTGTCAAAGCACCGTCAGCAGCTATGGAATCGATAACGGAACGGATTGGTGATTGTGTTGGTGCCTTGAAGATCTGCTTGCGTAGAAGAGGCGTAGAAGGTGGTGCGGGTTTCAGCACTGGGGGTGCCGGAGCAGGTGCTAGAAGGGGAGTATGAGTATGTCTGCGAAGACACTTGCAGAAACAATGACTTGCTCGTCGGTGGTGCAGGTTGTCCTCGGCGTAACAGAACTTGGTAGTCATTGCCGAGAAATAAGAGGGATTCGCGGAGGAGAGTAGCCCATAGAGAGGGGCTGTATTTTTGGTCGCCAAATAATGCAGTGCGACGGGTAAGGGCACTCGGTGAATCATCTTTGGCAAATTCATTGAGCTCGTGGTAGGCAAAATACTTGAAATATACATCGCTAGAAGTTATTCCTGATACAAGCGTTGCTGAGGAATCCGGTGTAACTTGGGCTACATAGATCGGCTGGGATCAAGATACATTAAGTTAACAACAATACAAGAAAGCACTGAAAACAAACAAACCTCTTGAATTTTTTCATCGAATAGGCTCTCTGCGAACTCCCAACTGGATAGCGTTGTGAAACCAACGAAGAAAGTCCGCCAAATAAGAGGAAGGTTGCGGAACAAGAGAAATATTGTCCAGGACCCTCGTAAGAAGTGAGCGCAGAAAGGTCGCAAAGGCTTGGAGACCCCAGGCAATCCCAGCAGGACCGGTAGTACCAGAGATCGGGCGAGACCGAATGCAGCGGTGTAGGCTGACAAAACCAACCCGGTGAATATCAGGGCGGTAAAGCCAGTCAAGGCTAGTCGGTATGTGTACGGTGCAGCCGGCTTTGAGTACTGCAGGGAGTGGGAGCATCATGATACGGATGGTTCTGATGGGCATGGACCAGACGCACCTGCGTGTGAGCAGATTTCCAATGAACGGCAAACCGGTCAAGCATGGTATTTCGAGCGAAGTAGGCAATCGCCAATGTAAGTTGCGAGAACAGGAGGAACAAAAAGCGACCGTTGAGATAGTATGGATGTTTTCTGTTCGACTATTTCAGAGCGCGGAGTGCGGAGAACTAGAAAATTGACGAACCTGGACCTAACGAAAACGGCGAGATGGTGATCACCGCGCGAATTTGGGGGCTCATTGGCGTATGTATTGATGATGTGTAAAGCCGTAATCCCCGCAGCGGAGACAACGTAAGTCGCGAGGGAGCGGAAAGTTGTGGTTTTTGAGGTCGCGATTTTGAATGTTTGAGAAGGCGATGACGCAGCAGCACGTGTAGCTAGATGCGTACAAAACAATGAGCAAATCGAAGATGAAGCAAATCAACCTGACGATGCAAAAGAAGCGCATAAAGCCGTGTCGTCTATTGAAAAATCGAATGACTCGTGGACTCCACCCAAAGCTGCCACAAGTCCACCGTGAAGGAGTCTCCTTATCATGATAGTCCAATAATAAGGCATAGAGATATGCCATGGTTGAGAGCGCTCGTTTCCTAGGGTAAATGCTCTCGTCTCGAAACATTCTTAAAGCGACAGTGAGATTGGTGAGTGGCGATGTCTATCATCGGAAGGGGGCTGGGTGGGTAGATATGGCCTGTACGCAAAGCCCGTAGACGTACAGCAATATGGAGCGCATCTTATCCAGTCATCTGACCAGAGCTCAAACTCACCTGTCAACCGTGCTTTCCGCAATACCACCACGGGGACTACACCCAGAGCCCATGCAAAGGCTGTGAAAGCCAACGTTGATGGTAAGAAAGGAAGGAATGGTAACTGCGTGATCCCAATGCCTCGCCACCATCCAATCCACAACATCGTCTGAGCCCACTCAAAGATAGCAGAGGAGAGAAATATGCCATAGAGTAGACGGTGGCGTAGCACGGCGCGTAAGAGAGGTTCATAAGTCTGAGAAGCCGCAGGAACAGGAGCCGACGATCTTGCGGACAGTGAAGAGGTAATGGCACGTATTGGTGTTGTTGTAGAGCTCCCTAGTCGTGACATCGCAGGGGAGTGTCGACCACCGTCGATGGCAGCAAGAAAGAAGGGAAAAAGAAAGAAAGAAGTAGCGTGAACTCTTGCCACAGACGCGTGCCGTCACCGAGTTTCGTGACCCAACCCTTGTCACGTATTCATCACATCACACCATCACATAGGAATGTAGCAATTCGAGAAAAGTTCATGAATGCTTAGAACTACACATGGGATCTATGAGAGACAAAGCAATCGAAAATAGGAGAATAATCAAAATAAAGAGCCCAAATGCTACCAAAGCGCTCATGCTTCATGCCCAAGGATTATCCTCTTCAGGAATTCCATAGCGATTCAGAACGACACTCACTCGTGCATGCGAAGGAGGCGTTTCAGCGCGAGCGATCGTTATATCCTCTAACAGCCCATCTGCACTCCCGTCCTTATCCTCCTCTCTTAGTTCTGTTTCTGTCACAGCCTGTGCGAGATCCTCGAGATCCCCGCCTTCTGCTTGCACCTGCGCCTCGCTTTCTACCTCTGCATCTTCTTCTCCGGGTAGATACTTCCTCCGATAGACTTTCATTACTCCAGCTCCACGCATTGCAGGTTCTCCATGTCGTCGCTCCCTCGTCATCCCCGCTTCGCCCGCACTTTTATCCTCGATAACGAGATCCACAGCATCTGGCCGGCGGGCCTCACCTGGGACATGTGCAAGGGCTCGATTGTTGATCGAGGGACTGTTGTTAGATGAAGGAGGCAGGGAAAGAGACTGGTGGCGTGAGGATGAGCCAGGACGAGAAAGTTTGCTCGGCGACGCAGACACAGAAGTCGACTGCGACGAAGAGGATTTCTTCGACACCTTCGTCCACTCTAGACGCACACCCGCAGCATCGCCTGCGGGCAACCGTTCGGCCTCCATGTCGATGATCGATCGATCGACTTGATGGCTCGCTCCCTCGACCCTAAATCCCTTCTGTTTCTGTTCGGAGCCCTGATCAGACCTTGGGAGCCCATTCGAAGTCCCGACAGCCCCGTATGTCGGTCCATGCTTGCCGCTGTCCGCCCGCCTTCTCTCCCCATAACTCGAGAACCACGCACTCCGCTCGTTCCGCAAGATGCGCTCCTCCTCGTCCCACATCTGAATTCTGGCAGATTCTGAGCTTGCATCGATGCAAGGATAGTTGTAATCCCCAAAAAAGTACTGCTTGCAGCTCTGAAAGAGCCTTTCATCCTCTTCGTTCAGATCACCGAACGGCAGCCCTAACCCAGTTGCAGCTTCACCTTCGTCATCGTCACGTAAATCGTCAGCGTCATGGACGACGTCTTCGATATCGCCTGCGAGAAGTGGAGCATGGACCTCTTCATCTTCTCGTCTTGTCATGCGTTGTATCGCATTGATCCCTCGCCCGACCGGTCCCGAGGAGCCAGCGCTACCGACAGGAAGTGGAAGCCAATACTTTCCCTTTCCACCTTTGCTGTACCTCAAACCTGCGCGTATCCGACGCTCTCGTCCCAGCCCCTGATGCATATAGCCCTCGCTAGGTTCAAACTCGCGGTATCCCATCCCCTCGCCCCGCAGCGTCGTCTTGCTATCTTCAACCACGTCCTTGAACCCAAAGGCATCGCGAGTAGCATAGAACATTGGCATGCGCCCGACATAAGACAGATGCTTGTCGATGTAGTCTGTGTGTGCAAACGCAAACATGTGCGCGATAGCAAAGAGTGGCATTTCGAGACAGATCATAGTGTCGGTGAGCCCGAGCGAAATATGCTCCTTGTCAAGGTATGGCCCTAGTTGTTTGATAGCTCCCATCGCAACGAGAATGGAAATGCCAATAGATTGCCAGAATGAAAAAAATAGTATGCCCTTGACACAAAGAAACTTCGGCATGGGACTATGTCGCTCAGTCATTAAAATGAATAGTTTAGGTGAACTGACTCACCGAAAAGGCTTGAGATCTTCACTGATAGATAGCCAAAACATAGCAAGGCAATACAAGCTGAGACAGATGCTCATGTTGTATATGATACTGATATATAGATATCCAGAATCTGCACGAAGATCGCCTTCATTGAATTTCCCTGCAGCCTTGAGAATCAAGGTGGCCACTGCAAGGATGGGTTTCACCTGGACATATTCTAGAATGACGAACGAGTATTAGCATTTGTACGGGGTGATTTGCGATCTACGCACGAAGGATGCCTCGCTTGAGGAACAGGAAAGTGTATGGGTCACTAACGTCCAATTCCCGTTGAAAGATGTTCATGGGGAAGGGAGGGGCTTTAGGAGGCCGGCCGTGAACAAGTATGATCAGAGAACGTTCGCCTCCAAGGTATGCTAGAAGAAGTTGGAAGAAACAATAAATCACGAATGCCTAGGCAAACGCAACCTCAGTAAGGTATGGCACAGTTGAAAATATACGCACTTCGTATATATCACGTATCACATCAATGACAAAAGCTGCCTCAAGGGAGAATAATGATATGAGGGACGATATCCCGTAGAGTGGAACCATTAGCATTATCCGTATAACCATCCTGCCGAGAGAATTTCATTAGTTTGGTGAACGGATGATCAAGTCCAGATGTCGCTATGATCCAATGCCTCCCAAGTCTTCGTCCACGAGCGCTCGATGCTATCATGACCTCCTCGATGATCTGCCTCCTCTGCTAAACCAGATCGGCCTGCCTCAAAGTCCATAGAGTGACTCACTCACCGTTGCAATATAGGTTTCCGGTAGTTTTTGAGGTGCAGGTAGATCGATATGGCTGAGACCAATGTTGCCACCACCGTCGCGAGTCCAGATACGATGAGAAGGGTTGGACTTAGAGCGGAACCAGAGCCTCCACCTACGTCTGCTGCTTTCGCCTTGAAGGAAGCCATTGGAATCGAACAAATGAGGATTATTCCACTGCTGCAAGCTCAGTGTAGAAGAGACGAGCGTCAGCGCCTATGGATACGCTCGCAAGCTGGGTTGTGCATGAAGTCGGGTATAGGGAGCTGCGGATGCTGCCTCCGTGCAGCTGATGCATTTCAAACTCCGAAAGGATCCCTGACTAGCATGGCAGACAGAGGACCATTTGTAGGCATGACATTGTCATTTTGTATTTATTAACATTTTGCTCCAAAGTGGGTGGAGGGACTCACCTTACAAAGGCTTTCGTTCAGTAAAAGTAAGCAAATACACATTGGTCCGTGCCATAGATATTCCCATCTTTAGACTTATTCATGACAACAATTTATTGTTCAACCGCTGTGATTGGTTGATATGGTTGTGTCGGCTTCACAAATTCAAAAGAAAGAGCATGCTGATGTATTGTTCAGACATCTATTAATTTGTTATATCTAAACCAATGTCTTTGCCCCCAGATCCCAGTCGTTTGTTGAGGAATAAGATCAAAATGAGTTTGTGATGGTGATGTCACATTGAGGTATTGACTCCCGCCTGCCGTGTATAGGTGACGTACTCAAGAGCGCGATGGCCCTTTCCTTTTCTCCACCCGGCTTTTTGCCCATCGCCCCCCATGGTAACTGTGTCTCAGACCGTCAGATTTTTTACACTTGAAACTTGGAAATTTTCAGGCCAGCCAACTGACAGACTGCTTTCTCAACATCCATATTTTTGCCTGTTTATCTTGACCAGTGACTTGCTGCACGACCGTCTTTTTTGCGATCGCCATGCCCAAATTCTCCAAGCTTGTAAACCCTTGCAACCCACTTCGCAGGATACTCCGTGATGCAGTCAAATCTATGGATGGACTCAGATCTATGGCAGTTGTAGGCAAGCTTCGTCGCGTTGATTCTCGTCTAAGCATTACTACCCGGCCTTTCGAGACATCTATCCCTCGTTCTCCTGGCACACGCTCGCGACGGTCGTATTGCATGGCCCTGCTCAATGAGGTCGATGACACAGTCATTGTGACTGCACTCGATTCACTCCCTTTTTGCTGTCACGCAGACCTGATCACAATGAACCGCTCGCAGCTGGTCGATGTCGCACAAGTATTCAATCTTTACCTGCCCGCAGCGCTGCAGATCGATCTCGACCCATCTCAACCAGATGATTATATCCGTAATACTATCGAGATTCTCGTCGGTTTACGCCTCGGCCAGAACAAGGAACGAAACACACCTTCTCCAACACCACCTGCTGTTCCATCTCGTGCTTCTTATATATCTGTTGGCACACCCCTGCATCCGGTTGTCGAAGAAGACGAGGGTTTTGCTTCTATGCGTGCAAGGCGCCGCACATCTTCAGAGCCGAGGCTTTCCCTTGCACCAGCGCCAGTCCCACGCCTGATAATCACCGAACCTGATTCACCTACACCGAAGCGTGCACCTCGTTCCAAGAGTGCGATGGTTCTGGGCTCTACTTGTGGCTCTGAAGAAAGCCATAGCCCGGGTGGAATCCCTCATCAACCAGACAGTCTGCTCAATGCAATCCCGTCTCGCGCGCGTTATCGTCCCAAAGTCCATGAGCCAGTTTCGGCGTCTACCCCCAGCATTCGTGCAGCATCTCAGCCTAGCGTGACTGTTGATGTGGGTTCTTAGCTCTAGCGTACTGCGGATGTTGCTACCGGTGCAGGCTACAAGGATATAGTGGCTTTTGACGTCAATAGCTCAGCTGTAGCGGGCGATGGTCTCGGTGACGAGAAGCAGACAATATGACGTGAAGCTAGCAAGTCTCTCCCATCTCTGTCCTACTTAGGTTCACTATGAAGCATGTTATGTGTGTTTATGGAATGTATCGAAGGACAGAGTATCTTGTGGTGGTATGTATGGGGTTGAACCCAAACATAAGCATATGGATGTGCACTCAATCTTCTGCACATCAGTAGTGTCATTCCACAGATTTGGACCGCAGCAAATGAAATCATATTCAAGTAACTAGTCGTCGATACCCTTGACTATGAATCTTCTGATATGAAGATTGGCTCCGCCCTGTAACCTAGAATCAATGACGGGGGCTCTGAATTTAGTAATGACGCTTCTATCGCTACCTCGGCGTCATCGAAGTCCGAGTCTGTACTTGCAGTTGTGTCCGAGTCCGTATCCGATTCACTGTATGGAATGTCTGCGTCGTCAACCTTCCAAGTGACGTAGTGACGCGTTTGAACAACATCGACCCCGGGGGCGAGGCTGGCTGTAACACCAGGGAACTGGTCTGAAAGTGGCGCTCTCGGATCCATGACCACAGGAAGTTCGAAGAAAAGGCTCAGGGATATATCCAGTCGCCTGCGGCCTTGCAGCGCAGGGAAGCCTGCAAGGTCGATTTGGGATTCATGTGCACTATCCAGCTCGTCAGCAAGGAAGGGCAGCGTCCAAATATCTAGCCATTTGAGGTTTGGATGTGACATCAGAACGAGCTGATCGCCTTCGTGCTCCTTGAAACAAACGAGATGCTCCAAATTAGGACATTGGTCGAGCCAAGGCTGGAAGGAAAAACTCTTCGGGGCTTTAATGTGGACGTAGACGTGAAAGAATCGGAGATTGTGGCCATATTGCGATAGGAAAATCAACATCGTGTCACCGAACGACAAGAGGTTTTCTTCAGACGCCAAGGTAGGCCATGACCCCAGGAGAACTGTCAGGTTTTGCAAAGCAGGCATCGACCAGGAAATGGTCGTTGGGGGGTGGCACTGAGAATTTGCAGGCGTCATCAGGAAACGAAGATCGCGCAGATACGGCAAGTACAAAGACATCTGATCTTCTTGTGAGATGATCGGAAAAGTTATTGTCAATGAAACAAGACTCGTGAATGGTTGAAGAAAACTGATCTGGAAATGGTCTTGCACGGGATTGATATCCACTTCCGACGTCGAGAGACGCGAAGCGACTTCTGACACGACTGGAATCCACCGGATAAGAGATGTGGTTGAGAATTTACGCTGGCTGAGCGAAATTGAAGAAAGACGCGGACAAAGTTTCACGATCTTTTCCAAATGATACGCGTAGGTGGCTCCGCCTATGAAGTCTGGCGCAAAAATGTTAAGCGTGATCTTCTCAACGAGTGGTCTAAGGTAGTTTGGTGCGTCGGTGATTGTCTGAAGAAATCGCTTGACTTGCGTTGGGGAAACAAAAATTACATCACTGTAGAGATGGCGAGTGCCGATAGCGTGCCACCGATGGCAGCTGGAGATGATGGACTTGACAGTGCTCACCGACTGCCGCCAGCCTGGATTCGCAAACCCCCAGCCGTACGTAGGATTGGACTTCAGAGTGGATTGAGCAGCTGCTGACAGCCGCTATTATGCAACGTTATCACGTGAAGCCTGCTCATGGTCTGTCTTTTGTTCCAAGCGGAGCAGTATAGAAAACTAAGGTCTCCATGCCGGATGTTCACCCTGATTGCACTATGAGTGGTAGTTATGAAGAATTTCACTGAATATTGATATTGATTCCCAACATCAAGGGCAGTCATAAGTATTGTTGACTCACCCGTTCCGCCGAATTACTGAGACGCTCGATCCAAAAAGAAGGACAATTTCTAACATACAGATTACTGAACAAACTGATTCGAAGAACAGGGCATCAATGGGACGCACAACGAAGTAGGTAACAATTACCAGCAGTCCAACGTACATACACTAATGAATCTCATCTGGCCCGCAGGGCCTCACATGGTATCGGTGGTCGCTAGCACTTCAATGATTGGATTCAGGCGAGTTGGGCATATTAAGTGATGATACAGCCTTCGGGCAACTGAGGCAACCCGTCGGCGCCAAGGTCGAGACCTGGAGGGAGCTCGCCCATTATCTCCACTGGCGGAGAGCCGTACGACTGCATCTGCGTTCGAAGAACTTTCGTCAATGATCGAGCATCAATACAACGTAGAATGCATGATGAATGCGTACCTCAGTCATGAGCGACACGACTGCTGCATTCTGGGACGAGTCGCTGTCGCTATACGAAGGGTCCTCGAAGATCGCGATCATCTTCGCAATACTGGCATGCTGCGCCGTGTACTGCCTGTACTGCTGCTCACTCAATGTCGCCTTGTTCTCTTCGAGGTATGGCGGGAACTGAAATGGCAGATTCAATGTCAACCTGCGATGGATGAAAGAGTGTGCGAAGACGCCGACCTTGTCTGAGAGCTCCTTGAAAGGTTCATACAGAATATCCTTGCTCATCAAATGGCTCATCATGCCGTCCAGCAGGCCGCTCAATTCATCCTCTGTCTTACCTTCCCCAAACTCGGCAAGTAGCTTCTCCAGGTCGTCGTCATTCGTCGAAGCCGCCTGCGAGTCCTGACACGAATCGTTCAGTCTTTTCATGCACAAACTTAGTAGCAAAGAGTAAACGAACTTACCCGGAGATTTTGCTCGCTCTCTTTTAACTTCTGCATTGCCGCACGAATGTTCTTTTGAAAGTCATCTTCTGCGGCGCCCGTTGCTTTCTCCCTCTCTTTCCCCGTATCCGCCTCTGCGCCCGTGCTAGCCCCCGGCCCAGACTTCGCAGTAACACCTGCAATATCGTCAAGCCCCGGCACCGCACCATCCATGCCTTCGATCAGCATTGCCTCCCATGCCTTTCGGAACGCCTCCTCCCGGCGCTGCTCTTCTGCAGGGTCCACTGATGCAGCGCTACCAGGGACCTCACCCGCATTACCAAGTGGCGCGCCCATATCGCGCATCAGCGACTCCATCCCCCGCGCGAGTTCACGTGCGAAGTCATCGGAGAAGTCATCCGAGCCGGCGGGCGCCACGGCAGACGATGAAGGCAGAATCGTAGATTTAGACGTCAGCGGGGGAGCCGCTGTAGGTTTTAGTGCCTCGGTAGAGAACTGATCCAGCACATCTGTAGATGATTTAGAAGGCGTGCAAGTTGAGCGGTTCGATTATAGAGTAACGCAAAGTCAGGTAAGAGCGTACCATCCAAGTCGTCGACGTCCTCGTCAACATCTACGCGCGCCTTTTGCGAATTTACGCCGCTCATGATTTTTTTCGAATGAGATAGTATGCACCGGAGGATGGATTGTGGTGGTGGTTGGAATCCAAGTAACTTGTTTGTAACAGTAGCTGCCTAACCGAGTTACATATCATGTGCTAATTGGATCGAGTCGAGTACCATTCAGTGATAATACATCTTAGAGGTCAACATGTAGATGGTATATTGACTCTCCGAGCGTAGATGACGATGACCATAGAGCCTCATAGAACATTGAATTGACGAGATTGCAGCGAGACAGGTTGAAACATGTATGTCATCTCACCAAAAGTCAGAAACGCTGCACAAATTATGATAAGCTCAAATTCATCTTGCAGCTCCAGCAGCAAAACCTTCTATTGAAAGAAGGCAACGAAGAGATCCGAAGTCCCATGCAATAGATATCGTCTTCTGTTAATGCCAGCGCCCTCCTAGCTCAACTGGCTCAGCAGCTGGTTGACCTTGGACTCGACATCTGATGATGAAAGGTTGTCCAGCTCGACGTGCTTTTCCACACCATGTTCTGTGATGAGAAAACAACACCACATCGATGGGAGAGACGGGAAGGAAGGCGAATATCCATGAACATGAGTCGACGTAAGATCCGTATCACCACGAAGTACGCACCAAACCGCGCGAACACTCGCGCTGGCGTCCCCCTTGCCTCACGAATCATCACAGGAAGATCTGGGTTATTCTGCTTGATGACAGGGTAGTTGGCCTGGATGAATTGCCTGGAATTGCGGTATTGCATGTAAGTCGAACCGGGATGCGAGTGAATCACATCCACGTGTCAAATGAAGCTGACCGTGTTCCTGCAGATGCAGCGCCCGTCTGTGAGCACAGAATACGAATCTCGCGAATGGTAGGAGATAGTGCTCGAGCGAAAGACATGGCGGTTAGCTCTCTCTGGGATGAAGTTACAGTATGCCTGTTGAGCCGATTTAGGCACACATGGTATTACGTCATCAATTCTGGTTGACAAGGCCACGCTCATCGCACGCTGGTTTTCAACCGCGTTTGCGCATCGTGCTCGACGTTCTTCACGATGGAAGGCGACCAACAACAGCAAGATGACTGGGTAAATAGCCGCAAGAACCGTCTCCCGTCTTTTACCGAGGTGCTTTCGAGGAGGACGAGACCGCCTGTTGACCTGTTCATGTTCTAGTATGTCGATCACATATTCGTATCACTGCACTCATCGTGAGCGTCTCGACAGTCTTTTCTTGCAAAGAGAGGGGGCCGAGGACATCCTTGATTTCTGGCTTGATGTTCAGCAGCACGAAAATCTGTGTCGAGCGTACTTCAAGGATGTGCGTAAGTCGGGACGAACAATCAAGGAAGACTGGCCGCAGTATTGGGACTATGCTCGACGACGAGGGTCCATCTACGGCACAGTCGTCGGTCTCAACCCGCATACGGGCACCAAACGGAGCACCGCGAGCACCGGTGAGATGCTCTCTGAACAGGATAAATACCTTCTCGCCGCGGCCGGCGACGAGAAGGCCGGACGCTCAACGAGCCCGCGCTCTCCTTCCCCCGATCCTCGCCTGCTTGCATCCACGTCTCCCGCCACGGCCGTTGAGCACGATCAACAGCCGCGCTCATCCACCCCTTTCTCCCTCTCCGGCCGCACACCGACACTCTTCCATAAACGGGCCTCGCGCGCACCGACGATCATTCCTCGTTCTGCGGCCATAACCCGTCTCGACCTTATCGCTTCCGCCGAACGCATCTTCCTCCGTTACCTCTCTCCTGCAGGTGCCGCACCCGGTTCGGGCGAGTCGCACGAGATCTACCTCCCGCCGTCGCTACGTATACACAGCTTCCCACTGAATAGCACGCAGGAGCCGCGCTCGCAAACAGAGCTCGCACTGATGGCGCAAGTCCCAGACATGTTTCATTCGCAGAAGGAGTACTGTTTTCGTGCGATGGAGCAGGACGCTTTCCCGCGGTTCCTGCGGGCAAAAGCATTCGGCAATCTCACGCCCGTGTCGGCACTCGTGCGGCTCGTTGCAGGGCTCGTCATCCTTTGGATCGCCCTGGCTGTTGCATTTTCGCTGGTCTTCTTGGATGTGAAGCCTAAATCTGTCCGGTTCTTCGTAAGTCGCTCTATTAAGCATACGCACCGCTTCTGAGCCTTCGTTGACTGTGCATTCAGCTCTTCATCCCCTTCGCATTCGCCGTCCTCTTCCTTATCTCCCATCAGTACGAACTCGACCCCATCCTTGTCTTTTTAGGTCAGTCCGAAACGACGCCCTTCCGCACGTTGCATATCCGCGAGCCATATGTCAAGAAGCTTCTCCTCGGCCGAGCTGTCTGGGTGACCATCCTTGTCGCCGCCTGTGTCACCGCTCTCACGCTCATTTTCTGGGCCGTGCCCGGCCATCGACTGTGACTGTAACCGTTCCGCCCTGGCTCTCGCCCGACATCCGTCACACGTCGAGCATATATGATGCTCATATCCAAATGCCGCTCTCGCTCTGCGGTCCTCCCTCCCTCCTCTTATACTTCACCCCCATTTTCTATTTCTTCGCTCCTTCCGTGTCGATATCGAGCTAGCCTAGAAAGCCTGTGTACGGGATACCGAGACCAACCAAACGCTGATACTGGTACACGATCGATACCTAGAACTTGACGATGCACCCGACTGCCCGCGTAACTTAATATCCTTCCCTTCCCTGTTGAATAAATATCTTCATACCTTTACACATACCTTGCCCCGTTCATACCTTCGCCGTCTTCCTATACCCTTTAGCCTTTATTCTTCTCACTTGTACCTCGCTTCTTCTGCAACGCTCCCCCCGCCGCTCCTTTAGTCGCATGGACTATTCGCTCCCCCCTGCCCCGTCCCGCCTCCTCCCTGACTATCGCTGCCTGCCTGATTTATTTAATTATAGGTTTTTCTTGACGAACATGAAGCATATGAGGATTGACATTGTTGGGTTATGAATGTGCTCAATGGACGCGGGGGAGGCGTCAAGTGATGCACTGCGACGGTGAACAAATTCTCCTGATGTGATGAACAACTTTGAACCAAATGGTAGCAGGACGACTGCACTGCGAAGTGATGGATCAAGCAATGTGCGGCGCAATACTCTGAGCCCAAGACTACGATGATACTATACAGTCGTGACTGGACCTTTATACAAAATCCTCCATCGCCAATAAGCGGGCATGTAACATCTTTCCCATTTGCGTCCCAAGGTATGACATACCCTTCCTCCTCAGACCTACCAGAGCTTTCAGCAGCGGCATTGGGCTCTCGTTAAACGTGCACTCCTCAAGAAGCCTCCCTGTGACTTAGCTTGACAAAGCCGTCGCTCTGCACGCCCGCCGTCCCAGGAGTCGTGTAGATGCCCAAGAAAGCGCACAGCTCGAGGTACGTCTCGTAGTTATTTAAGTACAACTCGCCAGCCCAGAGGCTCAGCTGCGACCGAACGATGCGCGGTGGAGGTACCCACCCAGACTTAGGAAGTGAAGAGATTGAATAGAAATCGATATTGTTGAGGTGTCTCATTGCCTGTGTAACGCGAGGTGCGTACATGTGTAGGTGCACGGCGGTGCTGCGACGTAACTCTGGCAACAAGGCGTTTACCTCATAAGGGCTGAGAACGACTAGAAGGGCTGTGTCCTTCGTACTCGATATGACCCAATTTGCGGGGCGCAAATACTGGGTGATCCCAGATACATCATCAAGCAGTACTGTTGTCATGAAATCTGCGGGCGCAAACAGGTGATGTGACCAAGATCCAGAATCATGGGGGCTTGAATCTGGATCCAAAAGGCGGAAGAGAGGGATGAATGCAGAAGAATTGTGCGGGATCTGTCCAGTTTGAACGAAGGTACGGACGGCGGAGGGCAATCGGTGCTGTGCGGGTTGGTTACATGGAGGTCTTTCCACTTGCCTCTCCCGCTCGGTTTCATGGCTGACCTCTCGTTCCTGCTCTTCCTCCATGCACGAGTCAGACAATAAGGAGACTCCAAGCTGCTCGAAACGCTCGCGCATCTCTGGGGCCTGATATGCGGAGGTATATAGTGGATGACTTGCATTTGCGTGCTTCCCATACATGTCTTCCAATGTGCGAGCTTCGGATTGACCCTAGACGGCCTTCAATGCATGAGTATCGTTGTCTGAGGTGAACGCAAGGTCTGCCTCATTGCGCTGTTTGTAGTCGATCCCTTGCTGATCCCAGTGAGGTATGTGGTGTCGAATATCCTCACACGTCTCTAGCATCGCCCATCGTAAAATGTCGGGAACTTTAACAGCATCGGAGACGCTCGCACACGCTGCTTCCCGAATGCGCCTATCGACCTCCAGTGGCGCAAAAAAACATCACGGATTGTCCGTTCCCAAGCTTTCGCATGCGCATGCATCCTATGTTAAAGCGTCAATATCTTGAGATTTTTTATAGGTATGCGAGATTGCTTACCCTGAATCAGCCTGTCCTTGGTCACCTTTGGGCCTAGCGTGACGACCGCCCGAATGTTTTTGGGAAGCCTGAGGTCTGTCCCTCTTGTATGCGCGTCGTCTAAGTACACAATACACTTATCGAGCTGTCGGTTGAATGGGGAGGAGATAAATGATTCTGTCATGCCATCCAGTGTGAGTACGATAAGATGATCCGCCTCGTCGAAAAATACGGCAGCCGAAACGTCCGTCCTCAATGACAGCCAGTGACTCGCCAATTCACGGTTTTGGAGCTCCAGCATCTGCGCTCCCACGTCTAGAAGAACCCGAATTTCTGGCATTTGATGCACTAGCGTCTCGAGAAAATCTGTCGCCGAACATGGCTTGTCATCAGAACCGTGGGTGCAGCAGTAGTAGTCATTCTCCGGCTGCAGGAGGTACATGAGCACCTGTGCATTTGTGCTGAGTTGCTGGACTGGATCGCGCTGCTCAATCGATGTAGGGAGTAGATAGCGGTTATCATTCGTTCCGCTGAAGCCTGTGGTAACAAATGTTTTTGCTTCGGACAAATCCCAACCAGATGTTGCAATTTTTGTGGAAATGCTTTAGCTTGTTTAGGGAAGACGACCGATGAGAGGAAGAAGTTGACAGCACCGTGATTTCTACAAAGGGCAGGGAAGATGGAGTGTTTAAATTGTCCCTTGTCTTGCGTATTGACCCCGTCAAGCCGCCGCAGACTGAGCAGAATTTTGTCGCCGCAGTGTATCCATACCTCATACTCGAGAGCAGGGTTGTCTCCTTGGTAAAGAAGTTGAAAAGACTGGTGGAGTTGATGATCACTCTGGCCGCCGTGGTAATAGCTCGGGCATGTGAGCAAAATAGCAACGTCGGGATGCCCAAACTCTGCCCGCGGGCTCGAAACATCCTGCAACAGAAAGAAGATAAGAAGAGACAAGGTCACAGAAAAGCGATAAAATACCTTTGCTCGGTAAGGCACCGCAAAAAGAGATCGACTTGGATCGAGACCATAATCCACTCGCCAGCGCTTATCCTTCAGAACATACAAAAGAATGTGGCCTCGCAGGAGAAGCAGCCCTTTCCAGATATCACTGCCGCTGCAGTGGTCTTCGACCACAAGATATTCCTGCTGATCGACGTTGACCTCAGTAAGAAAGCGAAAAGTAGCTGCGCGGGCTGTGGCAGGTAGAAGAGCAAGCCCAAGATTCGGAATCTCTCCATCTAGCGCCATGCGATCGATGGTTGAGACGAGTGCCTTGGAAGCGCTAGCACCGACGATGCGAATCACGGGAAAACTATTCTCAGAACCCATATTCAGCTCCATCTCTTCAGGAAATTCCTGCTTGAGGGTGACGGCGATATGCTTTACCAAGGAGAACACTTGCTGTATTGTCGTCCACCGGTCTGGATGATTTTCGAGTGGCTTCTGTTGCCCCATGGTGTAGATGAGCTGGTAGCGAATGTGCAGAAGTTCATCGCTCTCGTCAAGAAGGTCTCGAGAATTGGTATGAAGCCAATTTTGAGTGTCTATCAAAGCCTGTGCCGCTGTTTTCTGTCCCACATCTTTGGCTGAAAACAGACGATCCAACCCCATCAGTTTGAAGGAGAGAATATACTCGGGCCGAACCAACAGGACACCCCCCTCAAGCAGACATTGCTCTTAAAACTGGCGTACTGTGAGTGCCACGCCGCCGTCGTCAACATTGACATTACGTGAGAAAGGCATGTAGAATATGCGCCGGTTGGTGAGTCCACAGAGGCGCTCGACCAGCAGTTGGAACATCTGGCTAGCAAGCGACTTTAACACGACAACGCGAACAGGAGAGCGACCGTTCGCTAGAGCAACTGCCGTCATCGGAACAATCACACAGGATTTGCCTTCACCCATATTAAGCTGGATGACTGCACTTTGTCCTGAAGACGGCGCTATCATATCCTCTGCGACACGAGTCTGGAGGCGCCGTGCGCGAAAGTTTCCATCAATCTGCAACAGTTCAAATGTAAGGAGTAGAGACAACAAACAACGCATAAATTTGCTGACCTGAATAAGAAGCCAGTCCGCATATGAACTCGCGGGCGCCTCATCTAAAACTGCGGTCTCCAACTCTTTGACGAGGTCTTCGGTCTTGTCACTCAGAGCTAGATCTACGAGGCGTTGAGATTGCTGATATTCGACGATGATCCGCGCATATGAGGTCAATACTTCTTTCCATAAATTCGGCAACTCGGTTCTCCGTGTGGATTATAGTAGGCTAAGAATGGTCCTGGGAGATATGCACGGCCATAGGCCTGCTTTCGCGATTAGATGGTCCATGGGCTTGCGAGCAGAAAGTGCGTATGAAATAGAGTTGAAAACACTTTGCGCATGCTTCAAACATCGCAGACGATGTTGAATGAGCGCATCGAGAGGTATGGTTTTCTCTGAAATGACCGTAGCCTCTACGCGATCGAGTTCTTCTCTACTTTGCTCCATATCTTCTCCGTGCCGCTGATGGAGTTGATCATGAGTATTATAACGAGATTCAGAAAAGATACGCCATAAGACACCGGTCCCTCCTAAACGTCGCTTCGTTCGTGAAGTGGCTGGCATGAACAGAGGGTATTCTGGGGCAGGTGGTAAGATACCCGGAGGACGCAAGCAGATGATGTCATTGAGTGTGAGAGCTGGGCGGGATGTTGTAGCGAGAAACAAATCAAGTGATCCTTTGAACGTGTACAAAGACGGTTTTGAAACGATAACAGAACTGTGATGAGTATGATGAAGAACATCCTCGATCCGCGAGACGAATTCTCGAAGGTGTACGTTGCGGGTACAACTCTCGAAAATCTCGTGAACCTCGGCCATGTGGAGACCTCAATTCAGCGAGCATGCTCGTCACTTGAAGGTGTATCAGGCTTGGTGCACGGCCATTGCCTCATCAATTCATCAGTGAGTTGATCAACCTGAGAACGACGGTGTAGTTCGAAATACGAGGTGCACCTAGTGTCAAAGTCTATCAAGCTCTCGCCCTCTATTCGAGTGGGTTCAGAAGCTGCAGGACTGCATTCTAAAGGCAAAACCGCAGAAAATATCATGCTGCGAACACAATTCGTTGCTGGCTCGAAACCATCCGAAAGATTATAGGACGAATATGAAGGTGGCTCTAAGCAGCGAGATGTGGGGATCGTGAGGAACGAAAGAATAAGCGGAATGATAGGCCGTAGATACGGTGACCTGTATATCATGGCTGGAAGACTGAACCCGAGCTCGAATTTCGCTGCCTTCGCGCCTTTTTTAGATTGACGACACAGGTCGTATATCCTCAGTAGCCAGTCTGAAAAGTCAGGCTGTAACCGCTTCTTGCTATACGACAAGGACAGCGATAATCCAGATTGGTGCATCCCGGATAACGTCAAGTCCCAAAATTTGATTATTTTCAGTAAAGGAAAAGAGGTTGTTAGTGTCAAGCTGTGTATCATTTTTGACGAGTCACATACTTCCAGTTCATCTTGGAGGCCTGTATCATCAGAAATATCTCAAGCATAGTATCGAGAGTTCTCCTGCGTCGCACGAAGTTGACCAAATGGGTCGTCTGTATAATAAAGGGCGTTGCGTACACCCGCTCGCTCCAGCAACTGTTGGCTGCCATTCTAGGGGTCAGATGGGTCCATATCGCTAGGCATGGTTCCATATATTCCCAGATTACGCGCATAGGCCAGTATCAGGTGCACAGCAGGATAGAAGTCATTGTGCTGCGACAGAGGCGACAGCTTCGACCGCTCGATGGTCTGCATTACACGAAGGTGCCTTGGGTAGAATTGTTTAGTTGGTGTCAAAGCGGCGATTTGATACAAAAATTCTGTCTCGTCCGTGGTGAGGCTTTGAAATGATAGACAACTCGCAGATCGGAGCTCCTGCAAGGCTTCTTCTGTACCAGTTCGTCGAGTCAGCGGATCAGGGAGACAGTGGCTACAAAGGGCATGCAGCAAACTTTTATAATGTTTGCTTCTGAGGCTAACGTTGGTGGTGAGATAGCCGAGGTCGGTGTTGATCTTGTAATTGTAGTAAGAGACTTGATCCCGGGATAACGTATTAATTGTGACGTTGACATGATCTCCTTCTAAACCAAAATCTATACGGCCATGAGGGATAGGGACATGACGTGTGCCATCGTGTTCCATTGCAATCGAGGCTTTGGCACGAAGGACTAACTGGTTGCGGAGCCCGAACACGGTACCGGAAGACTGGTCCTGGTCGACAACCATGCCAAGCAAGTTCTGTGATGCAAGCTCTCTCTCGTTGGTCACCGAGAACAAAAGTCTAAATCGGGGGAGATGGGGGAATATCTGACGCGTTTCGGGGTCGTAGACGACAGTGAGGAATTGTGCATACTCCAATGGTTGGAATCGACGAGCGACCATGGCAAAAGACTCGCCATGAACGTCAACAAGCTGCAAGGACAAGTCTCCTTGTATCATATAACATGGCCTATCCAGGAAGAAACGGAGGCGCCAGTTGCGCGGGGATGACTCCCAAAGATTAGACAGTGGCCGAAACTCGATATCTCCTGTAGACAACGATAGTTAGTGGGCAAAGCCATCGACAAATATTGTCGGAAAATCTCCAACCAAAGCGTCATGCCGAATGATCTCGTAGACTTCGCCAGATGCGACTTGACGCGCTCTGATGATCAGTTCGCCTTCACGCACAGCAAACAATACCTGTGAGTTGTGGGGTTTAGCGTCGAACTAATTCGAAACAGAAATACGCACTTGGTGTCCAGATATTGGGATACGAGTTGCAAAAGTCATACTTGACATATCTGCTGGAACGACATCAAACACCTTCTGCAAGATGATCGTCAAAAGGCCATGTGTAGATGCAATGCAATACTTACTTCACCAAAAATGCATGCATACGCGGGACTTTCGATAATGGAACGAGGGAGACGTCCCAATGGCTGACCATCGACAAGGAACGCACGGTCGAGAAGATTGAAATGCACTCTTTGCTTCCGCGTGTTTGATGCTGCGGAAATAGTCGTGATCCAACGAGAATTATGTCCGGGCAGTCGCTTCCATTTTTGAGACGTTGGCATGTACACGGGCCAAATGGAAGAGATAGCTTTATCTAGCCCTTGTCGATCTTGCACAATCCTCTCCCACAAAAAGACCTCTAAGAATTGGGATAGATGCTGATCGCGGATGAGGAGCTTCTTGAAGCTAGATGGCTCATTCTGTACGGAGGCAGGAAGGTGGCTATGCAGAATAGCACACCCTGCCAGGACAGCGGTGTCGTCTATGGATGAGAAAAGAAACGGGAGGTGTGCGGGGTCCACGTCATATGTAGCTCGACAGGTCGCGGCCACATTGTAAATACGTGTCTGGAGGTTATGGACTTGATCGGCTTTGTCGTTGCTCTGTAGTTTGTCGATCAGCTCGTGCATCCACCGAAAAGTTACATCCCGAGCAAATCGTAGAAGATCAAAGGCGGTTAGCATGAGGCTCCTATCGCTGGCAGAGGCAATGAGACGGCCGGCAAGGAATACTGTTCATAGATGTCAGTATGACGTATCTTGTCAAATCAAAGAGAACGTACTTATAGTTCTGACGGTTACGACTTCCGTTTAGTTGGACTTAATGTTACGCAAAAGACGACGCATCTCGCCAAGAAGGATCAACCCAAAGTGCACCTCTGCGAGCTCGTAGTGCCACTCACGCAGCATGCCATCCTCAGACAAAGGTCCGATTTGCCATGCGGCCTGCATGATGAGCGAATGGACTTCTTCGCACTTGAATGTGAGGGACGTGGTGGATAGCGCGCGAACAATATTCAGCCACTGGAGTCGCGGCCCAATGCGCAGGCCTGCGAACGCGATGTGTTCATGGAGACTGAGCTCTGGTGGGCATTCAGATTGACTTGCGATAGTGTGATTGGGAGTATGACTCGTCCCGTTCACCGCGTACTAAAGATACTCGTATGGCCCCTTGGCTAGGCTAAGTGTACAGCGGTGGGCCTCAAATTCTATCGTAATGCCAAACGTTGCCCATGCATCATGGAGCCTATCATAAAGCTGGTAGCGAAGACCGCTGCTGACACAGATATCTTCCTTGGTGGCAGAAATGCGTTTTCGACGGTAATAGGATTGAGCAAATGATTCGGTGGACGATCCAAACATGATGCGCCACTCCGTAGGTTTGGCGAGCTTGGCAAGCGTAGCATCCTTAGTTAGAACCACATGAGGTTTCGCGCTAAGGGCAGATTTCTCGGACATGCTGATATCACGGATAATCTTGTATGTGCAGTCTCTCCAGATCGCGAATGAGGAGGGACAATGTAATTCGAAAACAACAGCCTTTGCCGAAAGCTCATCAGCAGGCAGGGGCCACTCATGAACGTCAATTCGCATGCGATTAGCCCGTTTCTCCAGCTGCGTTCTCTTACAGCTATTCACCATGCGTCGTTTACTCTGCAAGCTCGCGTCAAGCTTGTAATCCATCGAGGAGGCTTGGTCCATGAGTTCCTGGTAGGAAGCGTTCTTGGTCCGGAGCTCCTCGCATTTCTTCTCGCGCTCCTCAGATGCCTTCGCCCTTATTTCTGTCTGGAGATCTTGAAGGTGGGTCGAGTCGTAAAAGTATCGGATACAGAATGACGTAGCGTCAAGTGTATCAGAAAAGATGGAGATGTGGGATGAAGTATTGGGATGACGGTGACGCAGATATTGTTCAATCCGTATGACACGCTGGAGGGATGTCCCTCGACGAAGGAGAAGCAGCTCTAAGAATGTGACGGGGATTTCAGGAGAATATCCCCGCAGCAGAGAGCATTGCACAAGCACAAGAGTGTCGATCGCGACCCACAGTTCAAGTATGGTTAATATCATGATCATGCGAGACTGGACCTCCGCATTTGAGTAGTTACAGATGTATGAGGGGTTTTAGGGTGGCGCGATGGCCTGGGAGCGCTGCACGGCGGCCCATCGGTTCTGAAGGACCGCTTCCGTCGTCTTCATAGCGTTTTCGACTTTTTGCAGAACAGAACCCGGTGTCCTGTCACCAAGCTTGTAGACGCGTCTCGTCATCTTGGCTCGCGCACAGAAAATGAGGTCGCTAGGGAACTGTTTTCTCGCACAAAGCTGTAGGATCTGCGCGTGGAGAAACAGCATGAATGATTTGTACTCCTCCAACTGAGTGAGTGATGTCTAGATAGACGCGAATGATGAGCCATAAGGGCGATCGACGCCATGTAATGAACGCGTCCTTCCATAACACATCATCGGCGATCCTCTTGGTGATGCGGCGCACGTTTGCGATGGTACCCATGCCTCGAAGGATGCCAATGAGGAGCTGGGAAATATACCGCGGGTGAACGGTATCTCGTTCCTTAGATACTTCCGAGACGGCCTTTCTCGTAGTTATCACCGAATCCAGTAGGTCGACGTTCATGTGGACCAGGCACGATGCGAATTGTTCAAGAAAATCCTTCTCACTGACGGTGGCGTCATCGACTCCACTAGCTGGTCCCAGAAAAAAGCATATGAGCTTCCCCGTTGACTCCATGATCGCTGCATTGGATGGTGAAGCCTCAAAAACTTCAAATATGGTTCGGTGTTCGAGCTTCTGAAGTACAAAAGCTGCATTTTGCGCACGAATGTGATGCACTAGCACATCTGAGACAGGTTTCGAGATCAGATTACGCTCAAGAAACAGACGAAATTCCTGACCTCCGCGCTGCATCCCACCAATAGACCGTTTCAGCTGGGTTTCGCTGAAAACATCTGTAGATTCCAAAATTTTTTGAAACATCCGGACAATGGGTAACCACTCCTGGCGCCTGTCTACAAATAGGCCTCGCTGATATTCGTTTGCAGAGTCCACGAGCAATCTGCATAGCGACAGCTCGTGTCCCTGGTTCTGGTCGCTTTCTTGTGGTAGCTTTGGGGGCAAAAATACATGATTGACAATGTAAAGCAGATTGTCGTCCGTGATAAGTGTGGCTTGAGGAGCAGGCATCGTGGTAGGAGGCAATAGAGGCATACACGCGTTCCAGTGTCGCGCTTTATACACGAGGTGTTGGGCGCTCAGGAAGAAGGCGAGCCTAGGAAGGATAACGCCGATAATCAGAACAGGCAACAGAAAAACAACACAATATATGACCTGAGTTTGACATAGCAGTCTTTAGAATCCCTTGCAATTCCTATTGTGACGAAGAATTCGGAGGGAATCATATGGTTTGGGCTTCCCTTCGCCCATACTTGGAAAAGCAGGGTGCTCCAAAGCCTGGGGCGGGCGTTGCTGATGAGAAAAGATACAATGATAGGATAGATTTGGTACCAATGGAGCGGTTTTACGTCTCATTTGAAGGACTCGAAAAAGAAGCGCTCTTCTCTGTCTAAGACCCACCCTCGAACTTAGTTCTACTTTGAACGTCTAGAAACGCTCAGTTGCTGTCTGAAAAGGTACCACCATCCATGCTCATCGTGCGGGATGATGTAGTGAGCATGTTATTTATATAGACTCCGTCAGCGCGAGCCACGATCAGCACGCGCTCGTATACACCCTTGTAGATTGGACGAGCAATACTCGGAAAACGACGATACCTCTAAGATCGCACTATGCAGAGCCCAGGCATTGCTCTTCCAACGTGATGGATGGCTCGAGTGGCCGTTCTGTGCTTCTGCACTGGGGTGCGCGCGGGGGTGCAGGAAATTGGGCTTTGTTTGGTGCGAATCACAGAGCGTGGCCGTCTTTCTTCAAGGTACTCAGTACCGGCGTGGCGTTCGTGCCTGTAAACGGGAAACATAAGAACACACCAGCGAGAGGAGGCTTTTGCTTGTTCACTTCTCTCACCGATGCGTCTCATTTCGCGTGCGCCCCGCAAGCCGCACGGGCTTGCGAGACGATACTGAGAGCATACCCCTCAGTTCTAGCGAGCAAGCGGGTTGAAGAGGTCTGAAGTCGATATATTTTGAGACTTTGACGATGGTCGTTGAAGTAGAAGATAAATCCTGAAAGCCTGCAGCCGAAGCGTTGCACTGGATTGAGGCTCCAATGCAAATTTGTCAAGAAATGGCATCGGGTGTTGAAAAAAGTACGGCCGATTTCGGCTGCCGGACGTCCAAGTGTGCAGTTATGAGGCTCGATTGTCATAGAAAAACAAGAGCACTATGTCTCGGATATGAGTTCAGCTAATTATATTTCTTTTAAGTTCAAAGTGCTTCTTTTATAGGATAAGAGTCTATTTTCATCATTGGTGAACACCCATGGAATGAACGCGATGTCGGGGGACTGTTGATAATGTGTAGTTTACCGAATGTTGAATGATAAAGGTCGTTTGTGGGCTAAAACTCTGACAAGCAGTTCAGCCCCCAACGCGGAAAGAGTCAAAGACAGGCGCAACACAGTCGCAAAAGCGTCGATGCTAGAGCTCTTGTGAAATATAAACACGATGCGTACATAGTACACTCTATAATCGAAACAATTGCACGAGTACATCAACAATAGTGATACAAAGCATGCAAGCGATGACTGCGCTCCGATCTTCCGCTCCACGAGGTCAGTTATGATAGATGTTAGCTTTGACTTTCACGAATTCATCGTAAGATGGGGTATCACCGGATCACCCCCCACACTCAACATCTGGATACGAATCAGAATTTTCACGGGAGTACGGGCGTCTGGGTCTTCTCGACGTGCTCCGCTCGTCCGTCATCCCATTTGACGGTGACGCTCCCGTCCTGCGACACAAAGTGCGGGCATCAGCATTATAATCAGACGTAACGAGGTACCGTGGGGCGCGATGGGGCACGCCACAGTGAGATGAGGAGAAAAGTGTAGACGCACCTGATTACCGAAGTACGCGGCTTTGACCATATGACAGAAAAGTCCGACTTCGACCACGCCCGTCAGCATCTTGATCTTCGCAAGGATCTGCAAAAGCGCACGAGCACGACAGCGCATCGACACCAAAGAGCATGGAAACCCAAAGAAAAACGACCGCCCCCAATGTCAGGTCCAACTGCACAATATTTAGGGAAAAGCCCTCGCGGCGCACCGAGTACGGATCAGCGAGCATCTGCCGCGGGAACGGCGCGTCGATGATGAAATTGCCGTTGTCGGAGACGACGGGGCCCGCCTTGGCCTTGGCCATGCGGAGCGCGGCCTGTGGCGCACCGAGGTGGTGCAAGTTCTGCAGGAGCTTTGCATAGGCGAAGGGGGCGACTTCGATCGGCACTCCAGGAGTGTACTGGGGAGGAAGCGGGAATCAGTGTTTGCTGCTGTTGGAGGGTTATCAGCGAAGCGGAAAGTGTGGGACCTACGGTCGTGCCAAGAACGTCAGAGTTCTTGCGGTAGTCTGCGACAACAATGAAGCTGAGATGCGCAAGTGTGGTTGAGAGAAGATTGTAGCGACTAGAGATGGGGAGTGCGTACGTTCTCGCAGCTTCGGCGAGGACCTTCTCGCGGAGATGGCACGCGCCTCCACCTTTGATGCAGTTCAGGTCCTTATCAACCCTTTGGTACAGAAGTCAAGTCGATCAGACACATACAACAAATTGGGAAGGAGCAGGAACGGCAGATGACTCACTCGTCTGCGCCGTCAATGGTGACGTCGATAGTGGGGTACTCGTCGACGTCACCTAAGCGGAGATGGGACTGCACAATGAGCTGCTTCGACTGGAACCCGGTGGGGATGAAGACGCGGTCCTTGTTCAGCTCATGTCCCTGCGCAACGATGCGCTCGACGACATAGGGCACGGTCGACCCTGATTCATGTGAAGCGATCAATCGAGGGGGAAGCAAGCACGATGAAACGATAGTGTTTGTAAGTGTATGATTGGGTTTGTCTGTGATAGGTGCCTGTGCTGACGTACCGGATCCGATGCCGATGACTTTGTGTTCTGGGAGAATGTGTTTGTCGACTGCAGTCCAAGCTGCGAGTCGCTTAGAAGATTCTATTACGCTGAGCTTTTGGTTCACTGATAACATCGACGAAGGGGAGATGAGTCGTTGAATAAATAGAGAAAAAAATAGTACTCACACGCCACCACAGACTCGGAAGGGGGTATGGGCACCGCCGCAGGGCGAAGAGGAGTGGTGTCTACAGGTGCGCTGAGAGACATTTGAACAAGAATAGGTTGTGAGAAATCGAAGGAGAGAAAAAGAGCAGAACGTCAGCAAAAGAGCTTCAGATCATGCAGGTAGGGGTAAAAGGACCTGAGATCATCGCAAGGAGGATGTACAGCATTACACGCTGAGCGGAGAGAATAAGCCTCGGGAACAGGTCGGCTCTCTCAGCCGTGTCCGGTTCCCCATGTTCACCGTATCTCCGCATCCTCTCCGAGTAGTGAAGGACGTGAGAGGAATGGACCTACGCTGAGTCGGGTACGGACGGTAAAGGCATCTTCAGGCGCAGCGTTCCGAATTTCGTGGCTTGCAAAAGCTGGAGTATGTGGGGTACAGAGAGTGACGATCCTAGACGAGGTCGAGCCAGCGGTAGATGAAAGCGAGAGTGAAGAAGAACGGGTGAAACAGGAGGCACAGTCGAAATGCGGGCGTCGCAGTCGAGCCGTGGCAACGTCCTTGACACACAACCAGTTCGTCGCTCTGTGACTTTGTTAGACGTTCCCTCGTTCGCTCCTGTCTTTTTTCTCAAAGCAGCGTAGTGGCACGCACACTCGTCTGGAAAGCTTGTCGCTCTAGGTCTGGAAGTAATCCGGAGCTAGGAGGACGTGCGGCCGAACAGCGATCAGGGGCTTTGGCTGCAAGATGAAGGCTATCCGAGGTGCGTCGCCCGCGCTCGCTCCCACCCACATCTAGACCCTATCCCCGCAGGCGTCCTTTTCAGTTGGTCAGTACGAGCTCGCCATATGACATATTACCATCGCGCTAAAATCGTCGCGGTAGTGACTCGGCAGTAAAGCAAATTCTACTTTCCATGAACGAGAAGCAGAGTTTCATCATTGAGGACTTGGATGATTTCCATGTTCTTATCAAGGCAGATGAGGAGTGGAGGGTTAGGAAGGAACTCGAAGCTGAGGTACGATCGATCATTTCCATCTTACACTCGATGCAGTCCTCACAGCATTGTCATTCGATATCTAGCTGGAGAAGAATACGTACAGTTTAGAGTGACGACTTGATTGTTTGAGCGGCATATGCCTTGTGTTTGACCGCTATTTAAAGGTGCTAGGGCTTCCGTGACATCTTGTACAGTGAGCCAATTGCAGTTTATATATATATATCAATTCCCTCCCCCCATCCGCAATGTTCTTGCATGCGTCATTCTTGTTCTTTGCGAACTCGGCAGACAGCTTTCAAACGCCAATACATCGCGGCGCGATTCTCTACACGATCATGACTCACAATTTCCCTCTCGCTATCCGACTCCCTCGCCTCTCCCATTCTGTCCTCGTCTGCACCCGAATAGCCTGTTTGTCTATCTTGCCTGCCGCATTTCGCGCTGCATACCCCACCCGCGATTAACATCAGTACCACATAGGCACCCCACCGAAGCTTACTGCACTCACCCAGTGCCTGACTCTGCACGAGCACCATCACCGGTACCGCATATGCTGGAAGCCTGGAAGAACGTTCAAAACTTAGTCGACGCTCTCTATTTCGACACTGTTACGTGGCATAAGCGTACTTAGAGCGCACGCGTTCGATCACATCTTGCTCGCTCAGCTGCCTCACGTCGTCCTGCGAGGCGGACATGGACACGACGGCCGCAGGCAGTTCGCCGAGGCGTTGATCTGGGACGGCAACGGCTGCCGCTTCTCGGACACGCGTGTCGGTGCTGTAGAGTGCGTCTTCGATGAGTGTCGAGTGCTATGCAAGAGAATGGAGACGGTGTCATCCAAATTCAGAGCAACGACACGATTTATTGAGCCGGGGCTTACGATATTCTCCCCACCTTCGATAACGATGTCCCCACATAGACGCAGATATGAAAGAGAGCTTTCAGCTCCAAGCCACTGGATAAGAAGCCAGGAACCTTACCTCGAACAATCATGTCTTTGACTACGCATAGAGGAGAGGTTAGTACACGTACACCGTTCTTATGCTGGATGCTTCCAGGTGAGAGTGGCTCACGTCTATCTTTGATATACAGGAATCCCTCTTCGTCGAGCATGCCGAGATCGCCGGTGCGGAACCACCTGTCAGGCGTGATGGCCTTCGCCGTCGCCTCTTCAGATCAGACGCGCCATCGTACTTTAGGCTAAAATCCATGTACCTTGAGGAAGACTCACCGTGATCACCGACATAGCAATTCATTACACTCACACCGCGTCTGTATATCCACCTCAGGAGTTAACTTCGACACCTCGACGACTATAACATATCCATCAGACTTACACCCATATCTCGCCCACCTGACTTGCAGGGAGGGCTTGATTTGTGTTTGGATCGACAATTTTGATCTCTGTGATAGGGGACGGGAGCCCACTACGACGAAAATTTACAGCAGGTCAGCAGAATTGACATGATCTATTGTTTTCGTGCGAGATTCTGACGCACCATGTGCCCGGCCTCACAATACAATCATTTCCTATGATGATGCAATTCGTTTCAGGCCTGCCCATACTGGACAAGTCAACGCCAATACATACCGACCACGGCTGTCACGAGTGCAGATGTCTCCGTCAACCCATACGCATGAATCCTTCAATCCAATCCACAGTAAGCATCAATCGGACCTCAAGCGATCACAGAAAGAGGTGTCACGCACAGCACAGCTCCCGGAAAAGCTTTTGCGAAATCTGCGAACATGCTAGGAAGCATCGGCGCCGCTCCGGACGTCGCAGACTCGAGTGCTACTTTGCCGCCCAGAGCACGGATCATGTCGACGAGCATGACAGGCGCTCCGGCTGTCTCTGTGATGTTTTCTTGGGTGCAGAGACGCCCAGCTGAGGTGAAGTGTCAGTCAGCGTCAATCTTTCGCGGCCAGAGACTGATAATCTTGAACAGACAACCTTCTGCCACATCCCACTGTCGCGCAGGAGTCAATTATTAAAACTGGGGGCAATATGCCGCTTGGCCGTACCTTGCGCATCAAAACCAGCTTATTTCCCCGAAACATGTTGACCATCTGGAGTGACGTAAGGAGAGCGCGAGTACGTTTCGAACACAATCAAAGCGATGCGAGGGCTCCAACATCATACAATCGCACTCACCACATTCGTCGTAAGCCCCTGCACATGAAACAACGGCGCGGTGACTAGGAAGCCGCGTGCTGGTGGAGGAGAGCTGGGTGCTACAGGTAACTCCTCGCCGCGTCGGAGAGCGTACAGAAGCGCGAGGTATATCCCCGTATAGGTGTTGCTGATGAACGCCCGTTGCGAATTGAGCACGGCCCTTGGCAATGCCGTCGAGCCTGAGGTGAACATGATGGACGCATCGTCTTCCGGCCCGCACGGGGGCTCCTTGGTCCAGAACGCTTTGTTCGCGCGCGCGCCAGTGAATACTGCCTGCCAGAGCACAGCAGACGAATTTTCCAGAAGAGCTTGATCTGTAACTCGTGCTACGATGATGCTGGCAGATATATCGGGGAGGACGTGGGACAGGACAGTCAATCGTTCGTGGTCGATGAGGAGAAGTTTCGGATTCGTCAAGCGGAGAGAGTGTGCGAGGGACTTAGGGGTTTGCCAGGCGTTGAGGTAGGTCGGGACCGCTCCTAGGATAGCGCAGGCCCAGAACGCGAACACAGATTCGGGAAGGTTGCGCATGCAGATTGCGACTTTGTTCGTGACGGTCATGATAGTGCGTAGGTGTGGAGAACATTTCAACTCAATGGTTGATCACTTACCTCGATCGCCTTTGCGGATCCCATACGTCAACCACAACGTGTTGGCGATATCGAAGGCAAGATCACGTGTATCTGCATAGGTGTACCGCTCGCTCTCGAAGATGACATACTCTCGGCTGGCGAAGTTCTGTACTCTCTTCAGGAAAAAATCACGCAGATTCTACGGACTTTGTCAGAGCCTGTCTGGTAATTCATGTCAATGATGGACGGATCGGGACTCACAGATTCCATATATTTGAAAACAGGCAGCATACGTCCTTCAACGGCCACCCGGTCTAGTTCGAACGGCATACCAGACGCAGTTAAAATATCTGTGCATTGTGCGACCGTCCTTGCTGGCTGCCAGGAAGTCATCGTATCAAGCTTCTTTCTGGTCAATAAGTGGTGGTGTGCCTGGAGAGATGTGGGTGGAATCCAGAGATCGTAACAGACGCTATATCGTTATTTTAAACTTTGTGTGAGCATAGCATTTCTTCTGATCATCAAAAATTCTGTCGTTAGCTGAAACCGCTGAGTAGACGCTGGACAATATCCTTCCAGATGGACATCACGGAGCTAGGCGCTCGGTGGGCATTGCACTAGGGTAATGTCAGCGAGAACTTAGACGATGGATCTCCTGAAGTGCCGCCTTCCCAATGCAGAATTTCCTCGCCTATCTACCTACCACAGTGACGTAGGCAACTAGCTCCATATACGCCTGACGAAGTCTTGCACCCTGCAGCGATGATGCAACTCTGAGTTCCACAGTGTTGTCGGGGAGCTCTGGGGAATTGCGGACGACGCCGGTAATTCCTCAGGAATATTATAAGTACATGTTTCGCACAATGAGGCAATACAGGTAAGTTTCAAGGATTCGATAATGACGTTGAACCCTAGGATCAACGCGTTGAGTTAGGTAAGAGTCCTGATTCATCGATGGATAAAACTGTACCCGAATCATTTTTGCATGTAGTTCATCGACGGCCTTCTGCTGAGGAGCATGGTATAAATAGGAAGCTGTAGTCATCACTCGTCCAGTATATATTTTCCCAATATCTGAGAGGGTCCAATGAAGCGCCCTGGTCAGCACGACATAGGCATCCACCAACGAAGCAATCAAAAAGCTCGCTGTCAATGGTGCAACGGTCGTTCCCATCGACTGATCCATCTAAGGCTGCCCCGACTTCGGCGCTTGTTGGGGTCGACGTCGTAATCTGTACCCTTTCTCCTGCCGCCTTACAAGAGCAAACGGCTCTCGCGAAGACTGCAAAAGCTGCCGGCGCGAGACTCTTTGGTCCATCTGAGTTTGGACATTCGACGGAGAACGCAAATGAAGACCGCTGGCGGTGAACAAGAAAGTTTAGAGCACTATGCGGGCTGGGCATCCCCTACGTTCTGTTTTTTTACTGGACCCTTCCCTGACTTTTGCTTCACCCCGTAAGCCTTCAGTAACGAGCTCATCAGGATTAAGGGCTTATTGTCGTCTCACGCACTTTCCTAGGCTTTGATTTCGAGAATGCGAAAGTGGTTGCGGGCAGAGACAGCAATACACTTATTTCCCCTTTTTCTATCAGAGAAGATTCTTGGGCGTACTTTCCCTGTAAGGCGAGCGTGCGGTATATTATCAACCAATACCAATCATCTGTGGATGGCTCATAGTATTTACATTCAGTCCTTCAACGATATCTTCAAATCCTGTGAGGCAAAAACTGGGAAGGAGTTAGAGGTCACCTACAAGTCAGCTCCCGAACTGCAAGCTGCTCTCACGAGCAACCCTCACAATCTCGAAGCCTCCTACATTCTTTCTAGTCCGTTAGAGGGAGAGCAGTGGGGAAGTCGGAGGATGTCACTAACGGAGAGTTCCCTGATTCCAAACCAGTCAAAGTCATTGATGTTCTCGTCCCACAATCCGATTCACGAGCACAGAGTCATTTGTACTGTTTTATGAATACCACCTGAGAGCCCAGATGATGATCAAAGGATGGAATCAACGTGTCACCACAAATCTATTGTTCTAATTTTGAAAGCAGCGTATCACCAGTGTGCCACCACAGCCCTAATAGACTGATCGTGATCGTGATAAGATAAGAGTACTCGTACTCACCTTGCTCCATCACTGCATCACCCTTAATCACTGCTATAATCAATAATGTCAGACGACATACAAATTACTATCAAACAAGCGCAGGCCATCGTGAACGAGAATATAGACAAAAGCAGAGAAATAACTCGGTTTGAGGAGTATTTGCAAACACCACATCGGTCAGCCTCTCGTTTCATAACCTCAATCATCACATTCAAAGTATTCTCCACGGTCCAGACCAGGTACTAAATCATACCTCATCCAAACACAAGACAACGCCTACATCCTGAAGGTCGCACAGCCTTCTGACTTGTCTAGCATCCCGTCATATGGACCAAACTCACTGGCCGTGGAATACAGCCTTGTGACTAATCTACGAAAAAACACTTCTCTCCCTCTTCCAACCCCACATGCACTCGACGAGAGTCGTTCACTCATTGGATACCCTTATTTCCTTTTCGCCGCCCCTGCGGGCAGGACACTCGCGTCGACGCGTGCCCAACTCACTACACGCCAAAGCCTCCAGATCGACCTCCGCATTGGCTCGTATCTGAAACAGCTCCACGAGGTGCAAAACGATTGGTTTGGTCAACCTAGACAAGAGCATGACGAAATATACAGCTGGCAAGAAGCGTTCACATCACTTCTCGAAGATGTACTCCTTGCAGCCGAGGATAAACACAAGACAGGAAGTCTAGGTGTCACGTTGCCTATGGGGGACGTGCGTCGATACCTGTCGCGAGCGATCGGATTCTACCTGTTTGACGACTGCGAAGTGCCATCTTTTGTGTGGTTCTCTGGGTGCGAGGACAATATCTTTGTAGAGGTGACGGACCCTGAGGCAGAACCGAAAATCACGTCTTTGGCCGGCTTTGATCATGCGTTATGGGGCGATCCGTTACTAGAACGGTTATTCATGGACCCCAGCGCTGCGATGTTGGAAGGATATGGCGGTACGCCGGTCATTTTTCCAAGACAGAAAACCAAAAGAATTTGGTACACACTTTACATGGCGTTGTTGGTGTTGGTCGAGGGAGATGGAAGAGAAGGCATGGAATCGTGGGCGAGACAGGCGGTCGAAACGTGTCTGAAGCAGCTGAAGGATGCAGCGTGTTATTAAGGGATACGATGTACAACGATATTAGAAGGGAAGGGCCATGTCACGAAAGGTGCCATGTTTTCGTCAACATTTCGTCACATCGGCGTACTAGCTTCTGAGGATCCAGGCGTTCCTTCAGCTCCTGTCCCTAAAACATTTTCCAGCTCTTCCTCGTCGTCTGTGCTCCCATGATCGCCTGGTGTACCTGACTCTGTCCTGGAGGCAGGCTCCACGCCCTGCATGGCCATCGGATCCCAATCCAGCTCTTCCGGCTCCTCCTCATCAACTGCGACTCTCTCTCGCCAATTATACTTTTCGCGCAACATCGCAACCGCCCGAATAGCTCTGTCCGCCCGACGATCGTGCTGATCTCGGATTTCAGCGCACTCGCGAATAACATCTTCGTGCTCGGGTTTCGGTCTCGTACTCGTTCCAGGTCCGGACGTGGGTGCGGACATACCGAGTGCACCGCGCGTTTCCATGTGCTCTGATAACCGACGAACCGCCGCGCTCTCCAGTCTCAGTACATCTGTCGTTTGTTGATTTCGCAGAAGCGGAATAAAGTCATTGTCTAGCTGGGTGTCCGAGAGTCCAACACGAGGGTGTAATGCGAGCCGTGCAAGCCCGCCTTGCGAAGCGCCAGGACCATCGACTGGTGCAGATCCAGGTACAGACAAAAGCGCAGAAGAAAATGTATGCGTCTGCGAGAGGAGAACGGTGTACTTTGATAGTATCTCAGGCCATGGTGGCATGACATGCGCGCCACCGTATTCGATAGTCCATGCAAGGGCTTGTATAGATGAGATTATCTGGTTTGCTTTGAATCTCAGGGATTCAAGCTGCGCAATTGGGAGCGTAGTGGGATCAAACGGAAGCTCGGGGTTCGGAGGAATCGTGGGTGCCTCTGACATATCAGTGTTTGATTGCGTGATGGTAGTAGGCTGAGTTCCCAGGACTTTCAGCTCGATATATTGGTATTGAAGGCGAATGGAATGAAGATGACAAGTACTCACAGAACCGAGTATGCCTGACTGCTGGCTCCGTGGAGCACAGATGTCCAACGGAGTATCGGCACCACAAGGAGCGAAGAATGATTGGTAAGGGATTAGTCAAATAAATATGATGGCCAGTAAATTTTGCGTCGCGTTCATCAACACAAAAGTGGCGGGCGGCAGACGGGGTTTGTTTGGCCTTGTTGATTTTTAAGGCTGTTACCAAATATACTCAAATACGACGCATTATTTGCCTTCCAAAGCCACGGCTTCCGATGACAGAATCAGCTCGCCGCCACCGTGAGCTCGCGGAAACTGGTGCGTGATTTACGGACGTGCCGCTCATCAGCTTTTCAAAAAGTTGTTTCAGTGCCCCATCATGTTGCCTTCTTCAAGTCAAGCTTTCCCTTTCTCCGGTGGCGGTGCACCAGCGTCTTTCTACCCAGTTCAAGGAGGATATCCAGACATGACATTCACAGATCAGATGTTCCCTGCTCAGCTTCTTCCTGATCAGAATCTCGACCCAAACTCTCCCGAGCTCTTCAAGGAGAACATCAAATTTGTTCAAACACATCTAAGACATGTGCAGTCTTTGGCGCGTGATGTGCTTGATGGCATGTAAGTCGGAAGTTCGATCCTTACAGCAGCTGTTCAATTCAATTTGAATAGAGAAAGAGCTTATGAAGGTCAAACGAACCCGACGCAGACCGCAGGTTAGCGCCACTGCTCCTCATTACACGAGATTTCTAGTTTTCACGTGGAGTCTACACCCCAGCTAGCATTGCCGCTCTAAAGCAAAGCCTGCATAACTTGTCTGACGTTCTCAGAACTACCGGTGTCGGTGCCTTACCTCTGATATCAATCAACATCGTACATCCCTCTCAGGAAGAACAGCTTGTCGAGCAGACGACAAATGCTATCAAGGGATTATTTAATCGTAACACCAGGAATCAGGAAAGCGCAGCCGTCGTTGCCAGCCTCTTAGTCACGCCAGAGAGCAGTCTCAGACGATAAAGTATAAAGACGCTGCCTAATCCGCCGTGACTTGAGAACAGGAGCGAGACGGCTCCTAAATTTTGCGCTCACGTTGAGTCCTTCGAATGCACCTTCATCGTATATGTAAGCTTGATGTGCTGACTGCTTTTTTCTACAGGTTACCGATTACAGATAACTCTGGGATATTGGAAGAGTTCTCGTTGCGGTCTAGACCTTGTCACCGACATTGCCAGCCTTCGCAGATCGTGACCTAGTATCGGCATGTACATACCACCCTTGGCTTCACGTGCTCAAAATGGAAGGTTCCCGGTGCACAATGGCATTAATCTCCCCTAGACCATCTTCCCTTCAACATAATTGACGAACCTTGTCTCCTCGACATCCTTAGGTAGGAGGCATTGTATTGGCAACCCGTCTGGGGTGCGTCTGTGCGTTTGCTGAAACCACTACAACGTTATATCCTTGGATGTACTACACTTGTCTCGCGGTGGTTCGTAAGTAGATATCATTCTCATTGAAATGTCCAGTGAAACTGAAAATGCACAAAATATGGCTCGAGGATGGAAAGAATTTTCCAAAGGCATTCAGCAACGTCAAAAACCAACAATAGTTGTCCCTTGCTCGGTCAATGGAATGGTATTCTCTGGTATGTTAGATGCTCTGTCAAACTGGATGGCCTAGGGCTCATAGCCGACCCGGGACAATCAAAGCTGCGAAAGCTAATTGACATGAAGTTGCATCCGTTCTAGACACGTGCCTACAGATGTTGCTCGAAATCAGGCCATAACCGGAAGGTGACGTAGAGCTCGCAATTCATTTCTTTATCCGTCTTGTGACATGGCGGGACGTTTGTTCTGTAAGTCGGATACCGATGATGGAAGACGACTGGATGCAAATGGCGTCGACATTTTCCAATCATCCAACCTATATTTGACTTGGAGTCTTTTCCAGAAGACCTTGACTTATTGTTTTCGCCGGGGTTTGACGGTCCTTCTGATATCACCTCAGGTCCGCAGATCAGACTGTAGTATCACATTGACGACTGACCTTCCCCTCCTGTCATTGAAGTCAACTACGTATACACGTCACCTTTGAATTCCAATCATTGAATTAGTACGGCTTGAAGAAAGTCGCGGACAGACACTGCACCATTTGACTGTCTTGCCTGTTGCTTGCAGGTTCTTCCATTGATACTGAATGGTGATAAAATTGACCGGAGAGCTTGCTCGAACAACTATGCATTTCCCTCTGCTTTTTGCTACCGCATTCTTTGCGAGCGATGTGGTCGCTGCCCGTATCATTCTCTCTCCCGTCGATGACTATATCAACAAACAGTACCCCCTCTCGAAGAAATTGCTCCTGGGCAACATAGGCCAACCCGTCGGTGCTGCCGTACGTATAATCTATCACAACATATCTATACCTGCTGAGTACTTCTTATAGCCTGGTGTGACCGGGGTCGCTGAGGCGAGCAACACCAACCCCCTCGTCAAGTTCACATGGGTCCGGGACTCAGCGATGGTGTTTAAAGCCCTCGTCGATGAGTTTACACTGGGCACCGACGACTCTTTGAGAGGCATCATAGACGAATTCTCCCTTGCCCAGGTTAGAATGCAGCACACCGAAAATCCAGCCGGCTCAGTCTCCACTGGTGGGCTTGCTGAGGTTAAATTCAGCCTCGACCTTAAGCCCGACACTGGAACTTGGAGCCGCCCACAGAATGGTCAGGATTAGGCAGCTTCAAACCCAAACTGGCTGTTCAATCTCTTCCCTTGACAGATGGTCCGCCCCTGCGTGCTAATATCTTGATTTCCTACGCGGAATGGCTCTTAGCGGGCAAGAACACGTCCTTTGTGGAGCAAGTCTTGTGGCCGAGCATTAGCCTCGACATCGACCATGTGATCAATCATTGGAACGAGCCATCGTGAGTACTTGCTATTGCATCATGGCTGCTTTTCAAAAACTCAACCCCTTCTTCCAGCTTTGAGCTGTGGGAGATCGTTTGGACGGACTCATACTGGACTGCTGCTATGCAGGCTCGTGCTGTGTATACAGCATTCAGCCTTGGCCGCAAGTTAGGATACGACGAACAGGTCAATCGTTGGGAGGCTGTAGCAGCGAGCATTTTGTGTTTCATGCAGGTGAGATCCCTTGATGATAATTTACATCTTGGAGTTTACTCAGGATGCGCTGCTAGTCCTTCTGGAAAGAAAAAGAGGGCATTGTGGCTAGCACTACAGTTCGGGACCGCTCTGGTGTCGACTCTGCCACAGTTCTCGCCTCTATCTACAACTGGGATCCTGCAGCTGGATGTGATCCTCTCACGCTCCAGCCTTGCTCAGACAGAGCCTTGGCAAATCTCAAAGCTGTTGTAGATGGCTTCAGATCTTACCCAATCAACCCGAAGGAGGGAGCTGCAGCTATCGGCCTCTGGACCGAAGATCAAATTTACTTCCATGTCTGTATGCTTCCTGCAATTGCCGTATACTTCGACGTTGCTGATGCTATGTTGAACTAGCCCTGGTACCTGGCCACCTTCGGGGTCGCAGAACAGTTATACGATGCACTCATGTCTTGGGATCGCGCCGGAGAAATTACTGTGACATCGACATCTCAGCCATTCTTCCGCCAATTCGTGTCAGGCATCAGAGCCTCGACTTTCAAGAAAGGAAATCCGACTTATAGGAAGATTGTGGCTGGTGTACAAGAATTCGCCGATAACACCATCATGATTGCGGCCAAGTACACCGGCGCCGGCGGTTCGCTGCCTCAACAGTTCCACAATCAAACTGGCGAACCCGTTGGTGCATCAGGTTTGTCTTGGAGCTACAGCGCCTCTGTGACCGCGTTCAACGCTCGCAGAGGCCAACGGCCTGTCTCGTGGGGGGCCAAGGGCCTCGTGCGCGCCGCGGCGAGCAGCTGCAATGGCAATGTTGCCGCGGCTGGGCATGAAGGTGTGGGACACAGTGAGGATATAGAGGGCGTTTTTAGCAACGACGAGATAAACTTGTTGGAAGGTCTCTACCGGGAAGCTGAAGTCGCTAACGAGCGATACTACACATATAATCAGGGGTCTTTGTTCGAGAAGGTTTATCGGGAGGGCAAAGGTTTTGTGATGAATTATTTGGCTGACTATTACTGAACAAACCGAGTAGTGTTCATGTCAGACGATCGGATTTGTCGAATTTCTGTTAGCTACGAATCTCCATGTTTCTGCCAAACTGCTTTCAGTACCATACTTAGCGTCGCGCGCGCAGTGAAAGATAGTGTCCTCAGGCAGGGACATCTCTAACAAGAAGAAAAAGAGACATGATCTTCGTATCGCCAAATGCAATGCCACTACAAGTACGAATCCTAGAAAGAAGTGAGATACGAATCATCAGTGCCCGTTGTAGTCGAAGGGACCACCATGCGCTGCGGTCATGTGTCCATAGGTCTGCTCTGAGGTGTCAAAAACAGCCATGCATTTCCAACAAATATGCCTCCCGCATCTGCCAGCAAAGCAGAGGTGTCAGCAGTCAGAAGGAAGAATCGGAGGGGTGGGACATATTAAACGCACCGACACGCGATGTGGTTGCAACCATCGATACGCTCAATCGGGATCTTGCACGCGGGGCAATGCTTAACCCCGTTCTGCCCCGCCCACACTGAAAACAAGCGCTCATTTTCCTTCTCTTGCACTTTGGCGCGCTCGCCGCAGCTGAAACTCTCATGCGCCTCTTCGTGACACGCCGTACAGACCGCTCCAAAGCATGACGGACACTCGACAAACGCGCCCTCGCTCCCTGGCGTACTTGCGCGATAAATTTGCGTGCAATCCGGAGTGGTGCAAAATTTATACTCGTCAGTGTGGCGCTCGAGGTGCGCGAGAAACGCTGCGCGGAGGAGCGCGTCAAACGCGTGCTGCGCTGGCACAAAACGACGAATGACGGGAATCAGGATCGGCGAGCCACACTGCGCACCATTCCCCATGCACACAAGGGGGAATGTAGTACGCGTGGCTGCCGTTGTGAGGAAGTGACGCAGGCAGTTGGTGCAGTAGACATGGCCACAGGCGAGACGCTCGGGGTGCGCTGGCATGTCGACGCACACAGGACACACTTCCTCGCCATTCTCTTCGGCATCTCCCACAGTGCGCTAAGGTTTGTGTGTAAGCGATTCCGCGATCAGGCGGTCGAGCAGTTGACGCGCGTCATCTCCACCGCGATAGACCATGGTGGGTGGGTTAGAGAAGATATCCAGCGTTACTGCGGCCTCGCCAAGCGCATCAGTCAACGCATTCATTCCTTCCCGCACAAAAAACCCGACGGACTGTCTCTGCAGCACAATCTTCACCTCGAGCGCCTCAAGCCGGTCCGCCTCCCGAATGATAGCTTCGCGCGCACGCTCTATAACAGCAGCCTCGCCGCAAAGACGAAGAGTCTTGAGACGCGTATCACAGCGCACAAAAACATGTCCATGCGTGAGGACATCGGCGAAGAAGCGACGACCATCCGAGGTGGCGAACGCAGGGTGCCACCGGGCGAGCGGCACGCCCGCTGCGAGCGTTTCCACGCGGACTTTGAGTGCGCCGACTGCGCGTTTGTCCTCACCTCCGACGTGAACGAGCACAATCGCGTCCTTAGCTTTGCCCTTAGCCCTAAGATCTATGCGCACGGATGCTGCGGCCTTGTTCTGTGTGTCAGCTGTGAGTGCGTTCCATGCCAGGAGCTGGGCCTCATGTTGCTGGGCCGGCAGTCTGAGCGTGTATCTGATAACATCTGGGAGCAGTAGGCGGGGTTTGGGAAATAAAGATGATTGCAGAAACGATGAAAGTGCGCTATAGGCTTTCTTCGCGTCCGCTCGTGTAGCAAAGGGCACCTGCACAACGACGATCCCATTAGACGCGTTACGAGAGACCACCTTGAGCTCCTGTAGTACACCTGGAGCACCTAATGCTTCTAGTCGGAGGCGCAAGAGAAGGAGGGCGGAGTCAAGGTCGTAGTCCTTGGGCTTGAGAAAACGCAGCGCAGTTGAGCCTGTGAATGTGCGCACTGCAGCGTGTCCCGCAGGAGAATCAGCCGAAGGCGGGAGTCCATGAATAATGATGGAATTATTGTCATGCGAGCTGGCCATCCATCTAGCATTTGGTGGTGGCCGATTCATGAAAGCTTTGACCTGTCGTCCATTGCACATCCGCCCGTCCAGCGTGCGCACGTGGTCTTGTGCTTCTTGTAATGTAGCATAGGATACGACGACACTTACTGACGGTGCGAGCCACGAAAGCCTCAGTACGTTAGGATCGCTCTCCGGCGACGCATCCATGCCGCCCATCGCGCCATTCTGCCGCACGACAGCAGTCAGCTTAACCATCTGATCCCGCACAAGAGCCTCGCCGGCGCCTAGCGTAGCCACGGCGCGCACACGCTCCTCCGCCACATCAAAGATTACATTCGCTTCTTGATTGTCATCACCTCCCGGAGTGGGCCGAAGGCCAAGCACACGGAAGCGGCAGGCTTCAAGTCCTGCACGAGTGAACATCTCTTGCACATCGCCACGCGTCGTGTCGGCCGGCAGACCACTGACTACGACGCTGAATGAGTCAAAGCCTGTGATGATACGTTGCACGCCTATGCCAGCACCGAAGATGACCATGGTCGAGCCGAGCATGACTTGTTGTAAAGTCACGGCGGTGTCGTCGTGCAATGACTTAGGATTCAATGGATGATCAACAACGTGCGAGAACTTGCATTTGACACCTCGGTTGCAATGGCCTTGGAGGAAGAATCTACATGTTTGAAGCTGCTGCGGCCCACGAGGTGCAATGCGGCCCGTTTGAGGTTTCTGTATCTTAGATAGCAGATGCACTATAAATATATAGACGACATATATGGGTGAAAAGAATCACGAACTTCGACAGGGCTGTGTGACATGGAACAGGCCGCGCCCTTCTTGCAATGACCCCTCAGGTAGAATGGACACGTCCGCGGAATCTTGATATCAGCGTCTTGCGTGTCTGTCGTTGTCGCATTGGGTTTATATTCAATATCACGGATTTCAAGCTGGGGAAGAACCTATACTCAAGTATGAGCGAGGTTCAGACGTGCATAAAAAATGAGAGTACCTGGGGGCGTGCAGGTATGATAGCTCGGGGTTGCTGAGGAACAATTGCACGGGGGCGTTGAGCGGGGAGTGGGGGCTGCGTTTAAAGTTGAAGTGAGTTCTGCCCCGGTGTGAAGGGAACACGATAGGCACGCACTCGATTCGGAGGTTCTGGTGTTGCGACTGCCTTGGGAAATGTCAGTTGGGGGTGAACAGGAAATTTGAAGATAGTACATACAGGAGCAATCGCGGTCGCTGGTGGAGGAGGAGGTTCAGGCTGAGAGTGTCTTTGACCCATACCGGCTCAGGTAAGTGTTTTTCAGACAGTAGAAAATTGCAGATACGGTGTGAGTGCTGGGCTCAGGGAGCTGGCAGCAGGTGAGTGAGTGGCGAGTATGAGATGAAAGAGGTTCACAAAGGTCAAGTGCCATCAAGCGCGGTCAGAGCGCACAGGACATGAGGCAGTCCTTCGAGAGGAAGGTCCATGAAGGTCCATGTTGTGCCTGGTTTGCTCATGTTAGCTACGGGTTCAATGGTCTGGGACTCCTAAGTAAGAACATGCATGAGGCAATCGTATCATCAGCTAGGGGCTGCTAGGGGTCGGCCCGGGTACTAAGATAGTTGGACAGAGAAAGTCTTTATGCAACTACAGTGCTGTGAGCGCGTTCAGACAACCATCCGTCAGAGACTTACGTTCCGCTAATTTTGCTGCCCGGAATTGAGCGATATTTCAAGCCGCAGGTCTTGACCGGGTAACACCACTCAAAAGCCTGGAGCCACTATCAAAAGAAAAGAGCATAGACGAGATGCAAGCAGTTAGTAGTTCGGCACGGTTTCAATGGAGCGGGAACGAGCGTGAGAGCATACCTTCGGCTGCTCCCAAGCAGCCCGCAGGCGCTCCAGCGCGGTCATCTTCGAGTCACTCTCTCCAAATAGACTACATATCTCACTCAAATATCTGCGGTTTGAAGAGCCGGAGATTCATGGTGGACAAGCATTTGAACTTGACACATGCTGTCTCGTAAATGGCTATCAACTGTATCGTTGTTCGACTTGTCGTCTGCCGGCTGCACGCGTATGCGGCAGTCAATAATAGGTTTGGACACTGTTTTGACCTTGTCAAAGAACGGATAGCGACGGTTGTAATCATACGTATGTTCTTTGGTTTATTTCTTTGTTTATTGCTTTTGCCTTGCTGACTCTGCCTTTGTGTTTGCTCAGACCTGTCTCAATCCTTGAAAAAAAGGAATCATCCTCGGTCTTTACACTAATGTACAACCCCACGTTTGATCAACCAACTTGAATAACTACTGGTAATCCTCCATATATACGCTTTCAGACAATGACATACAACATATAGTGAACGACACCGTGTATCTCATTGAATCGTGCGGTATCACCCTCGATGGACATATCAAGACAATCCACTCATCGTCCTGCATCGTGTATATCATGCTGATACCAATCACAGCTCATGGAAACATGATAGCTGATTGAACGACTCATCATGCAAAACTGTCAGGTCGCGTGCGAAAATTGGGTCCGGTCAGTGGCGTGACCGTCAGCTTGTCAGATGCACAAAGCCGTTTAGCCTTCGAGTTTGCATCCTCGGCAGCCTGGAACTGACCTGGTCCTCTTGTCGCATCAGACCTTTGTCTGTTTGCATCGCGCATGTTCTCATGCACACAGAAAAGAGATAAGAGACGGTCTTTTGATTGGATATCCACTTCAATAATATAATTTATGCAATAGAAACGAAAACCAAGACAGCCAAGACCCGCGCCTCTAGCCAACACGAACCAGGCCTATTACACCAAAAGAAATCGAAGGGGTATGAACAAACGACAGACAATAGTGAGCGCAAGAGAGTGACCGCATAAACGGTTTGAGTTGCATGTATTTTTACAATGCGTGAGAGATGCGATGATGGGGGCAGGATACATAGCGCGCCGATTACTGGAGACCAGAGTCAAGCGCGTCGTAGGTGGGGCAGAGGTTGTTCCACTCGGTGGTGAGGGTGGAGCTGAGGGTGGTGTTGGTATCGCCAAGGTCTTCAGCCATGACGACGGCAAAGCCGGCCTCAAGATGCCAGTCGATGTGGCTAGAGGAGAAGCATTGTGAGAAAAGAACCGACAAAGGGATAAAGACGTTGCTCACCAGTGGATGAACCAGGGGCCGGGGTTGTCGGTAGTGAAGCGGATAGTGACGTTATCGCCAGTAGTACCAATGTTGACGGTGTCGCGGCGAACAGGGTTAACGTAGTTGTACGTGTCGCTGCCAGCACTGCGAACGACATCGAAAGCATGCTAGATAAGACGTGCGTTAGATGTAGTCAAGGCAATGGAAGAAGTGAGCCTTACCCCATGCAAGTGGATCGGGTGACCACCACCGACAGCACCACCGGGGATGGAAATCTCTACAGATTTATTCGGGGCGAGACCATAGACGCTACCGGCAGGGAGAAGGTCAGTCGCTGCCTGGGCACCGCTGAGAATCTGTAGAAGGACGGGGACGCTGGGAGACTCGAAGGGAACGCCGTTGACAGTGAACTGGAGGAGCGTGAAGTTCTGGGTATGATGTGCATTAGGTATGAAGAGGTTGAGAAATAGCGACGAGAACATACGAAGACAGCTTGAAGGTTAATGTTAATATCAGCGCCTCCCTGGCTCGGTTCACCCGGAACAGTGAAGGTAGTGTCGAGGGGCTACACGAAAGATGAGTGTCGATGATCGTGTATGAATTGTCATGAACATACATGGAGGTCGGTCTGTGCAAGAGGAATGACACTAGTGGTCTGGTTGGTAGTAGGGTCGGTCGTGTTGGCACCGCTGTAGCGAAGGATAGCCATGTTGAGACCACCATCGAACGTAGTCGTACCCAAATTGGGTTCCGCGCGGATCCCTGAGAGGTTCTGTAAGCGGCTTGTTTCAAGTGCGGAATCTTTTTACTACTTACAATAGTTATCGACAGCCTGGTTAGCTTCGATCTAGAAGCAAGAAAGGTTAGTGATCTGAATCTAGAAGGCTTGTCACAGTGCGTACAATGATCGAGTAACGCTGGCCTGGATCGTTCGCGGTAAGCATAATGCGACGTTTAGGAGACGTTGATTACTCACTAGCGAAAATCTGGAGCTGATCAACGACTAGAGCCTGGGTGTTGATGCCGTCCGCTTCAATGATGGTCATGTTATGGCCATCAATACTGAAAGTGTAGTTGGGGTCGCAGGAGATGTTGATCAGCCGGAAGCGGTAGCTGGTAAACCGAGAACACGTCAGCTAGTGGACAGAAACACATATCCAAGGTGACCTACCGCTTGCCAGACTCGACGGTGATGACAGCCAAATCCGAAGCCGGACCGTCAGCGTAACGACCAAGGCCGTTAATCAAGGTCGCATCGGCTGTTCTGAAGAGTAGACGGTTTAGTCTACGAATTCTCAGGGCATTCTATTCCGACTCACGGGACGAGACCTGCGGAGGGGGCAGGTGTATGGTACCAATCAGCGAGGGTGATGACTGTCGACTCTGTGACACACGTATGAGTATTGCACTATGACAAACAGCGGACGCCACGAACCATCGTCAACATCATACAAGCTAGCATGAGGGTCACTGGGATCATAGATGACGAGCGGACCCCTCAAGCCATCACAGTACTGAGTCGACAAGTGGGAGTGGTACCAGAATGTACCAGCTTGGTCTGATGCGCTGAAGTCATACAAGAACGAGCTGCCTGGGGCGATTGGGCATTGGCTGACGAAGGAGACGCCATCGGCCCAGGTGGTAGTGTGTTGGAACAATCCGTGCCAATGCTGCAACAATGTTAATCATTAGCACGAGTGGGCCATGATCTCATCAGGCTATCGCTTACAATAGATGTGCTCCGACGCATAGTGCTGTCAGTCAAACTGTCAGTCACGTTGATCTTGAACTGGTCACCCTTGTTGCCTTTGATCAAGGGGCCAGGGAAGCCACCGGCTGCGACAACAGTACTACAGTTTTAGGTGAGATGATGGTTTGCATGATCCAGCAAGCGATTAAGCTCACCTGCGGTTGAAGCCGTCGGGGGCCAACTCAACGTTGACAATGTCCAAGTCCGCCACGGGGCCAATGGAAGCAAACGCCCCCAATGCAAGAGCGAGGGAAACAAATGAAGTAGACAAGACCATCGCGATAAAAACGTCAGACCCAATAAAATGATGCTTTTGGCGAATGACAGTGTTGGAGATGACACGATGAAGAGGAATGAGATACTGCCTTTCTCTTTCTCGATGACCTGGCTTTTAAGCCTTCCAATGCAGAGGTCGCCAGCCATTCCTGAAAAAAATGGCAAGTCCATTTTGTGCCTGTGCGCAGATCGGAGTTGTTTCCACGCTCGGCAAGAATGGGTGTCATCAAGAAGGAACAACCGATGCACGGACGGTGGAAGTTTGGATGAGGATTCTTTGGAATGATCTAACAAATCTAGGCACATAACGGCACCACAAAAAGGTCGGCCGTGGAGTGACTGCAATTCCACCTACGAACTATGATTTTCCCAGCACCAGTGGATCACTCCGAGAACGGCGCTCGAATCGAAGAAGACTCATATGGGAACGTTCCACTCGAACCAAACGCACATACTACGGACATGTGACGCGAATACCTGTTGAGAGCTACAAATCGAGTACCCTCACGAATGCGTTTCGACTGGATCAATGTGACGATGGGCCTGAACAACTTTTCCTTTGTTGAAAGCGGCATCACCTGGCATCATTGGCTATCATTGGTCAGTTGGGAGTTGAAAATGCCTCTCCTGACTATCTAATTGAAATGTACCTCGGGGTGACAGATACGGAGTTATCACACTGACCCAACCCGCAGTCAGGGCGAGAGACAGTGCAATAATACCGCAAGAGAGGTTGATAGATGGTCACTGTTTGGTGAGATATCATAAGATGAGAGTTGATTGGGCCAGACTGCGCCTGTGGCGTCGGCTCGGTATCTTCCGCAGTATGCCGGTTGAAGCCGTCCGGAATCAAAGCCCAACTCCGCGACTTTCTGTTTGTTGCGCTGTGGCCAAGCGTTCCCGCAGTTGCTCTTGCTTCGGGGGCGTATGCTGCCGTGCCGAAGAGCTCAGTTCACTCGCGGATCGGTTGCACTTCTGCCTCACTGTACAGGTCCACAACAGCTCGATTAAACGGTACGCCTCCAATTGCTGGTTGCACAGAGTAACAGAGTCTCTTCTGCAACGATTCTGGTTACTAGCACAATGCTGATTCCAGAGTCTAGAAGAAAACCTCCGCCCACTCTTATTTCTATGGTGAGGCACACCGCTAAGTGCGCATCTCCGTTTGGGATGTGATAGAAACTGACGCAAATCAGCGACCGACCCAGGCCGATCTCGTATCTGATAATCGAAAAAGCTTCACGCAAGAAGCCCGAATCGCTCCTTTAATATGATTTGGACCTGTTTGGATTAGTGAGTCACGCGAGGATCAGAATCATTGGCAACTGTGGCTAACTGCGGCCCTGCAGTGAAGAAGCATTATGCTTCCGTATATCCGCAGCTGCCTGGCATCGTTCCTTCCCAGTTTCCTTCTGTGGCTGCAATTTGTGATGTAAGAAGGGAAGAGTCGCCCGACCGGTAACGCGCACCGTTAGCCAGCAGTCTCAAGACCTCAAGCTAGGACCGCTCTCTCACATGTTGTCGCGATCGACATTGCCCTAAGGACGATTTTGACCATCCAATATATCATGGTGAATGTTCGTCTTTTGAAGATCGAACAGCCTCCCCGAAAGGGCCTCGGAGATGGTCAAATTTGGAATAAGCCTGGAGAGTTGATTTGGACGCCGATTGTTTACCGATGCCGATAAGCGCAGCAGGCAACAGCAAACAACTTGGAAATTGCCTCACCCCTGTGCTGACCTCAGCGGAAGACAGGAGCCTTACGTGACGAGCAAAGACGAGGAAGGGTGTTGGAAGGGTTTACTTCCTCGTGGAGTATTGGCAATGCCGCCACATGCCAGCAGATGCCAGCGGAATGTATGCTTCTCCGTTGAACGGACATGAAATGATGAGTCCTAAAGGTAGTCTCTCAGGGATGGAGATGCTCCTGGCTGCAGTCTGGCTGCTCGTTAATTCATCCGATGCTCTTACATGACAGGCACTGAGTCCATCAATTCATCATGGACGAATCCGACTTCGCAGTACCCTTTCTGATACTGCGGATTGCGGAAAAAAGAGAGACCTGATCAAGCAGGGCCCTGTCACCCTTTCGCGAAGAGGCTGACTGCAGAACTTCGCTCTGACAGTGTGAAGTGACGCCGGTCGATCGCACGGCGTCACAAGGAATGCAGTTCCCCCCTCTCGTATAAGGCATGAATGGATTCTGCGTCTTCATCAGTCTACACCCCTCTCCCTCCACCCTTGTCAATCCTTCCACCATATTGCTCTCCTCCAATGCAGCTCATCACCCTCTTCTCCCCTCTCTTTTCCTTGTTGACCGTCGCTGCGGCGGCCAGCGTGAACACTGTGAGCCTTCCACAATATTTCTTGCCTTCACCCAAATCGCTCATTCACAATATCAGTCGGCCGTCGAAGCTAGCTCCGCGATTTCCGCGAGTGCAACCCCGACCGCAAGCATGACCGAGGTGGCCACATCGGCTACCCCCACTGTCGTCACTGCGACCAGACTTGTGAAAAGTCTCGCCGACGTTGCGCCATTCTTCGTGACGGACACGCAGATTATCGTGTGGACTCAAACCCCTGAGCCCGTAGCGACCCCGTCTGTCTAATTACTCCGTATATCGTGAATGTATGCTAGGTAAGCGATTGGGAATTCTCAATCATTCATCTTAATGATGCCATTTATAGAATCTGGAAGATCGCATTGTGACCTGCAACTCCCTTGCACCATTCGATATTCCATCTTTATTCTTAACGCCCGCGCCGTTCTCTTATATGGGTGAGGGCCTGTGGGATGCTAGGGATATGCGGTTTTAAAATATTGAGTGAACGATGTTAATAGACTGTCTTTGTGAAAGTTCAATGTTCTGTCCCAATCGAAGGCCTCGGGGAGGAGTTTTCAATCATATAGCAGTGGAAGGGAGTGGGGGAGGCACTAGTGTAGATGGCATGAATTTCGGTTTATGGTACATCAGACTATTCATGCCCGACTTCGCAATATATCGAGGTCGGTTTGCATCTCGTACAGTTACTCCTTGTATGAATTGTTTCAAAGATACGGACCAGTTTAACTTTCGTTTATCGTATTCTCGATATAAGTGTCGTTTAGCATTTGGAAACGGCAGAGCGTAGTACATGATCCCGAACCTCAAACCTCAGTGTTCAACTTTGACATCACTGACTCGTTCTACGCAACAGCCGTCTCTGTATAGGTGAAGATCGTCGACGAGGTGCAGAGGACCTGAAAGAGACAAGACTCAGTATGGCAACGGGGTCTTTAATGATCTACACAAACCTCATCTGGATAGATGTTACTGCAGTCCGAGTTGACGTTGGGATTGTTAGCGAGCAGAGTGTTCACATCGATTCCCGCAGTGTCCGCAACAGAGGCGCAGAAATCTCCGGACACGATGACATGAGTCGTATCACAATCCTGTCCCATAACTCCCAAGCAAAGAGGCTAGCACTGCACTGTGAGCGATCAGAAGGAGAGGTTAGGAAGATATATATACCTCGCCGACCGCAAGGTTGTCACAGGCAACATCGATCTTATCCTGGTTGACGAAGGCTAACTGGTACCTATAGCATACTATGAGATCAGGGGTCAGTGCGGATGTTATTAGACTGTTTGACTGACGTGGAGACGTTGAAGAATTTAGAGATGATGTCGCAAGTCTCACCGAGGTGGACAGTGGTGTTGCGGGCGCAGATTCCTTGCGCGTTAACGCTAACCGCGCTGGTCGCCACAGAAAGGGCAAGGAAGACAAGGTTGGATAAGACGAACATGTTGATCGCGGAGGATGATGATAGAGCGCTTGAACACAGTGAGCGATGAAGATGCAGAAGAATGTTTGGGGTGGAATCCGAGAGCTTTTATACCTGCAAAGACACGAGAATCGTGTCGACGTGAGAGAAAGAAAACGAGTCATTCGCCAGCCTCTTATGACTGTGTGAACACTTTTTGAGAGCACCGTGGCGATGCGGTTGTCACAGAACTCACCGCGTACAGTATATACGACGGAGCCGCGCTATATTGAACGTAGGCGGCGTATACCTAAACTGTAAGCGCCCAAAAACTAGTATTTTCCAGGAATAGGACTCACGTTACTTTTTCAAGTCAAGAGTATTATCCAGCCATGGAAATGATCGAAACAAAGAGTAGTCGGGTGCAGCTTGGCTCTATACTCACCGACTCTGCCTGGAGACTCGGAAGACGGTGAAGGATTCGAGGCGCTTGTCGATCTCACGTGAGATGCGTGACTCAACGCGTTGTATCAAGCGAAGCGTCTTTCAGGGCCTGTCAATCAGAACACGGCGTTGGAAGTCCTCTATGGGAATGCATAGAAGAAGGAAGGAAATGGAATGGGGCACGGTTACGATCCGTTTCTCCCTCTATCTCGTAGTGGTAGAGGGCCGTACTTGTAGAAGACGAAGGGAGTAGGTCATCCAATAAGACGCATAAGCGCAAGTATAGAGTTTGACCAACCTGCGCTGGGCGTCAGCGTCAGATATCCTTTCAGCAGGTGGTATACGGATCGTTCCTCAAGACCCCATAAATCTTGTTAGCGAATAACGGGAAGCCGACTCGAATCCGGCCAACCTGAGCGCGAATGGATGTGACTCTGGCGATAGCGCTTGCCGCGTGGATCGCGTAACAGTCAACCTGCCGCAGGTTTCGAGTCAGAGTGTGAGCATTTGAAAAAGAGACGGCGTGCAAGGTATGTTTGGATGCATGTCCAATTTCCACCGATACCGCCGGAGAATATGAAGACTCATACATGTGACCTTACGACACGTGCAGTGTGACAGACGCGTTGCTTGGTCATCATGCACTGAGTCTGTGGCAGAAGCGACTCAATGACCTCCTCCACTTTCAAAACCGAACTCACCCTCATTTTTCACTGACGTGGTGATGGATAGACTCAAGTACCCTAAAGTCTGTGGTCTGTAATTCCCTTTGTATCTTTTGCACGCATTAATCTTCACCATAGGCTTCAGACTTGCACAGCAGGTCGGTGGTGGCGGGTTTTCGAGGTAAGCCTCGTCTTCAGCAGGCATCTTGCATCATATGAAAATACTTAAAAATGACGCGGGATCAAATTTCACAGCGTGTTTCGAGCAGTGAATGTCGAGGAGCATCGTATTGCAGCGTGCAAAGTGGTTTTATTGACAAAGGAGACTACTCCCTATCAGCGTAAAACTCTTGACAAAGAGATGCGTGTGCACACTGCATTGAAGCATCAGAACGTCTTGGAATTCATTAACGCAGTGGTCGTCGAGCCTGACAAACGACCAAAATACATTCCCGCAATCTACATGCTCCTGGAGTTCGCTGCAGGGGGTGACCTCTTCGACAAGATAGGTGTGTATTCTCCGCTGAAAGTAGGCACCACGCTGATTCTTTGGATTTAGCTCCAGACATTGGTCTCGACGAAGATACTACGCATTTTTTTTTTCTCCAGCTCCTGGAGGGACTGGTACGTCTCCTGCTCTTTTTCAGCGATTCTCTAGGATGTCATGTTTTACTAGAGCTTTATCCATGGAGAGGGCGTTTGCCATCGAGACTTGAAACCTGAAAATATCCTACTCGATATCACTGGCAAACTCAAAATCTCAGATTTCGGGCTTTGCTCCGTGTATAAGCTAAAGGAGTCCGGCAGAACTCGCATGCTTACAGAGCGGTGTGGGAGTCTCCCTTATGTCGCTCCAGAAGTAAGCACAGTTCAATTGCTTTACCTCCATACTGACAGACGCGCTTTCAGCTTGATTCTGAAGATCCATATCAAGCGGAACCCATTGACGTGTGGGGAGTTGGTGTTATCCTCTTCACAATGCTCGTTGGAAGTAGGCGTTTCAAGAACTCCTGTATATTCTTGCTCTCACGCCTTCTAGACACCCCTTGGGACGAACCCACAAAGCGCAGCTACGAGTATTCTCGATATATTACCGGTAAAATATTTGACGATGATCCTTGGAAACGTATTGGAAAAGTTACTTTATGTCCGTAACATGATCTTTTCTCTCCGGGGCGTCGCTGAATCTCGCGGTTGTTAGCACTTTTGACACGTTTACTCGACGTCGACCCGTCGACGCGTATCACTTTGGCGGAGGCAAAACAACATCCATGGGTCCTCCGGTTCGTGAATATAACCAGATATCACGTTTCATTGCTTAATTGACGTGCGACACCCAGATTGAGTCAAATTGCCTCCCAAGGGCCGGTCGCATTGGCTGAAAAGTTAACTCGGTCCCTCCGTGAGCAAGGTGATCTGGAACTGGCAAACCCCGATCTTGAGTCTCGGTAGCGTTTCCTTCTCTATAGCCCTGCGGGACCAGCCCTCAAATTCTCGTCTCTTAGGCCGCTAGTGGATAAAGATGGGGATCAAGTGATGTTGACTGCGACGCGTAGCTCACAATTCACACAATCACTCCTTCTATTCGTGAGTTCAGTCTAGACCAGCTTTCTCCTCCATACAGCTAATATATACGTTTATTTGTTCAGTCACAAACCCAGTCAGGGACACGCTATACCCCTCAACTTACACGCTTTTATGCGCGCATACAGCCACCCCGTCTTCTTGAGTTGATAGAACAATCCCTAGTAGAATTCCGTGTCAAAGTCAAACACGTAGACCCCGATGAATCGAGTGGCTCTCCCGATGACATGCGATGCCGCATCGGTGGATTCGATAAAAGACGCGTCCAATTTCGCGGGTGGGTCATCGTGCAACGTTTCGTGGACCGGGACATCGAGGGTAGCTTCTGTATCATGCAGCGCGACGAAGTAAGCCTTCGAATTCCCATCATCCGCGTTCCATGTATTCACGATATTTAAGGGTAACCCGTTGTCATGGAGGGAACTCTGGAAAGCTGTTGTACAATCTCCCAGGGTCGAGCGATACGTCTTGAAGCGGCGATGAGACATGACTTTGGTGCATCATCCCACTTCGACCAAAAGGACACCATCCTATCAGTAGACTCTCTGGAATGGTGTATGCTATCTCCGTGTATCCGTTGCTACAGCTGTAAACATATATTCCCTTTCCTGCCAGTCTTTTGGAGATCGCCATTCGAAACCTGTATGGCCTGCGGTTGACAGTATACCGTTTCCACCTTTGCAAAGACCCTGTTCTGCGTGGTTTGTGTATAATTCGACATCGTGTTGAGAATCATAGAATTTGCAATAAAGATAGTCGGTTAAAGTGATGCAGACAATCATCCAAAAAGCCCGTGTCGCGCTGCGATTTTGGAATGCTGTCCGCCCAAGACTTCAGAATAGGAAGTTCGCTCCTCGCCGCCTCAAAGATAGGTTGGATAGAGCGCTGCATGCAATGTGCAGGGTAGCAGGCCGCCAACGCGATTGCTTCACGCTGATACTCAGGCGGGCAACTGATCAGCACCCGGGACTTGTGTCTACCGGATTTGAAGGCGTGCTGGAAAAACCTGAGTGCTGCTGTGACATGCTCCTGCGTCAACCGTACACCATCATCAACCCCGCCGCCCTCCTGTTCAGGTATCGCTATTACCAGATAGGTTCCTTCGTCGTAGTTGAAGGGGTAGGATGATTGGGATGGATGACCTGGGCTGTCTGGATCGATTATGGACTTTCCCCTTCTCTTGGGGTAGGCACAGAAGTACGCTGCGCGAGCGGGATAAACGCCAAGCGCATGTGTGTACTCAAGTATGCTCTTGCCGGTCGGCCAGCATCCGAAAGCACTGGTTTCCCAGTCGGCTCTCCAGAGATTACGCGGGGGTAAATCATTGGCACCCCAGATACAGAGGTCGATGATGGGTAGCATGAACGAGCAGTATTGGTTCGATTCCTGCTGTGCGGTCTTGAAGATGGGGTCCTTCGAATCTTGCCGTTGTGGCCTGGGAGATGGCTGCTCCGGCGTACCGATGGACACGTAGTGAATAGCATGCGGCTTGGATTCGTGCGGAGCGATGTCATAGAAAATGCGATGAGTTCCTTTGGGCGACCAGTCCGGCAGAGGGTCTGGTTTCGCGACTGACGTCTGCACGTTGATGTCTGTGTCCGACTTGCGATTGTAGGGCGCGCCATGGTAATGAAACAGAGGTTGAGGTGACTCAGGCGGAGATGGAGGAGCAAGCAAGGGTGAAGGAATCTCGATGGAGAGAGCGGGGCGGATGCTCGCAGACCACACTGTCGACAAAGATCTGAGGGAAGCCCTTGGAGTTTGCGTGTCCCAATCACCATTATCCGACGAGCCATCGTCTGGATGCAGATGTCGAAATGAAGAAGGCCACGAGAAAGGCAGAACGATATTGTTTAAGAAATTGGCACCAACGACGGTGGTCGAAAATCCGGGCAATAACCGAGATGAAGCCTTTGGGGTCTGCTCGTTGTGTTCCGCGTCCGTATCCACGTCACGATGAGCGCCACCATCGGAATGCGCGACATCAAGTGCAAGTAAAGGGGCAGGCGGCGGGCCGGTCGATGCTGGTTTATCCCCTGATTTGGCCTTCTGAATCTGCGGGAAAGCTTTCACACCGGGCCCGTCAGCGTGTGATGAAGTATCGGGGAGATGCACGAGGCGCAACGAAAGAGACGTCAAGAGAGGAGATGTAGGAGGCGGCGGTAGAGGAGGCGGCGGATGCGGAAGACGTTTTCGCTTGTTCCTATTCTGCCGTTTTCCTTTCAAGGACACTGCTAGCAGCGGCACCCCGGGTAGATGTGGGGAAGATATGGTTACAGGCCCATACGCAAGCTGCGGAGATAATTTGTGCCTACGATCATCAGGTGGCAAAGAAGGACGTGAAGCTTTGCGTTTGGCTTTGGAAGGACGGCCCATCAACACGAGGAGCTACACAAGACAAAGCGAGGCAGGGCAAGGCAGGGATTCGATGGGGTGTGGGTGACGCTGAAAAGCGTTCGATCGCGCTGAACAACATGAGCAGGGATTTAAGGGCCCCAGACACGATCCAATAGCCACCGTGGCGGTGGTCAAAACACCACTACATCAATCATTCTAAGACACCAAACGGACCGGAGAGCAAACGCCTTGGCGAGCATATACAGCACAAGCAACGCTTGCGTTTCTGCGCAAGCGCGGCTCTGGTCAGGGCTCATGCCACGACGGGCAGGCGAGGCTCACGCGTGTGAAGACATGTGGAGGCGGTGCCACAACTGTGCATGGGCCCGGGCGCGGACGACAAGAATAAATATGTGTCGCCCACAATATATAATCATACCATAACACTAGAGACGATCCGTGTAAACATTAAAGAGAGCAGAAATACGACAGACCGTCGGTGTCCGCCGGGAAGCCTCAGTGAAGCTCGAAGCGCTCGGGAAAGGTCTCGTACGTCATCGACCTCTGCACCCTGAGCTCGTGGTCGCCCTCTGGGTCCGCGTCCAGGTGTTCCAACGAAGCCGAGGCGAGGAGGCTCTCTTCCGAATGCCTCCGCACGTTGATGATCAGACGGCTGAGCGTGATGTTCGTTGCGCACCAGATAAAGCTAGATAGAGAAGCCTCGCTGTTCAGCCGATATCGCATGGAAACACGAGATGGAAGACGAACAATACACCGAGAAAGACTAAGGAGAGCTAGAGGAATCGATCGGTCAGAGCCCAGAACTGTATCAAAACCAATGGTCGCTCTCACAGGCGCAACCATCGAAAGGACTAGATTTGCGATCCGTAATGCTGAAACAATGTCAAAGAAGATTCCTGATACGAAGATATGTTGCGCTTACAGGCCATAGTCTAAGAAGGTGATGAGAAAGGCTTCACCAAAGGTCAAGATCTACTCCGGTTACTCACGATAAAAAAGGTGACTCCATCTCTATACAGCGTGTTCGTTATTTCGTGATTCGACTGGCGCGGACGCCCCATCGCATTCCAGCAAGTCATGACGAACACAATGATCTCAAAAACCACCTGAAAAACAAGTTGGATTACGAATGGTGCTGTTTAACGTTGGGTTTCGACTCACCCCAGGCAGCCAAACTCCCTCGATGATGATCCGCTTCCTGATGACACAAGCGCGGAGAAGCGTGTCGTATTCGAACTGCGCTGGAGAGTAGGATGTTCGTCAGCCCGTCGAGCAACGTGTCAAATAGTCAAGTCGACGGAACGTACGGATCATCTGGATAGCGGCCCATATGACCATCGAGAATGTTACGATTTGGGAGAGGACAAAGGCTACAAGTGTGAAGACGACGGGTATGGTGCGCCGGTTCCACAGCACCCATACGCGGAGCATGACGATGACTGGGACAAACACGACAATTAGAAGCAACGTTATACAGGTGCGATGAAGTCGAAGACATACAGTGTCCATTCGCTATGGAAATGGAACCGAGAAATGTTGTGGCGGGGAACCATACTTTGCAGCTATTTGGAGACAATTGAATAGGGTACACAGCCATTCAACGCGGATACTCACAACTAGCAGGAAAAGTAAGAACACGCGACGCACGGCGACATGTACACGACTCACCAGATCTGAAGGGTGTGAAGACGAAAGGCCGGCGATCTCTGGAAGCCCTCGTCAGCTTCCACCCGACTTGAGAGCAAGGTGGAATACTACAGACCATACATGTTGACGATCATTACTATGGGGACAAAGTAGCGGTTGAGCAGAAAGAGCACTTTCGGGACAGTCGTCTTTGTCTTCCAGACATACTGAATTTCGTCATCCAAGGTGAGCAAGTGATCGTACAACAGCACGACGCATGCCCCAGCTAACCAGAAGCGAGTCCAGACGTCAGGCTTCGATGCCGTGAGTCGAATCAAACAGAAGCCATGCACGTACCGCTGACATATCTCGTGATGTTGAGGTTCCGCACGATTGTCTCCAATGCTGCCAAGTCCATGACCAACGCTGAAAGAACGGCTAGACGAGTGCAGCCGTTTTGACCAACAGGCCACAGTCAGTCGAAGACGCAGAGGCCTCGACGCCCAACTCGGGCAATATGTACTGGAAAAAGAGAGAGAGAAAGAGAGAAGAGAGAAAGGAGTGCGCTGGAATCGGAACTGGCGCTAGATCATGAATGGGTCCCATAATATAATCAAGCGTGGCCCCGATCTGTCTGACTCAGGCACCCGGGGGTACTGCACCCGCGAGAGGAGCTGAGAGGAGGCGCAGAGACCTGTCAGTGGTGTCGACAAGAACAAGACCGCTCCGTCGAGGCTGCCGTGTACGGGACGGGTATCGACTAGGCCCTGGTCCTTATCGCTCTATGCCGTGTGCGCAGCGCCCACAACCTAACATCCTCGACGCAACGAGCTCGGAATGACTGTCACGACGGACCAGGGCACTCGTTGAACTGACGTGCACTTACCCGTCTCTTCCGAATCGAGGAGGCACTGGCGTTCGCATTTCGCCGCCTGATATCAACGTTCAAGCGGGCTTCAGCACATGGTGGACAGCGTCCTCAATATCGATCGTTATTTCGTGTCGTCGTCGTCGAGCGCTGCAGCGGATAATGCCAGACACAGTCAAGACCGAAAAGGCGCAGGACAAGTTTAAACTCCGCGGTTCCGGCTGACATGTGCCCGGGACATCCGAAGCCCGACTGGCAGTGTCTGTGGCCCCGATGTTCCGCTCCGAGCGACATTGGGCGAAAAATTAGCACCGCAGCGGACTCGCAGCGGGCTCGATGTCTCACAAATTCTCACGAGCGCATTCCGCTATCCCAACAATCACATGAATCCCATAGTGGGGCAATAGAAACAGTATAGGAACCAGCTAGTGCAACGATCAATCAAAAATATCGGAACGCGATCGAGCAGAGACCAAGTTAAGTTGACCCGACAGCATCGTTGCGCCCTCGACGCGAGCTAGTTTGGCACTTGCATATCGGTCTTCCGCACAAGAATGTTGAGCGCAAATGGAACGCCATGATGGAGCGCGCCCCACGACGCAGAGACTCGTGCCATGTAGCGGAGGCCCGCTCGGTGCGAGACCAGAGATCAGTGAAGACCGTGGCATGATAACATCATTAGCATAAGCTAGGGCCGATCCAGCTGCGACGAGCGCGGCTCGAGCGCGGACAAAAGAAGAGAGGACTGTGCATGGTATACGAGCAGTGCCAGTGAGCGCGCGCCGCAGATAGCCGTGGCTAGTTCGCGCCGAATAAGCTTGTAAGGCGTCGCCGATCGAAGAGAGCGTTGCGGGGCGCTGGTCGTTGAGGTCGCTGGCTCAACCCAACTCGATCGCCGCACATCTCATGAACGCGTGAATGATTACAGCAGGACAGACAACACCATTGCCCCTGCGCGGCTGGTCGAGCGGTAGCATACAACACAACACAAAACAAGAAACGAGAACACGACGACATCGCAATAGTCATAGTAGAGAAAGTCACCGCCTATAACACAGAGACGCTGTCCCCGGCGTCCGAGACAAACACAGTAGATCATATAAACGCAGGCCGTCGCCCGGCGCAGAGGATCGCGGAGAGATCACATGATGAACCGCAGGGACGTGTTCTGCGAGGACCGACGACGCGCGTCAGCCTGCCGCGCGCGAGAGCGGGCGACGAACGGGAGGGGGTGGAACGGAGACGGCGTACCATGCGGTGCGAGCTCGAGAGCTGCGGTTTCTGGCTGTACCGCTTGTTCAGGATCTCCCTGGACGCGTGCGGCGCGTGAGCGACGGCGGAGAGACGAGGCGACTAGGAAAGGGGAAGAAGGAGGGGGGGGAGGGAGGAGCGCACCGGAGGCCTTGCAGCAGCTTCATGTACGATATTTCCGGGTTCCGCTCTGCGCACGACACAAGCCAAGCGATCAGCCGTCGAACGACGCCCGACCCGAGAATAAACCATCGTGGACGCACTCAAGACCTTGATGAACGCCTGCACAGGGACAGAAACAACGAGCGCACGCCATCAACAGCCGCCCCGAGACGCAAACGACAACAGCAATAAACCGCACGCACGTAGCTCATGGCGCCGACCGCGAGCCCGTTCTCGACCGTGTCCGCGCTCGTCTGCGAGTCCATGCACCCGCTCCACGAGATCTGCCGCCGCGCGCCGCGTCAGCGCGCCTGCGCTTGCCTCGGGGGATGCGGGGAGGAGGGCACACTCACAACGTCCGCGGGCGTCGACTTGCGCTCCTTGAACCGGCGCGTGACCTGCCCCTGCTTGACGCGCCCGTTCGAGTGGTACTGCGCGCGCGGTGAGTCAGCGATGCTCCGCCCGGAGAGAGGGGAGGGGAGGCGTTACCAGGTACGGGAGATCTGCGCGCGCACGAGCGTCAGGCCAGAGAGGCACTCGGCGCGAAAGAAGAAGAGGAAAACGCAAACGCGGACGTACCGAGCACGGAGCCCGAGTGGCAGGACTGGAACAGTGGCGATAGCGAGGGCGATGGCGAGGGCGAGGGCGAGGGCGAGGGCGCGTCAGATGGCGAGCATGCGGGTTCAGCACGAGCATACGCACGTCGAATATGGCCTACACGGGCACACGCGCGGAACATCGCCGCGTCAGCTCTCGCATGAAACGCAGGGTGAAGCGCAGGAGGGCGGGGCAGGACGCACCGTGAGCCGGCAGCCGGGGGGAAGCGGCTTTACCTGGACTCGCGCGTCAGGCATGAGGCAGCTGAACGGCGGGGACGGATCTCGGGAGGCACGCACCATCGTCTCGTGCAGGACCTGCGAGGCCGGCGTCGGTCGGTAGAAGCGGGGCGCTCTCAGCGAACGGCGCGCGCTCGTGCCAGCAAGGGAGGAAAAGGAAGGGGGACACGCACGTCATCTATGATGGTCCCCGCATGCTCGTAGTCCACGGGGAAGATCACTGCGCGCGAACGCAGAAGCCCATCGGAAACCGATAAACAGCGAAGCCGTCGCGCGACGTACCTTCGTCGAGCCCGTCCACCTCGTCCCCGTCCAGGTCCTTCGTCTGCCCGCCATGCCCCGAGTCTACCGCGCGCGATCAGCCCAAATCCAACGCCGCCCAGCACGGCGCGCGCACACGCCCGAGAGAGGGGTGGGGAAGGGGGAGAGGAGCGCGGCACGCACAGTGGAAGAAGAGCGAGTCGTGCGGGTGCGCGTCCTGCACGAGCCACCGCATCGCGTTGAGCATGTTTGCGCGCGTCGGGTGGGAGCGCGGGTCCTGCGCCTCGTCGGAGAGGTACACGATGTCCTCTTTCTTGTAGTGCTGGTAGTCTGTGTTGCCGCGCGGGCGCATGAGTTCACGAACAGGGCGTGGGCGTGGGGTCAGGAGTAGGGCGCGCGGGCGGAGGGAGGGACGAGAGGGAGAGGACGCGGCGTACCGACGAGGAAGTGGTACACGCTCGAGGCGTCATTGACGCACCCGCGCAGCTCGTTCCGCTGCCCGACGTAATTGATCCCGATCTGGCGGTGCCATCAGCGTCGCGTCGCGTCCTCCCGCAGCACAAACGCCAGCAAAAAAAAGTGAAAAAAAGCAAAGAGCTAAAATCACGCCCAACGGGAAAGAACGAAGGCCGCAAACAACCGCCGCAAACAACCGTCGCCCACGAACGACGCACAAGCACGATCACGAGCACACGGAAGCACCACGACCACGACCACGACCACGACGACCACGACCACGACCACGACCACGAACGCAAGGAAACCACGAACGCACGCAAAGCGCCTTCTTCCGCCCCGTGCACCGCGACAGCTGGAAATCAGGGTGCTGCATCGAGTCTCTATGCGGGCGCGCCGTCGGCGGCGCAGGCGGCGGCGGCACCTGCTGCCCGTATTGCTGCCCGTATTGCTGCTGCCCGTATTGCTGGGCGTATTGTTGCTGGGCGTATTGTTGCTGGGCGTATTGTTGTTGTTGTCCTGGGTATTGCTGCTGTTGGTATTGCTGCTGTTGGTACTGCTCCTGCTGCGGAGGCGCGTACTGCTGGTATTGCTCCTGCTGCGGAGGCGCGTACTGCGCGTATGGCTGCTGCGCAGGCGGCGCGGCGACGTACTGCACCTTGACGGGCGCGGCGCCGGGGGTGTACGTCACCTGTGCGCCGGCGGGGTCTGTGGGGCGTCGGAGGGAAGGGCGGGGGCAGGCGGGGCGGGGGCGAAGGCGGGGCGGGGAGGGGCGTGGCGGGGGCGGGGACGTGCGGTTCGTTTGTGCGTTTAGCGAGGGGGGACGGAGGGGGAGGGACGGAGAGGGAGGGACGGAGGGGAGGGACAGAGAGGGGGAGGGGGACGTACAGGTGACGACGACGGGCTGCACGGGCTGACTATGGTGCCTATGGTGCGAATGCGAATGCCCGTGCGAATGCGAATGCGAATGCCCATGCGAGTGGTGGCGCGAGTGCGAGTGGTGCCCATGCGAATGCGAGTTCGAGCCCGAGCGCGCGCGCGCGCGCGGTTCCTGCGAGCTCGCGTTTGAGTGGTGGTGGTGGTGGTGGTGGTGGGGCTGGGACTGGGACTGGGACTGGGAGGTGCTGCGCGGGCGGTAGGGCGGCTGGAGGGGCTGGGAATGGGCGGGGTAGTATGGTCTGGGCGCGGGTATATGAGTGAGGGACGTGACGTGACGCGGTGCGGTGCGGTGCGGTGCGGTGTGATGCGGTGAAGGCGGGAGAATGGGAGTGAGGGACGGAGTGAGGGGGGTACGCACGCGGGTGGAGAGGCGAGCGCGGGGCTCGGGGGGTACGGGCTCCTGATATACGCGCGTGTGTGCGCGGGGCGGGGTGTTAGGAGGGGAGGCAGGGAGGCAGGGAGGAGGAGAGGAGGAGGGGGGGACGCACGTAGATGGGAAGGGGATGCCCGGCGCGAGGCCGGGGCCGGGGCTGGGGTACGCGTGGGCGGACGCATAGTCGGGTTGGCTGTGGGACGGCGGGGCGTGAGCTCGGCGCGGTCAGACGAGACGAGACGCGACGCGACGCGATCCGAGTGACGAGGCTGCGTGCGCGCGCGAGAAAGAGAGAGGGAGAAGACGAGGGGACGCCTCGCGCGGGGTCCGTTTATGCGTTCGTGTATCGTGTTAGACGGACTCACGGGATCGGCATCCTGATGCGTTCGTTCGTGCGTGGGTTCATTCATTCATTCATTCATACACGGACCAAACGGGCGCGAGAGGGGGATGAGCGGGTGCGCGAGGCGAGGCGAGACGAGCGCAGAACACGGAGCACGGAACGGGGCGGGCGCGTTCGCGGCTCTTCGCGGCGGGGCGGAAACGTAACAGGCGCGGGAGGAACTCACGGCATCGGGGAGGGGTGGCGCGCGGAGCGGTGCGGGCGCGGGGTCGCGGTCAAGGGCGGGGGGCCGCCGTTCGCGGCGCCGCGCAGGTCCCACATCATCTTGGCGGGGGCGGGGCGGTGGGATGGCGGATGGTGGTGAGAGGTAGATTTACACGGGCGAGGGAAGGAGAGGAGCGCGGGACAGAGCGGCGCCTTATATATACGGGGCGCTGGGGAACAGACGCTACGACAGCACGGCGCTCGGGACCAGACGCCCGCTGGAGACAGCCCGTGCAGCTGGGCGGGGGCGCCCACGGCGTGCACGTGCGCACCCCGCGCCTCTGCTCGACGCAGCTGATGCAGCCGGTGGCGGGGCAGGGCTCAGGCACCGGAGCCCGCCCGACGCCGGTCCCCTCCGACCGTCCCCAGCTCCGGCGCCTGAGCAGCCTCCAACGCGTCGCTCTCACTGCCAAGCCGCACCCACGGCCGCCCGCGCCTCCCTTTGCGGCTGTCTGCACCCGACAGGCTCCGTCACTCGCCAGAGCGCATCCAGGAGCACACATCTGCTTAGTGCACCCGCCCGCCTGCCTGCCTGCCCATCCGCTCTCCACCGCCCCGCACGTCGCACACCCTCGCGGACCGGCGCCGCCCCGCGCTCATCTCCCTCCCACTCTCCCACTCCCACTCCAACTCCCACTCCCACTCCTTTATATCTCACCCACTTCGCTCGCTCGCTTGCTCGAGCCCCCTCTATCGCCCGCCATGGAGCACGACGTGTATCCACCAGCGCCCCGCCGCCCCGCCGCCACACACCCCGCTCACCCCGCTCACCCGTTCCTGCCCGCCCGCCCGAACGCACCGCGCAGGCGCCAGACCACGTCAACATCCTCCACCTCCACCTCGTCCGCGCGCGCGCCCGTCTAGCCCCCACCCGCGCATCCCGCGCCCCGTCCCTCAACAGCATCCCGCGCTCCAGAAAATAAAACCCCTCCCCCCTCGCGCCAGGACGTCGTCCCGACCGAGCTGGACGTGCTCGCGGCCACTCTGCGTGTCCTCGGTCCGTTCGTCCTCGCGCTCGACAGACGCACAGCCCTAGGCCCCGCCGCCGCCGCCGCCGCTCCTGCGATCGAAGCTTCGAACGCGCCTCGACGCGGTGCGTCGTCGTCGCCGCCAGGAGGACCTCCTATCACGCGGGCACAATGACTGGAGCTGCGGCCTGTGGCTCCCGCTCCCGCTCCGCCCCGCCGGCATTCGTTGGCCGACCACGACCACGACCTGCACGCCGGCGCGTCGAGCGGGGTCTGCGAGTGCTGCAGGGACGTCCCGCCCTGGGATCGTCCAGGACTCGACCACGGAGTGCGGAGCGTGGAGGAGCCAAAGTCGGCGGGAAACACCCTGGCGGCGTACGGGCGGGCGGGCGGGCGACCAATGACCCCGTCTGTTCGTCATCTCGGTTTCCTCGGTGTCGGTGTCGGTGTCGGCGTCGGCGCATAGACCCGCTTTCAGCGCTGGGGGACGCCAGAGCCCGACGCGGTGTCGGAGACGGCCGCGCACACGCTCTCGCACAAGCCCGTGGAACGCCCTGGCATCCGCGCGCTCGGCGGGCCATCGTCAGAAATAGGACGCGTGGACGGTTCTGCGCCGGGCAACGCGAGATGTCGCGCTCTTGTACATATGATTTTCCTCGTCTTTGTATTTCGCGGTTGTTGCTCCGTGCGAAAGCGCGCGCGAGCCTGCGCGTATGGCCCGGCTGGCGTCGGCGTCAGAGGTATCCCACCTTGATGCCCTGTTCGAACGTGGACCGTTCAGGCGTACCGGTGCGATCTGTCACGTGACTCGAGCCTCTCGTCTTCGGCGTGTCTTGGACCCAAAGTCTCAGGTTTCCGGCGGTGTCGGATGCGCAGCCTCTTTTCTGTACTCGCGGGTGCTTCTGTCCGCGGGATCTCGAGCATGGCGGTCAAGCCCGCGATGTCGGACTCTTCGCCCCGCGTCTTCCTGCACCACCCCATCCCTCCACCGCCCGCCAAAACCTCGCTCTCGACGCCCGCCCAGCAGCCGAGGTTTTCGGTGGTCGTCGAACCAAATAAAGTGATCGCTAATTGTCTCTGGCACATCAAATTCCACCTCCTCGCCCGGCGCCGGACGCCCATACCGGCTTCGCGTGTCCCGGTACAAGAGTGCGTTTCTCACCCGTCCGCGTTCTCGGTCTGTTAACGAGAGAGAAAAGTCCCGGAGATGTAGAGGGCTACGTCGCGTCTCAGATAATGCATCCGATCATACATTGCATCAATGTCTTGACCGACAAGGTCTATTACAACACGCTGGAATATCGCGTGCGAAGCACGAGCGACCGTGCGTGCTTGCCTCTACCCTATCCGCGAGCACCGCTCGATATCTCTTCTAGCAGATCTAGATCAGCCCTCGTGTGTCCGCGTCGACATCTCTAATCGCGAAGCAGAAGTCAAATTTCCGGTTTTCTTCTTTCTGGTACCTCTCCTGCCCCTGTGTCACGGAACGCATCGTCCTCACGTACGTGACTGCTACGGCAGCCCCCCGCGTCTCTCCAGACCCTCCAGACCGACTCTGCGCAGCACTTCCTCCCCAAGTCCGCCGTGCCGGACTCCGTCGGCTCGCTGCTCCAACAAGAGACCCCTGTCGTCCTCACAGACTTCTCGACCACGATGCTCATCACGAAGATGGACACCGAAAACGCTGCGATACATTGTGAAGTATCTCCCGTCTCCCCCTCCTTCCCCCTTCGACATATCCTGGCCGGCTTCATCGCCCAGCGCCTGCCCCGCAACCAGCTCGCCCTCGATCTCGACACCCCGTCCAAAACCGAAGGCGCCCCAAACAACCCATCCATCCCCGCCCCGTCCGACGCCCAAGTCTTCGCCACGAGAAAATGCCACGCCGACTTTGACAGGTACGTCATGGAGACCAGCCGGCCCGCATTCGACCAGTTCCTCCGGTGGAAAGACCACATGCGCGCGCGCGCGAAACCGGCGCTGGTCGGCGCCGCGGTGCAGGCAGAGACGGACGCGTTCGCGGCGCACAGGATGCCCGCCCGCCCCCGGTACGCGCTCGGGCCCCTCCCCGCCGAAACAGACGCGTATATGCGCGCCATACGCCGCCGCGCGTTCCCGCGCTTCGCACAGACGCTGCGCGGGTCCGCGCGCTTCGGCCTCGTGCTCGGCGAAGAGCTGACCCCCGCAGACGGGACCAGCTACGCGCGCACGTTCGTCTGCTCCGTCGGCGCCGTCGATGGTCGCAGCGCCGCCGCCGCCGCCGCCGAGAGCGACGGCTGCGACGTCCCGCCGAGGCTGTGCGTCAAGCTGTACGACGACGGCGCGGCGCGGGTTCCTGACTTGAAGGATGCCGGGAGCCCGTTCTTTTGGATGCAGCAGTTCTATACAGCGGAGACGATGCTCCGGGTGGAAGAGGATGCGTATGTGCGGCTGGAGCACGCCTGGGGCTCGGTCGTGCCCTGGTTTTATGGAACCCATCGCGTACGTACCGAAGGAGAACGGGCCCGTCATTCGACGGGCGCCTGTGCGCGCGTCTACTCACCGGCGTCCTTTTTGCGCATTTGAGGTGCGCAGTTCACCCTGCCGGACGGAAGGACGGCGTTCGGGCTGCTCACCGAATACGTCGACAAGTCGGAGACGAGGCTGAGGGACCACCCCGAAGCTGCCCAGATCTCCTTCGTGCGTGGCATACGTCTCTTTTGGGCGCCCGCATGCGCTGACCGGGGCCGAGTCCAGATCCAAAGCGCGCGCCACGCCATCCGCGTGCTCCAGCGCGCAGACATCAGCCAATACGACTGGTGCTCCGGCCAGTGGATCGTCGCGCCCCATCCCGGCTCCTCCGACCACGCCGGCCCCTCCCTCGCCTGTGTCCTGGTCGACTTTGCGCTCACTTCGCAGGGCGACGTCTGGAGCGACGCGCTCAAGCAGGATGACTGGGGCGACATGGCGGACGCGCTGTACCTGGACAAACCCGAAGACGCGCAGATGGATGGGGTGTCGAGGGCGCTGCTGAAGCAGTGGTACGCCCCGCGCGAGGAGTGGGATTTCATGCGGTCGTCGTGGGTGATGGACATGATGGAAATGAAGGCGCGGCGGCAGGCGATGCGTGAACGGACAGGTACCTGATGCGGCGTGGTTTACTTATTTGAGCGCGTGCTTTTTATTTTTATTCTGATTCATTGGCAATCGCAACCTCCACCTCTCCCAGAGCCCACAGTGCACGCGGTTATGTTGTATCAGGCTATACATGATCGTACACATCGCCACAAAGCTAGTTGACGACGACGACAACCATGATGCCTGCCCGGGCTACCCTTCCTGCTCGTCGGCCAATGTTTCCCACGTTTCTGTCAATTGGACGAGCGCGTCGTGCAGCCACGGATGGGCAAGCAGGTCCGCTGCCGTCGCGCGGGCCTCCGGTTGCAGCCGCAACATCGAGCTCACGAAGTCAACAAATAACGCGGCCTCCTCCATCGCGAGCTCGGGGACTTCGGGCGGGCGGTCTTCCGGCGACGTGAGAAGGTGAAACATCAGCGCCTCAAGGGGCAGACGCTCGGCGCGAACGAGCCTGAGGCGTCCTGATCATCGCAAGTTCGGTGGATGGCGCACGTCATGTCAGCAGGCCGTGGGCAGGTGCGTGGTTGAGGGAGGGGAAAGTGGGGACTTGCCGTCTTTCGTGAAGTGCGCGCGCACGCGTGGAGCGGACGCGGCGATGAGTGCAGGCGGGAAATCGCCGAGTAGCTGAGCCATACGCGCGAGCTGGTCGTGGTCGTCGTGCGCGGAATGCGGCTCGAGCGCAAACAGTGAGCGCGAGGTTGCCATCTCGAACACCTGCGCGTCGGTTCGGTCAGTGCACTTCGCGCTTTGTCGTGGTGTCGTGCATTACGTATGTGCCATCGGTCGGTGGACAGACGCACCAAACAGCCAAAGTTCCATATATCTGCCGGCGTGCCCCAGGGCGCGCCGAGGACGACTTCAGGGGCGCGCAAGGCCTGCGGTTGAATCAAGAAAGTGTGGCGGGGCGCGTTGGACACCGAATGTGCTGGAGCGACGTGTGCGTGCGTATTGGTTTTGTGCGTGACCGGTCAGAGGTGGGGGGGGCGGGCGTACCGAGGTCAAAGTCTGTCAAGCGGATGTTGAGCTGGCCCGTGGCCGGAACGGGCGCCGGAATCGGGCTGGGGTCGTCTTTGGTTGGGTCGAGCGCCTTGAGAAACTCGTCAACGACAGGCGCCGGGTTCTCTGGAAGCGCTATGAGGATGTTGCTCATTTTGAGGTCTGGCGGAATCAGGGCGCATAAACCGAAATTCGAAGGCGTCCACTGCAGAAGAGTACTCGCCTCCGTGGATGATTCCCTGCACCCGATGCAGGTAGTCGAGCGCTAGCGACAGGCAAAGGGCAGTCTGCTTCACGATGGCCCACGGCAGCGACGCTTGATTCGGAGGGCGCAGAGTCAAGAGAGAGGGGCCGCACAGCGTAGACACCATGCATTCGTAACGGCCACCGCCATCTTCCGCCTCGACGTCGAATTCGTCGAAAACTTGGGGGAGCACGGCATACCCAGGGTGGTCCGGATCAGGCGTGGAACGAAGAGACGATGCTTCGTTCGGGCAGCCACAAGGAGGGACTGCTCTTGCGCCCGTCCGCACCTTCATGGACCGATATTTAGCGAGCCTTGGGCGTATATGAATTGCAGGCCCCGGGTCAAAAGGAAAGGACACAACTCACGACTGATCGTAAACTAGCCATACAGGGGCTGTATTTTGATGGCCCCGGCTTATGCAGTGCATGACTTTGTATCGACCACGGAGGACTCGTCCCAGTGAAAACATAGACATTTTGCTCGTCGTCGGCAAAGATGCTGTAGCGAAGAGAAAGGGTCGGACGAGATGTCCTGTCAATCATAGTCAAGGCTGGCTGGAAGTGGGCTCGGCCATAGCCGGTCATTCCCAATTCCGCGGCGCCGACCTGGCGCCGACCGATAGTCTCCGTTGCTGACCCTATACGCAGAAGATGGTCGTTCTACGTATGGGCCAACTCACGCCGCTCAGCGTGTCCAGTTCAGGACTCAGTCACAGGCTTCTTCGCTGTCATCGTCGGTGTCGTCGGGAATGGAATCGATTGCAGGACAGAAATCGACTGACTCGGACAGGTCGGGCGCGAAGACTGCAGCCAACTCACATGGCAATGTAGACAGAAAAGGCGCTTTGAGAAACTGAAAGTAGGTGCTGATTCCATATTCGCTGGAGGGCACGATTTACCCTGCACTCACTCAGGGATTTTGCTTGAGCTTGCTTGTGCTTCCTTTAACGCACTCAATTAGGGCACAGACTTGCTGAACGGATATAGCCAACACATAACCTTCCTTCCCCCTCGTCTTCACCGGGAGGGATCAGCGGAGCAAGACATGGCTTAAAGCGTCAAAGCCGTGTCTCTCCCTACCGATCTTTCCCTTCGTGGCCAATTATGGATGGCTTTACTGATGACATCACTTGTCCTGGTTATCTTTTAAGATTGGTTCATCTAGCTATTCACCTCGAACCCGATTCTTCACAGGCGACAAACTCGCCAGCATCGTTTTAATATGTCGAAATCTTGCCATAAAATGTGGACCACCTTCTCGAAGAACATCCTCTCCTCGCGAGATCACGGAAAATCTGAAAAAGTTTATCATGCATCGGGAGAATCTCCGGAAGCTGTTGTCTGTCGGTACCAAGGGTATAGTCGTGATGTGCGTTTATGTCAAAATCATCACCGTATAGAACCTGATATGATTTGCTCGTCGTTCATTCAAGGGGTCCACGAATCCAATTCTTACGACGGGAAATCGCACCTTACCGTTGAGGCCTACGACGCAAACGACAGACTTGTCAAGTATTGTCACGTTGATGCTGTCAATCCCATCTTGGGTGAGATCTTTGATCCAGATGATAAATCGTACAAAAAGCGGTGCGTTGTCTCCTTCCCTTCCTTGCCATGGGACAAACTTGTTGAAGCAGCTTCGATGCGTGATAGCGGTCAGATTCGCCCCGCAATCGAAGAATTGGAGGAGATTGAAATGCACGATATTGAGGTCCAGATCAATGTCGATGACTGAAGGACATACAGTGCGTGTCTTCTTATTTCGCAAGGGCTTCCGTTGAATCGGCTCTGATGGATGAGTAAAGCGGCTTGAGCCATAGATCGAGAAGAAGCCTCAATGGTACCGTGACACCTTGTATCCTTCGTCTTGCCTGCCTCCCGCATATAATGTATGCTCGGCTCTCGCTTCGTCTCCTCTCGCAGCTTCAACTCATTGCGCGAGCGGTTGTGGCCCCTACTCCTTTCCTGCCGTCTGTTTTTCCTCGGTATCATCTTCTTCGGCACCTGTGTTGTTCTCGCTTTCGACCTATTTTTGAGTCATGATCAAAAGATCTCTAAGCGATGCCGTCTGTCATATCTCAATTGCTCCCAGGCTGAGTTCACACCACGGTTATACGCGTAGGTCATACGCACGCCGGTACTCGAGCACTCGCAAAACCAAGATACATCAATCGTACGCGGGTATAGATCCGCCACGAGTACGCACCAAAGCACGGACGCACCGACACGCGACACTAGCGGAGAAAAACAAAAACGCGAGATCTATACGAAGCCAAAGAGAGATAAGCAAACATGTGTGTGTGTGTGTGTATACGGAGGCATCTATGCGTGCGCGAGCAGACGCAGAATATCGCCGTCCGTCCGTCCTGGGGTGGGGATGGGGGGATGATAATGAAGGGAGTAGTAGCACGGACTCAGAACGTCAAGCCGAAAGAAAAAGCAGTCCACGTACGATCAGCAGTTCTGCGCCGGCACGCACACGACACACGCACGCACGGCCGGGGGAGGCGGAAGGGGCGGGAGGGGCAGATCGACGCCACGCCAGAGAGCACCGAATAAATAAAGAAATAAACGAGCGACTATACGCGAACGCAAAAACGCGAGAAAAAAACACATCATTGCAAGCGACAACAGCAGCCGACCCCACACGCCACGGACAACAAGCCGATCCCTAGATATATATATACTACACAGACACAGTCACAGACACAGACACAGACAACGATTTACAGCGCGCGCGGGCCCTGGTACGAATACGTGCTCGCGCGCCAATCGTCCGGCTCCGCGTCGGGCTCCTGTCCGCCGTGCGGGTGGTCCGGCCCCGACACAGCCGTGTCGTACGATGCCGTCGTTGCCGTGGACGGCTCGGGCGCGTGCGCGTACCCGTGCTGCTGCGGCGGCCGGTCTTCTGGCGGTTCGGCCCGCGCGTACTGGTGCTCCCGCGGCGGGCTGCGGATGCGCATCTCGTACGCGCTTGGGGGCACCCGCAACGTGTCGGGGCGCGCGGCGTACGACGCAGAGGCCGAGGCCGAGGCGGCGGCGGAGGCGGAGGGATATAGATGTGATGGGTGGCTGTAGGTGGGGGAGGGCAGCGGGGAGGGCAGCGGGACGTCGGAGGCCGAGTAGTACGACATCGCGGGCGACGGCGAGACAAACCGGTTTTGTGTGAAAGGGCCGGCGGTGGGCGTGAGCAGGTGTTGGCCGTCGTCGCGCGGCCCGGGGGCGGGAGCGGTGGCGGCGGCGTACTGGTACTGGTACTGCGCGTCGTCGAGGTGCCGCGCGCCAGCGTAGGGGCTCCTGTTCGCGGGCGGCGGGGTGTCGACGAGGGTCTCGGCGCGCGGGTGTGGGGGCGGGGGCGAGACGAGCTCGCCGGGGCTGCTGGTGAGCGCTGGCTCGTAGCCCTCCCGGAAGCTCGATATCTCGGACGCGGAGCGGCTGTGCGGCTTCTGGAACATGGGCGCGTGCTCGAGGTCGGAGCCGCGCTTGCGCTCGCGGCGGTGGCTGAGCCCGAGCTGGGACTTGAGGTTGCCCTTGACCCACATCTCGCGCACGATGTCGCTGTCCAGCGGGAGATAGGACGACGACACGAACTTGACGAGGACGCGCGGAGCTGGGCATGGAAGGTGAGCACGCCGGAGCGCCGAGCGCCGAGCGCGAATATGGGGGGTGGGGGAGGGGGCGACTCACTGAGGGCGATGGCGACGGAGAGCAGGACGGTGGCCCAGAACGTCACGCCGCCAAAGAGGACGATCACCTCGTCTATAAAGTCGAAGCTCTCAAAGAGCGAGTAGATCACGATCCACACGAGCATCACGAACGACGAGCCCAGCACCACGGCCCACGTGATCACCGTCCAGCTGTGGCGGGGCGGGGCGCAGCGTCAGCTTCAGCTTTCGTCGCTCTGACGAAAAAAAGGACGCCGTGCGCGACGACTCACTAGTGCGTGTTGATGCCGACGTAGATGTTAGCTGCAAAGATGGCCGCGACGGACACGGTCGTGCCAAAGTCCGCGAGCGAGTCGATGCCCTTGCCGTTCCACGAGAGCGCGGGGCCGAGCGTCCACACGCAGAACGGCACAAAGTACACGACCGCGGACTGGTACAGGCCGTCGAGCATGTACAGCCAGAACTTGGCCCGGGTGTACTCGAGTCCCCTGATCCCGCGGACGTACAGCTGCGGAAAGGCGAGCGCGGCTTTGGCGTTGATGTCTTGGTCAAAGGCTACAAAGGACGGGCATCAGCATGAGCTTTCACGTACGAGCGACGGGTGGCTGACCTCCGAGGGCGATGACGGGGAGAGATGTGAAAACAACATTGTAAAGAAGGATGAAGGTGTACTGATAAAGATAAGTCGCGTCGAAGCTGCCGACCGACGCCACGACACCATGTTCAGCGAACGCACCGATCGTCGACCAGGCACCGCACGCACCTATTCCACGGCAAGAACCAAAACATCGCGAACGTCCAGATCACATTCTAAAAACAGCAACAACAGCAGCAACAACAACAACAACCTTGAGCACGCCGGCACCTCGGGACGAGAAGCGCACGCACGCACGCACGCACGCACCTTGTAAAAGAAGTTGCTGTGCATGTCCGCGATGCGCCTATACGACCACCGCCCATGCACGATCAGCAGCTTCGTCAGGAACCGAAACTGCCCAAACGCATAGTCCGCCGACATCGCCGCCTGCGAGCCCTCGTGCCCAAACAGCCCGCACCCGATATTCGCCTCCTGGATCATCGCCACGTCGTTCGCCCCGTCCCCGATCGCGAGCGTCATCGCGCGCCGGCCCTCCTTGACGAGCTTCACCGTGAGCGCCTTCTGCGCGGGCGACACGCGGCAGCACACGACCGTCTCGCACTGCGTGCCGAGGTTCAGGAAGAGCTCGCGCAGCGCAGGCCCGAGCGCGTGCCGCAGCGTGTCGCCGTCGATGACGACCGCGAACGAGGCCTTCGCGTTGGGCGAGAAGCCGCGCTTGCGCGGGTCCCACGACGGCGGGCCGAGCACGGACGCGATCTTGTTCAGCCCCGCCTCAATCTGCGCGCGCGCGCCGTCGACGCTGTCCGCGGAGAGGATCATGATGTCCATGTCGCTCTTGAGCAGGTTGCAGCTGAAGGCTGCGCAGGCGGTCAGGGTCAGTTCACTGGTCTCGTCTCGCGCGCGCGCGCGTGCGCGACCGCTCACCGATCTCGATCGCCGTCTGCACCTTGTCGCCTGCAAAGCGTTTGACCGACGCGTCAGCGAGCCGCCCGCAAGTGAACGCCCAACCATGCGCACGCACCCGTCAGGATCCACAGCTTGATGCCGGCCTGATGCAGCGTCTCGATCGCGTCCGGCACGCCCTCCTGCAACTTATCCTCCAACGCCGTCGCCCCCAAAATCACCAACGAATGCTCGATCATCTCATTCGCCCTCTCGATCGCCTCGTCGCGCTCCACCGTCGCCGCCAGCGCCGCGTCGTACACGCGCCCCCACTGCAAATACTCCTCCTCGCTCAGGTACCGATACGCGACGCACAGCGTGCGCAGGCCCCCGTTCGCGAACGCCTCCATGTCGCGCGCCGTGCGCTCCTTTAGCGCGGGGTCGTGCTCCGCCGCGAGCCGCGCGTAGATCACGCTATCCGCGCCCTTGCAGTACAGCACGAGCCGCCCCTGCGCGTCGCGCACGATCGTGCTCATCCGCTTCCGCGTGCTGTCGAACGCGAGCACGCGCAGCGGCACGAGGCGCTCCGCCTGGCCCATCACCTCGATCTCCACGCTTTCCTTTGTGCGCGCGATGAACGGGAAGCCCGCGTCGCGCGCGGCCGCCACGAGCGCGGCCTCGTCCGGCGACTCGGCCTTGTAGTTCACCAGGTGCGGCTCGCGCGCGGGGTCCGGGCGGTCGGCGAGCACGGTGTGGCACACGGCGAGCGCGCGGAAGAAGGCGATGATGTGCGCGCGCTGCGGGCCCGTGCGGTCGGCCATGTCCTCGGCGAGGCGCGTGGAGATGAGCGTGAGCCGGTCGGACTGCGCGTAGCGGTTCTTGAACGTGCGGCCCATAAGGCGGATCATGTCCTGCTTCATCATGACCATGCGGCGTTGGTGCTCGTCCGCGTCGAGCATGTCCGTGTCGCCCTTGCGCTTCGCGGCGCCGCGCTGGGCCTCGGTGATCGCCTCGCCGTACGCGACGCCGTTGATGGAGCACTTTTGGAACTCCATCACGTTCTGCGTGAGCGTGCCCGTCTTGTCCGAGAAGACGTACTCGATCTGGCCGAGGTCGTCCGAGATGTTCCACGTCTTGGGCACGCACGTCGTGTCGAACGGCGCGTAGTACATGTCGATGTCCTGCGAGATGAAGTACGCCTGGATCGTCTTGACGATCTCGATCGAGATGTAGAGCGAGATCGGCACGATGTTCTGGAACGCGATGAGGCACGAGCTGCGCGCAAAACGAGGGTCAGCGCCAACAAACGCGACGCAGTGAGAGGCTGGACACGCACGCGAATGTGACCAGCGCGTTGAGCACGTCCGAGTCGCTCGCGTCGGCGCCGGCCTCGAACACGGCGGCGCTCGTGCCCGTCCTGCTGTCAAAGATCCCGTTCGCGACCGCGGTGATCGTGCACATCAGTATGAGCACCACAAAGTTCACGATCACGTTAAAGTTCGTCTCGCGCTCGATGCGCGAGCGCTTCGACGGCGTCTCGCCGCCGTTGAGCATGATCTTCGTGTCCGCGCCCGTAAAGGCGACGAGGCCGATGACCCACGCCGTGTTGCGCAGCGAGCACCCGCGCAGGAGCATCTCGTCGATCGTCACCGGCTCCGTCTTGGCCGCGCCCGTCGCCGCGTCCACGTAGCGCAGCACGCCGTTGTACAGGTACAGATTCGGGTGCGGCGGCTCCGAGTCGAGCACGAACGCCGCGCGCTCGACGTCCTCCTCGGACATGACGCTCGACGTCGCGTGCACGGCCTTGCGCGGCTTCAGGTTCGTCTCCCCGTCCAGGTTCTTCGTCTCGAGGTAGCACATCCCGTCCGGGTCCGAGGTGGACAGCACGACGATGTCCGCCGGCACCTGGTCGTTGTCCCGCAGGAGCACGACGTCGCCGACCTCGAGCTTCTTCCAGAGCGTGCGCTCCCACCGCGCCGAGCCGCCGATGCGCTTCGCCCAGTTGACCGCGCCCGTGCTCGCGCCGCCCCCGTCGCCAGCGAGCGTCGTCGTCTGGCTCCAGCCACCGCCGAGCTCCCCGGCCGCGTACGGGCCGGCGGCGCCCAGCGCCTGCTGCGCGCCGCCCGCGAGCGAGACCTGGGACGGGTCGGGCGGGTAGCTGTGCGAGTCGACGCTCTGTATGTCCTCGAGGTGGCGGCCCGCGGCGCCGGCGGACTTGTCGCCGGGGCCCGCGTGGAGGTTGAGGGTGCTCATGCTGACGCGGTCGCCGTCGCCCCTGCTGAGCATGATGCGCATGCCCTCGCCGGCCTCGCGCTCGCGCAGGCGACGGACGCCGCGGGTGACCCTGCCCGGGGGGTTGAGGCCGAGGAGCTTTTCGAGCCAGGGGCGCGGGTCGGTGGGGGTGTTGAGGTTGCGCCAGTTGCCGAGCTTGGTGGCGGCGGAGGTGTTGACCTCCTCGTCGAGGGTCGCGCGGCGGTAGTCCTCGATTGCGTCTTTGATCGCGGTGACGGCAGTGATGAAGACGAGTGGGAGCATCGCGGTCTGGGGCGAGGCGGCGCCGAACATGGGGAACACTGGAGATCAAGGGGTGAGTGAGTGAGTGAGTGAGTGATGCGGATGCGGGAGGCGGTCGGGAAGGGATGGAGGACGGAGGACGGAGTCGCCACGTGCTGAGAGGGGATTTCGTCATGGAGGAGTGTCATGCGGACGGAGGATCGCAGGACAGGCACGGAGGACGGATAGTAGTAAGGGATGGTTACGGCGCAGCCGGACTTTGGCGGAGAGTGCGGGGAGGAGAGGGCTCACCTTGGAGGACGACGAGGGCGAGAAAGTAGAGGTTTGCGACGCTAGAGAGGGATGAGCGAGGAGGATGGGAGAGGGAGGAGGAGACGCACCGTCTGAACTGCTCGTAGAGGTTCTTTGGGAGAAAGGTGATGATGGTGTATTCTGCGGGGGATCACGACGGGCTCGCTGCAAGGAACCGAGGGAGGACTCACTGCTTGTGCGAACTTTGTTCCTGACATACTGGGTCAGCGGCTCGCCGTGGCTGTCGACCTCCATCGCCGTGAGCGGGGTGTTGACATAGATGTTGCGTCTGGGGCCTGGGATCTCTGTCGATGGCTTCGCATCGGACGTTGCGACAGAGTCAGCGGTGGCGGGGCGCTTCTTCTCGATGGACTTGTTGCGGAAGAAGCGGGAGCGCTTCTGCCTGAGGGATTTCCTGCGCTCAGCGCGGGCCTCTGTGCGGATGGACTCTGCGATGGTGGAGTGGGCGGTGCGGACTGTGCGGAGGCGGAGCTCGGGGTCGATTGTGGGGTCATCCTCGTCGGGGTCGAGGTCGTCTGCGTGCGGGGCGCGCTTGAAGAAGGACATGTGGGTGGGGGCGTCGTCTGCGTCTTCTTCGTCGTCGTGGTCGGGGGCCTGAGACGGCTAGTGGGAGGGCGAGGTGTGCCCTTGTGGAGAGCGAGGGGAGTGTGTGTGAAGGAGTGGGGGAGGTAGGAACAGCGCAGCCGAGCGAAGAATAAATAACTCGGGGATGGGATGGGATGGATGGGAGGAGGAGGAGGACAAGGAGGAGGGGACGGCCTGCCTGGCGGAGGGCAGCGCTGCAGCGCCAAGCCGACCCCCGGCCACTCTTCCCCGGCGGCGACCGACCGACCCGCCTTGGCTTGCACACGACAGCCGCCGTCGTCGCCCGCACAGCCCACCCGGCCCCGGCGCTCTTGCGCTCGTGACCGCCGCTCCGCGCACTCCTCCTATATACCCACACTGCACCGCTCCTCAGCCACCCAATACGCCTCGCCGATGCCCACGCCGCCCGCCCGCCCGCATGACTCATCGTCCAGGCTCCCTTCCTACTTCCCCTCCTCCTCCTCTTCGTCAGCCACCCTCCCTCACCCCTCCGTCACCCGCCCGAGCCCGCCGCGCGCTCCTCCAGCCCAGCCCCGACCCAGCCCCGACCCAAAGCCTACAAAGTGGACGAACAGCGCGGCCTCCTCCGCGACGTGGGCAGGTGGGTCCGCGGCGAGGGAGGTGGGGACAGGAGTCGGTGAACGCGCGCGCGGGCCGTCGCTCTCGTCGGGCGTGACCTGCGACCTGCGAGGTCGCCAGATCGCACACCTGCGCGTCGGCCGGCGAACGCACGCACACACGCGCTCACGCGCCGGGCAGGGTGCGCCGAGGATGAGGACGACTTCGGGGGCGCGTGCGGAGCCTGCGGTTGAATCATCATCGCGAAAGAGTGAGCGTAGGACGCCAAATGCGCTGGAGCGAGGCGGGCGTGCGCGTGCGTATTAGTTCTGTGCGTGCGTAACCGATCAGAGGCAGGAGCGCGCACGCGTTATGGTCACTGTCCGTCAGGCGGACGTCGAGCTGCCGCAAGCAGGGCATCGGCACCCGCTCCGGCGCGTCTTTGCCCGTGCCGCGCGTCGGGCACCAGGTCCTCTGGAGGGCCCACGACCACGGGGATGCTGTCCATTTTTACGTCTCGCGCGCCTCAGCCGACGTCGATATCCGAACGCGTCGACGCGCCGGCTGGTGGATGAAGGATGGTGTTGTGCGCGCATGCGTGGACGATCCCCAGCACCAGCACCAGCGCCCCGAGTCGAGCCCGAGCGATAGGTACATAGAGGGCGCCCTGCTCCACGATGCTCCGGCGCGCACTCGTGGCGCTTGCGCTCGGGCGCGCGGCGAACTCGACAAGGGCGGAAGCACCAGCTCCCTGCTCCCTCAAAGCCAGTCTCACCGAATACGGGTATGCGGAGCCCACGTCGGGAGAGCCGCTGTTTTTTTGGGGACCACTCTCGCGCTTCACAGGACGCGGGGACGCAACTCATTTTTTATTTTATTTTGATTACGGCTGACGATGAGTACAAAAAAACGGAAAATACAGGAAATACAGGAAATACGGTACTGGGACTCGGTCTGGGTGTCAGAGGTCGCGGGCCGGCGTCATCACCGACGGCCCTGAGGTTTAGCAAGCACGCACGCACGCAGAGGCCGGCGGTTCGATGATGGCGGACCCTAGCTCAGGTTCGCCCGGCGCTGGCCAATCGCAAACGCCCGTGGCGCGATGGACGCGCGTAGACGCGCTGCGATGCAAGCGATCAGAGGGTCGGTCGGACAGGTAGCGGCGCTGTCAGGATTCCTGTGCTCGGGCGCTACGATGGGCCGCTGCCATGCAAGGAGCCGCGTGCTAAGTGGCAGCGCGACGCCGGCGGGGGACGAGGGGGGCAATGGGCGCACTTGAAGGGAGGAGGCGGCATGCGAGGCGTCACATAGTACTGTGGGATCTACTGCGCGCGATTCTCGGGCCCCCCGATGCCTTTTGCGTGCCCTCGACGAAACAGGTCTAGCTTTCGAGCGGGGTTATATCCGACGGGGCGTCCGCTCGTCGTGCTGCATCATAGCTAGCAGCGCTGGCTGGGGCCTTTGGCGTTGGCCCTTGGCGTCTGTGCCGCGGTCAGCTTTCGCTTCTGGTTTCTTGGTTGTTGCGTCTGCGTGCTGATTCTGGATGTGGCGCCACCGAGTTGAGCCTCTCGCAGGGCTCCGGGCATCGACTCTTGACTGGTAACAGGTGACTACGACGAAATTTCTATCCGCCGCTGGACTGCGACCACCTCCCCCTTGCACGTGTGTGTGTCGTCATTTCTACAACGACGATCTCGTCTTTCGCGATTCTGGCTCTTTCTCTCCTTCGGCGTCCTCGGTGTCGCGGTAGAGCAGTCCACCACGTACGAAGGTAACTCGCCATCGATGGCCTCGTCGTCACTTTTCCTGGAGACCCGGGAGATAATGTGTTCTGTGTTCTGACAGGCCAAAGGCAGCGGAATAGGCCTCGCATCGAGCGCGCGCAGAGCACGATGCCCCCGTTCGTCTCGCGTCCCTCCGACCCAGAAACGGAGGCCGCGTCGCGGGCGGAGCGCATCGTCCAGCCGCAGCCGGCTCGCGCGCGTTCCTCCGTGCCTGCAAGCACCTCCGGCCGCGGGCCCGGCGCCTTCGCGGGGCACGCGGTCTTGCCCGACTCTGCGCCGGGTTCCGCTGACGCTCGTGGAGGCGGCTGAGAAGATGGCCGGCGCGCTTTTGACGCGCCCCGACGGCTGGTACGTGTTTCGAGTGGTGCTCGCGTTCGTTGGGTGCATAGCAGGGTCGGTTACTGTATGACGTCGGCCCCTCGTTGACGCCGTGTCTCCATTCATATACACAACTGTAACACCCGTCTCATGTTCCATTGTTTCGTTTGTACGAGCTGCGGGATTTCAGTCCACCCTCGATCCGCATATAGGCAAACGTCGCGAGAGCCTTTGGCGGGGAAATGCTGTCGAGACGATCGCCAACGTCTCGATAATCGGTGCAAGGGACGAGGTCACATCTTTGTTCGGTCTACGAGTTTGTCTGAGCTGATACATGATACAACGCAAGTGGAGTACAACAAGAACGAGCAGGCGCCGTACATGCACTGGCGAGCCAGACGAGGTGGAACAAACATGACAACAAACGGCGTCGATGACCGTAGAGGAAGCAGAAAAGGAGATCATAGCATCGTAAGTCAACATTCGAGACAACATCGTTAGTAAAAGAGACCGGGGTCGTATGCGATGAAACGTGTGAACGAATCTTGATCAATTTCGTGGCATCGTGTACAATCGTAAGCCAGACAACAATGTGCAGTGTATTCGTGCGCTCGCAGAGCAGAGCAGGTTGATCGTGGAGCAGGAGAGGTAAGGGAAGACGCGCATAGTAAACATAGCATATCGCGGTGATGTGAGAGTCGCTGATGGGTGAGTGGTGTTCGATTTGCGAGAAGGCTAACACATTGACAATCAGGGAGGTTACGGGCCTGGCAGTGCTACAGAGGAGTAGTACAGTATCAGCCACGGTTCACGCCCGGATGGCCTGAGGCCGCGCATGCGGTATTGGCCTCCCACGGGGACGAGGGCGGCTCAAACGCAGCGTCTCACCAGGTCTATGTGGGTCTTGTTAATGATCGTACACGAAACAAAATTGAGCGAAACCTACGTAGCAATGGATCCATATGAAACGTTCTCTTTGTTTTCTTTGCCTTTGCTCTCCTTGTTCTCGCGGCCGGTACTGCGTTTCGTCCAGCCAAGAGCTGTTCGGCGAGCGTTGGAGCCGACGCGAGGACGCGGGGGAAGTCCAACGATGCTCTTCAAGTCGTTCTTAGCCGGGACGAAAGGCGACACCTCCACGTTTGCAATGTTGTGATTGGCAGTGCGGTCCTGCAGAGGCGGTGCAACAGGGACAGGGGAAGAATGCTCGATGGAATGATCAAATACAGGGGAGCGCTCCACGGCCCGTGGGTATGGAGAAGGTCGTGAGTGAGTACGTGATCGGATGCGACGAGGACGAAGCTCGGACGAGAGGGGTCCGTATGTCTGCTGGGAGTGTTCAAGCATAGCTTGAATACCGGCCGTGTGCGCAGGGGGTTCGAAGGCTGGTTACATGATGATTCAGTAATATGGCACGCAGGAAAAGAAGCCTCCACTTACATTGGACGGCGTAGACAGAAAACGGCGTGTCGATCCAAGTCCGTTTACTCTCCTCGACGGTGACATGAGCCTCATCCCTGAGCGCAAAGTACTTTCTTAAGGCCAGGAAACCCCGATCGTCGTTCCAGTACCCAGACTCTGTATCAGCCTTGACGACGACGACGTCATCTCTTACTGGAGACAGCATCGTCCGAGGAGGCAGCGTCCGAGGAGGCGCCGGGGTGTTTTGAGCCGACACGTTCTCCTCTTGGATAGTTTCGTAGACCGAAGAGCGAGAGGGGTCCACCTGTGAGAGGCGACGACGGTGTCCCTGGCCTCGAGCTCGAGTCCGGATTGGGTTACGAGCGTGGCCCGCCATTGGATGTGCGATATTGGTAAGTATGGCGTTCAGCTTCGCTATGTCAATGCTAGACTGTGAGCCACTAGACTGCGACGAGCCATCTGAAATCGAGAGCGGGGGCGTCTCTGCTCCAGAGCTATCCGTGTATGTACTGGACCGAGGGCTAGGAGAATGGCCAGGTCGACCAAATACAGGGCCAGCGAGGACTATAAACGAGTGAGTAATATCCAGTATAGACGAGGACGGCCACACGTACACGAAAGGTCCTGTCCCCCTGCAATGAGCGCGCTTTCCTCCAGACTCTGTCTCTCCAAGAGGCCCTTGCGCGCCATTATCATACGTTCCCCTCCAAATTGATAGATCGAAGCAGATGCAATGGACGGGGTTTCAACTAGTCGGGCTTTAGTGGGAGAATCGTTCAAAACCTCTTGTTTGATGTCCACAGCACGTTGAGGACCGCGCACACTACCAGGTTTTCTCTTGCCAACCCGGAAACAAGGAGACCCTTCAACGGCAGAGCCGATGGAGAGCCGACGGACGTGGGCACCGTCGAGCATCTGAATTGCAAGATGAGGCGTTGCAGTCCAGGTCAAGAACGTACGAGCTTACCGTTATCATCGTGTCGTCTTCCCTTGTAGGACCGTGCACGCTTTGTTCCATGCTCATCATAGACAAAGGCCTAAACTGACCCGGCTGGAAGAGTCCCCGCGAAGGGTACGACTGATCCTGCCCGAAGAGCGACTCTGAGTCGGCTGATGATCTATACCCAGTCTTTTGGAAGATAGAATCATCGGTTGAAAACCTGCGCTCGTCATCAATGATGGAGTCGTACGAGGTCTTGTTACCGATCCAGTCCCCTGCAACACTCTCCGGAGGGGAAGCCGATATCGCGGTGAGAGGCATCCCATAGTCGTGTGCAGCCGACTCGAGCATCTTATCGCCGAGGCCAGGGCGCTCGAGACGCATCGCAGACATGTCGCTCATCACAGAATCGATAGAGTAGTCCTGACGATGACTGGCCCATGACGCGCGCACACCAGCAGTTCCATACATCGCATAAGCCTGGGCAACTGAGCTAGCGCTCGATGCCGAGTCGTTTCGCCTGTGGACGCCAAAGCTGCGATTGTACAAGCTGACGGGGGGAGCGATGGAGGCGACAGACATGACGGAATCCCTCTGACGATGGCCGCGCTTCAGCGGCTGCAACATCTGGTTGCGTCCAGGTATCCGGAAGTAAAAGCTAGACGCATCACTATCGACCCGCTTTCGACGATTGTCCCGGTTGATGAAATCGAACGTGTCATCGATGGTAGACATCGTGAGCGACATATCGTCGTAAGAGTATCTGTTTGGAAGTGCCGGAACACCGTAATCAAAGGGATCGTGAGAACCGGGGTTGATGACGTCGCCGTAGGAGGAGACTGAGGCAATACTAAAGACAGATTGGTCCTTGTTGTGCCCACGTCCAGAAGACGACGGAGGAGGGTAGAACGCTGGACGGTTCGAACTGAACTCGAATCCGCGTCTGACCTCTCCGAAAGATTCGAGCCCGCTGAAACTAGTCTGTGAAGAAGCTTTGGAATGATAGCTGAAAGATTGATCCGCTCTAGACTGATCGCGGAGGAATCTCTTCGAACTGGAATCCGAGTTGACGCGTCTACGAGGGAGAGGCTGAGCGAAGTCAGCGGCCTGAGCAAAGATGGATTTCAGCACAGAGCTATCCTCTTCGACAGACAATGACATGGAGATCCTGCGAGCGTGAGCTGGCGACGGAATGATATCTGAGAGCGTGAGCGGCTTGTCGTCGGAACTCAGCGTAGAATTACTGGTCGAACGTTTACCACCAAATCTGAAATTGACGTCCAGCTGGCCATCAGACGGCTTCGAGACATTCGATACCCTCCGCTTCGGGGGAGAAAGCTCATACATCAGACTGTCGTCTACGTCCTGCCGTAGCTCAGTGATATCTGGGGTGAGAATACCAGACGGCTGCTCCGCGACGGAAGAATCCGAGGAAGGCGATGATGCCGCAATGGACAACATGGAGTGTTCAACGAACTGGGAGGGCAAAGGAGGAACGGGAGGAATTTCGATATCCAGAATACTATTGAAGTGGCCTAACTGGTCCAAAGCAAACTTGGCAGGTGTGCGGAACGCGTTTTCCAGCTGCTCGACGAAGCTCCGCCTCTCCGAGGCTCCAGACTCGTTGAGAGCCCTGAGCTCCCCGGTGAAATCAAATGACTTCTTTGTATCATCGTCGGACGAGTCGCTTCCGTCGATATCTATGTAGTTGTCGCCATCGTCAATAAGCTGTGCGTGAAACACGGGGGCGATGGGGGACTCTGGCTCCAAGAAAGATGGCTCCGGTGTGGGCAACGGGGAAGCAGGCGGAAGACCTGGAGAGGGAGGGGGCTTCGATGCGATGTCCGGACGGAACGAAAGCGTATCGTCGAAGCAATCCGTGTCGCCATCCTCCTGGCTTGACAAGATTGCTTGCAGCTCATCTGGAATATCGCTGTCAGCATCATTCCCAGCTTCACCCAAGGAACCGAGGAAGCCGCCGAGCGTACCAGCCATACCCAAGCCCTTTTTCGCCTCGGGGGAGAGGGTTACTCTAGGAAGGCTCTGTTGCATGGAAGCGACACTGCTCTTGAGAACCAAGGGTCTATCTTCACCATTCGTAGGTCTCCGGAATACAGGAGTAGGCGTTGGGGCTTCGTCGCGCTCCGCCATAAATATCGGTCCCGACATCTTGAATGGTATAGACCCGAAAGTCCTCGAGCTCGGGGTGCTGGGTTCAGCATTACCAAGCGGAGTCAAGAAGGCACTCGCAGGTGGAGGCGAAGGTGTCGCCGCCATCAATCCAACAGGTCCCTTTGGCTTCGCTGGGCGGAGAGGCTGGAACACAATGGGCTCCTCCGGCTGCGGGGCAGGGCTCAGAGTACGTTTGTGCGTCTGCCGGAACGAAGGCACGCTGGGCTTCCGCGTGCGCTTGGGAGACGGCTTCGTGGGCGAGATGGGCCAGGGGGCAATCTGTTTGCCAATCGCGCCCCGACCAGCCGAAGGGACTGCGCCAGAGATCAGTGTCCTGGTGCGCGACTGAGCGTATGGCCTTAGCGACGTCACAGACGCCATGCTCGTCAGTAGCCCAGGGTTGACTGAACTGCCAGCAACAGCGGCGAGCTTCTTGATGGGGCTCCCGTTCGACCGCGGGGAAGCATTGGCTCTCATGGACCCGCCCAGTCGACTAGATACGTACGGCGGCAGCCTCAACGGAGAGCCATCTGGGGTCGCCGGGGTCGCCTGAAGATCCAAGCGGTTGATGAGCGATGCAAGGTCGTTGGTAGCCGCATCTAAGATGGACAGAACACCTAAAGCCAAAAAGCAGCAGCGTCAGTACACGGTTCCTGCAGCGCACGGTACGAGCTAAACTAACCATCCCCATCGTCGTCGCATATTGCCTTCGGCCGGGAACGGCCGAGCATCTGCTCCGATACGGGCCGAGCGCGCGCTCGCCTTACAGGCGTCTGATAGGACAACGCGTCTTGATCGACGGAATGTCCGTCGACCGTAGCTTCCTCGACGGTGACAATAGGGTGCGGCATTGGTACCGATGACGTTGTTGACGCCGATACCTGCGACGACGGGCGAGACATCTGCTCGGGGAAGATATCCGCGAGCGCTGCGCGGCGTCGCGATTCGGACGTCCTGTGCGTGTCCTTCGCCTTCTGCCCCTCTGCGTCCTTGTTCTTGTTCTCCACCCCTGATGCAGTCTCCACCCCACCCCTCTCTGCCTTCCGCCTCTCTTTGACTGTCTCCAGTCCCTCCTCGTCCCAGCGAACCGACGCAGCGCTCGAAGAAGATTTTCCGGATCCACCAGACCCCCTGGAGGACATCGACATCGGGCGGAGCGACGACCCTGCAGAGAGCGTCGACGCGGAGCGGCCCCGCCCATTTGTAGTCGGGGAAATCGACGAGCCAACGGAGAGGCGGCTGGCACCAGCAGCGGTTTGTGCACCCACGGACGACGCGGTAGACGCGGGCCTAACAGTGCCAAATTTGATTGCCGTTGGCAGCCCGAGCCCAAGGATGCTCTGCTTGCGTTTTGTGAGTGTGTGTGTCTGCACTTGCGCCTCAGCCTCCCGGATCGTCATCGCCTCCTGGAACGTTATTGCCTCCCGGAACGTCATCGCCTCGGGGCTCGTGGGTGCGCCGGCCTCGAAGCTGCTCCCCGAGTAGCGCACGGTCTGCGCCCTCTCTTCTTTTTCCTTTTTCTTTTTTTTCTTCGACTCCGGCTTTTCCTTTTCCTTCTCTTTTTTCTTCGGGAGCGCGGGGATGCTCGCCATTTCCTTCTCTGTCGGCTTCAGCTGCGCCCAGCTACTGATGCGGGCCATGGAGCGCATGGAGCGCATAGCGCGGATCGCAATCGACCCGGTGCCGGTGTTGGGTACCCCAGGAGGTGGGGCGAGGAAAGTGGGCGAAGTGCCGTCGATGGGCGTGTTGGGTATAGACGACGGAATGGTGGGGACCTGCGGAATATTCGCTGAGGAAACAGTACCAAAAGTCGGGACTTCAGCTGGGGGAGACGAGAGCAGGACTCCAGAATCCAAAGAATTGAAACGCCCGCGAGGGACTGTGTTTTCATTCTCGACAGGGTTCATTGCTATCGGAAATAATACGCACGCATGAAGACAAAAACATGGTGAGAGTAAACGAGTATGCTTACGGTGACCGCGCGAGGCCGAGCGGCCTCGGGATTTGTCTTTCGCTTTTTCCTTGGAATCCTTCCGTCCGCGTCCAATGCTCCACCACTTCTCCTTTTCCTCTGTTTTCACTTTGAGCAGATTCCCCGCGGACGGCTTGCCATTTTCTTTGGGGGCAGAAGGCACATTCGTGACCTCGCCCAGCGGTCCCCACTTCATCCCGTCCAGCGCCGCGCGGCTCTTCTTCTTCTTCACCATGAGAATTTCGCCAATTTCAGGGTCGTTGGTGGGGTCGACGTAGATTTCAAAGCCGCCTCTACTCGTGGAGGCGGAGCCGCCGACCCGCCGAACGACGTCGGACAAGTCTTTGTTGGCACGGCCCTTCGTCTTGTTGCTGCCATTCATGCTACCGCCAACCAAAAGACTGAGTTTGGATTTTTTAGGCACTAGGCGCCGCTTAGCTGAGCCCTTGTCCTCTCCTTTTGGAGCAAGTGGGGAAGAGACGGCCGGGACGTTGACAAACGAAGATGCGAAGGTGGTGTTGACGATTGAAGTGTTGGGACTAGTTGCGGAACCCGTAGCAGCCGGGGTTGCTGAGATCAGACGGATGGTGGGGATGGGGGGCGGAGTGGTTTCAGTATTGCTCAAGGCTGGGGACGGCGAGCGAGCACGGGAAGGGTCGGAGGCCCTGGGGACACGAGAGAGCAATGGAAGTGTATCCCGCATGGTGTTTGCTGGCTGTTAGATCGTATTGATGGGGAGGAAATTGAAAGCGAGATGCGTGATAAATCGTTAATAAAACAAGAGTAAATATATGTGCAGTGGATGAGAAGGTCGAAATGAGGTCGTAGAATGAAGCTTGAGGGCGTTCAGTCGACAGCGAAGCGTCAGCGGACGCTGTTTGATCGTGAAATGTAAGTCTTGAATCGCAAGAAATGCGCGAGGTGCGCAGAATGGCGATGGAGTCTATGAGGTCCTGAGTGCGTGCGTGGTCGAGTTCGTAAAACAAGAATCGTGATTCGTCGTGGAATCGGTCGCCGGCCGTCGAGCAGCGAAGAAGGAGAAGAAACTCCTCGACGAGGCAGAGCAGCCTACACAAGAGGAAAGCCGGGAAAACCTGGACGATACCTTGAGTCGGATGCTGAGACGGGAACCAAAAAGGGCCGCCACCGAAGTTGAACATGGATCAAACACGAGGCATTTGGTTCTGTAGGCGCGCCTCATCAATATCCGTCAACAACGCGCCCGCGTCCGTCCTTCCTCCTCGTCACGAGACCGCGGCCGCTCTTTCTAACACCGCGGCCCTCCGAGCTCCCCCTCGGAATTTTCGTCATATCTTTTCCGCAGGGTTTCCGTCACAACTGGCAACATGCATATTGACTGGAGTGTATATACGCTGCATCTGCAGCTTCTCCATGTTCTCGGAATCATTAGTCTCTTCGCAGTGAGTCTACATAGTTGTCCTGAAGGCTACCATCGGTGCCAAGTGACGACTCTCGATAGTGGAGTAGACCCTCACAAAAGTGATGATCAACCGACGTTCGAATTTTGTCTGTACAATTAGGAGTTGATCATTTAAGCGAGTTGTGTCAGTTCCGTCCATAGATGGGCGACAGTGCAGACATCGCCGTTTATTGAATATTGAGACGGAGCGCTTTAGCAGGAAGATCAATGGGCTAGATCAGGAGCAGACGAATCGCAGCAGTACAGCTGAGCGATGCACAATTTCGCCCACATCACCCGAGAAACGCACCACAGTCGAGTAACAAGATCTCCAACGTGCGCGGTAGTCGTGGTCGCACTGCGCTCCAAATCTGCGGAAGTCAACTGAGGAGCTGTACAAGGTTGCAGAAGAGGCTTTGCATAAGCTAGCAGCGTTTCACTGTGAGTCAAAACTAGCCCTGGAGCGCCATGTCGACTGTCAATCTGGCCACGAGTCCCACGAAGAGCAGCACCGTCTGCGAGCTGCTGGAAAGACGTGGCTCTACTGTGGTAGGGCATAGATGTCTTGTGAACCTCAACGGCGCGGCGGCTCCCAAGCGCTTGGAAATTTTACCGATGTATTTCCAGGCCTCGGTCGTGGTCAACCTAGGCGGACTCGGAGAGTCGTGCCCATAGATCTAGAATTCCCATCCTCGAGTGGGAACAGAGGTAGCCCAATAGAACAAAGGACCGGCCCAGTACAAAATCCACAGTCGGAATTGAGAGAGTGCCAAGCATTGAGTACGCATGTTCACCTATTGCAAAAACAGCATGTGAACCGCAAGACGCAAGCCGACAGGCACAAGACGCAACCGACGGAAAGAAGCGCAAAGGAGAGACTCTCCAGCAAGCGACACAATTTTGAATGAGGTCCGTGCAATTAGACATCCGCGGAGGACCAGAGGCGGCGCTGCTGTCAAAGGAACGAGCGCATACCAAGAAGTCGAAGCTGCTGACAAGGTATCGGCAATGAGCGGGACAGTCCTCGGACTCATCTTTGACAATTTGACGGACGGTTCGAAGCGGGATCCAAACTTTGTGGATAACTGAGTCGATTGAATGACTGAGAGGGAGAGCTCGATGTGAATGTCGGTGGTTTGACGCTTGCTTATGGATGCGGCGAAAGAACCTGCGGCACAGGATAGATCTTCCAACATATCAACGTGACAATTAACAGGGACTTGTGAGACGATCAATCAAGTCAGACCTTGTTTTGTAATGTGCCATTCGCGTAGGATAGGAAGAGACATCACCTGTGTTGACGAGCTGCCAGCTCGGAGACAAGCTGCACGCGAGGAGTAGATATATTTTTGAGGCACCCCTCCGCTTGAGGAAAAAGGGCAGGAAGAATATAAATACGCTATATGGACGCCCGCAACGTTGTGTTAGACTCGGATCAAAGAGCTCCTGGATTGTCAGCGATTGCATGGACGTGTCGAATACATTGAATTTGGCGTTACGGGAGACACAATTTCAAGAGTAAGATGACGAACATCTCGGAGGCACACAAAATAACACGATGTGCTATCAGATGCATAAACGACATCAGAGAGCACATGTAGGCTACTCACCTGTTAGGCACAAAGGGAGCTCCTCCATGGAGGATCGATTCCTACTCGCAGGTAAACAGAGCTACCGATGTGGACCAAATCATACATTTGAACTTCTTATGGTATACAATATGGACCAAGAAAGAGGCTCTACTAGGACCCGAGAGAATGCATACACCTCTGCGCCGTCTAAACTGCAGGTTTTGAAATCTGCTCGTGCAATCATGCCCTTCAAACAGAGATGGTTCGGACCATCTGTATGGGCGGGTTCTCAAAGGTTATGTTCTTTCTGTTTGTGGAGAGGTGGATGTGATTCGACGAGAGAGAGGAAGTCAGGGAGGATTCAATGAGGGCTGCAGGTATGCCATAATAACAAATGAGATGCTTCCATTATGTCAGTTTGTCAAGTTTTCGACATGAGAAAACCGAATCAAGGGTCTCACCAAGCCCAGGTCAAATGTGGATGGAAGGAAACTTCGGGTAGAGAATGAAGCAAGGTCTTAGAGTGGCCATCATTCGAGTCAAGCGGTGAGCGCCACGGCCTCGACGACTTTGATGACGTTATTCAAATCTTCTCTCCGACTGCCCTCACAACACATCTGAGTGGGCACTAGTCATGAGTAGCACTGATAGTAAGTGATCACCAGCAAAAGCTCAACCATGTACTCAACGAGTCTCAATAACTTCTTTGATGCTCTAGCCGGCTACACGAAAATGATTTTTTGTCGGAGTAAGGCGAGTTGCCTGAAATTCTTCCGATAATTTTTCTCGACGTCGTGTCTTCCGAATACGGGAAGCCGTAGGACGCCATTTGTGGTCTGTTCCTTAATTAATACATCAGGTCAGGTCTCGCGTCACTTCCAGACTGCACCGATGCAGCCGATCCTGGCTTTCGTGCTCTCGTTTGACATGACGTTGATCAACGACATTCCACTGACTTTGATGCCAAATTTTAGGCATACTTCGCACCACAAGGTGAAATGCGGCTTCTATTATGTTCCTGTTTCAATCTTGCACAGCGGAGAAGGTGCGGCGGGAGATGATATGTGCGGTGTCCGTCCATAACAGAGGCGACTCGCAAGGTTGCGCTACGGGCTACGCGATTTGTTTATCCGTCACAGATCGCTTGTAAGCATGCTCTGGCTTGGCAGCTTAATAGCAGGCCCTATCCGCTATATAACCCGCCTCTTGCTGGCTTGCTGTTTCCTCACCTCGTCCAGTCTCATCTCTGCGAGCTCTTGCATTTTGATCATTCGCTCTCGCACTTCGAGGTCTACACATCCCACCATGTTCTCTTTCACCAAGATCACCTCCTTCGCTGTCCTCGCCTTGGGCACCTTCGCCTCCGTGTCTGCACTGCCCACCGTCAAGGACGTTGCGCCCGCAGTTGTGGCCGCCCCAGTCGTTGTCCCTAAGACGGTCATCCAAGAGCGCGATGGCAATACCGTTGCGACCATCTTTGCAAGCCTGAACGTACAGCTTGAGCCTGTTCTGTGTATGTTACTTTCCTCGCCTTCGTTTGTTCCGAAATTAAATGATTATCTGATATATCTCAGCTGGCCTTTCCGGGGCCAAGGACGCCGCCACTGTTCAGTCGGGAGTCACTGAGGTGACCTCGTTGATCCAGTCAGCGACGACGTCTTTGTCGGGCCTCGTCGGGCAGCCGCAAGCTCAGGTACTCGTCAAGCTGGACGGGAGTGGTCTCCTCAGCGTTGGCGACGTTGCGGGCCTTGTCGGAGGGCTGTTGAATACTGTGTTCGGTGTTCTTGGGCCCCTTACGACGGGTTCAGGTGCGGTTGGCACTCTCGGTCTCCTCACCCCTCTTCTGTCCGTATCTCTCCCGGTAGAACGATGCGTGGCTTTTGCTGATCGAGTCTGCCATGTAGGTCTGTTGTGGAGACGCTCTTGAGCGTCGTGGTGACGCTGCTTGGAACCACGGTGTCGTCCCTGCTGAGTTCCCTCCTACCGCTCATCCTTGGGCTCGTTCCTCAGATTTTGAGCCTCGTCCTTTCCCTTCTTTTGGGATTACTCGGCCTCTAAGGTCGTTTGGACACTACGGTGAGCTTTTTTATATGACGCGTCGCAAAAACCGAAAACTCACATTCATTTGAGCAGAATGCATCAGACTCATGAAACGGGCGGAAGTCTTATTTTGAAGGTCACTTGTCGATGTCATGGTCTCATACTCACTCACGCTTTGTAACGATCAATTGAATTTCGCTCTCTGGGTTTTGTGTTGATTGCATTCGCTTGCATTATGAGAGCCGCCGATAATCGCATACACTCCTCCCACTCCTTCGATAACGACATCGTGGCGACTTTCATGCTTGCGCTTCTCTATTTGTGTCATAAATCTCCTTTTCTCGCGACTTCAGTTTGTACATTGTGAATGTATCCTGCAAGAAATTTTTCATCTAATCTTCAAGTTCAGCTTAACCACTACAGACAATCCGATTGGAAACTTTGGCACAACCCGGTCAGCCATTTACATTCTACCGAAGTTTTGCTGTTTGACACACTTCTTGGATTGCTGGCGAGAACACCTTTCGTGTTACTACCCGAATTTATCCGTAGCGATGTGAATGTACAACGTCTTCCTGGAGGACACCGGGAGGACTTGCTCTCCTCGTACGCTCGCAAAGAAGCTCTCACATTGTTTCCATTCCCACAACATCAGATCAACCAAGTTTCCCATATATGTTTCCACGACGGGTGGTGATCCAGAGCCAGTCACATAGTGTCCTTCGCTTCGTCAATCTTCGGATCCGCCTACAAAGGCATGTCCGTTCTCCTTTTGGCACCATTCCGGTCCCTTGTGATCTTTCCGCGCGTCATGAGCGGGTATACCCCAGAATCGTGTCGATTGCTCAACCAAGTTGGGTGCTAGATAAGGTCAGGAACGAGTCAATCTCAGCTGCTCTCCGTAATGTGTAAAAATGATGCTCGTCCTCATATTTAAGCTATCAGGAGCTCTCCGGACTCGAAAAACGACCAGCCGATCCCCTCGCAGGAAGCAAATTTGATTCCTCGAAGTCGTTATGTTGGCCGTTGAGTTGACTGGAGGTAGCGGGCACCAAGAAGCACCGTGCTAGCGAGAGGCTTCAATTTATAACGAACCTGAGAGTAGTGGGCGCTCCCGGCGGGTTCGCGTCAGGCTGATAGAGGTTTGAACACTCCAACCGATGTCGACAACATGTTCAAAGCAGACATGCTAGTGAGATGCACGCCTGGCAAATTTGGAATATGTTTGTACCCGCTCGACTCCAATGCTGAATACATGATATGCCTTGATAGAAACGAATGTTCTTAGCAAGATTGCGGCGCTGGATGATTTTGGCGGTGTCGGAAGATGCTGTTTACTGTCCGCTCCCTATCCTGTGTTGTCCGGATCGAAGATTTAACGCCCTTGCGAAGTCCCCTTCCTCAAAGCTTAGCCTTTCGTGAAGGACCTGGCTATTCTTTACAAGCGCAAAGATGACTTTCGAACCAATTCAATTCCATAGGTAGAGAAGATCAAGCACAGGAAATCCATCCTTATACAACTCCCTTGGAAACAGCACCAGCGTTCTTCTTGTCTGTTGCAATATTCTTGTCGAGCTTCGTTCTGATTAAAAAAAAAAGTAGGGCATCAGTAACGTGAAAAACATAACTCAGAACAAGGGCGACATACTGCTCCTCGGTCAACTTTGTCTGGAGGCTAGACGTATCGCCACCGGCTGCCTGAGCAACTGCCATCTAAGCGAGGCAACTCTGGTTAGCATTGAATTGAGTAAGCGACATCGAGAGGGACGAGCCTTGATCTTGATGGCCTGGACCTCGCCCGTCAACTTCAACACCTTGTTCTTGATCTTGCCGTTCGACAGAGCATCGGCATCGGCACCAGTGGCAGCATCAATCGCAGGGTTGAACTGGTCGGTCTCGGCAGCCTCAGCGAGCTTGCGCATCGACTCTACGGTATCGGCGGCATCGCCAACAGTGGCAAGGTCAACGCCGGCAAAAGGGTCTATGATCATTACTGTGGGTCAAAGCACTATTCCAAGTCAATGCACGCGTTCACTCCACATACCAACGAAGACGGCATTGGCTTCAGCCTCAGCGTTTCCAGCGACACCGTCAGAGATCTGGAAGTCGGGGTATCTGCAAGAATTTGTTTAATTATACAGAAATATGCTGCTTGTCAGACTCACGCCTTGGCAGTGAACACGGCACCAGAAGCGGCGGCGGCGGCGTTCGTCTCGGTCGCGGCAGCGCTGGAAGTCGTGCTGGACGCTGCTGCAGCCTTGGTACTTGCTAAACTGGTAGATGCCGCTGCAGCCTCCGTGTTTGATGCGCTGCTGGAGCTGCTGCCAACGACGCCCTTTGAAGCAGCGCCCGTATTCTTCTTATCCGTAGCGATGTTGGTATCAAGCTTCTTCCTGGAGTTCAAAAGCCTTCAGACCGGGAATGAACAAGAAGGCGAGTGATACGTACTGCTCTGTGGCAAGCTTTGTTTCAAGGTCAGACGTGTCATCCCCAGCAGCTTGCGCAACTGCGAGCTAGCAGAGGTCAAGGACGTAAGCACGGGTCGAGTATCAAGTGGATGACTAGAACGGACTTTGATCTTGATCGCCTGAGTTTCGCCGGTTAGCTTTAGAACCTTGTTCTTGATCTTCCCATTCTGAAGAGCAGTCGCATCAGCGCCAGTAGCAGCTGCGATTGCAGGGTTGAATTGGTCGGTTTCAGCAGCTTCAGCGAGCTTGCGCATGGACTCCACAGTCGCTGCGTCGGCTCCAACAGTGGCAAGGTCAACCCCGTTAAAAGGGTCTGTTTGAATAGCGTGAGCATTATTGACAATCGAGCCATCGGACTTCGACTCACCGACAAAGACGGCGTTAGCTTCTGCCTGAGCATTTCCCGCCACACCGTCAGAGATCTGGAACGACGCATAGCTGAGGAAACCGTTCGTCAGAATAGGGCGGAAGAGATGGAGTAAAAATGGGACTTACTCCTGGGCAGCAAACGCTCTGCGGAACACACTTCGGCTGGCAATGGGTGCAGCGGAAACATAGCCTGCGAGAACAGGTGCCAACATGGCGAACAAGGCAAGACGGACCATAATTGAGATTTGAAAGCGCAGGATCACAAAGAGTCAAATGTGACAAAAGTATGAAGGGATCGCACAGCGACGGACAAATGGCAAGCTGGTGGAATTGAACGGCTGAAATGAAAGACAGGTAGAAGAAAGAATGGAGATCACCCTCAAGGCGAAAGAAAGAGAACAAGCAAGGGAATGGGGAACAGTTGGTCGAAAGCCTTTATAAAGGCCCGGATACAGCCCGGATGAGTCGACAACTTCTCGCAACATGGCAACGTCTAGAGGATCATCTCTCCGACTTGGCAGAGACCTCATGGAGGCCAAGAAAAATTCTCGATCATCACCTTTTGGGGGCATCCATCTGAAAAGGACCTTATACAGTGCATTCACCGACCGGTGGATGTCTAAGATTATAGGATTGAAGCATATAGGGTCTAAGACATATCTCTATTAATCTATTTTCGAAAAATGGCGAGAGGACGCTTTTCAGACACAGAAATGTGGCACTCACCTCGCCTGTTCGTCGAAGTACCGATTATGTGTTACGTACGAAGGCACCCATGGCTAGACGCTCTTGGCAGCAATCGCTGGAGGTTGCCGTCATGCCGAAGCCGTGGGAATGATGGGGAACCTTGACTTATTTCACACATCCAAGGCAAGTTTGCCGTTGCTGACCTCAAGAGCTAATAGGTCAGAACGATTAGGAGCAACTTAACGAGGCATAGCAATCAAAAAATATGCATAGAGAAAGATGCAATGCAACTCTTGGACATCTATTTGCAAAAATCCACTCATATACCTCACAGCCCTGGCCTACACTCCAGCCGGTTCAGCTGCCGTCGTCGGGCAATTTGTTAAATTAGTGAGCTCGACGTTGCTCCAATCCGCTGTGTCACTCGCTTCTTCCTCGCTCCACTCAATTGAGCTAGCAGTAGTGTGATATACTTGTCTGCGAGGGTGGTTATTGGCGAGTGGAGGATTGCGAGACAGGGTCGTAACATCTAGGAGTGTTTGATCATCGCGTAGTAAGAGGCGGCGGGGGTTGAGGAGGAGACGGGAACCCTGTTGCTCAAAGTATGAGTACATTGTGAGCCTTGGAATGAAGGTGAATGCATCATGTGTACGGAAAAGTGACTAGCAAGCGAATGACAGGACGTACAGCAAATGAAAGGACCACGAAGAGCCAGCTGGTCATCGAAGTACGAAGTGAACACATAATGCATCAAAAAGAGTAAGTTGTGGTTGGAGGACGAGAAAGGCATGTCAGGAACAAATGAGTCAGGAGAAAGGTAAAGATGGACGCGACGCACTTCCAACAGATTCCTACAAGTAAAGAATGCAAGACTGCATACAGGATCAGATTGACGAGCATTGCCGCTAAGCACACCCCGACACGCCGGCCGCCAGAGCGAGAGAGAGCATGGGAAATCAGATTGTGATCATTCAAGTATCACGTAAAGCAGGAAGAACAAGATGCGCACCGAAAATCAGCACAAATGCCCACGTCCCGTCACGCAAGAACTGGCGAATAATCGAGCTCATGTTCCACATTGATCTACAGGAACCAAGCGCGTGCTCGTGGGCGGTACTCAGGAGCCTGACAATCGTGAGTCCAAAGAGGAGAGTCTGGAATACAAGGGATATGATCCTGATGATCACAATTTCAATAAGCGGGCATTCCTCTGTGGATAAACAAAGAGGAGGAATAATGACATAGAATTCATCGGAAGTTATGGGGTTGAATGAAGAGACGAAGGCGCACCAATACGCAATGAACATTCTAGGTGTCTGAGTGACTTCACAGGTGGCATCGACAACGATTTGCGGAGAGACGATTGCGTTGACAGCGGACATCGCTGCGATCTCTGCGACGAGAAGGGTGAGGAGAAGGACCAGGAGCAGCCGGGAGCAAGCGTAAAGGGCGTAGACTGAATGTAGATGGCTTCGACGTTAGTTGTGAGCGTGCAATGCGAGAGGAGAAGGCAAATAACATTTCAGGCATTGAGGAAGCTCATGATCTTTACGCACCGCGAAGTAGTAAGACACCGTCGACAGAGGAGATGAGAATCTGGATTGCAGCGCTTTGGAAAACAACCCATACGTGGCACTCAGAGGGACTAAAATGTCGACCGTTCGTGGAATACATATCAAGAGCAAGGAGAACACTTGCGACGATGATAGGAAATTTAGAAGTGGGAACTCGTTGAAGGCGAAAAGACAATAGACGTACAGCTGGACCGCGTAAGCAAAGTAACGGCAGACAACATAGAGAAGCGTGGCGAATGACCACCTTGTCCTGTAGTGATTCAAGATGAGTGAGCGGCTACTCCCTGGAAATGATCCCGAAAATGATCTGAGTGGGGTAGAAGCTCAGACATACATCCATATGTATTTGACCTACATGTATCATCAATGTGAGAATTTTCCTTTGCTTTTAAGCGAAAGGCACGAGATTTACCTCGTCCACGATCGTGAAAAGGATATCATAAGTCAAAAGTGTAACAGATGCCACTGGATACGCAAATTAACACGTGCGTTGCTTCATAGAGACAGATGAATACCTTGATTATAAGCGATGTACATTGCGTTCCTTTTGTCCAGTAGCTCCGGGACGAGTTGAAGTGAGATGGGCATGATGTGGATAACGACAGGTGATACGGCAGAACAGAGCCGATATCGAAAGGTGGGAAAACCGGATGGTAAGCCCTTCATGGTCACGTCTCGACGTCTACTATGAGGGCGGTCGAAGCAGAAGGGTTATTAGGCGCCTTGTGCAGGGTACAGGGTCGGCACTTATTCCATAGGCTGATCATGAAAAAAATTGAAGGCTGTTGTTGAGCACTCATCAGGAGGAGAAGGTGAGGGCATAGCTTCCATTCATGGCTTATGACGTCTCACATCACCAGTCAACAGTGTAGCTCTCCCTGTCGTGATTGTAGTGTGCAGGTAGAATCACATTCGAATGTGTTGTCTGGTCGCTCAAGGAGAGAATGTTATTGTTTAGAATGTTTGCTAGGAACAACAAGATAAACTGTAGCGGATACGCTTCCTATATATTGAGCAAACTCGGAACAGGAGCGGCAACCTATATAAAGTGCTCGTGAGAACACTCAACGAGCATTGTTCATTTACACTCACCGGAATCGAATGGGATCTTCAGTACAGCTTCAGCTGCACAACAACCGACCGGTGGTGTGGGAAGTTGACCGGCGCGATACAGACTAGCACAAGAAGCGATGCGCAATTGCAGTACTCCACATGTTCGGAAAGCACAGGAGCGAGGTAGAGCTGACGGCGGAACGGCAATAGGAACGCTGAATGCTATGCTCAGCACAACAGATGATCCGGATCACAGTTATGTATACGATGCTTGAATAGAGAGCGATCGATGTGGGAACTTTTTCTTTCTTTCGAAACACGCAATAATTGGCGGTTCAACGAGAACGTACAAAGCCTGCAATAGGTGCACCGCTATCCCTCCGGAATACACCGACGTTTGCTGTCGAATTTAAAAAAAGAAAGGAAGATCAGAGAGTGCACAGACCAGAAACTAAGGTTCTTCCTCACCTGGCTTACGCCCCCATCCCTGAGCCTTTTTGCCGCCCTTCAAAGCCAGAGCGCGAGACAAAAAGCGGTCAATTCGCACTGGAGGGGCAACCGTACCCCGAATGGATGTGTATGAATCTGTGTGTATCTTATTTGAAGGCAGAACACGGATTGTCCGTGTTCTGGTATTACATTTGGATTAATCTCTTCGACAGAGTATTTGCAAGAAGTGCTCACCCAAGAACGACATCTTTTGGCTTGTTGTTGACCCGTTTTCGCTTTTTGAGTGCCTTTTGGGTGTTTGTCGGTTTTGTTTGTGAAGATGTGCGAAGCGCGGGTGATGATTTTGCGAAGGCGGATGTAAAGAGGTGGTCTGGGAGATATTTAGAGCTAGGAGGTAGTGTGTACTCTTGCTCGGAATCCATAAACGCATCTTCCTCACTGGATACCTCTTTGTTATTGTCGGATGGCACAAGCTCCTGGTCTTCGTCCAAGTCATTAGCACTTTCGCTTCCACCCTCCTCGGTTCCATCTTCTTCGTCAATGCCGTGTTCCGACCCAACATCTTCGTCGTCCTCTTCTGCCATACCTGACTCGCCCTCTTCCTCACTCTCGTCCAACTCGCCTTCAGCCTCATCCACCGCCCTAGCCATTCTCGCCTCCAACCTGCTGTGATCCTTATCCCATTTACCCTCCTCACTATGCTCATGCGTGTTGCTTCCTGCCTCCTTGACGAGACGCTCCTTTCCCTTGGTCCCTCCACGGATAACGGCCCGTTCCTTGAGATGCCTATCCCTCAACCTGTTTCTCTCCTTCAACTTAGATTTCTCCGCTGCACGAAACGTTTCGATGTCACGCTGACGTCCTCGTGCAGTATTTTTCGACTTCGCCAGAGTGATTGCCTGGGGCGCGTCTGATTCTGAGTCAGACGACATGAGGGACTGGGAGAACGAAGGAAAGGGAGAAGAGAGGATGGTTTCAAATTTGGATTTCCTTTCTGAGAGCGCTTATCCATCTAAGCCGCCACATGAATGATCAACCTGTTGTTGTATTCGCGCAAGTGTTCTCACTCACTGGTAGCCGCACATTTATCTCACCATCCCAGCAGGGCAGCACATTTCATATTAACGCCAAATTTGCACGAATGGATGCAAAAGAACAAATGCTATTCGGGTACGGGGAATCGAGCCCCGAGCTACCGCGATTCCTATGAGGTGGCAATGTTAGCCTTTACACCATACCCGATATATGATGAGCACTTTGTGGCATTTATATTCTCATAGAGACAATTGCAAAATGCGCGAAAAGTTGTATTCACCTCCATAACTGAACAATTGGGAGCATGGGAGAAGCTTCGAAGACATCATGGCTTCACTTTTCAGAGCTCAGGCTCAAGATTAAATATGCATACCATGGCAGCCGAACATCCATATGCATAAAGAACGGAGGAATTGCCGCACCGCATGGGAATCAATCGCCGATCGCAATTCTAGCCAGAAAATAAGGATGTGTCAATTGGTATGTTGACGGCCAAGGCTAATGATTGAAAAACATAAGGTTTGACTGCCTTTTTACCGCAAACAATGAAGTCATCACAACATCGCATTGGGGTAGGCTGAGCGACAGTGGTTACACAGATTAAAATACAACATGGCGAAGATCAACGCTCGACCATGACATCGGACAGGAGATCCCACAACACCAGAAAAAAGCTCAAGAGGTAGGTTAGCGAGCATTGCACGCCGCCAAAGGGAACAGGAAAAGAACATAGTAGATGACCACAAGAATGCACCCTAGAGGAGATAAAAATACAGACACTTGTATAGCCAGCGCTTCGCACTACTCTGCTCGCACTGCGTGCAAAGAACAGTCTTTCTTGAGAAAAACTGCGGAAAATCCCAGAGAAAAACAGAAATATCCTGCCACAAATCTTTGGAAGGATACAATTTCACTTCAGTTTTTTCCAGAAAAAACTGTGCTATGCACGCAGCGTCAGCCCAACCAAGTCGACCGCGCCATTGAACCACGATCACATCTTAGGCATCGACCCGGCTATGGTGTCGCGACGAGGCCTGACAAGTTCACACTACCTCTCTGCTTGCCGCTCCCGCCGGCGCTGACACCGAACGCGTGCTCGTATAGCCCTGCGTCTGCCATGCCACCCTCGCCGAGAAAGTCGGCCTGCGAGTGGAAGAGCGCCGCCATATCCAATCCAGCAGCACCACCGTCGCCACTGATGCCGGCGCCGCCGAACAGCGCCATGATCTCCGCGGGCGTCATGCTCAGCGCACTCTCGACCGAGCCGTAGTGTGCTTGCCCTTGTGATTGCGAATGCGAGTGAGGATGGTGCGACGACGACGGGCTTGTGGGCCCAAAGGAGAGCGGTGGGACAGCGGGGCTGCCGGCGGTATTTTGATTCGGCATGGGGAGGTCGACAAACATGTTCGTCGGAGAGAACGCTTCTGAGTCTTGCGGCGGGGACTCTTGGCTGCCAGACGAGCGCGGTGCCGACGGCGTCTTTTTGCGTACCGGGCGAATCCACGGCGGGAGCGTTTTGTTGTTTTGTGGGAAGTCAACGGCAACCGCAGGCGGATCCAAAGGTATTTGAGTGACTTTTATGTCGGTTTGATTTTTGAAGAGTAGAAAACGACAAGTTCAGCTTCACGTGAAGACTGACACAAGCAATACACTCACTTCGGCAAAATTCTTCCATCAAATCGCCCGAGCGTAGCCCGCACACGTACCGATTGCTGAATCGGCGCAGCAGCCCAACGCAGGACCGCAGCGCGTTGAGCGCGGGGGCGATGAGTGGGCGAAGCGCGTCGGCCTGACAGTTGAGCAGGAAAGCGACGAGCGTGCGGCCAGCCTGCGTAAGCTGATGAATGACATGCACGCCATCTGGACATCTCATCGCCGTCAGTCAATATGAACACCACCAGATAGAGAAATAACACGCACAGTACGTCATTAATCCCTTCGTCGCGATCTGCAGATGCGCAGAGACAATTTGCAGAGCGCACGCGTGCGCGACCCGCATTGCCTGGCACTCGCCCTCGCCCTGTTCCATCTCGCCCACTTCTGCGCGTTCCGCGACCATCTCCGAGAACCGATGGCGCATAATCAGCATGCGCACGAATGCTGCCAAGCACGCGATCCGCTCCGCGTGCGTCACGCGAATCACATCCGTGCTCGCCTCCGTCTCAGGCGTGTGCCGCCAGTGCACCGGGACTGATGCGCATGCCTCTTCGAGCAGCCCTTCTTCCTCCCGTAATCCCTTGTGCCGCCGGAACCCGACGAGGATAGACGTCGCACGCGAAAGGAACGCATCGCCAGCGCCGAACGACTTGGGTGGAGGCGTGTCGAGCACGGACTCAAGCACAACGAAGAGCCGCAGCACGCACACGAACGCGCCCATTCGGCTCGGCGTGTCCTGTGGCTGCGGCCCGATGCCCTCGTGCGTGATGAACTCATCGTCGACCGCAGCAGGCTCGCCAACGTCGCAGTCTCGCAGTCTGATCATTGGCGGCCGGCCAAAATGCGCGGACGCCTGCTTATCCCACACATAAACACACCAGAACGTACGCCGGCGGATCTCGTCCTCGATCGGATCGAAGATGTCGTACGCGTCCGATGAGCGGTGTAGGCCCGCATCAAGTGAAAGTGTGATAGACTCAGAGAGGAGAGCGAACGCTCTTGAAAGCTTGCCCCACCCGACTGCGTACACACCAGCAACGAGCACGCCCTGCACTGTGTAAACTGTCGGGCGGTCTGCTGCGGGCAGTGTGCGTAGGCGCGAGAAGAGCTCAAACCATTGTGTGCCAGAGGAGATGCCGTCGCTCGGGTCCGCGCGGACGCGCGGGTCGTCGATGTGCCGCGATGCAAGGCAGCATACAGCAACGATGAATGCTGCGAAGCCCGGCTCGCCCCACTTTTGCGGATTACCATAATCCTGTGGTAAGGACGTTTAGTCTGTTATTAAAACAAGAGGAGGCATGTGGAAAATAAAGCTTACGTTCAAGAAGGTCGGAACATGGAGGAACGGCATGAGGTAGTAGGACGTCGAAAGGTAGCACTGAACAAGACTAAGTGTGCAAACAAAAAAAGTAGAGGTCAGCCATCATACCCCCTCGAGTAAGTGTCTGCACGCTATCATCAGGATGACAAGCTATACATAGATGTGAATGGCCAACTCCACATGACCAAGAAACGCATTCCCGAGACAGACACACACCTGTCCATTAAATCCGGCGCAATAAACGCTGTGATCAACTTCCATATCTTCTCAGGGTCGATATCCGTTCGTTTCGCCGTCCGGTCCGGGAACCACTCAGCCGCAGACGCCGAGGCTGCTGCCCTTGCGGCAGCGGCAGCAGCGGCCGCAGACGCTGATGCGGTCGACGTCTGTGGTAATGTCGTGGGCGAGGTAGCCGAAGCGGATGTAGAGGCAGAAGGGGACGTCGGGGACGTGGGCGATGTGGGCGATGCATAGGATGTCGATGTCGACGATGAAGCCCACGAATCACGACTTCGTTCCCGTGAGCGTGACTGCGAGTGAGAATGAGATGCCGGGCTCCCCTCACGCTCCATCTTCATCTGCATCTGCTGCATGTCATCCTGATCCTGCCCGTGCTGCTGGTGCGGCGGCCCGTGCCGCTCAACCAAGAGGTCTAGAATCGGGAGGCCCGACATCTCTCCCTGCCATCGCGTATACCCCTCGTCGTCCAGGTATAAATATGACGAAGAAAGCGAGAGCCGCGCTGTGTCCTCGACGAGCCGCTCGATCCCCATGCCCGTACCCATATTGTTGGCCACAAATCCGTTTCCAAAGCCACTGCCGCTACCGCCGCCGTTGCCACCCAGGGCGGGAATAAGGCCAGGATCGCCGTAGGCAGGCATACCGTAAGAAGCATTCCCCCCATAGGCATCGTGCGGGCTCGCCTGCCGCGACCGCGACTGCCCATGCCCATGTCCATGCCCGCGTCCATGCGCACTAGGCGTCGGCGTTGGTGTCGGTGCAAAATGCGTCGAGGGCCCCACAAGCGGAAACACGTTGAGCGCGGGGGGCGGTGCGGCAGACGGATATATGGGATTTTGGCCTGGGTTTTGGGCTTGACTCTGCGGATCGAAGGCCTGTGCAAGTCCGCCGTCAAAGCCTGAACCGGGCATAAGAGAGTGCTGCTGTGGTTGTTGGGGAACAGGTTGGAGCGGGTATGGCAGGGGAGATGCGTTGTTGTTATTGTGAAGGTTAGAAAGATTGACGGAGGCGAAGACGGCAGGGGGGATGGCTTGGATGAGGGATTCGAGGTGGTGCATACGGTCTTCAAGGGTCGCTGTGCGTCTAAGCGTGCATGACACATGATGTGTGCGAGACGTTTGGAATGACAATGGAAGAAGTTGATGGTAGAATTATTAGAAGCGCGCAGAATTGCAAAAGTGGTGGCGTAGGAGCGCTAGGACTCACTTTGACTTGTGCGGATGGCTGCGCTTTCCAGGCTCTTCGAACGTACAGGCGGAATTGGCGCCGAGGCAGGCCTGACAAGGGTGGCCCTCATCACACTTGATCCGTCGACGGCTGAGTTCCGTTGTACCATGTGATCATCGAGCGAGTCCAGTGGAGGTGTCAGCATCAATCGGGCGTGGGTAGGAGAAGAAGCGGGGGCAAAAGGAATGGCAATGCGACGATAGTTAGGCATGTATTCATGAGCGCACACGCAGGAGAGGGTGGGGAAAGTAAGAAACTCACCGGCACCTATCGCACGCTCTTGATCATCACACGACGATATAATGCCATTGAATCAGCAAACTCGAGCTCGGAGCCACTTTCGGTTGGATAACAAAGCTAAAGCGCAACACAACGCACCTGCTCAGCTTGAACCTGCGCTCCTTGAGGAGTGAGAGCGAAGGCTTGTCGGCGCCTCCGTTGCTTTGCTGTCCCTCGTCGGACACGGGCGGCATCGCTGGTGTCGTTCGATGCAAGCGCTTTTGCTCCTATAATATATCCCTTTCGAGTGCGTATGCGGAGTGAGTCGAAGTTGAAATCAAGATGGACGAGGACGACGATGAAGAGAGAGGTAGAGAGGGCTGGGTGGGTATGACTAATTTTCGGGTGGACGACCCCGCAGGCACCGCAAATCCCGGGTCCACCCGCGTCCGTCCCTACTCCCTCCGCTCTCACCACCAGCCTTTCAACCGCCTTCTTCCTTTCTCACAAACAGACGATGTCGGCTCTCCTTCCCAACAATTTTACACACGGCCTTTGGCACGAGGCATATTATATCTTCCTTTGCTTCACCGCTATCTGCTCCTTTGATCGCTTGGTATTTGCACAGGTTTTGGGCCACATCATCGACATGGCACATCACAAAATTTTGACTTCGTAGGTTTCACAAAAGAGAGCCTGGTATAAATGAAGTTTGATCTGACTCATCATACATCTGACACAAAAGCAGAACACAGCCAATATTGCTTCACAAAATGGAAACCCTGACATATACGCATGTCACATGGGTATTCCATGCATCAGTTTTAAAAGACCAAGGGCTGAGTATTGGAGAGTATCCCAAATGTTGAGAAAACTGAGGTGCCGGAGGTTGCCGGTACGCTGACGAGCTGGGAAGATTTCGGGTAGCTTCGTGCGGAGCTTCAAGTTCACCGCCAACACAAGTTCGACTCACTTGCCGCAGTGGCACCCATGTGTCAAAAGTACATACACAGGCTCTCTCGATACTCGCTCACTGATTTCAAAGAAACCAGTATGGAGATGGAACTCACATCGATTCCTTTGCTGGTCCCAATACCTTCAGTCGGTCCAGGGCCCCACTAGGCTGTTCAACCTCCAAACAGCTATGATGTCTGCATCGCTGATATTTACAAACACCAGGTTCATAAAAGCTGGTGTGAGTAAACAGGAAAATGGGAAATACATGTGATTCTCGCTGTCTAGGCAGTTTTAAGGTGAGAAAATGACGAACAGTTAACTTCTGCGATCAAGTATAAAGCCGCCATAGTGGCTTGATCTGATGCAGGTGAATGTCCACCATCACCGAAAATCAGAATCCTGCATGCTTATTCCCCGCTTCTGTCAGATGTTTCAACTCCGTGGTTTCACCACGCCCTTGAAAATGCACTACAACCTCTGCGAAATGATATCACAGAGATCAAGGAACAAATCAAGACTCGGCTCGGGGCTACACAGCGTCTTGCAAGCATCGTAAGAGTCTCTGCAGCAAGGTGTGATGGGTGCTGGTTGAACATCACCCGTACATGCAGTTGTATAACAAGACTCTCAGGAATGGTACGGATGCGCCATTTGAACAAGTCCCGTTCCTTGATGGGACTCTACCATGGGGTCTGTGTCCAAGCATAAGTTTCTCTCCTGTGCTCATGATTCTCATCGTCTCTGATCCTATTATAGTCACCAAACCGTGCACTTCCACGCTTGACGTCGGCTGCTGTCATACTCAATCTAGACACATATTACTCTCTGAGAGCGATCGGATGTATAGACCACACTTGTCTCGCTTCTCAGGGTTAGGGCTGCGTATTTGAGCATAGGAGCCCGGTTGGCTCGCGAGGGACCGATCGGTACGATCCAATTTTCATGAATTACTAGTGTTGAAGACTGCATCTATTTACAAGCTGCCAATGGGCGCTGTGAGTCAAGAGTGATCGAATCTGAACCGCTGCCGATGCGCGACAGTTCACGTGCATATGCTAAATACAATCACCCCTCAAACCATCTCATCATTGCCATGATTTGGTCCTTCAATCTCGAAACATGGACATTTATGTAGTACACTAATGACCCAAGTGCCATGCCTTCTCTATAATTTTGTCGTCGGATTGGCTTCTAGAATCTCAAAGGCATTGTCCTCCTTGTTGGAAGCTCAAAGGTGTCGCAGGTGCTAAAACTAAAAAGTTGCGCTCGAGGGAGAATATATGAAAGAAGTAACATTTCAACAGTTGTCACAAAGCATTAACAAAGTAAGAGTCTCAATCATGATATCAACCAGTGACGTTTGAACATCTTATACCCCCATGCTTCGTGAATGTATAAGGTTCTGCCCAATGGGACGTCAGTCGGCAGTTTGTGCATGATTGATGACTGTGAGGTGTGGCTTACCAGACAATCCTCAGAGCCCAAGCAAGCCCAAAAGGACAGAAAGGACGAGGCTCAGGAGCTGCGGAACGAGCCCAAGAATGAGCGGCAGGAGAGCACTCAGGAGAGATGACACCGTAGTTCCCAGCAGCGTCACCACGACGCTCAAGAGCGACTCTACAGCAGACCTACACAGCACACTTAATCAAAAAACCCTGAAAATCATTATATGGGATGGAATACGCACAGAAGAGGGGTGAGAAGGCCAAGAGTGCCAACCGCGCCTGAACCCGTCGTAAGGGGCCCAAGAACACCGAACACAGTATTCAACAGCCCTCCGACAAGGCCCGCAACGTCGCCGACGCTGAGGAGACCACTCCCATCCAGATTGACAAGCACCTGAGCCTGCGGCTGCCCGACAAGGCCCGACAAAGACGTCGTCGCCGACTGAATCAGCGAGGTCACTTCAGTGACCCCAGACTGGACAGTGGCCGCGTCGGTCGCTCCGGATAGGCCAGCTGCGACATAGAAATGATCAGTCGTATGTCCAAAGCGGTTCAAGTTGATGGAGAAAGCGCACAGAGAACGGGCCCGAGCTCGACGTTCAGGCTTGCAAAGATGGTCGCAACGGTATTGCCATCGCGCTCTTGGATGGTCATCCTAGGGACAACGACCGGGGCGGCCACAACCGCAGGTGCAACATCCTTGACGGTGGGCAGCGCAGACGCGGAGGCGAGGGTGCCCAAGGCGAGGACAGCGAAAGACGCGATCTTGGTGAAAGAGAACATGGTGGGATGTGTAGACCTCGAAGTGCTAGAGCGAATGATCAAAGTACAGGAGCTCGTAGAGATGGAACTGGACGAGGTGAGGAAACAGTAGGCCAGCAAGAGTCGGCTTATATAGCAAATGCAGCCAGCTGCTCAGCTTTCAAGACCGAGCATTCTTATGAGCAATATTTGTCGGATAAACAAACCGCGTAGCTCACAGTGTGTCCCTGCGAGCAGCCTCTGCTATGGACGAAAGCCGTGCATATCATCTCCCGCCGCACCTTCCCCGCTGTGTTGAAACAGGAACAAAATAGAAGTCAACATTCACCTCACGGTGTGAGGCATGGCTGAAATTCGGCATCAGGCCCAGTGGGGTATCGGCGAGCAATGTGATAGCCCTTCGAAGAAGTCAGCACTGAAGCCAAGATCAGCTGGATCGGGGAAGATCGTGAGGTCTGAAAGTTATTTAAGACATGGCCTACAGTTTGTATTAAGGAACAGGCCATAGATGGAGCCTTACGAGATTCCATATACGGAAGACATGTCTTCGAGAAGAATTATCGGAAGAATTTCAGGTAACATTCTTCACTCCGTCGAATTTTAGCATCTTCAGAATAGCCTGGTAGATTTTCATCGTGCATTATTGAGAGCATAAATCACCGCTTACCGTGAGTCCTTTAGCATAAGATTGTTGGTCAGTCTCTCTCTTGGTCGAGAGAGGAAGAACATTTGGATGACGTCATCCAAGTCCAAATCGTGGCACTCGGCGCTTGACTCCTTCTGAGACTCTCATTCGAAGTTCGAACTGACCTGGGCGGTTGGTGAGACCCCTTATTTCATTTTTCACGCATAAAACTTATCGAGAAGCCATAACGGAAGTGTGCCTTTCACTCGAAATCTATATTGAAATCCCCTGACTCCTCCCTATATCCACCTCTCCGAGAACAGCAAGAAAATAGCCATCGAGAATTTTGAGATCATAAAGAAATCATTCATAAACCATCTTCCGTTGTACAGCCCGATTTCACGGGTAGGTGGAGGGGTTCACATTAAATCTCAAGGTCGAAACGGTATGTACCTTTGTGGATCGTGGCAGACTGGTTGGAGCAGGCTGACAGAGACAGGAAGTGCCATAACTTGGTCCATCTTCACAGATCTGTCCACCTGTGAGTGAGAAACGTTCGGGACATCGTCTCGTGCCTCGTGCCTAGGAGCTGAGTTGACTACATGTGCCAGTTTGATGTTTTCTGTGCGTTCGTTTGCACGTCTTGTTACTTTCACCTCCGAGTTACCTGGCGTTTTACTCAAAATTGCGTTTTTACGACAGACTCAATTACGTTTCTCAAATATAAGATGACGCTCATGCGACCTCCGACCTCCTAGATGACTTCTATCCGCGGACTTGACACGCGCCCATATGGCTGATGGCGTCTCAATACGCTTCATGGCGAAGATTATCTCAAACAGAGGCGTAGGTGCCTCGGCGACCCTTACCTCCACCCGAGTGGGCAGGTACCAACATGAGTATCGCAATCCTGTTCATGATTCACGCTGACGACATAATACAGGACGATGTCTGACGTGACTGATAGCCTAAAAGACGTCGACGACTTTTCTCTCCGATGTGCGAAAGAGAATCTCGACTGCTACGGGATTTCCTTCGCATTCGCATGCGAAAATCAGACTGGCTAACAATCATGACTGTTTGCGCTCTATTAATTTAGACTCCGAGGACCATGGCATTAATTCTCCGTGTCTTGTCCTCAATATCTGCCCATTGCCAGTTTACGGTTTTGCTGAGCGACTTCGTTCGAGTACCGCATTTGCTTGCACCTCCAGGTCGGTGAAGGTTCTGAGATCTCATTGCTGTTCGCGCTTGTAGCTTATCCGCTCGGTCGTATCGGGACTGGTGAGGTAAAGGCATGGGTCCGGGTCCTCCGTTTTACCATTATGTAGGTCTCTAATACCCCATTGCTCTCAGTGCAGCGGGTGCACCCGACACACAAAGAGCCTAGCCTGCGTTCTGGATGTGCTTTTGAGTTTACGACTCGTGCATTGCTCTGCGCCTTGTGCGTGTGGATCAACGGGGTGGCGTTACCGTGTCTGTCTCGGCATCAGCATCCTTTTCTGCATCAACACACGCGCGGGTAATTGCGATGATCATCAAGGGTGCTCTGCCTTGTTGTGCATAGATCATGATAAAATTGCAGTCAAAAAACACAATAAGAGGAGACAAGATTGGGGAGAGACGAGGTACGGTACGAAGTTGATCCGATTGCCCTGCAAATAAGATCTCGCTATACCCTAGAGCGAGCTCGCCAAGGGTTGTAGCATCTACCCAGCTTCCACTAGCCGCCTGAGAGGTCTAACAATTTTCTTGAGCGCTCAGCGAGCTTCAAGCTCGAGCCAACAGTGCAATGATACGCTCTGTAATGTGCCCAACGCACACCATCCAACCAGCCTATCCTTGGAAGTAAACTCTACCTTCATAAGGTTCCAAGCATATCTCCGCTGTTATACGATCGATACCAGGCTCCGCAGCTCTCATCATATTCCCCAAAACAAGGCGAGAACTCGATTTATCGATGCTAGCCTCTGGTAGCGTGAAATGCACTTCGTCTTTACTGAAATTCAGTAATACGAGCGCCGTGGCCATCCCCAACGTGCGCGTATAGGCAAACACATGTAGGTTATCTCGCATTAGCATGCAGAAGTCACCGTAGACCTGTTCCAGGATATGAGTTATGCAAGCGGTATGAGCTATACTGATTGACTCACCAGGACAGCATGCTGCTTGCGCATCTGCAGGGCGCGCCGCCAAAACGTTAACACGCTATCTGGATTCTGGAGTTGCGCTGCGACGTTCCATTCAGCATAGTCGTCGTTCACGCGCATCCACGGAGCGCCTGTTGTGAAACCACCGTGAGGGGTTTTATCCCACTGTGCAACATATCAGGGTGCGAGTTGACAGAGTCCTTTCATGACAGAGAGTAGACGCACTTGGACAGGGGTGCGCGCGTGGTCGCGCGCCTTCCGTTGACAGCCATCCATAACGTCTGACATGTCTACCACCTCTGGACTAGAAGCATTGGTCTTGGCCCCAGACTTCCTTTGTTCCAGGATCCTGTGTCCCGTGGTCAGACGATCAGATGCTACAGAGTGTGAAATACAGCTCACCTGTTGTAGTAGTTTTGTGTCGCAACATCCTTGTACTCCTCAATCGGCCAACTTGAAGAGAAGTTGGCCATGCCAATTTCTTCACCTTGGTAGACATAGAGCGTGCCAGAGAGGGTCGTCTGCATGATCGCGAGGAGTTTGGCAGAACGTGCACGCCACGCAGGCGTATCGTTTCCATAGCGCGATACCGAGCGTGCTTGATCGTGGTTTTCTATGAACACGCTGTGGATCTCGAGTGCGGAGGTCAGCAGTGGGAGGTAGGAGGGCAGAGCCTGATAGAGATGGACGGGAAAATGTGGATTGGACGTACGCATTCCAGAATCCTTCTTCACGGAGTAAGTTCTGCCACTTTTCAATGATTGACTTCATCTCGGGGAGTTTCCATGAACGGTACCGAAGCGGATCTGCGCCTGCGCCTGCGTTCGCTGCTGGGCCGTCAACCGCGTTATCGATTTCCACAAGCTCGAATGCAAACACCATGTTCAACTCTTTACGATCGGGGATAACGAACGATGCAAGCCCGCGGGAATCGTGGGTAAAGGGAGCTTCACCGACCGTGATCAGATCATGTTCTATGCGATGTCAACAAGTAGAAAGTAGAAAGAAATAACAGAAATTGACGTACGAGAAAGAACTTTACGGTTCATCTCTTGGATATATTCATGCACGCGGGGGCTAAAGAAGGGAAGAGCTACAGTGAGCATGCGAGATTCTAAGACTGAAAACGAAATACAGGGGACACTCACCCATTTGCGTACATCACACTCGCGAGTTGATAGTCCTGAGTGGGGTCTACAACGGGTACGTCTGGGAGCCCATCAACCTTGGAGATGAGGTTGATCACATCCATCTGAGATGATGAGGTTGTCAACGGACCTTGCACAGCGAAACAAAGGAGCTTCGACGCACCCGGAATCCATCACACCCGCGCTCAATCCAAAATTTCATCAGGGACCAGACAGCCTCACGAACTTCCGGATTGTCCCAGTTGAGGTCGGGCTGCTTGTCGAGGTATAGGTGGAGATAGTATTCCCCGGAAGCGTCATCGTAAGTCCACGCGGAGCCTGTGCAGCAAGGTGTCAATACGACGGCTTTGTAGTGATTATGGAGCGACGCGTACCTTCGAATACAGAGCGCCAGTTGTTGGGAGGCGCGGGCTTCCCCTCAGCGTCATATCGTGGGGGACGCCAGATGTACCAATCGCGCTTAGGGCTACTTTTGCTCAACCTGGATTCGCGAAACCAGTCATGCTATCCAGAAGGTGCACAGGGCATGGTCGTCATCAAACGAGAATAACAAGGCTGTGGTGGCATCCTACCTCATCAGAAGTGTGATTTACCACCAGATCCATCCTGTGAGGCACATGAGGGCGGAGAACAGAAAAATCAAGTACTATTACTGACATCAACTTCATCCCACGATCGTGCACACCCTCAAGCAGGCGGTCCCAGTCCGCAAGGGTCCCATACCTGGGGTCAATGTCACGATAATCTGAGCTGTTTTTAAACGCAAAATAAGACGTAAATCTCAGCATAGTAGTGATTCAGGTCGAGTCAAATACCGAAGTGAGATAGGAATAGGATGCGCACATGTCATATCCCATATCGGCTAAGGGAGAACGGTAGATAGGAGAAAGCCAAAGGACATCGACGCCGAGATCGCGCAAGTAGTCGAGTTTGGAGTAGATGCCGTTCAGGTCACCGATGCCATCGCCATTGGAGTCGAAAAACGAGACTGGGTAGATCTGGTACACGGTGGCCTCTTTCCACCAGGAACGCGAAGGATTAAAGGCGCTTGTATTGTCAGTATCGGACATGGTCGTGACAAGCAGAAGTGATGATGTGGGAGAGCAGAATCAGGACGATCGATGGTGGGATCGACCAGGACCGACCAACCGAACACTCACGCGACTTGGGATCCACACCGCACATGGAGTCGTCGCGTTTAGAAAAGGACATTCTTTGGTAGACTTCGCATGTGCGGATCGATGTTCCCAAGATGCAGGGAGGGCAGACAAGCAGCAAACAAGTGGTTAGTATATACGATGTCCGAAAAGGTCCGATCAAGGAGGGAGAATCCAGTTGAGTGTTCCCATATCGCACGATAGTACGGGGTCCAAGCAAACTGAATAATATCTAAAGGATATAGCTATGCTCCGAAGACACCAATTGATTGCAGAGCAACAAGCACTCGAAGCTCTCTACGGTGCACGTCGTCGACGAGTCGGTCGTTGTGACACTTTCATGAACTTGTATGCGACATGTCACAGTGTCACATTAGCTTACTGTGACGTTACGTTACGTGATAGGCTGTAATTAGCAAGCATTGTGTTGGCTGCGTCTATTGTCTGCACTGATGACGCTGAGAGAGACAACAAAAGACAACGAACAATGTCGCGCAGGTATATCAGAATCGGAATCAGAGCCACGCTTCGACCGCCATCGTAATTAACGCGCCCCTGGTTGGCTGCCCTCTATTGTCTTTGGTTCCATACATAGGTCACCAGAGGCCTGTGCAGCACTGCAGCGTTGCTCAGCGTACTTGCCTCGTTTGACCCACCTCGTCTCCTCATCTCCTCGATCGTGTTCGAGGTAAGTCATCGTCATATCATCATATGGCCTTGCCTCTTACCGTCTTCGTAGATCTCGCAATCTGTTTCCTCTCCGCAGTAAGACCGCTCCAGTGCTCGACACAGGTTGCAGTGCAACTTGGCATCTCTCAAGACATCTCCTGTCCTCGCACGTTATAAACCTCGATCTCCCCTGCCTTTTCGCTCAAGACATCATGTCTATCCCACAATCCAACACTCACTTCACTGCCACAGTGCGCTACCCGACCCCACCACCGACGCTCAACATGCTTGACCCCACCCAGCGCAAGCGCCTCATGTCCTCTGCACGCAAGCTCGGGCAGCTCCTTGGTACACAGCCGATCCTCGTCGACCGCGATCCCCAAACTACCTTCCATACGGAGAGTGATGTCTACGGATACGATCATCCTACGCTCCTGCACCCCGTTCCCACGCGTCCGTATGGGTTCGGCTACGCACACGCCCACACGCGCTCGGTGCCGAGCGCTCAGGCCATGTCGGGCTCAAGTATGAGCGCGAGCTTGAGCACGAAACCGAATGCATGGAAGGCCTCTCGCAGGCACGGGTCCATTTTTACCTTTCCCACTTCTTCGCCGTCTTCATCGTCCACGTCCCCTGCCTCCTCCCTTCTCTCCTTGCCACTCTCCACTGCGCGCTCATCTCTCGAATCTACGCACTCTACTACCTCCGCTTCGTCGTTTCACACCGCCTCGTCCTCGATGCTCTCGCTGTCCGCCCCTCGTCCATCCGCATCCACGTCGTCCTTATCCTCCTCGCTCGCCTCTCGTCGCGCGCGCGCTCACACCCGCATGTCGCCACCGCTACCGTTGGTTCTCACAATGGCGACTGTACCGCTGTCACCGTCTGACCCGCGCATGCAGCATCTCACGTCTACCCCGCTTACGCCTCTCACGCCTCTCACACCATACACGCCCGCCCACGAGCCAGAGCATCCGTCGCCCTCCACCTCCTCGTCTTCTGACGCCTCCCCAATTACCCCCGCCGATGCCGAGGCGGACACAGCGATGCTCTCTCCGCCCTCGACTCCCGCGCGCGCTGAGATTCGCCGCAAAAAGATGCTCAAGCTCCAGCGCACACTCGGTGGCGACGTGCCCCCGGAGCTCGTCTTCCCTCCCACACCGCAGACTCCCCGCAGCCACCGGCCTCAGACCCCGCACGCTCCACAGGCGCGTATGCAGGGGGGAAACGCGGGGCACCGTGGCCGGCGGGCTAGCGCGAGCGATGGGGTGTCGATCACGATGTTGAGCGTGTCCGACCAGCCCCAGTACAAACCCAAGCCCCAGTCGGCCCCTCACCGGCGTAAGATGCATCCGCCGCTCCCTCGTGTCCCCGCTCGAGCCGAGGCCCCCCTTCAGTCGCACGCACATGCACAGAGCGAGACCTACGCCCAATCACAGAAGCAGACGCACAGCCGGAACGCGAGCTCGGCGGTGTCTGCGTCGGGCGCGCGCGCGCCGCATGGCGAGACTTGGGTCGGGCAGTGGAATCGCGCGGATATTGGTCAAGTGCAGAAGGAGTTGCGACGCATGCGGTTGCGATGAGCAGACGATGAATGCGCGCATTCAGGTCGTTGTTGCCGATGCCCAGCGCGCGCTTCGGTCGCGCGCTGGTCTCTTTGACCGCTTTGAAAATTTTCCACTTTTTCACTTCTGCTTTTCAGGTGCATATATTCCCGATTTTTCTCTCTGAATCTTGTTTCCCCTTAATCTTATCCCACTACCTATTGGCGATGTGCGTGTCTCCACTTGTATACTTAATGGCGCCCACCCTCGCGTTGGCCGATGCCTTGCTCTGTAGCGTCGTAGAACACTCGATATCCAGCACTCATACATACCTACCTCGCTGTATTTACTTGCTCTCGCGGACTTTTTGTATCGGAATTGGAATCTAAAACGACATTGTTGTTCATGTATATCATTGTAGCAACGCGACCTTGTTTTCTCTTTTCTGGGATTTATGCACGGGGGACATTACTGATGATGTTGAATGAGGCGAATCGGCGCCCATGTCTTTGCAAAGTCCTGGGCGGTCGAGCGAGAAAGAGTCAAGACCTTTACGGATCTCAAAGCCAGTGAGATACTGGAACGAAAGTGAGCAGCAAGACCGTAGGTTAGCGATGACCCGGTGCTGCCGGCAAGGGACTGGAAGTATGATCAACATTGCGGAACACAAATAGTCAAGTCAATATCCGAACTCGTCCTGCCACGGGCTCTGCCTCTACATTCGCATGCGCGCGTCAGGCCTGCCGATGCTCACTAGACATTCTCTTTCACACATCAGAGAGTGAGCTCATTGACGTCTTGTTCGACAATCAGTCACGTCAGACGACGGGTCGCTCACGTCAAGCAGGGAACGGACCTACCCGTGTCGACAATCGACCAGCTCGGGGGTAGGTATAGATTACTCGAGAAAGAGGCAGTGAAGCTCAGTGAAGAGGATCGGTACGCGATCATTCAAATGGGCGCACACGTGTCAAGTCCGCGGATGAAAGCATCTAGGTTGTCGGAGGTCGCGCGATCGACATCTCGGATCCAAGGAACAAAATCGGGTCTATGGTAAAAATCCGATTATGAGAGTAAACTAACGGGGATACCTGTGATGAAGACCACATGATGCAGTGTGCTATCCGATGCACAGGAAAACATCAGGCACATGTTGGTAGCTCACCTTCTATGTGCGAAGAGATGTCCCTGATGTTTCTTGCTCACAGGTGTACAGAGCGGTCCATATGGGCCAAATCGGGAGTCTGCACAAGCAAACAAATTAAATTTGAAACGATGCACACACCTCTGAGCAGCCTCGTTCTTGGAACACTGCCAGATTCTCTATGTTTTGCGTAATGAGACTTTTATATACATATGTATTGAGTTGATATGGCCTGATTCTCACATGCTGGTTTGTTACAGCCCCGCAGAGCTGAGAGGTGGTTATGATCTGGCGAGAAATTTTGCTTATCAAGTGTAGGTCCGTTGTAGAGTCGCTCGTGAGCGTCGTGGTGACGCTGCTGGGAACCACGGTGTCGTCGCTGCTGAGGGCTCTCTTGCCGCTCATTCTTGGGCTCGTTCCGCAGCTCCTGAGCCTCGTCATTTCCCTCCTTTTGGGCTTGCTTGCGCTCTGAGGATTGTCTGGTAAGCCGCACTTCAGTCATAAATCACACACAAACCAGAAACTGACATCCCATGAAACATAACCTTCTACTTTCCTCAAGCATAAAGGTATAGAGTGTTTAAACGCTACTAATCTATATCATGATTGAGGCTCTTACTCTGTACGATTGTTGAAATGTTACTGCGTTCACAAATTTTCCTTCGATTGCGACTTGAACTTCAACGTGTGTGACACTTTTGAGCTTCACATAAGAAGGACAAGGGATTTGACATTCTGGAAGCCACCTCAACGTCTGGAAGCCACCTCAACGTCTGGAAGCCACCTCAACGTCTGGAAGCCACCTCAACGACAGATTTGTAGGGAAAGAACAAGACTTTGGGTCGTTAGCGCAATATATATATACGTCCTTACATGGAGGACGAAGTACCACGTCATAGTAATGCTGAGCTGGCTCTGAGGGGAGATCGTATACAGCATGCGCACGTGAAATGACCCGTGTCGGCAGCTATTCAAATTTGATGGTTCTTGACTCGTAGCGCCCGTTAGCAGCCTGTAAATAGGTGCAGTCCTGAACAATGATAATGAATGAAAATTATATCGTACCGATCGGTTCCTCGAAAGTCAACCAATCTCCTGCGCTCATATACGCAGCCCTAGCCCTCAGTAGCGAGATAATCGTGGTCTATACATCCGATCGCTCTCAAAATTGCTCTGTTGCGCTGTACACGATCTAGTCCGTCGTGATTTTCTACCTCTGGGTAATAGCCTTCGTAATATCTCAAAGAGTAATATGCATCTAGACCAAGTACGACGGCAGCCGACGTCAATCGTGGAAGCGCACGGTTTGGTGGCTGTACTAGGATCAGAGACGACGAGAATCATGAGCACAGTCGAGAAACTTACGCCTGGACGCAAACCCCATGGTAGAGTCCCATTGGGGTACGGGACTTGTTCAAAGGGTGCATCTGAACCAATCCCAAGAGTCCTGTTGTACAACTGCATGTAGAGGTGATGATCAGCCGGCGCTCATCACACCTTACTGCAGAGACTCTTACGATGCTTGCAAGACGCTGTGTAGCTCCGAGTTGAGTCTTGATTTGTTGGGCTTGTGCCTCGATACGTTGGTTTTGCGCCTCGATATGCTGGGTTCTTGTCTTGATCTCTGCAATCTCATTTCGTAGAGGCTGTAGTGCATTTTGAAGGGCGTGATGAAACCACGGAGGAGCAATATCTGACATAAACGATGAGTATGTATGTGAGACTCTGGCTGTCTATAATAGTGGTCACTCACCTGCATCCGATCGAGCTACAATGGCTGCCTTATACTTGATTGCGGAAGCAAGCTGTTCGTTATTTTCTCGACCTACAACTACCTCGACGGTGAGAGACTTTTTCTCTACATTCGCTCATTTACTTACACCAGCGTTCGCGAACCTGGTGTTCGTGTCCATCAGCGATGCAGACATCATAACTGTTCGGAGGTTGAGCAGCCTGGTGAGGCCTTGGTCCGACTGAAGGTACTGGGATTGGCAACTGAATCGGCGCAAGTTCCATCTGTATACTGGTCTATCAGAAGTCGGTGAGCGAGTATCAGAGTGGAGAGACTGTCGAAATATTGGAGGCCACTGGACGCGAGTCGAAGTTGAACTTGACTGGACACTTTGGCAGTGACATTAAAGCTCCGCACGGTGCTAGCCGAAATTCCCTAGCTCGTCGAAGGACCCTAGCATACAGTATCCCTACAGAGATCCGATCCTGATTTTGGCGGGGGTGTTACGGCATATCCGTACGAACTAATGAAGTAAATCCGTACGAATTAGGATCAGACCTCTGCAGGGATATGCCGGGGTCCTCTCGTCGACATGACGGCGACCTCCGGCAACGCGCTCAGCTTTCTCGACATTTAGGATACTCTCTGATATTCAGTACTTCAGTACTAGTACAATGCGGACTATTGGGATTCTCAGTTTGTAAGTCTTACGCTAGGCTTCTGCTGATCAAGTGTGTCATGTAGGTCTGTTGTAGAGTCGCTCGTGAGCATTGTGGTGATGCTGCTTGGGATCACGGTGGTAGAGTCCCATCAGGGTACGGGACTTGTTCAAATGGCGTATCCGAACCATTCCTAAGTGTCTTATTATACAACTGCATGTAGAGGTGATGGTCAGCCGGCGCCCATCACGCCTTGTGGCAGAAACTCTTACGATGCTTGCTAGACGTTGTGTAGCCCCGAGCCGAGTCTTGATCTGCTCGTTTTGGGCCCTGATCTCTGCGATATCATTTCGCAGAGGTTGTAGTGCATTTTCAAGGGCGTGATGAAACCACGGAGGAGCAACATCTGACAGAAGCGGGGAGTAAGCATGCAGGATTCTAGATTTCTGCAATGGTGGACATTCACCTGCATCGGATCGAGCTACAATGGCGGCCTTATACTTGATTGCGGAAGCCAACTGTTCGTTATTTGCTCGTCCTGAAACTGCCTTGACGGTGAGGATAACACATCTTTCCCTTTCCCTATGTACTCACACCAGCTTTCACGAACCTGGTGTTCATGTCCATCAGCGATGCAGACATCATAGCTGTTTGGAGGTTGAGCAGCCTGGTAAGGCCCTGGTCCGACCGAAGGTACTGGGATTGGCAGCTGAATCGGCGCAAGCTCCATCTATATTTGGATTTTGTGAAAGTCGGTGAGCGAGTATCAGGCTGAGAGAGCCTATGTATGTAGTGTCGAAATATAGGTGCCACTGGTAGAAAGTCGAACTTGGAGTTGACAGTGAAATTAAAGCTCCGCACGGTGCTACCCGAACTTCCCCAGCTCGTCGACGTAACAGCGACCTCCGGCAACGCACTCAGTTTTCTCAACATTCTAGATACTCTCTGATACTCAGCACTTGGTACGATACGCGCTATTGTACTCCCAGGTAGTAAGTCAGCTGAGCACATTGCGGGGTCTTGTGATAACTTGGTCTTATAGAAACGATGCACTGAATACTCACGACGTTCATGTCTTGTTCGTGACGTGTTGCACAGCACATTACGTGTATCTTGGAAATTCTTTGGCTTTGCTTCTTCCGACAATACTGTATAGGTGCGCAGACTCTTCTTCCTCGAGTTGCGTGGCTGTACCCCCTCGAACTTATGTGTCTATAAACAAGCGCTCTTCGGGCGCTCCCTCTTGTGCGCCGCCATAGATGCTGCCTCATCCATTTCTATTCCGCAAATCCGCCTTGAATGCAAGAAGCGACGATTCCGCTCAAATTCCGTGTTCATTTACTCACGCACAGAGCACGCAGGTCCCATTCTTTTCTGCCGATGCCAAGTACACCGTGTCGCAAGTCTCCCATAATCACAGTGTCTTCTGTGCTACTGTGCGACGCGCCTTGATCCCCAGAAAGCCTTGGGGGGGTCTAAGTCAGCAAATCACCAGAATGTGAATCTCTGCCAGATATTCTCCTCGGCGCGCCTAACGTCAAGTCGGGCGTGATTACACCTCCTGGACACATCGCATAATGATGCGACGCAAGTTCCGGTGTTCCAGTCAGTGAGAATCAGCTCTATCCAACTCTCTAGTGTTAGCGCCTGTCCAATTCTGATTTCCAAGAGCGGTTAGGCACTAGGTTTGAACGATGGGATTTAGATCGGAAAAGCTCGGAATTTTCTTGACAGCTTCCCCGTGTTGTAGGTGCGACGTCGAACTTGATTAGTACGATTGAAGAATGGGCCAACCAATATTATCGAGCTCCTTCAACTGTAGATCAAATGTCCTCTCACCGGTAAGGAATTTACTGCCTGTCTAAGTTAATTATTTGACCTGAAGTGCAGTTGAGAAGCCTATAATTACGAGGCTTGTCAGAGCTCCGTAAGTTCCGACTTCATTGAACGATTCCGAGCTCAATTCAAATGATGCTATCACGAGTGTACAGGTTTGCACAAGCCTCGATTAATTCATTGAAAAAAGCAATAAATCAATATATTGTGTCCAGTATATATGCTGGCAGACGGTCGCCCTTCAAGCTCCAGCTCTGACAACTCCGTCGAAGCAATGAAGTCCTTCTTCTCTTTGTTTGCTGTGTTCCTCTCTCTCTCTCAGGTCAATGCCATTCAGCCTCGAAAGGTAGAGAACCGCGGTGACGAGGTATTCCATCTGCTGTGACCTTGATCATTGTTCCTCCTTACTGACCGATGACCATGATTGTTTCAGGCTCAAACCACATATTGCGACGATCCCTACTACGCGATACCTCTGTACCGTGGCTATTCAGGGTCGGGCACTGACCATTTCTATACCACCAATGGCGCGGAGATGGAGAATGCAGTCAGCAAGCTGGGTTATGCATACGAAGGCGAACCTGGTTATGTCTTTGGCTCTTACTCCTCATACACCGACACAATTCCGCTTTACCGCGTGTACAGCGGCAGTGCGGTCGACCATTTCTATACCACATCGGCCAGCGAACGTGACAACGCCGTGGAACACCTCGGGTACAGCGATGAAGGCATTGCCGCCTACGTTTATGGCAGCGATATCTGCGGCGCCATCCCGCTCTACCGCACCTACAGCCCAGGCGCTACGGATCACTTCTACACGACGTCTGAGTCCGAGCGCAACAACGCGGTGGCCCACTTGGGTTACAATGATGAGGGCATTGCGGCGTATGTGCTCCCCGTGCCATCAGACAATGTGAGATCTCTTCCCGTTCTGCATGCTCTGCCCATTGCTGATACATGATTGAGTCAGTAAGCGGTGGTCATTCGATATAGGGGCTGCTTGGAGATGAGAGAGTCGACCCCGCTTGCTTTCACCCGACCTCTAATTGTTAGGTTATATCCGAATGTCTTCTGCATCGTATTATGGTCAACGCCACATCTGTCAAATTTATCTTGCTCCACCAATTTGAAACTTGAAGGACTTTCACAAATCATCCACTGTAGCTCTTGGCAGAACACAGCCACTGTGCCAGAGGCATGTTGGAGGCTGTCGGAGATAAGTTGTCAAGCCACCGAACATACACAAGGCGCAAGTCGCTGTATCCCTGCTCTCCTCTCCCAACCACTGCACTCGAGATGGAGACTGCAACAATTCTATGTTAAAGGACTTACAGTAAACGGTGACCGATAATTTCAATGATGCATAACGAACCTCCAGCAGGCTATGTACAAGATGCTGCATTTCGGCGGAGTGAAGAATGTTACCTGAAACTCTTCCGATAATTCTCCCGACGGCGTGTCTTCTGTATGTGGGATTTCGCAAGACCCCATTTATGACCCGTTCCTTAATTCAAACTGTAGGCCGCGTTTTCTATGACTTCCAGACCGCACGATCCACCCCGCTCCAGCTAATTTCAGTTTCAGTGCTCACTTCTTCGAAGGACCATCACGTTAGTCGACGATACCCCACTGGACCTGATGCCAAATTCCAGCCACGTCTCACATCATGAGGTGAAGGCAACCTTCGATTTTGTTCCTATTTCACACCCGACACAGCGGTAAAGGTGCGGTGAAAGATGATCTGCACGTAACGCAAGGCTGCTCTCCGGGATGCACTACGAGCTACGCGGTTTGTTTATCCGACAAACATTGCTCATAGTAAGCCGCCTCTTGCTGGCTTGCTGATTCCTCACCACCCTCGTCCAGTTCCATCTCAGCTTCTGCAATTTGCTTATTCGCTAGTATCGCATTTCGATGTCTACACATCCCATCATGTTCTCTTTCACCAAGATTGCCTCCTTCGCCGTCCTCGCCTTGGGCATCCTTGTCTACGCGTATGCTCTCCCGGCCGTCGAGGAGTCGCACCTGCGCTTGCGGCAGCCCCGGTCATCGTCTCTAAGACGATCATCCAAGAGCGCGATAGCAATACCTTTGCGGCCATCTTTGCAAGCCTGAACGTTCAGCTCAGGCCCGTTCTCTGTGCACTTTCTTCCTTGACCCGGGCTGCTTCAGAAACACCACTGATCATTTCTACATCGCAGCTGGTCTTTCTGGAGCGACGCTGCCACTCTCCGATCCAGGGTCACCAAAGTAACCTCGCTCATCCAATCGGTGACGACGTCTTTGTCGGATCTTGTCGTGCAGACACAGGCCCAGGTGCTCGCCAAGTTGGACGGAAGCGGTCTCCTGAGCGTCGGCGACGTCGCGGGCCTCGTCGGAGGGCTGTTGAACATCTTTGGTGTGCTTGGGCCCCTTACGACGGGTTCGGGGGCGTTTGGCGGTCTCGGTCTGCTCACCCCTCTTCTGTGCGAACCTCACCCGGTAGAATAATTTACGGCTCTACTGATCAAGTCTGCTGTGTAGGTCTGTTGTAGAGTTGCTCGTGAGCGTTGTGGTGACGCTGCTGGGAACTACGGTGTCCTCCCTACTGAGTATTCTCCTGCCGCTCATCCTTGGTCTCGTTCCGCAGCTCCTGAGCCTTGTCATTTCCTTCCTCTTGGGCTTGCTTGGTCTCTGAAGATTGTCTTGATGTTCTGGTGAGCTGTACCTCAGACTCATGAGTCACACAAGCCGGAGACTGAACATCCAAGTGGGCAGGATATTCTGTATTCTTGAAGCATGGATATTGGGGTAGTCAAAGGCCACTGGTTGATATCATTATATTTGCCTCTACTCTGTTAACGCTTCGTAACGATTGTTGAATTTTACTGTCTGGGATCTTATGGAGTAAATCATTTCTAAATTCTTCGATGAGGGAAAGACTCAAGCACGTGAGATGCCGAGCATCGGCAGCGTTTCAAATTCGATGGCTCTTGGATTGCCTGTGTACACCCCCAGGGCTTCGTAGGAAATGACAACCGATCTGTGATCCGAGCGTAGAAACCAGGAGTGATATCAGAATTAAAACCGAGTGAACTCAGACTGAAGCTGACAAACTCCTGCTCAGCATTTAACCCGGCTGAGTTCTGAGATTATGCTGAGGTGGCGGAATCTCAGACTAATCCTGAAAACCGATGCGAGAATTTTGCTGAGATGCACCTGGCCATGATATAATCTTGCTAAATCAGCATGTTCAGACTCCGCGGTTTGTGCCTGCAAGAACTATCACAACCTTCTGTGATGTAGCACCTGCCCGATAGGCTGCGATTGTCGCATGTCGAGGAGCATTCAAGAGGTGCCGCAGGACCTAGCCGCGGTGTCACGCCCCATGCCGTGGCTGCCTCTCCTGGTGCGGGACCTTCAAGTATATTAAATACAATCATATAGAATACCATTCCTATACACTTTCCTGCTGCAGTATTGTGAAGGAATGCTCTCAAGAATGCCAGTATTTCAGTGGTCCGTAAGGGGAAGGACAGTCACAATTTGTCATAACAGTCACGCATTGTCACGCTTCGTTCAAGACTGTGTAAATCAGCAAACAGTGCCGCAAATAATCAGAGCACAGGACATAAGAGATACAAGACATGTTCTACCGTGCTGGCATCTGGCTGCCAGGAATCAAAAGCTTCGGCAATGCGTGAATCAACTTTTTCACCTTATCATGAGTGAGAGCCTTCCACCTCGATCCTGCTATCGGCGTCAATCGCATTGAGTCTCGCTCGTCTCCAACAAGAGCTTTAGGTCCCAGATTGTAGATCATATGAGAAGCTTTCGCATGAGTGTGCAGCTCGGTCCGATTATCGAGGCATGAGAAAAAGAAAGTCCGGATGGAGATGGTAGAGGATGGCTCCCAATCGGACTCAGCTTCATCCAAGGCCGTCTCTGTGAATAGTCCATGGTTCTGAGAAATATCAGTGTTCACCATCAGAGAGCATCAACCATGAGACTCACCAATGCTATCGGCAAATAGACACGAAGAGATAGGTACGAGAACCCTGCCGTTGAGACGGCGACATCGATTGAGCCATGCCGACTGCTTGCACCCTGCATGTAGATGTCGAGGATCTCACCGACGTAGAAGCGGCCGCCTGATGGAGTCTTGTTCTTCATAACAACATAACAGCCTTTGCGGAGGGTGTGTATGGCGTTCACGTTCTTTGCAGCAAGATTCGGCACAACATCTACACAATGATATCAATGCATGTCCTCCGAGAAGGTAAAGACACTCACCAGATGATAGAACTAGTAATACTCGCTTTGCAGTCTCCTGCCAATGAAGCTCGCGGTCTGTTTTCGGCTTCCGCAGTTCTAGGTCGGTATCTTGTGCGAGTCGAACACGGTGCGATGCCTCACTAATGGTCATTTTTTTCGCTCGAGATGCTGCACCCTCTATCTCCTTTTCGGTGTCTTCAATACTGCGCTGGAATTTTGGATCGAGCATGATGGTCCTTTGTGACCTCACTGACGTTCCGGACTGATGGGATTGGCGCGTAGAGCACATAGATTGAATGCATACTTTACCTTGAGCAATGATTGAGCTCGAGAGTGGTGTGCCATCAGTTCCTGCTGCCGCTGATTGAAGTGGAAAGATGGGGGATGGGGAGGCTTCAAGAGTGGGAAGAGTCTCGACTGTTTTGCTGAGCTCGTCGCATGCATCGTACAAGACAGATTCTCGAGCGGCATCAGCTGAAGCCAAGGCCATTGAATCATCCATGTCTACGAGCGCCAAATCATCCGCCGCCTCGTGGGTTTCTAGTTCATCCTCAGTACCTTCACCAACAAAGACTTCAGAGTCTTCTCCATCAATTCCCCCCTCGAGCTCTGCCTTCTTGCAATGGAGAGGAGAGAGTTTGAACGGTGCCGTGGGTACGGACATATGGAGGACATCCTTGGCGATCCTGGTGGCCTCTACCATACCAAGCTCCAGTAGTTTGTCAATATCCTATCTGGTGATGCGACTGCACGCCTGAGTAAGCTCCTTAGGGGTGAGTGGTGAGTTGTCGAAGTCAAAGATGTACCCTGCACGGAAGGTCCGCTCCTTTTTTTCGTTGAACTGGCCTGAGAGTAAAATTTGCTGGCGTAGCATAACGTGCTTCACGAGAGCGAGAAGCTGCGAGAAGGTGAAATTGGGAAGCATGGTCCGAGCGAGACCAAAGAAATGCTCGACAAACTCGGTGCTGAGAAGCCATGGGCAAAATGGGATGTGCGGGTAGTACTCGGCATACACAATCGCAAGAGCAATGAGACTGTCACAGAGACGATTCAGGATCTTGAAGCATGGCGGGGAGATGAAAGAGCGCGTTGTCGAGTAAAGGTCTGGGTATTTTTTTGTGAGATGCACGATATGCGACCGCCAGATGCGCAGGAAGAACCGAGCGCGAAACGCTCCTTGAAGGTGTGACTCGATGTCGAGTTTCCGATTAATCCATGCATCAATGAGTTCACCTAGATGAGTTATTCATCAACAAAGCGAACACAGCATCAGCCAGGCAACTTACCAAATACGAAGAGATAAACTGAGAGTCCACGAAACTCTTCCTAAACTTGCCAGTCACCATTTGCCGGGTCACAATATGTCGTAGCGTGCAGGGCGTTGTGATGAAACAAGCGCCGTGCGGCACCATCGTCCTTTTTGTCGACATTCTTGACATCGGACTGGACCAATCCCCCATTACCAGTTTCGTAGAGTTCCACGAGCGAGCGGTTGACAAGGTATCCAACGCCGAGACTTGCTGTATGAGTGCCATGCTATGGTTGATTGCGAAGTGTCTTCGCAGCATGGGGAGCATCAGTAATCGAAACCAATGGTCCTGTTTTCTTGAACACAACAATTCTGACCGAGAAGCCAGATGCCGGATGGTCGTAGATGACAGGGGGGATCGGGGATGATTCGGCATCCATAAGTGAAAGTGCGGCCAGCTCCAAAGCGGTGCCATCAGCCGCGAATGATATCACCTTCATGTCGAGCTGTGCGGCCATCTGAAGGATGAGCATGTGATGGTTGTGGATTTGTCGGGAGTTATCCTTTCCGGTCGTTGATAGCATCGCAACAGCCAATGGTGGTGCATCCGGCAATGGAAGCTACATTGTTCCAAGTCATCCAGTAAAAATGCGAGAGTAAAAGGGGGTATGCACCATTACCTTGGACATAATGACACGAACTTGACTTGCAATTGCCTTTTCGGCCTTGGCGCGTTGAACGAGTCGGTCAATGTCATCAGAGTGCTTTATCTTGCACTCGTCCAGCGGAAGAGTAGACCCGAGAATGTATCCACCGAAGTGACTGGAGTAGGCCAACCGTGGCCGCACCTTGGTGCAATCACCTGCGAACGCAATGGGTCCAGTGTATTGACGGTGATCCGCAAATCGCTTGACTCGCGCGATGTTCTCAAAGACAAGGTCCGGATTTTGAAGGACATCTTTAGAATTAGAGACGAGAGTTCTAGTATGAAATGTACAGTCAGAAACTAACGCTTGACACTGCGAATGATAGAATGCCGAAAGGATCTTGGTAACGTACTGGAGATGCCTCGGGGAGGGTCCCCCAATCTGTGCTGTGACAATAGCATATTGCCTAGAGAATGTCTAGCCATTAGAACAGAGCAAGGTCATAAAATTAAGGTAGTTTGATGGGTACCGTTGGCCGAACTTGAGATTTTTGTTAGCACCAGTATCAAGTCGCCGTACACGATCGGCAAGGACATCACATATCTCTGTAAAAGTCTAATACTTCTCTAACTTGCCATCAATAGCATACTTATAAAGTTGTAGGGAGCAAGAGGCCGAATCGTCGCGCTCGGCGTGATAAAATAGGTTCGAGAGCATAGGGTCTTTGAGCAGACCTTGAAGAGCCCGGTCTTCGATGCTGCGGAACGTTGTGGGCGCGTATTTGTCACGCAGAAGGTTGATTTTGTGCTGTTCGTCACGCGACAGCTGCGCTTCACACTCTTTCTGCTCAGAACAAGCTCTCAAAATTCAGCACTCAAAGGCAAGAAAAAAGAACGAACCCTATAAACGGCATCCTTGAGTGACTCGTCCTTCGCGATACGAGAGCATGCGTTGCATATGCCGGACCAGTTCTCAGTGAGCCGTTTGCAAACTGTCGCGCGGACAGCGGCTTCTTCGTAGTTGACCTCCCACCGCACGAAAGCCTTCAAGTGAGTATCCAACACCTTTTTCTCCTTGGTTGTCCACTGACTTTGAGGTTTAGAATCATTACCATTCTTCGGAACTTCAAGCTTGATGGCTCGCGGCGCCTCGCTCGTAAGCTTCATATCCCTCTCTATTTTCTCCTGTCCATCCTGTCCATTCCTCCCTGGCTCTGTGCGCAAAGGCGGAAAGTTTTTGTAGGGGAACAATTGCAGAATGAAACGTGCACGCAGCGCTGGGGAGACGCCCCCGAGACTGCGCGTTTGCGTGCGCAGTATGTACTCAGTGTACTTCGGCCCACTGAGCCCTTTACGAGGGACACGGGTTTTCAACGCTGCTTATTCATTTGCTTGATCGATTGGGCGCAAATGAGTCGTTTGATTGGCCACTCTTTGAGTTAGATAGCCAGATATGGATGGCTCCTAACAGAAAGCAAATATCAGTGATGTAGCAGTGTCGCAGATTGTCATGCCGGTGTTTTGTGATCCCTACTAACCGCTTTAACAGTTCTGATCTCGTAGGGTTTCTTCTTGAGCTCTGGTTCAACGTTGGGTTCCTGGTGCTGACTACTCGTTGTCGTTGTCGATGAGCGATGCACTGCAAAGAACTTGTGTATAGATTGGTCGGATGTGGTCTGGATAACCCGATAATCAGTAAAGTAAGGATACTTGATGGTATGCACTTACTGCCAGAAACTTCGGACCTGTTTTGACTGGACCGCGCTGTTTACGCAGGCCTGTAATCCGTTTTCACTTCAGTTTGTGAGCATTCCAATTATTCCTGTCATATTCCCTCTTTACATTAAGTTTGACCCATTCTTTACAGGCCCAACAATGCACACGGTGTTTCTCCACGGTGAGTATCCACTCATTATTCTCCAGTGCTTGTTGCCGTTTGGAGGGTGATAACCGTTTACCTCTACTAGACTTGGAGCAACTCGCGACCGGAACACTCTCGTCTTCGGCATCATATCCACATTCTCCAATACTGGCTGCCGGATAAGACTTCCGCTTCATCCTGATAATGGTGAGTTTTATTCTGTACTGATACACATTGAGAACTGCCGACTTACGGAACACTCATGACCATTGTTTGTTCACAAGTATTCTCCGGATCCTGCCTTGGATGTTCCCTTCTCGAAGGTGAGCCTCCCTCATTACCGGCTGTCTCGACCACCTCACCGTCTGAGGATGCATGATCAGAGTCAGACCGAGACTCTTTCGTCAATTTGTGCCAATGAACGATACTATTCCTCGAGTTAGCAACTGATTTCAGGTTATGAAGAGCCTATCACGGCAAACGTACGGCATGTTGATTAGCGCTGTGAGTGCCACGCCACGTATCTCTTCAATCCTTCTATTGACACATGTCTCAAATGAGGCTTTCTTTGACAATGCCTCCATCGCCATCATCACGAACAATCCACAAGACTATGAATCACACTGGGCTTCAAGGATGGGGGGATGGTACAGATCCATGCCCCAGAGTTTGCTCCTCCCTTCAACATATGGTTCTATATTTTTCAACAGTATGTCGATTGCGTCGACAATCTCAAGAAGTAACTGATGTTTTTTTGGATTATCATTTGATTGTTTGTAGACTTTGTTGTAGGTACATACAGGTTCTGCCCATTTTTCTGAATCGAGCTCTGGTATACTGTTAAAGATTCCTAGCCGGTGTCGTTCTGGATCGACAAGGCCAAGCACCCAATGTACCGGAGTCCCTCCGCACAATGGTACAGCCCAATACGGCCGCCTTCGCAGAGCGGAAACGTCTTTGTCGGGGCACTAAATGTAAGTCAGTCATAAATGTTCTTGTTTGTATCTTAAAGTCATTTTGAACTCACTGCTATGATCACATTCTCTTCGAAGCTGCCGACATACCGGGGATCCGCAAGCTGTCAAACAAGAGGACCAAGCCACGAAGAGAGCATCAAGAAGTCAGCATTGGGCTCGTACTGCTCTTGAAGATGTGCGCTGAAGGCATCGAGAGGCGTGCTCCTCAGGTGAGTTCGGTTTTCGACATGGTGTATAAGGGGCACAAGATCTTGGGCAATGATTGTTATGTTTCGAATCTTTCGCACATGCTGATCTGGTGTCAGCGAGGAGAAGTCGGGAAGCTTCATTATGTAGACTTGTCAAGAAGCAGAGAAGCGTAGAGTTATATCAGGAAGGGAGCAATCTGTATTTTACTCGGGTTATCTGAAAATTTTGAATCGGTAAATGCCGTTGAAGTGCCCCTGACCAGACTCAAATGGCCCTCAAAAATGCTAACTACCGGGAAAGATAGCGCAAATCGGACCAGAAATATGCTAAATTCCGTGAAGGATTTGGCCAAAATCCGGTCTCAAAAATGCTAATTTTCCGGGAAACCTTCGTGGGGCCTCTGTGCAGGCACTGGCAGCGACTGAACGTGAACCGTCACTTCCTTGCTCCTCATTCATCATCTCTCTCAACCAAATACGATGTGAATGGCCGTTTCTCCGGTCGAAGTATCGAAGGCTACACATATGGAATGCGCAAAGAGTCACAGAATCCTTTTCTGGCAGCGTTCACCGTGTGATTTACGCTCGAAGGTCCTCATCTATGGCACGCAGCCAAATCGCGATGCATCGCTTCTCGACTCACCCGTCGCCCTCCATCTGATCTTGATCTCATGTCGAGCATAGCAGCTAAACTCAAGGACGAAGGGAATGCTCTTGTCAACGAGAAAGACTACGAGGGTGCGATTGAGAAGGATTCAGCTATCATCTTGAGGCTCTCTCTCGCCCATGTATCAGCGCCCAGCGCTGTTCAACCTCAGAAGGTTGAGAATCGTGGCGACGAGGTGACCAATGTCGCTGTTACCTTGTCCATCGTCACCCCTTACTCACCGAAGGCCATGCTTATTACAGGCTCAAAACACATCATGCGCCTATCCCCACCATGCGATTCCTTTGTACCGTGTCTATTCGAGGTCGGGTACCGACCATTTCTATACCACCAATGGCGCGGAGATGGTGAATGCGGTCAGCAAGCTGGGATACGCGTACGAAGGCGAACCTGGCTATGTCTTCGGCTTTCACACCTCTTCCGCCACCACAACCCCGCTTTACCGCATGTACAGCAGGGGCGCGACCATTTCTATACCACATCGGCCAGCGAGCGTGACAATGCCGTGAACCACCTTGGGTACACTGACGAAGGCATTGCCGCCTACGTTTATGCCACCAATATCCGCGGAACCATCCCGCTCTACCGCACCTACAGCCCAGGCGCTACGGATCACTTCTACACGACGTCTGCGTCAGAGCACGACAATGCAGTGGCCCATTTGGGTTACAATGACGAGGGCATTGCGGCGTATGTGGTCCTCACGCCATCTTGAAGACAATGTGAGAATTTATTTTGTTCTGCATGTTTTGCCTTGCCCAATGCTGATACAGGATCGGTGATCGTTTGATGTAGGGACTGCTTGGAGAGGAGAGAGTCAGCTCCATTTGCTTTCGCTCGACCTCTGATCGTTGAATTATATCAGAATGTCATCTGTATCGCATCACGGTGAACGCCACACGTGTCAATGTTAATTTACTATCTTACTCTACCACTTTGGAACCTGAAGGACTTCACAAGTTGCCCACCATAGTTCCCGGCCGAGCACAGCCACTGTGCCAGAGGCATGTCTGAGCATGTCGGAGATCGAATTTCTCAAGACATCGACAAAGTCGCCGAATCCCTGTCCTTTTCTCTTCAGCCTCTCCTACGCTGCGTACATCAATAAGATACAGTCCTCCAGCACCCTCCTGCTATTCACTTCAAAGTGTATCTTGACAATAATAGACGTGCTGACCTCCTTTCCATCTTTTTCCATGATCCGGTGATCACTTGTTTGGTCACTCCACCACCTCACATTCAAGATGGAGCGGTTCCCTTAACATGGGACGCCTGTAGGACCATGATGATTCAGAAATAGCCCATGTTCGTCGGATACAGAAGCGTGATCATGGCCGTTCATGCTCCTTCTCTCTCCTCTCGAGGCGGAGGCTTGCATGAGCAGATATTTTCCCCTCTGCTTCTACACAACTTGCCGGCGCAGGCACATCCTCTTCTATATATATAATTGCGTTGCATCCACAGGCAGATCTCACCTCGGCTACACCAATGCCGACCTTTGTTTTGTTCGCTCATAATATTTTCTTCTTCTTAGTACATTGGGGTCTTGAGACATCATGAAGGTATTGTAGTAGCTATTGTGTATAAAGCCTTTTTCGAAGCGGATCCTACTGGTCGAGGTGAGTGTGTATCACTTGGGAATATGTGAATTGTGAAATGTCCTACTTAACTCCTTGCTCCTCTCCAGGCTCAGTGCTCAGCTTTCACCGGTGGTGATCTACTTGCGGCACATCGTGTCATGATACCGTTGTACCTGTTGGAGCTATTCTATTCATGGCAGCTTCATGGTACCTTTGAGGAGTAAGCTCATCACGCAGTGCTGCACTGCCGCCACGAGAACTCGTCGAATGTCAAGCCTGAATTAATGGTTACGAATGTCGGAAAACCTCGGAGTTTTCATAGCGGCCTCTTCACATATCAAACAAAAACTCGCAGTCATTTTGTAAGTACGGTTTGGGAAAGGGAGGTGAAGGGTGACTTTTCCTCGAAGCTCTCAATCGCGGACCTATTTCCCTCTTGCTGATGGGGTATCGAACTCTCGTCATAATCCATCAAAAACTTGACATGTGTATTAGAAGCATGTGGTCGGCCCTCCTCGACCACAGGTGCGGGGTTTCCCTTCAAACCATCACCTCACGATGGATGATCCGGATCTATTGTGAGTCTACTCTATGAGCACGAAGTTTGTATGTCGAAAAACATTGCTGAGAATAGAGAAGTCAACCAGTATATATATCTTGGAGACCGTCGCTTTTGTATCTGCAGACTCTCTCCTTCGAGACCTGCACCGAAATCATGAAGACTCTCAATTCCCTCTTTGTTGCATGCCTCTTCCTCACTTTGGTTTCGGCACTAGCTACTCAGCCTAGGGACGTCGTGAGTAGGACTGACGAGGTGCATTTTTGCCGCTCTATTGAATGATGTTCACCTTGTCTGACTTAACATTGTGATGGTTTCAGGGTCAGAACTCGTTCTGCGATGACCCTGATAACGCCATTCCTCTGTACCGTGGATTTTCGCCGTCGGGCAGCGACCATTTCTACACAACAGACGCCGTCGAAATGGAGACTGCGATCAGCAACGGCTACACTTTCGAAGGCGACGCTTCCGACGTCTTTGGATCTCTCCCGCCGTTAACGGTCACGGTCCCCTTCTTCCGTATGTTCAGCTCCAACATCGTCGATCACTTCTACACTACGTCTGCCAGCGAGCGCGACAACGCCGTCGACAATCTCGGGTACACCGACGAAGGCATTGCTGCTTATGTTTATTCCAGCAATATATGTAGCAGCATCCCTCTCTACCGCATGTACAGCGGAGGCGCCACGGACCATTTCTACACAACGTCCGCGCCGGAACGCGATAATGCTGTGAACAATCTAGGTTACACATACGAAGGCGTCGCAGCGTATGTGCTCAACGCCCCCGCATAAGTATCAGGTGAGAATGGGTTCATTTATTTCCAAATATTTGCTCATTCTACTACTGCTTTGGATGTTTCGCAGAAGTGAAATTGTGCCACTCATGACCCTCTTACATCGTTTATGTACCTCTTCGCCATATACATCATCTGTATTGCATGCTAGGATGGATCGAGCTAAATCTTTCCGCGGTTGCTGAGGCCTGAAATTTGCATGGTATGTTCCGACAATGCGATTGTCTGAAGATGGACGACAAGGGCCACAATGTTAATTTTGTTGACTGCAAACAGCTTCAAATTCCGCCTAATCCTTTATACAACGCAACTAGTAGTCATGAAAGCCGTCAATGCCTCTTTCGCTTCTACAAGCACTGGGAGTAATATTCTGTAACACGGATGATCAGACCTTGACAGTCTCCGATGGGTTGATGACAGCTCACCATTTGAAACCGTGCAGACATACGGCGACACGCTGCGTGATGCGCATGAGAGACCAGATTTAGCTCTGGCGAGTGGGTGGACTTACCAAGAAGTCGCGCCGGCCCATCCGATCCCGCCACACTGCCCGTAGTGCGCAATGGTGCCCGCAGCGGCAGAAGACGTCGGCGCAGCTGATGAGGTCGGCGAGGCAGCCGTCGACGTCGGAGCTGCCGTCTGTGGTATGGGTTTCGAGTTAGTATATGGCTGATGGAGATCGCATGGAACACACGGAAGAGGGCGCAGGAGGAGCGCTGCCAGAGCTACTGCCAGAGCTGCCGTACAGAGGTGGGCCCGGGATAGGGTACGTTGTTTGCGACTGGGCAGTGTTGCTGTATATGTCGATGACGACTATGTGGTGGTTCTGCTGGTTAGCAAGTGTAGACGATCAGGTCACGAGGTCACGTACGGCCGGGATCATTGGCGCCGTAGCCCCCTGGGAACGTCACCAGCTCAGCAGCGGTGGGCTGCAGAGTTCCTCCGCCGGTGATCAGGATCTGGGCGCATTCGGGATAGAATTGCTGCGATAATCGGAAAGGTACGATTCAACTATTGGTCTTTTCAAGGGCGATGGGGACATGAAAAAAACTGACTGCGGGAAGGGAGTGCAGCGCAATCGTTTCGAAGCGGATGAGATAGTTTCCACTCGGCACAGTTTTTGGGATTGTCGTTGTCCACGACGAGTTTTGGGCGATCATTTGCCCGTCACCCCAGTACCCGTCATAGACTGTCCCCGAAAGCAAACCAGCTTCGTCGATCTTGAACTAAATCCCGTTCGTGATTAGATTAAGATCAACCGAGCAAGTAAAGCGAAGAGGGTACATACCCATTTCAGAGTGGTAGCATCCACACCTGTGCACGTCGTTCCAGGGCATTGCGCGAGGTAAGTCAACTAGATAGAGGCAGTCCTTCATCTTCAACGATATTCTCAAGAGGTATGAAGTAGATTGAGGCTTACCATCGGCCCGTACGCGTGTGGCCAGACCTGGTTCCAGTAAGCGGTGATAGCGGATCCAGCAGCAACGGTGGCCGTGAGCTGCAACGCGCCCGATGTGCCATCGTCGTTGCACGCGAGCGTCGGGTCGGACACGCTGGTGATTGGGTTGCTGTGGAGATAGAAATTGCACGGATACGTTGAGCATCGATTCACAGTCATTTCCATCTCCACCAGCACCTGTCCCCCATTCGGACGTGTCGGTATAACACGCGCGCAAGGAGCGCAGGAGGAGAGGGTATGGGTGATATAAAAGGTATATCAAACGAGTAAATCGAGACGCACTAGGAAGACCACGGACGCTCAATCGTCGTCTGTCCCGTGGGGGAGTTGTACGGCGCCCAGCCGTTGTACCAGTTGCCTGCATTCGAGTACGCGAGCACGCCTCCGTGTGCGTATGCCCTTGGCAGCGTAGCGGACGCCGCGGCGATGATTCCAGCAAGTGCCAACATATTTGAGCGAGGTTGGGTGCGAGTGTTTGACTGTAGCGGAAGGCACTTGAGCACGTTTGAGCTGCGAGCGGATGAAGAAGCCGACCACCATGAGGTGCTGACCTTTATACTAGCACCGCGACCTGTCCCTCTTCTCTGACTGGTGATATGCAGAACGTTGAACAGCCGGAAGGTTTGGGAACTGCATCGCGCGCCAGGCCTGCCGCCTCTCGCGTCCCTTATTTTTCCCCGTACTCTGCGAAACAAGGACACGAGTGCGCTCCTGCGACGCAGATCGCCAAAAATAGTGCGCGTCTGAATACAAATCGCAGCCTCGAGCCCGCTCGGTGAGCCTTGATGGACGCTGGTGAACCGAGGGCCCGCGGTATATCTTCGCGTAGGGTCGAAAATTTAATCGAAAATCATCCGGTAGGTCTCCGAAGAAAGGTGGAGGGGTTTGGTGACGAAGCAAGCGAGTAGCAATCGAGTGACAAAGACTTGCTAGGCGTCGGCGGGTGGCTGAGAAGGCAACACAAGAGCGTGTACTAAGTCAGAGATGCGAAAGTCGACGCGAGCTGAGGGTGCTTGAATCATGATACAAAAAAGTCTGAAGCCCATAAAAACTGAGAGCCAGGGAGAAACAACGATATCAATCCCTATCGAGTTTACATATCGATAATACATCCACATTTAAAGGATCAAGGCGATCGAGCGACGACAGTAAGTCACGCCGCCAAGCCGAGCGCGACCTTCCAGATATTCTCCGCCGGCAGGGCTCAAATAGACATCTCGCCGTCACAGAGGCAACAATTCGCGAAACAAGGAAACAGGGCCGGATACGCGAATCGCGAGACGTCGAAATTTCGGTGTCCAATACGAGGTCCAAACGAACGGAGAGTAGCGAAAAGCGTTTTGCGAGCACTCCAGCACTGGGGCCTACTGCTACCAGGCGGCGAATAGTGCAGGGCGTCGGCAGTTCGTCGGGGTTCGGATTCGGGCCAGCGTGCGGGCATGGATGATCACGAGATATGCGCAACTATTCAAGGAAGTGCGAGTGATGTTCTGACGTGGAGCAAGTTAAGCCTAAGTATAGGTAGGCTAGAATAGACCGAGCAACAAAGACGTGAGAGGCGCTCAGCGTGTTCGTGATCGGTTGTGATGTATTGCAGCACCTATCCTTCATATTGTGTGAACCTCGCATTTGAGAGGACGCCTGACTGATGATTGATGTTGGTGACGATGAACTAGAAGGCAGATTGCGGGCGGCTGATGGGGAACGAGGAGTCAAGCGGAGGCGCCGGCGCCGGCGCCCAGCGTGAAGAGCTCAATGCGGAAAAGCCATCCCATTGTGATAACGAGTGTTCAAGCCTGCCTAGTCAAGCACAATCCATATATTTTCCTGCATCGGCAGCCGAGTCGACCCGCTGTTTATCGGCGCAAGGCACAGATGTGATGAAGTCATCGATCACCACTCATCGCGGGGTCGTCCCCAGTCCGTCCTCACGTTCGGCAGCTAGATCTCTTGATTTTGCTCCGAGGAGGACCAGGGGAAGATAAGGGAAGATGCCAGGTATATGCGTTCCGATCAAGGCGCGGAATCAAGCGGAACGAGGCAGCGTGTGTATCGACGGAGGGTTCCGAACGAGCCATCAGGGCGCTGCGAGTTGGAAGAAGGCCTTGCATACGTCCGGAGCAGACTTGTGATGGATGATACATGATGGTTGATGCATGACAATTGATTAAGTGCTGATCACGCTGAAGTGCAGGCGCGCTATAGGCCACGCACGGCGGCGGTCGTCGTGAAGGTGCGAAGGCGGATGCCCGGCGGGAATCGGGAATTCGGAAGCCAGATGATACGATATACTTGGGCAGGCGAAGTAGCATGCAGAGAAACCCAAGCAATAGATCTGCTACAGTATCGGAAAGCAGAACGAAGGTTCCGCTCAAGAACGCTATGTTTAGAGGACCGAGCTGACTGAGCCATCACGTCAAAGCCGGGCAGAAACCGAGATCGGCCAGCATGGCCGTCATGTCCCGCCGACTAGACACGCTGATGGAGGACAGCGATTGGGTGATATAGCATGAAGACAAGCACCTAACAATTGTAGTGAACCTGAGCGTGGACGCCATGAAGAAGGCAGGATCAAGAGACAAGAAAACAGGACGTTCTAGAGGAGAGAAGGTGGTCGAAAGGCTGGCCCGCCTGCTGAGCGTGCCGTAAGCTGGGTGGCGCGTCCTTCCGGGGCAAACGCGAGGTGTATAGGAATTGTTTACCTTTTGTTGAACGACGAGGAGGAGAGTGGACGTGGTGGCGTGGCCGGGGAATTGAATGGAAGCCGAGGATGTGTCGGCCAAGGCCGCAGTTGGCCCGTTCCCTTCTGTTTGCTTTCTTCCAGCGCTCGCTGTCCCCTGCGTCCATCCCTCTTCCCCTCCTCCTTCTCCCCCCCTCTTCCTCTCCACCACCACCAGCGATGCCCTCGACTCTCTCCACGATACCCGACGCAATCCGCACACGCATCACTCTATGGCTCCACAACGTTATCCCACGGAAACACATCTCACGGTATGTCTCCTCTCTATCCTTTCTCAATCGTCTATTTTTTGGCACCTCTTGCTCCACCATGGAGAGGCGGCAGCGTGAAGGGCTGCCGTCGTCTGCACCTTTGCACGATGCCCAGGCTCTCGCCCTGCTGAATGTATGCTTGTCGCATGAGTCGCCATCGAACCGTGGGGACGTTTGGTGGCGCATACATTCCAGTGTGTAACCTTCAGTTGCGTGGATGCTTTCCTTGATCGCCGTCCTTCCCCGACTCTCCTCTGCCTCTGCCCAACAAGCCATTAAACTCCTTGGCTGCGACCGTCGTTCTCCGCGGAGCCTCGGCCGCGTTCTGCCCGCACCATGTCCCTCGTGTGCCTCGCACAGTCAAGCTAATTGTCTCACTTTGTTTCAACATCTCTAAATGCATACTTCCGTCGGTCGTGTCTCTTCCTCTTGTTGTTTGTCGCACAAATAACCGTGTCCCACGAGGCTGATCTTTGATCCGCCCGCCAGGCGCAAACCGCATAGGAAATCTCCTCTTCCCAATCCCCGCGCTCTTGACCACTGCCGCCTCCCACCCGAAATATGGCTTCTCATCATCCGCGAGGCAACCCTCATGACCCCCGACCCTCTCGATACCACAGACGAGCTCTCGTTTCTTGAGTCCCCAGCACTCCAGCTCGCCGCATACTACGCTTCTATGCGATTCAAAGCGAATATTTCTCTCGTCAGCAAGCGCTGGAACGCCTTCGTCAAGGTTTACATGTACGAATTTGTGTGGATCAGCCGCGCTGTGCAGGCTAAGGCTCTCGCGCACACTCTGCTTCTCGAGTTCGTCGAAGGCCTCGGTTCCAGCGGGCGCTTCATTCGCCGCCTGCACATCGAGACACCTGTCCTTGAGCGCTGCTCCCCCGCAGATCTCCAGACCATCCTCGAGTATTCCCCCCAGCTGACGATCTACACCGACCACCAATCAATTCAGCGTAACCGATACGACATCGTGCCTGATCCCCGTTGCAGCCCCGAACGCTTGCTCTCGCTCCTCGCGCACCCAAATAGCACCCTCCGCCGCCTCGCGTGGACGAGCTACGACGACGTGCCGTTTCACCTGCGTATGTCTCCCCTGCAGGACATGCCGACGCGCCGCCTAGAGTACCTCGAGCTCTCGTCCTGCTCGCCCAACTTCCACGCGCTCTTCTCCGAGTCTGCGGACCTTGCCTCCGCAGCAATGCGCGTGTCCCTTCCTGCCCTGCGCAGCCTTAAGGTCAGCCTCGACAACGGCATGTTCGCCGTGCTTGCCTCGTGGGACATGCCCGCCTTGCGCAACCTCTCCGTCGTCTCCGCCGATTTTAGCTACACCGGCAAAGGCTTCTTCCGCTTCTTTGCCGCGCACGGTGCCGCACTGCAGCAGCTCGAGCTCGGCCATTCGTCCTCACTCATCGAGGAGCATTACCTTACCACTCACCCGCGACGCCATCGGCAGTTGCACGGCACAGACGTCGACGCGGACGAGGGGCGCGAGCCGCTCTCGCTCGCACGCTGGTGTCCGAACCTACGCGAGCTCATCTGCTCCGCCGATGCTGAATGGCATTGGGAGTCACCCGACTGGATCGCGCCTCACATCCTTTTGCCCCGCCACCCCCGCCTCACGATGATTGCGATTCGCGACATCGACGCGCGCATTACGAGCGCACTCGACATGACCGAAGGCGGAGGCATTCACGCGGCGGCTGCCGGTGCCGCCGGCGACGACACCGCGTTCTTTCCGCTCCTCGAGCAGATGTCGTCGCTGCTCCTCCGCGACGCGTTCCCCGCGCTCAAGTACGTGCGCGACCTCAGCGTGGAGTCGCACGAGATGCGCGCGCAGTACCCACACCCTGCGGTGGCCAAGTTTTGGAGGCGAGTGCTCCGCCGCTGTCAAGAGCGAGACGTGTGGCTGGAGGACTACACAGGCGTGAATATCACCCCGAGCGCGCTCAAGCGCGCGAGTCACATGATCCTGTAGGCAGGCCCTTGCGGATATGTATGTATGTATATGCTCCCGGCGAAGCTTTCGATAATGCGGCCTCCTCTTTCCCTTCCCCTTCACCTTCTTTTATTCTCGCTTCCGCTGTGCTCCCCTGGATAAATTGTCAATTTTTTTTTCTCCCTCTTGCATACCCATTCCTCATCTCGCGGTCTTTCTTGGCTGGCACTCATTGTGTAAAAGCATATCTCCTCCCCGGTTCATCCTCCGTGCGTGCGCTTCCATGTCCACCCTCTCTGCATCCATGCCGTCTTTCTTCGGTCCTTACGCCTCGTTGTCGTGCAATCCATCTCTTCCCTCCATCGTCGTAGTCTCCTCAGCATCATCTGCTTCCGTCGTGGCTTTCTTGTGTGATCTAGAAGTAGCTCTGTAGTGCATCAAATGGACATTTGGTTTGTCGACTCCCTGCGGTTGGTGTCATGAAGGCAAGTGCTTTTGGCATTACGTTCGCGTTGAAAGGTTCAGTTCGACTCCGTCATCTCAATCCTTTCGATTCAGTCAGCTGACCTCGAAAACGTACCAGCGATTCTCAAGCTGCGGGATACGGTAGTCTTCGTTGCCGTCCCTATACGCAGAACATCGTCGTTCTTACTTCAGTGCACCAGGCAGGAGATAAATATAAATATGCGCGTGAGTCGTTATTTCATTGCATCTACCCAATCTTTCGTATAATAAATAAATCCCTTCATCCAACAGTCATCCTCATGCCTATTTATCGCTGCCCTGTTTCCGATAGACATTATGAGCAATTAAAAGAGAGCGCATGTGGGACGGGACGGCCTTACCCCGAAAATGACGGCGTGCCCGGCGCTGAAGATTTTGCCGGGCTGGCCCTTGCCCGGCGAGATTTTCGAGGGTGACTTGTACGCATGACCGACGCACGTCCCGCCGCAAGCAGGCGCAGAGAACTCAAACGTCGCATGGCTCTCCGGGTCCTTGCTGGTGTGGAAGTCGTTCGTGACCTTGACAGCGAGGCTCCCGCTGAGTTTCAGGGTGTCGGCGGCCGCGTTGAGGACGGTGGTGACGTGCGACGACGCGGTCTTCTGGAGGGCCTCCTTTGCCTTTTGGTTTGCCTGTGCCTTTTTGATCTTCTTCTCCTGCGCGGCGATGGCTTTCTTGGCGGCGGTCGCGGGGAGGGGCGCGGGGATCACGATGTTCGCTAAGTCGTTAGTGAACGTGAATGAGGGGGAGACCGATCGGCGTTGGAGAATGACGTCGTTGGTTGTGCCCTACAAGGGATATTAGATTTAGTAGAGAGCAATGTCAATGGGAATAAGTGTGGACAAACCTCAGGTAAGGGAGCTGCAATGACCGTGCTCGAGAGCAGGAGAGCAGAAAGAGCGATGAGGTATTTGAATTGCATGATGAACGTTGCAGATTAAAGACGACCCGAAAGAGAGAAAAGTATTAGGTAGAGAATGAGAAGAGAGAACTGGCTCAAGAGCAGGGGTGAGATGTCGCAGACACTGAGGAATGTGAGCCGCATACCCCATGGTTTTATAGCAGGTCGACGAGCTCTGTAGGCACGGCACTTTCGAAAATAGGCATTGATTGGTCCAACATGCATCAGAGGCTATCAGAGGCTGTGACGAGGGCCATGCGGTGTAAGATTGAATAGCAGACGCCAATCAACCCAATAAATCTTTGTAGATGCCTTACATCAAAGTGTCATCTCTATGTCCATCATAGGCCAGACTGCATCAGGGTCCAGAGAGGTTTTGATGAGATACATACTCGTTTGAGATCACTATGTTGTATTATTGTCAGCTTCCTGACCTTCAATAAGAGTTCAGAAGGCCCAGGATAATCGGGGTCTAACGAAACTAAGTGTGCTCAATCTCGATATCAAAGAGTTTGAACTGCTCGGTTTACTGTATGACGTTCAAATACTGTTCGAACCTGAGCCTGCCAGTGAAGGATTTGGTGTGGTAAAAATAATAGACCTATCGGAAGCGCCTGCTTACTAATTCTACTTGTCCGAAACTTACTGACACCGAGGAACCTGTGATCGATCATCGTCGCTGAAGCGCTGATGCCTGCATGCTATGTATACTCTCTGCATGCCCCTCGGAGAACTGAGACTGGAGTGATCACTCAGCGCCATAGCTCTATCAAAGGATATTGCATCTCGAGGTACGTACTTAGTTCATCAAGATGCGTTGCAGAGCGGTGAATTCCGAAGTCATTGGCAGTCTCATTGCCATCTTGATCGCAATATTGGGCCCGGGTCGCAGAGCGACCGAAAGGCAATCTTGAAAGGTTTACAAAGAGCGGACACGAACGACCGAAGTCTGACAACCATCGTCATGAATTGTCCGACCCCGAGCAAACACCATCTCCTCGATCTACCTCCTGAAACTGTAGACGAGATTCTTGCACACATATCCTCCCCTACATCCCTCCTCGCCGTGGCGAGGACTTGCAAGGCTCTAGCCAGCTTGGTCATCCCGAACCATCTCCATTTTCGTATCATTCGTGCTCCAATGGGTCGGACAGAGCTCTGGAAAAGTATTCTACGCGATGATCTACACGCTGCTAGTGTGCGTTCGTTGATAATTCAAGACGAGCAGGCCTGGGACGCAGACGAGACTTCCTCGAAGATCCCTCCTTTTGCCGGCCTTGCGCCAGAATCTCGCAAAGAAAGAGCGTTGGGAAATGGACCGGGGCAGCTTGATCCCTATGGGGAAGCCCTGCCTATATTTGTGTCAGCCATCCGACGTATGTTTAAACTTAATGAATTCGCATGGAATCGTGCGGCCTCGACGAATTTCAAGGGTATGGACGACGTATGGACGGCCTTGCAAGAACTTGGAACCGTCACTACACTAGATATCTCCGACCACCCCGATGGAGACGGAACAATCGAGGGCACCATTGGCGACCTACGTGAAGCATCGACGCCGAGTATCGTCTTTTCTGATTCAGTGAGCCATAAATGAACATACTCTGTTCGAGATTGCTTGAGATTAATCGACACTGCATGCCTCAGTTTTTGCGGTTTTCAGGGCTCACAACGCTCAAGGTGCACACAAGCGCATTCGACCATCAGGCCGACGAGCCTGACGCAACTCCGCTCATCGATATGCTTTTGCATAGATGCCCTAATCTTGAGGTGTGTATATAAGAGCTGCTTGCTCCTTTTCTATTGACTTACGTCAATTACACAGGTTCTTGAGCTTACCCTCGTTGTGCACCGCCACTTATCAAGTGCCTCCATGAGCTCTCTCCTCTCAAATGCAACCTGGCCAAACTTACACACTCTTCATCTTACGGAAGGCGTTGGCTGCTCTGTCGACTCCCTCGTGCGCTTTCTCGAAACACATCCAGGGATTGAAGATCTTTCACTTGGACGTATGATGCCAGGGCGCTCGTGGGAACAGTTCGCACAGGCCTTAGACACTATTGCGCCAATTCTACCCCGCCTGAAGACACTTGAATGCTCCTCGGCGCAAGCGGCAGCACTCCTCAAACCCTCAATGGTGACTCTGACCAGTTTGTCGGGAGTAGACATGCGCGACGAGATCGTGGTAGACGACTACTTTGGCTGGGACGATGAGTGGGAGCTGGAACATGCTGAGGACGAGAATTACGAAGAAGACACCACTGTCCCAATCCCCTCCCCTTGGAAAACTCCATTCCTACAACGATTAGCGGCATGCCCATCCATCAGGTATCTCGGGGTCATACATTACGAGAACTTGGCCCAACTCGAGGTGCTTGCAACGATTGCACCACAACTGACCTGGCTCGATATCGATACATGCGGACTCCTTGTGGATTCGGTGGAGCAGATCGTAAGTGCTCTTCTGAAATGCATCTCTCTATTCTAATAATCGTCCCCTCAGGCCCAATGGTGTGCGTTTTATTCACTGTTCCCTTCTCTGAAAGCGATCAGAGCGGAGCATCTTGTCTACCGAGGGCAACATGGCGAATATTCAATGAACGAGAATGATGATTGCATCCAAGCTTTGGCACGCGCTTGCCCGCAACTGGAGGTGCTGATTCTTTGGAAGCGGAAGATAATTTTGATCAGAGATAAGGCGGAACAAGTGGGTGCGCCTGTAAGGTGGATATCGAGGATGCTCGATGCGAGCGAAGAGGTGGATGGAGAGGTAGTCTATCCGACCGAGCAGTGACGCAACCTTTTTGGGTGTTGTTCTACTTACTGTAGCGTTACCATACTAATATGCACGATTGAAAGACACAAAAAGCTTTAGGTGCGCTATGGTTTAGCAGCGCTATTTCACCAAGAGCATGCTTATTCCGCACCGTACACAGCATTCATTGCGGCTCACACATCAAGACTGAGATATCCAAAGGCAACCGCGTATACCTTCCATCTGGGTTCCCTGTCACCGTGTCACCGCTTTCTCATTGACCATTTTGACACGAATGCTGTTTGCTGCAGTATCTAATCTGACATTGGGAGGGACACATTCATGACAGCTTGGTTTTGTAGGTTTTGTGCAAACCCGACTGCTCGGTATAGGTTTTGCCGTTGTCCTTGAACAACACTTTAAAGGATGTTTTGCAATTGAGCACCTTTATTAATTGGTGTCGCGTCGGAATCCAGCACGAGTGCACAGAGGTAGAGGTACAGCACATACGTTGGGAGGGCTTCAAAGGCTGGTCATGGTACTAAAAGCTACTAAAAGGAGCTAAAAGGGCTCTTCCTGCGCTACCACCTACCAAGCTTGGAACTTGCCACCGCTGCTTTTCAACTGAACACGGAACTCCAAAGTCTCTGTCTTCTCCTCTTTCTAGGGCATATCTAGTATTCATCATCGATACGTCGATCAGATTTCCAATCATTAAAACTGCGTTCAGCGTGCATCGGTTATGGCTGACCACTTAGAGCAGCTGGTGCTCTCAGGCAAGCTCTTCAATGGCGGCAGTCGCTCTTCATCTCCAGAACGCTCCCCATCGCCTGATGCATTGTGGCCTGACGACGGCGAAACCTATTCTGACAGTTCAGACACTACTGTTGACCGCTTGCAGCAGATCGAGAGCGCTCTTGGTGGCGAAGGGGGGGCACCATCTATCGGCATGGGGCCGGGCCGCACGGGCGTGAAAGGGGTGATTCGCGATCGTGACGAGGCGAGTGCACTCGCGCGCGATCGCAACGCAAGAGATGCACAAGCGTTGGCACGGGCTATGGAGAAGGCTAGCTTGGGAGGGAAGACGTTCTTAGAAGAGGAAAAGGAGAGGGAGTGGGAGAAGGCCACGTTGGAGGGGATCTTGGGTGGTACACCGGCGGTATTAAGTGGCAAGCGGGTGGGGAGATTTGGGCATTTGAGGGAGGTTGGTATGAGAGGGTTTGTGCCGGCTGTTGAGGAAGAGGATAGGAGTGTATGGGTGGTAGTGCACATCTACGATCCGGTACGTGCTCTTTCAAGTCTTTACACGTCCGCCCAATTCATGGGTTCTCTTCCAGTCACTCCACCGGTGTGATGCCCTAGACGACACTCTTGCGCGTCTTGCACGATTGCACACCGAAACCAAATTTATTCGATGTCGGGCGAGCGCTATCGGCTTTGCATCTACAGCATCCTCCCGCCCGCGTCGCCCACCTTCTTCGTCGTACCTCTCTCGTTCGCGAGTTACGCCGGATCGGATCGGCGGCACTGTTGACGAAGACGATCCGTACGGCGACATCACCGACGAGAAGAGGTCTGAAGATGACGACTTTGGCGAAGAGGACGAGGATGTCGTGGACACAGACATGCTTCCCACCATGCTTGTGTATCGGGCGGGGGACCTTGTTCACAACTGGGTACGTGTAGACTGGGAAGCAGGAGTGGCGGGTGTCGGAGATTTATTGGAGCGGTAAGTCTGAATTGTACATCGCCAAGTTCATTCAATTCTAATATGTTATTCGAAAACTCTGTGTCGCGCAGGCACCACATCGTTGCCCCTGCACGCTCAGGGAGCAGCAATCTTGGCTTCCCTTCTGACGACGAAGACGACCTGGCACTCAGCGGCTCGGAGAACGGGTTTTGATAATATCTCTGAGAGAGGAACTTTCCCATTCTTAGACTCATACTTTGGTATTGGTTTATTTCTTGTCGCATCACTATCGCAACTTTGTCTAGCTGGGAATGCCTGGAGTTACTCTAGCTATGGTGCGCAGTCAACGGCGTGCTAGCACAACAGAGCCGATTGACTCCTCCAGATATCTTGCACTCTGGAGATTGCTTGAAGTTCTTGTCTGTCGTGTTGCATTCCTTTGACCTTGTTTTAATTTGCAGGAAACTGATATTCACGAACTGCTCCGCAATTTGCGACCTGTTTCGCTCGATGAATTCACAGCATTGCTCATGCCCCGTATCCTCGTCGACGCGGTCACAGAGGTGCAAGGCGCTTGCGCGTCGCTTCTCGGAGACGGATCGAGAAGTTGGAAGCGTGTGTTTGATACTGTATATTCACTCGAGACCAGACCCACTTACGGCTAAGGCTTTACCCCGAGCGCTCAGCGCTCAGCGTTGGTGCCAATGCAACGCCCTCTCGTGTATACGCCTGTGGCCTCTTTGTCCAACGCTGTCCAAAGTCGGTGTCTCGTCTGCGCCCCTCAGAATGACTGAACACTGGCATTCCTGGTTAGATGTGCTATAAGTTTATAAGCAGCTGTACCGCATCGCTGCTGGCTATGGTTTTCGTGTGTGTACTGCTGATCATAGGACAAGTCACCCCTCCGCTATCTGACTTTAGATCCGCATAACAAGTGAGTATTACTGATACTCTAATTTCACCTGAACATAATTGGATTCACTTTCGCTCGATTCACCGAGGGCTCGTTGATAACTCCAGCGTCATGCTGTGCGCGGTCTTGAGCATGTTCTGTGATACTCTCCAGAGTGGCAATACGTGCCCCATTCTAACCACCTCAACGCCTGGTAACAGGCTCCTCCTAAGGTGCGTCAGAGAGAAATCCAGAGCCTTCACAATTCTTTCAAGTCATGATTACTACCTGGCACCGCGGCTAAGCGACGAAAAATTATACTGATTGGGATGACAGCGCTACCGGTTACTTAACCAAATCGGTTGTAACATGTGTAATCGTCTTAGCTTTTGCATCGCGGTTTGACAGACAGCCTCGGACAGCTCGGACTCAGCTATATGTGGACACTGAAACTGACGTTGTCCTTGGTCTTGCGGTCTAGACGGTGGGATTCATTGTCACCGCTGTCCAAGGATAGCGTCTTTCCTACATCATCATTTCTTGAACGCCGATGGGTGTTTCATCTCTTATATTATCACCAGACTTGCGATGATATGCTCCGTGCGTTACTGCTCTTTGCGGTCGCCCCATCACCCACGAGATATTAGTGTCGCTGTTAACTAACCTCCAGTCACGGAACACCGCTGTCTTGGATGCAAGTTGAATCTAGGTCAGTCTACCACGATCTTCATCGTGCTATCAAAACATAGTCGTTTCCCCAACGTTGCCATAATTTTGATTTGATGCACAGTTCACACAAAGAGCGGCACTGTTTTTCGCTTCTTTGGTCGCATCTTCTTATTCCAAAGGATGGCTACTTCCATGATACTAGGACGTGACTCACCATGCTCAAAACGGTTATGCAGTCGTTGGCGCAGAGCGGGAGGAGGGCCACTCGTCGCTCGTATACCGAAAGCAGGGTCCTCTGGTATCTAGTTCTGGTTTCATCAAACACAAGATGCTTGTCACCATATATCCAATGTGGCCCGAAACACTGTGGCATAAGGCACATCCCTATGCGCTCCGGTGTTTCGCTAAGGTCTCAATCTTCGTCAATCGCTTGTCTGATATTACGCTCTCCCATCGAACGACGCCCGGCAATTATACGAGACCCCAGTGACTGATCTGATTGATACGGCGCTTGCGATACCATAACATTCTGGAGATAGTTTTGCTTCAGAAACATGCCGCGTCATTGGGCGTTGAAACTCTCGCTTCTACAGACTTCAGCAGGGTCTGCCACACGATTTGGAATGTTAACCTAACCGGCCCTGCGCTATGACTGTATGGCCTAGTCAGCCTTGAACTCCGAGCAAGATGAGTGGATCATTTCAGTTGATCTCTCGGCAATCTAGCTCACGTGTTGAGAGGTGGTATAAAAACAGGCGTTTCGTCAAGCTGATTTACACGCACAATGTTTGTTTCTATCTATCCCTCTTTATTCTTCGACCTATTGCTCTGTTCTGCATGTTCGAGCATCTTATATGTTGTACTCCGAATTTCGCGAACAACGAGAAGATCCCATTTCAGAGGTATCCCTGGGCCGTTACCCAAATCATACATTACTGGTAAATCTGGACGTTGCCCATTCCGTTATGTGACATGCAGCTCATGTGCTTGGTAGGAAACCTAAGCCAGCTCTTCAATGCGAAAGGCCTCCCATTCCATGATGATCTGACTAGACTTTACGGAGATGTCGTAAAAGTGTATGGGTTCTTCGGGGTGAGTGCTTAGTTGCGGCTGCTTTCGCGTTCTCAAGCAAACTTGTAACGTAATATCAAATCTAGGATGAGCAACTTTACATTTCCGACCCGAGGGCTTTACAAAGCATCATTGTGAAGGATCAAGACTCATTCGAAGAGACCACAACGTTCATCGAGTAAGTGTCATTCATCATGGCATATTATCATTAAGCACAATCCCACAAACAGGACAAATAAACTTATTTTTGGGGAAGGACTCGTCGCGACAGTCGGTGCGTGATAATGACCAAGACTTGTGCGATACTTGGTGGTGTTCATGTCGTACACATTAGGAGACCATCACAAACGTCAGCGTAAAATTGTCAGCCCTGCGTTCTCTGTCCCGCAGCTACGGAAGCTGGTCCCAAAGCTTTACGATGTAGCGCACAGGGTTCGTCAGCTGTGGTATGTCTGACATGATTGTTGTTTAAACACCTCGATTTTAGCTGTCAGACGCCGTAGGGAAGGAGATAGAGGGCTCGTCGGAGGTCCTGGACATGGCACAATGGATGTCGCGCGTAGCGCTCGAATCTGTTGGACAGGCAGTTCTGGGTTACTCATTCGACCCTTTGAATTCCCCGTCAAACAACCCCTACACCAAGGCGATCCGTGAACTTATGTGAATATCAATCCCAGTTTCCACTTGTTTCATACGTTACTCACGCTTTTTCAGTCCAGCACTCTTTCGCGTCTCCCTAATCCGGCAGTTTGCTCCTTTTATCTCTCGCATCGGCTCTCCAGCGTTTCGTCGCAAACTTGTTGATATAACGCCGAACGCGACTGTACAAAAAATCAAGATGATGTCCGATGTAATGTATGATACCGCAAAGGATATATTACGGGACAAGAAGGACACGTTCTCTGGGTCAAAGGACGCGCACGAGCAAACTCACGACCCAAAGGACATCGTCAGTATTTTGCGTAAGCGACTCATAGTTTTCGTTATGGTCTGTTAACTTCAATAAATCAAAATCAACAGTCGGGCAAAATAAGGGTTCTACTGCGGAAGAACAGCTCAGTGATGAAGAACTGATAGGACAGATGACGTAGGTGACTCCGTGATGAAATGGACGTCCCGGGCTAATCTGTTGTTTCGTCGTAGCGTCCTCATCTTTGGCGCTCAGGATACAACCTCTTCTGCCCTGTCTCGCATCTTATTCATGCTAGCTACTCATCCAATAGTACAAGACAATGTACGACACGAGATTCAACAGGCACGCAGTCGAGAAAGTAATACTCGACTTAACGATGATAACATCTGTTATGACCAACTTTTGTCGCTGCCATGGCTAGACGCAGTCATCAAGGAGACCTTGCGATTGTAAGCTGATCCAGAATATGGTGTGCTAGCGCTCTGTGGCCTTGAGACTGACCCTAATCACAATGACAGATATCCCCCTGTTCCATTTGTCCGCCGCACGTGAGTATCGATCTCTTCCTTCCAAACGCTGGTCGGCGCCATGTCAAAATGCTCACCTTCACCCCGGTAGGGCTACTGAAACATGTAATGTCCCTCTATCCACCCCTATTAAGCCATCGGACCCCACACAGGGCCAGCCGAGGACAGCGCTTACCATCCCAAAAGGGACAACTCTCTTCGTGAGCATCGTCGCCCCGAATCGTTCCCCATCCATCTGGGGTCCGGATGCTTTGGAATGGCGACCGGAGCGCTGGCTTTCGGCGCAGTCGCTGGGCTCAGGACACAGGGATGAAATGATGCGTTTACCTGGGATCTATTCAGGGATGTGAGCATCATTTCATCAGTGATCCAAAGGGTTCGTTGATGCGAAGACTCTCAATAACGCATTCAGGCTGACCTTCCTTGGCGGTGGGCGTTCTTGCATGTAAGCTCTCTGAGCCCCCTTCTCTTGCGAGTTATGAACTGATTCAATGCGATAGTGGATATAAATTCGCACAGATCGAAATGAGTAAGTCGCACATAGTCTTTCAGTCTGTCTTTATCGGACTGATCGGTCAAAAAAATCAATGTGCTTAGAAGTCATCCTCGCAACACTCCTGAGTAGATTTTCCTTCTTCACGACCTCGGATCAGATCGTTTGGAATCTATCTCAAATCATCTCACCCTCTGTACAGAAAACAGACATTAATGGGTGTCTTTTTGAGCTGCAGGGTATGCCGCTTCTCGTGAAGCATGTAGTTGGCTAGTGTGTTGGATCATAGCTTCTGGGATGTTTTCGATGAGATTCTAGTGGACAGAATACATATGCGTTAGATTTAATAAGCTGTCGTATACAGTAATAGGTATATTGAAAGTGATACATAGGAGGCTGACATATAGTAAAACACAGCATAGCGTTCATGAAAGCGTTAGTAAGTGGACGCGCTCATCGCGAACCGCGAATAAAAGGACGAAACGATGGCCATCTGCCCGCTTGCGGGCAGCGGCTTCTCGTACTTGAACTGCGTAACCTGTGTTCTGTGTCGGAAAAGTTGTAGTAACTATCTTCCAGGCATCGTCATCGGTCACCCAACTAGCCGACTTGGATAACAGATCGAAAACTGTGCCTGGAACGTCAATCGCAAGGACAGGAATGCCAGATTGAACAGCATTCTGGATCTGAACGCCCATTTCAAAGGCTGGAAATTGTTGTGTCAACGAGACGAGCCAGTTGTATGTACTGGCTCTTGACTCACCTCTGTCGATGAACATCTGTTTCGTCTGCTTTCTGAGTTTCTTCTGGTCTCCCGGAAGCACCAAGTATATATCAGGGGCGCTTCCAAGATCTTTCGAAACAACTGGACCTTGGGAAGTCTCAGAAAGTATGGGCGTCCCCGAGGTCGACGCGTCGATGCGTTTCTGCTCTGCGATTTGCTGCTGTAACCAAACGACTAATTCTTGCCGGGAGACTACAGGAAACACATGGGGAAGGGAACATTCAAAGGAACAAGGTGCATACTCACCGTCAAACTCGGTCCCTTTCAAAATACTTTTCACCTTGAACGCTGGTTGGTCTCGCCGCATTTCCCGGGGGCGCGGAAGGACAGTGAAGCTGTCATACTTGTCATAAAAGCCGAAAATCAGGCATACCGGAACACTCACAGTATCCCCTCTCTATGACAGAGTTCATAATGGTTCTCGTGTTCGTTCCCGGGAAGACCTGATTCGTACATCACATCGGCGCTGATGCCATGACGCCACAACAACGCAGCAACTTCGAGTCTCTGACTCAAGAATCCTGGCTGATTAGACACAATGTAGACATCGCATCGCCTTGGACTCCAAAAGCCAAACGAACGTTGCTCTTTCAGCAGGGTTTTGACAGACACTGCTTGAAATGCTGCAAGCGCAATCAGGATCTTTTCCAAGGTGATTTGCAGACCGACGGCGCATACGGCATCACCCTTCGGTTTGGGAGGAGAAAATTGTGACACCATGTTGTCATATCTGCTCGATATGATGAGCATCGTATAGGGTTATTTTTATTTTTATTTGCTTCTTACCTGCCACCTACTGCGAGGATGTCGTGCAATTTACCTCGCTTGACAACTTGGAAGCAAACACCATCTTTGAAGCAAGTGCTACAACTGCCGAGCATCAAGGGGTGGAAATAGATAGGCCGGATCACACCGGCCATGTTCGCATACTGAATGGTCTTCTTGAGGTCGTGGAGTTCCGCAGAGAAGAGAGTCATGAATTGAGGTGAAATTTTTTCCAGTTTGGCGAGCAGAAGGTCCGCATCTTCATCTACAGAGGGTTCAACTTTGAAGTACAAGTACAACATGTTGGAGCTTACCGAAGTCGCTGAGGATTTCAAGTTCATCTACGGTACTCCTAAGCAACCCCTTCTTTAGAAGCATGGACCGTCTTTGGGCCCAAGAAGATTTGGTCTGAGTGATAACATCAACGACATGGTTGCGCATGTCTTCAGGTATCCGATTTAGTGCCGAGTCGATGACTGTATGAACAGATGTCAGTAAAGGCGACTGGTATATTGAAGACTCTTACTCCGGGAATGCGATATGTGTATCTCATAGGTCTGTGAGAGATCAGGAAAAGAATCGAGGACTTCATTGAGAATGATGATAGCTTCCGCAGTAGAGGCGCTTATCCCGTTCGCGACATCCGTCGTGATTATATCAAACACAGCTGCCTTCAATACTTCAGGATGGCCAGCAACCGGGCTAAAAGACTGTCAGTGTTTGGACTAAATCATGTATAAGCTTTATTACCTGGGGCGATATATATCACCTATATGAAATCGTTTGATCCGTCTGGTATTATTACGAGCAGCTAGACGCGCGAAAGGAACAAGGGCATTGTTCGGCAATGATACAACGTCTCCGTGCCGGTCGAGAAGCAGTGCACGACTCTTTTCATCGACAAGGTCCGTGACAGGCAAGAGCAGCGGCGGCTCCATATCTACCGCTCCGTGAAGACGAAATATTGCCGCCAACGTATCGTGAACGACCCCATTGAGGGATGTATGTTCAGGAAAAGTAAACTCTACTTCCATATCATACAGATGCCCCCGAGTGCCTCTGGCAGGTTGATTGAATAGCGCAGCTAGAACGGCTTGGTGGTGTGGAGAATCCGGCTTGGCTGTCGAGCAGATGAGTGGGCAAGCAAACGGAATTCAAAAAATATGCGAAGCTCACTCATCATCCGAAGTGCACCCTTGAAATACTCGTCTTCCAGCCTGGGTGGCAAGAGGTTGCTTTGAGAAAGCTCCAAAGCTGTTGGCCTCTCGGAAGGGTTATGACGAAGTAACCAAGATATAACTGTGAGATTGATATGAGACTCGACCTGCGCACTGATCCAGAAAGGTAGTTACTTTGTCTTTGTCGCGTTCGATGGCTTTCCCAATCTCTCGGGAAGAAGATATCGGGCTTCCGCAGATCCTCGATAACGGCGATCCGCTCTGCACCTGTGGTGAAGGAGTAATTCATCTCAAAGAACACGACCTGCAGCTGCGTCAGTACGGAGAGGGCACAAATTTGGAACAGTGGACCTACGCCCAGGCTATAAATGTCTGCTTTGGTATGATCACGCGGACCCTTCTTATGAGATTGGACCTCTGGGGCAATATAGAGTTTCGTTCCAACCTCTGAAAGAAATATAAGCTGGCTACCATAGACAGCAAGGAGGAGAATGCAAACCCAGAGTCATGTCTGATTCAACAATAGCTGCATGAGGAGACACATCTGACGGATCAACGGCAGCAAGGCTGGACGTTGCAAGCCCGAAATCGCCAACTGTATGAAAGTTTAGTTCTGCAGCCAAACTCAAATTATCACCACGCCTTGCCTTTGCAGTCGCCTTTGCCATCTGGAGTGATACTTAGTCAATGAAAGCAGGGATTATATTAAATGCAACCGACCTATGAAGATGTTGGTTAGCTTGATATCGCGATGCAACTGCAGCGCTCGAGGCGTTAGGCGAGCTCATTTTGATAATCTGAGTGGCAACCTACAATTCCAAGACCAGACATGTGGACGAGGGCGTCCACGATTTGTTGGAAAAGACGCCAAGCGTCGTCCTCTGAAAGCCCTTCAGCAATTCTCTATGGGAAAAAATAGTGAGTACGGCTGATCAGGAGATAACATGATATAGCTTACCTCTTTCAAGGTCTGACGCTCAACAAATTCCTGAAATACGAATAAGAAACAGTCCATCTTCGAAAGGGATGGTCTCACCATCTGAATGTACAACGTCCTCGAGGCTGACGGGGGAGGCGTCCTGGGAAGGACGTCGATCACAGCGTTCAAGCCATTTGTCCGAGCTCCGTGGAAGCCATTCCGGAAAGGCTGCTGATCATCACTGTCGCCATCACTGTCCTCCGTTGGCCCTGACCCTGACCCTGTAAAGTGAATACTTGGGAAGGATGACTGCGAATGACTTCTATCCAAGTCGTCCATGTCAACAGTGAACGGGTCTGTCGAGCCATTATGCTTGTGCTTGCTATTTGGCACCGAAGTCATCCCATCGGCCGTACTGCCCGAGTCTCCCTCTGAGTTCGAGCCATAGTCAGACGCGGCAGCGGATTCGGGCTCAGATAGCTCAAACCAGGTGGTATAGTACCGCACGATGAAGCGATGTGATAGGCGACTTAAAGCGTTCACTTCCCGAAAAATCCTGTTCTCTTTTGTCGCCCGCAGCTTGACCTTCTTCACTGCAAAGCCCTCAGTCCACTGATTATCATAAGTGCAAACAACATACCGGCATAGATACGAGAGTCGATCTTGTTGCGAGCTTTGACCACTGAGCCGAAAGCTCCTCGACCCTGGAGAGCAGACATAAGCGGAATATATCGGGAGGTGAAAATGACCGTACTAGTAACTCTAGTTCCTCCCAATCTTCTTTCCACCTGCTGACGGGCTTATTCCTGGTGATCGGTGCGATGAAATAGTCGATCTCCGGAGAACTGCTATAATTGTGAGGCACTGGGGTCCTCGGGTCTATATTTCGCGGTGAGTGAACAGACAGATACATGCACGTGCAAAATATACCTATGATCGCAATCGACGCGGAGCGACGTTTTCCATGAAAGGATGTCTCGGAGAGCCCTGTGAGGAGACTGAGGCAGGATACATGATTATTCTTTCTGGGAGAAAGCATGTTCAATGCGTGGTGTTGCGAAGTTGAAGTTATTGATGCTTAAAGGGACGGATAAGGCGGCATAGAGGATGAGCAGGACAATGAATACGCACAATGTTGCAACGCAGCTCGGACATCGGCAAATCGATCAACAACGTCAAGGCCCAGCAGCATCTGCAAGTATATGACCCCGACGCAATGTATATCTCGACTACGGGTATAGATTAGAGTCGAATCCATCGCATCCTTTCCTAGCCTTCAAGATCGTAATTTAGCATTGAAGAATACAGCATTAGAGACACCTTACCAATTCTCGGGTAAGCGAAGTTCGTTGATAACCATTGAAGTATTCGGCCCAAACGGATTTGACCTGTGAAGGTCCAACAGACGAACGTAGTACGCGACCTTCCCCACCTTGACCAACTTCGACTGCCCTGGCTGATCCCGCTTAACAAGCCCAATGAAATGCACAGAGAGACCTGGAAGGTATATTGAATATCAGAAACTGTATAATCATTTGAGAAACCCAGTCACCTCGATGAACAAGGTCTGCTGCATGCACAACGTGTAGCGCTTTGAGGATTTGCCCAAGATAATCCTGGCGCAGAGTTCAGCGTGGGGTGGTGAAGTTGACAAGTAAAGCACTGACAGTGGCGCGTTCCTCACGCAAAGCCTCGCAGTCCTCGAGCACGTCTCGCAAAGTGAGAGCAGGGCGTTGCTCCATGAGAATCGCCAGCCGAGGCGGCCCACTTGATTGTGGCGTTGTCAATTTAACGGCATAGATACTTAACAAGTTGTCGTGGCGGACTGAAATCACACGCTGGATTTCAGTTTCCAGTTGCTTGAGCTTCTTCCGACCTGAGATACTTGATGAGGTGCCAACAACGCAAGTGATGGATGACGTACCTTGATTTGTTGTATAGTAATGGGAGTCGAACGTGACAACATGCACCTCGAGTGGCAAGGTCGCGTTGACGTCGTCGCAGATCGGGTCAGCAAGATAAACAGTGCCCAAGCATTCTGAATAGCTAAAAATCAGATCTTTCATTCCCAGAGCTGCCCGTTCCCTACAAACCTTTGTGAGGATGGAACATCTTGACCGTCTGGAATTGAAGACCATTGATCTCGAGAAGGCAATCAAATGACTGTGTGAGGGTGTCCTCAGAGGACGAGGGAACCTCTGTGGCGTCGGACGGCGCTCGGTCGCGCGCCTTGAACTTCTGGCGCTCGGCTTGCTGGCGCTCAGCGTCGAGACGTATCTGCTCGTTGAAAGCCTCGGCGAGCTGTCGTGTGCGTTCTGCTTCTTCGTGCGCCTGTGTTTCTTCGCGCTCTCGTCGGGCCTTGACGTGGAATTAGGCAATTTGAACAAGCGGGTATAGTCAAGAACGCACACACCCTTTCTTCGTCCAACGCGCGCCTGTTCATCTCTGTGGCAAGAGAGCCGATGACTTCTACAGGTGGTATCACGTTGGTAGCGACCCAGTCCTGGGAAAAGGTGACGATCTTCTGGAAAATAAGCATGCGGGCTGCGCATCCTTTGCGCACGGCTCACCTGAAATACCATTTCCGTCCCTCTGTGATTTTTCACCTCCGTATGAATAGCAGCGGACAATTTCGCGACTTGATCGGTGGAGAGGCCCTTAATCGGATGTTGAATAGTGAATGTAGGATATGCATTGGTCGGATAGGTCTTGGGAAGTCTGGGTGGACTCAACGTGAGTCACGCAAAGAGGAAAGATTGGCGGCGCGCACATGACGTGTAGATTGAAGTAGATCTTGTCCGCATGTTGAGGGTCTGAATGGGGGACCTTGATGATAAATTCAGGAAGCCTTGCGGCAGCCTAGGATGGCGCTTCGAGTCAGTTAACCGGTTTTAGATAGACGACAGGACGGTAACGCACTTTCCATGCCTTTGGAGGCGGACATTCCATGAAGTCGTCTGCATAGATAGATTTGAGGACAGTGATCTCGAGTTGTTGTAGTTCCTGAGTAGATTCCATGCTTTGAGGCAATCGGCCTGGCAAGAGATATGGATAGAGTTGAGTGGTGTATCCAGCAAGTGTAGTGGATGCGATGCTCAAGAGGAGAGGGCCCAGTGGACCTCAGCAGCTCAAGCGGCCATGGCTCTTTGTTCTACGATAGGCGATGAATGTCAAGAAGAGGAATTGCCTGTGGTCGTACAGCAAAGGATGCAATTTGAGGCGCGTTCGCAGTCCCGCATAGCACCGCTGTCCCCAGACACCCTCATGATCACTTATTGCTCGACCGCTCTGGTGTGACGGATAGTTTCCCCAGCTGGAACAGAATAAAAACGGCCATAATTCTCAGGATTATATGACGTACTGAGTTATGCCGTCAACATAGTTCACTGCCCATGTTTACTTGGTTCAAGGGCGCCCTTAGATTCTGAGGGGTGGCTTGGGGCTTGCCAGTGGCTTGCCTCATTTTCACCACGTTTATGGCGCAGTGACGCGTCGACGTCCTCCTTGACATGACTCACTCACAATACTAGACGTTCCCTTGCCCGACTTGACGCACATCTTGGGGCTCGGAGGGTCCTAAGGAGATGTTTAGATCAACTCAATGTTCTTCACTATTGCCATCGATTCCACACAGTGTCTCTGGTGCGTGTTATGCAAGGACTGTGTCTATCCATCTTCTCTCCTACAAGTCCAAGTCGGTGAGTCTTTCGGCAAATTTTGGCGACTAATAGATGTATGAGAGCTGTATAAGGGGTAAGCGCATATCAGTATCCTTAGACATATAAAAACGAGAGTGACTTTCAAGGACAAACCTGCGTTCGCTCTTCTTCCGCAGATACAAATAACTCGATTGTCACTGGGCATCACAGGCTCGACATCACGCCCGAAGTGCACGTTTTGTGTGTCGGGTCAACACTAGTTAGACGTGTGCATCTCCGTCCACTCAGTCGAGGGGTTGTGTAAGTCATCTCCCATCAATTATGATGCTATTCGCATCTTCTAACAGAAGCGACCTCGCCTCTCTCCTCACGCCTTGTTGACGTGTCCTTGGAGATGATATTTTGGACGGCTGCCCATATTGCTGTTGAACTGCTTTAACAACGTATCCGTACACTCCGAGGTCAGCTTCCTTTGGAATCCTTCCAGTATCTTATCTCATTATCTTTCTCTTTTTTGAACCTGACCTAGATGTTCGTTTCAAGATCGAGCTGCAATTTATTGTCGATATATTCGAACCGACTAGGCAGCATGAAACCTGAGAGCATATCACTTCTGTATGAAGCCGCCTTTGGAATCGTGATCTTCACCCCACTCTGTGAGGCATAGATTGCCTCAACTCACTCTAAAGATTACTTCATGTGTCCGAAAGTTTCGACAAGGATGCTGTACTCTATCGTGGTATTGGCCGCGACATCGATCAGAGCGCCATACATCTATACGCTGATCAGGATCTTGTTGAGATTTAATTTACCATAAGACTCCAATAGCTCGCGCCCAGGAACATTTCGAAAGCTGTCAATTGAATGAAGAGTGGTAGCAAGACGCTCGAAGTGATGTCCTTATTTGAAGCCAGATGTTCATCGAACGTATAATTGGGTTCCAGACGTATCACCTACGATACTGGCGTATACAAGGCAGTATTGGCGTGAACGTCGGTAGCGTGCCCACTGCTAAAGCAATATACTGCAGTGATCTTAGTGTTTGAGTTAGCGAGCGCGGCGAGCGCCCAAGCGCCCAAGCTCAAGTGATGATGCGGGTCACGGGCTTGTACATATTGCCTTACGACGTCTTGGCAGTGGCAGAGTGAGGCTCCCTTGGCTCTATCCTTCGTCTTGGCCATGAGCGGCATACGACCTTGACGGCCTTATTCCTTTCTCACTCTTTCTTCACCTTCTTTCATCTCGTTGTTGGGCATGGTGCCGTTCTTCTGCTTCGTCGCTGCAATCTTCTTCGTCTCTGCTGCCGCAACGCCAATAAACCATGCGAAGAGGCTTGTTGACGGTATCCATATCCCTCTGGTCAGGTACCAGGCGGCGCGAACTCAAAGAAGATCACAGAGGGCGGGAGCTATTGGTTTGGGTAATGTCGTAGACGTGTAGGTCAATATCAATCGGTTTCGAAGCGCGCACTTCAACAGTTACCAGAACCTACAACGTGCTTGTTCAAATTGGGTCAACCAGGACACCGCTGGTTCTCGGTGCGTGGTTTCCATCTTCTTTTGTACGCGACTTCCTGATAGTCGGCATTCCAGATACTGGCTCTTCAGACCTCTGGGTTCTGTCAGACGCGTGCAAGTCCAATTGCTCGTCTGCGAAGGTCCCCCTCTACCCCATCTCGACATTCAAGGACACTGGACTCGACGTACACCTTCTATACGGGGATTCCTTCACCGGAACACACGCGAAGGGCCCAATCGGAAAGGACACAGTGGGCGTTGCAGGACTTATACTCCCGGACCAATACTTTGCAGCGATATCAGACACAAATACTAGCATCCTACAGACGGGTTCTGCGGGAATATTTGGTCTCGGTTTCCCCGTGAACAGGTGAGTTTTGGTGTTTTGGCGATTGGCATGGACGGCCATCTTTATGCTTCAGGCCTGCGAAGCTTTGCATGGCTTGGAGCTTCGAACTTCAATCGGGTCGAGCGCTTGTCGATGTTTCCTAACATCTTTAAGCACTCATATGCATCGCCCGGATTTTCCGAGCCATGCCCTCCAACAATATGACATTTCTTCTGCGGGAGAGTCAACATCTGTATTGTGCTTCTAAATTTTGCTCTTTCATCCCTATTTTGCAAACGGGGACGCCAGTTTCCGCTCTATGACTGACTTGGTTTACAGTGTTATATGGAACAAACTTCTCAGTGCTAAGGTCAATGGAGTTTCAAGACGATCTACAGACTCTTCGATCGATTCATCGTTCGCCTCTCGAGTCTTTCCTGACTTTTCTTTTGTACACCCTGCATCCGAGCTGCAATCCCGACAATCATTCACCATCACTGTCCACGATGTACTTGAGACATTTGAATCCAACGGCCCGCTTGTCTCTCGGCTCGCTACACAGGGAAAGCTCGCGGCACCCCTTGTGACCATTACATTACAGCGGGACACAGTCGACGTTGGAGGGAATTTAGGCATGCTGTCTATTGGAGAACTTCCGCGAGGCGTGAAAGCAGATAGCCTGACGTGGGTGTCCTTGCGAGGATATACTACCGCTGAGGGAGGTTTGCCTGCTCCTGCTGAGTCACCTAATGAGGTCAGTGACGCGTCGCAGCGATGGGGCTTCTCTGCTGATACGCACTCACAAGGTGTATCCTCTGGCATGGGAAATACCGATCGACGATGTTTATTTTGACGGCCAAAAACTGCCGAAATCGAATTTAACGTCATCGAAGATAAGCTTGTCTGCACTTGTCGATACTGTAAGCTCCTTTGTTTGCTAGCAGGATAACGAGTAGTCTCACGCTTTCTAGGGGAATTCCTTAATTCGGGGCCCACAAGACGTCGTGCAAGCAGTGATGAGTCGATTGGGCAAAAACACATACCCGTGCGGGGAGGCGCACACGCTCGCTTTCAAAATTGGTGGGAAAATGTTCAATGTCGACCCTCGTGATTTCGGCTCGCAGACATATATCAACTCAGTCGATCAGTGCTCTCCGAATCTCGTTGCAACTGATCCGCCGGGGGAAGGGTTTCTGTACAGCTGGAGCCTAGGCGATCCTTTCCTCAAATCGTGAGTTGCATATTCGACATAGCTATTGATTGGACTTACTTGGCAATTGAAGTGCACTCGTCTCATTCTACTACGGTAACCTAACATATCCATCCAAGGATGCTCCTCGCATAGGCCTATTGTCGACTGTGCCGGATGATGCGGCCGTGCAATTGCAATCTGCTGTATCCGCAGCTGCTTCATCGAATGGAAATCTTCCTGGTGAGTTCTCTATTTTCTCACCACTCGGGACGAGCACACTTCATAGCATTATGTCTGTAGTTGTCTCTCACTCGGCTCCTTCGGGAACCCTTGTCGCTGCAAGTACAAACACGCTGGGTGTTGCACAAGCATGTGCGAGTATGTCGGGATCCAATCCGAGACAATCGTCTGGTACAGTGGTCTTGATTCGAATCAATGGGTCGTTCTCATTTGTGACGGTGTTGTTCTTGATGGCTTGTATGCTAGTCTTGTACATATAATCCACTCTCTAATCCAATCTAACCTGAAAAGCTAGAAGGTTCAGGGTAGGACAGGGGTATGGCAGTGTTTATAAGAGGCCGTAGGTGAGCATAGGTGAGGGTTTTTGTGGTGAGGGCATGTCATATGCTACACATAGACCAGCAGAAGAAGAGGGAAGCAGTGCTGCCTGGGTCACTGCATGGACCGGCAGAAGAAGAGGGCAGCAGTGCTGCCCGGGTAATTGTAAGGACCAGTACAAGGCAGAGGGCAGCAGTGCTGCCTGGGTCACTGCATGGGCCAGTGCAAGGTAGAGGGCAGCAGTGCTGCCTGGGTCACTGCATGGGCCAGTGCAAGGCAGAGGGCTAGATTGCAATGTGCATATCGCAATAATTGTGGGTCACTGCATAGACCAGTACAAGGTAGAGGACAGCACTGCTGCCTTGACCACTATTTGGACCAGTGCAAGGAAGAGGGCTATATTTATATAAGCATATGCAATATTTTGCAATGTGCTTATTGTAATAGTTGTGTGATTGGTGACATTTTAGGTATGATTTACCATATACTGTTACTGAGTAAAGTGAGGTGATGACAGTTAGTTGAGAAAGTAAGGAGACAAAAGAATAGATCTCTTTGTTTGAGGATAGAAAGTAATTTCATTCTAACCTGAAAAGCTAGAAGGTTCAGGGTAGGACAGGGGTATGGCAGGGCTAAAGAGGCCATTGAGAGCCATCCATGCCAATACGCGGTGTCGCGCTCGCACATTGTTAGGCATCAAATAGTGATGGTAGAATGGAGGGCAGAATATCTGACTAGAAGAAAGAAAAGAGAAACAACCTGGAAGGGACAGGACATTTAATTCCGATTTTCTACATATTTTTCGAGTATTTTACCACTTAAACTTGATTTCCTATCCCTTTTCATACTTATAATTCGCTTTTGGGACAGATTCCAGAGCCTAGGGTCTATTTCAGAAAGGGCTAGACCATGGCAAGACAATAAGGAATGGAAAGAAAACAGTGGAATCTGGTAGAATAGAAGGGAGCTTTAGTGGAAGGATGGAGAATGTTTAGGAAAGGGGCAAGGTCTAGGGCATTCCAAGCTGAAAGGAGGGGAAGGTTCTGAGCAGTTCTGAAGGAAGCTGAAGGAATATTCTACCACATTCTGAGCCTTTCTTTTACTTTCCTTTCTGTTCCTCTGCTTTCCTCCTAATTCTTTTTATTTCTACAGCATTCTTTGTGACTCACAATGACTCTACTCAGCCTGTATATACTAGGAAGGAGATTCCCACTTGAAATAGTATATAAGGAGGCTGATTGTCCTGCTTCAGGCAGAGACCATCTCTCCCTCTTACTTTTACTCAGTCAGTCAGTGCCAGTCAATAAGTTCTTTGAGTGATATCAGTTGGAGATAAGCTGCAAGACTCGTAGGGATACTAGACGAACTAGTAGCTCGCCTTCAATCTGTGTAGCACCTCAGCAACTTGAATCACAAAGTTCTCAAGCCTCTCCTCATTATTCTCAACATTTACGGAGTATTGTCTTTGTTAGTGGTCCGGCACCACTTCAGAAATTCGCTAAATAGCTCAAGATATTCTCATCGTTGCCTATAACTGTGACCAACATCTGTGTATTGTGCCAACACCAGAAGGTATCATCTAGAACAGCAATCAAACGAACACTAGGTACATCCGGAAAAACAGGAAACCCCGATTGTATCTAGGGGAGAAACCATTCCTCACCGCGACATAATTGGAGCCCACCGCGAGGGGAGTATTGTTGCCGACATTCTAGGCTATATACCTTCACATCGTTGAGGTATTCTAACCTGAAAAGCTAGAAGGTTCAGGGTAGGACAGGGGTATGGCAGGGCTAAAGAGGCCATTAAGAGGTGAAGAAGCCACCCATGCCAATACACGGCTGACATGATGAGCCTGTCCGCGGCTGGAGAGGCTCGTCATGTCAGCCACGTATTGACAGGGCTGAGTCCCGATACGCGCCTGACATGACGAGCCTCGCTACGGCTGGAGAGGCTCGTCATGTCAGGCGCGTATCAGGATTCCGCTGTGCCAACAAGCACAAAACCTGCACAAACTCGACTCTACATGAATGAGACAGCCTACGAGCATTAACCTTACAGATGCCTGTGCTGTGAGTATGTTCTTATTATATCTTATTGTACCTTTTATTTCTCGCACTCGGCTTTGCAAACGGACGATGGGCCTCCGCACCGCCGAGGGCATGTACTGATACATGATGTTTCCTTCTCTTTTCCTCTACTTCTACTATCTACAGATCCTCGAGGGACTAACCTTTCCCTTCCCGACCCCGTCTCTGTCCTCGTCCACGCCTACGCCCCCGCTCAGCGCCGCCTCTTTCCCCTGCGCCGCCACGATGTCTAGTAGTATTACCGACACTTTTGAGTCCACCGATATCCGAAACTACTGTGTTGCCAATTAAATGCAAATATAAATATGAAAAAATCCCTTCTGTAATCTTCATACCCTGCTTCAACTTTGAGGCCCAGAAGCAGTGAGATTGAATCAGGGGTTCAATAGATATGGATTTAAACAGTCTACCCCCTAAAACCAGACTGTGTGAAGCACAGTCTGGGTTTTGGGAACCAAATCGGAGGTTGCACACAATTCTGTCTGATTCAATAGGCTTAAAATGTATTTGTCATGGTACCCTAATATTTTCATTAGTAGACATGGAGTACTGAAGATGTTATAGGCAGAATACAGAATTGAGGGAAAACCTCAAAAAACCGAGTCTCCAGTCCACAATTGTCCTTTTATTTCCATTGCAAAACTAATAAAATGCTCCTACATACACTACCTTTCAGATTATACCCTAATTTTATTATTTGGATGAGGGGATCCAGAGATATGTAATTGTTTGTGATGTTGAGGGTATTTTGCAACCCGGAGACACAGTTTAGTCAGCATCGGGAAAGGGCGGCACACAGTCGGGAGATTGCGGGCGCACAGTTGTCACACTGTTGTCACTCCACGCACAGTCTCTCTGCTGCGCCACACAGTCCGGCCGAGACCGCACACAGTCCGGATTTTGGCGCTGGTTCAGCGCCACACAGTCCGGATTCTCGGTGACAGTCCGAGATTTGGCGGTGAATCTGCGCCACACAGTCCGGCCGTGCCGCACACAGTCCGATGATTGTCGCGCCACACAGTCCGACTGTGTCGGCACACAGTCCGACTGTGTCGGAGACAGTCCGAGTTTTCCCTCCGACTGTGTCGGCACACAGTCCGACTGTGTCGGACACAGTCGGAGTTTTCCCTCCGACTGTGTCGGCACACAGTGCCCTCCAACGTCTCGTGATCAAGCACGCCGCCACGTCGCGTCGCGTCGACCCTCCCCACACCTTTGAACATCGAGCGCAACATGCTTCCTCAGCCGAGGTCTCTTTGCTCTATCAGGACATTTTGGATTTCATCAGTGAGCTTTTTCTTCTTCTGAACCCTTCCTCTGCATGCTCTCGACGACGCCAGCAGACAACAGATGCTCAGAGAAAGTGCGCACTGCTGATATCATTTTTTATTACAGTTTGCAGCTACAATACTCCGGGCACCCACTCCATGCTCTCTCCAAACCCTCTGCCATCTCCACTGCCATCTCTTTTCTCATCAACATCCACAACATCCGTGTCGGCGCTGTCCTCTTTAAATGACTGCTCTGCGCCCACCCTGTCTCACGACGCGTGGAGCAAAGCGACTATCTTATCACGCAAGGTTGAGCACATTGAAGAGAAGAACAAGGAGCAGATGGTGATAGAGGCAGAGGAGGGACAGCGGCTGTCGAGAGACGAGGGTGGAGCGACGGGACGATGGTGACGGGCACACACTCGTCGAGCAGGCAGAGCGGTACGACGGTGCGTACCTCCTGTCATCGTCCCCTCCCTCAACATCCCTGCCTCGAACCCCTACACACTCGTCTTATCACCCCCTTGGTTCCTCCTCGTATGTGTGGACCGACTACTCCTCCCATCCGCCCGCCCCTCCCTCGACTTGCGTACCCTTGACTGTTCGCACTCCCGCCCTCGATGCCACGCACACCCGCCACCCAGTGCGCTCGACCGCCACCTGTTGCACCACGACAAGAAGCCCAAATTCGCCTCTTGCGCGCTCCAACACCTCCGCGCTGATGCTCTTCGCCTTCCCAGTCCTCCACCATGCTTAGCCCTGTGGACCATCCACTTCTCCATCCACCCACGACTCGCTTGAAACAATGCCGGATCAGCTCAATGTCGACACTTGGTTGCAGGACAAAGTAGGACGGGAATTGGCGGCGCGCTGTCCAGGGCGCCCAGTCGCTCCACGCGGCGTAAAAGTGCCGGTGGACAAGTTATGTTGCAGAAACGGCCGCGTGCTGTCTGCGGCAGCCAGGCTCCCCACAGCCCAAATTCGCCGAAGGTGAATTTGGGCTTGGTGGGGAGCCTGGCTGCCGCAGACAGCACGCGGCCGCCGACTTCGTCGGCCTCATTTCCTTCCTTCCTCCTCTCCCTCTCCTCCTCTCTCGTGCTCTTGATGCTGACATTTGACATCATGAACAGCCTTCTCGGCAGAACGTTGTCGGACACAGGACACTAGAGGGCCTCAAGCGAGCTTCAGACGAGTGTACGATAGCAGCAGAACACGCGCTATCACTGTTCCAGCAGTCTCGAGAGTACGGTCGTGCGACATGCCCAGCCTCGCAGCCTCATTCTCCCCTTGTATCTTCTATTTGTCGGCTAATACCATATGCATGTAGTCCGCGCGACTCGTTCTATGTACTTTGCGTGCATATACACCTCCCTCGAAGCTACTTTCTTAGGTGCTCCTCTGTAGCTACAGTCTGTATTATTTTTCTTGTTGTATCTATATTTATATTTTGAACTCAGGCCCGTTCACCCACACGATTTGTGAGCGAAATTTTTCGCCCGAAGTGGAAGGAGCACCACTGTACCTCGATCGTAATGAACAGCTCTCAATCGTCTCTCAGTACATCTTCCTTCTCCGCGATCCCTCGTCCACGCCCTGTCCGTGCCAATGTCGACATCCTCTGCTAGCCTGCAAGCCAGAGACTTCTCGACAGGCCATCGGCCACATCCTCTTCTTCTACAGGACGATCGGTTGAGAAACCAGCGCAGACACTGGTCCAGATGAGCGAAATGAGCACTTTAAACCTTTCGTTGTGAGTTATCTTTTGTTCCTTTTACTTCTCGACACCCGCTTCCTTTGCGCTCTCTTTCCTTTGCGCTCTCAATGATGCAAGCGGACGATGGGCCTCCGCCGAGGCCCTGATAAAGCTAGCATCGTTGAGGACGTGTACTGATGTTTCCTTCTCTTTTCTTCTACTTCTACTATCTACAGATCCTCGAGGGACTAACCTTTCCCTTCCCGACCCCGTCTCTGTCCTCGTCCACGCCTACGCCCCCGCTCACCGCCGTCTCTTTCCCCTGCGCCACCACAATGTCGGCCGCGGAGGTGTTCTGCTCCACCAACGCCCCCACGCCCACGCTGCCTGATCACGCTCCAAGCATCGTGACCGTCTGAGCGTCAAAGACGACGACAATGAGGACCATGACCATCTCCAAGGGCAACTCCGTCTTCTGCCTCGCTTGCGAGACCCGCAACGAGAAGCTCACGGCCGCCAGCCTTGACTGCATCTCCAAGCTCATCTCCTACTCCTTCTTTGTCGAGGCCAGGCCTCCCGAACATGCATCCTCCTGTCCCTGCCCCTGTCCCCGGGTCCGGGCCCAGCCATTCGAGCGCCTCCCAGAGCAACCTCCCCCCGCCCTCCCTCGTGGACCTCGTCGTGCATACCACCACCACCTGCCACACCGAGTCCACCGCCGACTCGGTTATGCTCCAGGTCGTCAAGGCCCTCCTCGCTCTCGTCCTCTCCTCCACCATCCTCGTCCACCAGTCCTCACTCCTCAAGGCCGTCCGCACCGTTTACAACATATTCCTCATGTTCACCGACCCCCACCCGCCGCCGCAGAGTCCACCGCATCGCTCGCGTCCAGGGCTGACGACGCCCCGTCGGCAAAGCGCGACTCGTTCGCGCCGTCCACGCCGGACATCGAGCCGCCGCGCGCGCTGCCGTCCCAGGACAAGGTGCCCTCGGCAGACGACATCTCGCTCGAGATCCCGCTCCCTCATTTGCCGCCAGTAGCTGCCCACGACGACTTGCCCGTCCTCGAGCTGCCCTCGTCGAATGGGATCGAGCACGGCGCGGACAGGCCGGATACCCCTCAAGCGTGCGTCTCCCTCGCACAGTTCCGCTTGTGTCCCCTTTTCACTGTTCTGCACGCGAGCGAGCTCTCGCCCGAGCACCCCAGCGCCCGAGCACCCCAGCCCAGGGGCATCATGCTCCCCCGGCACACACAATGACGATCAATGACCTCTTCCTCAAGGATGCCTTCCTCGTCTTCCGATCCATGTGCAAGCTCACAATGAAGCCCCTCAACTCGGAAAGGTTCGCTCTCTCCTTCTCGCACCACATCCACATCACCTTTTACTGATCCCCGCGCCTGCGCGCCCCGCCCACAGCGAGCACGACCTCAAGTCGCACTCGATGCGCTCCAAGCTGCTCTCCCTGCACATGGTGCTCGTCATCCTCAACGCGCACATGGACGTCTTCGTCTCGCCCTCGTCGCTCATCTACTCGAGCTCGTCCTACGAGGCGACCCCGTTCGTGCAGATGGCGAACCAGTACCTCTACCTCAGCCTCAACAGGAAAGCAGCCAGCCCCGTCCCGCAGGTGTTCGAGATCAGCGTCGAGATATTTTGGCGCGTGATCACGGGCCTCCGGACGAAGCTCAAGGTGCACACGTGCGTAGGGGGTCTGTCTTCGCAGACCTAGTTTTGTTTTGATTGCGCCTGCAGAAAGAGATTGAGGTCCTGTTCCACGAGATCTTCTTCCCAATCCTCGAGATGAAGACGTCGACGCTGAAGCAGAAGGCCACCATCTTGGGTATGCTGCCACGCCTTTGTCACGATCCGCAGGCGCTCGTCGAGATTTATCTCAACTATGATTGTGACAGCCAAGTCGCAGACAACATCTACGAGCAGTGAGCATGCCCCGCCTCCTCTCTTTTCCTCCGCTCTGCTCTGCCCTTTGTTTTTTTTCTTTTTCTTTTTCTTTGTTTTTTTTTGTCTGTGTATGCGGCTCGCTGAACACCCTGCCCGCCGCGTGCGCAGCCTCATGAACATCATCACCAAGATCGGCACCAGCATGCTCCCGTCTACCGCGCAGCACAAGCCGGCGGACCCTGCGAGCCCCGCGCTGACACCCACGAGCAAGGTGCACGCGCCAGGCATCCCGCCGTCACTCGTGACGTCCGCTGTGGCCGTCTCAGGCTCGCTCAATACTTCCGTGCTCGGCCACTCGGAGCAGCAGCTCTGCCGCCAGAACCTCGAGCGCCTCACTGCCGTGCTACGCTCGCTCGTCGCGTGGGGCACCACACCCGACTCGGCGTTGGCCGCGGCCGCGGCGGGTGCATGGCGCGCCAGCGTCAGCGAGGACGGGTGCCCTGAGGGATTGATGCCCGATGCGTTGCAGTCGCTGGATAGGCTCCCGACGGGTGGCCCGAGCGCGGAGGCGACGAGGCAGCCGACGCCGGATAACCACGACGACCCGGGCCGGTTTGAGAGCGCGAAGCAGAAGAAGACGATGTTGCTGGAGGGCGTCAAGAAGTTCAACCTTAAGCCGAAGCGAGTGCGTGTTTTCTTCGGCTGAGGAGGGCTGACCGATGGGCGGGTGTAAGGGCATACATTTTTTGCTCGAGATGGGGTTCATTCTGAGTAAGGCGCCGCAGGACGTCGCGCGGTTCTTGTTGCATACCGATGGGCTGAGCAAGTCGATGATCGGTGAGTACCTCGGCGAAGGGTGCGCGTTTTCCACCTCCTCTGTTTGCGATGGCTCATCGGGTCGCAGGGATGAGGAGAACATCGCGACCATGTACACGTTCATCAACATGCTCGACCTGCGGAACATGCCCTTCGTCGACGCGCTGCGCGTCTACCTGCAGGCGTTCCGCCTGCCCGGGGAACCGCAGAAGATCGCTCGGTTCATGCTCAAGTTCGCCGAGCGCTACATCGAGGGCAATGCGAACACACCGTTCGCGAACGCTGATGTGTGTCCCGCGCGCTGCTCATCCACGCGCGCGTCTGACGCGCCACGGCCCCGTTCCCGTTGCAGACACCGCCTACGTGATCTCGTACTCGGTCATCCTGCTCAACATGGATGCGCACAATCCGCAGGTGAAGAAGCGCATGACGCGCGCAGACTTCGTGAAGAACAACCGCGGGATCAACGAGGGTGCGGACCTCCCCGAGGAGCTGCTGTCCGCTATCTTTGACGACATCGTGAACAATGGGATCCGGATCAAGGATGAGGTGGACTCGAGCCTGGTCGCGTCGCTCGCGCCGGGTGCGGGGCTGGCGAGCGCGCTCGCCACAGTCGGGCAGGACTTGCAGAGGGAGGCGTATATGCTGCAGTCGAACGGCATGGTGAACAAGACCGAGGTGCATGCTTCTTGATGGCGTCGAGCGTCGAGATGTCGGTGCTGGGGTGGTTTGCTCACGCGTCGGTTATGCAGGCGCTTTTCAGGACGATGATGCAGTCCCAGTGCAAGGGTTCGCGGAGTGGCGCGCAGTTCTTCAGCGCGTCGCACTTTGTACACATCTGGCCCATGTTCGAGGTCGCATGGATCCCGTTCCTCGCGGGGATCTCGGGCCCACTGCAGGAGACGGACAACCTGGATGTCGTGGAGCTCTGCCTCGACGGCTTCCGAAATGCGATCCGGATCGTGTGCTTCTTCGACCTCGAGCTGGAGCGCAACGCGTTCGTGATGACGCTCGCAAAGTTCACGTTCCTGAACAACCTCGGGGAGATGAAGACAAAGAACATGGAGGCGGCCCAGACGCTTCTCGACGTCACAGTCATGGAGGGCAATAACCTCAAGGGCTCGTGGCGCGAGTTGCTCTCGTGCGTGAGCCAGCTGGAGCATATGCAGTTGATCAGCAGCGGCGTTGACGTCCTGGATGCGCGCAAAGGTTATGTCGCGCGTGCTCCGATCGTGTTTGCGTAGACGCGTGTCGACTTGTTGAATTTAAATTTTATTCTCTCATTGTGGTTTCTAGGCGCACACGAAAGCTGCCCAATGAGGAGCTGGCGAATGAGAGTAGATCGGCGCACATCACCGTCGCGGCGGACATGGTGTTCTCCTTAAGCCATTACCACACAACGATGAATTGCAAAACCGGAGCAAACTCTGCTCTACGCGCACTAGACGACTTGTAACCATAACCATGACAGACCCCTGCTCCTGTAAGTGTATCTGTATTCTACTTTTCGTTGTCCCTTCTTTCCCGCCCTCGGCATTGCAAACGGACGATGTGCCTCCGCCGAGGCCTTCAGAAAGCAAGCAGTGTTGAGGATTCCCATTGTGGTCCTTATCTTTGTCTAACAATGATTTCAGATCTTTCTGTAGGTACTTGTGCCGCTCGGGTATATCATGAGAGACTATACGCGTGCGCTAACCTCGGTATGGCATGTTATTTCTTGTCCTCCAAGCTCTCCCACCATGTTTCATTTATCTGCAAGTCTCGACGTGCCGTTTCTCTCTTTCTCCTGCATTCATCGACCTCACCCATTCCTTTCCTCTTTTCAGATTCCTACCTCGCAGCCTTCCAAGTTTCAACTCAGTCGGTCGGATTGGCAAGGTCCCACGGCGCCCTCTATGTTGTTAGCAACACGACAGCTCAAGCAACTCGGTATTTTAATAGAAGATCGTCGTTTTCCCTACAAGAACCTTTTGCACTCCAGCTTTCAATGCCTTCCGTGTCACAGGAGTGCCTCAATGCCCTCGCCTCCCGGGTCAAATCTTCACTCAAGCTCTCGCGCACGCTCAAAGTTCAACAGGCTGCTGCGCAGAGCACCATCTCCATGCTCAAGTCGAAGGTTTCCTCGCTCGGGTCACTCGCCCAGGCATCCTAGACCGTGTCACCGCCAAGATCCTGTGCATGCCCGACGCCACTCTTGCCCTCTCGACCCGCTCGAGCGTCGAACCTAACCCTCGATCCCGCCTGCGCACGCTCGGTTCTCTTCAGTACATGCATCCATTTGCCTGCGACCCAAATTTATATGCGTACGTCCCCTCGTCCCCTCAAGCCCCAGAGCCCACGCACAAAGCATAGCAGACATCATGCCACACGCGCTCTAGTGTGTTGACGAGGAGGGTGAGTAACAGCTGGCAACAAAGACATGAACTAGGGAGAGGGAGGCCGAGCGTCACCAAGGTGTGTACCTACCGCTCTGATCCTTTCTGCCGACCCTGCGACGCCCTCGATCTCTAACGCCAAGCCCGTTCGCTCACTTAATTCCCTCAATAGCCAGTTCTGCCTTTGTGCCCATGCGTGAACGTGCGACCACTCAACGCCATGCACCTGCCTTTGCATACTGTCCCCGTTCGTCCGCGCACTTCCCCTTGTCCCGTCAAGCCCAAGTTAGACTCATCTAGCCCACGCCCGTCCGCCACCGAATGCCCTCGATCCCTTTCATCCCTTGAGCTCACGCATCCGCCTTCGCCTGCGACCCAGATCCGACCCAGACCCAGATCCGCTTCCGCATGACTCATCCAGCTCGCGCACGCGTGCACGCACAACCTCTCGACGGCCCCTCGACCACTCCTCCCTCGTCCTGGATCGTTGCCAAAACCAAAGGCACACTCGACCCCGTGCACGCTTGACCCCTCATCCCCTCATCCCCGTCGCCCTCGTCCTCTCGAGTTTGCGCACACTCGATCTCACATTCGTCAACAGTCCCATCCTCGACCTAACCTAACTGGCTGGTAGCGTAGGAAGAAGAGGACCGGCAGCGGCGGTGGCGGCTGAGAGACGGGCTGGGAACATGGATGGGCGTGGAGGACGAGGATATCTATGGGGAGATGCACGCTCGCTGACCAGGACAAGCGTCATGAAGGTGCGTCGTCGTCCCTCGTGGCGCCAGTCCTTCCCCACACATGTGTATATCCTGACCTCATCCTTTCCGCCCGCCCCGCCGCCTACCTGTCTCCCCTCAACACTCGTCCGTTCAGCCCACGCACCCCACGTTTCCGGCCGTGCATCCCTTCGACCCCACATACGCACACTCATATCTGTGAACACAAGCACGCCCACCACCCAGTGTCCTCGCAACCATTCCGCCCGCCTGTCCGCTCAACCCGATGAAGCTGCGATTCCGCCCCCAATTTCGCCCGCGCATATTCGTCCCCTTCAGCGCACGCACCACCTGGGATCCAAATCCTTGAGCACGCGTATCCTCTTCCCTTCGAGCCCATGGTCATGTCCTCGAGCCCACGCTCGTGTTCATCCAGTGCCCCTCGACCTCCTGGGCCATCAAAGTTCACGCTTGTGCCCTCATGCCCAAGCGCTCACGCGCGTCCCCTCGACACCACGCAAGGTTGCCCCCTCATTCTCCCTCCCTCGACCTGCGTCACCACTGAGACCCCGCGGTCCAACAACAGTTGGCGTCCCCACACTGTCGCCGTCCTTCCACGTGCCCTCGCTTCCGCACACAGAGGATCACAAATATCAAGCCATACGCGCTTTAGCGCGTCGACGAGGAGGTCAAGGAGCAGCTGGTGGTGGAGGAATGAGCTAGGCAGAGGAAGGCTGAGCGTTACCAAGGTTCGTACCTCTCGCTCTCGCCCTTTCCACCCGCCCTTTGCTCAACATGTGTCCCGCAACCTCTGCAGCCTCCTTGTCGTTATGGCTGCTCGCTCACTTGACCTCCTCGTTAGACAACCCCGCCTCTGATGCGTGCACGTGCGACCCCTCGACGGAAGCACTGAAATGAGTGAGCGCAAGGCGGCTTGCGATGGCAGCATGGGAAAGTTAGTTTAGGTTCCCGACATCCTCCTACTTCGCCCACGAGCTCTGGGTCGGTCGGATAGGCCCCCCGAAGCTCCTATTCTAACCTGAAAAGCTAGAAGGTTCAGGGTAGGACAGGGGTATGGCAGGGCTAAAGAGGCCATTAAGAGGTGAAGAAGCCACCCATGCCAATACACGGCTGACATGACGAGCCTGTCCGCAGCTGGAGAGGCTCGTCATGTCAGCCGCGTATTGGCAGGGCTGAGTCCTGATACGTGGCTGACATGACGAGCCTCACTGCGGCTGGAGAGGCTCGTCATGTCAGCCGCATATTGACAGGGCTGAGTCCCGATACGCGGCTGACATGACGAGCCTCGCTGCGGCTGGAGAGGCTCGTCATGTCAGGCGCGTATCAGCTTGGCTGAGTCTTGATACGCGGCTGACATGACGAGCCTCACTGCAGCTAGACAGGCTCGTCATGTCAGGCGCGTATCAGGATTCCGCTGTGCCAACAAGCACAAAACCTGCACAAACTCGACTCTGCATGAATGAGACAGCCTACGAGCATTAACCTTACAGATGCCTGCACTGTGAGTATGTTTTTATTATATCTTATATTGTACCCTTTATTTCTCGCACTCGGCTTTGCAAACGGACAATGGGCCTCTGCATCGCCGAGGGCATGTACTGATACATGATGTTTCCTTCTCTTTTCCTCTACTTCTACTATCTACAGATCCTCGAGGGACTAACCTTTCCCTTCCCGACCCCGTCTCTGTCCTCGTCCACGCCTACGCTCCCGCTCACCGCCGCCTCTTTCCCCTGCGCCGCCACAATGTCGGCTGCGGAGGCGGTTTAAACCTGAGACAGCGGGGATCGCGGTGGGGGCTTTGCCTGGCTTCTTCGCGTCCGTGATGGCCCTCAGCTTCGCAAAGCGAGCTGGACGGACGTTGACTTTGATGTCGCACAGGACGATGGTGCGATCGCGCAGCTCGACCTCGCCCTGCCGGATCTTCTTGACAATCTCGAGGCCGTGCGCGTCCGCGACGTAGCGCTGCTTCGCGGGCGAGGTGGTTAGGTTATAAGAGGTGGTAGGCGGATTCTAACCTAGTAGTATTACCGACACTTTTGAGTCCACCGATATCCGAAACTACTGTGTTGCCAATTAAATGCAACCATAAATACAAAAAAATAATTTCTGTGCTCTTCATACCCTGCTTCAACTTTGAGACCCAGAAGCAGTGAGATTGAATCAAGGGTTCAATAGATATGGATTTAAACAGTCTACCCCCTAAAACCAGACTGTGCTTCACACAGTCTGGGTTTTGGGAACCAAATCCGAGGTTGCACACAATTCTGTCTGATTCAATAGGCTTAAAATGTATTTGTCTTGGTACCCTAATATTTTCATTAGTAGACATGGAGTACTAAAGATGTTATAGGCAGAATACAGAATTGAGGGAAAACCTCAAAAAACCGAGTCTCCAGTCCACAATTTTCCTTTTATTTCCATTACAAAACCAATAAAATGCTCCTACATACACTACCTTTCAGATTATAACCTAATTTTATTATTTGGATGAGGGGATTGAGAGATATGTAATTGTTTGTGATGTTGAGGGTATTCTGCAACCCGGAGACACAGTTTAGTCAGCATCGGGAAAGGGCGGCACACAGTCGGGAGATTGCGGACCCACAGTCGTCACACTGTTGTCACACTGTGCACAGTCTCTCTGTTGCGCCACACAGTCCGCCCGAGACCGCACACAGTCCGGATTTTGGCGCTGGTTCAGCGCCACACAGTCCGGATTCTCGGTGACAGTCCGAGATTTGGCGGTGAATCTGCGCCACACAGTCCGGCCGTGCCGCACACAGTCCGTTGATTGTCGCGCCACACAGTCCGACTGTGTCGGCACACAGTCCGACTGTGTCGGAACACAGTCCGACTGTGTCGGACACAGTCGGAGTTTTCCCTCCGACTGTGTCGGCACACAGTGCCCTCCAACGTCTCGTGATCAAGCACGCCGCCACGTCGCGTCGCGTCGATCCTCCCCGCACATTTGAACATCGAGCACAACACGCTTCCTCGGCCGAGGTCTCTTTGCTTTCTCAGGACATTTTGGATTTCATTAGTGAGCTTTTTCTTCTTCTGAACCCTTCCTCTGCATGCTCTCGACGACGCCAGCAGACAACAGATGCTCAGAGAAAGTGCGCACTGCTGATAGCGTTTTTTCTTACAGTTTGCAGCTGCAATACTCCGGGCACCCACTCCACCCTCTTCCATCTCCACGGCTTTCTCTTTTCTCATCAACATCCACGACATCCGTGTCAGTGCCATTCTCTTTAAACGACTGCTCTGCGCCCATCCTGTCTCACGGCGCATGGAGCAAAGCGACTATCTTATCACGCGAGGTTGAGCACGTTGAAGAGAAGAACAAGGAGCAGATGGTGATAGAGGCAGAGGAGGGACAGCGGCTGTCGAGAGACGAGGGTGGAGCGACGGGACGATGGTGACGGACACACGCTCATCGAGCAGGCAGAGCGGTACGACGGTACGTACCTCCTGTTATCGCCCTTTCCGCCTGCCCCTCCCTCGACATCCACGCCTCGAACCCCCACGCATTCGTCTTCTCAGCCCCCTGGCTCCTCCTCGCATGTGTGGACCGACTACTCCTCCCATCCGCCCGCCCCTCCCTCGACTTGTGTACCCTCGACTGTTCGCACTCCCGCCCTCGATGCCACGCACTCCCACCACCCAGTGCGCTCGACCGCCACCTGTTGCACCACGACAAGAGGCCCAAATTCGCCTCTCGCGCGCTCCCACACCTCCGCGCTCATACCCTTCGCCTTCCCAGTCCTCCACCACGCTTAGCCCTGTGGACCATCCCACTTCTCCATCCACCCACGACTCGCTTGAAACAATGCCGGATCAGCTCAATGTCGACACTTGGTTGCAGGACAAAGCAGGACGAGAATTGGCGGCGCGCTGTCCAGGGCGCCCAGTCGCTCCACGCGGCGTAAAAGTGCCGGTGGACAAGTCATGTTGCAGAAACGGCCGCGTGCTGTCTGCGGCAGCCAGGCTCCCCACAGCCCAAATTCGCCGAAGGTGAATTTGGGCTTGGTGGGGAGCCTGCTGGCCGCAGACAGCACGCGGCCGCCGCCTTCGCCGGCCTCATTTCCTTCTTTCCTCCTCTCCCTCTCCTCCTCTCTCGTGCTCTTGATGCTGACATTTGACATCACGAACAGCCTTCTCGGCAGAACGTTGTCGGACACATGACACTAGAGGGCCTCAAGCGAGCTAGTCGAGTGTACGATGGCAGCAGAACACGCGCTCTTACTGTTCCAGCAGTCTCAAGAGTACAGTCGCGCAACATGCCCAGGCTTGCAGCCTCATTCTCCCCTTGTATCTTCTATTTGTCGGCCAATAGTATATGCATGTAGTCCGCGCGACTCGTTCCATGTACTTTGCGTGCATATACACCTCCCTCGAAGCTACTTTCTTAGGTGCTCCTCTGTAGCTACAGCCTGTATTATTTTTCTTGTTGTATTTAGATTTATATTTTGAACTCAGGCCCGTTCACCCACACGATTTGTGGGCGAAATTTTTCGCCCGAAGTGGAAGGAGCACCACTCCACCTCGATCGTAATGAACAGCTCTCAATCCAACTCTTCGGTCTATGCTCGTCTCTCAGTACCTCTTCCGTCTCCGCGATCCCTCGTCCACACCCTGTCCGTGCCAATGTCGACATCCTCTGCTAGCCTGCAAGCCAGAGACTTCTCGACAGGCCATCGGCCACATCCTCTTCTTCTACAGGACGATCGGTTGAGAAACCAGCGCAGACGCTGGTCCAGATGAGCGAAACAAGCACTTTGAACCTTTCATTGTGAGTTATCTTTTGTTCCTTTTACTTCTCGACACCCGCTTCCTTTGCGCTCTCTTTCCTTTGCGCTCTCAATGATGCAAGCGGACGATGGGCCTCCGCCGAGGCCCTGATAAAGCTAGCATCGTTGAGGACGTGTACTGATGTTTCCTTCTCTTTTTCTTTACTTCTACTATCTACAGATCCTCGAGGGACTAGCCTTTCCCTTCCCGACCCCGTCTCTGTCCTCGTCCACGCCTACGCCCCCGCTCACCGCCGTCTCTTTCCCCTGTGCCACCACGATGTCGGCCGCGGAGGCGTTCTGCTCCACCAACGCCCCCACGCCCACGCTGCCTGATAACGCTCCAAGCATCGTGACCGTCTGAGCGTCAAACACGACGACAACGAGGACCACACTGACAATCACGACGACAGCGACAACGACCACGCTGAGGAACGGCGATGGCGGAAAGATAAGCTGGGAAGAGAGAGGGTGCGGACGACGAGGATATCCATGAGGTACGTCATCTTTCTTTGCGCCAGCCCCTCCTCCGACGCCGCCATCCAAGAACTCGCTGCAAGACCGGCCCCCGCGTGGGGGCAGCCTCAGCTACCGCACGCACCACCCCCGTCCTCCCGGCTCTCCTCCACCGACGCCTCGCGCACGATCGACACCCACACCGCGTTCTCCCCGTTCATGTCCACCGCATCCCTCCACACCGCCCTCCTCCTACAAGCGCTCCATGACCATCTCCAAGGGCAACTCCGTCTTCTGCCTCGCTTGCGAGACCCGCAACGAGAAGCTCACGGTCGCCAGCCTTGACTGCATCTCCAAGCTCATCTCCCTACTCCTTCTTCGTCGAGGCCAGGCCTCCCGAACACGCATCCTCCCGTCCCCGCCCCTGTCCCCGGGTCCGGGCCCAGCCACTCCACCTCGAGCGCCTCCCAGAGCAACCTCCCCCCGCCCTCGCTCGTGGACCTCGTCGTGCATACCACCACCACCTGCCACACCGAATCCACCGCCGACTCGGTTAGGCTCCAGGTCGTCAAGGCCCTCCTCGCTCTCGTTCTCTCCTCCACCATCCTCGTCCACCAGTCCTCGCTCCTCAAGGCCGTCTGCACCGTCTACGTCTTCCTCATGTCCACCGACCCCCACCCGCCGCCGCCGAGTTCACCACGTCACTCGCGTCCAGGGCTGACGACGCCCCGTCCGCAAAGCGCGACTCGTTCGCGCCGTTCACGCCGGACATCGAGCCGCCGTGCGCGCTGCCGTCCCAGGACAAGGTGCCCTCGGCAGACGACATCTCGCTCGAGATCCCGCTCCCTCTTTTGCCGCCGGTAGCTGCCCACGACGACTTGCCCGTCCTCGAGCTGCCCTCGTCGAATGGGATCGAGCACGGCGCGGACAGGCCAGATACCCCTCAAGTGTGCGTCTCCCTCGCACAGTTCTGCTTGTGTCCCCTTTTCAGTGTTCTGCACGCGAGCAAGCTCTCTCCCGAGCACCCCAGCCCAGGGGCATCATGCTCCTCCGGCACACACGATGACGATCAACGACCTCTTCCTCAAGGATGCCTTCCTCGTCTTCCGATCCATGTGCAAGCTCACAATGAAGCCCCTCAGCTCGAAAAGGTTCGCTCTCTCCTCCTCGCACCACATCCACATCACCCTTTACTGATCCCCGTGCCTGCGCGCCCCGCCCACAGCGAGCGCGACCTCAAGTCGCACGCGATGTGCTCCAAGCTGCTCTCCCTGTACACGGTACTCGTCATCCTCAACGCGCACATGGACGTCTTCGTCTTGCCCTCGTCGCTCATCCACTCGAGCTCGTCCCACGAGGCGACGCCGTTCGTGCAGATGGCAAACCAGTACCTCTGCCTCAGCCTCAGCAGGAAAGCAGCCAGCCCTGTCCTGCAGGCGTTCGAGATCAGCGTCGAGATATTTTGGCGCGTGATCACGGGCCTCCGGACGAAGCTCAAGGTGCACATGCGCGTAGGTGGTCTGTCTTCGCAAACCTAGTTTTGTTTTGATTGCGCCTGCAGAAAGAGATCGAGGTCCCGTTCCACGAGATCTTTTTCCCAATCCTCGAGATGAAGACGTCGACGCTGAAGCAGAAGGCCGCCATCTTGGGTATGCTGTCACGCCTTTGTCACGATCCGCAGGCACTCGTCGAGATTTATCTCAACTATAATTGCGACAGCCAAGTCGCAGACAACATCTACGAGCAGTGAGCATGCCCCGCCTCCTCTCTTTTCCTCCGCTCTGCTCTGCCCTCTGTTTTTTTTTTCTTTTTCTTTTTCTTTGTTTTTTTTGTCAGTGTATGCGGCTCGCTGAACACCCTGCCCGCCGCGCGCGCAGCCTCATGAACATCATCACCAAGATCGGCACCAGCATGCTCCCGTCCGCCGCGCAGCAGAAGCCGGCGGACCCTGCGAGCCCCGCGCTGACACCCACGAGCAAGGTGCACGCGCCGGGCATCCCGCCGTCACTCGTGACGTCCGCCGTGGCCGTCTCAGGCTCGCTCGATACATCCGCGCTCGGCCACTCGGAGCAGCAGCTCTGCCGCCAGAGCCTCGAGTGCCTCACTGCCGTGCTACGCTCGCTCGTCGCGTGGGGCACCACGCCCGACTCGGCGTTGGCCGCGGCCGCGGCGAGTGCGTGGCGCACCAGCGTCGGCGAGGACGGGTGCCCTGAGGGATTGACGCCCGACGCGTCGCAGTCACTGGATAGGCTCCCGACGGGTGGCCCGAGCGCGGAGGCGACGAGGCAGCCGACGCCAGGTATCCACGACGACCCGGGCCGGTTCGAGAGCGCGAAGCAGAAGAAGACGATGTTGCTGGAGGGCGTCAAGAAGTTCAACCTTAAGCCGAAGCGAGTGCGTGTTTTCTTCGGCTGAGGAGGGCTGACCAATGGGCGGGTGTTAGGGCTTACAATTTTTGCTCGAGACGGGGTTCATTCTGAGTAAGGCGCCGCAGGATGTCACACGGTTCTTGTTGCATACCGATGGGCTGAGCAAGTCGATGATCGGTGAGTACCTCGGCGAAGGGTGCGCGTTTTCCACCTCCTCCGTTTGCGATGTCTCACCGGGTTGCAGGGATGAGGAGAACATCGCGACCATGTACACGTTCGTCAACATGCTCGACCTGCGGAGCATGCCCTTCGTCGACGCGCTGCACGTCTACCTGCAGGCGTTCCGCCTGCCCGGGGAAGCGCAGAAGATCAATCGGTTCATGCTCAAGTTCGCCGAGCGCTACATCGAGGGCAATGCGAACACACCGTTCGCGAACGCCGATGCGTGTCCCGCGCGCTGCTCATCCGCGCGCGCGTCTGACGCGCCACGGCCCCGTTCCCGTTGCAGACACCGCCTACGTGATCTCGTACTCGGTCATCCTGCTCAACACGGATGCGCACAATCCGCAGGTGAAGAAGCGCATGACGCGCGCAGACTTCGTGAAGAACACCCGCGGGATCAACGAGGGCGCGGATCTCCCCGAGGAGCTGCTGTCCGCCATCTTTGACGACATCGTGAACAATGGGATCCGGATCAAGGATGAGGTGGACTCGAGCCTGGTCGCGTCGCTCGCGCCGGGTGCGGGGCTGGCGAGCGCGCTCGCCACGGTCGGGCAGGACTTGCAGAGGGAGGCGTATATGCTGCAGTCGAACGGCATGGCGAACAAGACCGAGGTGCATGCTTCTTGATGGCGTCGAGCGTCGAGATGTCGGTGCTGGGGTGGTTTGCTCACGCGTCGGTTATGCAGGCGCTGTTCAGGACGATGATGCAGTCCCAGTGCAAGGGTTCGCGGAGTGGCGAGCAGTTCTTCAGCGCGTCGCACTTCGTACACGTCTGGCCCATGTTCGAGGTCGCGTGGATCCCGTTCCTCGCGGGGATCTCGGGCCCACTGCAGGAGACGGACAACCTGGATGTCGTGGAGCTCTGCCTCGACGGCTTCCGGAATGCGATCCGGATCGTGTGCTTCTTCGACCTCGAGCTGGAGCGCAACGCGTTCGTGACGACGCTCGCAAAGTTCACGTTCCTGAACAACCTCGGGGAGATGAAGACAAAGAACATGGAGGCGGCCCAGATGCTTCTCGACGTCACAGTCATGGAGGGCAATAACCTCAAGGGCTCGTGGCGCGAGGTGCTCTCGTGCGTGAGCCAGCTGGAGCATATGCAGTTGATCAGCAGCGGCGTTGACGTCCTGGATGCGCGCAAAGGTTACGTCACGCGTGCTCCGATCGTGTTTGCGTGGACGCGTGTCGACTTGTTGAGTTTTAATTTTATTCTTTCATTGTGGTTTCTAGGCGCACACGAAAGCTGCCCAACGAGGAGCTGGCGAATGAGAGTAGATCGACGCACATCACCGTCGCGGCGGACATGGTGTTCTCCCTAAGCCATTACCACACAACGATGAATTGCGAAACCGGAGCAAACTCTGCTCTACGCGCACGAGACGACTTGTAATCATAACCATGACAGACCCCTGCTCCTGTAAGTGTATCTGTATTCTACTTTTCGTTGTCCCTTCTTTCCCGCCCTCGGCATTGCAAACGGACGATGGGCCTCCGCCGAGGCCCTGAGAAAGCAAGCAGTGTTGAGGATTCCCATTGTGGTCCTTGTCTTTGTCTAACGATGATTTCAGATCTTTCTGTAGGTACTTGTGCCGCTCGGGTATATCATGAGAGACTTTACGCGTGCGCTAACCTCGGTATGGCATATTACTTCTTGTCCTTCAAGCTCTCCCACCATGTTTCATTTGTCTGCAAGTTTCGACGTGCCGTTTCTCTCTTTCTCCTGCATTCATCGACCTCACCCATTCCTTTCCTCTTTTTAGATTCCTACCTCGCAGCCTTCCAAGTTTCAACTCGGTCGGTCGGATTGGCAAGGTCCCACGGCGCCCTCTATGTTGTTAGCAACACGACAGCTCAGGCAACTCGGTATTTTAGTAGAAGATCGTCGTCGTCCCTACAAGAACCTTTTGCATTCAAGCTTTCGATGCCTTCCGTGTCACAGGAGTGCCTCAATGCCCTCGCCTCCCGGGTCAAATCTTCACTCAAGCTCTCGCGCACGCTCAAAGTTCAACAGGCTGCTGCGCAGAGTACCATCTCCATGCTCAAGTCGAAGGTTTCCTCGCTCGGGTCACTCGCCCAGGCATCCCAGACCGTGTCACCGCCGAGATCCTGTGCATGCCCGACGCCACTCTTGCCCTCTCGACCCGCTCGAGCGTCGAACCTAACCCTCGATCCCGCCTGCGCACGCTCGGTTCTCTTCAGTACACGCATCCATTTGCCTGCGACCCAAAGTTATATGCGTACGTCCCCTCGTCCCCTCAAGCCCCAGAGCCCGCGCCCATCTTCTCATGACTACGCCCGCCGCCTACCCAGTACCTTCGAACCCCTAGGCCGTTGACGTTGACGTCCACGCTCCCGCGTTCGAGCCCATATGCGCACGTGCATCTTTTCGACGCTATGCACACCCGCCACTCATTGCCCTTCCGCTTGTTGCCTCCAGCCCAAGCTCGCACGTCACCTGGACTCTCTCGACCGTTCGCGTTGTCAATCCCACGCACGGTCATCCCCTCAATCCCACGCAGCATCAACACTTCGTCGTCCCCTCGTCCACCCTTCCTCGTCTTGCGTCACTGCTGCGACCCCGCCGCCCTACACAGTCCCTCTACCGTCGCCGTCCCTTCAGGCGCCCCCGCTCCCGCCCCACTTGCGCTCCGCGCCAGCGCACAAAGCATAGCAGACATCATGCCACACGCGCTCTAGTGTGTTGACGAGGAGGGTGAGTAACAGCTAGCAACAAAGACATGAACTAGGGAGAGGGAGGCCGAGAGTCACCAAGGCGTGTACCTACCGCTCTGATCCTTTCTGCCTACCCCTTGTTCGACCTGCGACCCTGCGACGCCCTCGATCTCTGACGCCAAGCCCGTTCGCTCACTTGATTCCCTCAATAGCCAATTCTGCCTTTGTGCCCATGCGTGAACGCGCGACCCCTCGACGCCATGCACCCGCCTTTGCATGCTATCCCCGTTCGTCCGCGCGCTTCCCCTTGTCCCGTCAAGCCCAAGTTAGACTCATCTAGCCCACACCTGCCCGCCACCGAATGCCCTCGATCCCTTTCATCCCTTGAGCTCACGCATCCGCCTTCGCCTGCGACCCAGATCCGACCCAGATCCGCTTCCGCATGACTCATCCAGCTCGCGCACGCGTGCACGCACAACCTCTCGACGGCCCCTCGACCACTCCTCCCTCGTCCTGGATCGTTGCCGAAACCACAGGCACACTCGACCCCGTGCGCGCTTGACCCCTCATCCCCTCATCCTCGTCGCCCTCGTCCTCTCGAGTTTGCGCACACTCGATCTCACATTCGTCAACAGTCCCATCCTCGACCTAACCTAACTGGCTGGTAGCGTAGGAAGAAGAGGACCGGCGGCGGCGGCGGCGGCGGCTGAGAGACGGGCTGGGAACATGGATGGGCGTGGAGGACGAGGAAATTTATGGGGAGATGCACGCTCGCTGAGCAGGACGAGCGTCATGAAGGTGCGTCGTCGTCCCTCGTGGCGCCAGTCCTTCCCTGCACACGTGTATATCCTAACCTCATCCTTTCCGCCCGCCCCACCGCCGACCTGTCTCCCCTCGACACTCGTCCATTCAGCCCACGCACTCCACGTTTCCGGCCGTGCATCCCTTCGACCCCACATACGCACACTCATATCTGTGAACACAAGCACGCCCACCACTCAGTGTCCTCGCAACTATTCCGCCCGCCTGTCCGCTCAACCCGATGAAGCTGCGATTCTGCCCCCAATTTCGCCCGCGCATATTCGTCCCCTTCAGCGCACGCACCACCTGGGATCCAAATCCTTTAGCACGCGTATCCTCTTCCCTTCGAGCCCATGGTCATGTCCTCGAGCCCACGCCCGCGTCCATCCAGTGCCCCTCGACCTCCTGGGCCGTCAAAGTTCACGCTCGTGCCCTCATGCCCAAGCGCTCACGCGCGTCCCCTCGACACCACGCAAGGTTACGCTCTCGTTCTCCCTCCCTCGACCTGCGTCACCACTGAGACCCCGCAGTCCAACTACAGTTGGCGTCCTCACACTGTCGTCGTCCCTCCACGTGCCCTCGCTTCCGCACACAGAGGATCACAAATATTAAGCCATACGCGCTTCAGCGCGTCGACGAGGAGGTCAAGGAGCAGCTGGTGGCGGAGAAATGAGCTAGGCAGAGGAAGGCTGAGCGTTACCAAGGTTCGTACCTCTCGCTCTCGCCCTTTCCACCCGCCCTTTGCTCAACATGCGCCCCGCAACCTCTGCAGCCTCCTTGTCGTTATGGCTGCTCGCTCACTTGACCTCCTCGTTAGACAATCCCGCCTCTGATGCGTGCACGTGCGACCCCTCGACGACAGGAACCTGCCTTCGCCTGCGACCCACAACCGCCCGCGCGTCCCCTCGATCCCACACCTGTCTCCTCTAGTCCACGCTCGCTCGCCACCGAGTGCCTTCGACTGCATCAACCCCTTGGGCCCACGCACCCGTCTTCACCTGCGACCTACATCCGCACTCGTGCGTCTCGTCAAGCCCATGCACGCATGCTCGAGCCCTCGACCTATTGTTGACTCCTCGTCTAGTCCTCCCTCGTTCTGGGTTATCGCCGAGAGCGCACCCGCGCTCAATGCTGCACATGCTGAACCCCTTGTCCTCACATCCTCACATCCTTTTCTCCTTTTGGCCCCTCAACCCCGCGCACAACATACCTCGCGCACACTCGACCTCGAACATACTCGACCCTTCTTCCCTTCGTTCTCCCAACCCTTTCAGCCCTCGGCCTTCACGCCCTCAGCCCCTCATTTGTCCATTGTCACGCCCTCGACCTTACCTATCTGGCTGGCAGTGGAGGAATGAATGGCAGCGGCCGCAACGGTAAAGGAGACGAGCACAGACGACGGCGACGTCCACGACGGACGTGCACTCGATGAGCACGCAGAGTGGTACAACGGTGCGTGCCTCTCGTTCTCCTCCTTGCTGCCCCTCTCTCGAAGTCTCTGCTCTCCACTCTACGCATGCACGTTTCTTCCCCAGGCACTAAAGTCTCCCCTCCTCCTTCCTCTTACTCCGCTGAATCCTGATCGCTCCGTTCCTTATCACCAGACCTCTCCGGCTCTCTGTGCCTGCACGCGCTACTTCCTTGCAACCAGTACATGTAAGGGCTCAAGGACTACCTGCATCAAGGTTACATGGATTCTAACGGCAACTCATCACCAAGAGCGGCAAGCGAGTTGACTATCAGACCGGCGAGCATATCCTCTCTCCAACCCACTCTCTGCTGTCAAGGCTGACTGCACTGCGCATGCCACAGCCAATTGTCTGGAGTGTAGAGGGCACAAACGGCCAGCATTCTGCCAGCTGCTGTACCAGGGCACAAAGCTCGTCCCGATGGACTTTCTCACTCCCGCGACGTCACACAATCCGCTTTGTGGCTCGCTTCACCACCGCATCCTGCTCAGCAACTACTTCGCGCCGCCCAAAGCGCTCGCGCTTGGAAAAACTGAGGAGCAAGTACACCAGGTGCGCACCCCCTCTGTCCCCTCTCTCAATCCCTCTTCGGTAGTGTCCGCGTGTTGTTTCGGCGGTACTGAAGAACGGTTAGTGTTGAAGAGAAAGCTCTTCATGGGCAACTGGCCGAGCAACACTCTCTTCTTCCCGCTGTTCACGCCCGCAACGCTCGGCTCATTCATTGCGCTCTACGAACACAAGATCTTTACGCAGGGCCTCATCCGGGCATCAACATATTTGGTGCGTGCGTCCCTGGTGTGGGTGCATAAATCCGCGTTTGCTGAACTGGCGCAACAGATCCGATGGGTGTCGAACTTGGCAAGATACTCACAAAGAATATTTTGGCACCGCTGGATAAGCCTGCGGACATTAAGGGTCACACCAGCTCGGTGTGTTATTTTCTTTGCAGCACTGCATCCGCTGTCGGGCCTTCCCGTTTGCTGCCAGCTGACAACTATCGCGTGCGGACGTCCGGTCTCATCCGCTATCACCAGAAGCACCGAAATGAGTGAGCGCAAGGCGGCTTGCGATGGCAGCATGGGAAAGTTAGGTTAGGTTCCCGACATCCTCCTACTTCGCCCACGAGCTCTGGGTCGGCCGGATCCTCCAGTTCGCACGACGCCGGCCGCTCACGCGCCCCGTGGACGACCCTGGGGTAAGCACCCGCCCCGCCCCGCCCCGCCCCCGTGCTGCTGCCCCTCTGTGTGTATGTGTGTGTGTGTGTGTGTGTTCACCACGCGTCTGACGCGTCCTCGCCGTGACGCGAGCAACCGTAGGTCTGGGCCAAGGTCCAGTGGTACTACTCCGGCGCCGATGTCGCCAACGACACCAACACAGAGTGAGTCTCCCACAGTTCTTTCCATTCTACAGACCGCTTTGGTCGTCCACGCTAGCGCCGCCGCCGCCGCCGCACATGCCCCAAAAAGCCCTGCCAACATCCAGGCCAGCTACGGCCGCTACGAGCGCCTGCGCGCCGACGAATCCGACTACGACTACGTCGCGCATACCTCCTTCAACGGTGCGTCCTCCGCCGCGCCTCTCCCCGCCCGCGACGGCTGACTGACGGCGCTGCATGTTGAAGGCCCCACGAAGGTCATAGAGCACCGCGAGGCGGACATCGAGCAGCCCCAGATCGCCGATGGCGAGTTCTATGTCCGCCGCGCGTACTCCCGCCTCTCCAAGTGTGCCACCGTGAGCCCCTCACCCTCACCCGTCGCCCTCCCGATCCTCACAAACCCCCTCAAATCCCCACACGCCCCTCCCGCCCCCGGCCAAAACTCAAAGACCTAGTCACCTGCACCGCGGACTGCAACACCGTCTACAACCTCGACGATGCGCGCCCCATGCACTTCTGCCCCAAGCCCGCCTGCCGCCAGTGGTTCCCTTGCGACTGCCTCGAGCACGCCGAGTCGCACGACGCGCACGACTCCGTCGACACGCATGCGTTCAACCTCCTGCGCTCAGATCCAGACAGCGACGACCCCTTCCCCCTTCCACCCCCCTCCTCACGAGGGAAGGGAAACGGCACGGGCGCACCGTGGACGCTCCCCGCGCTCCCCGCGAAGCTGCACGAAGCCGCCGCGCAGCAGATGCTCGAGGGCGTCCCGCCCTACGGCCTCGTCGGCAACGCGCAGCCCGTCGCCTCCGCGCGCCCGGTGACGCCCGCGCGGCCAGGGCCGCGCTCGACGAGTGGATAGACCGCGTGGACAGCACCAACGCCGAGGGCATGCTCGCGGACGGCGGGCGCTCGCCGGAGGCCGTTGGGGGTGCGCGGTCTGACTGCGGCGGCGAGAGCCCCCAGCTTTATTTCGTGGCGCTTTTTGGTCCGTTGTGTGGAGGTGCCATTTGATACCACATACTTTTGCGACTCACGAGAGGGTCCTTTCTTGGTCGAATTTTACCTTATGATTTCTTGTATGAAGAGTTCTTACGGGGGGCGGTGACGATCCTGCCCTGGCAGATGACTGTGCGATCGAAGATACACCCGTCGCTACAATGAAGAGATAGCAACACATCGTCGCGCACACCTACGGCTTCTCCGCTCTCGCCGCGAGCTTCTGATCCAGCTTCCCCTGGAGAATGCGGGAAGGACGTCAGCGCCGGCTGGTCCATCGCGGCGGGTAGAAGAGCGCCACGCACCTTGACGGCATCCGTGTACACGTCGGTCACGACCCAGTGCTCGCGGCGCATCGCCTTGCCGTGGATCGCGAGCGTGAGGTCCTTGATCATGACGCCGTCCGTGTCGGTCGCCTCGGTGCACGCCGCCTCGAGGTCGCGCGCGAACGCGGCGAGCGCGGGGTTCGGGTCGAGCTTCGCGCGGTGGAGCAGCCCGCGCGTCCACGCGAAGATGGACGCGACCGCGTTCGTGGAGGTCTCGTTGCCCTTCTGGTACTCGCGGTAGTGCCGTGTGACCGTGCCTGCGCGCGCAGGCGCGTGCACACGCACAAAAACATCAGCGAGCGTTCAGAGGAGAGCGCGTGGGACGCCGCACGCACCGTGCGCGGCCTCGCTCTCGATGACCTGTCCATCGGGGGTGATGAGCGAGCTCGTCATCCCGAGGCTGCCGAAGCCCTGCGCGAGGATGTCCGACTGCACGTCACCGTCGTAGTTCTTCGTCGCCCAGACGAACCCGCCGGAGGACTTGATCGCCTGCGCGACCATGTCATCGATCAGGCGGTGCTCATAGTAGATGCCCGTGGCCTCGAACTAGGGCTTGTATTCCCTGCGTACCCGGGGACGCGTCAGCACGCGACGAGAGGGAGAGGGAGAGGGGCGACGCACGACTCGTAGATCTCCTGGAAGATGTCTTTGAAGCGGCCGTCGTATTTCTTGAGGATTGTGTTCTTCGTCGACATGAACTGAAGCACCTCACACCTGAGCGACGGGTCTCGCGGGGAGGAGGAGAGAGGACCGTACGAGGGGCATCTTCTTCGCCAGCGCCATTTTGAACGACGAGTGCGCAAGGCCCGTGATCGGCTGCGGCACCGGCGTCAGCGAGATCGTCGCCCGTCGCGCACACAACGAACAGGAACGACGCGCACCTCGTCAGTGTTGTACATCGCCATCGCCACGCCCCTACACTGGAAGTCGTACACGTCGAGCGTCGTCGGCGCGGCGCCGTTCGCGGGCGTGTACACGAGCTGCAGCTTCCTCGGGCCTGGCGCGACGAAGTCTGTCGAGCGGTACTGGTCGCCGAACGCGTGTCGCCCGATCATGATGGGGTTCGCCCAGCGCGGTATCGGCCGCAGGATGCGCTCGAGGATGATCGGCTCGCGGAAGACGGGGCAGCCGAGGGTGTTGCGGATCTGCGGGTGCTGCCTCAGCGACGAGAGGGGGAGACGAGGCGGGGAGCGCACTGACGGTCCCGTTCGGGCTCCGCCACATCTGCTTCAGCTTGAACTCCTTCACGCGCGCCTCGTCGGGCGTGATCGTCGCGCATTTGATGCCGACCTTGTGCTCGAGGATCGCGTTGGCGGAGTCGATCACGATCTGGTCGTTTGTCTGCCCGCGGGGGTATCAGCAACCCTGTCCACAGAGAGGAGATAGCGGGGGCTCATGGCGTCGCGGGCCTCTAGACCGAGGTTAAAGTATTCGATGTCCAGTTGGAGATAAGGAAGGATGAGCTGCGATGCGGCGTTTGCGCGTGAGATTTCGAGGGCGGGCCAGGGGAGAAATAGGAGACGACGCACCTCCTCGCGGATTTTCTTCCAGATGATGCGCGTCATCTCGTCGCCATCGAGCTCGACGACGGGGTTCTTCACGACGATCTTGTGGTCTGAGGGAATTTTGTGGTCTGCAGCCCCATTTCCGAAACCACGCAAACCCGCCCACAGAAGCAAGGAAACGGGGCAAAGCACCGAGCTATGCCGGAGCGCCGCAGACGAATCATGAGCTGCGGCGTGCGGCAGCTGAGGTCGTAGAAGAGCGCGGTGAGCAGCGCGTTATCGGCGCAGTCGATGGAGCGCAGGCAGCGGGGTGCACGATTAGGTCCTCGGCGTGCGGCTGCGAAGCGCGCCACGCAGTGAGGGCGCGTGCGCGCGCGAGATGCGTGTCCAGGGCAGAGTCGTGTTTTCTTGTTAGGTCCTATCAGCTCGCAACATCGTTATCGGTCGTTCGCTCGATTATTTATAATGGGACGTCGCAAACCATTACTTCAATCCAACCCAGTAAATTTACTCTCCACCATGCCTCGCACACACCTTAGCTGGTAAGTACTTATGATATATCTACGTGTGTCCCACTGTCGCACGGGACGCTGCTCATTCACTCGCTAAACACGTCTTCTAACTTACCACTACTACTTAGTAATTCCATCGCTTTCTTTGCCTGATATACACCCACGAAATCAACTTATATATCGCAGTCGGCCGCCGCAAGAGTTATAAACAAACGTCACAACCGAACCGATACTTGGTTTCTGCTGAGCCAGTGCTCTTTCACGTACAGAATCGCAATGTGCATCTCATCGTCTTACCAGTCCCTCATCTATGTTTAGCTTACGATTCCCCCACAGGGCCTAGTGCCATTCCAGCAGTGCACGCACACTTTGCTCCTCCGCCGAGATGTAAGTCCAGTTAGTCGGCTCCGTATACATACTCACTTAAGTTATTTTCAAAGTGCTTCGCAGTGTCAATAGAACCGCTGTTACGTGCACTGTGTGCATCCGTGCGTGCCTACTTACTACCGATCCCAAACCTTCCCTGGATCCAGGCGGATCATCGAGCAAGATCCTAGATTGTTACTGCACGTCGAAGGAGTTTGGCCGTTGTAAGTCGGATGTTGTTCCGTTCCGAGTGGTAGGTGCCTGCGAATTCAAGCCATGCCGAAATCGCAGCGCAGGTGTATTTGGAATCCATACAGACTCCATGCTCGAATGAAAATCTATCCTCGAGCCACCATGCTGCGTTCACGTTTCTAGTGGAGCATCGCTTCAGGACGCCTTTCAAGCGACGTCTCATGGCTGAAAGAGCACCATTTGGCTGAAAGAGCACCATTTTAGTAATGATCGCTGGACAGAACCGTTTCCTTCCATGAATTCGCGAATAACAAGCAACAAGATGACTACCCCGCGCTTCTAGGTCCTACCCAGCGGCTAATAGTCATATTGCGACTTGGGCGTACCGCCACGTCTCTAAGTCACTGGCCTACTCGAAGACTCTCTTTCTGACCCATTCATCGAACTCATGGACACGGACACTCACTAGTCACTGGCCAGGACCTATGCCGCACTCCGCGTTGAATGCTTGAGAACGGCACGCAATAAGAAAATGAATTCTTGCTCACAATGAGAGGAAGCACGACACCAACATTGATGTTTCATGAGTCCGAATCACTCTGACTGTGTGCATTCACGTGCAGTCATTCAGCCCATCTCGAGGGTCACACATGATCTACAGCTGACCCGACCCTGGTTTACAAAAGTCTTATAATCCAATACAAAAGCGGAAAGGTCATGACGGGCTCTTTTGCCTCAGGCAAGACGATGTATGCAGTGTGCGTAGCTTTTCCGTTTGCGAGGAGCACGACGTAAGGCATCACGTCGCATTGGAGCACGTACTCTGCAGGCACGAGGTTCCTGTACCGGTATTCGAGGCCACAGAAAATGATCTTTTTTGGGCGGGATGGGTGCTTGTGCCTGCCCTGCACCCGGATGCGGTTGCGGATGGCGACCTCGTTCTCCACCTGCGGAGCAGAAAGTAGGCAGGAATGAGAGCCAAAAGTCAGCGCCGATATTGCAGGATCTACGCCACGAAAATAAAAGAACGAACTGTATGACACGAAAGCGAAGCAGGAGATGAAACTGGACCCGTAGATACGTTTCGACGAGAATAACGATCGAAACAATTCGCCGTGAACTAACCGTAGTTTGTTGCTAGGTCACACCCGATAAAAACGCAACTCGTTGCTTGAACGCAATACCCGACGTCAGATGTCAGTGGCGGAGGCCCAACGCCACACATCTCAATCCTCATTTCGAGTGCTTCAACCTCATAAATCATGATGTCGTGTACGACCACTCCTGCTCGACCAAGCTGGACTAAGGACAAGCGCAGACGATACCTGTGCCACATAAAGTAGTTTCTACTCCGCTAGGCGCTTTCGGTGACTCAGATACGCACCGGGTAGCATGCCGAGTGCGCACGAGCCAACGAGGGCAAAATCTCAAGGCCTCGCTCGCCAAAGCGACAAGGGTGAAGATAGAATGCAAATACAACACTCACTCAATCTGCATTAGGATAGCCCGCGCGGACTGGGAAGATGGCTTCGTGTCCCAGAAGAAAGGAGGCGCGAGACCTATGCTTGTCCAAATCCAAGCCCGAATTTGCGTTCCGCTGCATTCAAGATTGAGTCGAAGATACGAGCCGCGCTCGGCGAGCGTTGCGAGATTGAGAGTTCGGATCAGGTACAATAGGTCTATGAGTGTACATGGGTGTATAGGCACGAGGTTATTGAATTGCACAGCAGGCTGAGAAGCGTGGGCGAAGGGCAAAGGATAAAGGGTCAACCGAATCGTGCCGGATCAGGTGAACGAGCAGCATTGCAAAGACGGATAGTACATCATCAGTTGTAGGGTCGTAATCAGAGCCAGTGGAGCAAGTGCGGAGAGTGTGCGGAGGGAGACTTCTCGGCGGATCATGCACGTTGCACAGTAAAGGAAAGAGACCGCCCAGGTTTAAGCTGATGAAAGCGAAGCCCTGCGTGCGCTTCAATGCGGCGCATTTGGCCGGTGAATCTGTGCGAGGATGTAAGAGTTGAGCTTAGAACAAATAAATGGAGGGGAAGAGAAAATGTTGAGATATAAACGGTAAGGATTTCACGATGAGGGGATGCGAGACCTGGTATTGCAATCTGATAGAGAAACACGCCATCGTAGCAATGATCGATCTGAGAACGAACGCCAGCACAGCTGGCAGCGGAACGGCTTCTGGGCGCCGGGCGCGCTGGCGTGTGGATCGACTACTGAACTTTATGAAGCGGGGCGGGACAGCGCACAAATGACACATAGTCGGGCGATGTCACGGTCGTGGCCACCATGATGAATGAGTAGTGGATATATGGGCGATCGTCGGAGGCCTTGCCAAACGGGGGCCGCTGCGGGAGGTTGAGGAGGTGGGTGTTCGAAAACGTGATATGCCGTCTTCCTACGCATCTTATCCTCAACGGAGATAAAACAGAAGTACATACCTGTTGCTTCTGAGATGTACCCACACAAAGTCCACCTCCAGCGATAGGTGAAACGGACTGCGGCAATGACAGATATGCAAAGACATGGCTTTGGCGCACAAAGCAGTGCGCAGAAATAGAAACCGCCCAGGAGAGGCGACAGAACACAGGGGACGCAGACAGCTGACGATACGTTCAGCGTGCCCCTTGGGTTTTCCATGAATAGAAAAGACAGACGCTCGATATTTGCGAGGCGAATCACCATGTAATAGGTCGAGAAGAGGATTGCTATTATGATATTAATATGTGTGTATAAACTATCCATCGTCTTCACGGTTGAAATCTGGATGCCGGCCGAAGGAGAGTGATTATGATTGGGCGCACGCAGTGCTGCTGAATGCGAAACTGGGAACAAAACAGCAGTTCTTTGTTGAAGTCAGCACTGGAGACTAAGCGCGCGGTGTCGTTCACTCAGCGCTGTTAGCTCTCACGCTATTTGTATAGAATCCTCTCTTCGGTCAGACTATCTTGTCGTCACCACAGCCCTCCGGGCACCATTTTGCACCCACTGAGGTGACACATGAGTCGTTAGGCAAGGGGTGTTATCAATGGATGTAATGCTCAATTCACCGCTGGAGGCCGAGGGCGCTTACAAAACTTGTATGGAACGGTTGACCCCAGGAATTGTATGTGTTTCTATCAATTTCTTTTCTTCTTTCCTCTGCATTATTCTCAGCGATGACGCAGCTATCGTCAGTATCACTCTTGCCTCACCGACGCTCCCATACTAGACGAGGTTACGCGATCAATTTGGGCGACCTAGGCATTTCGACGGATTCGAATCTGCGTTGTTGAAAGTCTAAGGTCTTAGACCTGGTCGAAGTATTCGTTTTCCATTGACATCACATCTTTCGATAGTGTAAACTGATATTCCCTTGACCACATTCACCGCTTTCCATAGTTTTCCTGTAGCTTCTGCAGCTTGTCATCGTGCGTCTGCGGCTATCTGTGGCTCTTCAGTTATGGAAGTGACACCCTGCCATCTTGGCCCTTGGGCTCTCCGCAACGCCCACATGGACTTACGGTTTCATTGGTTGTATGTGTCGAGAGACATGAGTAGCCACTGTGCTGCGGTTTTTTTTAATGCATCGCATAGGGACAATATACTCACTGGGCTCACATCTCACGATGTATGCAAGTATCGCTACCTATAGACGGTGTTCATTTTATCATCTCACGGTCATTCTGGCTCGAATTCCTTTTGGTTCTTGTCTCTTCGACCGAGCTTGGTTGCGACGCACCCTGATACGATGATAGACCTCTGCTGCCCTCTGTGGGTGGCATGTCGTGCTCTCGTCTATCTGGTTCATTTATCATAGACCGCCTTCAAGCATCCATGTTTACATCCCTTCTAGCCAGCATCCAAAGGTCAAAGGATGTCCTATCATTTCACCCACATGTCTGTGCTCCTCTTGTTCCAGTGGGCTCTTGATGTCTAGCTTTGACGCAGATCGCGCGCTCCTGCTGACGCCCTGCTCACAACTCTACGTGCTGCGGAGTGAGCTGACTCGTCATGAGCTGGCCTTCCCATTCGTGCCGATGACACACTCCTTCTCACTTGACAGCGACTGGGTCATGCACGCACGGGCGACGACACACCAACGAGCGATGGATATGAGGCTGCGCAGGGCATGTTGCGCTTGGGACTCAGTTAGATAGGGGCCCTTGATCAAGAACGGGCATCCGCCATCCGGGCTTAGGCTCTCCTCATACGCAGACTGGTTTGAAGGCTCGCTTCCTTTACGTTCGCATATTTAACAGCATCCGCAGCAGCGATGTAGTATGAGGAGCGCGCCCGGATTTTCGCGCATAGACAGCTGTATTAGCAGTTCGGGCGCGTGTCGGTGTCGGTGCAGTCGTGATTCTCCCCGCGCGTGCCGCGCAGAAGACGCAGGGAAGTGGGTGAGACTTTCGGGACCGTTGGACAGCAAGGAAAAGCTTGGGGGAAATGGCGATGGCGAACGGTGCTCAGCTCCCTGCTCTTCCTGTCGGTCCTTTCTCGCTCTCGCTCTCATTCTCGCTATTTTGTCCCTCCCTTCTAATTATAGGTGGCATCGTGCGAGCTGTGCACCCGCATCTCGGAAAGATCTGTCCGTCTTGTGTAGAGCTAGTGGTGCAACTGAACGAACACGTTCACAACCGGAATATGCAGGCGGAGACTCAGCTGTGACTCGATCCACGGATTGCAACCCCGAAGAGTCGAAGTACCCTACGGTTGCACATCTCTATGGATGTGAACGGTTGTCGCGCAAGAGCCTTGAACAGCACCTTCGTGGACAAATAGAGACGCCCCGGCTTCTGCCGGAACGTTTCTTGCGCCTGCAAGTCTGTTGCAGTGCGTCCTGTACCGACTTGTAATCGTCCGATGTTGATTCCGCGCCATGAGTTCCAACTTCGTCTCGCTCTTTTAGGTTCAATTTCAAGGCCCAGAAGCAGCTCAGAGCAGTCGGACCTTCTCCTATTCATGTTCATATCCGACCTGAAGCCTAAGGGCATTCTCAGTCTCCTTCTGAACGAATGTCTGCGAGAATGAACCCATGCTTACATGTCCTGGGGGGCAATGTGCTATGGTCAAAAATTAAGTAGTGACGGAAGGTAACTTCATTCATGTTGGAGTTAGTAGCACTGGTGACTAGAGCTTAGGAGGCCGGGGAGACAGCTCGTAGGTTCTTGGATGTCGTATTTCCGAGTGTAGACGACGAAATAGGCATTAGGAAGGAGTTAGCACACGAAGGAGGCCGTCCAGCGACCTACTTTATATTCAGCGTCGATCGATCGCCTTCCTCATTTCCGACGAGGATCCGTTTATTTAAACGACTGGGCATGGTAATGCAGCTAGAATTGGATTAAATTGAAACAAACAGCACACTAGCATTCGACAGGATGAAACCCATGTAGAGCAAGAAGTGTGATGGGCAATAAAACGCGGAGACAAACGAACAGATAGGTGTCAAGAAATAGCAATATACATGATAACAATGCGAAAGCGGCAGCGGAATCAGCGAAGAGCAATGATGACTATAAATACGACTATGATTTGACAGGCAGTAGATGTATACAACAAAATAACGACGAGTAACTCCGATAGACTATACGCAGAGAAGTGTGAAAAACGAGACATAACAGGATAGGAGACATTAAAGTCCAATACAATAGCGAACAAACCACCAAGAGAAGACACATGCAACAAATGCGAACCGAAATGTATCAGGACTTGCTATTTCGCGATAACGAGACATGACAATGCAGGATGATAGACGTGGACGAGACTGGGTAGCCGCACAGCGCACGCTTGGACATCGATAGCAGGCCCGATGCACAATGCAGGCGGCATTGAGGCGGATATTGAAAACCGATTCTACGCATCCTCTTGCACGGCAGTGGTTGTTCGGCGCTGGCCACGGCGCGACGTTAGCGGATAATTGCAGATGAGCTGGCGCCGCGCGCACTGGCTAGAAAGCGGGGGACGGTCAGCGCGCGGTCAATGACAAATCAACCAATACGAAAGAACGGAGGGAAGGGAGCCGACGAAATCTCGAGACTGGCACTGAGGAAGGGGTGTGATGACGGAAGGTAAACAGAACCCGCTCGATCGATGTCCCTGAGGCCCTCACGGTGCCCACTTTGCCTGCAGCAGGGCGCAGACTATGATGAGTGTTGGCTCGATCTCTCCGATAAGAGCTCGGCCTTGTCCTCGCTTCAAGACGAAGACGAGGCAGGACGAGGTGGGACCTCGGAACAGGATCGGATGCCCCGCGATCCGCTATCTAGAAACCCACGACCTATCCCATCGTGGACCGTGTGGGTAAGAGAGGAGCAAGAGGGCCTGTGGAGGATGCAAGAGGGCGGTGATCACGCCTGCCTGAGCACGCAAGTACATCCTTTCACCTGCTTATACCACTCGTATACCCACCAGTCGGGTCAACAACCCCTCCATCTGGGTACGGCACGAGGACAGCTATGGACAGATGGGTGGAACTCGGTGGGATTGGGGCTCAAGGATTCGGAACGGCCGGGTTAGTCGGACCCGTGGATGCTTTAAAGCCTCCCGGATCTGCCTTCCTTGCCCACCCCCTACCATCCCCCCCAGGGCCTCCACATATAGCACCCCCGTAGTCCACCCGGTAACGGTCCCAGCCACATAATGCGACATGCATCCATAAATCCATCCAGTGTACGACAATCCACGACACAAGATATGTACTCACTTGCATGTCCGATCTGCACTCTCTGGCGGCGGCGGTCCACACGCGATCTTGCGTCCACGGCAAAAGAAACACGCCAGGAAAGGCTGCTTCTTCTTCGTATCTTGCGCCTGTGCTCCCGATTCTGACCCCGACGCCTGCAACTCCTCGTCCTCGTCGTGCATCGCCGCATGGGACCCTGCGCACGCCTGGAACTGCCGCATGACAGCAGCCTTCGCTGCGCTCTTCTTGCGCTGCCTCTCGCGCTTGCTATCGCGGTGCGAGCTCTCTGCCTCACTCGGCTTCGTGTATGCCCTGCCTTTGCCTTTACTGACAGCTTTGCCCTTGCTAGCAGCCCTCGCTCGGCCCTTGCCCTTACCCGGCATCACGTACTCGTCGTCGTCGTCATCGTCCGATGCTTCGTCGATTTTGATGCGGCTGGCGCTGGCGAGCGCGAAGGGCTGGATTGCAGCAGATTTTGAGATAAAATCGGTGCTCGTCGCGTGAGTGTGTGAGCCCGTCGACACCGACGTGGATGTCGATGCAAAGGGTGCACTCATGGCGATGGGGGAAACTGTGGTCAGTGCGGACATCATGGCGGCGGCGGTCTCTGCGTCGTCATCTGCGTCGTCATCTTCGTGCTTGATGTGGAACACGGCAGGGGTGGACTCGGTAGTATCCTCGCGCTTCATGCCAAATGCGGAAGGGCTCGTCGGTACGGGCGGCCCGGAGGCGCCGTGCCGGTCCATAGACACCGAGCTTACAGTGGCGCCAGTCGTGGGAGCGCTCGGGTGAGACATCGTGGCCGCTGTGTCCGGGTCTGCGATGTCTTTGGAGCCGGAGTTCATGGTGTACCGTGGCTGGTATGGGAGATGGTCCATCCACGGCGACGCCGCGGTGACCACCTCCGGTACACGCGCCTGGGGATCCACCTCTCTCTCCTTGGGCGCCGGAGCCAGGACCTGCGTGGCTGCATGGACCACATCAGAGCTAGCGGGGGCTTGCATCGTGTAGGACGATGCGCTACCCTTCCCGAATGTGTGGTGTGTGTCGATATCCCCGCCTACATGTGCGGGCTCGTCGTCGTACTGGTAGCCGTATGCACCATGCCCGTATGTCGATTCGCCATCGTACACAGTGTCATACTGTGTGTTAGATCCGATGAGGTTCGTGTGCCACCATTTAGAGAGCGTTTGACTTACCTCGTGTTCGATCACCATGGAGGAGTGATCTGCTTCTTCTACTGGCGCAGCGCTGATATAGGGGAATATGAGAGCGGCGGCGAGCGAGGAGGACGAGGTGGAGGGGGTCGCGGAGGGGATGGCGGACCCTATCGTGTCCACAGTCGAAGTCACGGCCGGATAATCCAGCGAGTACTCGTTGGCAGTGGAGGAGGCGCCGAGGTGGTACCCATCTGAGTCGATGTGTTCGTATGTGTAGCCGTACGTCGGCTGCGTGTACACGTTCAAGTGGGAGTGGGCATAGGTGTACCCAAGCGTGGGGGAGGTGAATGAAGTGGGCCCCGCGAGGGTGAGTGGGCTAGCCTGATAGTCCATTTGCTGCGCATCGTATACCGGCAAAGGGGAGGACGAAGCGGTCGGTGAGCAAGGAGCGCCTCGGTACTGTTCAGCAGGCCAGTACGTGAGGGAGGTGGCGCTGTGGGGAGCGTGGTGAGTGTCGGCAGCCTGCATCGTATAGTCGTACTGCAGCGACCAAGCGCAAGGAGAATGACAGTGGTGATCAGTATGAGAGCATCGTGAGATGAAAGTAGAGGCTACCTGGTAGGCGAAGAGTTCAGCAGGAGAAAGCTGCATCTGCTGTGACTCCTGCTCGTAGTTTTCGGCCTGCTCGGTCTGAGGGTAGTTGTAGGTCCATTCTGAAGTCGACATAATAACGTATGAAGTGTGTCGGAAACCGTCGAGGTGAAAGCCGAAAGATTACACAGACGAGAAAGCACGGGAGGCTTACTTGCTGGGCAAGGGAGTTGTCAGCGAATGGGTGGGCGAGCGACGCTCGAACTGGAAGAGGTCATCGGTAGAAATACTAAGACTCCGGAGTACCCCCAAGCGCCTACTGGTGAGCCGTGCAAATCGAATCGAACCGGATCTAGATCTGAATAGAAATAATTCTGAGCGTAACTAGCAAGGCCCTGAATTTCTTTGGGAAGATCAACAGGATCAAGCCGACCAGAGCCGACTGTGGGGTATTTCAGAAGCGCGGAACCAAATTGACCTCGCTTGTTGCTAGTAGGACGCTGAGCAGCTCAAAGTGTCCTATATTCAAGGCTATGGGCTCGATAAGCACAGGACTCACGCTGAAGCAGATACGATGTGAGGGCGAGACATGGCGAGAAGTTCGCGTGGGCATGAGCGTGGACGCGGACATGCCAAGTAAGAGGTTCGCTTGTGTAAAGCTATGCCCCATTTGACGAGTTCTCCTTGAATCCATAGACACCGAGCGCACGCGCGTCCTATCCTCAAGTCCTTTCGATCCAGTACGACTCAATCAAGCGGTAAGTATCGTCGTCCTCAAAACCGAAAGGACACACCTGAAACCTTGGCATCGCTCCTCCTCGCATCCGCTTTTCCCGTGCCATGGATTATTCGTAGATCGACTTGCAGCAAGTGCATTACGACATTAATCATGCAGCGATCCGATTCGTACGTCGCGATGCCATACCCACAGAATTGAGGAAGATGCTCACAAGAATCTGAGTCTTCTCCCAGCAGGGTCAGAGCTCGTCGCTTCTTCCATTGAGTGCTTCACTGTCAAGTGGCGTCGCGCTGCTCAATTTTCAGGATGCATGATGACTCGGACACCACCTACGCCGATTGAACTATGCTGTCCGATTCATACGGTGCATGTTACTTGAGTACTTAGTACTCAGCATCCAAAATGCATAGATTGGGCTCCTTCCACTCATGGCGACGTCACGCGCTTGATGCCACCAATACGAAGGCCAGATCTGATGCGGCGCGACGGTTCTGAGGGGACGCGATCGCATTCAGCTGACGGTAACTTCGCTGCTGGCAGACGACCTATCAATTCCTATCAGATTGCCACCCCCGGTTCCATTCGAAGATCCTTGCAATCCGTCTCCACGCAATATATTTACAATTGCGTCCTGTGCTAAGTGATGTCCGATTTGCTTGTTGCTCAATCCATTGGGGCCAAACACCCTCAAGTAGGAATCACGGCACGAGCGCATCGCCCACGTGTCTTCGGTTCCTTGACAGCTTGAATATACAAGTCATTCTTTCGATTGACGTTTTGACCCTATGCCCTGCACGCTTCTTTCAGCAGGAAGACACGCGGAAACCATGCGCAGTGCAGGGATATTTTTAATCCTGATTTTCCTTGTAGCACGGGGCGTTGGCCCAACCAGCAGGCTGTGCATCACCCTGCCGATAATCCCGATATACGTGAATCACCTCTCTCCATTCGTTTACCAACATCATACTTGTGAGGTGCTTCGGCGCCGATAGGATGCGTCACATCGCAGACCCCCTTTGTAACACCAGGTCGTCTTTCCCGACCACCAGCAAAGTGCGCACCGTGTGGCGGGTCGCCCTGGTGAGGCGGCGGCCGCATCCGATACAATGCATAAAGCATCCGCGGAACCGTCTACTTCGCTGAGTCCCGAATCCTCATCAGGCAGCCTGTCGTGCCGCAGTGCGCCACATGCACCATCGCGAGCATCGATCGTCGATTGACCAAACCGACTTGTGTGGGTGCTGATTGAGCTTGATCGACTGACTCTTTGCTTCCGGTTCCAGAATCGCGACTCCTATCCAGCTGAACAGAGAGCCCTACATGGCCTAGCACGCCCTCGTTACGCTTCGCTTTTTTGTGTGTAAGCCATACACACACAATTGCTTACCGCACTGCCTTGTGAACTACTTAGTCGAGGCGCTTCTTGAAAATTGTGTACGTACATTCATGCACACCTACCTACCCCCGAGTCTAACCTCTCTTAAAACATATCATCTGCAAGGGACA